TATCCGTCCTCGTTCAGGCCGTCATGGAAGGGCCGAAGGTCCAATGGATCGGCAGCAGGGCTGTATAGCCAAAGAGTGACTTCGCCTGTGTTGGAGGCAGCGTTTGAAATGTCAAAGCCAGATGGAAAACGTTTCCAAAAGTCCCGTAAACCAAGGGCGAGGCCTCCTTTCGTAGCACCTCCCAGGTAGGCCAGACCTTCAGCACGTGTTCCGCTGGGGATTTTAATCCACGACTGGCCGGGCTTTGTCCGTTTTTTGAGGCTGAATCCGTCGGCCGTCAGTTGAGTCAGGCTGTAGTCTGTCCACGTGGGAATCCATTTGAGCCGATTGGTAACCCGACTGTCCCAACTTGATGTGTTTGCCAACTTGCGACCTTCATACTGAGCAGTTCTAACTTCTTCCCCAGGATCTCTTCTAAGTCCGGTGATTCCCTGAACAGCCTCATTGAAAATACCGCCATCTACGCCAGCAAATCTGACGTGTCGATCATAGTACTCCTCGCCTTCTAATGGGACATCGAATCGAATACCGAGTCCCGTAATGAAGTCCTTATCGGATTCTCCATCGAAAACGATGCTATGCATAACTTTCACAGAGGCAGAGTTGGCATAGAGATAGAATCTAATGACAAACTGGAGCCATGGATCGTGATCAGGGCCGTCAGTCACCTCGTGATTTCCACGAACAGTGACGAGGGTCCGACTCGAGCTCTGATTCACAGATACCTCATAAATGATACTGTGGAAGTTGGAATATTGGATGGACGAGTTTGATCGGCTGTCAAAACCGTCGGGAACCGAATCCTGAGACTGAAGGACAAGTCTTCCATTTTCGCCGACCGTCTTGCCGCTCTTGGTCTTGATGGCACTCACTAGGACGTTCCCTTCCTTGGGAAACGAGACGGTAATCTCACCCGTGTTGACACGAACAACATCAGACCTATCGGTCACGACGAGGGTGCTGTTCTTTGTACCAGATTTCCCAGACGAGGCAGAACGAATGGTGCAGCCAGACGTTGCAGTGACTGTGTAGTTGTCGTGGGTTGAATTAGATTCTGCGATAGCGTGGCCCGTCCATTTCAGCGAGCCATCGGACCAATAGCCGGTAGCCCAAGACTGCAATTGTTGTCTATCTTCGGAGTTGCCAGCGATGGTGAACCTGGTTTTCCCGGGTTGATATTTCCCCTGCGGCCATGGCAAACCAAAGGTTACACCGGCATGATACGTTGGCTGGTCGCCGAGCCAATGGACAGTCGCAGATGACGAGGTGCAGTTGGAAGCTGAAACCTGAGATTCAAGAAGCCCACTCAAAAATAGGATGCCAATGCCAAGTTTCGACATGGTGTGTTACCAGGCGAATGTAAAGACTGACGCATTATCATATTTGGAGAGGCGGACAGTGCCTCTTAAATGCCTCCTGACGCAATTGGACAGAACTATGAGGACGAGAAAAAGAATCTTGGCATGAAGTACGTGGTGAGTTGAGCGACCATGACCAGGATGGTTTCAAAGTGGTCATGATTGGTGGTAAGATTTTACCGAAGGAAGTGGCCTCGGGGTCACATTGGCCTAACAATTGTAATAGCTCCTAAGACCCTTGTCATTCTCCCGCTTCGATTGCGAGATGCTTTCGGGAATATCGGGGCAAGGAAAGCGGAGGCGGCGAAGATGACTCCGGAAATATATTGTTCCGCTTGTTTGGGTCTTGGCTGAAAAAGGTTATTTCTCTGGGACTTGGCAAGGAAGGTGCGGGTTTCCGCCCTTGGCATGCGGAAGTAGCATCTTGCTCTGCTGTATCTACAGAGTACCATATGTCGCAGTGCCCTCATCCATGAACAAGGGGTAAGGAGGTCATGGTTTTGGTTTCTCATTTAATCAATCTCTTCCACATTTCCTATTCTCGGCGTAATTGAGAGCGAATAGATGGGGTAGCGGGCGGTAAACCCCGCTCGCCCATACCTGGGCGAGCGGGGTTTTGTCGGCTCTCGGGCTGTCTCATACGGGCTTCGGGGGAACCACAATGCAAAAGGATCAAGTATCCCCTCAAATTTTATGCACCCCAGATTTGATCCTGCGTACCCAAAGCTGGTACAAGAATATCCGTTTAGCAGAATGTCGGCATCTGTGACCAATCATACCCACCATGATAAGGAAAGCAGCAAACTGCCAGAGCTCTCGGTTGCCTGTAGTAACTGTCGCAACCGCAAACTGCGCTGCTCTAGGGAGACGCCCGCATGTCAACACTGCCGCAAAACTGGTCAGCTAGTACATTCATATTTGCTCTGTCTTCTACGACAGGATCACTTCGTACAATGTCGCTAATTCGACCCCGGTATAGGGATCGACTGCGTATACGAACCCAAACGGTCCAAGCCGGGGATAAAACCTGGGGCCATTGAAAATTTACACCGACGGCTAGGTATGTCAATGAAGAGTGCTTCTGCTGGTGAACCTATAATTAGGTTCACTCGGTATGCTTGTTAGGATTGCAGACGAGGCTCACATGTCCGCTGCTAGATCGGCTAGAAGATTTTGTTCTCGATCGACTCGGAGACTATTCGCCAGGAGAGTCCAACCGACAAACACAGCCGAATGCAGACGAGTCTACCGCAAGTTTTGTTCTGCCTGCACTGGCACGGGAACCTCAGAGATTCAGCGACAAGTCGGTAACCAGGGCCGCTAATCGCCCAGCTAAACGACAACGGGTGGACATCCTCATCGGTCCTTCTCAGTCTTCGCTTCCCCACGTCGATCGCCGTTTAGTATTTTCTCTTCTCAATCCGAACACAATTGAAGATGTTTTGCAGACATACTTCGAGCATATACACCCTTGGATTCCTCTCGTACACGAGACCAGCTTTCGTCGGCGTCTTCTCGACACAAAACATAGATCAAAGCTTGACGTCTTGGTGCGAGCCATGACATTAGTATCCGGGAGATATATACAGCGCCATGAGTCCGTATCCGACATCTCCCTGGCTAATCTGACTACAGAGCAGGCCAGGAGTCTGATTGTTTCGACTGCCATGGATTGCTTAAGCGTTGAAAATCTCCAGGCACTCGTAATTCTTGTGCTTAATGATGTGAGATATTTCTATTCCAGTCATATACACTTACCACGAGATACTACACTTTCTGAATCATGTCAACTAATTCGGCCTCCAGATTGGAAACGGGTGGGGGCAAAGGGCATGGTCCATAGTCGGATCACTGACTCGGACTGTCGAATATTTGAAACTAACAGTCGAAGACGAGGAGTGCCGAGGCCGTACGTCGATTTCAAGGCCGTTTATATCTCTCTCCCCTCCGGAGAGCTGGGTCGAGGCAGAGGAGCGACGCCGTGTGTTCTGGAATGTGTTCAACATTGACAGGTTTTGCTCCGTGACAATGGGCTGGAACACAAGCCTCACCTCAGATGATGTGCACCGTCGCCTTCCTTGCGATGGGGTCTATTGGAGAAGAGATAAACCCAATGTTACAGCTTTTTTTGGCATCTGGGACAAGTCAGCAGGGCGGATGGGGAACCCCATCGCCTTTCCTCCGGCCCATTACGTGTCTCCGCAAGGTACGGGGTCCAGTGACGCCCCTGAACCGAGTCCCAACAACGCCAGCGGCTCTGGTTTATCACCGGAAGAACCCGGGATGGAGGCTGTTGGGGCTTTCGCCTACCGCATCGAAGCAACCGAGTCGCTGAGCCGTGTTACGACTTACTTCCTACAGCAAAAGGTCGACATGCACCGTCCAGAGAGCGTCACCAGCTGGCTTACACGGTTCAAGGAACTCGACCTGCGCCTTGTGCATTGGAAGATGCTCCTTCCAAAGAAGTGGAACGCCGCCAACCCTACCTACACTCCTGTCGGGCTCCACGACACGGCCTATCAGAACGGCCCACTTAGTAGCAGTGGAGAAGCGACGGGGTTTGAGGGCAATGCCAAACGCCGAACAGTAGTGATGGATCCAAACCTCACACTGGCACACATCACCCATAATGCTTCCATGATTCTCTTACATCAGCCTATCGCGTTTCCACCCCACGACTGGGCTTTCCGCAGCCGCCTGCCCAGCAGTTGCTCTGCCGAGACCTGTCAGCAGGCGGCTGTTGAAATTGCCACTATCACTGAACAATACCTTAAAGTGTCTCCGGCAACGTCCCCCGTCTGTCCCCAATTCTCATTCTGCGTCTATGTGGCAGCCCGACTCCTTCTAGCCTACGGGACCTACTACGGCGGAGAGAGTACTGCTCTCTACTCCAAATCGGATGTCGATGATGGTAGGTTTTGGACGCTAGTGCAAAGTCTAGATAAGATATCGCGTCGATGGAACGGAAATATGCTAGTGCCAGAGACCACGACTTTGACCGAGGATCTGGCGGCAAAATACGCCTTGAAACTGAGAGAGATGAACGATATGTGCATGCAGGGTTTAGGCTACAGTATAAATGTCTTGGGTTACACGCAAGATATCGACCATTGCAGCAGTAAGACCGACCCTATTGTAGGAGATCCAGTTCCTGTGTCAACTCAAAATGGCTCGACTCAACTGCCATATCAACACCTGCAGGAACAGCCAGCGCACAATTTTCAAGGTAGTGGAAGGCCCGCGGAGAGCCAGCAAAACGTGGACCTTATCAATGCGGCACCGGTCATGGCGTTACCTTGGCGTTCATCCTCATTACAGCTCCCCAGAAATCTGAACGACCACCCCCCGCCAATTTACGGGAAAGAAACGTACTCTCCAGGGAAAGAACAAGCGCCCTGCAGCCTGGATGCTATTTCACAGGTGCTGCTGAGCCATCAATCTATGGATTTGGACCGTATCATCAGTTTCGACGACGGAATGTTCAGTGCGAATCTAGACCGTTCTTGGTAAAGGGCCAATTTACCACACAGAGGCTGTAAAAGTTAAAAGTATATATCTCCGTGTACCCTGGGCCGGTCCTATGGGTTATGTGGAAGTCTAATATCTAAATATATGCCTGTTTCTTAGCAATGCTGCACGGTTCTACACTAAACCCATGCGCATCAGCTCGTTTCCAAATCTCACCAAGTAGTAATCACCATACACCAGGCCGTGGTTCGCATAACGCCTCCTCGCATTCTCATTGTTGTTAGCCGTCCCATGCTTAAGGATCGCATCGAACCGCTTTCCCTGCACAAGGTCTTCCACAGCCAGACCCTCTTTAGACTCTTCGCCAGAGACAGAATGAAACCGTGCAGTTTCCCTCGCCAGTGAATAGTCCAGAGTACCTCTAATCAAATCCACAGCTGCGTCAAAAAACCTCGCTGCAAGCATCTTCTCTCCCTCCGCAATCAGCGCCTGCGACAGCACGAGCAACCCATTCGCAGCGATGGCTGCCGCGCTGGAATCCCGCACGACCTCCTCGCCCTCACTCTCCGGTGGAGCATCAAAGTCCCATGGTGGGGAAGTGTACTGCGACTTCCCACCTCCAGGATCCCGCGCAACAGGGTGCGTCTTCAACCTATGGAGAAAATACTCTGCCGTTCCGCACGCCACATTCAGAAATTCCGTGTCCCCGGTCCATGCGTGCGTCTGTGCATACCCTGGTATTGCCCACGCCTGACCGCGAGCCCAGGTGGACCCGTCCCCGTACCCCTGCGCTGTCATACGACGTTTGATGGCGCCAGTCTTTGGGTCGATACATGTGACGTGGTTGGTAGAGTATAGCTGGCCATTGTACCCTCCGAACGTGGGTTGTGGAAGAGGGGGGCTCCGGACGCAGGTGGGTGCGTATCAAAGTGCGGGCATGGGCGACAGCCATCTCCGCGAGTCGCCTGGAGGAACTATGGGCGGCGGCATAGAAGAGTAGGTCAAGATTGCACAAAGAATCGATGATTACGATAAGATCGGTACTCATATCTGTGATCCGCTCGTCCTTCCTGATCAAAAGATCCCAACTGCGGATAGCCTTTGCGGAGGCAACGTATCTCGTTGCCAGGCTGTTGGCCGCACGGACAATAGATTCCAGGCTGCGAGAGTTGCCAAAGAGCTCCCAATCCTTGCGTAGAGCAGGCATGACAATGAAGCCTATGTCGTGTGTGTCCGTCCTGCTAGCCATGTCGTGCAACGGCTCCGACCATTTTTTACACATAGCGCGGAGCTGGTCTCGTCTCTCCTGTGGCGATGAACCGAGGAAGAATACAGCGGACTGGGGATAGCGTACTGTTCGTTCAAGCAGCTCGTACAAGGTCCCGGGAAGAAGCCACATGTCCAGAAGTCTGCCTCACGGAGATGGTAGAGGCTTGGCTTCTCGCCATGCTGAGGAACCTGGGGCACGTATTCGGGAAATACGTGAGGGAACTTCATCGCACACTCCTCGGGTGTCGCTGCAGCGCTAGGGAGAGACTCAAATGCGACCCGCCAGACCTTCGCCATAATGTTCTCGACAAAGAGCTCTGCAAGATGCTTCCTTAAGTTTGAGGAATCCACATCTAGATTGGGGGCACCAGTGATTTCACCGACAGCAGTGACCTTATTGGATAAGGCTGAGTGAGGTGAAGGGGTGGATATTGAGAATAACGCCTTGGAAGCCTCTTGAGGGGGCATCAACCCATGGGGGTTTGTGATTGTTGCTGTAGGAAGCATCGTTGCGCAGTGTGATTCTGAGAAAGGAACTTTGGGAGTAACTCCTGCCAACGAAATATGAATAGAAATACCGCTGGCGCGTCGATGCCAGTGCTAGCTCCAGGGCTTTATGAAATCCACACATGCGATTGTCGGTCCCGCCGCTGTACATTAACCGACGTTCAATAGCCTTAGGTAAAACCCAAGGCTCCACGCTGTGCTTGTACCATGTCATTCCCGACGCCAATCATCCGACAAATGCCGCTAAGGCAGCACGACTGCCCCCCTTCTGTGGCGTTGTTTTGAAGCCCTAGGCCCATTTTGCGGGGTAAAATCCTCCGGCATATAGCTGGATAGGCCGAAGTCCGCGGCTTTTCCCCCCGAGCCACTAAGCAGCAAGGACCCCACCTGTGTGTTCCTGCACAACTGACCCTGCGATTGGACGTCTCTGTCAGCCATGAAATTGTCTTTAAACTTCAAAGTCGTATCATTTTCCTTTACCCCGAACGCTGGCGTCTATATAGACGCTGTAGCGTCCAGGCTGAGGTCTAGCAGTGACCCAGTTTTCTCTGACCACAGTTATTCCTTCCTTTGGACCTTAAAATACCCTCAGAAAGAATACGAGTCCAGCAAAAAATGGCCAGTGGAAACAGGGTGGCGCCGCCGCCTACCGCCGACGAGCCCTCCGACACAGAAAAAGCCCCTGTTGTGAGCTCCTCGACCAATCGGCCAGCAGCTCCCTCGCTGTGGAAGGCATGGAAATATATCTTCGATTGGTACCCAAGCCACTATTCAGATGAGGAGCGCAGGCTTTTGCGCAAGCTGGACTGCTTCATTATGCCGCTGTGCTGTCTGATGTGTGAGTATTCCCTCTTTAACCAGCCCCCAACAAAGCGGGCCATGAAAGAGCATGCAGGGATTCAGCGAATGAACGATCATCCATCTTCGGACCGAATAAGGATTAGAGAAGATAAACACATACTAACGCTGATGGTACCTAGTTTTCATCAAATGGCTTGATCAAGGCAATACCAATAACGCCTATGTTTCGGGCATGAAGGAGGAGCTCCATCTGAATGGGAACCAGTATTCCCTGTTCGGGACATTCTATAATATAGGATATCTCCTCTTTGAGATCCCATCCATGATGCTGATCTCTCGGCCGAGCCTGTCCCGTTACTATCCACCGACCATGGAGCTTCTCTGGGGAATTGTAACATTTTGCCAGGCACGCATGCGCAACGAGCACGATATCTTTGGTATCCGGTTTCTGCTGGGTGTGCTCGAAACCCCGGCGTCCTCGGGCAGCATCTACATTCTGACCTCATGGTACCGCGCCGACGAGGTTTTCAAAAGAGCGGGAGTGTGGTACGTGAGTAGTAACGTTGGCTCAATGTTCGGAGGATATCTGCAAGCTGCCGCGTACACCAATCTGAATGGTGTGTTGGGTATGGACGGCTGGCGCTGGTTGTTCATCATAGTGGGTATTCGATGGCTCCCTTTTCGGACGACAAGATAGTGATGAAAAACTTACGTGTTGCCACACAGGACGGTATCATTAGCATTCCAATTGCAATTGCCGGGTTCTTCCTTTTCCCCGGCATCCCGCAAAGCCCCCGAGTCTGGTGGCTCACCGAGCGGGACCAGCAACTTGCGCGCGCCCGAATGGGCGATGATGGCGTCAAGGAGAGCACGAAGATAGGGAAGCGCATGCTCAAGCGTGTGTTTACGCACTGGCATTTCTACATCGCTATCTCGACTTACATCTGGTAAGCCCCTGAACGTAGTGTTTTGCGGTACCGAACTGACTCTTGAGGTAATCTCTAGCTTTCAGTGTACCAGCTATGTTAGCGGGCAAATGGCCCTGTGGCTGAAATACGAGGCGGAACAACACGGCACTTACACCATCCCGGAGATCAACACAATCCCAACTGGTGTTCAGGGAGTCGCTGTAGTGACAGGCATCCTTTCGACCTCTCTTTGCATGGTCTACCCGATCTGGACCACCTTCACGTTCGCAACCGCAGTTCTTCTCTTTTGTAATGTCGTTCTTCTTGTGTGGGACATACCAGTGGGGCTTCATTTCACGGCCTATTATCTGTTGGGAATGACCTCTTGCATTACTCCAATCCTGTTTCCTTGGGTTAACATGATCATGAAGGACGATGCCGAAGCTAGAGCATTCACGACGGGAGCGATGGTGAGTTTGTTTTTTTTTGTTTTCTTTTTGCTTTTGTTGCTTTTTACTCTTGTTTCTTTTCTTAGCCATTCTCTTTCCTTGGGCCCTCAGATTTCGCTGGAGTTAGCAGAGTTTTCACTGACCTCATTTTGTTCCCATAATTAACAGATGACCTGCGGTTGGATCTTCTTCTCCTTCTACCCAATCACGGCCTTCCCCGTTCTCGAGGCACCCAAGTGGCGCAAGGGCTTTACCGTCAACACAATTTTGACTGTTGCTTACTGGTGCCTGTTTATGTTGGGACAGTACCTGTGGAAGCGAGAACTGAAGCGACGCCAAAGCCAGGAGGTTGTCGATGGGAATATAGTTGAAACAGAGAAAGAGGCCGAACTAAGCGCGTCAAGCAACCAAGTGGAAACCACATCCAAGGATGAAATTAAGGTTGAGAAAGTGTGAACAGAATTAAATGAAGTTAATGTGGCAAGGTTGAGAACTGTGGCTTGAACGGTTGATGAGTATTCTAGTAAAATTTTATTCTCAATCGTTATCAATACCTGGGAGTAATGTTAATTCGTCGCTCGAATTGTTTTTGAGCCGAGTAAATCGAAAGTATGACATGGAGAATATAATCACCCGAACTGCAAACATATTGTCCCGAAGACCGAGAGCAGACTTGGCACCAAAGTGAACTATAAGTGCCCGGAGGCCCCAACCTGCCTTGAAACCTCTAATTTCCCTACGAATATCCAACTCTCAATCCTCATACTTGGAAGACTAGGCAGAACTCCAACCATGGTCGCACTCCCAGGTTTCACGGACAACCCATTTCGGACCCGCTCTGACCTCGTATGTGCTAGCACCGCCCTGCTAAAGCCGCTGGAGCAGCACAAGTCCCCCCCAAAATGCCTTTATAAAACTCTCCGCAGGCACCGCGGCGGGGTTTGATGAGGTTTCCGCCCAACTCGAGGGCTTTGCACGGCCGCTCTGGGCCATCGCGAGCGTCCTTTGTCCTGCAAGCAATGCAGATAGCCTTGGACTTGACGTGGACTCATGGGTCTGCGGCTTACGAGCTGGCACAAACCCAGCATCTTCGGAGTATTGGGGTGATCTGGGCGATTTCGACCAGCGCATGGTGGAAATGGAGAGCATCGCGTACGCACTGCTGATGGCCCCTGCGGCATTTTTGTCTGGGATGGACGCGATGGCTCGGGAAAATCTAGAAAGGTGGCTGCGCCAAATTAATGGACGGAAAATGCCCGAGAACAATTGGCGCTGGTTTCGTGTGCTGGTCAATCTGGCGCTGGGGTCCCAGGACGAGGATGTTGTGGCCCAGGACTTGAACATGCTGGACTCATTCGATCTTGGTGAGGGATGGAGTAGCGATGGGCTCTGGGGCAATGAGAGGAAACAGGCCGATTATTACTCGGGAAGCTTCGCAATCCAGTTTGCACGGATGTTATATGTGAGGTGTATGGAGGATAGAGCTTTGGCTTCCGAAGATCAGAGTAGGGTTGAGAGGTATAAGCTGGAGGCACGACAGTTTGCGTCGGGGTTCTGGAGGTACTTTGATGTGGATGGTATGTTGGCCTATAAAACATTTTCATCTCTCCACTATCTGCATATCTGCCACCTGATTCTCTGCACCTGAATACGAGACGTATATTTCCGAAAAATAGTACTGACTTTGCGACTTCTAGGAAGTGCCATCCCGTTTGGGCGGAGCCTGACGTACCGGTTCGCGTTCGCGGCATTCTGGTCTGCAGTCGCCATCGCGGGGGTACAGCTTGATGCACCACTCAACAACATCGGCGTGGTCAAAGGTCTCCTTCTCCGCCATCTACGCTGGTGGAGTAAGCAGTCTGACATCTTCAACACTGATGGTACCATCAATATCGGCTATACCTATCCAAACATGTTCCTCAGCGAGAACTATAACTCACCGCAGTCCGTATACTGGTGTATGAAATCATTCATCGTTCTTTGTCTACCTGAGAGCCACTCTTTCTGGACAGCAAAAGAGTTACCGCACCCACTTGCTGCTCGCCTTTTGCCTGCCCAGCCGCTACTCGATAATGTCAAAATCCTCTGGCCGCCCCGGCATATTTTATGCAGCGAACGCAGCCACCACTTTCTGCTCTCATCGGGCCAAGGAACCACGAAAGCCCACCGCGCCAGAGAGGCAAAGTACGGCAAGATGGCGTACTCGTCATTCTTTGGATTCAGCGTCCCCAGTGGCACACTGCTGGAGCAGATGGCTCCGGACAGCACGCTGACTGTCAGTCTCGATGACGGTGACGCATGGATTGTGCGTGCGAATCCGTTCAATGTACGGAGTCGGCAGATCCCAATCCTCACTTCTGAGGCGGCTGCTGGGATGGGAACGATAGTGGAAACAGTGCCGGCTCTTGTTAGTACCTGGAGGCCCAAGAAGGCAATTGAATTCGAGATCCAGACTACCCTAATTCCCGCATCGGAAATGTGGTCAGGATGGCACTTCCGTATACACAAGGTGAGGTGGTCACCGGCAGCCATCGTACCTGGGCCCATCAGGTTACTTGACGCAGGCTTTGCGGCTTCTGGTTCGACAAGAACGGGCCAGTTGTGCCCACAGAGAGATTTGGGGAGGCAGTTGGATCTGGATGCTGCTGCGGTGGAAGCATGGGGGAAAGACGAACAGAGGTGCTTGATCCTCTCGAATGATAGCGCCAGTGGTGTTGTCAATCTACAAAGGGATTTGATGTTTGCACCGCGTTCAAAAGGAGTCAGGCTTGCAGCCGAAAGCCCGGCATTACTGCTGCGGGCAGATGCAAATACTAATTTAATCATGCAAAGGACCTTGATACCTGCGGTTCAGCACACACTGGTCGCGGAAGCCGAGAGCAAATCCGCGGCGGAGATGTGGTTAGCGACGGGAATATTCGCAGTCTCGAAGACATCGTGTATTGACGTGACGGAGCGTCAGAATTTGTGGTTAAAAATACCAAAAATCCAGGTGACAGCAAAGCCAGGGGAAGAAGATGAGATCCGAGTTATGCTTGACTGAGATTGGGTGCTTTTCGTTTTGTTAATAAATAGGCAACAAAAGTTGTTGAAATAAGGGGTACGATGATACTAGGGAAGCATATACTTCAAGACGCTGAGATTGTTTAAGTATGATCTTTCTCTTATTGAGAGAGAGGCCCTAGATAAATGAGAAAATCTTCATCTGATCTTGACTCTATGTTGTGATATGAGGCTGGTGCAGATCAGGAACCAAGCCGAACCATCGGAATTAGTCCAGAAGTATGTCCACGAATAGGGCTCTGAAAGGAATAAGGAGTGCGACTATGAATATATGGATTTTTTATTCGCGCGAATAAACGTCTTATTCTGTTAAGATAGGCAGTTGTAGTGTTCTTGTTGAGGTTACTATCAAAAGTGGGGACCATATCTATTTAAATGTCCATCGCTAGTGCCACCATGAGCTTTGACCATCGCGATACTCAACATTATTCAATTTATATTATTTATATTGGCAGATATTGATGAATATTCATGAATAATCATATTACTTTCGGATCCCTACTGCTCACTGAGATACATATACATACTGTAGTGGGGGAATCGCTCTGGTGATGTCAGGTTACGTTGTAGGTCTTAGGCCTTACCTTTATACAGTATAATAAGCCCTCAACGATAGTTAACTTACATACTATCCACCTTGCAGATCACCAATGTTATTTTCGTTATTTCGGATTGCTAGCATTCGAGCAAGGGCTCGAATGCTCTGAATACTGTTTTCTCAGTAGGGCACCGCTTTATCTACTACTCTCCTGCACTCTGCGAGTGTGGTGGTTTTGTCCTCTTGTGATCGACCCGTCTGCCAACGCAGACTGCCAGCGAGCATTCCCATCTTACAGTAGCTATAAAAAGATACGGTGATATTTTGTAAATACTTCTTAGATATAATATAATTTCTTTCAGTAATATAGATATAAAGGGGGCAACAGTACTACATTTAGCAGTAAAGCAGAAGTATAAATCTGTTGTAAAGATTCTCCTAGCCTTTTCCAGTATTAAGATTAATTCTTGCAATATAGATAAATCTATACAGCTATATATTACTATTTATAAAAAAAGCCAAAAGTCTATAGCCTTATAAATTCTATCTAAGGAGTTAGTTAACATTAATATGTTCTGTCAATAGGGGCGAACGGTCCTTTATGATATTATACAAAATGGCAATATTCTTCTCGTACATGTTCTTCTTAATTTTAAGATACTAGATCCAAATATTCATAATAGGTATGGCTAGACTTGTCACGGGCATCCTTGGGGGAGGATGACGATGATTAGTTACCGCGCGCTACCTTAGTATATATGTATTGGTGCCTAGGAATATCAAAGCAAGAGCTTTGATATAGTGGACTTTTTGGTCTATTGGAATTGGCACATGATCCTAGGCATTGCCGTTACATATAAATACTATAGGTAAATAAAAAAGCTAAGATTTAAACTAGGGATAAATTAGACTTAAACCTAAAACTTCTTAAAATCTAAGGTTTATTATATAAAGAAAGTTATTTATAGTTAGGGTAGGAAAAACTATATATAGTTAGAGTAGTAGGGCGAATACTGTCTATACTTAAGGATTCCTCACCGCTGTACAGTTAGCCTGACTGCACTAACCCTTTTAGGATAGGTATAAGCAACCTGATAAATACTCAACTCAACCTGTACTGTTTTGTTAATTAACCATATGTTAAAAATCAAAATTCGCAAATCGACAATCAGATAATAACGATAGGGAACCAGAGTCTCCCTTGGTCTAGTACTGCAACCTCAATATTGTCAATAAGAAGGTGTCAGCGCATAGAGTGGTAACTTACCACTAGGACCCTTCGGGATAGGCTTATTCATCGATCACCTATTTCCCCTTGGTGACTATTCGTATGAGATCGGAATTATGGTGTCATAACACGCCATAGCTCGATTATAAAATCCCCTGAGATCGCTTAATTGATCTCAGGCATCAATCAATCCTTTTTATCCTGAATTGGTTCCACTTGATCTTATTCACCCTGAATGCATACTAGTCTATACACTTTTAGCAAGTGCTGATAGAAGGAATTACCGAGGTTCTCTCCATGACGTTGATACTTCATCACATTATACCCATTTCCGTTTTAGGAAATGGCCACTCAGTGAGTTACGCTACCTTTGAATGACTTGCCGTAAGGTAGTCCTATTCTCAAAGATGGACGACTAGGAATTGAACAGCGGCTACCTCGGTAATGATAGATCTAGCCAACATAATTAAACTACTGGAATGGCATATATAAGTAGAGAACGATAACTCTCTGTCAAAACTAGTTCACTTCAAGCTTAATCTCCGAGATGAATGAAAGCAAGTCAGTGGCAATCTTCGGCGGACACAATCCAAGGAGAGCAAGCTCCGTTACCTCAACGGCAAAGGCCAACACTAAAGTTGAATGAGGTATGGGGTCTTTGGATTTATGAGCTCGGAATTGTCGACCAATGATGTCTCGGTTAGCCGTTTCAATACTGCGTGCCGATAAAATAACTTCGTGCAAATCGGGATGTCTTGAGATCCGCTGTCCAAAAATATTCAAACAACTTATAGTTTTGGCTTGATCATCACTAGGGATTTTTTGAGCCACTACACAGTAAAATGGGAGGGCATTAGGTTATGGTTGATTAATATCCTCAGACGTGGGTACTTATTTGGCAGACATTCGGCTTGGACGATGTAAGTCTTGTATGTCACTAAAATGGAGCTACAACTAGTTATTGCTTATGCGACTAATTTCGCTGTCATTGACGGAACTCCATTCGGAATTAAGTACGGCTGTGATTAGAGAATAATCCTCGTGTTTAACAGATGCGGACGGTATAATTTTTGAGAATAATACCACTTATAAGGGGCTATTGAAATATGCGTTCCTGGTATTAGGGTTTAAAGAAACATGGATTGTGTATCTCTAAGTTCTACTCCGGATACATATGACCACACCAGAAACTAAAGTACTGCCCTCTCCGTTGAGCTTTGGAGCCTATGTGCGAGAGAAACACCAGCCAATCGACCGAAAGTCAAGGATCTCAAAACTGAAGTGGCCGGAGGATATTCTTGGCATTTGTCAGTTCTTAATCTCATCACAGAAAGGAATTCGTAACGCACCATTGTAGTAAAGTCCGGTAAGCTCTCCAGTGGCCCAGAGACCAGGAATAGGCGCACCGTTGGGCGTCAAAACCTGGGAGTCAGGGTTGACCTTTACACCACCGAAGGTGAAAGTGATTTGGGTAGTCAGGGGGAAAGCATAGAAGGGAGGGTTGTTGAGGGGATGGGCCCAATTCGATTTGTTGACCTTCAGGCCGGTTGTAGCTTTCCCGTCAAGCTTCATCAGGTCCAGAGGACGGTCATTGCAAGCCGAATTGAACTCGGTAATGGTTTTCTCAAGCTTGGCCTCCTCTAGACCAAGCTTTTTCGCTAATTCAGCGAGACTATTTGCTTCAACAGGCTCTTGATCTGTGGATTCATAGACCCAGCCAGGACGAAAGCGTTTCATTGTAGTAGCGTCAGTGATGAAGAATCCTTTGTTTTTATGGTCACGCCACAGTTCAACCGCGATCATTTCAAAGGTTGCAAAGAGATGTCGCTTCCCTTCATCATAGAATCGCTCGCAGTTCTCGTTGACCACGATACCGTAGTTGTGGCCCCAAATAACGGCATCTGGCTTTGTAGCGCGAGTGTCAACCATTTCAGAGTGAATGCTATCGAATGACCCGGCGGTGTCGGCACCAACTTCCAAAGCCATATTCAGTCCTTGGCCACGATTGTACTTGAGACCGGGTGCAATGATTTGAAGCTCATGTGTCTTCGGACCGATGTATTTTGCCAGCATTTCCTGGCTTCCTTCAAATCCGCCGCTGGCCAGCATCACGTCGGGGGCATAGAAATTCTCCAAGAGGGCATTGGCTCGGCGAACCTGCAGTCCATTGATGCGTCCTCGGCTGTCCGTCAAAAGGGCCCGACCTTCCGTTTCCCAATGAATATCACAGTTATCGTAGGTCTTGATTTTCTTCATGAGAGCTTTGATTATAGCCCAGCCGCCTCCGTCAGGCATAACAAAATGTTGGTTTGTTTTGAATTCGAGGAGGACCTATAGCCTTTGGTTAGAATAAATACGAAACATATCCCATAGACCACTAACATTCTTCTCTTCGTGTCGAATAAAGTTTACCCCGCGGTCCTCGACATACTCGACGCTAGCTTTGGCCTCCAGAGCCAGTTTGCGGCAATAGTCCAAATCAGCTTGACCGTTGCTAACCTGAATCATCTCCTGGATCCAGTCCTCATCAAAAGTCAAGTCTCGACCCATGCGAAGAAAAGCACCTGTCCAGCGAGATGCACCACATCTCTCGCCATTTTTTCCGGCTTCAACCAGAGCGACGCGAGCGGTTTTGTTTAGTCGCTCACAGGTTTCTAGGAAGTTTAGGGTAGTCATGCAGCCGGCAAAGCCTGATCCCACCACGATCAGATCATAGGAGAGAGAGCTCATTGTGAAGGTTACGTTGAAAGGAAGTTAGGAGGCCTTTGTCAAACAAATGTAGGGTTTATAGATTCAGGAAGCGCCCAGGTATTCAAGATTTCGTGTGGTTGATGCGGGGAATTCCCCATGGGGAGCGTGGCGACTTTTTATGTGGTCATGCAGGTTCAACCCGCGACGCCTCGGAACCCCGCTTACCCCGACATTTCGAGATTATTTCCTGCGCAGGTCCTTTGGCATCATTGCTCGGCAGACGAGAGAAGGCTTCATGGCTGGGGCGTTTTGATCCGGTGGAGAACCCGTTGCCGATCCCCAATCTTTCGTAAAAACTTAAATTTAGACCTCGAAAAGCCGTCTTGGCATGATGGAAATCGGCGGGAGGAAAATATGCCGCATGCCCTCCCGGAATTGATAAAGTAGAGGGAACGCAGAGCGATTAATAGCTAATCCTCACCAGAAAAAGATAGCACCACTGTTTCAGCGATTCTGGAAGAAAATATGAAGTCAAGAGACAACGTCCCATTCCAGGTAGGGTTTCATGATTGTACAGCACTGCGAAATCGAATGCTAACGCCAGACGATAATATTTAGTTGGAGGATCCAACACTTTTGAAACAACAGTCATTCGTGAATGGTAAATGGGTCGAAGCGTCGTCTGGTGCGCGCTTTGAAATTGTGGGTATGATCTGAAATAAGACCCATAGGAAAACAAGTGGTGATACTGATTCAGGTGCGTGCCGAAAGATCCTGGTACCGGTAGCCCGTTCGCGTCCTGTCCTGCAAACGCCGCTGAGGATGTAGATTATGCCGTGCGCACATCCTATGATGCCTTTGAACGTTATCGCCAGACCACCCCTCGCCGCCGAGCGCAGATACTTTTACGCTGGCATGAACTTATGACTGCCGCCAAAATACATCATCTTCGATGATGCAGACCTTGAAAAGGCAGCAGAAGCTTTGATTCAGCTTAAGTGGCGACACGCTGGTCAGGCATGTATTACTGCAAACCGTGTATACGTTCAGAAAGGCGTCTATGACGCCTTTGAGAAATTACTCGTGCAAAAGACCAAAAAGCTAAAGCTTGGTCACGGAGCAGCCAAAGATACTACTATTGGGCCACTTACAACACCTGGGGGAGTAGACAAGGTTGAGTCTCATGTTAAGGATGCTATCTCTCATGGTGGTCGACTGGCATTCGGAGGCTCCCGTCCTGCTGGGCATACCGGATATTTCTACCCTCCTACCATTATTGCCGAGGCTAACGAAAGAATGCTGGTCGCCAACGAGGAGACGTTCGGACCCTTGTGTGCTCTCTTCCGATTTGATAACGAGTGCCAGGCGGTAGAATGGGCGAACAACACCAGCATGGGCCTGGCATCATACGTCTTCACCCGAGATGTGAACCGCACATGGAGACTCCTAGAGAGCCTGGAGGCTGGTATGATCGGATTGAACACAGGTGGGTTAAAATTTCAGTAGATGACTGGAGGACTAAGCTTACGGGTATCTAGGTAACCAATCCGCCGCAGAAACGCCATTTGGTGGTATCAAAGAGTCTGGATACGGAAAGGAATCCGGGAAAGACGTCGCAATTAATGAGTATTTCATTACTAAGTCGGCTACACTCACCTTGGACGAATGTCCTCTCGCAAAATGCAATATGTAGAGGCTTTCCGCCTCTTGTGATCCCTTGAAAAGCTGATAGACTCTAATTAAAAATTGAGGAGTCACGTTCATTTGTTCCCATCAAAACATGTAGCATTCACATCGAAGCAGGCCTTATTAAGTTTACCTGTAATAGTTACCGACTTCCCGGACCTGGCTAACTTAGCAGTCGTAGAGGCGAGGCGTTTTGACACATATTACTGAGAATTATCCTCCAAGTGGGCCGTTGGCCTGCTCGGTTCCTGGGCAGAATGAGTTATTGGTCCTCTCTAAGTAGAAATTCCGCTCCGAGTATAAATTATGGTCGTCCCTAGATCGACATTCATCTTATCTCGGAATTCGTAACAGCATTATACTTTAAAGTTGTCGAGAATATCCCGTGATCTCCTCACTCCGACTTCGCCATCTGAAAATGCCCCTCCCCCTCGTTTGTACTACAGTATTTCTTTTAGCTGTGAGGAAACGAGTCCTACTCACCGAATTGGCTGTATCTTGCATATGTTCTAGGAATTATCCAAAGAGTACCAAACGTTGTCTTGAATTCTCGGAACATGTCCTTCCCATCGGTCTCTCTATTGACGGAGAGTTTGTGCGCAGCAAGTAAGGCGCCCAATTCGATGTTGAGGGCACTTCTACTGGCCAGCGTCTGACCTCGATAGTCGAAGGTTGAGAGGACAATGCTGATGATGCCGTGAAGTAGCACGTTGAGTGTCCGACGCAGGTGACTGGGCTCATTCTAACCTCACTGACCATCTCTCTTGCGCAAACTGACCAATTTCCTTGAGGAGAACAAGGATGAGCTCGTGGCATTGGAGTGTCTCGATAGGGGCACGACACCTGGGCAGTGTGGCTCACTGGATCTTCCAGGATCAATCGGTACTATACAGTACTATGCCGGTTGGGCCGACAAGGTTCAATATCTCCAACACACTAGCCTTCACCCGCTGGATTGGTGTCTACGGCCAAATAATTCCGTGGAAGTGAGTTCCCGTGCCGTCACATGCTTGCTCGCTTGTCTGGCAAGAAGTCACTAACAGTAACACTTGACTAGCTTCCCGATGATGATCTTTAAGTGGACGATTGCTCCTGTGCTTGCCACCGCAAATACCATTGCTTAAAGTCGGCCGAGACTTCTCCCATTTCTGCTTTGAAGATTACGAGTTGATCGCGAAAGCCGTTTCCCCAGGACAACGGTGAGTTTAGTCTCAGGATATGGCAAGACCGTTGGAAGTGCCATAGCTCACCATAAGGATGTGGACACGGTTGTTCTTATAGGTTCTACCGTGACTGGCCGGGACATCATGAAGGCCGCCACGTCGTCTAACTTGGAGGCGACGCTTGAACCTGGCGGCAAATCACCAGTAAGTACATCGCCCAATGCAAAATTGCGAGTTTATAGACAAGTGAGTATCTTGGATCCTTTGAAAAAACCATCATCTTTCCGGATGCGTATATCGATGCCGCTGATAAATGGTATGCTAGAGACATTAATATGAACTTCGGCCAAACATGCCATGCTGGAACTCGATTTTGTGTGCACAAAGATGTCTATGGCGAGTTTCTTGCCAAGTTTACACAGCACATAAAATCAATTACTGTCGGACATCCCTTTAACAAGGCTGCAGATCATGGTCCTCCTAACAGTATGACAAGATCCTGGGGTATATCAAGTCCGGTCAGCAAGAGGGTGCTACCATCCACCTAGGCGGCAAGGCACTAAAGAATGATAAGGCGGCTATTACATTCAGCCCACAATCTTCACTGACTTTTTCCCGAGATGATATTTCGAAGGTCAATCCATTCTCAGATCTGGTCTTGTTACTGAAACTTTCCTCTTCGATTAGATGACGCGCGCGAAGAGGTTTTTGGGCTCGGAGTCGCCAATTCCGAATTCTCTTTAGATGGAGAGGTCAATAAACAGGCTAATAGTAGGACATACGGCCTTGCAGTGGCATGTCATACCAAGGGCTATGAGCGGGGCCATTCGGGTCACCGGGGAGTTCGGTGCCGGAACGACATGGGTTAATATGTACAAATTCGTTCACTGGAGTGCACCTGTTGACGTTTTGATGGTAACGTATACCATAATATATGTAGAATTTTCATTGCCCGCTTGTAGACCTGCCAACAGAAAATTCCAAGCCGGGTTCACATGCAAAGGTGATCTAATTTTCCGAGGTGCGTCATCCCTGTAACACCACTTCTTGGCCAACGGTACATTCTCCATTGTGGCAGATATCAAGAATTTACATGCGACCTATTCCAAATAGCTTTTAAATCTCTCTTGATATGTCTATTTAATGCCTTTTTGAAAGAGAAACAGCAAGCTATATCTCATCATGTGAAGAGATATTATACTATCAAATTTCCACATATTGCCTGAATAATGATGCAATTCTTTTTTCTCTGTCATCTCAATTTCCCCGAATAATTTGGAGCGAGTTTATCCCTTACAGTTCCCTAGCCCTGAACCACAGTATCCTGATGATTCTCGACATCCCGTGCCCAGGGTAGGGAGTAGTGGATCTTGTGTGCGTTGAAGGTGAGCGCGGAGAAGCGGAAGAGGGTGACGGGGGTTTGGACGAGGGTGCGCGTATGCGTATTGCCCTCGCTGACGATGGCCAATAAGGCATGCGTCGGGGTTGATAGATGAGACGAACTGGGGGCTAGAGGCGACGACTTAGGGGTCGACGAGGCTGATGGAGTAGGCAGGGCTTCACGAAACACCCAATTCCTGTAGAGAGAGAGAGAATGCGTGGGTTGGGGTGGCATTCAACACTGGAGGTACCTTTTGTCCACGATCGAGACGCCGTGTTTGCTGGTAAACTCTTTCTCAACTCCCACAGCAATCTTGTTCTCTCCGGTCCTCTTAATGACCTTCACCTCTGCGCTGAGTACGCGCGGCGTCTCGGTCACTTGCTGACCCACTCGTAATGGGTTCGGTTGACCGTAAGCATCCCGCGGCCAGCGCACCTCCCCTCCAGCCCACATACGGCGAGTGAATGGCGGTTCGGGTTGTACGAGGCGTCGGTCCCGTCGGCACAAAGCTCAGTCTTTAAGAAGGCCGGGGCGAGCGCGGGCGCAGCCGGGAACAGTGAGGGCGGTTGAGCGTAAGCATCAGGAGGTGCAGCTGGTTGGCATCCAGAGTCTGCGTGCGGGTTTGCGGGCCTAGTGACTGGAAGCGCGAGAGGAACGAGGAAGCGATCGACGAGGTTGGCGGACGGGGATGCGAGGAGAAGGGGGCGAGTTGCGGCAGAGCCTCACCTGGTTTAAGGCTCGTCATGGCCGATTTGCCGTTTGTGGTGTTAGGCTGCCCTCGTGGCGTGGCTATAATGAGTTCACTGATAACGCGGCCGACGGTTGTCCGCGGCTGGCTGCATCTTAGCTAGGAGTTGTGAGAATGCTGGTAAAGCAGAGATTAAAAACCTAGTTAGGAACTGTGTGGCAGATGCGTTTTTATTGCGAGCTTGATTAGTTGAGCTGTTGCTGGTTTTCTTTTGAGTTTGAACGGCGACGGTTTGTTGTGGAAACAGCGGTAAAAGCCTTAAACGGTGAGTGTGTATTTAGGAGAAGGTGTGGTTTAATAAGTCTTAAAAGTTGGTTGCGGTAGAGAAGGTTTGGGCTGTTGCAGAACTGAGGCATTGGTAGGTTGTGGTCTGGTGTAGAGGTAGTGGGGGATGTTGAGTAGAGAGGTTGATAAAGCTAAGACTTCAGAAGAGCAGGTTGGTTGAGATTATTGCGGTCCTGGTTCAGGTATCGTAGTAGACTGTTCAGCGGCTGTCTCAATGTTTATGGTTGAAGGTTCATCTAGCAGAATTAGATGCTGGTACTGTTTCTAGAGGCGGTTACTATGATGAAGATACAGTACTTTAGTGAGTGACAATATTAGGTATTTTAAAGTTAGGCTTTAAATCACAACAGATAATCTGCTATCTACAGTCTGTTAAATAGAGTTATTATATCTCTTCAATAGGGTTTTTCTGAAGTATGTAAAAGGCTTGGTTGATCCACATACAAAACAACACACTGATCCACCAAGACCTGAGGGAGGTTTGCCATATAAGCCATTCTGTGCCAGTTATAGAGTGGTAACATTGCAAAGGACTTGTCTGTAAAACAAGAGAGCTCTCGCAGCGACGGTTGAGTAGGTGATCGGGATCGGGTGGAGAGGTTTGTCATTACAATGTGAGGTGGTTCGGTCCGGTGGAGCGCTGGGGTTGACGGGGTTGGAGGATTTGAGGAGCGAGGAAGGACAACGAAGGGCTAAGAGGGGATTTTGGGCTTCCAGCCCACCCTGACATCCGGATGTTGCAAACTCATCTCTCGTTGTCCCCGAGATACTAAAGTCATTCTGGAATATCACCTTGACCAAAATACACAGAAAAACTCTCTCCTGGACCCACCGCCAAGGCCATAGCGGAGATCAGTGATTGAGCGGCCCTCGTTAAATTGAGGGGCGTAGTAATAAGCGCCTTCTATATTACGTTCCCTAGGTACTGTAAGATGGGATATGCTCGATGGCTATCTGCGTGGGCAGATGAGGGAGAGAACGAGAGAAAAACACCATACCCGCATGGTGCACGTATAGTGTGTGTAGTAGGCAGTACCCTAGAGAGAATAGCGCATTAGAGCATTCGAGCCCTTAGCATAACCGCAACGTGCATCCGAATAACGAAAATAACATTGACCCGAGAGGTGGTCGAAGGTAAACTAACTATGCTAACACTGGTACTGAAAAGAAAACAAATATGCTGCCTAAGACCTAAGGCTGCCATATGATTAGCTGTTGAGGATTTTGTGGGGTTTGAAAAGCAGATGAAATTGTGCCTTCAGCTAGCAGTGGTGGTGGTGTCGGCGTACAAAGCTGGAAAGTAATATTTTTAAGAACACGGTCTTGATCAAGAGGCTTAAGACCAGCTCCTACAAAGCCACGTGCATATATTTCCGTGATTGAAAACTGATTCGCGCTCAGGTGGCCCTGACTTCGCCATCGTCCAAACACAAGAATCAGGATGAATCCGCTGGTCGCCACTCAGAATTTCGGTGGACATAGATGTAGGAAACCTTCCTTATCAATATGGTTTTTGCCGGCAACCATCATTTCCTCAACTAGCTTCCCGTAGGTTCGCTTTAGCGGGACAAACACACGAACATCTAGTGGTTGTAATAGATTTGAGGTATGTATACAGAGACAAATAATTGCCTGCTTTTCATAGAGGGTGTCTATTTTTTGCTGGTAGGAATGCCACAGTCTAATTATGTTACGGAAAAGGCTCCACCACAAAACATTAGATGACGCACGCCAAGCCGACGAAGACGGCTTCTCAAGTGTTGTGCAGGAATAGACCTTGACATTTCCCGTGGGACTGGTCCCGCACAGTCCATGTGAGAACAATGCGATCAAAATTTACTCCTGTGGGCGGGAAACATGTCAGTCCCTCCCTAAAAGATTTCCGCGGGACTAGGCGGGCATTTTCAATCAGGAAACTTGATATGTTGATCAAAATTCATAAATTGTGCAGTTATTCTCCGTAATCTGAGGTTATTGTATGTATGGCATAAATTTTGATGTTAGTGTATGGATTGAAGTGAATCTCAGGTTGTGTTGAGCTAGGACTACTAGCTGTTATACGGGACAAAAATATATTTCTGCATTAGTAAAATTGATTTTTGCACATCACTCATGAAGTCCTCTACAAAAAGAAATCTATATATTGAACAAGGTCTGATCAAATGAAAACTGACTACCTGGTTGGCCAAGAATAGATATTACAAAAATCACTGAGAAATTGGATAAGAAAAACGAGATTCAGAGCTTCCTATAGAGAACATGTATAAGAGACAGTACTTTATGAGCATTGATCATCCATTTTATCCATCTTATCCATCCAAAATAAGAAAGGTGCCGCGTTTTTATACATATAAAGGTGTTGGCGGGACTGATGAGAATTCCCATGGGCGGGACTAAGGGAGTAGGTCACTGCCCGCGTATGCTCATGGGCAGGGAAACGGGGCCGAAATTTTTCTAGTCCCACGGGGAATGTCAAGGATTATGCTGGAACTTCGGTAATTCTTACGCATATTTGAGCCTAGGGAAGAGCTTGAGGAAGAGCCTGTTTTACCTGAGCAAAGCACACAGCGTGTTTCATAAAGAGTTCGAAAGCATTCGAGGCTACTAGATGGATATGAGTAGATTGATATGAGATATAATTCATTTCTATAGTAATACTAAAATACTCTTTTTCAGCCGAATACCTTATCGTGACAAAAGCGTTACAGCCAAGGCCTCGCTTGAATTGCATAAAATATGAAAGTCATATGAACACTAATTTTTGCCCTAAAATGGGCCTAATAGGCCGTATGGGCTGGCCCACGTATGGAAAAAAGCTGATATATCTGTCCACTGACTCAGATGGGCCGGCCCATGGGCATTGTCCAGGTCTAGCCTCTACTTCATATCATCCTCCCCCGCAAATAGGAATATCGACTGGCGCGAACATACCGTCGATACTAAAACTCAAAAGATTTAACTTTCGTCAACTTGACACACTGAAGACTAATCATGTCGCCGACTCGTTCTTTCAAGTTTTCGTTGTTGCATTAGCCGAGGATACAAGCAACCTCGCGATAACGCCGATGTGCCAGACCCACTCATCTCAATTGATACTGCGGGGTCATGGGCTATAGAAATGGGGTATATAAATCGTTCCCGAGAAAAGAAAACAAAATCCACTGAGTCAGGATTTGTCAAGGAACCTGTCTTGTGGTCGGAACTGTCCTATATAACGATTCATCCCGCGTTTTATTCATCTTACAATCGATATTCCCTTCCGTCTCAATTGAATTCGGGTTCTGCGCAACAGAAGCCAATTCATAATGGTGGCCTCTATAGACAAGATGCATGGAGAAATCCCAGAAAGATCAGCCGCATGTCATACTGAAGCTCAGCATGCTGAGGACTCCACAAAGCATCAGTTTGAATTTCGACGGGAACCTCCCAGAGTCGCAAATCCGTCTCCCTTAGGACTTTTCTCATTTGCGACTGGTACCCCATCCCACTCTATATATTTCATACGAAAAGTATCACTTCAATACTAGCAGTTTGATAACCGGTGTACGTGACAGGCATTTTTCTAATTTCAACTCTTAACCTTCATGCTCGTGGTATTGCAACACCAAACTTGATCATCGGTGTATTGATATTCTTCGGAGGTCTTGGCCAGTTCCTGGCGGGGATAATGGAGTTCGTGTGCGGAAACACTGTGAGCTCATAACATCGGGGATCAAGTTCAATGCTGACAGCTCAACAGCTTGGTGCTACTTTGTGGTGCTCCTATTCAGCTTTCAACCTTTCCTATTCCATGATTTACATTCCCGGAACCGGGATTATAGCGGCTTACACCGACACGAGCACGGGGAGCGTTAGCTCTGAATTCAACCAGACATTGTCCATGTATTGTTGGGCTTGGTTCATTATGAACGTATTTTACACGGTGGCAGCAATGCGATCCAACTGGGTTTTGTTCATTGATCTAGCTGTTCTTGACTTGGCCTTTCTCCTACTTGGTGTTGGGTATATGGTCAACAGCACCAATATTCTGAAGGCTGGGAATGCTGTCTTATTGGTGACTGCTTTTCTCTCCTGTAAAGTCTTCCCCATGAGGAATTTCCGTTTTCCAATTTTCAATGAACTAACTTGAACATCACTAGATTGGCTCGGTTGCGCTGTTCTATGGGGAGATGGTTTGACTCCCATCAGAGTGCCCACTTTCGAAATGGATGGAAGTTAGAGTAAATTGAGCATCTTGGGAACGTTGCCAAGAGGATGGCGGGTCAGTATAGCTACGTACAAGAACGACAGGATGATGAAATATAAGGATCCAGTGATGAGTGAACGATTCTTTACCACACATTTTTTACGGAGCTGGAAATTTGCTATGAGGATAAATGTATCAAACGTTTTTGTGCATAATGTTCCATTTGACTATAGGTATAAAAACATGATTTAATCCAACTGAATTTCACATTCAAATGAAAGTATTATATGGAGTCTAATTCAACACCAATTTTGGCCTTGAGTTTTTTTTGCCACCGTCTGCAGACGAAAATGCCCGCGCACACCACTCTTGGCTTCATTGCGGTCCCAATACAATCCAATAATCCCTCATCGCATGACAGCGTACTGGGAATCAGCTCTTTCTCGAATTTCTGTCAAATATCTCGCCCAATAAAATACCTGACTCTACCGGTTGTGTACCGAACAAGGGCGCTGCATCATTTGTGGTATTGTGGTTGGCTCCAAGGGATGCTAGAAGGCTGTGTTCGCTGAGCTCACTAAGTTCGCTATAATGATGTGTCCCGCTGACTATGGTAGAACTCTGGATCAATCGAAGACCTACTTTCTCGAAACAGATGACTACTGATGCCCGGCTTCGAATGACGCGTTAATCCCTGTGCGGCCGAAGCCGACCGACCAATGCAACCGCGACTAGAAGTGTCCCACAAACGCGTTAACTAAATTCCCATTGGCTGATCCATGTATCCCTAGTGGCCTTTAAATTAGTATCCCAAGTTTAGTCTTGTATCGGTACCTTTAATGCCCCGCCATATGCAGGTCTAGGCATCGCCATAACCCATTTTGGGTTGGAGTCTTGGAGATGCCGACCCAAAACCCAACCTAAAACCCAATGAGTTAAACTCAACAACCCAGTGGGTTCCCATTTCAACCTATTTTAGCATAATTTATTCATAAATTTTATGTAGTGTATTTCAATACTGTAATGGGGAATTCCGCTCTCAACACCGGTATCCCATAGTCAGGTGATTGGGGCCTTAGTAACAAGGCAGCCATATCGTTTCGGAAGAATAAGTAGCGTTCGTTCGATAGTATCAATAACAACATGCATGTTCCCCCTTATGAATTATTCTCTCTGCGGAGTCTACTGAGGCTGAGGTTGCGGTATCGGTGTATCGCATGTCCATGAAGACTCGAATGCCTTACTAGTCGCATCTCTATAGCGTCACGCTCTGTCTACTACTCTCCTGCACTCTGCGAGTGTGGTGGTTTTGTCTTCTTGTGATCGACCCGTCTGCTTGACAGACTGCCATTGAGCGTTCCCATCTTACAATACTTAATTTATATCTTTTTTTCCTAGAAAGATTTAGATACTAAGATTTTATATATATATACATAGTATTAATTATTATGTTTGAATTTTAGGACTAAAATATACAATAATAAAAGATTTATTAAAAAAGAAGACTTTTTGTAAAGATATATATATTACCCAGTAGGGTATATCATTATCTTTACTATAGAGCTCTGCAATATTTAATTTTAATTACACTAAATTCAGGCATTTTAATATATAATATATATACTTTAGTTATACAATAGTAATAATAATAATTTCAACAATCTAGATATTTCAACAGGTCCACCAAGGTCAAAACCCGCGGTGGGTTGCCCGTGGACGGGTAAAGAAAAAGAAAACTCAACCCAAACCCGCGCTTGGCGAGGTCTCTTTGGGTATAAGTGGAGATCACGTGTCTTATGGATCCGATACCTACTCCGCACATTATTGAGATTACATTTGATTGGACAGATACGCGAGACACGAACCAGGTCTCAAGCTTACTTAGATCTCCAACCTGTGTAGGCGAGAGAAGCCGTTTTCGGGGGCCCCGCTTTTGGGGTCTGGTCCAGCTACCGCTTCCAAGAAATTCGTAAGAAGTTGCGACTTAATAACCGAGCGAGTCACGGTAATATCGGTGGGCTTAATCGCACCCTCCAGCGCTTGAAAATTGCAGCCTCATTTGAAATCAACCTAATATGTCCTCTCTTACCGGGAACCCCAATTCGCATGCGATCACAGAGTTCAACGAGAGACTTGTCGGATACTGTTTATGTGGTTCGGTGAAGGTGACAATCGACGACCCAGATCTATTTACTAGAAGAAGAGGGCACATCTGCCATTGCGCCAACTGTCGAAAGGTATCAGGCAGCTTTGCGGCGAGCAATCTGATCATTGAGGAAAGTAAGGTTCAGATTGAGGACCGTGAAGTCAAGCTTGCTATGTTCTTGGATACCCAAACGGGAAGTGGCACCCCGCTCGAAAGGTGGTTCTGCTCGAGATGTGGAAAGTAAGTGACCATCTTCTGCATCTGCATAAGAGAATCCTTCTTTAATTCTTCCAGTCCGATAAAATCCGTGACACCCGTTTTGGCAGGGAAAATCGTCATGAAAATGGGGCTATTTCCAAGAATCCCTGCACCCGAGTTTGAAACATTTGGTTTGCATAGGCATGAGTGGCAAGGATCTCACCCCGGCGTGGAAAAGTATAAGATAAAGGCATTTGGAGAAAAGCTGTAGTGATAAAAGGCTCTAAGAATCTTTGATTGTACATCGAAGAACTATCGTCAGAAGAATGAATAGAAACTCGATGCCAGTCTTGAAGGATCACGAGAATATAGTGTCCAGATTCATGTCGTCGTTGGCTGCTTAAGATAGACAAGACAGCAAAAAGCAAAACGAAGCATAGGGAGGAATGACAAGTCATGAGTAGAAAAGAAGGAATAACAGGAAGCTGAGATTGAAGTATCGTTTGCTTTTCAAGACACCCAACTCTCCCCCTATCAACCTTGAGCTATATGATTAAAGATCCCACCCCACCAATTTGGCCGTTTGGAGGATATTGGTATCTGTCGGGACATAACATCCCTTTTTTTGTGTACGCATTCTTGCGCGGAGCTGCGGCTCCGGTGTTGTGACCGCCGAGTGTCCGTGCATGGGATTAAGGGGTATCTTGGAACCTGACCTGACGGAGAACACACATCTATCTACATGAATCAATCAACATTTGCTTAGGAGCATAAACTGTCCACTTAACTGTGTACATAGTAGCTAGCTGGTGATACCAACAGTATCAAATTTTGCTTGACCTTGTTTCACCCAAATCCGAAATTGCCTTCCATTTCTTACACAGAGAAACTATCTGGGGCCAAGAATAGATAATGCCTGCATAGTCTTGAAATGGTCAGAGTCAGGGTGTGGAAATTTATGAGAGAGATTCTTTTGATACTTGTAATAACAAGGGTGGCAGTCCCCTGGACCATGATCATCGTAAGGAAGCCTAGGGCAAAGCGGTGACGGAGATGTGGAAGTCGGATCATATCAATTACTGTCACCTTGGACTGGTTCTCGTGCTGTATTTGCGCATAGAGAACGCTGAAGTGGTCGTGGACCGATTCGATATCTTGCTATTGATCAACACGGCACGCCATGAAAGCTGCGAAGGCCTTATCAGGAGAGTCTTGCCCAAGTACTAAGGGGACCGAGCTTTTGCCCTCAAATTGCCTACCCAAAATTACAGGGAAATTACTTACACCATCTAGGGGATTCTAGAAGAAACCAGACAACAAATGCAAGTAGAAGCGGTGGAACTCCTTGAATCATCAAGGGCAGTCGCCACTGAGCACCACGTATATGAGCATAGAAGAATCCGACGCCAACCCAGGATGGAACTGCATAGCCAGCGGCAAGAAGAGCTCCATGCATGCCTTCCAACAGTCCTCTGATCTTCCGGGGAGGGGAATTCGCTTTGGTAAAGAGGAACAAGTGTTTCCATCATTCCTACAAAGTCAAACCACGTTTCATATAAGAGGAAAAGAGGAAAAGAGAAAAAGAGGAGAAGAGGAGAAGATCGAAACAGGGAATGAGGAGAGAGAGATGACTCTTACCTATATCTATTCCAGTGATAAGTCTGGAAACCAGATACGTGGCTACAGGGCCAGGTCCTGCTTGCAAGGCACTTCCAATCACTGATATAAACGAGCCAACGGCCAAGGACCCACGTCGGCCGTAATAGTCAGCGAAGAAACATGAGCTAAGTGTTCCAAACAGGTGGACTGCTTGGAACCAGCCACTGATTGCCCCTTTATAGGAGCTGGCATTTTTACCGCTTTCCAACTCAAAGTATGACAAGAATGAGGGCTGGCTCAATGTCGTGGCTATGATGTTGGCAGCATAGCCGTACGTCAAGCTACCTAGGGAAACAGTTAGGATGATCTGCCATACTCAGTCTCCGTAAGCTCGCATTTAAGAGATAAATATGGGCAAAAGTCATGATTAATTTACATACCAAGTAGCGTGTGAGTGCTGGGTTGCTTTGCAAGCCCATGTTGAATGCTTGTGGGATTACGCCCTCGTCGCAGTATGTATCGCATGTAACACGCAGTGGGATGTCAAGTAACCAGGAGAAAAGGTCACTTTATCAGAAAATACATCGCCATATTTTTAATGATTGAGTATAAATATGCCCAGTGCGATGGGTTCTTGTGGATGTGGAAAGAAGGCGTCTTGGCTTAGATCAGCATATGCCTCGGCTGGTAGTTTATGAAAATAGATCTAGCCATTATCGGTATTTCTCAACAAGACATTAGATATTTATACTGGCTTGCAGACATTATCTGCTTATATTTCAGGCTCAAACACAAGGCGTTTTATGAAGGGCATTAGCCGGTGCCATCGTCCAAAGTCTAAAGCCGTCTTGGCTGCCATATCACAAGAAAGTTATTTAGGGATTCATTCAAAAGTCCAGAAACACATTTACAAACTTTAGGGTCTCTCCACAGGTCAGCGGCGTACAAGCTCTTGGCAGTAATGTCTGGATGCTACCAAAAACACATATCTGTTCATTCTGCTCCACCAGAAAAACATAACCTACCAGGCGTCAGCTACCCGCGATGGTTTGGAGGTTCTGCATCCTGTATGGCTGTAGTGGTCTCTCACCCTTTCGATTTGAGTAAGCCGCACTGCCCTTTGATTGAATGTGCATTAAGTCAGAGATTGGATTTGATTAATATGACCAAACAGTCAAGGTTCGCATGCAGGCAATCAAAGGTGGTGCTAACCATGGCTTTGTACGAATTGGATTCGAAATAGTGAAAGGCGAAGGCATGAAGGGACTTTACTGTGGGGTATGTATACCAGAATATTGTTCCTGGTCTCTCAATTCTGGTTAATTGACGACACGCCGTAGCTCTCAGCTGGATTCATGAGATCACGTCTGTTCTAGCCCATTGCTGTTGTCGTTCTATTTACCGAGGCTAATCTTGCAAAGTGACCTATGGAACGACCCGTATTGCTCTTTACGAAGAATTCAAGAAGATGGGGGACGGCAGATCTATGGATGTGCCAACGCTGGCTGGAATGGCCGCAATTTCTGGGTTTTGTGGTGCTCTTGTGGGAACACCTTCCGACATCGCAAATATTCGCATGCAAAATGATCGTTCATTACCGCCCGCATACCGCCGCAACTACCGCAACGTGATTGATGCATGGTTACAAATGAAACGGACAGAAGGCTGGAAATCTTTCGCCCAGGGTCTATGGCCCAACTGCTTCCGCTGTGCAATCATGACTACCAGTCAACTTGTTTCCTACGATATATTTAAGACAGCATTGCAATGGAGCCTAGGGAGTAAGAGCGAAAGCACATTGATCCACCTTTCAGCATCCTTACTCGCTAGTCTTGTAGCCACTACACTCGTCAGCCCTATGGATGTCATACGCACCCAGTTAATGAGCTCCTCCCAAAGGACGTCTCTTTGGAGGATTCTACAGGGTCTTATGCAGGCAGACGGCTGTCGCTGGGTATTTCGGGGCTGGACGCCGAGCTTTGTTCGTCTAGGCCCACAAACCATGGCCACATTAGTATTCTTGGAGCAGCACAGGAAGATCTACCGATCATGGAAAGGGTACAAAGGTATTAGACCTTGATTGACCGGCATGTAAAACGCAAGAAGTTGGTTAAATGTTACGAATGAAGTCACAAATAGACTGGTTACGTTCAACATATTGCAGTGGGACTTGATCACCCTGACAAAAAGTCCACTTGGTATTCAAAAGAGTATTGTCAATCTCCGAGTCAATACGGGGTTGACCACAGCATTGCCACTGCTTGGCGCTCCAGTAAGGAGTCACGCGCAACCACTATCCACGGTGTAGTGGAAACAAAAACTTTCTTTAGACTTACTGTCTAACCATAGTCAACCAGATTCGCGAAGCGAAGAATTTGTTATCGATAAGGCCTTTCTCCAAGACGTTCAAGGGGAGATGCGGGGAATTGGGGAATTGGGGAATTGGGGAATCTTGCTCTTACATATTGTTGCCCCACCGGATCAAGTCGGCGTTTTCTTCTCGTCATTTCAACACTCATTGTGTCTGGGGCCGCCCCACTGATTAATGAAACAAAATACACAGGCTTTTGGTCAAGATGCCGCCTGCACGAGCCAGACGAGCCTGTACTTTTTGCAACGGTCGCCGCATCAAATGCAATGTGACGGAGTCCATGCCTTGTCACAACTGCGTCGCAGCCAACGTCGAGTGTCACGTGAGGGAATCCGGGAGAGGCAAGTGGCCTCGACAGCCCAAGGTACCAAAAACAGGCAAAGAAGTATCTCCCCAGGCTGGAGTCCACGCTGAGACGGACTGCTCCATTTTATCTACGGCTCAGGAGTCATCCACTGGGCATGCGCAAAGCGCTGAGGGTGGTCCCTTGGATCAACCTACTTTCCTTTGCCAGGACAACGAAGTTTACTTGGGTGAATCGACGCTTTTAGGAGCGGTCCACAGCACCAGACCTGAGCCCAGATTTCATCGAAGTATCAAACCAAGCCTTCGCTATCCACTTCCTGCAATAGCCGCCATCCCTGAATGGGAACATCAGCGAAGGAAGCGCAGGTTGGAGACTTTGGCTGCCGAAGGTGCAATGACGCTTCCAGAAAAATCCGTTCAGAACGTCCTGTCTAAAGCATATTTCGAATGGTTCCATGCGTGCTTTCCTGTGGTTGATAAAAAGACAGCTCTTGACCAAAGTGGCCAAAGTCGTGGAGGAGATATCTCGCCAATGTTGTTCCAGGCGATGATGTTTATTGGTGTCATTCACTGCAACGCAGAGCAGCTAAAAGAAGTTGGCTTGGGGACTGGCGAAGAAGCAAGGCATCTATTCTATAATCGTGCCAAAGACCTACACGATGCTGACGTTGAGTCCAACTCGCTGATTCAATTGCAAACTATGTTCCTGCTAAGTTTCTGGCGCGCCGGACCGCTACTACAAAAGGACTGTCGTTACTGGCTCGGGAGTGCGATTACGCTCGCCCAAAAGAAAGGTATGCATCGATTATTCAACAGCGTGGATCCTAATCAGATGAGGCTACGCAAAAGAATCTGGTGGTCAATTTACGTAAGGGAGCGTCAATGCGCTGCTGCCTTAGGCTTGCCAAATCGAATTCGCGACGAGGACTGCGACATCGCTCCTCTTACAACCGAAGATTTCAATAACCCTGAATCTACCCAGTCTCCCTCCACTGCGTTCGGCCTGGTCGAGACGAATTATGTGATTGAAATGGCAACTCTAGCTAGATTTCTCGGAAAAATAGTCTGCAGAGAGTATACTCCAAACAGCAACCACAGTCCATTGGGCCGAACGTATCTAAGGTCCGAGCTCAATGCTTGGTATCAACAACTGCCGGATTGCCTTCGGTTGGACAACAAAGGCGGGGGTTTGTTAGTGGGCATGCTTCACATGGCTCATAATAATCTGCTCATTCTTTTATCACGACGTGCGTTTATTGCGGAAGCCCATGAGTCCAACCGGGATGAAAGTCAAATCGCTTATCAAGCGGCTTGCCAAATATCTCGAATAGCTGAGGATCTGCTTGCCGAGGACCTCCTTGGCCATGGTCAGATTCATCTTATTACGTGCCTCTTCAATGCTTTGTGCATTCACACAGTGAACTTGCGCCGAGTGAAGGGCACGTCGCGGCTTGTAGCAGAGCACCGGGCCAAAATTTGTCTGTATGGACTTCGAGAGCTACAGAAAACCTGGGAAGTCACCAATTGGATACTTCAACTTTTCTTCCAACATTTGGATCGGTCTGCGGCACAGCTATTGGAGACAAAATGGCGAGAAGACGATGATAATCAGGCCATATTACCATCAGATGGACATACTGTGTCGTCTGATCATCCCAAACTCAGTCCAATGGAGAGTCTTGTGGAACCCACCGAATTGGGACTCAACATGCCATTTCCTTGGCCTTCTGGTCAAGATAATGTGTTTTTGACTGGCCACGAAGGGCAAGACGAATCTTGGATTAACGCTTTTTCGTGCCTTGATGGGATCACCCCCGTTGATCTGGAGCTTCTTGCAGGCTGTCTTACTTGAGAATTTGTAATTATAATAATGAAAGAACTCGATCCATGAGAAAAGACTGTCGTTTTTCTGCCTTGACACCATAAAATTTTATAGTTTGGGCGTTTCTAACTATGATACAGACCCGCTCGAAATCAGTTTCACCTCTTTATTCCCTTCGATTTATTCGCGAACGCTATAATGCATTACACTTGGATATATTATATATAGTTGTTGTATCCTGCATATCGTTCGCGAAGTTGAAACCCTGGATTGAGGTGCAAGTGTGATGATTGACCTATATGAAGTCATCCAGCTATTTATAGTTGCAGCAGCTCATCTCCCTGCTGCCTAGCGGGGTGCCTGCCTAATAGGCAGCCACTCCTAGAGATCCATATACATCACGTGACCTCGGATCTAACTCGCGAGGTCCGGGTAATGACTGGTGACGCGTGGTGTGCACGCTGTGGTCCTGCAACAACGAAATAGAAGGACAGCGACGAGAAAATCCGGCAAAGGGGAGGTTATTTTGCGACAGTGAATGTTGACATTTGACAATGCAAATGAGTGTTGACCAATGAGAAGGCATGTGGTATGACTAATACCCGCAACACCTTGGAAAACAGAAAAACCAGGAATGTGCTAATCCGTTATTGTATTTCGGTTGTGCAAGTATATCAGTGTATGGTGTTTTACGTTGTCTTCGTGACCGCCTCTCAGGAGGTGGTGTGCTAGTCTCTGGCGAGCGCTCATTTTCGTCGGCCATGTCCGGCATATAATTTCTGTGGTTTTATCGTCCTCACTATCAAAAGCGTCCACTTCAGGGCAACGCAGTCCCGGATAGGTGATTGGGAGTGGCTCAGTCCGCGAACTCGTCGCCGATCTAGTCGGGGTCTGAGGGCAAGCTCTTTGGGACCAACGGTACACACGCTTCCGTTTACCAGTCGAGGAAGGTGTAGCGGGTAAATGATGATTTGGCCCTGGGAAAAAATGTATATCATCCGTGACCACAGCTAATTGGCGATGTTCTTTTGTGAGGCCAAAAATGCGATCTGTCAAGAAAACATAGGAATTTGCTATCAGGGGTGGGAAGTTCACCCACCGCTGACCATTTTTGAAGTACGCGGTGATTGGGAAGGTGTGATAGGTTCGAGCGGAGCTGTTGGAAACGGTAGTCTGGAGACGGTAGTGAAGAAGAGTTGGCCCGCCGATTGGTTTACCACTGCGTTCAAGAACAACACCAAGCAACGCCACTGTGGGCTGGGTAGCTTCGGGACAGTGCATAAAATACTTTTCGGTATCTTCTTCATTGCCCGGATGACTACATTGTGTTAGCCTGGTTCTGTAAGAGATGGGGTAAACTAACCGGTTCAAAGTGTGAGCGTGGATGATAATATGAAATTCCTCGTCCTCGGATGAGATGGCCAGGAACGATCCCGAGGAATATATAAAGGTGTTTGGCTTGTAATGGTCGGACTGGTTACCCTCATTAAAAAACCTAACCAGGGTAGGAACTTGCGTAGGAGCTCAATATTCGCTGCAAAGGTTCGGAGATGCGATACGAGGGTTGGCTCTACAGTTCTCCATATTCGGGAGCAAGCGTCACGTTTTGTTGGCACAGCATTGGCGTGCTCTTGAAAATTCGCTGGCAGCCGGCTCCAGGGAACGAATAACCCAAGTAAGATCTCCGCTAAGTCATTCATGTTTGCGGCCGTCTTGCAATGGCCCGGGAACGGCGTCCTCTGAGGCTTTAAATTCAGTTATCTGACCGTTAAAGGTGACAGTGGCGACCTGAGATATGGTGAGAGCCAGAGGTTGCACATGGGTACTGCTCTGAGGGTGTGACGGGTCAAAGTCAACATCCTCTGCGATCGCATCTCGTACATTCGTAATCCGTACGAGCATACAGTACTCGAAGAGTGTCAGACATACAAGATGCTGCCCACGCAATTTCTAGTTATCAAAGACGCTGACAGAGGCAGTGGCGCCGGCTACATAGGTGTATGGTTCTTCAGCTGTAGGGTTAGAAGATTCGTCGACGTCAATGCTGATGGGCTCAATGAGGTCACGCATCTATCACCTGAGCCACCACAGATTGATGCGGATGAATTTATAGCTAATCGTGTAGTGAGTTGGTAGGTTGAGCAAAGTACTTGCCACCTGGACGCCACTGATTTCCCGATTGTGTGAGGATATTGAAGCAGCGTAGAAGAAGAAAAAACGAGATCATTTGACAAAAACCGCTCGTATGTAAAAACTATGAAACTCCTCAAATGAAGAGTCTTGATCGTAACAATACCCTGATGAGCATCTGGGCCCTGCTTGACTTTCTGAAGGTCTCACTCGGTAAGAATGGCCAAATCTGCCCAACATCCCCTCGCGTAGGGTTGGGCTACTCGGGACAGGATGACAACCACTGCCTATCATGAAGCCATCTGCAAGATGTCGTCTTTGGGTGTGACTTTCCTGGAAATGCCGTTGCCTAACGCACCTGGGTGGAACTACACTTTTGTGGGGGAACCGTCACGAGTGAACAATGGAACTATTCAGATCCGTAAGTAAAACTAGAATGGCGTCGCTATTGAGTCTTACTTACTTGGCGCAGAGTATGATCTCAAGACAGATATTGCTCACTATCTACAAACCCGGAGGGTTAACTCGGGTGCCAACGCTCTTGAAGATGTCATCAACTTCACCGTCAAGCTGTGGGATCTTGAGTCTCCAGAGAGCCAATGCTGTTTTCCTGTCCTAGTTGCAGCAGATCAACTGGGTGATCGGTCGACCTCTGGAGAATACTTGTTGGCCAAGAACACCCAGGCTCGCCTTTATCAAGAAGGTCCGGCTGTCCTTTTTGAGAAGTACAGGCTCGATGTGCTCGTGCTGCCGACTGAATTCTCGTCTTCGCGACTCGGTGATGTACGGAGACTTCCTGTTGGGTCGGTTCCTCTGGGCTATGACGATATCAATCTGCCATTCGGCATGGCTTTCGTGGGTCGACGGTATGACGAGGGATCTGTCATTCGCTCCGTGTCTGTGTATGAAACAACCTTCCCTGCTCGCAAGGTGCCACATCTGCTGAAGTAAGGTAGGGCATGGAGTAGCGGGCTGAAGACGCATGGTATGTGGCAATAGTATTGAAGATGGTACAACATTATTGGATATCTCGGAGAAATTAATCAAGGTGTAGCAATAGTATAGAGAAGGGCAACGGTTGATATTCAGAGCGAATGACGCTGTCTCTATATTAAGAGATAGATATTAGGATTAAGTTCTCCAACAATCGCGTATTTACCTTCTTTGTGGTGGTGTTGATTGAGACACAAGCGGGTGCAGGGGTAATTCTGATCTTCTGACCCTTCTGTCGCAAGGTTCTTCAGCCAAATCCAGTAAACATCACTTTCCTGAGACTTGTAACCACTTAGCACTAGAACTACTCTGGACAAGACGAAAATTTATGAATCGTGCATTAGATTTTATCTAATAGGCTATGACAGCATTGACTTTTACAACTTTGAAGTGCTCTCCTCACGGCCAACAAGGTTAGGGTGGCCGTCGTTCATTGGTCGGGTGACAGCGTAGAAAGCAACACCCTCAGTCTTTGTTGAGAACTATAAATGGGTCAACAAGTGTATACAGGTTGATTGGAGTATAGAAAACTAACTTGAGCCTTGGATCCAACATGGAAGAAGGCCCAGTCACCAGCGACGAGGTGGTGGGTCTTGCCAGTGGCCTCATCCTGTATGTTGTCAGTGTCATTCGTAATACAGATTTCAAAATCGACTGGGATCTTACTGTGATGTCGATTTGACCCTTGAGAACATACTTGGTCTCCTCGTAGTCGTACTCGCCGTATCGTGTAGGTCCGGGCACAACACGGTAGAGTCCAGTGGTCAGGTAAGGGGTAGAGTGTGAGCTCTGGGATTTGATTGAGTGGAAGTCGGCGATAATGGCGCAGTCGCCCTCGGGGATAGGGATGTGCTCATGGCCGGCGCCCTTGATAATGGTAAGAGGAACAATCTTGTTGTTAGACACTAGAGATTTCAGCACAAGGTTTTAGACGACGACTAATTGTATCTTACTGTTGAAATGTATAGATAAAGACTAGAGATATAGACAACTAGGTACGAGACAAGCTGTCAGCACCTGCTTATATACCGATTGAAACGGAGCATTCTCGGCATAGATAGTGTTATCAGACCTTGGAATACGGGGTCCGGCTCCGGGGCCGTAGCTCCGTGCTACCTCAAGCTTATTCAGCTGCCACTAAGCTACAAAGAGGGTTAGTGTCAGCGAATTAAGGTGGACCGAGACATAACGTGATCGGAACCTCACGGCCCATGGCCGGATTATCCTGGAGGAAGACCTATCTTATATTACCTTGTGGGTATTTTGTTATATGATCTGAGTTCCGAATGTCTCATCTGGTTGGTTCGGCCATCAAGGGACCCTGGGGCCACGGTTGCTTCTTCCCCCCCCTCTGTAGCTACAGCCAATAAGAATGATCTTTGATACTTGTGACCTGCAGCAGTATTCACTCAAACTCAAGTACTCATGGTCAAATGGAGACGGAGGGATAGCCCCGTAAGCATCCGGGGTAGCTTCTACATCCTCGCCTTACAAGCGGTGAACAGGCTTAAGCTCGACATCGAGGCCATTATTAGGTCACCTAATAATGGCCTCATTTCTTTAATGATAGCATGTTTATAAGAAAGATCATTGGCGTCGGCGGAAACATGTGACCGTGAGTCCACCATATCAATTTCGTCATGTGCGGCCTGTTGTATGTTCAGATGAGCAGAGAGGTATAGCATACCGCTATTGATTGCCGATGAAGTCGATTTTGCTCCGGCTTCTATTAATGCTGTTCTCATTACCTGTCATGTGCATATGATGAAGGGATCACGACGTACACCCTGCCTAGAATGCAGCTTGAACCTCGCTGATTTCCATTTTAGGATATTGAGTCTGGATGAACTGTTTAACTAGGGGCAGTCCCGAGGGGAAAGGAAATTCTAGGGCATGATTCTCGCGAGACCTCAGATATATAACGACGACAAGCACGATAAAAAGTAAGTAAATTATCATGGGCATTGTACCTAGGTAGTCACGGTGTTTGTTGATCAGTGGTTCCAAGGTAAAAGAAATTGATTCCCCCGACGCGAACTCTATTATCGTTCGGCCATCTAGCTATTATAACTGTACCTAAGGGGTAGGAAAATTCAAGTGGCCCGTCTAGTGAAATAAATTCTAGCGAGAGTGAACCACGCATGGTTTATGGAGTACTTAACCAAAGTCTAAAATCAAAAATACGATCCCAGATGATCGCTTGCGAATGGATAGATCCGCCCATCAACCACAGAACGAGCCACGCTATTGTTGTCGGCCCCACCTTCATCGTCAGAAAGAGATTCATTGCCCAATGTAACGATAAGGAACGTGAACCCCGTGGGACGGAGAAAAATCTTGAATCTGAAATTGACCATATTGGGCTCGCTGATATGAAGAGAGCCATAATTTTCAATTATGCATCCGTATTCAGGAGACTCCGTTTTGCCATTTGAGTAATGATATGGGGTGGTAGTTAGGACGATACACACCGCTACAAGACTATTCAAACTCAATCCGAGCAGTTCTTAACCAATCGGACTAATAATATGACAGGCTGGAAGCTAAGTCCTAGGACCTCCCCATATCGAGTTCAAATGGGGTCTTCTTCCTCTTCTAAGTAGTGAATATCTATGGTGTCTAGAGCTCCTACACTCTATTTGAGACCCCCAAGACTACATACTAGTGTGGCAGCGTATATACCTAGGCAGGAACACCGAGATTCTCTGACAGGGATAAACCCCACCAAATTCATAATATGTTCTGGGTTACGGCGTATTGACTTTTACAAGCACGGAAGATCAATAAGGATAATAGTCTGAGGAAATTCATACACGCCACTTAGCCAAGCACATAATCAGATTATCGCAATGCAATCATAGCCGCTAGTACGATATTTGCTAACTACAGTATATAAATAAACACTCCAATGAGGAGGGGGGGTAGCGCAGGGTAGTTCTATTGCAAGACTTGGAAGAGTAGCTAAATAGTTCAGTCAACTTCCAGAAAGAAGATTCCTGCACTGCCGTATGCTGCACTCGCTTGAGAAATCTTTTACTTGAATTCAATGACACCATCTCGGGGTTATAGCGATCGGTCTATACTCCGCCGAGCATACGCAGAGTTTGTCTCAGTGTTGATTCAAGCCCAAAGTAGCTAGTGACTGATCTATTTGATAACTTGATCCAATCGGGCTTTTTATGATCGCGGTGCAGCCTTAATCCCCGCATTACGGTTCCCCACATTTCGGTCAATCTTCACCGAAGTCAGAAATATCCCGGTGGACAATGACAATCCTGCTACCTCTAGATTTCGAGCTCGTTCCTCATTACCTCGAGTATTTGTATTATACAACGAAGGAAAGATAGAAATGAATAAAATAAACTACATCCTTTATTCAAGTACAGTATCAAGATTCAACATGGATCCGTTCTTCGAGATTTCAAATTGAAACAAAGGTGCCCAATGACGTATGGACTAAGACATGTACTCCACTTCTGAAAACCAGTTCCAAGTCTCAGTCATTCACAATCACACTCGGTTAATACCTTGTGATATTTACCGAACTTGAGTCCGTGTTGCTCAGCCATTCACCGTTGATTATAATATGGATTCCGCGAGGAGGCTAAGCAGCAAGCAGTATAACCCGTTATGGATCGGCAAGAGCGTTCGTTCAGATCGCAAAACGCTACCGAACACTTGATTCTATTTTTTTCGGAGTGAATGCGTGCGTGATTCATCTTCTCAGAAAGGCAAGAGAAGTGAAAATCGTACCAAATCAAAATAGCTCGAGTCAAGTACCATGCAGCTTCAGAAACTATATAAAGGGAGCCAGGCATTCTGCTCCCAAACTTTACGGATCTACAGATCTATCCATATTCGCCTTATATCTCTTGAATTCTCTGACCTTCTCAATTACAAACTGTGATCAAATATGCCACAATTCCGACTTAGTCTAGCGCTTGGCCTCGCTGCTACAGGGTCTCTGGTCGCCGCTGCACCTTGTGATATTTATGAGTCTGGCAACACGCCTTGCGTCGCAGCACACAGCACCACCCGTGCTTTGTATGATGGATATTCCGAAGCTCTATACCAAGTCTCGCGTGCTTCTGACAATACCACGGCCGACATTTTGCCCGTAAAGACCGGCGGAATTGCCAATGCCGTTACTCAAGATAGCTTCTGTGAGAATACTGATTGTGAAATCACCACTATCTATGACCAGTCTGGGAAAAACAATCATCTCACTCGTGCCCCGCCCGGTGGATTCAATGGCCCAGCAGATGGCGGCTACGATACTCTAGCAAACGCAACAGGCGCGCCTATCACACTGAATGGCCAGAAGGTGTATGGTGTCAAAATTGAAGCTGGTATGGGATACCGCAAAAATGGCGCCATTGACACGGCTACGGGCAATGACCCTGAAGGCATGTATGCCGTTCTTGACGGAACGGATTATAATAACCAATGCTGCTTCGACTACGGTAATGCAGAGACCAGTAACACCGATACAGGCGCTGGGCATATGGAGGCTATCTACTTCGGTGCCAATACGGCCTGGGGAAAGGGCACCGGCGACGGGCCTTGGATCATGGCCGACTTGGAGGACGGTCTCTTCGGTGGTAAAGACGCCAAGTATAGCTCCGGTGACCCCTCTATCACCTCACGCTTTGTTACTGCTGTTCTCAAAGGCCAGCCGAATCAGTGGGCGCTTCGTGGTGGTGATTCTACTGCTGGTGATCTCTCGACCTACTACAATGGGGACCGCCCGGATGGCTACAACCCCATGCACAATGAGGGCTCGATCATTCTGGGAATTGGTGGTGACAACAGTCCGAATGCTCAGGGCACTTTCTATGAGGGTGTGATGACCTCTGGTTTCCCCTCCGATGATACTGAGAACAAAGTACAGGCTGATATTGTGGCTGCAAAGTATGCGACCTACTAGTTGAAACGGATCTGTTTCAGTGTGATAGCGGCGAATGAGACAGATCTGAGAGGCATATGGGTACTTCTATGGTACGGTGAATAATAAATTACGTTACTGTGGGAACTTTATCTAGCGTTATTGTTTTGGATTTAATATTTCCAATATCCATAGGTTGTGCAGCAGATGGAAAGGATTTATACACACTTTCTTCATACAACTAACTAATACCCCTTGTCTTCCGACATCCCCCAACGTCCACTTTAAGTTTTGCATTAGAATTGTCGTAATCTGCCTTCAGAATATTTCAAAAAGCCCCCGATTTGTACATGGATTCGGCTAAGTATGGAATACCCCGCGAGTCCAATAGGACATAATTTCAATCAGAGGTATTTCCTTGATCTGTTCTGTACTGAATGTTATTTGGCATGATCTTGCGGAGGCCAGCATAACGCTAGGCGACTGTTGCTTTTTCGAATGGATATTTTGGCCCCCATTACACTGCCTGCCGATACTACCTGCTTCAATGTCAGCTTATTCGAAGTGAAAAGCCATGAGGCATTGGGGACCACCTCCACTTTTTCTCCTCTTGACCACTAGCTTTCAAATGCGGAGTGCGACTCCATAGATTGACATGTCAACCACCTCAAAACGTACAGTGTATTAACCCTTTATCCCCTCTTCTGTAAATTTGCCTTCAAATGAATTATCTGATTATTTACCTAGAATTCCCGTCGGAAGTTGAAATCATGCACTATCCTAAGACTTACATCTCCCATTTCGATGGCAAATAATGCAACATTCACCTTTACTACCATGGGTGTTATGACATCTAAGTCGTATCTGTTCTATATCGAAGTATATTACCTAAATGGGACGAAATAGCCAGGCTCTGACTCATTCAATTTGCAAGATTACTTCATTCATAGCTGTCGAAGCCTCCCGCATATCGGCAGCTCTCGCCGTCGCTGAATACTTGTTCATCGGAACAGCCAGAGCCAGAGCAGGGCCATAGATTACTCTACACATATTTGACCATACCATGCCTATCACCGTTACTATTCACTCCTTGAGGTAGTTGTACCTTGCGATCGAGCCCCTGATTGACGCAATGCATTCCCTAGTTGAGAAAGTGGTGTAATGAGAGCCATACCTAATGTGGACCGTCTATCCCATGCCAAAGGGCATCAATGTGTGTGTGTGGCGGAACAGACATCAGCAACTCTTCTTTGTAAGTTGACCTTCCAGACAGGACAGTGCTGACGCCCTCCGCGTCCGATTGCCAGCAAGACCGTGATCGTGGAAAAGCCGGTTATTTTCAGATATGTACTCTCAATAACCCCGATCTTGAAGCCGGCCATCTCATCGTTCACATGTTCTACTATTATATCAGTGCCGAGTGCTCAATGAACTTCAGCTATCGGGGTCATGATTACTTCGTGGACAACAAACAATCCCCACCCACGAACTCTTGTGGTTGGAGTGATGGTGGATTTCAAGCATTTGGCTCTTCTTCGACAGATGCCTGCTACTTCAACATTGCAAGCCACGATCCATCCGATACTACCGAAGGTCAGGGATCTGTCGGTACGCTCTCTCAGTCTAACTTGACGCTCGGCGCGACGCTATCCCAAGGTGGCACACCCACCCCTCTCCGCCGCGGGGCAATTATGTGAAGATATACATCTGCTGAGGGTTTTCCAACAGAAGCCGTAGAAGAAGGATGCTCATCATCTCTGTTGGCCAACTTCAATTCATGGATGTATCGTATCCATCATACGCTCCAACTCCGTTACAGTAGCATTCAAGTTGTGCCCTGATGAACCTTTGATTTTTCATTCCAGCCTCTTGACCAGTCACCGTATAAATAGCCACAACATTTCGAGGGAATTAAATTTGAGGTCTACTTTAAAATCACACATTTGACTTTGGAGCAGTAACATGCCCAAGCCAGGAACTATAAACCGTGTATACGAGTAACCTGGGCAGAATGCTATGCCGACTTGCCGAAGGGACCGGAGCCCGGAGGAATAGTTCTGCCGGGACAGGATGCGTTACAAACAAAGCAAACAGGCAAACAGTGCAAACAGCTCCCTCTCTCCGCCGTCTCCGCCAACTTCGCCCAAACTCCCCGCAGCCATCAACTCCAACTCCAACCTCAACTCCAACGATCTTGCAGTCTTTCCCGAATGAGTTCCTCCCAGTCTTCAATCAAGTTCATCTTCATCTCATATCCTCCCTCCGCTGCAATATATCCTCATACGAAAGTGTCCATCTACACCTCTATCTCTCAACCCCCCCCACCCTCCTCTAGTTGTATAAGGCCCTCGGCCTCTTTGGAGCAATGATTTGAGAACATAATCCCGATCGCGCTTGCATAAATATCATTTTCGAACACAGTCGCTATTCTTCAAGCTTCAATCATCCTGCAACACTTCACTCGGCATGCCGGGACATGACCGTAACGAGGCATCGCCGGCTACGCCAGACCCTCGAGAACATGCAGCCGAAGATGTAGAGGATACTGACAACCCGGGCCTTGACTTGCTTTCACTCTCCCGAGCTGTCAAGGCTAGGAAGGCTGAATACACTCAACGACGCACCGTCCGTGTGAAAATTGGAACTTGGAATGTTGCCGGGATCCCCACCACCGAGAAGGACATTGGCAAGTGGTTTGTTCACGGGCAAGGCGTGTGTGAAAGGTTTTCCGGTTTAAAAGGCACGCAATTCGAACAAGCGACCTCAAACTCCGACCCGAACTCAACAAACGAGGACCCTACACGAGAGAAGCCTTTTCGATACAGCCCGGAGGAGGTGGATCTCTATGTCCTTGGATTGCAGGAGGTTGTGGACATCTCTTCCGCTACCGGCGCTTTTTTCACCGATCCTGGCCCACCGAAACGTTGGAAGGATGCCGTTCACAAATCATTGCCTTCGGGATACCAGCTTGTCGAGGATATCCAGCTGACTGGTTTACTCCTTGTTATCTACGCCTCCCCCGCCATCACGGAAAGCATTTCCTTTATTAGCAGCACATCCGTCGGCACTGGGTTGATGGGATACATGGGAAACAAAGGCGGTGTTGCCACTCGTTTAGTTCTCGGTGAAACCACCCGCTTGGTCTTTGTGAATTCGCATCTAGCTGCGGGCTCTGACAAAAGCAGTCTGGAACGGCGCAATTGGGATGCCTCACAAATCCTATCACGTGTTAAGTTCGAGTCCGTTGATCCGGTTCCGAAATCGCAAGAGACATTCGACAGCATCGGCGATGAAGATTTCACGTTTTGGTTCGGTGACTTGAATTATCGACTTGATGACATCCCTGGCGATGATGTTAGGCAGGTCCTTGCACGTCATACACTCAATGCGTATGATATTGCGCGCATGGAGGAGAAGAAATCGGGTAGTCGTCGGAGTTCAATTACGGGGTCAGATGACAGCTCCCTCTCTTCGCCGGTCGCAACCCATAACGAGGAGCCAGAGCCTGTAACCGACGAAGAAATCGATCCGCACAATGATCCTGCATCTCTACAAACCACAATATCATCCCTAGTTGTACATGATCAGCTACATTCGCAACAAAGAAATGGTACGGCATTCCATGAAGGATGGCGGGAAGGTCAAATTACATTCTTGCCTACGTACAAGTATGATGTTGGAAGCGTGGCGACATTTGACTCTAGTGAAAAGCATCGTGGTCCCAGCTGGTGTGACCGAATCCTCTACCGTTCTCGGCGGGACAAAATTAAGCATGAACAACTTGATCGTGAAGCACAGGAAGCCCGAAAACGCGACCAGGAGATGCAAGCTCGCGGACTCGACAAAGCTGTCGCAGATGACAACGTTCTTTTCGATTATGACCCCGAGGTAGATGGTCTGGATCCTGGCGCTGACGCGGACGACTACGATTCGGGCGAGAATCAGGATGACAATGCCTCCGTTTCGTCCGAGGAATCAGCATCGGACTCTATCTACCTCGACCATTATGTGTCTCATCAAGGCGTGCTTTCGTCGGATCATAAGCCACTAGAAGCCGTCTTCACGTTAACATTTGATGCAGTGAACCCTAGTCTCAAGGCCAAGATACACCAAGATATTGTCCGCCAACTTGACAAAGCGGAGAATGAGGCTCGACCCGGTCTCACCGTTGTGGTGGATACTCATCAAGACGACGGAGAAGCACAGCAAGATTCGAATACTGTTCACTTTGGCGATGTGCCATATGATACGCCTATCCATCGCTCTCTCACAATCGCAAATACTGGCGGCACGGAGGCGAATTTCACATTTGCGGAAAGGCCAAATTTACATGATGACCCGAAGGCGGAATCGGCCGACTGGCTTGATGTCCGTGTTGACAAAGCTGGCGATAGCCACCCTGAGCAATCGACTACTTCTGTCAGCAGCCATGCTCTTCTTCCAGGAGAAGTGGCCAATGTCATTCTTACAGTGCATGTTCGCTGCATCGAACACGTCCGTCTCCTCAACTTCAAGAAGCTCAAGCTGGAGGAGATTCTTGTGCTTCACGTGGATAGTGGCCGAGACCACTTTATCTCTGTCTGCGGACGTTGGCTGCCGACCTGCTTTGGTTGTAGCGTGGACGAGCTGACCCGCATGCCCGAGGCTGGTGCCCGCAGTCTTGCCACCGGTGACATGTTCCTCCCTTCAAAAGATAATACAGAAGTGCGGTTATCTGCGCCCCGCGAGCTTTTCCGTCTTACAGAAGCCATCTCCGAGTTGACGGAGCGCGCGGTAGCCGAGTGGAGCATGACGAATGACGAGGTGAAAGAAGAACCACCGTGGATCAAAGAACCATCTGGAAGCGCGTGGCCTTTCCAGCCAGATACATGGACTTTGAAAAATCCCCAGGACCGTGCATCTCTTTTAGGGCCCATTCGTGAAGCGCTTGACTCCAATGGATCCTTCACGGCTATCTTCCCACCCGAAGTACCATCAATTCACCGTCTAGAAGTTCTCGCCCAAACTCTTCTCGCATTTTTAAATTCTCTTAGTGACGGTATCATCACAGCTGCTGTTTGGCAGGAAATGGAACAGCAAATGATAGCTCGCGAGAAGTCCAAAGAAATGCCTAGATCTTGGGAAGAAACCCAAGCTTGGGTCTTGGAGAACCTGGCTTACTCCCCAGCACACAGCGTTTCATTCACGTTTGTGACTTTTATGCTTGCCCGGATCGTCAATGAAGTCGCACCTGTCCCATCCATGACCTACTCTAAAAAGGACGACACCACAATCGAACCTGCAACGTCTCATGGTGATGAAGAGCGGAAGGATGACGGTAAAAGCCAAGAACCAATCGCCACAGAGAATGTTCGGCAACCTCATACGCCTACTCCGGCCTCTGCGGCTGCCTTCATCTCTGGGGGCAGTTTCCGTCGCAAGAACCGATCGCAAACCTCATCTGCCGGCTCGGACTCTACAAACAATACACCAACTAACAACTCCACCGCAGCAGGACGCCGGCAGAAAGTTGAGTCTTCTCTGGCTTGTATTTTCTCTCTTGTGCTCATCTCCGCCTCCGTTCCTATTCCCTCGAAGGATAAAGAGCGCCGGGCCTCTGATGAGCGGAAGCGAAGCGTTATTGAACCTTTCTTGAAAATGATTGGTGTGGACGAGCGTGGCCCATCCGGGGGTCGATAATTTTATGAGAATATGAAGACGAAAACTTTAATTATTAATTGAACTATCCCTCGGATCGGAGCCCGTGACGCCATATATCTTATTCTTTGGCCGACCTACCTGCATGGATTAGGGATTTGTAGAATACTATGGAAAGATCACTGAATTTCCAAAACTTTCACTGCTTCAAAATGCTCCCCGTAGCAGTCATCAATGTCGTGTTCCATTTCTTCGAGGTCCAGAACATGAAAGGTATCACTCCGTGCTTGAAACTAGACGTTTCTCCGCGTGCCGACTTTGTATGGCTGTAGTCGACAGATCACGCTGGGCAATGGCACAAGCACACTCATCTATAATAAAGCTACAAGAATTCTGATCACCCTTCAGCGCGCCAGCTGATTTAAGGCTGTGGGATACGATAGACGCGGCTTGAATCTCCCCAGTCTACCAGTTCACGGCCAAAATACAGAGGCAAGACAGTTTTTCAACTTGAACGTGATTATAACCTGGAAGCTGTTAACCTACAGAGCTTAGAAGGAGCCCTGGAGCTCGACAAAGTCAATGACACCTTTGAAGTTGAAATACGATATTACACCTGCGCATGCATATGGCAACTACGCCAATTAGTTAGTACTTGACAACCTTGCGGTTATACTTATAAGATAGCGGTCTGTAGCGGTTTAGCAGTTATACTTATAAGATAGCGGTCTGTAGCGGTTTAGCGGTTGAAGCCTAGACTAGCGCGGCCACGAACTCAGTGAAGCTCGTAAGAAAAAATACAGCTCAATATGCTGGGTTGGAAACTGAATTGTTCGAAGACCAGAAAACGACATTTGCATGTCATCATTATTTTATATAAAACGAAATTTGCGGCGCTAAAAATCAATACCGAGAAAGGAAGCACAACGGGGAAAGCCAAAAGCGCCAAGAAACGCCGTTAAATGAGGATTTGGACCATACTAGAGCTGGGAGCCTTGGCCGGAGACTATACAATAGTGATGAAGGGAAAGCGTTTTTGAGCTTGAGATCGATAGATAATTCTTTCAAACTCGCTCGTGAACGGTATGCAGGTCATAAAGTCATGATATGGTCAATGAATTTGGATGTTGCTAAGAACAATTTATTATTTCATTGACCCAGTCGTAATCAACATATCTGTTCGACCGGGTCGGTGGAACCGGTCGATACCAAGATGTTCTTTACCGTCACGGCCGACATATATGCCGAATCCGTACATAGGCAGCAAGCGCTCAGATGGAGGCGCGACAATCAGTCGGGTGACTAGATCTGTTTTGCTGCGGGGCTCGCGGAGCAATTTGTCAGCCAGTAGAGGCGATTGGTAGAAGTAGCTCATTAGGTCTGCGAGTGTCGTGATGTCGTGGGGAAGATAGCGACGTCTACCGGGCCATATGACCAGGAATGAGACGGCGTATGAAGCGCAGAAGGCCACTAGGGTGTAGAATGCAGGCATGAGCGAGGTAATTCGAACGTCCTGGCCGGAGGGATACCAAAGGGCGATGAAGACACCGCCGGCAAGAATTGGAATGGCAATTGAGACAATGCTCATGAATGAAATCCATGCAATCTTGAAGTGGCGATTGATGATGGCTTGCATAGTTATCTGGACGGGCAAAGCGGCAGGATAGGAGAGGAGGATTGACCTGTCAGCAGACGCTCCATCGGGGGAAGAAAGTTCAACAAATGGCTGCAAGCCCCGGAAGTATATATCAATAGGCTGCCAAGCCAGAAAGAGAAAATTGCCGATCAATGCAGGGATGAAGCTGTAGAGGAAGTTGGAAGATGAGAAAGCACTGATCGAGGGGAGCGTGGGCAGCTTTGGGGGAAAACCGCCTTTAATCGCGTTGTTAATGAAGCTGACAGCAACGAAAGCGATGAAAAGGGCGAACACCACAAAGGTCCAGATGGCAATTGATATCTTGCGAAGGAACCAGGGAGTCCAGCGGTAGCGGGTGAAGGGGGAATATAGGTGATGATCAAAGGGGTCATTGGCAAAGGCACCATGGTGTTCAAGATCAAAACAAACTTTAGCAAGTCCGTGGGGTTGTTTCTCCTTGCTCTTCTCGGTCTGATGCAATGATGGGGTCCGAATTGGAGCATCGGCCTCTCCAATTCCGTAGAATATCTCGGGCTTCATGGACAACTTCCAGTACCCGAGTCTGAGAATGCGAGGGTCAAGAGATTCTTTGACAGATGGGACGGTCTCGGAATGCTCATAATCGTGGAGGATGTTGGACCTTTGGATAATGGAGATAAGATCGGCGAGACAAACAGGGTCCCACATCAACCCGGTCCACCCTCGAATGAAGCGGACCACGAGTAGTAAAAGGCCAATCGTCAGAAGACCATACGAGGCCACCAGGGTCCAACCAACCGCCTGCACAGATGTCCACCTCCAGACACCCTGGCCATCAATCACGTAGTACTTGGCCTGGAAGAGGCAGCTCATCAAGGGGATTGAGAAGAAGTTCGACAACCAGATAGAGAACAGCGAAAATCCGAACAGCGGCTCGCCATACCGAAAATGGGAGAAATCAGGGAGAACAAAATTGCGTGGAAGAACAGGCAGACCCTGTAAGACATAGCCCCGCTTGCGCTCTGCTGCCATCATTGCAAATGGCGCTATGCGGTACACGGCAGCTTGGATGATCAAAGTGATCACAATGATGGGCGCGGCGAGAATTTGAGGCAGAAACTGCATCACAAAATAGCGAGAATCATCCTGACCGTCATAACCCCAAATACCAGCATGCTTCCTTGACCAGACGTTGCAAAATACAATGCCCGTAATCATCGATAAGCAGCAAAATATGACAATAAGCAGGGTCAATGGTCGGAGAGAAATGGGAAGGTAATCGAGGGCAGGATAGAGCAAGTCATTTTCAGGCGGCTCCACAGCAACAAATGACTCGGGGTCGATTGAGTCTGGCCTTTGCGGCAATGCTTGTGGAGATGGGGACTTGAAATTAGATCGTTCAGACAAAGCTGCTACAGAATGCCGGATCGGGGTTCTAGCACGAGTGAAATACCCCAACCCTTCGTCCCAGAGAAGTCGATCAGTGGGATAGTCACTGTCTCTGGTCGAAATAGAATCTTGTCTCCTCGGGCCGTGGACTTGCTCATCTCGGGTAAGCTGATCAATGGCAAATCGTACATATGGGGAGTCGTCAAGTCCTGGGGTTGGTGCTGGACCAGCATATTCACTTGGCACACGTCGAACAGTCTCGTCGGATTTGGGACTGATGCGTGCTATCCTATCTTCACCGAAGCGGACTGTGCTTGCTGTGCCTGGCCGAGGAGAGCCGAGGTCTTGAGGGTCCGGTTGACGGCAGTGACTCGGTTGAGCCACCGGCTGGGGTTGTTGGGTTCGAGGGACGGTTGGTGATGATGCCTGAGATGAGGGCTGGGAGTCTGGTGTGGCGAACCGCATTGCTGTGACTTGACTATCGGGAGTTGAAGTTCCTTTATCGGAGAAGGAATAGTAGTCGTCTGATGCAGCAGCCGATTGTCGGGACTCTGTTCGGTAAAGTTGAGGTTTGTTTGCTATACCACGGTCAGGCATCAGAATTTTGTTCATCAAATTGGAGGATACTGAGGTTGTCTTTAAAGAAAAAAGAGCAGGGTACGGAAGATCTGAGACATACAGTTCACGTTTCGGAGGCTGAAGTTTCGAGGTATAGAAGGGTCGGACATGACGATCTTGGAATGGAAGTTCTGAATCCACAGGCGAGGGGATTTAGTCCAGAAGCATTCTTGGAGCTGGTTCTGAAGCTTGAGGAGTCAATGAGAGTTGAAGTAAAGCCAAAAAGTAACTTGGTGGGCTTTTCTTTGGATGGCATGGCGTCCGTGGGCAGCTCCCAGCCCCCCCCAGCCACCACGACCCAACCAGAAAAGTAACACACCAATAGGGAGAATTAAGACAAGGAGGTTGTCAAGCTAGACAATTTCATCCACCGAGTCACAAAGTACGGAGTACCATTTGGACCATTTGGAATTAATATTAAAATGAAATTGAAGAAAAGAGTGATCGGCCGTGATGCCCATCGGCCCGAATCCCCCCCGCATTCAATCCATGGATGCCCTAAAGCTTGGCGACTTTCGATTTACAATTGCAATACCGATCGATGAGGACTAGGTAATGCTACACATTTTGATTTAGAAGACACATTTCGTATTCTAATCACTATCGTAGTGAATACAGAGGGGGACAAAATTCACAAGCCAACTTCTTCCTCTAAGGTTGTACATTACTGGACTCGGCGCGACCGTAGGCCATTCGAGCTAAGAAAAGAATCCCGATAATTGGAATCCTAGATAGTGGCCAAATTGACAAGAGGCAGGGTTTCCCAGAAATTATTAGATGCTCAGAATTTCATCTAAATTAGGTAACACTTCTCAACCTCTACCTCACCTACTGTCATCCCTTGCTGGGTTTGGCCAAAACGTGGCTGGTTGCTGCCCAGAGCAACCGGTTGGGTTTTGAAAACACGAGGCTGTCCTTCATTTCACCCAGAGACAACAGTGACTCCTTAGCAAAGAGTAATGTTTCGATTCGAGATGGCCATGTACCCAAAAAATCCTTGTGGGAGTCAGATTGCCTAATTCCCAGCCAATGTTTAGGGTGAATATCTCATCTCCTTCGTATCATGCCCCGTTCTTCCCGATAGCCACTCATGCTCTAGATTGGAAGAGGCAAGGAGTCTCCCTTTCGCGGTGAGCAAGGCTTTGGGGTGATAACACTTCGGAGCAGTTGGGCTTGTGGAACTTGTCTACGGTCAATGAGAGGATTCTTCATCTGATGATTCCCTCACCCTACCAATATTTGCCTTGCTGGCACAACAGACCTGCAATTGATTGAATTATTGGTTCATTATTCAATGCCTTGTTCGTCATCATCTACTCCATAATGGTATCCTATGTCTGTCCCAAGGAAAAAAGACTCAATGGCATCCTCTCCTTCATACTGATCGCCATCTTCCTCCTCCCCCGAGGCCCAGCTTCCGTGAGTTGGGCGACCGTCTTCTGATTCATCCGATAACAAGCAAGAACATCGTGCGTCACCAGTCGCGACGGTACAGCCTCAGCCTTTAGCTGACATAGCGTCTCACCGAAAGCATGAAAAATGAAACTAGAATGAGGATGTGATACATAAACACACGACGCGAGAAGACGGTGCCACTCGTCTGGACTATTTTGCCATGTGTGGAGAAGAGGATGGAAATCTGAACTGGGGGGACAAAGCGAGCACGCGGACTCGATTGCCTGTCGCGCTTCGATCGGAAACCCTTCCGCCCCATTTCGAAACGCTCGCTTCCATTGGGCACAAATTTGGTCGATAGTAGATTGAATCTGCTGCAGAGTTGTCTGGAGCTCGCCGCCTCGTTGGCGGTGGATACAGGCAGCTTCCCACGCTTTTCTGCTCGGACGAGCCAAGTCCTCGTCTATCTCGTTGCTTCCTTGGCCTTCGGGAAATTCTCGTTCCAGTTTTTCACGAATCGCATGGGCATGGCCTTTGGCGACATTAAATTTCAGATAATCAACAATACTACTCGTCTTCGGGTTCCGACCGGGGTTACGATAGGCGGGCAATGCCCTTTGTCTTGGGCTAATTTTCTTGCGATATGCTTGCCATGCCTGCTCAGAGAGGTGCACGCCCCCTTTTCGCCCATCCACCAGATGGCTCAGAAGATTGGCAAGCTCTATGGCCTTGGGACTGTTGATCGATTCGTCATAGGCAATCTTTTCGTGCTCTACAGTGCACCGTCCGAGGTTGGAACTAGTGAGATTGAATCCAAAGGTAGATAGCAGAAACGCCTCGGTTGACTGAACCTGGTTCATTGGTAGTGAATGACTGGTGAGTCCAAAATGATCAGCCCCGAATTCGGCCTCTGGGAGTTGGGAATTGTTGAAAGTTTGGACGATCTGCGGATCCCAGCAGATCCATGGTGTATCGCCATCGTAGTCTCCACCAGAGAGCATGTGCGCCAAGGCGATATTTCCCTTACGGGGAAACACAATGATATCCTGAAAGTGGCGAAGTTCGGGCTTCCAGACAGCCTTTCTTCGTTGGATGTCCGACGGTACATGGGCTGGTAGACGCCCGACTAGGACGTCCACCCCCTCCAGCTGGATGTCCTCGAATTGCCGATCGGGGTCCTTCCAGCGCGTAGAGAAGCCGAAGTGCACTTCATCCGGCTCCAAAATATCGTAAGGATCGGCGATGCAGTAAGCGTAGGTGGACAAGGGAACTTGGATACGAAGCTCCTCGACATGCCGTTCCAGCAGCCAGCACATCAGCCGTCCGAGTCGCTTTCGCAAGGGATAGAAGGTCTGCGGTGCGAATCCGGCTTCGGATAATCGTATGATGAACTCGACATCATTCACGACCCAGTGCTCCAGACGCCGGAGTTTATTGGCTCCATCATCGCCCGAGGGTCTGAGTTTTTGAAGAAGACTTCGACAAAGGACGTGGTTGTCGGATCGTAGTACATGGGCCAGATCATCATACAGTTCATCGATGCCATCGCGTGTCAACTTGGCAAGGCGCTGTTTCACGTTTCCGCCTTGGTGGAGAATGGCAAGGAGCTGGATGTTCAGATCCACCGAGTGCAACGGCTTGGCCCAGTTCACGACTTCGAATGTGAGCTGCAAGGGATCAAATGCGTCCCCAATTCTTGGGGGTGGGGGTGAATCTTCAATTGCGAATCCGAGATCTGTAACCATACATCATCGCCGTTGCTGAAGCTGCGAATGCTAGATTGATGCCGGTCGACCATCCATAGGCCTTTTGCGCCTGCGATGCGAGCCTGAAAACAACTTGGGGTGGGCCCCGTGATACCGATGCTGTCACAGATCTTCAAGGCGAGCGCACGGGACATTAACGCGCAGCCATCATTCATCACCATTTTCCAGTTTGGTCGATCCCGGAGTCGCACAATCTGTGTGGGTCGTAATACAACGGATGCCAGTGTTTTTGACAATCCGAGGGACAGTCGTTGGAATAATTTGCAATTACTCTGGCGGGAATTCGCCTGCTGGGGCATATGCCACTCCAACAGATTGCCCACAGTCATCGGAGTGTGATTATCGCTTCTCTGGAGTGCCGGGGCGATGACTGGAATGTCGTGAATGTGTTGATGCTGGAAATCCACTCCATCGATGGCGAAGAATTCCACATGAAAGCGTGGTTCTGCCTTGACCCTGCGCTTTGATTTGACTTCCTCGACAAAGAACGGTCGCCATCTCCGACCGAGACAGTGATGGTCATTTTGAGTGAGCCATCGTGCGATGGGTTCCCGAAGGCCCGACGAGAGGTCCTTGCAGTTCAGATGGTTTGGGGCACGAGAAGGCGCTGGGATGGTGAGGCTCATAAACCGATCCGAGCCAAATCGACGATGAAAGCGACAAGACTTTTCTGTTTTCAAAGGGTTCAAGTCCAGTTTGAGGATTCCCGGTTCACCTGGCAGACACCAGTTGAATTCTCCCGTCAACACCACCACCTCCGACGGGGCGTCAGTTTTGAAGTCGTGCACTGCATGATCCCAGGCTCTCCGTGGGGTTTTCGGTGGAAGTGGCTGATCGCATCGTTGACTGTGCCTTTGAACCCAGGCCCAGAAATCATCGTGAGATTTCCACGAGGCGACATCCCCTCGATAGACGCGTTGCAGGGGAATCTTCCAGGCACGTCCCAGTCGCTCGAACTCGTAACGATATCGCAAGGGCAATTTGCCGGGGAACGGATGATGGAGGGTGAAAGGACCATGATCCGTCAGCTCCTGCAGGATGCGATCGTGGAAGGATTGGTTCCAGTAGCCATTTGGACCGTCATAGTCACCATCGCCATCGACATTGAGGATTTCATCAGTGAAAAGGCCCACGGAGTCGGCATAGGTGGATTGGGTACCATCGGGCTCGGTGATCTCGGTATCAAAGGAGTGGTCAATAGTGGACCGATCGGGGAAGAAAGAGGAAGTCGAATTTAAGACGGTGGATGCGGTGGAGACGGTGTCAAAACTGGTGTTGATGCGATCATTGACATTGGCCTGGGATTGTTTGAATCGCTGGAGCAAGGAGGTCTTGTTTGGACGAAAGAGCCGAGTGGGGTCGAGGTCGAGATCGCGATCGCGATCGACTGAATCGATTATCGGTGGCAGATGAGGCAGATGACTTGGGCATTGCGATTTGGAGGGCGAGTTGGGGGCTGTGTGGAATTCAAGTTCCTCTTCAAGTTCGTCTTCAAGTTCGTCTTCAAGTTCGTCGTGGTTGTGGTTGTTGTTGTCAGAGGAGAATCGGCGTTTGCGCTGGGAAAGCACCGACTCAGTCACGGGAGGCACATCGTGTTGGAGGGACAAACTGCTTGGACTCCCCCCTAGACAGTAAATAAACATGATCCTCAATCTCTCGGAGGAGAAATGCCATTCGCTCATCTTTGTCCTGGTTGGTCAGACTGCCAGGGCCCGTGGCTCGCACTGACACTGACACTGGGGCAGCCTCAGGCAACCCAATCCATTCGGCCAGACTGTCGACCGCCCGGCGGAGGTGAGTTGGGTCTTGAAAGTAAAGAAAGCGAAGACGGAGAAAACATCGCCAGCGAAGAGACGATTGATCGCGGACGGCGGAAGGGGAATGCAAACCAGGCGAGGGGATCTCTAGACCAAACTGCCGATTGAGGTCGGCGATGAAACACGACAAATCACTGGCATGCCGCGGTTGATGAGGCGTGGTGGGTATCATGGGAACTTGAAAGGGAATACTGGCAGGAACAAAAACAGAAAACATGGCAAGCAAAGAAAGGGGAATCAAGGGAATCGAATCAACAAAGGAACTTGAACTGGAATCAACACGGCATTTCCAAGTGGACTAAGAAAACAAAAGCAAAAGAACCCCGCGATAAACAAAGACAAAGGTAGAGTGGGCACACAATGACAATAGTACTGGTTCCAACTGGATTGTAAAGGGATATACTATTCTAGTCTCTTGATCACTTTATATTTATACATTTGAGTTATTGTTCCTTTCAAGTTCAAGTTGTCAGATCGCTTCTCTGCCTGTGGATACCGTTGTATATAGTTACTAGCAGTATATATATATACTCCAACTACTGATATTTCACCACCACCACCAACGTTTCATGGAGTTGATTACTACTACTAGTAGTACACACTATGCCTACCACTCGTCGATACTACTATCCGACTACTACTAGTAGTTCTACTACTCCACCTCGCCAGCCAGAGGTATCCCCCGACTACATTTACCGTGTCCCTCGGGGCTTCAGAGAATCCCTTTCAAGTTCAGAAAACAAGTCCCATTCCAACTCCCAGTCCCAGTCCCAGTCCCAGTCTCACTCCAAATCCGAGTCTCAGGGCCATTCAACACCCTACGCAGATGACGAGCCACGCATACCCCCAAAATACCACGAGGCTCGCCCTAGAGCTCACCCCAAAGAGAAAGAACGTACCTCCTACCGCAACAAGCACTACTCCAGTGACAGTGAAGAACAAGACCACCATCGTGATCATGATCATAGTAATGCTGACTATGCTAACAACGATTCGGAGATCTTCTCCTCCGTGGACCCCGTTCCCTTTGACGACTATGTCACCGAAGATACCATGTCCGTCGTGGCTTGCCACACCGAAGGTGAGTCGTGCGACGTCGTCATCGGTGGCATTACCGATATCCCAGGCCAGTCAATGTACTATAAACAGCTCGAATTTATGAGGCAGCATGAGTGGCGCCGAGAGCTGCTGCTGAACGAGCCGAGGGGTCATTGTGGTCAGAACGCGGTCTTCATGCTGCCACCATGCAACCCTCGCGCCGTACGGGGATTGATATTCGCCAAAAACGATGATTATGTCCCCATTTCAATCTCAAGTCTCATGGCCGCAGCGCAAGTGACCGTGAATGGACCAGATGCCGAGGGTAAAAAGCTGCCTGCTTCCCCTATGAAATTGTCCTTTGACACCACGGCTGGGCTCATCCATGTCGACGTGAGACTCAAAGCTCGAAAGCGACCTAGTGTGCCAATGTGTGAGTCGGTCACCGTTCACGGTCTCCCTTCCTTTGTAATGGCGCTGGATTTCGAACTCGATCTCTATGGGCTAGGTATCCTTTCCGTGGATATTGCTTACGGAGGTACGATCTGTGCCTTTGTCGATGCTGCGTCGGTAGGGGTCAGTGTTCAGGATGGGAATGGCCAAAAGATGATTGAGATCGGGGAGCGCATCAAGAATGCTCTCCATGAGCTATATGAGGGCGCTCATCCCTTCGAGCCTACCATGGACCGCGTCAATACCGTTGTTTTCACAGATCCCGTAGGCTGTGAAGACCGAGACGCTCGCAGGAAGACACTCATGGCCACTGTCGTCTCCCCCGGTCGCCTTGATCGTAGTCCATCAGGCACGGCGGTCTGTGCCCGTCTGGCGATCCTGCATGCCCGAGGGGAGATTTCCAGAGACACACTAACTTGCCAGAGTATCATTGGCACCAAGTTTTACGGTCGCATTCGAGGAACCACCACCGTCGACAAGTATCCTGCGATTTTGCCAAGTGTGATGGGCCGCGCCTGGATCTATAGTCTCAAGCAGGTTGGCATGTGTCCTGCAGATCCCTTCCCCGATGGCTTCCGCAATGCTGACCAGTGGGGGCCAGATGATAATAAGAAGAAGAACATGAAAATCTATAAGCCGCGTGATCTGGAGCTACCAAACGACTGGTAGGTCAAATCCATGCGGTGGGAGAGATGCCTTGGAAGAGCGGAGATGACGGGTGTGGTGATGAATAGTTAGGGGCTGCAATTGTGGGTTGTTTGCTTATCGTTTCACAGGCAATCCTAAATTAATATCTCCAAGAGAAGGGCGTTAATGGTCAGTATTATTAAGTATGTAATTACAATCTGGAGCACACTATTCTATATGGATATTGGCGGTTTCATGGCGCTGCTGCACTGGTTGATATACTACCTTTAGAACTCCTTATTCGAAATCAATCATATCCATAGATGCCCTCTTCTAACTCATATTAATAGTTGATTCAACTATATATCGATCTCTTTGTACATGGATCAGTTATGTAATGGGCCTATTGACTGGATAAAACACGCTGCTTCTTCATACTCGACAGGAGAAGAATCGTCACGTAGCTCACTCCGACGATACCAGCCACCACACTACAGGATATGACCGCCCCGCGAGGTGCATAAGGGTCTCTCCATCCGGTCAGCTGGAAACCCAATCCCACATTGATAATCCCCAGGACGACCATGCTTCGTCCTAACCACCGATGAAGATAGGCGAACATTCCTTTACCACCTGTCTTATGAAAATGACGATGCTGTATCAGTCCCATGGCAGGCTGAAAGACACTCAGGCTCGCCACCACGACGATTCCAATAATTGGGTGATGGTGGCGCATCAGATGGATTTGTCGAGACATCGAAATGCCAACTACAAGTCCCGCGATGGAAAGAACCAAATTAAAAAGCTGTACCGTAGCGTGGATGGTCACAGTGCCAGATGAGGGGAACAGGTGCAGAGTGATCGCAGCAAAAGGGAAAAACGCCACGAAAACGAGGGTCATCAAAACAGCGTGCGCAATCTTCTTTTTGTTCAACCCAACCGAATCGAATGGGGGTCTGTTCCAGCCCGGGGTGATGGTAGCATTGGCTAGGTTCACGAATGGGTTCCTAGTTGTGTTTGTTCCGGTAGCATTCTTCATGTTGACGAATGCAACGCCATCATAATCATGTTCAAGGAGGTGTGCAGAGACACTATCTGAATGTAATGGCTCTCCGTACTTCACACCCCAAATCCAGGGGCTGGCAGGGTTCATCAGGTCCTCAGAACCGCCTTCCCATGACAAGCAACTGTCGCATCTGATATTAGCAGTAAGAGCTCCGTCATAATTACCACTGCCGTCGAGAACCGAAACATTTGCATCGGGATTATAAAGAGGTAGGAAATGACCTTTGCCCATCCTTGGAGATACTGTCACATTCTGATTTCCCCTTGATGCATAAACGATAAACATATTAGAGCCCATCATGTGAATTCCCTGTCCTAATGCAAACCATTGCACCGGGCGGGTCGAGTTCATTTGCAAGAAAATAGGCCCGGATCCCCTGGCCGCATCTGGAGATACTTGAATTGTAAATGTGATATCTTTGTGCTCCGCTGGCATTATTCTCTGAAATTGAGCACACCCCAACAAAGACATATAGAGGATAATAAGAGAGATAAGCTGTGCCATTTTGTGGTAAACACACGAATGGATTCAACAAAAACTTGCATCAAACGAAGGAGATATCTATATACTGGCGTTGGGGTAAGTTCAGCTGCGGATGGTCGCACGGTTTCGCTGTTAGGCACTCCCGGTTCCGATATGCCCGGCAACTAATCTGTTCCAATACTATTTGTTGATGTCTCTTGTACTATCTTGGCGTCTTGGGTAACTTGCTATGAGAAACGGTACTCTGTCAGCCCTGTGGAACAGAAGCTCTCTTTCTAGAATCCACCTAGTCAGGTTGCAGTATGCGAGACCGGATCCTGGACACGATGACCCAGAAGGCTTCCTGAGCTGGAGAAATACAGGTGGATGGATTAGAAGTGATTTTCCGGTATATATCCGCGAATACGGAGAGAGGCCTCTATGACAAGTAAAACCCGATAACCCTATGTGCAACGTCAGATTATGATGACATTTTGTAAGACTTAAAAGGAGCCTGCAATATTCCTGAACGTTAGTCCAAATTTAAATAGTCTAGGTATAAGGAGGATGACTTTCTATGGGATCGTACTAGGTATCTGACGAATAACCCGGGAAGTAGAATTTAAAGGCAAGAATGTCGTTGCCCGATTTGTACTTCCAGAAATGTATTTGACGCATGAGGTGTCACATCAAAAAGAGTATAGGTTTTGGAGAACATACCTAGGGTATGGCCCTCCATCAAGGTCTCGTGCGTATCCAGCTTTAGCTCCAAACAATGAAGTACTGATAGCCTCGGCCTCGACTGGATCCCTTGCCGGAGTTCCTGTTTTCCAAAGTCAATATCGAAGTCAGCAAAATTTCATAGTGGGTATTTCGGATGTTTCTTACCAGTTCCGTGGGCCTCGAAGTACCGCAGCCGGTCGCTAGGCCTCGATAAATCAAGACCAGCCATTCCACAGGTGAAGCGAATGAGTTCTGCTTGTGCCAAGGGGTTGGACATCGTAATGCCTTTCGTACGCCCGTCTTGATTGATTCCTGTTTGGCGAATTATGCATTCAATGTGATCACCGTCGGCTAGTGCAGCAGCCAGTGATTTTACAATCACAACTGCGATTCCATCACACCGGGCATATCCATCGGCATTCTGGTTCCACATTTTTGACGGCCAGTCGGTGACAACTTTTTTTGCTTGCTCTCGGCAACGTATTGCTCGGGTCCCAGGAGAAGATTAGTCCCGGCCGCAACTGCAACTCTACATTCACCATTTCGCAGGCTCTGCACCGCTTGATGTAAGGCAATCAAGCTGGAAGAGCAAGCTGTATCGATCAGCAGGTATTTCTCTCAAGACATCCCGGGGCTTCCTAGATCCCATAGCTTCTCGGGCGTCTTTGCATCGCCTGGGAACCGGCAGGCATTACCAACGATTGCAATGGGCTTAGTAACATACTGAGCATCTCTCGTCATTTTAAGAGTTGATCTCAAACAAGTCTCGAATTGTTTTTCTGTTTTGTTTGATACGGTAGTATCGATTGAAGTTGTAATACGGACCCAAAAGGCAAAGGTCCAAGGAGTCAAGCTTGGAGCGCAGGAGAATATCGTATTTTCTCCATGTAATTCGTGCGATGGGCTATGTGCGGACGTTATCAAAGTAATTAGTGCTCTACTATTGATGAGCAGGGCGAGATATAAATCCTATATAAAGCCCTATTTCTAGTTTGTTACTTGGCATACATGCTAAATACCTAGACTGGGTCCAAAAATGGAAATTGGGTCATTGGTCGACTGGTATCAGTGAATTGCACCCAGTAGCGATACTTCTTTTTTCTGCATGAACCTGGACGCGATTACATTGCATACTCTCGTTCGAGTGTCACTTCGAAATCTGGAATTGTGATGTTTCATCGACCTAGAGAAAGGTTTGCCCACTTAAAAAGCTGACCGGCAGTCTCGATTCGAACCAGACACTCCGAGTCAGCGACCCAAAGGTGCTAGATCAATTTGCATCGCGTCTTCTCTGGATAATAGAGGCCGGCGTATAGCCAGGTACCTTCCGAAGGGTGGTATGTTTGTTTATTAACTTCCAGCGACATGATTCAATGCTAGTTCTCAATTCTGTCTAGTATATATAAACAAACTCATCATTCTGTCCATCTGTAAGGTCTTCGGTGATATTTGATCCAGCATGAGTCGGGCCTTGATCCTTTGGTCCCGCTTCGCTTTCCTCCCCGATGCCTTCAAAATGCCTCTGCATAGAGTGATCGATTATATTGGCACTCTTCCCATTGCGAACCCGACGGCGGGACTGCTGTTTATTGAGGAACCACAGATTTGCCCATTGAATGAGCACGGTTATTGTCATCGCACTAAAGATACCCAGGCAGGCACGTAGTCCAGGGTGGTATGTCGGGGCATCCTTGGAAGTAAAGAGCAAGGGTCCCACGATATTGCCTGCAGAAGAGGCAGCGTTGTACAAGCTCATGGAAACAGACTTCTTTGTGGTTCCCGCTGTGTTACCAATGATCCATGTCACGACCAAGGGGTTGCCTCCAAACAAGAAGGCAAGGAGGTAATAGCCAGCCAGCAAGGCACCTTGAGCTGATGTTGTTCGGGCAACGGCATAAAGGATAGCTAGACCGGCAACTACCGGAATCATGAAGATAACCAAAATTGCTCCCTTTAATCGTGCCGTCTGCGCCATATAGCTGGCCAATAGGATGACGATCATTTGAAGAGCACCAAAGGGCATTGTAAGGAGCGTGGTAGTGTATTTGTCGTATCCTAGGCCACCGAGGATCAAAGGGCCAAAGATGTTTGTAACGCTGGCACCGATGTTGAGCAACATGGCCATTCCCACCCACAGATAGGTTTTGGGTTCCAGTGCCGCTTCTAAAACGTGGCTAAACTTGAACTCCGTGCTCCCTGTTCCAGTCTGGTTGGCCCGCAGACGCTCTATACCCTGCGCCCGTTCCAACTCCGTCAAAAATCGTGCCGTTGAAACGTCGTTGTCCAATCGCCAATACACCACAGGTGCTGAAACGATCGTCAGGAGGCCAACGAAGAGGAAAATTCTAAACGTGACTTGATCAGCACATGGACAAGGGGAATTATGATCGGTTTTTTTTTTATCATGACCTACATTTGCCATGGCAAAAGCACGTTTGTCTTAATTTGTGCCAGTCCGTAAGACAATGCGGCGGCCACGATCGTGGCAAGCCCGTTGGTGCTGTACCAGGCTGCAATTCGTAAAGGCTGTTCGGAACGTAGGTACCACTGACTTGTGATAACGCCGAATAGGGGTAAACACCCGGCTTCGAATAAGCCGAGAAAAAACCGAGCAGCCATAAGCGACCGAAAATTATAGCATGCGGCCATACATGCCTGCGCGATCCCCCACCCCAAGCACAGCGTCGGCATGAGGATCTTGTGTGGAACCTTGACAATCAAGAAGGATGAGAAGGGCTGCCAGGCTAGCTGCGCTATTGGCCCAATCGAGCCAACTAGCGAATATTCATTCCCAGTTAGTCCAGTATCGGTCTGGAGACCAAAGGTGGCGCCGTATCCTAAGACCGACTTGTCTAGAATTTGCAGGAAATAGACCCAGATCAGCACCAACAGGATGGTCCGGTCGGTTTTCCGACAGATACTCTTGTTCTCCTCTTCCGTGAGCGGTATACGTTGAACGGCCTCAGTGTGTTTGGTTGGGATTTCATCGTGGATCGCATCATGTTTCGACATGCTTGGCTTGGGTTTGCCCTTCAGACAGAGCAGGGAAATCCGGGGTAGTCTGGGGATGTGGAAATGCGGAGGTGTGTGATATTTATGGCCTCGAAGTCACCCCCCACGTCTCGTCACCCACCATGTTGATCGAGGATAAACAGGATCAGCTCACCAATGAACCTCCACGTCTTCCCCGCGTTCCCCCACGTCTCCATTCCCTTTCGATCCATCAATTCCAAGTTAGGTTCAATTCCAAGTTAGGTGTGGTGGGGATGGCCCCTTTGGCCAATCAAATGACCAATATGGATTCCCTCGGCTCCTACGTGCAGGCCCACGCTCGCGACCGAGTTGCCCGACCCGGCGCGACCTGTCTGCATTGCCCGAGATTCAATCGCTTTGCCTCGGACGCACCCGATTACGGCATGATTATTGTTGTCCGATGGTCCCGTTCGCCCCCACGCCCCCACCATTACAGAGACCAATCTACGCGGGCCTAAAAGCCACGGAAACCAGCGAGCAGCCTGGATTTGAGAATCAAGGATGAGAGATGCCATCAAAAGCCGAATCGTCTGCATTACTCAATAGCCGATTTTCAATAGCCGATCTTTCCAGCTCCCCCACTGCTACTCGTATAGCAAGTTACTCCTTTAGCGCATCATGCCCCCAATTCTTCAACGATCGATAACTTCGGCTGTGGGGGTTACGCTTGGCGCTCTCTTCCTGGGCCAGATGGCGTTTGCAGTATGACACCACCCTGCGCATGTGGTCAATTTCGGCGTCTGTGTATCGACCCAGTTGGCCCTCGGGATTGGGTTCCAAAATGTTGACGGTTTTGCGTCCGCTGCATCGAATGTTGAAATATCAGTCACCCTCCCTGTCGCTCGAGGAGTTCTTCTCTTGTGAACTGGACTCGCCTTTCGTGACCGATAGTCTCGCCCGAGTCACTGGTCCACCCCGATGACTGTGAGTCCGGCTCTTCTAGCCAGTGTCGAAGTTCACCCGGAGTCATGTTCACCAACTCCTAGAACTCGCAGTTTCCCTGCGGGCTCTTAGCTTTGGTTTCGTCTAAATACTGAACCACACGCGATATTGGCAACCGACCTGATGACAGTCTGCAAAATTTTCACCATATTGAGAGGGTCTTTGTGCGTAGTAAGTGGCCAAATTAAAGTCATGAATGTAAGCAACACGAAGGAAAGGAGAAGAAGTCTGGATTTGCCCGAGTGGCGTGAACACGACGTCTTGTTTATTCTTCAGGAAACTTTCCGCGCTGAGTTCGATTAACTCAATCAACTTCTTCGAAATCTTTGGATACGTGTGCCCTCTACTACGTCTACCGGGAAATATGGTGGCCGCGGTGCAAAATTCCGAAATTACTCTTTAGAGGATTACTCGCCAGGGAAATGTGGAAAGCCGTCTCAAGGTCAACAAAAGTTGTCTGGGAATCAAGTCTACTACTAGTACTGGGCTCTATTTTATTTTTCTTTGTTTTCCTCTCTTGCTTCGCTTAACATATTTAATGGGTTGTCTTTATCCCTTTCCACCTGGGCAGTCGAGACAAGGGATTTACGAGCCTCCCGGGATTTCATCCCCACTCGCCGACGATCTACCCCAAGGCCATCGCAGCCGAACAGAATGTATTACAGACTAGAGTTGATTACTCTGCAGAGGAATAGAGCATCTTAGACATCATTGGCTTGCATTGCCAATGATCCGCGGAGATACAATCGATTACGGGGAAATGAGGAGTGCCCGCGTTGGCTTATCTTCGCCAAGCATCCCCAAGAATGATAAGCTACTGGTCCATGAATGGTTCGCAGGATTGGGCTTGGCAAAAGATCGACGATGCTGCAAGCGGCAGCTGAGCTTAAGGTACTATTAATGTACTCCGTACAGAGTTGTTGGTTATCCTTTATCTCGCTTCGCCATTCTGACGAATAAAATCCAGTCGCAAACTTAAACCCATCATCCAGATCAACCAGAAAGCACAAGATAAGAAGCGCGACATATGGTTGCTGAATTCGGTAGGAAATTATAAGTACTTGTGTCGGTCTACACTGACTGGAATCTTTACAGATTTCAATCCAGCGAGGAATTAGTATATCATAATTCCTTGAGTATTGTTTTCTGGTTTTATCTCTTTGGCAAATAGGAAAGCATCGCAATCTCGTCAGAAAACATGACATTCGGGGCCCTTTCTCCGTTTGAGGTCATAGAGGCCGTTGCAAAATCGGGAGTACAGAAAGGAAACATGCGACTGGACAAGGTTTTCCTCAGCTCCGTCTCTGCTGGATGTCTGCTTGCCTTTGCCTGTGGAACAGTCCTCAGTACAAATGCCACCCCTTGGTTCCAGGAAAATGCCCCGGGACTGATGCGCACCATCAGTGCCTTGGTCTTCCCATATGGATTATGTATGATTATCCTGACAGGTGCCGACTTGTGCACAGGATCATTTATGGTATCTATTCCTGGGAAACATTTTTGCGTGCAATCTCTGATTGGTGTTTTTAGTTCACTACCGTTGCAGCACTACAGCAACGTTTGCCATGGTGGAAAATGCTCGTGCATTGGACAGTGACCTTCCTTGGCAATCTAGCAGGTTCTCTTTTTATTGTGACTATTATCTTCGGTTGTTAGTTGCAACCCCCCCTCACATACCCATCTCAAATTTGGTAAATATGAAGCTCATTCAAGATTTTCAGATGGTGAGGTGTTCTCTGCGGAGCCGTTCAAATCAGCTGTAATTACCTTTGCGACCAAAAAGCAACTCACCCCAGACTTTCGCGTCATATTTCTACGTGGTATTGGCTGCAACTGGCTGGTTTGTTTGGGCTGCTTCTTCGGCATCCAAGGACGCGATTTGGCATCCAAGATTATTGGGATCTGGTTTCCTATCTTCGCGTTCGTTTCGTTGGGATTTGACCACGTTGTCGCAAATATGACATTTATCCCTCTTGGGATCTGGGAAGGGACTCCTGACCTCAGCGTTGGCCTCTATATCTGGAAGGGAATCATTCCGACCGTTATTGGAAACATTCTCGGCGGGGGCCTCTTTTGCGGTAAGTACTCCAGTCCTTGATCATAGACAGATCTCTCAACTAATGCGTCACCAGGGACGTACTACTGGTATATTTATCTACTGGATCTCGAAAACAGTGTTCTATTCGGGTCACGGGTCTCCGCAACTCCCCAGAGTGGCCTTTCGGCAAAAGAAGGCGATGTGGAAGCCTCTGCGGCCGGGAGTGATTGAAACAAAAAGAAATGCGATCGTCCGTGCGCAGTGCAATCGCTTGACACTTTATCCCAAGCTGAACAATCATCGTTCCAGTATTGGATATACCTTACGGCTCTTGTCAAAATAATTTATAATGTTATATAATTCATCCTACGAATACTACTAAGCAGTACCCTCCCCCCGAGATTACTAGGTATCAAGGACAAATTTCACAGCGTTTAGTAACTTTGCCAGCGGAAGGTAGTGTCCGTGGAACTCGAGAATATAAAGCACCATAAAACATGACGCCAACTCATCACCCCAATCTCACCAACCCAGCTATGGTGCTTGAGTCTGCGCCCCGGTCGCTCGCTAGTTACCAACTAGTGATCAGTTATTAGTCAACTGTCACTAGTACTACTAAACTAGCACTGCAGGTCCAGGACGCTGTGGGCAATACAACAGAGCTCTCAATGGACACTTCAGTCATTGTCCTGGGCAGGGCATAGCAGGACAGACTTTACTGGTCTGGAAAGACCGTTCTTCATTCAGCGGGATACTCGCACACCATCTTGCGTGATTCTGGCAAATTCGGGCATCTCGCCGAATTGCCGATAAGCCGGGCGCGCCCCCGCCACGTAGTATTGGCTCGGTCGAGTGACCCGATCGATGCGACGACCCGGTGTGGGCGGGGAATCATGGAGTATAGAGACATTTGCAATCCATGTCCTATATATTATAATTTTTTCCCTTGAAATCTTAATCCTTCATTGCACAGTGGCATTTATTTTTCCGCTCTATCCAATAACCCTTTTTCCTGGTCACTTCCTCGGCCACCAATATCGACCGCCAAAATGTCGGCTACAGTCCTAGAGACAGTCACTTCACAAGACCACTCACCAACCAAGGTGGATATCACCAAGTTTCCAGACGGGTTCAAGACATCTGGACAGCATCCGCCCGTCTACTCCCAAGTGCGCCCGTATTCAGAATTTCCGAAAGTCCACGGCGGTCCAACGGTCTGGAAAGCGGAGGACTACCGCCAAAATCCTGAACTTTGGACACATCAGTTCAATGAAAATGAGATCCATGAGCTTGGCACGGCGGCAGATATCTTCATCGAGAAAGATCTGCCTTTAACGGGAATTTCGAAGGTTAGAAAACCCAACACTCTTGGAGTGTTCCGATTATTGATTTTGATTAGCAAAATTTCTCGCTTCCCAATCTCTCCAAGCGTTTGGAAGATCTTCGCCAGGATTTGATTAATGGAAAGGGCTTTTTCCTCTTCAAGGGAATACCTGTACGACAGTGGGATCTTCGCAAGTGCGCCACCGCATACATGGGCCTCGGTACTTATCTTGGATATTTTGTGAGCCAGAATGGTCGTGGTCATGTGTTGGGACATGTTAAAGACTTGGGCGAGGACCCAACTAAAACCGATCGAGTTCGGATCTATCGTACCAATGCTCGGTAAGTGATTGTTGAACAGGGAATTCCGGCTCACTATCAAGTCTCTAACTTATTGAACAGTCAGTACTTTCACACAGATGGCTCGGACATCGTAGGGCTTCTTTGCATCGCGAAATCTCTGTCAGGTGGTGAATCAGACATTTCGTCAACGCATCATGTGTTCAATGTGCTTCAAGAGAGACATCCGGATGTTGTTCAGACTCTCTGCGAACCAAGTTGGTATTTTGACCGCAAAGGCGAGCTGTCTGAAAGTGAAGAGCAGTGGATCCGGGGCAGTATCTTCTATCTTGAAAATGACCGGGCCGGCGACAATCCTCGGGTCTACGCTAGATTTGACCCCATGAACGTCACCTCGCTGTCGCGTTTTAACTCAGGGCCAAATGCTGTTATCCCACCTCTCTCGGATAAACAAAAATATGCAATGGAAATCTTCGAGAAGACCTGCGCTGAGTTGTCATTGCATATGATTTTGGCCCCGGGAGATATTCAGTTCGTCAGCAATTCGCATGTTTTTCACGCCCGTACTGCCTATACCGATCACCCTGCAAACGCCATTGATGACGACGGTCAGCCCGCGCGTCGACGGCACTTGATGCGACTCTGGCTTGCGGCCCCAGAGTCTGAAGGTGGATGGCGACTTCCATATCACGACACGCTCGAAAAGAAGCGGGGTGGTATTCAGGTGAACAATCAGCCTCCCGTTTGCCCATTGGATGCAGAGTAGATCTCTAAAGGGCTTGAGAATTACAAATGAATTTTACAATCTATATTGGGTACAAGTTGTTTCTCTTAGCGTTCCTATTTAGTCATTGAAGCTGAAGGAAGGTGAAAATTCAAGTCCTATAGGTGTATAATATCACTAGTTCCGGGTTATAAATCATACTAACTTAGAATTGAATATCTGAGAGGTTTAGTCTTGCTGAGAGAATGGGAACACTGGTAGCCATGGCTCCGCCTGCGTAGTGGGAAACCCTCCTGCCCATGGTAGTAATCCAGCTGCATCAATTCCTGAGCCCACAGCCGTATCCGCTGGTTGCCAAGCCCACCCCAGGTCAGACATGAACAATGTTTGAAGTTCTTCGAGATTACCCTGGTCGGTCCCACTGTCCTCCTCCGAGTAGGTTGTTCCACGTTCTACATTCTTCCCGAGAGGTTGATCCAAATCTGCAACAGAGTCTGGACGCGCACTATTTGGGGCAGACGATGTTGTAGCCTTTTCCGGTGCATGTCTTTCTGGTATTGACTTGCGTGCCATTCGGAATATTGACAACGGATTAAGAACGTAATCCGGGGCACTTTGTACTGGCGTACCGGGTAAACTTTCACTATGAAAATATTTAGTAAATTGCCTATATTGCTAAAAGTCGTGCGGGGTATAGGTGATTTACCTTGTCTGCTCGGAGTCTCCGAAAGACTGATATGGATCATCGGGGATGATATTCTGGGATATGACTTCCGAGCCAATTCCGGACCTCTCAAGCATTGTTTCGGCGGCAGAACTCTTGAAAATTACAAATCAGATCGACTGGCTATATGAAGAAATGCATATCGCTTACTAGTGATATCGCAATTGCGTTGATAGATCCCATTGCTCGTAAAGACTGGACATTGCTGCGTATGAGGGGTAGTGTCTCTGTCATCAGGAGTTTTGTGTTTGCATCTCGCGGATCGAGAATTTGTGTCAGGTGGTAAACCATAATACGACAGCTGTCATAGGTGATTGTTGGAAGCCACGAATCGGCTAGCATTCGGCATCCATGGCGGGCTGTCTCTCCTATTATGGCTGCCAATGACCTCGCGGCATCAAATAGAACCTGCTGTAGGTGCTTAAGGAACTTCTGCTGATCGACTGGGAAATCAAAGGCGGCTCGGAGTTTGTAGAGCGCAGGTGCACCTAGTCGATACAAATCACAGATTGTCTGATAATGTGCGCAGTGCAACACACATAGTGCACCCAGCTGTGAGGAGTCCTTGCGAATATAGATGGCATTTGGCGTGAATTGGAGACTCGGAGGTAAGGATTCATACCACGCGCGACACTCCGCATCCAGTGATGCAAACTCGGAGTCTGGATCCCAAGGTACCATTGCGTCGTCTAAATGCTTGATATACCTATAATGACCATTAGAACAAGTCTCTCTGAAATGGAGATTTCCGTTTGTCTCGTATTAACCTTAAGACTTTCTTGCGAACTGAAATATGGCGAACGAAATACGCCATCATGCCCATATTTGGGAGCAGTGTCCTGGTATCCACATCTTCACCAATGAACTTCAACCAGTTTCCAGCTTCCAGTGTTTCTGTCAAGCAGGGGATCTGTTGGACAAAATTTCTTTCGTTACATGGCAATTGGATTTTCATGTCCTTCTCATCAACCAAGGTTAACTGATCCACTCCGCTACCGACGAGGGAATCCATCACATAACAGCTCCACATTAGGCGCCGACGAGATTCTTTCTCGGTCGCGGTAAGCCCAGAGTCATTATTATGACAAAGTAGATCTGTGTTGTACTCGAGGTTGATTTGTAGAGCCTGTGTCATTCGTGTTATAAGACCGCTAAGCATGAAAGCATTTGAGAAGTTTCCCATTCGAATATCATAGTCGTGGAGAAGGACCGCTGCCTATTCGCTAGCCATTAGCCTGGTGATGGGAATTGAGAAGCAGCAATGCTTACCATCAAATTATCAATTGTGACAACCTCAAGAGTTTCAAGAATCAGTCTTTGCGCTTGCTTTGCCCACTGGCCGCCCACATGAAGCACGAATTTCGGCGAAAGGGGGAATACATTCTCGGAATAGGCCAAGGCGTAATATCTGTCCGACGCGGTCAGCTATCTCAGACATAATAGGATGGGAAAAGCATTGTCTTACTGGGCACCCAGTGCACATATTATATAGAGCAGAGCATAATTTTGGCTCCTCCTGGATGCTTCTTTATCCAATCTCTGCAGGAAAGAGGGTCTGTGGATAAATGCAAAGCAGCGTAAAGGGTGTATGTTATTGAAATACTCTTCAACGAGTTGTCCAATTTCGGAATAATTTGGCAGGTGGTACGAATTTAACCTAAAATTTGTAAGAAAATTCCTGTCGGGTTGATTTTGAAGCTGTGAGGTTCGCACCATTCCAATGAAGATCTTGGGGGCTCCGGTGAGAGATGCGAAAATTGTGGGGCGGGACAAGATTCATTTGGCTGTGTAGAAACATGGTCGATGGGGGATCCATTAGACAGAACTGTCGGGGTTGGCAAGCCAATCTGAGATTCGTTTCCAATCGCCTCGACTCGCTGTATCCAATTCGGTTGACAAAATTCTGAGTAGACACAACTAATACCTTTTCTCTGGCACCTTTGACATGTCGGACGTTCCCCCGAACATTTTGTTTTCGAAGTGCGGCATCCAATACACGATCGATATGTTCTCTTCCTTTTCGAGCTCTCTGGCCTAGGCTCTATGTCTTCTTGGGTGCTCGGCCGGAGTGAAGATGTGTAGCCGGAACACTCCAGGCGTAGTCTAGCACAGTTTCCACACTGCCCTGGTCGTTCATCACATTTGACCTGCTTGAATTTAGTACTTTAGATGGATAGATAGAAGTCGACAACACTCACCTTGCGTGCACGACACGTACGGCATCCTAATCATGGGCAAATCAACACTGTACATTGATTTCGTCCGACGTGGGTTAAACTTACCAAACCGAGATCGTGATGACTTGAGAGTGTGGAGCCCCATGACTGTCAGCGTTTCGAAATCGGATCTCTCCCAGAGATTCTTCACTTCTTGCGGTAGGTTCGAGTCGTCTATATCTTCTTCTTCTTCCTCTTCTTTCTCTTCATTTCCCCCCAGGGATGTCTAAGAGAGGATCGCAGTTGCAAATTCACGGCCCATCGGCAAACGCGGGCGGTCGGCAATTCGTGTTTCGTGGTGAAATTGAGGCGCACGATGACGAGATCGTCCAAGTGGAGAAGCGGGGTTGCGTTAGGCCTGACGATTTTCTTCAAACATGACGAGTCCAGAGATGGCATCTCGGAAGTTTACCGTGGCTCCATTTCACCTTTGCTTCTTTGTCAGTGCCCAGGTGGGATGCATTTATTGAAGTCGAAGCGCTTAATTGAAAGCGCCATCCTAGAGAGTCACCAGGCCATTAGTTATTGTTGTGAAATGAGGCTGGTGCAGATCAGGAACCAAGCCGAACCATCGGAATTAATCCCGAAGTATGTATACGAAGAGCCAAGTTGATTGGAAATCAACTTGGCTACACGTTGTATATATAGCCTCATGTTTCCCTCTAAATAACACAATTCATACCTCTGAACTACAACATTCATTTGAACAGTCTTACCTGTTGTGTTGACTTTAGTTTATCTACTAGTGGGCCTCGGAACACGATGATAAATACATGGCAGGTAGCCTTGGAAGAACATAGAAATGTGCGCTTTGTGTCTTGGGTCTTTGTCACATTGGTACTACTAGTATATTCTCTGACTGATCTCTCCCCGGATATTCAATTTCCAAGGTTTGTAGTAAGAAACCTCCAGGGACTACTAGTAACATTAGAAGTCGAGAGAACCACGTCCAACTTCTGCATCACTGCGACATCGCTTTGCCATTACAATGGAACATCATTCTCTTGATCATTCCCTATTCTATCCGCTCTTTTCCAAAACCTAGTGTCACTAATTCCACTACACACCACTCTGCAGACTGAGGTTTTTATCCCCCAAGGGGCGCAGATGAGCCGAGACGGGATCGATGAGCTTCATAGCCAAGAGTGCATTATCTCCAGGGGCCAGTCTCAGTTGGATCTCATGTTCTGAATAAGGCCAGTCAAATATTCAACGCTTTTTGATGTGTTTTGCCGCCTAGCGATAACCAAATATGCAAATTGCCCCGTTGTAATCCGAACCCGAGCGTGGGCCCCCTTGAAGACGGTCCATCGCAAGACAAAAGTATAATACTCTTGTATTCCTCCGGAGGCTGGAAGAACGACTTAACCAGCCTTATTGCCAATAAATCCTCGGGGTTGTACTTTGATTTTATCTTTCAATTTTCCGCGCTAATCTTGGAAGCCGATGATAATACCTCCCCCAGCGGAACACGTGCCGAAGGTCTGGCCTACCTGGGAGTTGCTACGAAAGGAGGCCTCGCCCTTGGTTTACGGGACTTTTGGAAACGTTCTCTATCTGGCTTTGACATTTCAAACGCTGCCTCTAACAACTGCCTCATGAGAGTCAGTTGCTTGCCTCTGTAGCTATCTCGTCATTGCTCACGCGTTCAAGAATCGATCTTGCCCCTCCCACCTTTTCTCTGTACAAAGAAACCACTGCAATACATATACGTTGCCTCCCTACTAGGGAGCGCGGATTTCTACATACATTAATCCTGTGGTCAATCTCCCTACACCCACTACACCCAGACGGGGCCCTCTTTACTGGTTGATCTGCCTGAATGGGTAATTTGCCCTGCGCATGCGATTCTATCTCATCACTTTCTACTGGCTGGTTTGGCTGCTCAGCTAGCTGTAGGGCATCCCAATGGTAAAACTAAAACGCTCTTCGCAGGGTAGGTTATTAGCTGACAAAGTGCGCTTCTTGAGAATCTTCTCATTCGCTGCGCGGAGATTCGTATTATCCTGCGCTAGTAGCGCGGTGTTGTATAGCGATAGGCAGTGGCCCTTGATAATCCGATCTTGCATAGTTTTTGATAGGCTTGGGGGGGCTCTTTGACCGTCGCTTTAGCAGTTCCTTAGGCATTGAAGCTTGCTTGAGTAGCTGAACGACCGTTTTAGGTGTTTCTGGTGCGAAATGGCTAGATCTGCTGGTTGGTCGACTGTTCAGTGGTGATGGAGTTCGTAGAGAGATATTAAGCTTTGAAAGCACTCTCTCTGAATTAACTGCCACTATATCACTAGCTACAAAGCTGTCTTGAATAGTAGCTAGTTGGAAAGCTTCTAGCCGCGCGTGTTGGTTGTCTTCCAAGAAATCACATTTATTGATATAGTTATATCCTCTGCATGCAAGATCGCTAGCGAAACGGCTATATGCCCTCTTTAACGGTGCAAAGCAGCCATCACCTAGCAGTTGAACTAGATGTGAGGAATTTGAAGGCATAAAAAACGGTATAATATCCTTTTCTGCACAAATTCGGTCGAATTGGGGCGTAAGATGACTACCATGGCCGTCAAGAATCAGTAGCCGAAACCGGCCGCGTACACGCGAATTTTTATACGTGATAAAGATCCTTTGTAGCCACCGTAGGCTAATCTCATCAGTAGTCCTGCCGTTATTAGAGACCTCGATTCGCCAATCTTTCGGAAGATTATAGGTAAACCATCCTGTAACAGCCACTTTGCGCTTGAAGATCACGAATGGCGGTAGCGAGTAGCCATCTGCGCATATTGGTTCGATAGCAGTAACCCATTCACGGTTTCCTGGATGTAGTAGACGTAGTAGACGTCTTCGACCGTAGTATTCTGTCCGCGTTACTACTTTCTGTGAAGATATAAGGCCCATTGCAAAGCCTGTCTCATCGAAGTTATAGATATCCTCCGGTTGTACGCGACGGCCAGGTGTACGGGACGGCCAGGATTACGTTAGATAAAACCTCACTACCTCTTCATACCCAGATCCATCCTCCTCAACACCACTATCCGAGAACTGCTAGAGTTTCGGCGCAATATGGCACCGAGACTACCCCTGACAAAACCACAAAGCCTTCCGAACCTTATGAACATGAATGATATCTCTGGATCACGATCCAGAATTATAGATACAGGTCTAACCTTAATGCATGAGTGCGTATCAGGGTGACGGGACAATACCATCTAACACCTATCAGAGTAAGCTCATAGTGTACGGACTAGTATGCAGTCGAGGGGAATGAGATCAAGCGGAACCAATTTAAAATAACAAGATTGATTGATTCCCCAGTCGGTTGAGCGATCTCAAGGGGGGGGGGGGTTGCTTCCGCTCTTCATATCTCGGATTGGTCAATCAGCTGAAGAGGGCAAAAATCTCATATTTCTGTTATTTGAGGGCCACCGCAATAAAAACCACCTCTACCTGCTTGGGCGCGCGGGATGGGGTCTCTGATATGTCTCAGAAGTAGGGAATAAGGTACCTTTGGGGGTCAGTCAACAGGTGTGCTCGTTATGTTGGGTAGAGAGTGACTTATGCACAATAGAAATTGAGCAAGATCTACGTGGAGTACATAGAGAGACGGTGAAATACTTAATTGGTCAAGCTGGCTTCACACGCTTCTGCGTTGCACTCTATTCAAAGCTTAGATAATCAGAATTGGGAACGGTCGATTGGGTGATTCCGGCCTATTACATCTGCTTATATGATATTACTATCAGCGCTCCCTAAAAAGACCTCATTCAGTATCTGAAATCACTACAATATTGGCTATGAACTTAATATTATATCTTCAAGTATTAGGTCATTCTATGTACCAGAGCACATCTGTAACTTGACAAGACTAAATTTGCATGGTTACTATTATAGGAAAGAAAAAGGAATTGACATAGCTTAATACTATGGTATTGTATCACGTTGGCTTCTAGTATATTTATTTAAGACGTTTGCTTGTGAGATGATTTCTGAGGTTTGTGCAACACTTCGAAGTTGAGAATACCTCATTGAAAAGGAAAACACAGTTTTTCCATGGCCATTGACAGAAGAAGATACTTTGAGCTCCTCACGTTTTGAAGCGGCGATTCAGAAATTTAATCTCTTGACCTCCCGTGCTAAATGCAGGCGCATCTGCAAGCAAAACTCTTCAGTCTGATTTTGATCAATTGGCAGTGGGGCCGAGAAAGGGGTGTAAGCCGATCAAGGCGAATTTGAAAATGCATGTATGCTTCTCCTGAATACAACGTCGTTATAGGATCAACAACGTCAGATAAGACGACTGGCATGTTTGATGTTGGGCACCCAATCAGGCCATGATCGTACGGGGTCTCTACTAGACCCACAGACCCCGCGATCGGTGCAGAGTAGACTCTTTGTGTCTAAACTTGCTCACGAGTCCTGTGCCCAGTATTTGATATCACTACTTCTGCACGCTGAATGGTTAGGAATCGTAGCGCTGGTGGCTTGCGTCGTATCGATGAATCTGAGTGCCTGTCGATCTGCGAATCATATTTACCTTTTCATGTCTTTGGCTATTGATTGGATCAGAGCAGCCAATCATATGGATTGTATCTCCATGTGTATCGGCCCCATTGGACAATATTTGAGAGATCCACATCTGCTCGAAAAAAAAACCTGGATCTGTCACCTACCCCTGCATTAGCGCTGGATAGCCTAGAAAATCACAATAGTACGCGCAAATGGCCGCAGTACCAGAGCCCAGAAGTGCGGGAAAATGCAACCACTAATAACTATAAGAATGAGAGCCTTCTTCCAAACTGAAAACTTGCCTCGAATATTTCAGTTGCCAGTTGAATCCATTTGAATCCTACAAGTGTCGATAATGCACGCCGGCTTTCTCCTTAAACTCATCGTATTCACGATCGCAGTCTCTGCTGCGCCGGCCCAAAGATCTCACGCCGCGCATTCTTCAAGCTCTATTAAGAACCTGAAGAGAAATATCCAGAATGTTGTCGTTCTGGAGATGGAGAACCGCTCCCTAGATAACTTATTGGGCGGTCAGACAATTGAGGGCCTCGACAACCCCATCAATAATGGCCCCTTCTGCAATCCTTACAATCTAACCGACCCTTCACAAGGCATGGTCTGTAGCAGTGCCAAGGACATTGATTCTATTCTTGATGACCCCGATCATACGATAACCGGTAACAATATCGAGTTTTATGGCACATTTACCCCCAATAATGTCGATATTGCCAGCGGCAAACTGAGTCCGGAGCAGAAGGGCTTCGTATATGAGCAGCTACGTCAATATGATGGAGATTATACCAACAGGACCAAACTAGCGAAGGAGATCCTCAACTATTACACCGAAGACCAGTTACCGGTCTTGACGAGCCTAGTGCAAAATTATGTCACTTTCAATCATTGGCACTCAGATCTCCCTGGGGTGAGTCACCGCATAGATAGAGCTCTAAACCATAGTGGGCTCTCTGATACTACTCCGAAACTAATAATCATCTTAGCCCACCGCTCCAAACCGCGCATTTGTCCTTTCTGGAACTTCCGCTGGCCATGGAACCAATGACGAAGACTTCAACGCAGACAAGCATGGCCTCACCCAGCGCAGTATATTTCAACAGCTGTCCGAGACCAACCATACCTGGAAAAACTATTACACCGATCCTGCCGAGCAAATGGTAGATGCCTGGTTCTTTGACTGGACTTTTGCCAGTGGCAACCAGCAGCTAGCCGTACCTTTGAATGAGTTTTACTCCGACGCAGCAGCTGGTACGTTACCCGACTTCAGCTTCATCGAACCATCGTGCTGCGGCCAGGGCACGACCTCAATGCACCCGACGGGCCTAATCTCTGATGGCGAAACCCTCATTAAAGATGTCTACTCTGCGCTTCGAGGTAGCCCCAATTGGAATCAAACCCTCTTTATTTTGACCTTTGACGAAACGGGCGGCTTTCACGACCACATTCCGCCACCTTTGGCGCCACGACCTGATGGTTTTACATACACCGAGGTAGCTCCGAATGGTGAGAATTACACATTTTCCTTTGACCGACTAGGGGGTCGTGTCCCGACGCTCCTCATATCACCGTGGGTGGCCAAGGGCTCAGTGGAGCAAAAGGGTACCAACTCCGATGGAGAGGCGGTTTCGTACTCCGCCTCGTCACTGCTCAGGACACTAGGATATCTCTGGGACTTTGAACCATTTACGCCACGTGTAAGTGGCTCTGCATCATTTGATCATCTGATACAAAGCACAAAACGAGATGATACCCCTTTTTCGCTCCCAGCGCCGAAGCACTTTTAAGTGGTGTTCAGCACAAAAAATACTATTACTTCAATTAAATGAATCCACTTTTGCAGATGGCAAGCGGGGCTCAATTCAGCTTCCTCGGCAGTTTTGCTTCTGGGACCCCTAGATTCTCTTTGTCAAATGTTCATCCTCAAGAAATTGTCCAGATAGCAGCGAGCGGGGGCGTGAATACGGAGCCATGGCGGACTATCCCATAGGGGTAAATTCAATGAGCTCCATTGAATTTTTTAGGGTTTTGTTATATATGGGGGAAAAAAGTGGGGACAGGGCCCATTGAATTTAGCAAAATAGGGTCGTAGAATTTCCAGATTTTAGTAAGTTTTAATTTAGCATTAGTTTTATTTAAAATAACCAAATTTGAGCCCGATCGGAGTATGTTCAGTATTTATTTTATTTGCCAGAAAGTTGTGAGATTTTTTGATGGGGTAACCACCAGCCGCCAGTCGTAACCAGCTACTACTTTACTACCAACACTGTATACTACTATATTTAGTTCAGTAATAATATTTGTTTTTTTGGTTTCAAATTTAAGGGGTTAATTCCTATATCCTACATTATTATCCTACTTTATTTTGAGCCTGTTTGAACGATATTGGGCTTATATTATTTCCCAGATATATAATATTAGCTAAGAGATATATTTATATATTAAATGTAGCCTAGGAATACTAGACGTATGAATTGTTTTGTGTTAATACTGAGTTCTGGGTGTTAGTTTACTAGAAATATTAATATACTGTATAATAGGGCTAGGCTAAGATCTATTTGAGTGGTACTATATATTGTATACTTAGTATATAGGTATAATATATGTAAAATATTATCTAGTAGTAGGATTATATTTATATAGGCATCGCCATAACCCACTATAACCCGGACCCAACCCAACCCAACCCAAAATGGGTTTTGGGTCCAATTCTATAACCCATTGATGGGTAATGATTAAGAAGAATCATTTTTGACTCAGAATGCGTACTATACTCGGTATTGTTGTAGTTCAAAGGTAAATTTTGTGTTATTCAGAGGGAAACATGAGGCTATATTCATAACGAGAAGATCAAGTTGATTGCAAGTTCTCCCAAGCTTTCAGCAAAGACCGAAGACATCGTCCGCGACCCAATCGAGTCGTTCTTTGAGGATACCATCGTTCCAAGAGTGGGGCCTGTCTTGCGACAACGAGGAGATCTACGGATCAAACGCGCGGGGATTTCCAGCGCTTCACCGGAATATGTGCGATTTGACTGAATACGGCTTCTGCGCCGCATTCTCACTCAACAAAGCGAGACGAAGGGCTATCGGCTGAGTGGTGACGCGAGAACCAAACTTGAAAAACACCCCAGAGAGATACCATCGATCGAAACGTTACTGGAATACTTGGCCAATCGATTTGTAGAGTTGAAACTTAACTAAAAATAGAGGGTTGATTCCCCGGAGCCGGTCGGCAGTCTGAGTCATCTTGGACTTTTTCGCTGGCAAAGATGATCATGCCTTTCGTACCTACTTTTATTTGATGGAATACAACGAGCTTGCTGCAAACCCCGAACACCTAATATGGCTTTATCTGCAGCAAATTCACGTTTGAAGATAATTGTCATAGGGGCCGGTCCTGCTGGTCTCTGCACGGCCACGGCCTTGAGGCAAGAGGGCCATACTGTTACCGTTCTCGAGCGGCGACGAGATACACAGCCCCTTGGCCACGCCTTAGTAATCCAGCCGGCGGCGGTCAGGGCTCTCCTGTACCTAAAAGGGGCAGACAGGGCTTTCAGCAGTGCTAGTGTTGACGCAGGGGCGCTACGCTGCTGGTCGTATAGGGATACCAAGCCCTTTGCGACCTCCGTACCAGCTGAAACCCTATCACGTGCGGAACGGAGATTCCACACTGACCGACCCTCAGTACAAAATTTACTACATGAGCTTGCAGTTGCCACTGGTGTCGAGCTTCTTTTTGGGAGAGCTGTGCAAGGGGTTCAAGATCTGGGAGCAAAACCAAGGCTTTGGACAACGAAAGGAGAAAATTTTACCGCGGATCTAATTGTAGCAGCAGATGGTATGTCCGACCTTGGCATCATAGAAGCTGCGTCAAGTGTACTTATAACTGACCTACCTACCCTGATATAGGTATCAAATCTGCTACCCGCAAAATCCTCTTTCCAGCAAGGGATGTCGACCCAATTCCATTGAGAGAGTCTATCTTCCTCACAAGCGCGCCCATATCTCAGCTAGCCCAGGACCCTCGAATAGCGCTATGGCTCGAACCAGGAACCAAACATGGTATATTAGGGCCCGATCGGTTTGTTTTAAGTCGGCCCATGCACAGTGGTCTCCTCGGGGTGCAGTTTATTGACGTCGACCATGCGGATCCGGGTCCGGTGGACGGCAACTGGAATACGCCAGCCGATATCGGTTTACTCCGCACGCGTTTCTCTGATTTTAATTTAACAACGAGAGCATTCTTGGAGCATATCCAGCACGCAGAGAAATGGCAGATGGCTACGGGGGCAGAACTGGGTACGTGGCGAAGTGCTAGTGGTCGTATCGTGCTGCTCGGTGATGCAGCTCACGCCATGTTACCACATGGTGCCCAAGGTCTCAGCCAGGGAATTGAAGATGCTTTGAGTCTGGCTCGCATGCTGCGATGGGCGTCAACATCGGGCGGTGATGGTGTTGATATCCCAATTGTAACGAAGGCGTGGGTCAACTTACGTAAGCCACGAGCCGACATTTTCATGAAACAGTCCACAAGCAACGCAAAAATTTGGAGTCTACCAGATGGACCGGAACAGGAGGCAAGGGACGAGAGGATAAGGCGGATGGGAGCTCGCCCACTACCGAATCTCGACGGCGTGGAAATGGACATGGCGGCTGATCAGAACTCGCCACAATTTCTCAAATGGGCGAGGGATTATGATGTGGTATCAGAGGTACGTACCAAAGCACCGAGATCTGTGCAACGGGCCTTTAGTTAACTTGTGGTCATACTAACGTTATTTTGTTCTCGTCCAGGGCGAGCGAACAATGGAAAAGGTCTTATCTGGCTAGGGTGTTGTAATTGTACAGTGCATATCCGTGCAGGAGATGTCTGCCTCCAGGCAGGTACTGTACAATTCTGGCAATTCTACTTATTTCAACCTGTAATTCAACGTAGGGGCCTTCCCTCGGAAAGACTTGCCCTATTCCGTAGCGCAGTGTACGTGATATATACGATCGAGTTAAACGAAATCATCCGTCGCGGGATGGAATGGCAAGCCTAACACGATTGCGACGACCCTAGCTCCATTGGTCTGGGCTGTGTTCATACACATGCTCCCACTTATTCACAATTATCTTACAAACAATAGTAGCAACGCACGGTAAACTAAGCAAGAATAAATTATATAGACCAAACTAATCAACAAACGCTAACATGTAACGTTCCTAGGGCCGGTTTGTCCCTAGAAACTCATAGAAGGGGCCCTGGGAACGGCGGTCAACGGCCCCAGGAGCTTCAGATATCACTCGTGGGAGCGCTATTTTGCCACAAACACCGCAAGGTGCTCAGATGGGTCCACATAGATTGACCCAATCAAGGTTATAAAAGGCCAGCGGATGCTTTTCAGACGCTTCGCTATATAAACCTCGATTTTTGCTCACCCTGGGTATAAGTTCGTCCAGATCTGTCAAACCAAAATTTTTGGATTCAGGTTCCTACCAAAGTCTCTGAAGCAGAATGGGACCAAAAAACCCCCAAATGACTTACTTTCTCTGGCACAGGGACAAGGCCATCACCGAAGTGAGTCATTATTGTGATAGCCCTAGCGACTGATCACTAACATTTGGATGTCCGAAGTTCGGCCACCAACCAAGTTGTATGTCAATTCTATCTTTGATGAAGTCTGGTTGAGCTCACCAAACTTCAACCTGAGAGCAATACCTCCAAGCTTCGTCTACAGCAGGAAAACAATGAACTGAGACAGCAGTTGCAAGGAATGTGGGAATACATTCAGGCGCTTGAACCACAATATCAAACTCCGAGACAGCAAGCTGGCTCTGGGGATCATACGACAGGAATTAAGCTCGATGACCATCAAGATTCGGAATCCTAGCAAAAATTTGCGGATAGCTGCGGTGTCTGCTTGAGTTAGGGAACCAATTTTTGTGAGGTAGACCAGTGCGGGACAATCATAATGCCGAATGGTTGGTGCGCTAGCTGAACGAGCAAAGGATAACAGCCTACGATCATGATATAAGAAGCTGAAAGACCCTGGTACGTGTAGAATACTATTTAACTCACTAATGCACTAAGTATCCGTGTGGTTTCAAAGACATGACAGTAATGTCGAACTACAACAAAAATTCTTCAAGTATAGATAGCTTTAACTGCCCTTCAGGGCACATCAACCCCGTCATAATGCCTGTGACTTCATCCGCGGTGCATAGCTGGCTTTCCCATCGCTCAAAATCCGATCTTTACGCAGTGCGCTGTGTGCTACTGTAATGATCTCTGCCTGACTATTGCTTGCCATCGGGAGACATATCTGGCTGTGGGTGCAAAGCAAATGTAATAGAAATATGTGGTGCTCGATTCACTTCCACCTACCCCGCCAGTGGAAGTATTTCTTGTTAATCTCTGTACCGCGCGTGTTGAGCTGGCTGGATAAGTTGGTCTAGGATCCAACGTGGGCAGTTCTTCCATTATAGACTTTCAATTTCCTGCTTCAGCAATATTGCCACTATTCGTATATGAGAGTCAGACTGGACTTAGTCGTCTTTGTCGCATATCCACTGCTACAGAGCGGCCTTTACGAACTATAGATCGATCAACGTCTGCGGTCCTGTCCGAAAGGTATGACGCGACAAAAAAATTTGGTCCAAGTAAGGAATACACAGACATTGACGCTTTTCTCATCAGATGCGTACGTACAACTAGACATGGCGGCTGTGAAAGTGCGATGAAACGCCGGATCATTAAAGGCTCGAGGACTTACACCTAACTATTCCCATAGAGGTAACGGGAGGAGAACCTTCCGGCTGCTTCGCAGGCCCCCAAGATAATGTGCTTTTGTGGAATAGTACCCCAGTTTCAGAGGTTGTTTGAGCAGAACGAGGGCTCCAGGCTTTTATTACCCTGAAGCGCGTCTGTTGCAAGCCATGCATCCCATTTAATAGGATCTTCGTCGCCCCATTTAGAACTCAGATTATCTGTGCACAGAGGCTGCATTGCTGAGATAAAGACCGGCTGTAAACAACGGAAGAGCAAAAACAAAGTAAATTATCATCCTCTCTATTGGACATGCCTAGTACTAGTCCGTGCGGATATCCTTCAAACTGACATTGTTGAATATCCCGGTCCTGTGCTAACTGCAGCAGCTTCACTTCGTTCTAATTACCGCTGGGACAATTGGCGTAACTTTAATCTATGGGATTATCACAGCCGGAATCAAGACTGTCTTACGTTCTTTTGGAACTTCAGCCAATTTTGAATCAGAGAATTTAGCATCCGCATGACTAGTAGTGGTATTTTGTCAGTATCGGTGGAGAATTGGTATTGTAAGGCAGGGTCAGAATTTATCATTTGTAACTTAGCCAAGAGCTATAAGTCATAGTCGGTCGCATACAAATTAAGTTAGTGTGAAGCGAACATGACCAAAATAGAGACAATTATCCATGGGCATGACTGGATATACATCACTTTAATTGAAATTGATTCGTTATATAATCCAGCCAATTCTAAGACAGTAGCTGGAAAATTGCCATATTCGAGCATCCCAACTAAACCAAATCATTCCTCTCTTCGTCATATAGCTCCAAGATATCGGGTTGAACTTTGTCCCTTTTAACATCTAACATCGAGTAGTTTATCACCCCTATACTTGCCACAAAGAAACCAATTGTTTGCAACACTGAGACTGTCTCCCGCCAGAAACATATCGATGCCACAATAGCCATCATGGCCTTCGGTACACCGCAAATAGCGAGAGTAAGGGAGGACGTCTTGGAGATCAGGAACACAGAGGAAACATTGAACAGAAAGGCCAACACACCATTGCAGAGCAGTATCCATAGTCCAGTATTGTAAACTTGGTCCAGCGAAACAGATGAAACTTCAAAAGTAACTGCAAACAGGAGGCAAAATAGGGCACATATTGGGGCAAAATAGTATAGAGAGAGAACAGGGTTCATCCTGATCTGGTTGCGCGAGAGCAATTTCTCCGTAAGTGTCAGTCGAACGGCCTCGAATACAATAGCGGCAGATTGTATGAAGACGCCTTGGGTATCAAAGCGAATCTCCCCGTAGCAAGAGATCATCACCCCGAAGCATATAACAGATACGACCATAAATATGCTAAACGTGAACTTGTATATGCCAGCCAGCCATCCAGCAAATAGTACCATAACCGGACCGACAGACTTGTTCCATATTAGCGGCATTCCTATGATCCATGTCAGGGGGACTACCTTAAACATCTGTATGAATGTCATGTTGAGAAACATGAGCGCGACATTATTGAAAATGAGATTCAGGCTGAAAAGGAAACCGATAGGAATGATGTAGCATAGGTAAATTTGACTTGATATCGGCACTGATTGTGAATGGTCGATGATAGCAATATTTCGTACAAAAACCTGCGTTCCAAGTGCAGACAAGGCGAGATGCCAAGTAGTGAGGATCATGGGAAACGGAAATGTGTTGAGGATTTGTTTGTTGAAAAGAATGACAGACGCACTGAGGGTTGTCCACAGCCTAATTTTTTATTATTTTTTTTTTTCAGTAATCTATCACAATAAAATGGCTGCAGTCGAAATATAAGACTCAAAGGGTCTTGTATGTTGGATTTACTTACAGTGCGTGAAAGAGAGGAATAGAAGGTTTAAACGAAGCAAATAAATCCATGCTGTAATCTTTTTTTGAACGGTGGTGTGTGTCAAGCAGATAGCGTTGTATCTAACGATCAGGCAAATGATGTCGAGTCGAAAGGGAGAAATCCAATAATTCTTCTGAAGTAATCCAAACGTATGACCGATAATTATGTCCTTCGTGCGCGACCCTACGGTTTACCATGTGGACCACCAGTCTATCTCACTGTTGCACGATAATTTCTAAACTCGAATCCACTTTCCATCAGTAGATATTTCTATTAATAGCCTTGTCCCACCGCCATGCTCCATTGTCTTAAGTCACTGGGCTACCACATTAAGATATTAATAGTGTAAGTTCTATTTCATGTTCAATGGGCGAAAACTTCCGACCGGGTCTTTTGTGTTGGTGATGCCTATAGGTGCTCCACTTTTCTGGCTTCTATAATTGAGACACGGTGTTTTCAAGTTTTCAACTTTGCCATCCGCAATTGCTGCTAGTATCATGATAGGCCTAGCTTAGTTGATCACCTAATAAATTGTGTACTCTGCAACGTATAGCCGTCAACTTCGTCAAAGACCTGTGACCGAGATGTTTGGCCTTTGCCGCCTAGCTTTCGGGATAGAAATGATAACAGTACTACCGCTGCCTTTCCAGCCATGGCCCTGAAAAGGCCAGGAGATCAAGAAGCGGGTCCGCAAATTGGTGGTCACGGGTGACTTTCGGATATTTGGAGGATTCTGGGAAGACTGTTCGACGAGTTCGCCTACAAAGTTCTCTTCGGGTGTTTTGAAGGTATATCGGCTACAGAAATACAGCTCTACTGAAAATGAGCAAGACCAATCGGTGGTCAATAATTGCGACGAGTATATTCATCAAGGTGAACCTAGAGAAAAGTTTGAACTATTTTCTTTGGAAAGCGACTTGTTTATCCTGTCTATCCCTCGTTGACAATTTTATCTTATTTCTGTTGAGGGCAGCGCAGCAGATGGTAGACTTCCAATGAACAGACTGGGACCATGCAATATATAGTTCACTGCTTCGTTCCATGTTCCTAAAAGGATCTGCAAATTCAATTCGCTTCTATCTTATTGTCTAATTTGACCTATTGTCATGCCTCCACGATCCTCGAAATTTGTGCCGTACGAATGCATCCTCCGGAATCGACCCGTCATTTGTACTGTTGGAGTGTGACTGACCCATTCCAAACCCATCGATTGGCAGTATCAGGATATCTCCCACAAGTCGCGGTTCCGTCAGTCCACTCAAGTCACTCAACGACATAAGATCCGGCTCATACTGCTGCAAATGTCGGAAAACGCCATCTGTCCAAGCAGATGGCCCAGTCAATTTCATGACTTCCGATGAACTCACATGGAGCTCCGAGAACGTTGTTTCTCTTGCGGTTGTAAAGTCGTCCAGGGCGGTTACAACCCAATCTACCATGTAACTGAAGAGAGGGTGTCCAGAAGTTGCAGCAATGGTCCACTGGCAAAATTGCATGTCGGGATGAACCTCGCCCCAGTTTGACCCATTAAGGCGATCGAATTCAATCCCTAGAACAACCCGAGCATCTTTTCGATGTTTTTCAGGCACCCACAAGTCAATGGGCTTCAAGCTGACGGTATCGATATCCGAATAGACGCCGCCTCGAACTGATAAAATCAGGTACCTTAGCAGGTCTGACTTCATTCCGGTGTTCTTGAGTTCTTCAAAAATTCTCAACAAAGTTGGATTTCTCTGAAAGTGGTGGCGCACAAGTTCTTCTGCTCCTTCGTCTCCAACCAAGGTGTATTTGTAGTCGCGGTTATGAGCTAGCCAAGAGACAGCGTCGGATAGCTGATTAGGATTCACCTCGAAACTGCTTTTGTTGACATTTGGCGGGCTGAGATATATTTGCCATACATGTCGTGGAAATAAAGACGGCCAGTCCTGAGACGGAGGGAACTTCGTTTGTTTCGTTGTTGGTTCTTTGCTCTGTCGAAGGATTGAAATGATACCGGAGTGAATAATGAAGTATGCTGGTCACCATAAGCAACCACAAAATAATCAATAGCCCAAATTTAAAGACATGATTCTGAAGGCTTGAAACACGGAAAAAACTTTCAAGCCGCACCACATAAGACCAGAAAAATGAAGACGATCGTTCTAGCTGCTCTTTGAACATTTTGCCAAATAACTTCAGAATGAGGTCGTGGAGAGCAAGGTTGAGAGATGTGTCAAAGATCAAATACAGATTCGCTGCGGCTTACCTCGGCATTTTCAGACTCGTAAGGCACTAATATGCTTTCCAGTATGGCCCACTTGCGGAAAATCCAAGAAGATCACGGAATACCGGGATGTGGATTGAGACAAAACAATTGGAATAGATTACGCTCAAATGTAGGTAACAATTAGACCTTGACAAGTGCTGTGAATTTAGTACTGTTGGTGCCAAGACAGTGCCAAGACAGTGCTAAGGCAGCAGCAAATCTAGTATAAGTAATAGCAAGCCTTTTTTGTTACTTTTTTGTGAATTATATTACCCAAAAGGGTATGGTCGTAGCACTATCTCATCGGATTTCATATAGTGCTGCAGCATTTGTCAAGACCTAGTAACAACTAATCTAGGAGAGGGGATCTTTGTAAAGACGGCCAATGCCAGTGTCAGTGTGGTGCAAAGCTAGTGATAGACCACGTCTTGATAAAAGAGCCAGAAGCAGGAGGACTTAGTTTGACGATATCAGGGCAACCATGAATAAGTTTGGCAAGATGTATCCAATTTCGCGCTTTTTTCCCCATAAATAATAGAATTAACTAATGTTTCACAGAGATTTATCAGTGCAACCTTGGTAACGCCACACAGTCCGATGTATCCACTCCATCGACCGCCTGCGCCATCTAGTTACCTTTCTATTTTTGGGTTCCACACAACTTTAAATAGGTACTTTCTGAAAGATAAGAGGATTAAAAAAAGTCTTGAGGAAAGGCTGAGAACAGAGAACCTAAAATACAACCATTATCTCTCAATTGCACCTGGATAATTCATTATTTAGTCATTAAACGATACATCATCCATGACTAGAACAGATTTGGGCTCCGGCCATCTTCCGTAGTGTATCTAATGGCAAATTTCTTTGATCGTGTCCGAATGTAGACGACGAGTCAAAGCTGCCATCATGACACACGCACCACTGATTGGTCCTGTGATTAAATTATTTCATCTATATCCAAATCGTGATTAGTTAACTTTGACTCATCCAAAGCAAATTTCGACAACACCTTTTATGAAGATTAGCGCCAGATCTTAATGATTATGAAAATAGAAAGTACTTGTTAACTATTGAGTAGTTTGCCAGAATATTTCCGATTGAATGATGTTTTATATTGCAACTGGGACATTCAGATCTCATTGGCCCCTCGTGCCCTTTAGGCATCCGTGCATGGAAGTGAGGCAAGCGGGGAAGAGCCCATTTAAGATTGACGAAGTAGCGCCCTTGAAGAACGAAATTCGTGCCATCTTCATCCCACATATTTACACATATTACTCGATCCCTATACCGTAATCATGGAAAAGGCCGATTACTTTATCCGTTTCCCGGCCTTTCAGAGAGCCCCGATGTTGTCTTCCAATTCAGAATTTAGTCTTCTCGCTCGAGAAATGAATTGGAAAAAAGACTCGAGAAGATACAGAAAAGAGAGAGCAAACTTCCTTGCTTCCGAATTTAACATTTATTATGGCTCCAATGCGACCAAGCTAGAAAACTGGCAGGCACTGTGTGTAGAGCTAGACATCTCTGATTCCATTGGAAGTATCACACAGTGCCGTAAGGTTAGTCACTTATTGATGAGCATATCTTCATTATCTTGGCTTCTTTATATTAACGTTTTAAGGCACTTGGCAATGTACACGTTAATCTGGTTGACTTGGTAGACTGTCGAAGAAATGGTCAAACTGCTAGGCGATTTCCTAGTGTCGCAGCGCTCCAGAAATATACAAAAAAAACGGATAAGATATTTCCGAGATCCGCAGCCAAAGAGGATGGATTCCTGAAGGCGTTATTGAGGGTAATTTACTAAGCAGTAGTGAACTTTGGAAACGAGTGCTAGGGGGAGTGTGAAATACTATATTCATGGCTATTTATGGATACAATGTTTCTTTGCGAGACCCTTAGGAGCAGGCTTGCATTACATCCAGTCAGACCTAACCTCAAAATCCTTTATTCTCTCGTAGATTAAGCTTCTGTCAACAGAATTCATCAATGATGAGTGACTGAGTAATACAGACCAGACCTGCTCAGTGAACAGATCTGGGAAATTGCTACACCAAGGTGGAGTAATTATAGCAGCGGACCATAACCGCACTATGCTTAATGCCAGAAAGGCCGAGATGCTGTTCGTACCCACTCTCGCTTGTGCCCGCGGCGTATGCGAATATTTAATATGATGAGGCTTGAACTGCACTTTCCTGGCTCGGTCGCGTTTAGTCCAGAATTGGTATTTCATCTGCAACTGGGGAGAAACATCAACTACCCCGTTCTGAGTTCGAATACGGGCCAGAGTAAATCATTCCAGCATCGTCATATACTCAGGCCTCTTCTATTTCTGGAAAAGGTCATCGCAAGGAAGATGTGTCCGTTTATTCTGATCAATATCGTCAACGGGAGCACCGATGTCCAGCAGACTGAAGGAGCCAGAGCAATCTCCCATCGCAGCAAAATGAATGAGTGACCTCTTATACGGGCCTCTGGGGTTACATGTGCCCCTTAATCGGATCTCGTTGTGTGTTTCGTCAAGATAATTCATGATATCTTTGTTCAAATTGTTCTCACCGATCTCCTTCAGGTGCTCGAATTCTCGATCAAAGATGTCCATGGTGGTGCGCGAAGCCATTTGAACTTCGTTATGTTGTATGGAGTCGATACTGATGGCAAGAAGTATATTCTAGACGGGACCTAACTTGGGATTAAACAATTATAGGTATTTATATATAGCTTCCAAGGTTTGAATGTTAGCATTCACCTTCACTTTTTGCCTTTCTGTGCCTATCAGATTTCCACTTTCCTGAAATAAAGTCTGATCCAGGGATGGTTAAACGCACTCTTCAGTTGAACAACCAGTCTTCGAAGAATTCTTTGCCGCAGAAACTTGTCGCCGACTAATAAAGCGTTCCCGGGCTATGCAGTCAAAAAGGAAAGCTTTTAGGAGGCCGAAATAATACTGGCAAGGTGACATTTACCAAAGTGGAAGGAACATTGCCTCACGAAAATGGATTCTCGCATGATTGTTACTCGGGGTGATCATCAGGTTAGATACCGATTCCATAGAGGCAAGCAAAATATCAATGGTAAAATTTATTAGAAGAACGTCATAGGATAATTCTGAGTTTGGCACAATCATCAGCGAAGATCTATTATCCAGCATGACCGCGAGCTCACAGGTATTCACGGAAGTCTCACTACCAGGTTACCTACCTTGAGACACGCCGGGTAAATTCAATGACGTGCAGTGCCGGCGCCTAGTGTTCTAAAAAGAGAAATCCAGTGGCTACCCTCCTATACATCTATATATGTATCACTTGAAACGCATGAGCCCCGAGAATGAGGGAACGTGTCGCTGGGTGGGTAAGTTCAGATCCTCAGCACCAACGATCCGACCATGATTCGCGACTTAGTGTATGGGAGTGAAGCCTAATTTACCAGACTGAAGTGAAGAAAGCCGACCAAAATACTTCCGGAAAAAAAAGGACCTCAAAGCTCGTTCTTCCGCTGACGGCAGCTGCATATATCCGTGGGATGCCTTACTATGCCAACTAACATACTCTTGCTCATGTCGCAAGATTAGATTGCTGCTACTTGTCTGCAACGTCGATTTTCTCGAGCACTAGTGAGACCGTGAGGGCAGCTTATTCACCGAAGACCATGTATAGCACCGCTTCGCGTCTTCTATTTGTATTGTTTGTTTTCTGTGTTTTACTTTCCTTTCCTTCATTCTTATGTCGAAATAGCCTTTCAATCTTTCAATAGGTCTTTCCAAGCGTAATATTCAATCCTTATATACTGGTAAAGTACCTTTCGGTATTATTTATCGTACACGATGGGAGATTTCGCTGAATATTCACAATTGTTCTGTCTCCAATGAACATTTCGAATGTGAGCGGTCAAATTGTCTTTTCGATTGAAAGATTTGAGACACTTAAGATCGGAACATACATAGGCTCCGGGGTTCAAATGTATTGCCTGGATGTGCCGTAACAAGACTGATTTGCGCGAGAATATGCCATTATAGTTGCATTCTTTCCATTGACATTTATATGGACCAGCGTGGCTGGTGCTGAGGATGCTGTCAGGGAGGGCTTATAGAAGAATCAAGATCAAAGCTCATGGCAACTTACCCATTGTGAGGTGAAGTCTTTCCAATCTTGAGTCGACTTTTCCTGCCAATATTTGTTTGAATGGGTCCGTTTTTATAAGAGCAGCCCCGAAGAATGGTCCCATTGGATATATATGGGATGAAAATAAGAGGCTGTGATGGATCCTGTTGAGATGTTAAATACAGCCGTACACCACCATCAGAGTCTGCATCATGGGCAATGTAAGGGTCAAGTTGGTTGGTCGTCGGGTTTTGTGTAAGCCATGGATAATAGAAGCTTGATTCGGCACTCATGGCCGAGTCGGAGATGCCACTCGATGTAGTGAAGATGTTATGCTCCATAACCGAACGGTGATCTAGTGGATCATGCTGGCGATTCTCCTCACATAATGTATTGAGAGGCATTGAGCTGATTTGGCTCTTTGCCATGCCATTATATTCGAAGTTATCACAACGGAAGTTCCACTCCATCGTGGAGGTAACACGAAAACTGTCGACGTAGATGGAAGAAAGGAATCCCAAATCGAGGAGAGCCTGGGCTCTCTGAGAATATAGCGAAGCCAGGACAAGGAAGACATATTTCAATTTATACCTCTTAACACATCTACTACTGGGAATTCCCTGTCGTTCATGAAAGGCGGGGTGTAACGCTAACCTAAAGCGGATACAGTACATCAAACTGCCTCCTTTCAAAACCCTGTTGGATCCATTTCGTTCCTCCTCATACTAACTATTCTAAGTTCTGCCCGAACTCCCGATGTGAAGATTAATGGCGCTCGAGCACTCTGGATTTGATGATCTCTACGATATGAGCTCCAGAGTCATCATTGAATATCGGGCCTTTGATCATGCGAGAGGAAAGAAGCTGAACCCTAAACAGCAAACGGACAGACTCTATCCTTTAAAAAAAAAAAGAATTCTAGTTTCAACGCAGTTCGTGATTCGGCATCTCTGAAAGAGTCCGTCGGCTTTAATTCTGGAGATCACTCGTTTGTTTCTATGATCAGGGGTTGTGAATCGGTCTGGGTGCGGCTACTTAGCCGAGCGGCTCATTTAAGGCAGCTCGCTTGTGAAAGATGAAACTAGAATGGTCTTGTCGATCGTTGAGCGACCAGCCTATAAGATACGAGCGGGGTCCGTTCTCCTTGCCATCGCTGTCCGCTTGCCTAATTTAGAAATAGTACTTCAGCCCCCATTTTCACATAGCTGAAGTCAATCAAAACATTTCAATCTGTTTCCAATTTCTCGAGTTAATCGCAATTTTAACGCAGCTTGTGGCCCCAAAATAAGCTCTTGGCCTGCGGTGTGTACGGAGGTGTTGTTGCCCCCTATTGAATCTAATGTAAAGTTGCGGCCGATCAAGATCGTCAGGTCATTGGTTCACGAGCCAATACTCAGGATTTCGAGTCTACCCCAAAATTACAGTCTTTTTAGGTCCGCGCATCTACTAATTTTCTGAGCCTCCGCCTTCACTAGCAATCTCTTTTCCTATAAATACAGTCATTCTCGAAATCGCCTTGACCAGTTCACACTGAGGATCTCTTTCTCGACCCCATGGCCAAGGCTTTAACGCGTAAATTGAGGGCTGTTGTGCAATGTAGCCTGTATGGTATTGTACCTGCTCATCGTAAAGATGCGCGTTGCGCCTTGAATATGGGGTAAACGATGATAACTACTGTACTAGACACGGGGCGTATTACAGAGGTGGGTGGCCAGCCCATTTAATTATCTGCGCCAGGGACTGGGCAGTGGGGCCAGGAAAGAGTCTCTCTGTTGTAGTGGCCAAGGCGATTTCGAAAATCACTGTAGCGATCCATACGCTTCTATATAGCTTACCGTTCTACGTGTGAGTATTTTAGATAAATAGTTCCGTATATATTGTATCTTGAATACTCTAGCTCCGGATGGAATGTAAGTCTTGATGCCATAATGCGCAAATATCTGCGAGAAACGTTGTAGACAACAGGTGAAAGTATTTACATACCAACGAGCCTATTAAGGGTTGTATGATTTAATCTAGAGTCCCATAATTAGTCGAGGGGGCTATATCTTATCTTGAAATCTCGTAGACGCTACTTAATTAATAAGGGCATCCAATCTCCGGGGTATGATAAGAGACAAGGGTGTTTTTATTCACCACTAGCAGAACGGTCGCGGTTGTGATTTAACTCTGGAAAGGGCAGAATTCCCATTACAATGAGCTTTAATTCCTAAAGAGCCAAAGACCCTCAAAAGTGGACTCCTGATAGTTTCTGCTCATCAGTTTTCAGTTATTTCCCCAAAGATTCAAATGCTTGACATGGCCGGTTCCGACGTTACTCCTTGTACGTTGGCAAGAAGAAAAACGACCTTCGATTATTCAATCATTTGAAGTATGTTCCTTGATATCAAAATGCGGTTATGATTATTTATAGAAAGCTTCGTCTGATGATCATGTGTTTCTTTCAGATGGATCTAGCCTCAATTGTGACAAAGCTTCTTCCTTGGAACATAGAGTTCCATAATTCCTTGGCTGGCTCATCCTGGGGACGGCATACGAAGAGGAATTCCCCTAGCAATGACATTGCAGTATCCCAGTCCTGTAGATGCAATTGATCTGCAATATCCATGAGACGTAACAAGAACCATGAGTTACACTCCATCCCCTTGGATGCAAGACTGCCGATGAAAAGGACCCAGAACAGCAGGTCAGACGCAGTGCTTTGAAGAAGGAAATAGTTCCTATATAGTATTTCTTGTAGCGTCTTGACCTGTGATTCCAGGCATGGCGTTCCGTATATGCTCCATATTCTTATAGAAGAGTAGACGAAAATAGAGAATCGAATTATCTCTTGAAATCCCGTGAGTGGACATTTATAGGGGAGACACAGTAGGTTGTGGCTCAAGTAAAGCAAGCAATCATTTTCAACCGAGATTGGATCCACAATAAAGTTCTCTCCTGTCTCATAATACAGAACCAGCTGCTGGTAACAGGAGATTATTGACTTGAATGCCGGTTGAATTTCGCTTGACCATGTAGCGTTGAAGAAGCGAGTACCAAGCACCGAGGGTTGGGCAAAGCGGCGGCTTGCCTTCATAATAGCAGACTCTCGAAGGACCCTGCCCTCAAACTTCGCGCACATAGGGATTCTTGGCGGCGAGTTACTTACCAACCCCTGCAAGAATGTGCAACTGCAGAAACGGTGGGAGTAAATAATAGAAGCACAAGAGTGTCAGATCAAGATTTACCTGTAGATCATAGCAAGCGTTTGATACCCAAGAACATCCACTCCACCTATCCATGCGATAATCTTGGTCACACCATTCATATGCATCTCAACAGCTTCTGTGTTGGCTTCAAAAATCTAAATTGTATCCCATGAATTAAGTTTGATCTCGCATCAAGGCTCCAGAGCCAATAAAACCTTCTCTTCATAAGAAAATCTTGGAATACCTACCTCAGAGATAATCAGGTGAGTAATCATGAACACAGTTGATTCCAAGCATATGTTGCTTTTATTTTGCAATACTTTTTGAAGTGATTTCATTGTTCCAATGCGAAAGCGGATCGTATCTTGCGCCGGCTGCTGCACAATGGTTGAAGGGGCCCCGAACGCTTTGAGAGCAGCAGTGCGATGAGATGCACTGATCGATAACTTGATATGCATCAAAATAGGATCATCGAGTACTTTTTTCCAAAACCAGAGCGTCACATCGCTGGGGCAGAGAGGGAAACAGGATCTTGCGCAATAAACTCGATCTGTTGATTGAACGATTAAACACAGCACAGTATAGTACACCAAATAAAAAACTAGCGAGGAGTCGGTCAGGGTAGAGATTGGGAGGTCTTGTTTAACCTTTACTTTACTCACAATGTTGGAAGTAAATGTTCGGATTTTGGTTCGTGCTACCAATTAGAGCGGGAGCTCCGTCAAGAACCCCGGCTTGCAGAGACGGTCCTATAACCGATCCTTCGGCTTCAAGATCTTTGTCACTATCGCCTCGTGGTCGGGATAGACAATGGTAATTATTCTGCAGAACCTTTGTAGTCGTGGTATCGAAACATCGCGGATTGTACTCCGCTGACTCTTTTTCTCTTCGTAGACGATGATGTCTGAACCTCACAAAAGCTTGCTTAGATCGGAGTAATTCGCGAGGGCGAATTTGATCATCATGGTGATTGATCCACAGAAAGTCCTCTGTTGGTCGTACTGAACGTTTCTTTGTGTCCGAAGCCGCGTTGAGTTTCTCACGGGGTGCCATAGGTAGATCGACTGACACAAATTTCTCTTTTAACTTGTAATGTTGCAGTACTGTGGGAGATCCAAGAACTTTGTCTATTCTGAGATTACACATGACTAGTAGGAAGTTACCCCTGAAAACCCGCTCTCGGGCCCCGCGGCAAACTATCACGTCCAACCCGCTCAGTCGGGGTGATGGGTTAATGGTCGCTTATGGAAGCCGAATCACTAGTTTCAGAGGGGGGGGTAAACGCAGTCAGCCCCGACTGCCCTTCCTCGGGTCCGGTTCACTACGGGCGCGCGGCCTCACCCTGTCCCACCTGGGCGGGATTCCTGACTGTAATTTCCGGGGGACCCCCTGATTATAGTTTTCTATTCGGATGGACGGGGTCTTTTTGAGGATCCTTTTGAAGAGAGTAGCCGCTTCGCTAGCTAGTTTGTAGTCCAATTCTGTATTCTCTACGATTAATATCCGAGGGGAAGTTACAGTAGTGTGCTCGGGTGGTGAAGTTGGCGGGTTAGTTAGTTTAACTGTAACAGTCACATTTGTGATTGCCTTTCGTCGTGATGACATTTCGCGTCAGATATCGATGCCTATCAATAATTTCGAATCCCCAAATTACTTGCGCATCCCACCCTTTCGTTTTGTTATGAGCAACCTCGTCGATCACGGTCTTTGATGGGCTTCCTTCGCCCAACCTCTGACGAAGAACCTCGTCAGAAACCTCCGATGTATTCGCATACCGCAACATCATCGTAATATATCCAAATACATGCAGAGAATATTCCTTTTCCTCTCCATTGATTGGGTAGTATCCTTCGCTGTCGAAGCTTCCGGGCCTCACGGTCTGCTTTATGTGCAATGTGGTTACCGGGGCCGCAGATAATTCATTGCAACTTGGAGTCTCCATGCTTTCCGGCTTGAGATTTGCGCTTAAAATGGCTTGGGATATATTCAATGAAAGACTCGCACAACTTAGGATCTTGCGAACCACTCAAGGCACACCTTGCTGGAATGAAGCTAGAAATCGTAGTATATACCATCCAGCAATTTCTCGAAGACCCACCTGCTCAAGGATCTTGTCGGGATCATTGGATAGTTTCCTGTCCTTGAGTAGTTATCTATCAGTACTGTAGCCCTCGCGATGATGGAGTGCTAACTTACCAAATTCCACACCCCTTTGAAATTCGGGGTGTCCTTGGATAAAGGTGCAGCGATTGAGTACTCCGAGAAGATATCACCGCTTGATCGATTCGATTTATTTCGAGTGGCATGGCGAGCTAGCTAAATATATGAATTTTATTTCCACTCAGTCTGGTTCACCTCTCTTAATCACGCAACTTGGTGTTTCGGAGTCGGAATCGGCCTCCGAGCCTGGTATTAAATTTTGAGAGCCCGAAAAAAATGGAATGTTGTAATTCTGCCCTGGTGGCTTGTTTCCAGGTTCTTTCCAGCACCGATCTAAACGCGAACTGTCCGAAAATATGAAATCCGCACAGTTGTGCCTTTACAATGCAAAATCCTTTTACTCAACTTCAATCCGAGGCTCAATTTAAAATTTCGAGCCAATATTTAAGTAAAAACTTCTCGGAAGTGCTACAGGCTTCCAATTCAGACTATTCGCAGCACTGAAAAGACACCAGGATAATTATAAATTAAACGGTAACGTCGGCTATGGTATTTGAAAATGCTTGCAAGCAATGCATTACTTTCCTGAGAGGCAGAACAGCTTCCATATACTCCCTAGCCACAACATGGTTTCTAAGAGGTTCTAGTGGGCTATGGTATGAAATATACGGAGCAGAGCTGCCTTCTTCAATGAATTCGCCAGGTAAATACTCCGGGATGCCAAAAGAGTGATCAAGTTTCCTCAAGATTCCGAAGCTGAGCTCAACTAATACCTGCAGTTTGGCCTTGAAATGGCCCTCCATTTCAAATCCTCCAAACTGCAATGTCGGGAGTGCAAGAACCTTGGCTGCGTCATCTGGCGGGATCATCAGAAGGGTCTGGTATATTTGGGTGAAAAGAGAATGATAAATGTGGATGAGCTGAAAATAGGCTGATAATATAGTCAAAGACTCCGATAGCTGATAGCCGGGAGAGCTTGTGTCTCCGAAAACATTTGACAGCGCGGGTCTTATTTCTGTATATCCGGGTTCATGCGATGTCATGAAGCTAGGTATATCATCAAAATCAAGCCAACCATTGACTCCTTCATTCGGTACCGAACAAGAATCTTCACGGGGGCTCGTATCATGTTCTGTGGGTGTTATAGGAGACAGATTCCACACGTCATTGATGGGAAACATGGCCCCTGGTTGAACGATGTCCAAGAATTTAGACGAATGATTCAATATTCGAAAAATAGGTAAATCGATCTTTGAAGCGCCTTGATCGGAATTCTCACTCATGACAAGTGAAGAGCTCAAATTGTTTGATGCTGCGTCTAGAAGCTCGAGATCAGAGATAAGCTCAACGTTTAGTTGCATAATATTTCTGAGTTGGTCATATGAGTATTGTGCGTAATGGTTTGTCGTAGGAAATGGATACTCGTATTGCGCAGAAGATGGCTCGCTACCCCAGCGGCTTCCTGAGATGCTTGGATGAATATAGATTGGTGAATTGAAAGTGTCATTTTTTATTGGATTTGTTGAATCGAAGCCAGAATCGGTCGGAAGATGCTGTGGTATGTCCAAAATGTCTGGCCCAAACCCCGGATTCTCGGAATTCAAGTTGTTTTCAGTCACATGCATATCGTGGTACATGGATGGCTGTAGGGTTGGGATATTAGAATTATTTATCCGATCAATTATCTGCATCTCTGGGTTGAAATATCTTACAGGATACGGAGAAATGTCATTCCAGGGCAGGTAGTCCTGACTCCACTGATTGAAGGACAATAGTTGATGAGACACCGAATGCATTTGGGGCTCCTTCGTGTCCGAGAAATTAGAAGCTGCGTCATTTTCTAGGAACGGAAAGATGTTCGGGTCAATCGACGCATTAAGCTTCTGCTGTTCTATTCTGCGGCAGACCCCCGAGGATGCGGTTGCTTTTCTCACTCTCGAACCGGATGATCGATGAAGAACTTGAGATGCAGTAGGACCACCTCTGTCTCCGGATATCTCAACTCGACTTCGAGAGAAAGAATATATATCCTTCTTTGGTGAATGGAATTGTTGAACTGGCTGTCCAACAGTTGTAGTACACGTCACCTGGGCTTTGAGACACCTCTCGCATGATCTGCCATTTACTTGATAACGCTCACAGCGTAGCTTGAACCCACGACATCTGTCGCAGGCAGAGCGTCTTGATTGTCTGTAGTTGATATTCGGTTGTATGGCGCTCATAGCAATGTTCATCGGTCGTGATACTTGAACGATATTGTCGTGAGCAGTAGTTTGAGGTACCTTACGCGAAATTTAATCAGTTTCCACCTACTGTTACCCTCTTTTCTATCGCCTTGTAACGAAGTCACCTATCTCTTTTCCCTGGAAGATTTGGATGCAAGCTATTCGTAGACCGGTCCAAATAGTGTGACACAAGTCTATAGACCTATTTGAAATACAAGTCCCAGGTCTTGGTGCACGAAACGTACAAGCAATGGTGAAGATCAGCGTATACAGTCTATGACTGCGTAGAGAGCTGGAATAGTATAGATCAACCCTTTTTTTTCTTTTTTTTTTGCTTTCTTCTCTGGGGATGCGATTGCATTTAGCACTCAAAAAGGACCTGCATCTCACCCCAAAGCCATTTGTCATATCCTGAAGATTACTAGTACGAGAACTAATCTTGAGCGGCAAATTTGACAAAATCGGATTTAGCTCAAGCCCAGGTATAACCAAGTGACATTCGCCAAAGCTATTGAAAAAAAAAAAAAAAAAAAAAAAAAACCAAAGACAAGCTATTAAATAGCGTTACAGGCCCTTCTTTTTGCACAGAAGGGTCTTCAGGCGAGAATCGGCAGTAGTAAGTGAGTAGATATTTACCATCTGTCATCCATCTCCACGGTCAGAAGGCAACCTGTGAACCTGAGTCTTAGGGATAGACAGTTTTTAAATAAGGCCAGGAAAGTCTCATGGGACCCTAGTAATTCTTCAGGACACAGCTCGTGGCTCTAGACCCACCGATGTCGTGATACGCCCGGCTATTTGGTTTGGTAACAAACTACTTCAGGTGACCTGGAAATTTTCCGCGTGGTTCAAGTTCAATCTAAGATGTTTAGAAATAAAACGTGGAGGGCGTATGGATATGAGCCAGGCATGTTCTTGGCTATAGCTCCTGTCTTCACCGACTCTTTCATATCAGGCTCTCGATCAGTTAGTTGGTTTCTAAGCGGGCTGCAGCACCAGATCAAACATCAATATGAGTGTAAGAATCCCACTTGGGCGGTAAATGTTCCAGGATATGAGTCATTGTATGCAAGTATTCTCTCCAGCGGGGCATGCGCGAGAGATGTCGCACAGCGGAGTCTAAAGTTCTTGTTTCAAACATGATAGAATGTTTTACAGCAGTGACACGCCTCTATCTCTAGTAAATGCCACTCACATTAGCAACTTCGGCAATTTGGTGAAAATCTTACCCAGTATGAGTATGGTTAGCAGGGGTCCGAGAACAAAACAGGTCAAGTTTAAGGGAGAATAACTTTACAAACGCAATCATCTGGCTTCAAATTATTCCCTGGTGGGTTCAAGTCTGCGGTGCAATCCTAAAAGAGTAGACCCCCCACACACATGACTGCTCAGGTGCGAGGCTGGGCAATACATTGTATTCAATGCCGTTGGAACTAAGAACTACCATCATGAAGAAAGGATTCGATAGTAGGAATAGAACAATCACTTTTGGTTTCCATGGTATCTTCGCTGTAACGCGCTCAAAATCCATATGTACATAGACGAAAATAATCAACCACGACTTCGATAATCCACTCCATCACCACCTTATGGCTTATAGGACCGGTGGTGCGACAAAGGAATCAGGAATTCCGTCGAAGACCCAATTCAGACTATCGAAAACTTCCGAAAATCCAGCTTCGCTGAAGAAGGCAGCGCTCTCGTCGAATTGGGCAGGAAGCATAAGCGACGGGTCATCCATAGACTGGTCCTGCGGTCGCGCTGAAGAGCCTGCTGCCGATGATATATCTTGATTGGCTATTGCTGCCGCGGCTAGAAGATGTAATCAGTATGGCCCGATGGCAGAAGAAAGATTTGACACGCAACCAATGACTGACCTTGCATTTCTTCGATACTTTTCATGGGTCGGAACCGCTGGCGCCAGCGCCATACAGTATCATAAACGTGACTCATACTCATGCGACAACGAACCTTCAGTTGAAGAATGTCCTCCTCAACGGGTTCCGGGCCACTAGCATTCCACATTTGGGCCAGAATGTCAGCAAGGCGGATCGGACGATCGTGGTCCATCACACTGATTCTGCGAATGGCCGAGATGGCACCATTAAACAATAGTTTCCCGTGGTTGAAATCGATGTGCCGGTTGAAGTTGCTCTTGAGAAGTTTCATTAGTGCGAATGCTGCAGATACGATCATCTGCAGGATGTAGTTTGTAGAATGACCAATCAATTCGCCCGGTGATGTTTCGAGGTCGAGGACCCTTCCCAAGAAGGAAGTTGTCGCGATAAAGAGTTTTGTCAGGTCATCGCTGCGAGGACTGGCTCCCAGGAACACAAAGTATCGGAAATGTAATTCTGCTGCTCGCAGATGGATCATGTTAATTGCTAGAAGTCGATGTTAGCTGTGACGTGGGATAGGTGCCTCGGCGGGTTCATGGATTGGCCTACCGGAAATATCACGGCCAAACTCCACTTCCATTTCTCGCAATTCGCTTTCAAGAATCTGAACAATGACAAGCTTCTCGGCACTGACGAACTCTCCGGGTTCAGGCTTGCTGCTATAAAGTGCCTTGGTAACTCGGTCGCAGAATTTCTCGATGCGGAGGCGAATGGTCAGGTCGTTGGGGAGACGGTAGTCGGCGTCTTTGAGAGATGCAGGCTCAAGAGCCCAGTCGTAGATGGTGCTTGGGGGCTGGCCGTATCCGGTGGCAACACTGTCCAACATTAGCACTTGTCGGTATATCATGATGGAACAATGGGTACAGACTTTTGAGCAACTATGTTGCAAATCACCCAAGTATGAAGGCGATCCTTCAACGCCTCTCCTTGAACCTCCATTCTGAATGTGGTAAACTCTTCAGCTTGAACTGGCCGGTGCAAACCTAATTGCATGGCAATCTGCATCATCAGACCGCTCAGCATGAAAGTTGCATCCGTGCGTTGACTCGTAGTCGGAAGAGGCCATGTGCATAACACACACAACGCTTTCACGACACGGTAGTCTTGCGGAACACTGGTGATCGTTGACCAGAGAAGTCTACTGAAGGGACCCGACAATGCAGTGAGCAGTCCGGGTTCGGTCGGAGATCTGCGGCTAGCCACACAGATGATGGTCCATGCTAATAGAGGACATCGATTAAGATAAACTTCAGACGGCTTGGGAGGGTTCAGTAGTGGCAGAAAAGGGTGGTAGTAGTTGAAGTACCTGGGACAAGTTCAACATGTTAGCCCAGGACTTGAAGCTCAAGGTTTGGTATAAGATGGTCCTACTGTTCGTAGAGTCTTGAAACCCGAGCACGAGAGAGAGAAATATCCTCGAGCCGCCATGGGGTGTTTTCATCCTGCGACAGAATCGACCCGTCCCTTTGCATAGTCAACGGGGTTGCCATTGAGGCATGCGGCTCTGCCGGTACAGATACAGGCCTGGGGCGATCGACAGCAGCCGAGTCACGGCGAGCAAAAACCTCCTCTGAGCCTTCGGACAGGTCGTCGCCGACATGGCCATCAGCAGGCACCTCCTGGTCCGATGGATTGGTTGCCAGCTTGCGTCGGAGATCAGCGATCTCCTTTTCCATTTCTGCATTGCGTCTGCACTACCATTAGCAAGAGCATAGGATATAAGGAAGGAATAAAGAGAGATTACCGGCGCTTGGAGATACGTTTGAATGATTGTTCCACTTTACAATCGATGCCAAGGCGACGGCAGCGTGAGCAAGCTGCAGCCGGAGTCTGTACTATATCACATCGTAGCTATTTGAAATAGCAAAAGAATTAGTGGGTCAAAACTTTCGTAGGGAATGGCGGGGGGGGTGGCAGGGTGAAGGTCAAGTGGAAGGATGGAATGGAATGTATCGAGTTGAGTCCACTCCAATCCACCTCAGCCTTGACTTCGACTGCGACCTCGACTCGGCCTCAAAGCGGAAACCGGATCGGAGGAGAGGAGCTGCATGTCTGCCAGCACGGTGGCTCACCTTCTGTTGCTTGCACTCATTGCAGGCCTTGCGGCTGCCACCTCGGCGCTTGCCCGTGACAGGCGGGGTCTTCTCCATCTCGCCAGATTCGGGACTGCGCTGCAAGAACTCGCCCGGGGCAGGCCGGGGAAGTCGAGGGGACCGAAAGTCGCTGGGGAAGAGAGGTGGCCCATTCGGTGCCAGCAAGTTCCGATATTCCAGGTCCATCAGGATCGTCTCCCGATATAAAAACCCCAACCTGCACGAGGAGATGCTTTGCGAATGACCCTCCGCCGGAAATCGGCGAAATCGGCCCAGAAGAATGAAGGGGGTGGAGACAAAATGAGGCTGCTATGGAGTGTCATTGGACAATGTGAAACTACGAAGTCTCGCGACGGTCGGAGGTTGGACAGTCACGTGGTATCTCGCAGTCACGGGGACGTAGTCACGGGGTGTCACGGGGTCGAAGTCAAGGTCTCAACGTTTACGCAGACCCCGTGACCAAGTATGTTCCTGCCTTGCTGCCTTGCAAAAGACTCCACCGCATCTACACATCCACACAACACAACTACACTTCAGCTTCCCTTTCTAATTACAGTTAAACTGTGCTTATTTCGTCTTTTTTATATAACGCTTTCTCTTATTCTCTTCTCTCGTCTATCACCCAATTTATATCGACCCTTTTCCGTTTCAAATCTATTTCCCGATTTCAAGTTGAAAGATATATCTGGCAACTCGCGTGAGCGTTAGAACCGTGACCTGGGTCTCCAGAAACCTCCAGGGCTCCAACCACTAGCATCAACTCCTACCTTGGATGTACCAACCGAGGCATTACACCTGGGCAGACAACTCGGCTTCCTTTCGAGCTCCCGCACTCAGTGTCCCGTCTCCTCATCCTGAAAAGCGTTTTCTGCACTTCAGCCTACCTCTCACCAGTTCTTTCTATGGCATCGCCCACTGGCAATCGCGGAATCGCAGTCATCTCTGGGGGGCAGTGCCGCAAACAACCTCGTCGATGTATTCGATGCCCTGCGACAAAGCAAGGAATGTCCTCTGAGCTACATCATCCCTATTAGTGACAACGGAGGCTCATCATCGGAGCTGATTCGAATCTTCGGCGGCCCTGGAATTGGTGATGTTCGCAGTGAGTCCGAGTCTACGTCCCCCAATCCCCAAACTCCACCCGGGCCTGCTGATTTCTTGTTCAATAATGAACCCCTATTAACTTTACATCAGGTCGACTTGTTCGTCTCATCCCGGACTCATCAAATAATCCAGAACGCACGGCCATCAAGCTATTATTCAATCATCGTCTTCCCGCCGAAGGCACTGCGGCATCGCAGGAATGGCTCTCAATCGTAGATGGCACCTCTAGCTTGTGGCTTTCCGTCACTCCGGCCAAAAAGGAACTGATTCGTTCTTTTTTCAACATGTTGAATCTCGAGATTCTGAAACGAGCCCGGCCCCCGTCATCGACCTTTGACTTCACTTCCGCGAGCGTTGGAAACCTTTTTCTCACTGGTGCACGGCTTTTCAGTGGGAGCTTCGAGAGCGCCATCTATCTGCTAGGCAGCATTTGTGGCGTGCAGTCCGATATTGTACGCGTGATCCCAGCCATCAACTCAAACTTTTCACACCACATCTCCGCCACACTGGTCAATGGAACTGTCATTGTCGGCCAAAACAGCATCTCCCATCCCAGTGAAGAAACAGCTCTCCAGTCTCCCTCTCGAGTCCGACGGCCAAGTCTTCTTCTAGCTGATGGAGATGATCTAGAAGACACTGACCTTTCCGATATATCCGATACGGTTTCCTACGAAGAAGATCATCTACCTGGGTCTCTTGCGACGCTGCGTAACAAAAACATTTCCTTTAGCAAACATGTCAATGAAGATTTACCAAGTCGCATCAGCCGAATCTGGTACATCAATCCATATGGCCAGGAAATTCGCCCGGCAGCTAACCCCCGTGTGCTGGAAGCATTGAATGACGCACAAGCTATCATCTACAGCATTGGTTCTTTATACACATCTATTTTACCTGCAGTCATCCTCCGTGGAGTTGGAAAAAGTATAGTGACAAGCCCCGCTCGCCACAAGATCCTCATCTTGAATGGATCCTTAGACCGGGAGACCGGTCCGCCTTCCGAACCATTCGCAGCATCAGATTTTGTCGAAGCAATCACACGCGCAGGCGAAGAAAGCCGAGGGCGACTCCAACACACGCACCGTAGGTCGTTTGACTCGCCAGCATCGCCAGCAACCGTCCGTCCGAAGACCCCACTTCCGTATACATCATACGTGACTCACATTCTGCACCTGGATGGGCCCGGTACACCACGTGTGGATCGAGAGAAGTTGGCGGAAATGGGGATTGAGGCACTTCGTCTGTATGGGCGCAAAATCACGACGGTGCAGGGTGGTCAGGAAGTGGTGGTTGGCATGCGATATGATTCCAATGCCTTGCTCCAGGCGCTTGAGGTTGTACTGGGGAAGAAAGGGGATGCGATGGTTAGAGGTGGACTTGGGAGTGGTCTAGGGCGCAGGAATACGCTAGAGCCCACGCGACGAGAGAAATAAATGCAATCTATAGAATCTAAAAAAAAGGAGAAGGAGGAGGAGGAGGTAGAAGAAGGAACATCATACAAAACCTCCTGGACAAAATGGAGACGAGGAGAGAGACCCAACTGCCTCTACACTCCACCTTGCGAGTAACTGTCTTGATCGACCAAGAGAGTTCAAGTTCATTTCCCAGCCGAGATGCGCCACGCATGCCGAGGTCCGAATGCGGGGAAGCCGTTGATGTCGCTGCGATAAAACAACACGATGGGACTGCATCGACAGCTTGAACCTGACTTAGATGAAAGAATAACATAGCCATCATAATTATCATGAATTTCGATCTGCCGAAGGACTTACGAACCTATCTACAATCAATCGATACTTTTATCGATCAGAATATCTCACCGTTACAGCATAAAGACGACAATAATCGTTTCTTTGACCATCGCCGCGAGCATGCACGCACCGATTGGGATAATCAAGGCAATCCACGTCCAGAATGGGAACAATTACTGAGTGAGATGCCCTTTGCGACCATCAAAGATCGTATATATATGAGGAAACTTGATATGGCTGACACCATTCCAGAGCAGGCACGCGAACTGGCAGACGATGCTGGCTTCTATCGTTTCGCTCTGCCTCGAGAATATGGAGGACAAGAACACCCCAATAGCAACGTGTGGATGTCGGCAATCCGATTCCATCTTGCTTCACATTCAGTCTATGGAGGCGGGCTCGGCCTTGCCAATGACCTACAAAACGAGCACAGCATCATCGGCAATTTCCCAGACGTATTGATGGTTCACCATTTTGGAAGTGAAGAACAGCGACAGATGCTTATTCCTGCACGCCTGCGTGGGCAATTTCGTATGACGTTTGGCCTTACCGAGCCAGATCACGGCAGCGATGCGACCTTCATGTCGACCACAGCGCGTGCAACACGCGGCGGCTTCGAGATTACCGGGGCGAAGAAGTGGCAAACAGGGGCTCACCACTGCACGCACTTTTTGATCTTTGCGCGCACATCGGGCGCAGCTGGCTCGGCCAGAGGCATCACAGCATTCCTCGTGCCCCGGGACACTCCTGGGGTGCGTATCGCTAGCTACGAATGGACACTCAACATGCCGACCGACCACGCCACCGTCGAACTGGACCGAGCGTGGGTCCCGAGCTCCGCGGTGCTGGGTATCGTCGATCAAGGACTCGCGCTCGCGCAAACCTTTGTCCATGAAAATCGCATTCGCCAGGCCGCTAGTTCCTGTGGCGCTGCGAAGTATTGTCTAGAGCGCAGTATTGAGCGTGCGCGGTCGCGTCAAATTTGGGGCGAAGGAAAGACGCTTGCCGACAATCAAGCCATCCAGTTCCCCGTGGTCGAGTTGATGACCCAAGTAGAAATGTTACGATTGCTCATCCTTAAGACGAGCTGGGAAATGGATCGTGTGGTGGCCGAGTGTCGAACCACTGGCAAACGGCCTTGGGTCGAGATTGAGCGTCAACTGAGCGATCGCGTGGCGATGTGTAACTTTTGGGCAAATCGCCTTTGCTGCCAGGCTGCAGACCGAGCAATCCAGGTGCGTCAAGGTTCAAGCTTCAAGCTGTTCAAGTTCCAAGGTTGTTGTATAAATTCACCAAGTGCTCAGGCTAAATACCCCTGGTAGATCCACGGAGGCGACGGATACTCTCGCCACTATCCCTTTGAGCATATATATCGCCATTTCCGTCGCTATCGGATCACCGAAGGAGCAGAAGAGATTCAAATGCGCAAAATTGCAGCTTACCTCTTTGGATTTGCAGGCCCACAGAAAAAAGAGGCGAAGATTTAGAATTTAAAGTTGGACTGAAGAGATCATCTGCAAACGGCTCTTCGTTCAGTCACCCCTTCAAGTAGACCCTTCTTCAAGTTCTACTTCAATTCAACAACAATACACATTCACTACTTTGTACTACAAATCCACCTCTCACTGACATTCACCTGATCACATTAACATTTTTTCCGGCTTGTCTTTCCTTTCTGGTTCATTTTTACCTAAGAAAATTGTCTCCACACGGCGTCAGTGGGCCTTTGCCTTGTCGGAACCCCACCGAGCCGGTGAAAACGGAAGTCTGCAAGCTTGTTCCACCCAAAAAAAAAAAGATTGAGAAAAAAAAAGAAAAGAAAGAAAATTAACGACATCGAAGACATTCCAGACCTCAAACCTCTTGCCAACAGCTTCTCACCGGCCATTTATAATTGGTGACGCCAGTTGATCGCCAATATGGGCTCGGATGATGTCGCCACTGAGATCGTCTCGGACAAGAGAACCAACGAAAAGCCTCCCAAATACTCAGAGGTCGCGCAGGATATCAAGCCTTCCGATGCCGAGAATAACAACAATCAGTCGCCGCCTGGCGAGCTGAAGCGGAAGCTGAAGAGTCGACACTTGCAGATGATCGCCATCGGTTCGTTCTCTACACCTTATCAGATCTATCGAATCTATACTAACCAAGTTGATTGATGCAGGCGGTACAATTGGAACAGGTGAGCAGTCGCATCGGATGCGCCGTATGAAATAGGAGCCAAACTAATTGAGCTGCTTTATAGGTCTCTTTATCTCAAGCGGAACGGCCATCGCGGAATCGGGCCCGGCAGGTGCTTTGATTGCCTACATCTTCGTCGGAACTATTGTCTTTTCGGTCATGACATCTCTCGGAGAGATAGCGACCTATATCCCCACCTCCGGTGCCTTCACCTCATATGCGGCTCGGTTGATCGACCCTAGTCTCGGGTTCTCTATGGGTTGGATCTACTGGTTCAACTGGGCCTCAACCTTCGCCGTTGAATTGACCGCATGTGGAACGATCATACAGTACTGGGATCCGAGCTTGAATATCGCTATCTTTGTCGGTGCCTTCTGGGTCTTGATCACGGCTGTCAATTTCCTACCAGTGAGCTTCTATGGTGAAATTGAATTCTGGTTCTCTACCATCAAGGTTGCCACCGTGATTGGCTTTATGATCTTTGCGATCTGCGTTGATGTCGGTGTGGGTAAGCAAGGCTATCTCGGTTTTCAAACCTGGTCGGACCCTGGAGCTTTTGCTACGTATAAGATTGATACGCCCGAGTCCGTCGGCAAGTTTGTCGGATTCTGGGCCGTGCTCATCCAGGCAGGCTTCTCCTACCAAGGAACAGAGTTAGTTGGTGTCGCTGCTGGAGAAACTGAGAATCCCCAGAAGACAGTCCCATCCGCGATTCGCAAAACCTTCTTTCGAATTTTGTTGTTCTTTGTCCTGACCATCTTTTTTATCGGGCTTCTTGTCCCGTATACCAATGGTTCCCTCACTTCTGGCAAAACGGATGCCTCAGCAAGTCCGATGGTTATTGCGGCCGATCTTGCCGGTGTTAAAGTCCTCCCGAGTCTTATCAACGCAGTCTTGCTCACAGTTGTGCTGTCAGCGGCCAATTCAAATGTCTACAGTGGCAGCCGTATCTTGACAGGTCTCGCAAATGAAGGATTTGCCCCTAAAATCTTCGGTCGCGTGAATGCAGCCGGTGTTCCCTACGTCAGCGTTTTCACGACCGCGTTGTTCGGACTTCTCGGTTTCATGAACGTCTCAGAAAACGCTGGGCAGGTATTCAACTGGCTCGTCAATCTCTCCAGTGTGGCGGGTTTTGTGACATGGTCCTCTATCAATGCATGCCACATCGCATTCATGCGGGCGCTAGCAGCACGCGGCATCTCACGCGATACCCTTCCATACAAAGCCATGTGCCAACCATACCTGGCTTGGTACGGTCTCTTTTTCAATATCCTCATTGCATTGACTCAAGGATTCACCGCGTTCATCCCCCATTTCGATGTCGCCTCCTTTTTCTTCGCCTATATCTGCCCGATCGTCTTTGTTGTGCTCTACGTTTCCCACAAGGTTATCACCCGAGCGCCATTTGTTAAATCGGCCGAGGCTGATATCGATACTGGCCGACTGCCATACGAGAAGGAAACCGGTCCGCCAAAGGCATGGTACTGGAGAGTATGGGGTTGGATCACGAAGTGATACGTCCCCGTGTTAGGCTCCGATCAATGCCTCTGATGACTGTCATGTCTAGATCTTTCTCTTGAATGATCTCAAATATTCTCTTGCATTTTCTCATAGCAACTTTCATTCCAAATCATCATCGTCGAGGTGTTCCTCCCCATTCATATCATTCTCTTTCAATAAGATATAGAATTGTATTCAATCATAGACCAACCGTAGGCTGCGACTCTAGATATTTTGTTCAAACACACTTCAAGTAACGAGCCATCACAGCTATACCTCCTATTAAGGCGGTTATACCGGTCCAAAGTACAATAGTCCCATATCGACTCCCATATGTGCCCCATGCATGGCTTTGCCATCCGTCTGCCTTCAATAGTGCCTCGCTCAATGGCCCGCTAACCACATTTCCGATACCACGACCAGTCTCCATGAAGGGAAATATCACACTAAAATCCGTCGCCGGGTTGGCATGCTGTACTTCATGTGCAATACTTGACCATGTGGACGAGTAGCCTCCAGCCAGTAATCCATAGACAATGCAAAAGACATAAAGGGACCACAGATTGCTAGAAAATCCCCAAATGAAAAAAACAGAGATAACAGAGCCAGCAGTGGTGATGAGAAGGCATGTAGTGACGTGATACCGATCAGAGAGAAAGCCGATGATGATAGAGCCAAACACTGATGTAACGTTGAAAAGTATAACTGTGAGAGAAGACAAGAGCTCATTGACACCCATTTGGCTGGCGTATGTTGGGAGATAAATTGTGGGTAAGAAGAAACCCAGTGCCTGAACAGTGTTGCCAATTTGGTAGATGAGAAATACTTTGCTGTAGAGAAAGCGAAAGTTGAGCCGGCGTTGAACAACAGCGTGGGAAACTGGAATGCGTGGCCGATGAAAGTATAGAAACGGAATAGAAAGAAGAAACAATCCAACTGATGATATTCTCAATGTAGTTGGTACACCGTATCTGTCCAATAACCACTCTATGGCGAGTGGGAACAGCACGCCAGATAGTCCAGAGCCAGACTACCGGAAGCCACATTAGTATTTATTGCGTGTTTTGTCCACACTAGGCACGATTGGAAGCTTACCCATACGACTCCAAAAGCAAGACCCTTTCGCTTGACAAACCATTCGGACATGAATAGAATGGAAGGTGTATATGCCAGTGAACCGCCCACCCCAAACCCAATTCCTTGAGATAGAATGAGATGCGTGACACTGGTTGAAAATGAGCTTAGCGCCAATGAAACGCACATTAGAATGACGCCAATAGTTGATACCCAGCGAGCAATTTGTGGAAGTAGAATCATTCCTATTATAGGCAAAGGTGCTATAAGATATGCAATTCCCTATATCCCGAATTAGTTCAGTGATAGAAAGCAACTTGACGGAGATTATGAGAAACCACCATTGCACATGTTCCAATAGCGGCAATGTTGTTTGAACCTTGGAATGGTTCATGTGTACTGTAATACTTCTGAAAGATTCCAAATGAGAAAGCATATCCTAGAAAACAGTCAGCTCTATATCAGAACTTAAATATGAATAGATACCTACCCCACACAAGCGCTTCTAGCATTGCGCTGGCTAATAGAAAAAGCCATGCATGTCTTCCTCCGTCAATTGGAGGTAAGCCATCATCACATGGGTGATCTTCATCAATGCTGCAGTGGATTGGAGAATCTTGAGAAGTTTTCGATTTTAATTCTGTTTCGCCGCTGTCATAATTCTCTTTGAAGGCCATGCTGATGTAGACATTTGGTTGGAAGAGAATTCAAAGTGTTAAATCATGGATGCAACGTTATTTGGGCAAGCTATGGACCAAGGTGAGAATGTGATCGACGGGATGAGAAGTGGCCTAAACAAGTATTTAGGATGACGAAAGAAATACCTTTGAGCTTTGCGAGGAAAATCCAAGCAGGTATGATCCATAAAATCAGGCCAAAAATCCTTCAGAAGAACAGTGTATTCTCATGCTCTTATGCTGAATCTACAGGCTTCAATTCGGAACTTTTGAGGGGCAGCTGAACGTCCGAAGAATGATTTTTTTTTTTCTCCTCACTCAAAGAAATGAATAAATGGCATTAGCCTGGGGATTGCGTGTTATCCCATTCCATTATCAACATTTTTTATTTGGTAGGAATGTGAGAGCTGGACTTGGAATGCTGAGCAACACAACATCGGGGAACCGCGACACGTTGCTCACGACGGGAGCTCTGTTGGACAACCCTAATCAGATATCCAGACAATTAATTAGCAACATTAAACAGAATCGTCATTTCCGGTCCACATAATGAATGACCCATGATCTTAGTATGAAGTGGTGGGACTACCGTTTGTCACACAAATCACAGAAAGAGCTAAATTTGTGATAACCAACCGCTTAGTGAAATCATCCAGACAGTTATTCGCCGAGTTATTATATTCACCTCTTTGGATGAAGGGAAATTTTTTGGGATATGCTGAATGCTCATTCATTGCCAACATGTTCAAGATCCAATCAGTATGCGGATTTTCGCCTTCAATCCTCACCTCAATCTTGGCCTCCCCTGTCGGTATACGTATAATTCTTCTTGGGAAAATGGAAAATCAGCATCTGTCGGCTTTTTACGAACTACTTGAATTTATAGGTAAAACGAGTACCTGATTTGTTCCAAGGTTTATAGTACCGCAATGTCAGATCTATTTTCCAGGGCAGGCAATGCGTCTCAACTTCCATGTCCATCCCTTCTTCCGGGCTCTTCTGTAACTGTACTCGATGTAAAGAAAGTGACAACGTTTCAAGGTATTCAACTAAATGCATTTATATGCTATATGCTACGGAAGATTCTATTCCGGGTGGAATTACGCTATGTACTTTCAAGGTAACTAGTTATTCTACCAAAACAACTTGAAGCGAGGAAAACCAATGCAGAATACCCCAGGTAAACCGGTATCACATAAGAATATCCAAAAATCAATATTACCCGAGACCCAACAACTACTCATCGAGAAGTTGATAGGCTGTACTTTCATAGCAATTTACTTGGATGTGGTTCAAGTTGATAATCCAGCTTTAGCCTATACGTGGATTCACGTCGGGTCATAGAAAGAAGTCCCTTTTATAATGGCTCAGGTCAAACCCACTTGTTTTGTTTTCTATCATAAATTTGAAACTACGTCTCTTTGGTGACAGTCGCCACTGGCTGTAATCTGCCTTCATGAGACAAGTATGATGGGGTTATACTCGGTCGAGTTAACAGACCATCTCTGTCTAGCAACCAAGAAGCCGCGTGAAAAGCGAGAAGAAGCTCGGAGAAATATTTCCTTATTGTATAACTGGACCGGAAGAATGCCGACCACACCTCTATCATGCTCTTATGCTCATTGGATACGGTCAGGAAATGTCCCGGACGTTGGATATTAACTACTATCATCTCCCTAGTTCGAAAATATTAGACCATCTCGTACTAGCAAATTGGCTTTGGGAAGTAGGTTGCTTTCGAGCTCTTCCTTTTGTCGACCATTCACCCAGCTTCCGCGGTTGGGCCCTGTATATCTCCTTCGGTCCATGTGGCTGCCTCCATGGCCAGTGCAGATTTGATCGCTGACTCCTCCGCTGCACGACAACGAAGTCTGTACACCAAATTGCAAAGGTGGAAGGGGGGTTTGATTTCCCACTAGTGTTTCCTTGAGTCGCAGCCTTGGAAGACTATGCACAAGGTCCGATAATTTAGTTTGGTTAGTACAATTCTAAATCTACAGCTGACGCATCTCTAAAGAATACCAGCTACCTGAGGGGGAAAAAATTAAGTATTCATTTTGTCGGAAGACCATCCTCCTTCTAATTTAAACGGGGTATCTTTAAAAGTCCGCCGGGGCTGGTAGCTTTTCCGGGGTATCATCACGAAATTTGGAGGTGATCAGATCACCGAACGATGGCGACCATTCCACGCGAGGGGTGAGGCTCTCAAGCCCCCAGAGCTCGGATAGAAATTTCAAAATGGAGGTATGGGTAAATTCGGCGAGATCATCTGCGGGCTTATTTTGAACTAGCCCCTTGCTGACCCAGGGCGAAATGAGCATGGTCGGGACGCGGATGCCTAGGCGATCAAAGTGGAACACATATGGGCTTCCATCTGGGGCCGTCTCGGTATAAGTCAGACTGTCACCTGGTGGTATGTCTGAGGGAGGAGGAACATGGTCGGCAAAGCCTCCATGTTCGTCAAATGTCAAAATGAAGAGCGTGTCGTTCCACTGCGGAGAGCCCCGTATAGCCTCATATATACCCTTCACAAAGTTCTCGCCCATGTTTATCGGAGAGGGAGGATGCATTGACATGTAATTGCAACACTCCGGGTTGATCCAAGTGAATGCAGGAAGGGTTCCAGCTTCGGCATCTTTATAGAATTGTTCGATAGGGCGTATGTTCGACCGGGCGGTGTTCGACTTGGCTGTCCACTGGTAGAACAGGGCGTCTGGTAGGAAGGAGGGGTCTGATTTGGTCGAGTTCTCGTAGTTGGCCCATGAGATTCCCTTGTCCGATAGCTGTTCGAAGATAGATGTTTGTGGGAGGCCGGATCGATTGAAAGCATCGTCATTCATTCCATGACCATACGAGGTTCCAGAGGTCAAGTAGGCGCGGTTTGGATTCGTCGGTCCCGGGACAGCGGCGAACCATCGGTCGAAGAGGACGTAGTTTTCTGCGATCGCGTTGAAGACGGGGATGTGGTCAGGGGTAAAATAGTTGATGACCTCGGCTGCGCGTGTCAGATTGTCTATCTCATAAGAAGCTCGTTGTTCGGTGATGAACCCATCCATCCAGGATTGAGACTCGATTAACGGGTGGTAGGTTCCAAAAATTTGCATATTACCACCGGCGATGCTATGGTTAGGATCTTCGGAGGCGATGTTCTGCGCCGTGTTTTGGGCGCAGATTTTGTCGGAGCGCAACTGCGACACATTGGCCGGGTTGCAGAAGGGGCGTTTCAAGACGCCATCAATATCAGCATCGTATGTGAGCCCGCCAAAGAAATGGTCGAATGACAGATTCTCCTGAACCAAAACCACCACGTTCTTGATGTTGCTCAGGCCGCCCGCTTTCTGAGATCGCGCGATTGTGCCGACGACAAGGGCGAACAGCACCAGGAACAGGGTCATAGTCGATGCCAACTGCGATCGAGATTGAAAAGGGTCATTTCCTTTCCTGGTCCAAAAATAATGCGCCAGGCTTTCCCGTGACATCGGGGGTCCACGCACAATCCACTGATGGCCCCCATTTCCCCTCATCGTCTCCACCATACCAGTTTCATGTGGGAGGTGGAGAGTCTCTCATTGGCCATAAATAGCGGGACTGCCTGATCGGGATTCGCGATATCTGAGCCTTTGGGGGTCCGGAGGCTGAGCGGAGGTTGAGATATCGCGTTGGCAATTCTCTCGGTAGATAAAATTCGTACTGTCAACCCTCGCATTGCTCAAGATTAAAGCTGTGGTCTACGGAACTTTTTCAACTTCCTAATACCATACCGGCCGATCAATATAGTGCTCAGCATGCATCCAGATACCAGGACCCCAAAGGCAGGGACGCTCTCCTCGAAGGAGTTGATCACGTTCATTCCAAACAGGCCAGCCACGAAGGTCGACACGGCAAAACCCAGCATCCAGATTTCCAGCTGAGCCTCGAAGATCATGATCTCATTCCGCCGAATATCGAGAACAGACTGGATCGTGTCTACCGTCCGATTAACGTCGCCAATCAAGGCGTTGGCGGATTCCGCAATTGCATCCGCGTTTTTATAATAGGCCTCCAGCAGATACTCCACCTCTTGGTGATCGGCCGATAGATGCGCGTGGCCAGCTTTGCGATCGGATAAATACATCATCGCCATGTCCTCATCATTACCGAGGACCTCTTGTAAAGCCGAGCGCACTTGACGAGCACGCGACTCCGTATTGACCAGTCTCTTTCCATGGTGTCGAAGCCTTCGGAGAGCGGAATGAACGGAATCTTCCTGTTGAGAAGCGGACAGACTCTGCTCGGCATCGCGTCGAATTAAGACATTTTCCGCCTCTAGTGTCGCGATGACAGCCGCGAGTGCTGCGTCGAGGACCCGGTGCTCGAATTGCAGCTTGCCAGAGAGGCCGAGCCCGAATTCAGGGTTGCCCTGTAACCTGCTTCGTAAATCTTTCAAGAGAACATCTTGAATGCGAACCTCGTTGTCTTCTGGCTCCAGCAGGACCAGTAGCACTTGATCCGATTTTACCAGAAGCCGTAAACTGAAAAAGCTGATGAAGATGGTATTCGGGCGGACCAGGAGATGAGGAAAGCCCGCGGAGACAAGATCGATGTTTCGCAAATCTCGCCCATCCAGATCATAGTCCTTGGCGATTTGGGCCTTGGTCAAACTTTGATGAGAAGGCTCAAGTGAGTCCCCCCAGGCGGAAGAGCATGCATTGGATTTCGGTAGATTCATTCAGACGACTGCGCGATAGGACGAGGGATTGGTTGAAGACTTCCTGATTAAAGGTATCGTCTTGTTTGATATCATTGGATGGCATTATATGAAGACGCTTCTGGGTGGATGTGGCCATGTTTCGTGGGGTCAACAACGACGGTGATGGAGTGGATGTATATGTCGGGGAGGGCCTTGACCATGTTGATGCTGACAGGCAACCCCATCGTGATGGAGGTATGGAGTTGACCGAGATCCCTTGAGCCATCCAGGTGGAAATCCTACCAGCCCATACTCTGCACATGATGTCCAAACCACCGATGAAATGAATGCAGCCTGGAGGAGTTCAAGTTGGGGAAAGTTGGAGAAGTTCACGGGAATCCCAAAGGGGAAGCTGCATTAGTCAGCCCATTAGTAAACAGGCACAGTCACACTCCATACTATTAGAAGTACTCTTAAACCGTGTATAAAGGCTCAAGTTAGAAAATAGCTAATTCCAAGATAGCCAATGTAGTGGATCCATCTACTTTGGCATGTCACAGTGCTCTGCCACGCTGTTTTGTGCTTCGTCGGTCGACAGTGCGCCGAAAGGGCGAGTCGGGGTCCTATCGACAAATATTGCGGGCCAATCGAAGAGCGGGGTATACGTATACAATGATCAAACATAATTATATGTACAGCAGTTACGTATAAACCATGAAGAACAGTTGGGGAATGTCCGAGATCCATTCGGGCGACACCACGCCGACAGATCTAAACAGAAGCCACCTACGCGAAGCTTGTAACGGGTGATTGACTCATATCTATGGGAGAGCATTCAGTATTTAAGTATAGAGATTCGGATTCCAAGTTCAATTATATCAGATTCATCTGTAAAGTTTAAGTGCCGGATGCTGCAAAATGACCGAAACTGTGTGTTCTTCTTACCATCCCGAACAAGCAACAATAGCATGGCTGACCAGATACACAGGATAATCTGTCATGCCTGCTGTATGGCCCTGGCAAGGCTCGATTTGAGAATCGAGAGATCCCAACCCTCGAGGACCCGCATGATATTCTAGTTCGCATCGCGTATGTGGGTGTCTGTGGAAGTGATGTAAGTCCAGATCCTCTTGGTCAATCCAATAGTGAGCCCTCCCAAGATATCCCTCTTGCTAACTTAAAAAAGGCTCACTTCTGGGCTCACGGCGGTGTGATCAGGATGGTCTCGGACGAAGAACCGCTGGTCATGGGCCACGAGGCATCAGGGGTTGTACACACCGTTGGGACGGCAGTGACGAAAGTCGTCCCTGGAGACCGCGTCGCGATTGAGCCCGGATTCCCCTGTCGGAGATGTAAACAATGCAAGGCAGGGAAGTATAATCTCTGTCCGCAGATGCAGTTTGCCGCCGACCCGCCGGGAAACCACGGTACCTTGACACGTCTCTTCCGCACGCCCGAGGATTTCGTGTATCGGATTCCTGAGACGGTGTCGCTGGAGGAAGGTGTTCTCATCGAGCCATTGAGTGTGGCAGTTCACGGGGCTCGTCTGGCTGATCTCACTCCGGGGCAGACGGTCCTGGTTCAGGGATCGGGGACAATTGGTCTGCTGGCAGCAGCGACGGCCAAGGCCTTTGGGGCGAAGGAGGTGTTTATCTCTGATATCAACCCCACAAAGCTGGAATTTGCACGAGACTTTGTGGAATGCCGGACATTCATGCCAGATGTCAAGTCGCAACCAGAGAAAGACGCAGAGCGAATGAAGAACGAGCTGGATCTGGGTGAAGGGGTAGATGTGGTTCTGGAATGTACGGGAGTGGAGTCCTCGGTCCAGACGGGGATTTATGCCTCGGGACCTGGAGGAGTGGTGGTTCAAATCGGACTTGGCAAACCGGATCTGAGAGTACCCATCTTGAATATGTGTGAGAAGGAGACGGTCCTGAAGACGGGTTGGCGATATGGACCGGGAGACTTTGAAGTGGCCCTCGGGTTGCTCAGCTCCGGCCGGATGGAGGTCAAATCATTGATTAGTAGAATTGTTCCCTTTGAGCAGGCACCTGAAGCGTGGGAAATGACAAGGAGGGGAGAGGGGATCAAAAATTTGATCCGGGTGCAATAGGTGGCGGCTAGGGATTAGGAGTCCATGAGGTAGTGCTTCGCGTGGCAATTAATCTGCTTCCTCTGTTTTCATTCCCTCCTCGTACATAGAGTATGGTTTAAAGAGCGTTTGTAAATAGTTTATTTCTGCGGAAGAGTGGAAAAGTAAACAAGTTAAGCTTTGGTTACTAAGCAAAAATCCGACCTGACGCCAAGGCGGAAGCCGCCACGTGACTAGGGTTCCCCGCAATATACGATATCTATACGATACAACGCTCAACCCACAAACAAAAACTCGACTCCGGAGGGGATCGAACCCTCGATCTTTCGCTTTGACATCAGGATGACGTAGGAGGCGAACTCCTTACCACTTGGACACGGAGCCTGTCTTGAAGTTTGTTTTTCCGAAATTTGATACATATTGATATATCATGAAGATGCGGGAGATTGTGGCTGAAGTGTGGCTGAAGTATGGCTGAGTGCGGACCTCCCAGAGCCTGTAGGGATCATCCACAGCTATTATCTTTCTTCTTCTTATTACGTTACCCTGATACGGGGTTATATCTCGGATAGAGCTTTGGGAGTCCCACTGAGGCAGGGAGTGGGAGGTACTTGTAGTTGGCGGTAGTCCGACAATACCTCGGCAGGACTACACAGTACACTCAGCTATGGAAGTATCCCTAGCCAGTGTATACTCTATAATTATTCTACAATTATAACCATCTTTATTATTCGATTTACAATCTAGCACCTTATCTCAGGCTATTCGAGGCTATCTGTAGTCTACTGTATACTCTGCGTATACTCCGCGTACACCGCCTCTGCCCGCCGATAGCCGAGGTCCCTCCAGCATCCCCAGCTTCTTCCTTGTGATTTACCATTTAACTGTACCTGCACTCCATATTCCATACTCCCTCTTCTACTTTTTCTCCAAGTTTGTTTCTATTTCCCTTCCCCTCCCCTCCCAATATCCCCCGCCATGGCCTCCATCGCTCGCGCTCTGCGCCCCTTGTCACGTCCCCTTCCTACCCGCCTGGTGACATCTGCCCACATCGCCCGCTCCACCGTACCGAGGTATCTATCCGTTCAACTCGCCATTAAATCGCAAATTATATTACATTTCTATGAACTTACACTAATCGCATTCTCTTTGATGAATCTCCAGCTCCTATGCATTTTCGACCACCCCTCGCAGGCGAGAGGCTGACCTCTCCAGCCTCACCCCCACCCCCATCACCCTCCTCTCCGACACCGAATCCATGATGGCCGACGCCGTCCAGAAGTTTGCCACAGAGCAGATTGGCCCTAAGGTCCGCGACATGGATGAGGCTGAGACCATGGACCCCACCGTGGTGGAACAACTCTTCGAGCAGGGCCTGATGGGTATCGAGATCCCCGAGGAGTACGGTGGTGCCGGTATGAACTTCACCTCCGCCATTGTCGCCATTGAGGAACTCGCCCGCATCGACCCTAGCGTTAGTGTTATGGTCGATGTCCACAACACCTTGGTCAACACCGTCATCATGAAGTATGGTGACGCCCAGGCCCAACGCACCTGGCTCCCCAAGCTGAGCTCCGGCACTGTCGGCTCATTCTGTCTCTCTGAACCCGCCTCGGGATCCGATGCCTTTGCCCTACAGACCAAGGCCGAGAAGACCGCCGACGGATATAAGATCAATGGCTCCAAGATGTGGATCACCAACGCCATGGAGTCTGGTTTCTTCATCGTGTTCGCCAACCTGAACCCCAGTGCCGGCTACAAGGGTATCACCGCTTTTATCGTCGAGAAGGACACCCCCGGTTTCTCTATTGCCAAGAAGGAGAAGAAGCTCGGTATTCGCGCCAGCAGTACCTGCGTCCTCAACTTTGACGACGTTGTCATCCCCAAGGCCAACCTTCTCGGCGAGGAGGGCCAGGGTTACAAGATTGCCATCAACATTCTTAACGAGGACGTATCGGCATTGCCGCACAGATGACCGGCCTGGCGCTCGGAGCATGGGAGCAAGCTGCTCGGTAAGCCAGCCCTCTTCTTTTTCTCGGAACAAATATAGTTTACATGTTTCACATCTAACACCCAATTTCCTCCCAGCTACGTCTGGAACGACCGCAAGCAATTCGGCCAACTGATCGGCGAGTTCCAAGGCATGCAGCACCAGATTGCGCAGGCCTACACCGAGATTGCGGCCGCCCGAGCCCTAGTCTACAACGCTGCCCGTAAGAAGGAGGCCGGACAGGACTTCGTGCAGGACGCCGCCATGGCCAAGCTGTACGCTTCACAGGTTGCTGGTCGTGTGTCCGGCTCGGCTGTCGAGTGGATGGGCGGCATGGGATTTGTGCGCGAGGGGACTGCGGAGAAGATGTTCCGTGACAGCAAGATCGGAGCTATCTATGAGGGTACTAGCAACATCCAATTGCAGACAATTGCGAAGACCCTGCAGAAGCAGTATACCAACTGAACAGGCTGGCCTTGTGGAAGGATATGATATGAATATGAATATCAAAATAAATTTAAAGACATAGAGTGATTGAGCGGTCGTTCTTCTTCTATATGTGTTCTCTTTTCACTATTGTATAGTATTGCAATTGCAGCTTGGGCATCAATGAGGATTGTTCTCCATTTCTAGTCCCCATCTTCGCCCTCTTCCCTTGTTTAATTTTCTATGGACTTGCGGTGGGCGATGCTAGTGGTGATTGCCCGATGCTTAGCTCCAGGGATGATGCATGTTGGATTCAACCTTCTTCTTTTCTTTTCTGCTGTTTACTATCGAGGCAGCTGAACAAATCAAGGAATCTGAGATTCGTAAATATGCTTTTATCAACGACAATACTGGTCGAGTGCCTCAACTGGATCCAATGATCAGCATGCCTATAGTATAGTATACACTACTCCGGATAGTATACACTACTCCGTATAGTATACACTACTCCGTATAGTATACATTATTGTGCAGTCACTTTGTAGGGAGCCCAGTAAATCACACCTTCCACTTGTGGTCTCATCACTTTCCCCCAGCACCTTCCTCTGTTCCCTCACTTCCTTCTCTTCTCTTCTCTCCTTCTCTTCTTCCCCGCGTCCCCTTTTCTCTTCCAACTCATCCATCTTCTGTTGTTGCTCGAACCTCGTGAGCTTTCACTTTCCTCTAAGGCCTCTTTCTCCTTCCCTGCCATACACCGATCCCACCGCGAAAAAGACACGCAACCTCGAAGATGGCTCGTGTAGTCCGAATTCCGGGGGGGGCTTGCATGCTCGTTTCTGGTGACCCCTTCGAGCTGCAAAGATAAATACTGACTTTCCCAGTTTGCCCCAACTGTGCCAACTGCCTGTACACCAAACCAACCGACCCTGCTGACCCGGAGCGAATCGGCGAACGCCTCACTTGCTATTGCTACACCTGCCCTTACCAATGCCCTGTTTCATGGCTTATGGAGACGCGTGAGGACGACCAGACCCAAGAAGACTCGAACTCGGACTCGGACTCGGACGATACGGATGTCGGCGTCAAGGTTGAAAGCGACGAGGGTGGAAGCCACAAGGCAGAGAACGACATAGTTGAAGATCACGCCGAAGATACTGTCGTTGAAAAAGATGCTGTCATTGGAAAACATGCTACCGTTGAAGAAGATGATGCCTGTCACTCCCTTACCAGCAAGATTTCTTCGGACGGCACGAACGGGGCCAATGATTCTCTCGTGCTGAATGCTGAGCAGCTCAAATTCGTCAAGGCCCTTGCCGATGCGATCTCTCAGCTTTAAAGGGACCTGGTTGCCTGTCTATTAGCCGACGGCAAGGAAATGGGATACCAAACTCAATCATGTTGAAAGTATCTACCAGCCTTCGAGGACCTTAAGTAGCCCTGAAGATTTAGCTCAGAAGATATTCTAATGATCAATCAAACTCCACTCATATTCAGCGGGAATGAAATTCTAACAAGCCCCAGACCCTTACCCTATCTCACAGTACGTAACCTTGCAGAACATTGAAGTATAGAACAGGGAAGGGTGAAAGATTACCAGATAAACTCTGTTGAAGTAGGGAAAATGTCGAGGACAAGGAGGGCCGTACCGTCTGAACAATATTCCTAGCTCCGAATCTAGAACTCGGGAAGCTCGCCTCCTCGTCAGTGGAAGTATTGTCTCCTGGTTGTGGCATCGGATCGAGGATCGAGGAGATTTTCCTGGCGACTTGGAAGAATGGTTCAACTTGTCCGGCCTTCTGGTGCGGTCACCAAGTAAGCGATGATAAAGATGCAATTGAATATTCGGTGGTTTCCATCGAGTAGACCAGTCAAACTTTGTCGGGATTCCTCGAGCCGGGCCAGTCCTAGCAGCCTCAAACCCAAAGTGTTTAGTCAAATAGGTACACCACTCTCGATTCACTGCGATGTAAATCCTCAATAATATACATTGGAGGCAGTCTGAGCTCGATCCGGAAAGCCACCCGGTGGGCCTGGCATGGGCGACGCTTCCTCCTCACTGTCGTCCTCGCTGGCGAAATGCAAGTTTTGATGTTCATCTGGTGGAGCTCGCATACGCAGGAGTTGATCAGCGTCTATGGATGGTGGAGTATAGGGTGCAGGCGGAGTGTGGATGTCACGCCCTGACGGTAAATTGGCTAATAGCGGAGCGGACGGAGGGATTGTTTGAGTATTCATCTGTGCATAATGTTAGTGGCTGAACAATGGGAGAGTTGGACGAGTAAAACCCACGGTGTCATTCATTTCCGTCCACTTTTTCTCGAGCATGTCAATCACATTTCCTTCTTCGCCACGGCCCGCGTCATCTCCAGGATCCAAAGATCCCTTAGCACCGCGAGAACCACCGGCATCCTTTCCAATCTTCCGTTCTTCCCGCCGCTCCATCCACTCCCGTTTTAACCGGGAAAACCCACCTTTGCTAGGGGCGTTCCCAGCTTCATCTGTCGTAGAAGAAGAACCCTGGTCGCGTAGCCCAAGAGCTGATCTCGCAGCTTTTAGCCATGCAATACCCTCGCCGGTCTTCCCAGCGAGTTCAGCATCCACGCCAAAGAATCGACAAGCCCGCGCACGAGCTACACGACCCAATGCCCCAGCATAACGAGTCACATCTTCCTCCACCCGGGCTGACTTACCAGATCCAGGTCCAACAGCTCCCAGCCCCGCCGCTGCTTGTTCCGCATACTCTGCCGCGCGAACGCAGAGTCGGGCAAAAAGTAAGGCACGCACTTTGGGGATCTCCGGGGCGCGAACCATCCATTCCCGATCATTCGGATTGCGAGCCTGAATACAAGCCGCGACATGCGCATCATCCTTCAGCACTGCTAGCAGAGTAGCTTCGGCCAATGCTAACGAGGAAAGCGCGGATTGTGTAGATGCGTTGAGATCCGGGATCGCAGACGCTGTAGCCGCAGTGAAAAGCGGGGATGTCGCAAGGAGCCCGTGGACAGAGCTCGCCAGGAGCAAGTGTTTCGTTGCGGTTTGGACTGCCGCGGTGCGCTGCTCGGGGGTCGGTGTGGTAGACGCGTAGAGAGACTCAACAACACCAGCGCGCGCGAGTCGGCTCAGCACATAACCCAAAGTTGTAAGCGTGAATGCGATTTCAAAGTCGATTCCGCGACCGGAGATGCGGCCATTGCGCGTGCGGCCAGGGACAGCCCCCGAGGTAGTCGCATTTGGCCGGATGTTGATTGCACTGCTAGCTGATAAGGTGGGTTTCCACTCAGACTCGATCTCGGCGCGCACTGTGATGTCGATTTCCTCTGCATGTGTATCACATTGAATGGATTGACCTCTCAGACCGTGCGAGATGGCAAATAGGTAAGGGATATATTCGTTGAGGGCGGATAGGACTGTTGGGAGGTGAGCATCCTGGCGGAGACCGTGGGAGAGGTGCTTATGTGCTTTCAAGGTGAGACGGAGGGCATGGCGGGCGGTGGACGCAGATTGTGGGATGGAGGGGTGTGTGGAGGACGAAATGAATGTCTGGAAGGACAGCGGCGAGGTGGTAGGAAGTGTGAAGGTATATACCATGGTGGCAGTGGTGATGGAGCTGGATGTTGGAGAAGCAAAGCGGGACTGCGGGGACTGATGTCACACGTCACATGTCACCGGTGCTCTTGGCGGTAAACAGTACAAGTATACACATCTATATTTGTTGAGAAGGGTAGTCTTGACTCAAGCTGAGTCTTTGTATGCTCATAATTAAGAGATCTGAATTTATTTTCATATTCTGACAAGGCTAGTCCAACAAGTGACCATCGAAATCAAGGCCATCTTAGAATGAAGCAACCAACCTTCTGGGGTATCACAGAGTAAGATAGTATTCTAGTAGTATTTGCTAATATCTATTTTTACAAATTACCATAGTATCTAATTAGTATTCTAGTGGTATTTAGCTGCTCGATGGTATTCTACCTAGTCTGCCTGCTATAGCATTGACCTATGAAGCCAAGGCCTGGAGCGTGCGCTTGAGACCTTCTTCAAGAACATCCCTCGGATGCGCAAAAGCCATGCAGAACCAGCCACTTTCTTCGCTTGCGTATGCATATCCTGCAGCTACATAGACTCTTTGGTCCCGAAGTTTGGCCAAGATCTCCTCATCAGTGGCTTTTGTATCGGTTGTAGCTGTTCCAAGTAGAATCCAAAGGAAAATGCAGCATTGCATTGACGATATGGGATTCGATGATATTTCAAAAATCGGTGACAATGTCATAGCTTTCAGAGAGACATTGTCGGTATGTTGTCAAGTAGTGCGACGTGAATGTGTCGTGCGTCAACAAGGATACGGCAAGACTGTCCGCCAAGCTCGAAGGCAAGTTCATAGGACTAGTAACAAGGAGTCTGCAACTAGTACCGGTCAAAATCGAAGAATTTTGCTTACGAGATTCCTTCTGTTGCTTCCAAAAGCCGCCCATTCAACTGACTAATCAGACATCCAATACGCAACCCACTCGCCCCAAAGTCCTCTTCGTTTTGTGTCAACTAGGTAAATTAGATTATTCCCCGGGTCGCAGAGGCACCTCACCTTGCTCAGACCCCCTACAACATGAACCCTACTCGGGTCCATAATTTGAGCTGCTTTAGTCGATAGTATCGATTTGAATGACACTGGGTCTGGGAGATCGGGACTCTCCCAAGCAGAGAGAGCATATATCTCGTCGCTGATGAGATGAAGCTTGTCTCTGGCACAATGTCATATATCCTCGCAAGACATTTTCGGGATAGCGCCGGCAGATTCATTCATGAATCGCGAGGTAATATTTGGTGATACGCAATGACTAACCAAGAAGATTGTGGGGCGAGCACAGTAGAAGTGCTTTCACTCTGACACCTTTCTGTCGAGCTGCCAACAGTGCTTCTTCATATTTCTCGATTGCGGCGAGACCAAATGGGTCAACCTTGCCGAGCTCGATTTCTAACACTCCAACACTATACGCGAATAAGAATAAGCTTCCAAGCATGAAAATAAATCCAACGGGACCATCTTACCCTGCCCGATTACTGAAAGTTGACCGAAAGGCGTTGAAATAAAGCCGCCCCACCAGAGGTGATCTCCTTGGTCAAAAAGAGCCCAAGCAGAGCACTCGAGTGCATTACTCATACCGAAATATTTTCCATTGCTTTCACGCATTTTGAACCCAATTCGATGCTGATTTGATCTTTCCGGTACTAGCGTACCTGTGACTGGGTGTGTAGCAAGCGAAATTCCAAATGCCAGGCTCGTCTGAGTATGGGTATGCATATTGACAGATTCTATAGTCTATGGTCTATGGTCTATGGCTATGTTCGATAGTGTACATTATGGTATTATACATCTTGCTTGGACACTTTGTTCGGTTCCAGCCAGAATTCTTCCGGATGAAACGAGCTTTCGGCCATCCAGTACAGCATTTGCTCATTCCGAGGCTGGAGCACCTCTTCAAAATACCGGCGGCCCTCGTATTTTGAAAGGTCAAGTTCCCCATGCCGGAAGAGACTTTGGGAAAATTCAGCCTTTCTCTCAATAAACAAGGGCAATCGTAGAATGAAGTTCGATAGCCACCGGGCGAAATTGCCATTGGTTTCACGGTACTGCGTAGGATTCTGTTCGGCAAGGTGGATATTATCGACCGTCCACTGCGTAACTTCGAGGGAATTGGTAGGAATAGATTCCGCACTGGCACGAACGAGGGTTTCGAAGAACGCCAAGTTAAGACGCGGGTTGCTGCGACCTACACGAGTCACTGTCACGAAGTGATCAGATGGAATTGTGTAAGGGAGAATATTTTCCTCGCTCTCCTCGCGTACCTGGTAGTCGTAGACAAACTGATCGATCTTGAGTAATGAGGTAAGGGCGTCTAGGTTTTGAGACCGAATCGCGTTCCTCACTCCCTGATGCAATGCCATACGATCCACCTTGGTCGACGTCAAATGCCGCGGAAAGTCGCGCTCATCCCACTGTCTGTGATTTGAACAGAGACGCAAAAGCTCAAGGAAGGCAACATCCTCAGCCGAGAAACCGGTATTGGAGCCACGAAGGAGGTTGCTGGGGAATTCCTGAAGCTCAATTGCCGGTCTAAGTGTTAGACCAAACCCTTTCGTCGATTTTATGTAAATAAGGACGTTGGGCTCGATAACGAGCTTATACTCGTGCGGGCCGGGGGGCGGGGCAGGGCAAGGTTGATCATAATTTTGCCCGGGGTACTCGGGTTTGATTCCATCCGCTAACCGATCAATTGTCCCCCTTTTTGCTGTGAAGGAAAGGGTGGCCATATCTTCTCGTTTCATAAACCGATCAAGGGCGGCCCGCTGCTCCGGGTCCATCTCTAAGCCAGTGTTGATCCAAAAGCGATGCAGCGTCAGGTTGACGATTTGGGGGACTTGGTCACGGACACGTTGCATTGTGCACCATCGGCAGCGGAAGATAGAGTCTTGCAATTTGCCCCGGGCATCCCAATTCAAGGGCACGTATTCCTCCAGCGGTGTAAGCATAGCAACCATTGCCGGGCTGAGCGGGTCGGTGGTCATGGGGTCATTCCATAATGCTAGAATAATGAGCAGATTGTAGACATGCTCTCGCGAAAGAGCGGCCGCTAGCACCGGTGACGCCCGAGGCAGGTTAGGATTCAGCGAGTAGAGAAATATCTTCTCAATCACTTCAACGGGCAAAGCTTCGAGCCTGGACAGAGCGCGTCGGCGGATTGGTGGTGCTCCAGCGGATGAGGCAGATAGAACAGATAGAGGCGATCGACTGGATTGAGACTGCGAAGAGTCACGGCGAGGGAATTTGAATGGGCGACCGGGGCGGCGCTTGGGTTTGGCAGAGACAGATTTGGAGACTCTGTTTAGCGGGGGAGCCGAACTTGGGCGAGTATCATCGACTCTGCGGGGGGCCATGAGATGAACTCGGAGATCGCAGTGACCAGCACGCGATCAAGAGATCATCCATAACGAAGTGCACGGGGCACAAAATAGGTGGAGGAAAATAATTGTGTTATTGTGTCAGTAGGATGGGATGTGATAAAAGGCGCGACGGGAGTACAGTAAAACTTGGCAGGATAATACCCGTCCAACTAAAATAGAGAAGCCTCCACAACCTCGTATTTCTTCTTCAACAAAGTTTCTGCATCAGAGCCTCTATGGTCTAGTGGTATGATATGTCACTCGTACGTCACCGTTACAGGTAGTCGCCTACGTCATGACAGGGTCCCCAGTTCAATCCTGGGTGGAGGCACATTTTTTACTCTAGAGTCAAAATAAATCTATGTGTTTTTAGACAGAAAATTTGAAATTTAGAGTGGAAAACATGACTCTAAGTAGATAAATCACTAATTTCTATATAGAGAATATAAATCTCTATATAATATATTTACTGAACGAACCATGAAAGAATCAGCCCTATCTGCTAATACTAGAGCATTAAAACCTACCCTAGGGCGCAACTGCCAGGGTACTTCTGTACTGAATTGGTGTTAATTCTGCCGAAAAAAGGATCACTGACTGTGGTGATTGGCAGCGGTCGCACCTGCATTAACTAGGTTGTTTACTTCCAAGGTTACTACTATTTATCGTCACAACATCCCTAAAATCCTCTTTGACCTTCATAATCCCCACTTACTGCTCTGAATAGCAAAAGCATCTGCACTGAGGTAAGCAGATACTCCTACATCCTGTCCTGTTTTGCCTCGAAGTTAACATCGCCGAGCTAAAAAGTGAGCGTGACACTTTGCGGATTCGTGGATGCTTTACGCCTGTGGCATCTACTTAGGCATCCATGTCTACATGTATCTAGTTCTATCTCTGCACCCTCCTACTCTCTCTCCAAGCTATTTCTTTCGTTCGAACTGCTACTACTTCATTGCCTCGTATGCTACGCCGTACGTTGATCTGTGAGTATTTGAACATTCTCACAATTTCGGGGATACATCCTGGTATCATCTGTTGGCGGCGTCGAGAACATTTCGTCTCACGCTGCTATGTAGGCATGCTCGCGGGAAAGACGCCCAGCATCCATCAGCGGCACCATCTTCGAAGCAGACTCGGCACTCGAACCGGGACATCATAGGAACATCGCATTGGTTATGGGCGTGATCCCCTTCCAGGGGAGAAATACGCTTGATGATCGCGGCGTCAATGGTGCAGCAGTTGTGCGATGTGGAGCTCTAAGATGCTGCGACAGTCATGCCCGGGCAGTCGAGCATACTAGCAACGAGGTCTCATTTGGGTCCCCTGTAATATGGGGGCGGGGATGGACCTGGGCGAAGTTCACGGGTCAATGCGACTCAATTGATATGAAGCGGATGGAATAATCCGAGGAAGGCAAGGAGAGAGTGTGTGTGTCTCAACTCATTACTCTCAATCTACCACATGAGCAACTCTTTGCAGTAGCCTGGCGGTGCCTATGGCCGTGGTGGTGCCTATGGCGGTTGTTGAGATGGACTTTATGGGTCCCGTGAATTCATCCGCGCGTGTAAAAATGGGCGGATTGAAGTAGTGCCAGATGGTGACAATGACCAATCCTCCGGAAAGGATGTTTATATTGACACCACTGTCGACGGGAATTTCTGAGGATGCACTGACGCTCGCAATAATAGGAGCTCTAGTCAATCTCTGGGGCAAATTAGTTGAGAGATCTTCAGGAAAACAAGGAGCATGGAATAACCAACTCTGACGTCGTGGACGAAGGCCCGTCCCGGCTTTAGTCCCGGCCTCACACGTAGGAAGTTTCTGATAAAAGGAAATAGGAATGATCGAACCCGAGAAGAGTTTCCATCCTGAATGAGTTAAAAGGATTGGTTGAATAGAAAGGAGGAGATGGGTACCTACCCACCTACCTCGAGTAAGTCCCATTTACTGGTGCCGTGACCATATTGGTTGCACTAGATACACTCTCCTAGTAGTAGTCCAATACTTTCTTCCTTTACCTTTCCTGCATAATCTAGTGATCCATCGGCCATCCCATCCCTCCATTGCCAAGATGCCACCTGAAAAGCCACACAAGGCACTGGCACTGGCACTGGCACTGGCACTGGCTCTGGCTCTGACACAAATTTCAACTCTCGATGCTCTACACCAAGATCGAAGTGGTCATCCCCGGTGAAGATATTCCAGCCACCAAGTTACCCCGCGGAGCTCGCTCACCGGCACTCCTGGCACAGAGACGCTGGCAGCTTGTATTGGCACTGGCGCGAAATCGCATGGGCTCATACACGGAATCAGATACAGCAAGCTTGCTCTAGTGCCAAAAATCTACCGGATATCAAAGATTAACATCTACAATGTCTGCCACTAACACTAAGCAATGGAATCCGGATCAAGACCCCAGATAACGAGGAATATACAGTATAATTTCTAGAAAGGAGCCCTGGAGTCGAGAAATCAAAGTTAGAGTGTGTTCAAGACATTCAAAAATGATATAAGGCTTCAGACTCAGCAAATCGTAGGCGTCACAGATCATGTCGTGGCACGATGAGATCTTCATTAACTGGACTCTAGAATCAGGGCGCTCCAGGAGTGCAATAAAGCCACTCCAACTGGTTCGGGGGATGGTGATTCACATAAGTCAAGGGTGAGCTGGACCAGTCGCGAAAAAGGAAAGCCCAACCTTTATCGGTGCAGAGATCATTCCTAACGAATCGTAGTTTTGTCAATGTGTGGCAATTACCATGAATGGAATGGATCAATTGGTCGTCGGCATTCTTGAATTCTTCCAGAGACAAAGTGGAGTGCGAAGATTAGGACTGACCGCAGAAATGAAGAAGAGGTTCGAGGTGGGTTTCTCAGAGGAAACATAACGAGAGATGCTTCAGTGATTTGATAGATGATATCGCCTTCAGTGCCCCATCACCGATTTCGTGATGGAAAATATGAGCACAAACACCATGAGAATGAGGAGGAGAAGGACGAGGAGAAGAGAGGAAAGCTAATTATAGGTAGAAGCCAGGGTGGATGCCATCCGCGCAAGGTATTGTCGTCTCGCCAGCCTTTATCCCGTCAGTCCTCCAAGGCTCGTCCCGTCCCAATCCATCGAAGCTTAGCTTTCCAGAGAGAAAAGAGGTCGATGGCAATGTCCACGACAAGAAGATGGAAAAGTCCATGTACGTACATGCTTGGGGGTAGCTACCGATGTACCTTCCAAAGTATAGGAGTCACTATCAACGAGCACGTACCCAGGTACCAGACGACTCGGAGAGCTACGATTCTAACCCAACATATGGGAGGAGTGAGTGTGTGTTGGAGGACACAAAGTCCATCCACTGGATTGGATGTCATAATTAAAAAAAAAAAAAAAAGGGACAGAGAGAGAGAGAGAAAAAAATATTAAATACAAAAAAAAAAACACTATCATCCTCGTCATCATCATCATCATCATTCCCCCTCCTATTCTTCCTCTTCCTCCTCTCCACCACGGTATCCCGACCAGGGTCATCGACCCTAGAGATGTCGAGACCTCTCAAGTCCCCGGCCAGCTCCGTAGGAGCCGGCGACCCAGGGACTCGAGAGGGGCCGTTGTCGGCGGCGGAGGAGACAGCGGGGGCGTCATCGTCGTACCGCTACGCATATATGTGTAAGAAAATGCCCATTGAATCATATGAAATTATAGAAAGGATAGGTAGTAAGTAACTCTTGGGGGACGACCAATTCCAAACCTCACCCTCGCCCCCAGACGGCAGATCCATCAGGATAGGGAAATCTCCAGTAAGCGAGTCTTGGGTGACCTGTCTGGAGGCGAGGTAGCAATACACCAGTGCACAGTGCAAGCGGTGCTCAATCCGCTGATCGGGTTACCCCGAATTCGGACGGCCGCGTCGTGTTGGCTGTGGTCGAAGGGGGATTCTGAGCACGAGTCCATCTGTTATAATTTGTTAGACCATGCAACAAGGAAAGCTTTGATGCGATGACATACGGTAGTGCCTTTGTGAGTGATGTTGATGTCAACATATCCTCCACGATCCTGGTCAATGCCAGCGCGGGTATCGAAGCTACTATGTGCCTGGATCACAGGTATGAGCGTTGGGACCAAACCTTGAACAAGACCAGATGTAGGAGTATATGCTTACCTCAGAAGCAGATGTTTTTGCCGCTCGGAGTAGCCAGGTTACAGTGAGTGTGAGTGTGAACAACCGAAGAAGAGGGATGAGAGAGAGAGAGAGAGAGAGTGTGTGTGTGTGTGTGTGGGGGGGGGGGGGATTGTAAAGGTCGAAGTGGATTTTGGGGATGTTGTGGGGATAGATAGTAAACTTGGATGTAAACAACGTAGTTGATGCAGGCACGACCGGGCACTTCCTTTGGCACCGATTCAATACGGTACTAGTAATACCACGAAAAACTACTAGTACCTACCCTGGCAGGTACCAACTCGCATCCAGTATCAAATCTCATCATGCCAACAGGGTAGACTCTCCTCAACCTGAATAGCCACGCGGAGTTGGGAAGCCCGACCAGCATCCCAATATTATCCGCCTATTCGCTTGCCCGGCGATCCTTGTCTGACTCCCCCATTGTCCCCACGCCATTTCCATGGTATCAAATTTGTCGATAGAACGGTCGCCGGTGGTAGATCAGCGCGTCTCTCACTAGTCTTTCGTCTGAACTTCGTGTTGTTCTTTTTAGGGGGGGTGGTCGCCTTTGCCGGTGGGCTAGCGCGGTTAGACGGATGTCGTATCATCTCCCTTCCGGAGAGGACAGTCAGTAAAGGAAAATTGACGGTGGTCGTGGTTAGGAAATCAAATTACTTGCGTCTTTTGAACTCCGCACCCGCCATTGTTGGAATTGCTTGAGTCTTCGTCTCATATTGCAAGTTTTGTGTTGGTGCCCGGTATCCTCGAGCCCATATTTAAGGATGCCGACTTGCATTCCGATCAATCCTTCTCCGCATGTGTTTCTGTGTCTGTGTCTTGAGATTAGGGTCTCATCGTGTCTTGTCTTCGTTGTGAAGCGGGTGGTTGCTCATCGTGTTCTGTCGCCCTGCCTGACACCGCTATCCCACAATGTCAGCCAATCTGTACCAACTCAATGCCCTTCCGAGCCTCACCATATTCGACAATTATCCTGAGCTCTGGCTGGCTGTCCGTGCGGCTTGGCAAAATGCCACCTGGTGCCGGCAGTAGCAGTCACTAGCAGCATGGTGAACACTTCGTCTCCACACATGGCATTGCAGACATTCTCTCGGGAAAGAGGCTTCGTCTAATATTCATCTGCGCCACCATCTTCGAAGCAGACTTGCCACTTACACCGAGACATCATAGGAACATCGCATTGGTCGTGGGCACAGGGAAAATGCGCTTGATAATCGCTTCGTCATTGGGGCAACAGTTGTGCGGTGTCGAGTTCCAGAATGCTGCGACAGTCATGCTCCGGTAATCGAGCATACCTAGCAACAAGGTCTCACTTAGGGTCACTGTGATTTTGAGGCGGAGCTGGCACTGGGCGAAGTGCATGGGTCAAGGCGACTCGAATAGTGCAAGGAAATGATCCCAAGAAGGTCGAAGTAGAGAAAAGAGAGAGTGTGTGTCTCAACTCTCAACTCATGACTCCCGATGTGCCGCGTGAGCAACTCTTTGTAGTGGCCATGGTGGTACCTATGGCCGTGAGGGTGCCTATGGCGGTTGTTGTGATGGACTTCATGGGTCCCATGAATACTTCCACGCACCGAATTTCGGCGCAGGCTCCATGGCATTCGAAGGCTCGATGGCGTTCCCAGGATCGATGGGGTTTGCTGCGAGACACTGTCAGGGTGCTGGAGTGTTGGGATGCTGGTGATAGGTCGAGATAACGGGGTGAAGCCGGGAGGGAGGTGCAGGGAAACAGGAAAGGTGAAACAACAGAGAAGAAGCACGATGGGGGATGAGTCAAGTCAAGTGAGAGATGTGGTGATTCAGAATGGGCGAAATGACAAGGAGGAAGTGGGAAGAGGGAGGGAGCAAGATAGGGTAGAGGGGGGGGGTGAGGGTAGACAGTGGTGAGAGTAAGGGCTTGTAAGACCAAGTAGATCGAGAGGTGGAGAGAAGAGGGCTATTCGGCACAAAGAACATCTCTAGTAAACTGTATGGGGAATTCTTGTTACAGCGCTACATGGCCGCAATCGACCTGGTGTTTCTGAAAATAACTAGGATGAGAGATGTCAACAGTCTGCCACTTGGTTACCTACTCAGGTACGTATCCAGTACCCTGAACTGTCAGGATCAAGGAATTTGGATGGGTAGGATAGCTTCACTGATGGCGTCGCGGAGCCTCATATTATATAGAAGTCGTGGAGCACCGGAGCCAATGGCAACGCAGGATCAGAAAATGCCCCGAAGACTCGAACGATGACAGCTGCTGTGGCTAATCAACATCGATAATCGGACAGTTTCTCCGGTTACTTGACGAATCAGGACAACGTGTCAGCCTGGACAGCGGACCAATTAGGATCGGGGGAAGTAGTAGTGATCTCCCACAACTATAGACCTTGTTGACATTCACTGTCGTGCGCGTTCTCTCTCTCTCTTCCTCTCTTCCTCTCTTCTTCTCCCTCCCTCTCTCTTCCTCTCTTCCTCTCTTCTTCTCCCTCCCTCCCTCCTCTCTCTCTCTCTCTCTCTCTCTCTCTCTCTCTCTCTCTCTCTCTATCACACACACACACACACACACACCACCCGCCTGCCCACCATGGGCAAGAACAAGAACAAGAAGAACAAGGGCAATGCTGGCCCCAACAGCAGCAGCAGCAGCAACAACAGCAACAACAACCAGGTAAGCAGTTACTCATCCTGTCATGTTTGGCCCTAATCTCATATCTGATCCAGGCACTTGGTGGCTCTGGTGCCCGCGCTGGTCTTGGTCAACACGGCGGCCTTGACCAGCACCTTGGAGGACTCGGTTCAGTCTTTCAAGGTGGGTCTCTGAGCATCGGTGGGAGTGTCCACACCATCATCTTCCCCAACGCCGGTGTGCCCGTATGTCATCTCATCAAAGCTTTCCTTGTTGCATGATCTAACAAACAAGGGATAGAACCGTGTTCAGAAGCCCGCGGGAGGCAGATCTAAGGCTAAGGCCCGTCGTGATCGGAAGAAGAGAACCGAAGAACGCTATGCCGAAGCTGCCCGCTTGGCGCTCACAGCGCCAAGTGCTCCATCCACCAGTGCCTCGGTGCCGTCAAACACCGTCCCCGCGCTCGCCTCCGCGCCCGTGCCTGTGCCCGTGCCTGTGCCCGCGCCGGTTTCTGCGCCTGTTTCCGGCTCCTGCTCCTCCTCCGTGCCCGGTTTCCGTGTGCCGCCCCCCGTGAGTTACTACCTATCCTTGATATCATGAGTGATTTCGATTAAATGGGCATCGCTTACACTTACGCACTTAGTCTGATCCATGAGGGTGAGGTGACGACGACGACGACGACGATGATGATGATGATAATGATGATGATGATGATGATGATGACGATGATAATGTTTTTTTTTGTTTTTGTTTTTGTTTTTTTGGATATATTAATGTTTAGTCCATTCGGATTTTTCGTCCCTTGACACTCCTCAGCTTCTTCCCTATGTCCAGTTACGATCGTAGTTCACTCATTCCACTTATAATTACCGAATATGTAGGCCATGGCAACCTCTAATTATGCTTTCGCCATCGCCATAGCATCAACTTGTCAATCAAGCGGCCGTCGAGAGAAACCATCGCTTTGCTCGGTAGCATGTCGCTTACACTCCATCCGCCCCATGGAGTTATTCGCATGAGCCACCACAATAACCGGAGCTCCATCGAGTTCGGGGACAGAATAATCAGGATTTCCATTATTAAACAGAAGTTGAGGAACAGCATATACCTTTCGGAATCAGCGGGGAAGGCTCGTGGTCTGTGTTACAGGCATCGTGTTATTTATTGGTACCTGGTTTTGTTTCGCCGGTATTAGATCCTTGGGATGCTTAAAATCGCCGGAAGCGAGGAAGAAAGTGATCAAACAGGTGCCAATGTTGGCATGGTATGGGACATGCGTGAGTTCGAATGATACGTAGGGCACATAAGGATAGCTACCAAATTATTTTATGTCGTTCATGATCGCTGGGTATATCTCACCAGTCAATTCAAGCTCCTATATGGGTGATCTGGTAGTTTCAATGGGCCTCGATTAGGGATGGGTGACCGGATGAGAGAGGATGCAAATCCACGGCTTGGCCATACTCTCAGATTTCGCCATGCTCCACAATGTTACGTTCAGGAACCTAACAATGAGTTGGCACTGCTGCTCAAACCCGGTTGGCTTTGCGATGAGTGATCGTCCTCTATAAGGAAGGATCTCGCCTTAAAGCACCTCTCCATTTATGGCCTACAAATTTCACATAGACACCACAAGCTTCGGCATGAACCAAAGATAATCTCCTTGTCTTTGATTATTAGTCAGTTGAAATAGTCTAAGTTCCCTCAAGAATATAGAGAATAATTCAACTACGTTGATTGCGGCATCGGAATTCATTGTATCAATGCGTCAGGATTGGTACCAAGGGCCCTGTGCAGTGCATCAATTCCAAGGTCAAACCGCAATAGTGACCGGGCTGTGAGTCCGTAGGAATGTTCAATTATCTATGGAAGCAAGCAGATATCACCATAGAGCATATCCCTGCATGTCGTGTCTAACAATTGCCGGAGAGTCTAGAGATGAGATAAACAACAATCATGTTGAATTAGGTAAGGTCAATAATTTAGCAAAAAAGCAAGAATTACAAAGATAAGACGGAATGCTGTCCATAAGGGTAACATGCCGCAAGCCCTGAGCTTCAATTTGCGAAGCTCACTACAATTGATCCAGGGGTGTTTGCTATTTGCCAGAATTGAGCAATCGCATGGTCCTTTGACTCCACCCCCATTTTTTTCTTATCAAATTATCTATTCCATATATTATTACTGGACAATGCATTCTCAAGCCTGTTTTTTGATTTATTCCATCCGTCTTCTGGCGATCCTGCTTCTGATCTCTTTCGCCGGTGTGCGGAGAAAGTCCCCCCCAAGACTTACTCCTGGGCATCAAAGCTATTCCATAGAAACAGTGTATAATGAGAAGATCCTGCCTTAGTATCCAGGTAACCGAATACTAGTAAAACTGTATGTAATACGGATCTGGTTGGGTGCAAAGGTAGGTACACCGGTAGCCACCCTCGCACCTGCTACGCGTACCTACTTGCGTAGCTGCCCATTCTGTAGCAATTTCCCACTTCTTTCCATCTTTTTCTATTCGAACCCTCTTCTTCTCCTCATATATCCTCCTCTGAGCCCTTCTTATTCCAACTCAACCAACCAGGCCAACTTATTCGACCTCTTGAAATACCCTGAATCCAATCATTTGTGTTTGCCTATAAGAAATTCATGATCATGAAAGGCCCAGAGAATCTCCCAAGCTCAGTCGTCAGGATTTTGAGACGGCCTATGGAGCGATTCCAGGTGATGTGGAGTACCTGACCCTCGTGCAAAGCTCCAACCACTGGCATGGTCTCCGCCAGCATGTAATGGCGAAGTTCGCGGAGCTCTTTGTCAAGCAGGAAGTAGTCGGTGGAAGGCTGATTATTGTGATGAATGGCTTCGATGGGCTCAGCACCCACGAAGTTTCTTTTCTCAACTTGCTCGAGGCCCACACTGAAATGTGTGATTTGTTTGCTTTTGCAGATGATCCCCGCGACGAGTCCCAACCTCGGCGTTTCTTCCAGGCGAACACTGAGCAGGTTTGCCAGATCATTCGAGGAGATATCAATCTTATCGATGGTCAGGAAGATGTCGACGAGCTGGAATCTGGCAGTGGATCTGGCATTGTCCGTGATGAGGAGCTGGAATTTTCAACCGCCCTCCACGTCCGGTCGATTCGGCACATCTGCGAAAAGAAAAGAGGACTCTCGAATTATTTCAAGGCCTGAGGAAGATAACCAAGAATCGAAATGTCAACCCTAAGACGCGAAACTTGGGTAAATATCCCTGCAATGGAAAATGTGGCGAGAAGGACTGCAAGCAAAAGTTCGCGACAAATTACGAGCCCAGCTATCACTTGCACCGCGCCAAAAAGGACAATCTCGAATGCCGACTGGGCTGCGGGCAGAAATTCACAAAGCCATACAGCCGGGACAGGCACGAGAAGGATACTTGCAAGAAGCGGCCGGGTTTCGAAGAGAAGAAGCAAAAGCGTGCTCGCAAGCGCCCGGCGGAGGCACCACTCCCTCGAACCTCCGATGGTGGCCGTCTTGATTACAGCGGTGCCATTTCAAATCCCGCACTGGCTCAGAACATGCCTATCATCATCACCGATGAGGCAGTGCTGACTGCGAATGGGCTGCCCACAGATGCAGCTTATCGCGGAGACGTGATTTATCGCGGAGAGCGTGTTTGCAGGTGGCCGGACTGCGAAAAACGTCGAAAAGTCTATTCGGGCTTCTCGCAGCTTCGACCTGGCATCAGCATGAATTCCCAAAGCATACTGTGGGGAAGGCTCATCAATATGTCAAAAAGCAGCTTGAGGATGGTCTCCAGTATTTTTCGTTCTCGGCACAGGGCATCACTGATGTGGGGAATTCGTGGCCCGAAAGCTGTTGACGCGGCTTTCTTTTCTTTTTTCCAGGATGGAGATGCGACGGAGTCAGACCAGGGGAAGAGTGGGCTCGGGAACTCACGAGTATGACTTTCGGACGCTCTAAATGTTCAATAATGTCTATGGATCCCAACTCCCATTGTGTATATTATGAAATGATAAAACAATGCAATGGATTTGATAGCATAAACCGTACTCAATTTTACCAAGTAGGGCCGAGGGCTGACATTGTGGGACTAAAAGACCTTAAGAGTCTTGTTGGGTATGTTCATCTTTGTAATGGATTGACGGCCTTGGATCAAATTGCGTGAGAGTCTACAGGGTGCCACCCAGGTGCCACCCTGTACAATTACTTCGGGGGCGACAAAGTGACACCGCCAACCTTCGTCAAGTCTCAAGTCTCAACGCTCTACGCTACAAAGTCCGATGCCGGATAATACAAAGGCGGTCCAGAAGTTTGAAGACAGCGCGCTATTTTTTTAGCGCGATTTTCGCGTCACCCCCCCCACCCATCTTCTTCAACTACCCCCTACACCATCAATATGCGACGGTTTGGCACTGAAATAAGTGGCAATCGAAGGCCAGGGGGTGAGCTTTCATCTGAGGCCCGCGCAGCTATTATATACGCTCATGAATGTGGTGTATCGCCTACTAAAATGGCTACTGAGTTCAACGTCGTACGCTCAACAATGTACTCTACAATCAAACGATTCCGAGAGCATCAAACGCTTAAATCACTGCCTCGTCCAGGTGCCCCTAAAGTCTATAGGTACTCTACTATTTAAATACACCTGTTTACTTGCACGTCGTGAGCCTTGGCTAAGCCTTAGTGAGCTGAGCGCCCGTATACCCAGCCATCCATCTTGATCAGCAATCAAGCGATTCCTACGTTCAAAATTCCTCTAGCGCTATCAAGTAAGACGTTATATCCCAATTTCGAGGGAGAACGCCCGCAAACGAGTCCGATTTTGCCGAAATTGGAGGGCTGAACGCTACAATTCCCAACTACAAAGCTTTATATTTTCCGACGAATGCAGCGTTCAACGTATCCCTAATTTAAACGGCCAATACGTTACCCGGCTTAGAGGAGAAGCTTACCGGCAGGGAATGGTGCAAGTTAAGGCTCATGTGAAGGATATTTGTCAAATATTTTGGGCTGGAATATGGCTCGGAGGGCGTACAAAACTTGTTATTATGGAGCGTGACTTTTCAGAAGGACAGCGAGGTTGCGGAGGTGGTTATACAACGAAATCCTACCTAAAAGCGCTTGAAGAAGGGTTTATTGAACACTATGAGCCTGGAACTATATTTCAGCAAGATGACGCAAAAATCCACCGCTCCTATGTTGCTCAGCGATGGTTTGAACGTCATGGTATACACGTTATGGAATGGCCGCCACGCTCGCCAGATCTCAACCCTATTGAACCCGTGTGGCGTATGCTCAAACGTAAATTATATGAGCTCTATCCTAATCTACTACATTGTGGTACATCTGAGGCAGATTGGAAGCTATTTAGGGAGTGTATATCGGAGGCCTGGGATGCGCTAGATCAAAATAAAATTGATAGTATAATTAGATCGATGCCTCAGCGTGTAAGCGAGACTCGTAAGGCACGTGGCTACTATACTCGGTTGTAGCAATTGAAATTCTGTGATATACTTTGTAATTGATTATTCTATATTATAGCAAATTTTGATGCAACAATATTGCATTTTGCATGCAATATATATATTTGAATGTAGAGTGGTGAAATGGCAGAATTACCCGATTAGGCGGTGTCTTCAAACTTATGGCCCAAGGTGGTATGCTGCGTTTCGAAGTTGGCCACCTCTCAGTCCTTTACCCTCGCTTAAGGGCTGCAGCAGATTTAATCACAATCACAATGACCCCATTGGCACACCGAGCGAAGCTGGCTTTTAGCAAGTTGTGGCTGATCGTGAGGAGTACGGAAATTAGCCTTCCCACGGCAATCTGGATTGAAGTATTAATGCCTTGGAAAAAGGAGAAATTTATGGAGTGAATCCATGCAAAGCTACTAACCTTGGAACCCGGCCAGACTTCTGGGGCCAACATGTCGGCAACTTAGATAGTGTGAGCATTGGTGTGGTTGTGGGGCTTGGAATCCCGGAACTGGCGTGAAATGTGGAATTAGATGAGAAAATGCTTCGAAAATCCTCCTAGGTATACTTGTAAATTAGCTGGTAACCTTGGCTGAATACTGAATTACGGGATGGATCATGATGATAGTGGTTGAGTGGCTGGGCATGTACTTCTCAGGATATATCATGTGTAGCAAAAACTTGAACTGGGCAGCTGTGCTCTTATGGTATTTTTAAACACCGAGCCATAGATGGTGCTTTTTCAGCTTGATACGTGATATTATCTGTAGTGGGAAATACTTTTCTTGAGAAGGTGTTAGATCTGTATGTAAAATTGCCCTCGATACTTAAGTTTCTCTACTTCGTCGGCATGCCAAATCTTCAACATTTCGATTTAATACATATATTACGTTTGATAACTAGTATTTTCCCTTTTCATGCTCTTTATTGCTTCCGTTCCATTCCGTTTATACGCCTTGCCTCCGATAAAATAAGATTTTAGCGAAACATGCCTTACTTATACCCCCATTCACACATAACGGAAGTATCAAAGTAAAAGAAGTGGATCTGGCCAACCAGTCAGCACCACTGGAATTTTAAGATGCTGAACAGTCCCTCGATATATACGCCGCATTATAGCAATTTAACGAGGAAATTACCAATTAGAAATAGCAAGCCGATCGAAGCCATAGTTTACCTCTGCTGGACCGCTTTCATGCGTACTATCTTAACATTATATTATTTCTTATATCTAATATAGCAGATACTAAGGTACTCATGAAGCTTCCATGGGTCAGGAAGCTTCTCTCCTTGATAAAATTATGAATATATTGAAGTCAATCATCCCCTTCGATGCTTCGACCACCGTTTTCATTATTTCTTTCGGCATTATTCAAATCATCAAGCAAGCCCTTATAGCTCAGTGGTACGAGCGTTGCACTTGTAATGCAAAGGTCCGTCGTTCAATCCGGCGTGGGGGCATCATGAAGCTTATTTTTTTCTGCAGAACGAGAATACTTGCTCGTGTTGAGGTTAGATATCGGGCATAGATGGGGGGGGGAAATGTGGGGGTCCGATTGGCTCAGGCGACGGGAGTGGGGTAATTAATCAGCGCTCACGTGATTTGGCCGCTCCCCATCATTTTTGAATTCTCCCAACTTGAACTAGATAGACCCTTTCTGCAGAAGAAGTCTTGATAATTTTTAGGAAAGATTTTTATTCAATCGGGCTTGTACATATTGCAAAAAACCTTGTTACGCATATGAGCGAATAGATGTGTTTTATTATCCATGATTGGTTTTGACGGGTTGCTCTAAACCTACCGGTCGCATTCAGCACTCAGGCACTCAGGCACCAAGCCGTGCTTATCTTATCGCAAACCACCACCGCCCCTGGTCCAAGTTTCAATGAATCGGACTTTGTACCCGACCAACTCCATGCAATCCGCTTTGCTGCGACCTCGTGGGTTCAAGTTCCTTGGTTTTTTGACTCCTTTTTCGACTCGACTTATCTCTATGTCGGCTGACTCCCAGCCCAAAGCGATGCCCTCCGCATTGACTTTGCATCATCACGCGAAATGCTCGGTACGCCATGCGATGCCTCACGGCAATGCCCCTCTTCCTTACCGTTTAAGACTATGACTGACCCGATCGTATTATTCATATTACTCATGAATAGACCACCAAAGCTCGCGCATCTACTCTCGACCTCCCTCATGGCTCGGTGCCTTTACCTATCTTCATGCCGGTCGCGACACAAGCTTCTCTCAAGGGCCTCACATATGATCAACTACGCGATACCGGCTGCATGCTTTGCCTTAATAACACCTACCACCTTGGCCTAAAACCTGGCCAGGAGGTTCTCGATGCCGTTGGTGGAGCGCATAAATTGCAAGGATGGGATCGCAATCTCTTGACAGACAGTGGAGGGTGAGATCACAGCTATTTTCATTTCGCCATAGCACAACCAACAAACTAACAATGCCCGCGATACATAGCTTCCAGATGGTCTCCCTTTTGAAGCTAGCCACAGTCACCGAGGAGGGTGTGCGATTCCTCAGCCCGCACGATGGTTCACCAATGTATGACAACCTGCCAATTATACCTCTATCCCCAACCCAGATTGAAACACTCAGCTGATTGGCGCTAGGCTCCTCACTCCTGAACACTCGATCTCCCTCCAGAACTCCATCGGCTCCGATATCATCATGCAATTGGACGACGTGATCGCGACAACGTCCCCAGACCATTCCCGCATTAAGGAAGCGATGGAACGTTCAGTGCGGTGGTTGGATCGGTGTATTGATGCGCATAAAAACCCCGAGACCCAGAACCTCTTTTGTATTATCCAAGGTGGTCTGGATATCGAACTTCGTAAACAATGCTGCGCGGAGATGGTCGCCCGAGATACTCCCGGAATCGCCATTGGAGGTTTGTCAGGTGGTGAGGCTAAGGAAGAATTCTGCAAAGTGTATGTTGCCCATCCCCTTCCCCGTCGGTTCCTGCTGCTAATTACCTCGAAGGGTGGATACCTGCACCGGCCTTCTTCCAGAACACAAGCCCAGATATGTTATGGGTGTGGTACGTTGGCCCTCATCCTAAGCAATTGCGATCGGACCTGACCCCAAGTTTTAGGGTTACCCCGAAGATATAGTCGTTGCGGTGGCCCTTGGTGCGGATATGTTTGATTGTGTATGGCCGACTCGGACAGCCGTGAGTTCTCATCCGCCCGAAATTGTACGCACTGTTCTAACCCAAGTCAGCGCTTCGGAAATGCCATTGTGTCCGCCGGAACGATAAATCTGCGGAACAGTTCATATGCCAATGATTTTAGCCCGATCGAAGAGGGCTGCACATGCACATGCTGCCGGCCTACAGCTCAAGGCGGCCTTGGACTCACCAAGGCATATATGCATCACGTCACCGCGAAGGAAACGGTTGGCGCTCACCTGTGAGATTACCCCCTCCTGCTGGCCGAATCGGTTACAAATGACAAATGCTAACTATATCTGCAGTCTGACGGTTCATAATGTTCACTACATGTTAACTTTGATGGGGGCTGCCCGGCAAGCTATCATCGAAGACCGATACCCTGCCTTCATTCGCAAATTCTTCTCCGATATTTACCAGGGCGATAAGACGAAATATCCCGAATGGGCTGTGGGCGCTCTCCGGGGTGTTGGAATGGACTTGCTCGAAGACTAGTCTCGGGGCAACAATCTCAAAGGCGATCCGATTTTACGGGAGCTTCACCTCCGCTTTCCATAATCCTCGTTCCAGGGAAGGACAACTATGCTATTTCCAACGCCTTATGATAATCTCGATACCAAATGGCTTTTGATATAGCCACCCGTATCATGGGTCATTAGCCGCTGTTGAGGGGCCTAATCTATCCTGGTCGAGCTTTACCAAACTTTTTTTCGCTTGATTCTAGTGGCGGGTTACTGGTAAACGGCGTTGGATATCTCTAGCATCAATTGACCGATGCTGGCCCGGACTACGCGGCCCCGCACTATCCACCTGCACGGCACCTGGCAACGAGTGGAATCATCTATCCACTGATATTTATACCGACTTTAAAACATCATTTACGACACAATTGGACAGAGGGGTTGATACCCTGCACTAACGCGCGACCACGCAACTCTGCTATCTCCAGTATCTAATTCAAGCCCGCACAACAGTAGAGTAGGCATAACCCACCTGGGCACATAACATTCTATGGATCACAGGAATTGTCAGGCTAGGGGTAGTTCGGACGCGACAAACTTTGGAAAGGAATTACTAGGCACATGCACTTTTATTTCGGGCTATATGCTTTGGAAAAGGCACCGTGGTATTACAGATTCGCACTTCTCATTTCACATTGGTCAAGCCATGATTGAATCGTTTGAACCAATCCTTCAATCTCGGCCTCCGTGTTGCCAGAATGCAGACAGACACGGACTCGCTCCTTGCCCTCCGGGATGGTGGGTGGCATGATGGCACGGACGATAAACCCATTTTGCTGGCAGAAAGCTGCCAGCTGACGAGGCTTGGAGGTTCGTAATGAAAAGATTGGAGATGTGGGGAAATGGTCGACCTCGAAAAGAACCGACTGGTCTGTCCGTAGGCTGTGTAGGCGGGTGTGGAGGTGATGAATCAACTCCTGGACACGTACTTGTAACTGTTTCCCCTTGATTAGTAAATGAAATCTTGTGGTCACTTCGAATGAACTGGATGTGGCCTACGGATTGCGTTTCGCCATTTGCTAACAGCTCATACGCCGTGCGAATAGATGCAAGGAAGGGAAAGCCAAGGGCAGTGGTGTAAATCAGACTCCGCGCATAATTGATTAGGTAGTCTTTCGTTTCTTGGCCACAGAGAACCATCGCTGAATCAGATAATTAGCATTTCTTGGTCACAACACTCGAAGACATCACCACATACCACCATGACTGGCCAATGCCTTTCCAAATGTGTGCACCCGGATGAACATGCGATCCTGAACACCCAGCTCCTGGACAACTCCAGCACCCCGAGGTCCAAAAACGCCAGTAGAATGGGCCTCGTCGACCATGAAATACCCATTTTGGTGGGGTAGAAGATCGTCGACCACTTGGATGAAGTCCCTTATGGGGGCCACATCGCCATCCATGCTGTAAATAGACTCAACCACAATAAACACATTCTTAGTGCCATTTCGAACAGACGGGTCTTCATTGATCTGGGCCCCGAGGGCATCACGCAGGCCTTCCGCCGAGCTATGGGGGAACATGATGCGTTTTCCGGCGCGAGATAACCGCATCCCCTCATGCGCACTGGCATGAATGAGCTCATCATAGAGAATCACATCACCGGGTTGCGGAATACTCGACAGAACACCGACATTAGCATCAAAGCCAGAATTGAATAATAGAGCGGTGGGAGCTTGATGGAAATCAGCCACGAATCGTTCCAATTCCTCGGCATAAGCGGAGTTCCCATCTAGCAATCGTGACCCTCCGCTCGCAAAGGGGAATGAATCCGGTGCATTGTTGAGGTGAGTCATAAACCGATTTCGATAAGCCGGGGACGTCCCCAGCGAGAGAAAGTCATTTGAAGAAAAATCAACGGTTTCCTGGGGTAAGACGGTTAACCTCCGGCGGGCAGATTTGGCTTCCCGACGAGACAGCGCATGCGACAAGGCATTCACAAGCGATTGCGGAGGAGGCGAGGAAGATGACGCAGGATGCGCGGCGGGAATAACCCGAGAGTCAGTCATGATAAAGTCGATCAGAGGAAGATCATGGAAGAGAGACTGCGAATATAAAATGACGTGTCCGGGTGGTTCAATTTGGATGGGGCGGCTAGGCTCGGAGAGATGTAGATGCAGTACCTCTTGCGCGAACGCCGTTCCTGTGCCTGGGCCTGCAGATGGTGATGGAGATTCGGGCACGGCCGTCAGCGATCCGCACTTTAATTCTCTAGTTCGAGGGCGGACCACGGACGAATCCGGGGAGCTGCGGAGGTGGGGAGAGAGAAACGGGGGAGTAGCAAGCGATGCAGAACGGAAGAAGCGGAGGGAAAAGAGTTAATTGATGGAATGAGTCAGTCCGGGGTCAAACTTCCGATTCAAGTCAATGATAAAAGTCAATGGTCATGTTTTGTTGATGTTCGGAAAGCGAAAGTTGACCTCGGTGAAGAGGAAGTGTGGAGTGGAAGAGCGGGAGGAAGGTTGGCGATTGGTTGATACGGCCCGAGACCGGAATGGACTTCTTATCCTGTATGTAGCACTCTTTCGATACGGTAGGGTGTCTGGAATATATTGTAGTCAGCAGATAAATAATTAGAGAAGTTCTGAATTTATGTGATGTCTCTAGAGTCTAGACTAGTCGTGTGTATCATTGAACGGAAACTGCCAGTGATGCCCTGTTGATATCACGTGGCCGGGCTGCCCAAGTCTCCATCACCTGACTCCATGTGATCCGCGGACAACCGCGTAGCAGGTTGGTTATGTATGGCCTCAACGGTCTTTTCTCGGGATTGGTAAATTTTGTTGAATTGTAACGATTTGGTTTGATCTTATTGGGCTTTGACGCCTTTGAATTTGTTGATTATAAGCTGGTATAAGGTACTAGTAGTAGATTCCTATTCAAGAGCTGAGGAACTGGTTAGATATGACTCAGCAAATGAGTTCCTGAGTAAATGCAATATACCCCGCACAGAACTTCTAGAATTATGTATGATTGTGATTAATGGTAAATATTGTATTCTGTTTCACTGTCTACTCCGTACCTACAGGCGTTTCCAAACCGTTGGGGTTGGTCAACTTCGGCTGGACTTGGTGGACTGGTGGACCTTCCCGCATTCTTCTCCCTCCACTCCACTCTCTCTCTCCCCCATCACGTCAACCTACTCTCTCCCAACTTCCCATTCTCTCGCCCTCAACAATTGATATACCCAACTGTATCAATTGCATTAATTATATCAATTGAATTGAATTGATTATCTGACTTGACGATGCCCCCCGTCGGTGCTGGGCTGTGGCGCTCCTTGCCCGCCCACCAAGTCTACGGCGCCAACACTAACGTTGGCAAGACAATCGTCTCCACCGTTCTCTGCAATGCCATCCAGAACCAGAGAAAGAAGGCCGCCTTCCTGAAACCCGTCTCAACTGGCGCTTTAGACGATGCTGATGACCGGTGCGTGTTCTCGCCCACATCCTCTCACCAAAACAAACACAGCTTAACTGACTCAATCGCAGCCATTTGTCGCGGTTCGGAGCTGGTACCCTCACCAAATGTCTCTACCAGTTCGATGAACCGGTTAGCCCACATCTCGCGGCGAAGCAGAAGATGGTGAGTGGCTCACTGATGCACCCGGGCCGATCACCCCAGCTAACATCATTAGATCCCGCGAGATGATGATCTCCTCGCCTCAATTCACCAGACTCTGTCTGACTGGGCTGGATCGGACATTGATCTCGCCTTGGTGGAAACCGCCGGTGGTGTTCACTCACCTGGGCCTAATGGGAACTCCCAAGCAGACCTCTATCGGCCTCTCCGGCTGCCCATTGTCCTAGTAGCCGATTCGCGCCTCGGAGGCATCTCCTCCTCCATTTCCGCATATGAGTCACTTGTTCTCCGCGGTTACGACATTCAGTCCGTGCTATTGTTCCGTGATGACTACTACCAAAATCATGAATATCTGGCAGATTACTTCAATAAGAAAAGTATCCCGCTGGTCTCGCTCTCCGCACCACCTCCGCGGCCCGCGGTGGAGAATGCCGACACTCAGGCCAGAGATGAGGAAGCCATGTCTTCCTACTATCGCCAAGTCTCCGCGGAGTCAGACATCCTTCGTTTACTCGAAGAATTGAACAACAAAAACCAGAACCGCATCACGCGCTTAGAGGAGATGGCAGATCGGGCACAGGACTTGATCTGGTATCCTTTCACTCAACACCAGGGCATGAAGCCAAAGGACATCACCGTCATCGACTCTGCTCATGATGATTACTTCCAAACCTTTGGTTCGAGTCAATCAAAGGAGTCGAATGCGGAGTTGCGGCCAACCTTTGATGGCTCGGCTTCATGGTGGACGCAAGGATTAGGTCATGGCAACCCTGACTTGTCCCTCTCGGCTGCCTATGCAGCCGGTCGCTATGGCCATGTGATGTTTGCCGGTGCAGTTCATGAGCCTGCACTTTCACTCGCGGATCGTCTCCTGAAGACTATTGGAAACCCCCGCTTCACGAAGGTTTTCTACACTGACAATGGCAGCACCGGAATGGAGGTGGCTGTGAAGATGGGTCTTCGTGCCGCTTGCGATCGATATGGCTGGGATGCCAGCCAGGAGCAGATCAGCATTCTTGGCCTCAAGGGGAGCTACCACGGTGATACTATTGGTGTGATGGACTGCTCGGAGCCTTCTACTTTCAACCAAAAAGTTGAATGGTACCGTGGTCGCGGTCACTGGTTTGACTTCCCTCTGGTCAAGATGGTCAATGGGACCTGGAAGGTTGAAGTCCCTGCTGAGTTGAAGGCTGACCTGGGCTCCGAGGATGCCGAATTCGAAAGCCTCGGATCTGTTTTTGATCTCGAGAAACGCTTGGGATCAGAGGCCACTCAACGATACAGAACTTATATCCACCGTACAATCAAGGACCTCGTTGAGCGACACGGTATGAAATTTGGCGCCTTAATCCTAGAGCCCGTTATCCTGGGAGCAGGCGGCATGCTGTTTTGGTAGGTTTTCCAATAAGTACCACCTCGCCGTGATTTCCACACTGACATCTTCCAGTGATCCCCTTTTCCAGCGCTGCTTGACCGATGTTGTCCGTGATCACCCAGAACTCTTCTCTCCCAATGCTTCGTCGCCGAAATCAGCCCCATCCTGGTCCGGCCTACCAGTTATCTTCGACGAAGTTTTCACTGGTCTCTACCGCCTTGGCCGCCCATCATCTGCATCCTTCCTCGACGTGCACCCCGACATCGCTGTGAACGCCAAGCTGTTGACGGGTGGCTTGATTCCTCTGTGCACTACCGTGGCAAGTCAAGAGATCTTTGACACGTTCTCAAGTCCAGAGAAGAGTGACGCTTTGCTTCATGGTCACAGCTACACAGCCCATGCAGTAGGCTGCACTGTTGCTGTGGATTCTCTCCGGACTATGGACGACATGGACAGGAACGGGTCGTGGGACGGATTCAAAGCAGACTGGGATTCCAAGTTGGTGAAGTCTACTAGCGGGCCCTCCGATGTTTGGAGTGTGTGGTCGCAAAGCCTCCTTCAAGACCTCTCTCGCGCAGAGGCGGTTGAGAGCGTATTTGGTATTGGTACAGTGCTCAGCATCTCATTGCGAGATGCCCAGGGTGGAGGTAAGCAAATTTTCATTGATTCATTCATGAACAAGCACTCTAATAAATCAACAGGTTATACATCAACAGCTGCAAAGGGCCTTCAGCAGAAGCTGGCTGTTGGCGGAGATCAATTCAACGTCCATTCACGGGTTCTGGGAAATGTCCTCTACCTGATGTCCAGCGTTACATCTAAGCCCGAGTCACTCAAGGAGATGGAGAAGCTTCTTCGCTCATCCTTGATTTAACGAAACGAATTATACCTGTCGATGCGTCCTTCAGCATGACATTCTGATGGCGGTCTGTTTCCCAGATCGCTGTACATGACGCTAGAGAATATATAAGGCATCGAATCTCAATGACTGTACATAGTATATCAGGCAAGCAATCAGGAATCATATGGCAACCTTGAAGTGCTTCAATTTCAAATTCCCCGCTCGCCTTACTAACATAACAGAAATTTGTAGACAGGAGACCGCTAATGACCAAATTAAGTGTTGGGCTGAACTTCTACCATGATTTCGCATTGAACGATTAGGGCCGATATTTCTGCCTCATATCTAGAGCCTAACGAACGAGCATCTGGGTTACCGCTCGGGGTTAAGCCAAACTGGTTTTCCGGCATGAAACGTCACGAGGCTGGCCCCCAAATCCACTTCCGCGATTCAACCTTGGAGATTATTGTTTGGCTTTGACTTCGACTTGTTCACTGCGTGCGATAAACCGCTTTTACCCTGTTGAGATCCGGGGCCAAATCCTCCATGGAAATGATGTTGCCCTGGCCAATGAGGCAATGAATCAACATGTGGCCCTCACTAGAGTTGCAGCTTTTAATCTCCCAAAGCGCCGATCAATCAATCATTCAGCATCATACTGAAGGCACCATCTAGGTTCTAAAAAAGAAAATTAGCTTGAGTTTGCAAGGCAGCGTGGAGGCATAAATAATACCCAGTTGACGAAATCAGAGCCCATCCATTCACGTATGTCAGTCCAGTCTTCGACTGTATTTTCAGATTGAATCTCCGAGTTAGGCGGTTGAGCGGTAGCCGTACTGGATTGGATCCTGCGAAGATTTTTAGCAGACTAAGACTATTCTAGATGGAGATTGACTTACTGCAGATGGCAAAGTATTCTATATGACTTCGCGCACATTGCGCTTCGGCTGGAAAGACTTTCCATGCGCTGGGCCAGCCTTTGTATCGCCTTCTGATAGGGCTCCAGATCCCCCGATGGCTTGTCGAGTAGACATGAGTTGAGGGCCACAGCGGCATGAAGTACCTTCAGACCCGTCACTCCATTCAATAGCCAAACAAAGCTTCGGAGCAATGGAGCTTCATAGATCTGTTGATGGATTGAGATCAAAGCCATGGCAGAACCGAGGCATCTCTCTCTCGATTCTGGAAGAAAACACGGCGACTTCGTGTGATGGAACGGACGATGCAGAAGTAGGTAAAGATGATGCGCATAGCTTTGTAAGACACACCAATATCCGTATGCAGTTGGATCCAGGATATTTGGAGATCCATCAATCATATAAGTGGAGTCCCATTTTGCTTGCTCCTCGGCAATGGCCGAGTTGAACTTTTGCAAAGAGCTTTGATCAAGCCGTATGGGACCGGAAATATGGCGACAAATATGAGTAGAGAGCCGGAAGAGACGAATCTTGGCCATCATTACCGACATTTGTGTGGGCTGGCTGAACGAAACAGCAATACCGCCTTCGGTGATATCGAGATCATTGACATCAGCAGGCATCGTGGCCTTGATATCGAGTAAAAATGACATGTCAACATCCCTGAACAGGATCCCTTGGTACGTATGCAGCGTCAACAGGCCAGCCCAGCAGCGCCGTCTCCTCTGGGTTTCTATCGGGTTCATCCCCCGAAATTCCGCGTTGCACCGTAGTGCAATACCCATATTTAACGCCATGCCTAATAATGCCCATCCTTGATCAACGGATTCATTATGCGACAGGCTGTAAATAAGCATCAGCAGTGCCTCGAATGTGCTGAATTTGTGCCTGATGAAGAACTGGTCCTGCAAGAGACAAGTCATTGACGCTTGTAAAAGTCTGCGAGACACAGATGTGGTCGTGAAATCTTGGGCGGAGCCGTCGGAAATGGTTGGCCAAATGTAAAGCAGTCTTGGATCGCTTGCGTCCATCGTGTTTAGTGCTAGAGAGCACATTGAGAAGAGTAGAGCCAGCCATGGAAGATCGACTTGACGGGGCTGGGGCTGTTGTGTAAAAAAAGCCGCGTACTGAGACTGAAAGGTTGGGCCATGGAGAATTGGAAACAGAGGATGTATTAATTGGAAGAAATGAGAAATCAAATAATCACAACAGGCTTTTGGTGGTAGAGGATTAATGAGTTCTTGCAAAGGCATGCGTGGGCCTGTTGATAGAGGCGGCAATGTGCCTTGGGTGCCATCTTCTGGCGCGGGTCTTTCGAGCACCATTTCCCAGTGACTATCAGAGAGTACTTCACTTGTTTCTGGGACCAGCGATCGATTATTTAGCCCCGAGGATGGGGCAGTGGCAATATTTCCACCCAACGGTGAAGATCGTAACTCCGCCGTATTGCTTTTCGACTGCGGAGTTGCGGGGGTTCTCTGATGGCTTCTCGTCGGAGAATTGCCAGATGGAACCTCGTAAATACAGGCATCGCCACGATTGCGTCGTTTACAAGTAGCACACGGATGTTGACGGTCGCACTTCAATTTAGAGCGTCGACATTGCTCGCAGTTCACGGGTTTGCGTTTCCGGCGATAAACCCCGGGGCTGTGACCTACTGGTGTTGTAGGATGCGACAGACTATGGCTCATGGTTGGCTAGAAGGAAGGCAGACGAATCCGCATGGTGAAGACCGACGCGTATCGAAAATGATGGTCGGAGATAGCATGAAACTTGAAGGCTGGGAAGTTCGGAGAAATGTGGATCGTCTCGCCACGCATTCCAAAGTAGTTCACGCGTTAAGTCCGACGCATCGGAGAAGACTGCATAGCACATATCTCGCTACCAACATATTTACAGATAATTAGATATACTGAAAGCGATGACTCAGGACAGCAACAATTTATTAATAATGCATTTCAGAAGAGAAAATGAAAAAGTGAGGTTGTCCAATGGCAACAGATGTCGTGAAGCACCCTGGTCAATCGGAGATATCGTCTCCACCAGGTGGCATCATCTCCGATGGTTGCATATTCTTTTCAGGATCTAGACAAAAGTTGACTAATTGATGCTCTTTCTCGCCTAGTGAGTCAAAATGGGTTGTTTAAATAAGTTCCGATCCTCCAAACTAAATCTTAACTCTACCTCGGTGTCCGTGCCCCACTACAATGGAGAGCTATTTTCAATACCGAAGAATACAAAAAGCTGTCCGCCAACAATTATCAGAAGTGAAGCAAAACTGTACTTGCATTGAGTACACGATCGGACATCCCCACGATTCAAGGTTCGTTCGGTCTCACTTGAATCTGATTTAGGTTTGCTGACATTTTCCGTTTAGTTGCAAGTTAAATGTCCATAGCAATGACCGCAAAGACCTGGAAAAGCAGGCCCCTACAGAATTCGCCACGTCTGATACTTTGATCCTCGTGGGTTGGGATGGCAAGGATGATCCTTTGAATCCTGCGAATCAAAGCGTTAAGCGGAAGCTATTCATGACCTTTCTGGTCTCCCTAATAGCACTTGCTGTAACTGCAGCATCTGCGATTGATGCTTGTGGCGTCAGGGAATATAGCGAATATTTCCAGATATCTGAGGTTGTTGGGTCGCTCGCAACAGGTAAGCCATCCCTCCTTGCTGATATAGAGTGACGATATTGTTTGGCTAACTTTTCACAACTCGATTAAAGGTCTCTTTCTCATCGGATTTGGCTGCGGCTCCTTGCTGTCTGGCCCCTTCTCCGAAACCTTCGGTCGCAATGCTATATATCTTATTACGATGTTGGTCTTCCTCATCTTTGTGATGGCATCAGGATTGGCTCCAAATCTTCAAAGTCACCTTGTTTTTCGCTTTCTTGCCGGATTCTTCGCCTCGACGCCGCTCAGTTGCGCCGGAGGCACTGTCGCAGATCTGTGGAACCCAGTCGAGAAAGCATACGCCTTCCCTCTCTACGCTATACCCGCTTTCACGGGGCCGATGATCGGTCAAATTATCGGCAGTTATATCCCAACTACTTTAGGATGGAGGTGGCTGGAATGGATCATGCTCATCCTAGGAGGTCTAGTCCTGGTTGTGGTTATTATATTCCAACCAGAGACCTATGGCAATCTTCTTCTATATTGGAAAGCAAAAACACTTCGACAAGAGACGGGCGACAAAAGATATAGGGCTCCGATGGAGATGAAACGTGAAAGCCTGGGCCAGCGTTTGCGGATCTCCGTATCTCGACCCTTTGCCATGTTTTACTCAGAACTGATCATTATTCTGATGTCCCTCTACCTCACTATTATGTATATTGTCCTCTTTACCTTCCTTGAGGGATATACCTACATTTTTGGGGAGGCGTATGGCATCTCTGAAGGCTTGACTAGTCTTTGCTGGGCTGGAATGTTGATTGGCACTATACTCCCTATCTGTGTGGTGCCGATTGTTTATAAATGGACCTTACAGGAGTACAAACGTGGGAATGATTCGTTCATCGCGCCTGAGACCAGACTATGGTATGCAATGCTTGGTGGTGCACCAGCAGTACCGATCAGTTTATTCTGGATGGGGTGGACAAGTAATGTGAGTCGTTGCATCCCTCCGGTGAAGCCCGACGTCGCTAACATTTCTTTTACTCAAAATCTAGCCTTCAATTTCTATCTGGTCCCCCCTTGTCGCGTCAGTTTTCTTTGGCTACGGTATCACGACAATATTTATCGTTGCATACATGTATCTCATTGATTCGTATGATATTTACTCAGCGTCTGCCCTCGGTTTCTTGGTTTTCACGCGATACGTCGTTGCGGGGGGTGTTACTGTCGCCGGTGGTCCGATATACAGGGCGATAGGTGTTCAATACACGCTTACGATACTTGGGTCAATCAGTGCCGTTATGACTTGTGTGCCCTATCTTCTCTACATATACGGGCCACAGATCAGAAAGCATAGCAAATATGCAGTGAGTATCACGAGGGCATGACACGGTCGAATAAATTCAAGGCCGCTTTGAGATACGATAGTCAGCCCTTACGAGTGAAGTGAGTCCAAACTATCGTTGCAGTGGCATAAAAGGGCTTGGATTCGCTGTAATCATCTAAAATACTCTTAGAATTTTGATTTTCCGACAGAGGTATTTGTCGCGATGTATTGTTAAACACCTGATAGACATTACTATTTTGACCTTTGCTCTGAAGCTAGCCCACGCGCGGCTCTTTGAATTCTCAAATAAAATAATACAACAAAGTTATTATTTTGTTTCTGCTTTGTCCTATGAATGGGACGAAAATAACTGGTGGTTTCATTGCTCTACTCCCCTCGTCACAAAACAATTGAGCCCTGAAATGAAAGAGTGTGTCTTCACACTATCTTAGCTAGGCTTTGTCATGACTCAATTCTATGTCCCGACACAAAGCTATGTATTTTGGACATAGGATTTGGCCCAAGCCTTTAATCAAGCTTTTGAAATAGTCCGAGTCCACAAAGAGTGGAACTCAAGGGGGTATTTTCTTTGCCGAGGATCGGCTCTATTTCTGAATGCCGACCGCAGCCGCTCTCATTTATAACCCGGCTCGAGTTCGAGTCAAGACCCATCGATATTTATCTCAATTAAAGCACTCTGTCATAAGTCAATTCCATCATGTCGAAATTGTCGCCTGCTCTTAAGGCCCTTATCAGCTCTCCAGCGGCACGGCCTTCCACCGTGCCCGCACCAGCGCACATTACCTCAGTCTATCAAGCTATCCGACAGACTGCCATCGCCAAGCGCCTTTCGGAGCACTCATGGCTGGCATTATCGGTATGAATCAGTTCCAGCCCATCTTTTTAGTTGCTCGTGCTAACTCAAATTTTCTAGGCCGCTGCTACAATGACCATGAACTCCCCAGAATCTCTCGCCGCCCTATATCGCCTTGCGGCGACGTCTTCTGGACCTGTGCAAACTGCCGAGTTGATTCGCGAGGTCGGACTGAAGTGCATCAGTTTCAACGGCATACCACGCACAATCAACTGCCTCAATACATTCAAGGCCGAGCTTCCGGATTCTGTGAGCAGCAAGCTCTCAACCACCCCGACCCGCGCCCCAGTTCCAACCAACGTAACTAGTATTACTTGTCGCGGAATCTCATTATGGGACTCTATTTACCACCCATATGAGCGAAAGCTGTACAATAAACTGGCAGATTCCCACCCAGATCTCCCGGTTCACATTTTGAACAGTCATTATGGTTCCTTGCTCTCTGATCCTGTCCGGTCCACCGGTGCGCAGGTTGGTCGTATTTTGACCTCGATCGTTGCGGTTTCATGCTTGCGTGCGCAATCAGGAGTCGGACCTCAGGTAACCTCACATGTGTTTGGCTTGCGCAAGGCTCTAGAAGATGGGACTTGGAGCACTGATATTGAGACGGAGGAGGGAGCTCGATGGTTAGCGAGTGATGAGGGCAACACTTGGATCTTGAATAGTGTAGATTCAATTGTGGAGGCGATTGGAAATGGCCGTGGATCAAACTTTGCACCTGGGAGACAATGATTACTGATGATGGTTATGGCGTTTCCTTATTTGCTTCCATTCAAGTTCCAGCTGATACCTGGAGCGACTTTATTTAGCGCTTAAAGCAGTGCAAACTTTTAGACGTATACAAGACAGTTAACTATGGACAGGTATTTTGAATTAAATTTTTTATTCGAGTAGCCACCATCGTACGAGCTTTAAAGCATAAAACAAGGCCGAAGCCTTTCTATGGAGCGTACCAACCGGAGCAGGGGACCTTCGACGGTTCCTCAAAGAGCTTCACGATGAGAACGACCTTCTTATCGTCAAGTAAGATGTTGACCCAACGGACCTCCGTGGCGTTATTTGGGCCGAGTCGACACGCTGCGAGCCTGGGACAAGCGAGTCCCTGTTTGACGAATATGGAAACATTCCGCTGATCCCTTATGTGGGATACGGAACCAAGCCGGAGCGCAATCATAAAAAGGTTGTCAAATGTTGCATGCTACCTTCGGAATTTGAAGACGAGGAATTCTCGTGGAAAATGGGCTCTTTTCGGGGATCTTACCCCGAGGATGTTTCAGGCTAAAGTGGAGCGCGACTGGGTGAAGTATGGATTCGAGAGTCTGTGATACCACTTAGCTATAGCAGCTACTCTATACTAAAGATGGCGACCGGGGTACCTCAACATCAGACCATCGTGAGGGAAGTTGGGTGTAAATAGATAGACATGACAATTAAATACGAATTCGTGGGGTCGTGGTGAATCAGTTCATCTCATTTCATTCCAATGACAAGTTGTCGCGAGACTTCCTGTTCCATGAATATCATGAATCCCATATCTTTGTCTAAGTCTCAGCAAGATTATATCGTATTACAACACGTGTCAGAGCTCCATTTCACTTTCACTCACATGATCATCCGTAAATCCGTCATCACATCTTCATAGTGCCACATCCCCCACTTTCCTCGTAAAACATTATCCAAGCCCTCGTCTTCCCGCACTGACTCACCCCCCAGATTTGAATCTCACATCGAATCCCTACAGATATCCAAAACTTATCCAAACTCCTCTGAATTGAATATTCCGAACGAAATTCCATACAGTATGGCGCAGACCACTCGTTCCTCATCCCACGACGCCTACGATGCCCGCCCAAGGGACAACGATCCCCGCCCGGCCGCGGTGGATGACTACTTCAAAGCACATCTCCATGCAGCAAGCTACAACGATAGCTTAGAAGTAATCCGCAACAACTCTCTGATCGCAGGTCTCCCGGACATAGCCTGTTCCTCATCGCAAGCAAAACTACTCATGCTTCAGGCCCGTATGTGCAATGCAAAGCGTATCCTTGAGGTAGGCACACTGGGCGGGTACAGCGCCGCGTGGTTTGCGACGACTAGTCTCGAGACTAAAGTGACTACTATCGAGTTGGATAGTCATTACGCCGAGGTAGCGCGGCAAAATCTCGAGAAAGCTGGGTTGATCGAGAAAGTTGAGATCTTGCAAGGATTGGCAGTTGATGTTCTCCGGGGTATCGAGGAACAGGTTCAGAGAGGAGAGAGGGAGAAGTTTGATTTCGTGTTTATTGATGCGAATAAGCAGGACAATCTGGCTTATTTCAATGCCGCGATGGGTATTACCAGGGATAGGGCGGTTATCGTTGTTGATAATGTTGTGAGGAATGGCAAGGTTTCGTCTGCCGATGAAGCTGAGAAAGATGATCGCATCAAGGGAACAAGGGAGCTGGTTGAGGCAGTTGGGAAGTTGGACACAGTTGACGCAACAGCAATCCAGACGGTGGGAGAGAAGAACTATGATGGATTTCTGGTTGCAATGAAGAAGTAACCAAGTACTTAGTTATGTGCTACAATTACTGAGTTATCCCCCAAGGAGAACAGGCTTGTATTTGAGTCAAATCATTGAAAAATTTAGTAAACAAATTTATGCTGCTTCATGTGAATAATTGTAGACCAATCCCCAGCGAGCTATAAGTAATAGAAAAGTCTTTATACAGTCATATGCAAATACATTCATGTCATCTGCTCCATCTTTACTCCATGATTTCCAACGAGTCAGCAATGGTGAACTTGGCATCTGTCTTTTGCTGCACCTCTTCAACCTCCACACCCGGTGCCAGTTCAGTCAAGGTGAGCTCGCCGGTGGCCCTGTTCACTTGGAATACACACTGTAAACCATCGTTAGTTTCGAGGCTCAACTCTCCCGTTAGGAAGGGAACATACCAAATCAGTGATAATCGTGCTGACAACATTAGCTCCAGTTAACGGCAAGCTACACTTCTGTACAATCTTGGATGACCCATCCTTGGCCACATGGCTTGTTGCGACCACAATCTTGGTCTGGTCTGGGTTGGAGATAAGATCCATAGCGCCACCCATGCCCTTGAATACCTTTCCAGGGATCATGTAGTTGGCCAAGTCACCGTTGGCGCTTACTTGCAGAGCCTGAAGAAATATTAGCTGAAGGATCCAGATGGGCAATTCGGTTTGCTTACTCCGAGGATCGACACATCTACGTGGCCACCGCGAATCATGCCAAATGATTCAGTGCTGTCAAATGTAGCGGCACCGGGGACCAAAGTCACAGTTTCCTTTCCTGCGTTGATGATATCCCTGCGGCTTTGTGAGAAACTGATTTGTGCATGAACGAAAAGTATTAACTTACGGATCGACCTCATTCTTAGTTGGATACGCCCCCTGTTCAAGTCAGCTGCCATACATCCTTCTTTCGTCGATTGATCACTTACCATGCCGAGAATCCCATTCTCAGACTGAATCCACACCTTAACATCCTTAGGCAGGAATGACGGGGCGAGAGTGGGAATTCCTGTTGGCCATGATTAGAGTGATTAAGATCATATCATCATGAGCGGTCGATACATACCAACACCGAGATTCACATAGAATCCTTGCTTCAGCTCCTTAGCCGCGCGACGACCAATCCGCTCTCGTTCGATTTGGGCAGCATTCTTAGTAGATCCAGACTCGGCAGAATCCTCGGTCTCTCGGAGCTTCATGATCTCGACATGCTTCTCGTCCGTGGCGGGAACGATACGATCCACATAGATACCGGGTAGGTCGACATCATTTGGGTCGATGGAACCAACAGGAACGATGTTTTCTGCTTCCACAATGGTCAACGTGGCTGCCTTCGCCATGATCGGGCCGAAAGCCTTGGTAGTGTATCTGGTTGATGTAAGTCTTGTTTCCTATCTACACACGAGGAAATCACCTACCGGAAAACGCAGTTTCCAGCCTCATCGGCCTTCCATGCCCGCAATATAGCCACATCTCCAGTCAATGCCGTCTCCATGAGGTATGTCTTGCCATTGAAGTCGCGGGTCTCTCGGGGCTTGCCCGATTCCAGGACCTTGCCTGATTCATCCATGCGAACAGGAATCTTCCCTTCTTGAATATAGGTGTCTGAAAAATCCGTTAGGGCTGTAAATATGCTAGACCTGGCTCGATATCACTTACGAACACCGGTCGGAGTGAAGAATGCTGGAATTCCGGCGCCGCCTGCGCGCAGGCGTTCCGCCAAAGTGCCTTGGGGGCAGAGTTCGATGGCGATATTTCCAGAGAGGTACTTTTTCTCCAATGCTTTGTTATTTCCCAAGTAGGATAGAACCAGCCGATCTATTTGGCCATTGTGTGACAGGGTCGAGAGGCCTCCTCTGCCGGCGGCACCGGCGTTATTTGATACAGCAGTTAGAGAGTGTAATTGATCGACGCCTCGGCGGTACATGGCATTGATCAGCGTTTCTAGAAGACAGAGCAAGATTCCATTAGCATTCGGTCTCTAGGATATGCTCCCCACTAGCTGGAGAATAGCAATGCTATGCGAGACCTGACTGACCTGCAACACCGCAAAGACCAAAGCCTGAGCTGAGGATGGTGGATCCGCTCTTAATATCGCGCACCGCGACATCTGCGTCTTTGAATAGTTTGGAGCCACCGCGCTCAATTTTGGGGGCGAGGGAAGGGCTCGGGGCCGCGGTAGAGTATTTGGATGCGAATGAGGGGACGCGCGAGATCGGACGCGCGGCACGAAGTCCGATATACAGTCGTGGCCGGCATGATGCGAGGGCTTTGCGCGACAATGCTGTCGAGGTGATACGGAGGGTCGCCATGTTGGAAATGATATATAATGGAGGGGAAAATTCAGAGAGACAAGAGCGAAACTCGATGGTAATTAAAGAATTCGAAATGGCCGAGAAGGAAGCCGGTTCGGAGCTACTTCTGCAGCCGAACTGACGTCAGCGAGAAGTAGATATGAATGCTGTACGGCAGGATGCACGAACCCAAGAGGCAGAAAAGTAGTAGGCATAGATTTGTGAGCCTGGTCCACGGAGTCCTAGTGCAATCAACCTCTCCAATTACGATTCTGATAATTGTGATGATTCCTATCATTCCTCTGTTTTCGGAGCGCGGGAATAGATAGTGTCACGTGATATGTATCTGGGGAATCAGCTGGTCTTGAGTCACATGATCAACACGATCCCCATTCAGACATTCAGGCACCGAGGCAAAAACATAATGCCTCCTCGGCTCAAGTGACGAGGGAGATACGAGTATATCCGTGTATCCAGTAAAGTATACACTAAGAGTCCACTAAATAGTATAGTCCACTGGAAATACTCTAGTATACTCTGTAAACTATACTATCGCCATTACTCAACTATGCCAGTAATGCTTGGAATGTCACTGGCTGCGGGTTTCCCGAGTCGGCCGAGAGCCCCAGCTTTGCGATTTCTCCCCCGGACGCCTTTAGCCCGAGCTTCCCAACGTCACCATCTTCATTTATTGCCTCTTCTTTTCTTTTTTTTCCTCCATTTCTCTCTCTTCCTCCCCTCCACCACTATATTCACACACCCACACACCCACCATGAGTCAAGGGAAACTCACCGGCGCCGCCGTCGCCGAGCACAACTCCAAGAATTCCTGCTGGGTCATTGTTCATGGCAAGGCCTACGATGTCACCGAATTCCTCCCAGGTATGCTTGCATGCACCTGGGCACTACATATCTCGTGATCTTCTATTCCCCTGCTAACCACCCTCAGAACACCCTGGCGGCCAGAAGATCATCCTCAAGTACGCCGGCAAAGATGCCACCGAGGCATACGAACCAATTCACCCCCCCAGACACCCTCGACAAGTTCCTCGACCCCTCCAAACACCTCGGCCAAGTCGACATGGCCACCGTCGAGCAAGAAGAGAAGGCCTTTGACCCCGAGGAAGAGGGCCGCCTGGAGCGTGTCAAGCGCATGCCCCCGCTGGCCGCTTGCTACAACCTGATGGACTTCGAGGCAGTCGCCCGTCAAGTCATGAAGAAGACCGCCTGGGCCTACTACTCCAGTGGTGCCGATGACGAAATTGTACGCACAATCCCACTCCTCCCCCTCCTCCGTATCCCAATCTACATTGCGTGGCTATATACTGACCATTTCAGACGATGCGAGAGAACCACGCCGCCTTCCACAAGATCTGGTTCCGCCCACGAATCCTAGTCGACGTCGAACACATCGACATGTCTACAACAATGCTAGGAACAAAATGCGATATCCCCTTCTACGTCACAGCCACCGCTCTGGGAAAACTGGGCCATGCCGAGGGCGAAGTCGTCCTCACCCGCGCCGCACGCCGCCACAACGTCGTCCAGATGATCCCCACATTAGCCTCGTGCTCATTCGATGAAATCGTTGACGCCAAAGAAGGCGACCAGGTCCAATGGCTACAACTATACGTGAACAAGGATCGCGCAATCACAAAGAAGATTGTCGAGCACGCCGAGAAGCGCGGGTGCAAGGGTCTCTTTATCACCGTCGATGCGCCGCAACTCGGCCGTCGCGAAAAGGACATGCGGTCCAAGTTCTCTGATGCTGGCTCCGACGTTCAATCCGGTGACGGCTCCGTCGATCGATCCCAGGGTGCGGCCCGTGCTATCTCTTCCTTCATCGACCCCGCTCTCTCCTGGAAGGATATTCCTTGGTTCAAGTCCATCACCCGCATGCCGATCATCCTGAAGGGTGTCCAGTGTGTCGAGGACGTGCTCCGCGCCGTCGAGGCTGGCGTCGACGGTGTTGTCCTTTCCAACCACGGTGGTCGTCAGCTCGAGACTGCGCCTTCTGGAATCGAAGTCCTGGCCGAAGTCATGCCGGCCCTCCGCGAGCGCGGCTGGGACAAGCGCATCGAGGTCTTCGTTGATGGCGGTGTGCGCCGCGCAACCGATATCCTAAAGGCCCTGTGTCTCGGCGCCAAGGGCGTTGGTATCGGTCGACCTTTCCTGTATGCCATGTCCGCTTACGGATTAGAGGGCGTCGACCGCGCGATGCAATTGTTGAAGGACGAGATGGAAATGAACATGCGTCTTATTGGCGCGACGCGAATTGAGGATTTGAATCCTAGATTGCTCGATACCCGTGCCCTACTTGCTGGACACGCTGGCGTAATTCCTTCCGATACTCTGGGCCTTGGTGCCTACGATCCACTGGAGGCGCCTCGCTTCAACGAGAAGCCTAAATTGTAAAAAGAATAAGCCCGGCGTGGGCGTTGTGTTTTTGTTGAATATCTATCCCGACTGCTGGGTTCGACTGCGTGTTGGATACATCGAAGTCGGAAACTTAGTATATATATCCATATACCCAATCAATCAAGACTCATGATATTAGAAAATAAATTTCTTTCTTTCAAGGTAGGTTACTGTTTGTAGCACCTGGGCAGCTGGGAAGTAGTCCAGGAGCACAGTAATTCTATGAGAATAGTACTACTAACATCCTCAGTACCACTACTAGTAACCTTGGAATACCTAACTAGGTCACTAAGTGACTCTTTCAGAATGAGAAATAACTAGTTGCTTATGCAGGAAAAGTTTTCCCAGGCTATTATATCAAAAGATTCCCAATTCTTACTCAACCTTCGCTCTTGTGGCGCAGTTGGTAGCGCGCCAGACTTCTATTAAGGAGTAAATCTGGTGGTCCAGGGTTCGAGCCCCTGCTGGAGCTTTTTGCACCTCTTGAATCCGTTCGGTCCAAGTTTTGTTTTTCTTATTGCTCTCAACACTACCAGTACTAGTATAAGTTTGCCTGAGTCATGAACGAGGGAAATGTGGTGATGTGGTGATGAAAGAGTGAAGCTGCCTAGAAAGGACGGAAGCACGGTAACCTACCCAGGATGCCTGGCCGAGGCCGCAGCGCTACAGGCACCAACGCCTCAACGACTTCAAGTTTTTTTTTTCTCATTCTTTTTTATTCTGTACATTATGATGTTTGCTAAAGCACAGTGAGATTATGGTTGCATATATTTTAGTAATATAAATTATAAAGCGGCAGTAGTGCTATATATTTGAAGGCAAGCCGCCAAAAAGATTACCATCCCAAGGCTCTGTGCCGCCGTAATCAAGATTATCAAACCAGCCACCCAGATCCAACGGCTGGAGAAGATCAGCAAATAAGTCATATAGAACGGAGTCGGTCGATGTTTCACATACCGTAAAATCACCCAGGTCTGCAGAAAAAAGGGAAGGAAGATCGAAGTCATTCGATGTCACTGACGCTGGAGTCGTGCTTGCAAGCAGTACTGGCGTCTGAAACGTCAAGTCAGTCAGAGGCTGCATGGGAAAAGCTTTGATCCGGCAGGGACTCACCTGGCCAGCCTGGCGGTCGGCAATGATTAAAGCATCTGCATACGAGACGCCGTTCAATAATGTCCGGGAAACTCTAACTGCTCTTTTCGACGATGCTTCAACGTTGGCCATTGGGTCCTCCCCCTTAATACGCGACTTGACGGATGACAAAATAAGGGTCAAGAAAAAGTAGGGTTTGCAACCTTTGCCACTGGGGCCGATGCGCCGTCCGAAATCATTCAAGGTTCGATCCACGGCTTGCAGCATGACGCTTTGTTGAGACTGAACCATACTCATCAAGACGCTGGAGTTTACCCCTTCCATTGCCGGCCCAAGAGACTGGCTCATTTCTTGGGCCTGGAGTGAGAGTTCCACGCAAACTGTTATCGCGGCGTGGAATATCTCATCCCGGAACATCCCACTTCCCAATTGAGTGATGTGCGGGTACTGGATGCTTTTGGGGGATGGGGGAAGTTCCATTTGTGACAACATGTCCAGGGAAGCTTCCAAGCATACCTTTCGAGAATAGGAACATTTTGGGAGACGCGCCACACTGAGCGAGAACGGGCGATGCAGAGCGAGGAGGAATTTTCGCATCAAGAATAGATGCAGAGACTGGGCGAACCGATGACGTGCCGTTTTATCCAGGTCGATGTCTGGTGTGTGGTCGTCAAACAAAGATGAAGCATGTTTTGTCGACCGGAGAAGCTCTTCTCCCATGCGCAGGGCGTCGTCATAGGACAGGTTGAAGTTGAGGGTATTGATCTTGCGGGCGATTCGATATCGCAGGGGTAATGTTTTCACCAGGATTGTCTGGTAGAAGTTCTGACTAGTATTTGTCAAGGTAGATTCGGTGGGGCTCTGTTCCATCTTCTCGAACATCTCGTTATCATCCCAGTTTGACGGTGCGTCGCAATCGCACTCGTCCAGATCCACAGATGGCGGCACACCGCGATCGAGGGATATTTTCAGATCCAGCTCCACAATGGTCATCCAAAGCCTCCGGCGAAGTTCGGCCCAAAACGGCGACATGGCTTTGCGAAATCGTGACGGATCCCGATTAAGCCCCATTGTGATGGCAGATCGGATCAATGATCCAGATGAAGCCCAGGCAACATCTCCGTCTCCGGCGACCCCAAGTCGTGCCACTAGTAATAAACATTGAGTCTGGATCATCTTGAAGTCAATACTCGGACTGACAAAGGTGCAAGAGATATAGGACTGCACGGCCATGATCCACTTCATTGCTGGATTCTGGTAAGAATCTCGGTCATCCTGCTCTGCAGATGGTGTATAGAAGCAGCTCCCTGCTGCCATCACAGCGAGTAGTTGAGCAATGAATGCTGGATCTGATTTCTGGCCAGTCGCCCAGTAGTCGGCATATTGCTTCAAGAATGTGGGAATGTGCAAGATGCGAAATGTGGTCTCAAAGGTGTCCAGATATAAACCAAGAAGCTGGTCGGCCACTTCTCGTGATGGAACCATCTCGTCCAATTTGAAGGCTTGCTCTCGAAAAGCGCTCTGGTGGTCCTTGCTTTCTTGGGACCATAAGTCACATTTGAATTTTTTCATGTCGGTGTATTCGGGATCCTTGCAGTTGTTGCGGCCACGCCGTAGGAAAGACCCAATGTCTTGGAACTATTCTCGGTTAGTACTGATTCTTTGAGATTGAAGCTTTCCAAATAGAATGGGTTAGATGCTCACAAAAGATACTGTTGTCGTATAATGGCTTCGGCCAAAGTAGCGTGTCTTGCCCTTTTTGCCTCGGAAACTCGAATCAGGCAAGAAGCGCACTCTATCATCAACACCCAGTGCATCTGAGCTATTCTGCGAGGTGGTGATCTCGGAGTATACATCGGAGATGGAGTTTTCGGGAGTCTGTAGGACATTCGATTGCCCGAGGCTTTTTTCTAGCATTCTCATGCGGTTCCGAAGCTCCTGAAGCTCGTTGGAGCTACTGGCTTTCTGGTTACTTTTGGACACACGACTAGAATTTGATTTTGGCCCTAGTTTGGCGTCAAAAACAAACATGCCCCCTGACTTTTGGGACTCGTCGTCGTGGCCATTGGGCAGACGGGTGCGCGATAGAGGCGGCGACATGCGATGCGAAGACTCCGAGGTAGTCACTGGTTGCGGACCCACAAAGACACAGCAGTGGGCAGTCTTTGAGCGAATACATTGACCACAAGGCAGCGAGCGGTCACATTTGAGCTTACGCCGTCGACATTCGGTGCATGAGAGTGGGGGCCGGCGTCGTCGCTGCACCATTATCGCGGGGTCACCGCTCTCTTCGTGGTGGAAGTCGTGATAGTCGGCCATATCGGTTCATCTATAATCTGCGAGGGAGAGTATGGGAGAAAGATATTCATGCGATTCCAGAGCTCAAATCCCCCGAAATTTGCATCTGTTGGGGCCGAGGAGTAGAGCACTAAGAGTTGATGCTGCTGACGTGGAAAATGACACGGAGGTCCGCTCTCGGGCGTTTGTAGCTCTGATTGTGTCTGCGATTTTCGTGAGGAACAGTTCAAGTTGTATCGAAGGAAGAAATTGAACAAAGAAGTGGCGGGGAGGGGAGGAGAGAGAAAGTGAACAGGAAGTAGAAGTCAAAAGTATACGAGTAGTTTAAAGAGTCGATCTCCGGAGTTAACGAGGAAGCCGCGTCTCGGACATTTCCCCATTCGGAAATATTGCCAAGCCCCGAAGATTCTGAATCAGGCAGGCACGCCAAGTGAGCATCTGATAAGGAAGGAAGGAAGGAAGGAACGAGGGGAGTTCAGGAGGCCAATGGGATAAGCTTATTTCTATATTTATATCCATATTTATATCTTGATTTTCATCTCCATTGGATATACAAGTAGATCAAAGGAGGATACCCGAATTGACCGATACGAGCGAGTTTGCCGAATTCCCCGCTACTCACCATCTTCATACACTTATCTTGATATTTTATATCGGTGTGAAGTCCGCAAGGTGGATATATTTCGATTTTCTCCTTTTTTCTCTTTTCTCCTTCCCCATCTCTTCTTTCGCACACTGCAATTCACATTTTTCGCATTCCACGGCTGCCTGGCGTCAACTCCATCCAGCTGGGCAAGGCTGTTAACCCCGACCGGTCGGACTTAGTTACTGGATCGCACCCGCCTAAGCTTTTCCCACCCCCTTCATCGCCACTCCGATCCAACCTTCTACTAGTACCCTCAATCAGCTTGAATCATGTCGGAAGTAATGCAATCGCCATCGGGCGGTGGGCGCTTCCTGACCAACGCTCTCGAGGAGCTGGGTCTTATCGCCATGTGGCACTCGTCGCGCGACGTCAAGCTCCTATGTGCTCAGCGGTTCGTGCGCCTATTCGCGTACGGAGGTTCGACTTTAGTCCTTGCTTCGTATCTATCTGCCATGGGTATCACAGATGATAGAATCGGTCTTTTCATGACCCTCACCTTGGTGGGAGATGTCGCCATCAGCTTCTTCCTCACTCTCTTCGCTGACTCCATGGGCCGCAAAGCGGTCTTGGCCCTGGGATCCGTTATGATGGCCGGCAGTGGTATCGTATTTGCGCTCTTTGGAAATTATTGGATCCTCCTAGCTGCCGCTGTATTTGGAGTAATTAGTCCCAGGTATGTTTTCTTTCTCTTTTCCAACTTACCTCCCAATTCATTAACCATATCTAGCGGCAATGAAATTGGACCCTTCCGTGCCGTTGAAGAATCTACCTTGGCGCATCTTACGCCTAAAGAGAACCTCAGTGACGTTTTCGCATGGTACTCCTTGGTCGGCACGGCTGGCACAGCTCTCGGTCAGCTTGTATGTGGCTGGACGATCAGCTCTCTCCAATCGTTGCATGGTTGGGCATTCATCCCGGCATGCCGCATTATATTCTTCGCCTACGCTGGTGTTGGCGCGGTCAAATTGATTCTCACTCTTGCCTTGAGCAGAAAGGTGGAGGTTGAAGAAAAGCAGTCTGAGCCACAGCAGCAGGGTGAGACGCAACCGTTGCTCGCGGACTCCAGTTCTTCGCAAGAACTAGCAGCGCCAAAGTCTAAGAAATCCATATTCGCGTCTCTCGATAAGGATTTGTGGTCGCTCATGATCAGCTTGTTCATCTTGTTCGGACTCGATGCATTCGCATCCGGATTGGCCTCGCTGTAAGTGGTATTTCACATCCTCGAATTTGCAAATTACTAATCTTTCCAGATCCTGGATGACATACTTCTTCCGGCGCAAGTTTAGCCTCCCCGAAGGTGAACTTGGTACTATATTCTTCTTCACAAGTATCATTTCCGCGGCATCCATGCTGGTGGCATCGTCGATTGCCAAGCGTATCGGCAACGTCAAGGTTCGTAACTCACCGGGCATCAGCGCATCCTTTTTCATATCCGACTAATAGATGTGATAGACGATGGTTTTCACACACCTTCCATCCGCAATTTGCCTGTCACTTATCTCTGTGCCAAACAATTTACCCTTGGCCTTGACATTCCTTGTCCTCAGGGCTTGCTCGCAGAGCATGGATGTGGCCCCGCGTTCAGCATTCCTCGCAGCGGCCTTGCCATCTGATAAACGTACGGCGATTATGGGCGCAGTCAATGTTGTCAAGACAACCACTCAAAGCCTTGGACCACTTCTGACCGGAATTCTGGCCCGTAACAATATGTTTGGTGTCTCATTTATTATTGCGGGTTGCTTGAAGGTCGTCTACGACCTCGGCATGCTTTTTACTTTTGCTGGCAAGGAGGCCGAAAATAGGAAGCAAGCTGCGCAAGAAAATGACGAGGAGAGTCAATGAGTCGCTAGTCTGCATCCAGGCCTGTTTGAGGACAAGGGCGGCCATTGTGTCTAACCTTTTTAGATTTACCCTTAAAAGTGATTCCATTACAGCAAATACCATATTAGAGTTTGATTATCTCATGGAATTTCCCTCGGAGCTCTGTTCATGCTTTTCGTACGTCTATGCTGCTACTAATTTATTAGAATGCAGCGCGCTTTCTCTCATAACCTTTGAAATACAAGTCTTTTTCGAACTCCACCTCTCTACGAGGCACCCTAAGAAACTCCATCGCAGGCTACTTTCGAAATTTGTATTCTAAGGAAGCATTTATGAATTCCCCACACGCCTTCCTTTTGTGAGGTAAATTCTATGCATATCTAAAATCCAAAATTCTCCCGATTGGCGCAATGCCATGCTTTTTAGCAGCCCACTGTCTATTGTGGGGTGGCACCCGCACGCGGGTAGCAGCGCCGTTGGCGTATAAGTGATAAGTTAGGGAAAGGTCAGTTTCTCCTTCGAGTTCCAAAGTAATGATCTCATTATGGTCCTCCCAGTTGGATGTTGACCGATGAACGGGGCTTTTTTCGACAGGATTGTATCTGAACTAGGTCAGCAAGCGATATTCAGACATCTCCAGAACGCCCACAATGGACCCGGCCCCAGTCATACTTCCACGGGTAAAAATCGGCAGATGATTCAGGTAATGACTATGGATACTCCTCAAATTACCCTTGTCATAACAATGATTTCCATTCGGAAGTCTGGACTAGTCTCAGGCTAAGACCTCTATGTCCAGTGGAGCGTCGTGACCTAGCGCAAACGTGATCTCTTTTACCAGTCCGAAGAATTACCAGGAAGCCTTTATCGTGTTTTATCCCATTGCTTCTATTTCTTATAGTCATTTTATAGCTACTTGCAATTTCAAGTTGTTGTATAGTTAGTGATGCCGACTAGTCCTAATTGGGAACTATGGATTATGTAATCTTGCGATTCTCCGCATTTCAGCTTCTCGCCTCACCTCGCCTCGTCTCGCCTTGGGGTCTCCCCTTCTCCCACCTCTTTGCATCTTTTACACCGCTTCAAATCCATCAACCCACTATCGCATAGCAGTATTGGACACAGCAGAATTACCATGGCTCGTAGAGGCCCTGGTGGCCCTCGGCCACGGCGTTCGCGGAATACATTCCTCTCTTTCCTCACACTTTCAGCCTTCTCCACTAGCTTTGGTTTCGCCCTGGCTCAACCCCCCACGCCTCCGCAGATCGCCCTGGCGGATCCACAACATATCACGGCCAGTCATGAGTTTGTAAGCTATTCAGCCGCTCCATGATTTGTACAGAGGAAGAAAATGCTAACTATATCCAGTCTCTCCGTCATGTCTTCCACAAATCCATGGACCCACAACACGATCGGTTCGATCGACTCGATGTGGGCCCAGACACTCGTCTCCAGCGCATATCCGATGATAGCAGCGAGCCAGACCTTGAAATTGAACTCACGCCCCTAGTTGCGCTCTCCAACCCGCTCATAATCCAGAGACTTGCAGATCGACGCAAAACGGTGATCGAAAGTCACCGGAAGGCTGCACATTCGGAATCACCCGCGGTGCTATCAGCCGAGGCGTGGAATATGGACACATTATCAGGCCCGAACATCACAGACAAAAACACAATCCTGACTTTCGCGCGGATGACGGCCAACGACTATATCAAAGCTCCAGGGTCAGACGATTGGCAGAATGCCCGTGGCAAGTTCAACTACTCATCGAGCTTTGGTTGGAAAGGGGATGCTTTAAGAGGTCACGTATACAGCGACAAAACCAACGATACAGTTGTTATTTCCTTGAAAGGAACCTCACCGGCTCTTTTTGATGGCTCGGGTACCACTACCAAAGATAAAGAGAATGATAATTTGTTCTTCAGCTGCTGTTGCGGGCAAGGAGGATCAATACTCTGGCGAGAAGTCTGCGATTGCCAAACAACCACCTATACAGCCAATTTGACCTGCATTATCGACGCTATGTCTGACGAGAATAGATATTACGCTGCTGCGATTGATCTCTACTACAACGTCACCGAGATGTACCCCGATTCTAATGTTTGGCTGACTGGTCATTCTTTAGGTGGCGCTATGACCAGCCTCCTTGGCTTGACATTTGGTCTCCCAGTTGTCACATTCGAGGCGGTCCCTGAAGCTTTGCCCGCTGCTCGACTGGGGCTACCCAGTCCACCAGGTTATGATCCTCGACTGCCACAGTCCCGAAAATATACAGGCGCTTTCCATTTCGGCCACACAGCTGATCCGATATATATGGGCAGTTGCAACGGAATTAATTCCTTCTGTACATGGGGTGGTTATGCATTAGAGACTGCCTGTCACACTGGCCAACTGTGTACCTACGATACGGTAGCGGACAAAGGATGGGGGGTGAGCTTGTCTAGGCATAGCATCCTACCCGTGATTGCCGATGTTCTCGAGGCGTATGACAGTGTCCCATCTTGTGCAGCGGAAGAAGAATGTGTTGATTGCCTACTGTGGAAGTTCTTCCGGAGCAATGGCTCGGAGAGTACCACTTCCAGGACAACTTCGACGACCACGACGATATCTACCACCACAGGTAGAACATCGACTTGCAAGACCCCCGGTTGGTGGGGCTGTCTCGACGAAACAACAGCTACAACTATCACCGCGACAACAGCGACTTCATCCCCTACAGCCCCAAGAGCGACAACCGCAACAACGACTTCTACGCAAATGTCTAGCACTTCAAGTTCAACTCCGTCCAGCTCATACTGCGAAACCCCTGGACTCTTCTGGGGGTGCTGGGACGAGCCGACTTCGACGTCGCCGATCACGTCTATATCGTCTACAGCCCCAACGGAAACACTCACCACCCCGGCTCCAACCCAAGCCCCTGGGATTCCGATTTCCTCCCCATCGAACTCACTCTGTCAGACACCTGGAATTTTCTGGGGATGTTGGGATAAACCGACCACTAGGACCACAGTCACACCCACATCCTCTGCATCCCCAGCTCAGTCCCCTCAAATCCAGAGTGTAAGACACCTGGAATTTTCTGGGGATGCTGGGATTAAACTTCGGATTCAACACATGTTGCATCAGAGCTCACTCGGAACAAATTCTCCTAGACATTCGAGGCTCCAGCTCTCTCCCTGGTATATTACAAAACCAGCCTCAACGAAATAATGACCAGCACAACACAAACTTGTGATTTTTACTTTATTCCCTGTATTTATGGGCACAATTCGCATGAAATGATGATTTGGGGGTTTTCAAGGCTAGATTTGGGATGTCATACACTTTTGGGATCATATTTTGCTCCTCTCACCCTTTTTTGGGAGAATGTTTATTGACAGTATCAGACCCTGAGTCTTGGACTTATTCCGGAAGCATATAATTTGAACCAGCTCCAACTTGGCTCGGAATGACTTAAGATCTTAGATACCCTTGACGGGAGATGCTCTCGCGAGTTACGAGGTATAAACCTGATCTTGAACTAAATTAGACTTGGATTGCGAGTAGGTAAATCTAATTATCCGACATACTATTACTTATCGCAGTGTCACCTGTTCCTTTTCTCAAATACTACCAATTGCGTAGGCACACATGAGAAACGATCTCTTTTGATCTGAATCGCCCCTTTCTCTGCACTTAGAATAAAATGGCGATTCACAGAAACAAGGAAAAGCTTCACGATAATATTTGCGAAGTTCTTGCCGAGGCATTTCCTTGGCCCCATTCCGTACCCAAGCCAGCTGTAGCGCGCCTGTCCTGTGGTAATCGTATCCCATCTTTCTGGCAGGAACTCGTATCCCGTACCACCCCAGATGGGAGATGATTTGTTGAGTCTTATGGTGTCAATAAGGATACTTGTCCCGGATGGAATCAGGTATCCATCGATTCGCTTTTCGATTCCTGTAGCTTCAGCGAAAGTAAACCCTATTATCAGATATTGTCAATTTGGGAGGTTCTCATCGTCAAAGGTATTGATTGACGCACAAATTGGAGGGTTACTTCGTAAGATCTCGAGGTACATCTTGTGGAGAAAGGTATCTTCACGTCGGGCATAACTATCTGTTTCATCTTCCAAATTTGAGATGCCTTGCACTTCTTCATGCAGCTTCTCTCCCGCTGTTGGACATTTGCCAGTGTTGATTAAAGTGTAAGCAAATTGGGCTGATGTAACATCTATGTTGGTGAAAAGAATTTCATCGAGGGACTGAAGATACTGTTTTGTCAAGTTAGTACAATGTTAAGTCTCGAGATGATGAGTTTGTATTCTGCATACCATATCCAATGTTAATTCTCCCGTTTCAACAATACTGAACATGCGTGACGCACGGCATGAGGTATTGTTCTGTTCAAGTTAAAAACAAATCAATAGAATCAAGGGTTATGTGGAACTGACCGCTCTGGCTGTAGTGACAATTTCCAAATTGAATTTCTTCCATCCCTCTTCATACTCAGCCAATACTCTATTTGCTGCCGTCGGAAGCAGATGATAGTATGGCATATTCTCCCACGTGCCGAAGAATGTGTGCTGCGTAACGTGGTCATGTAGTTTATTAAGCTCCCATAAAGCATCGAAGCGCTGATATAGTTAGCAATACAGAATGGAAGATTAATGTTTGAATGTTGTAGCACTCACCTCGTCAGTCAGCATGTTTCCGTATAAACACATAGCAATCATTCGAAATGGCAATTGCCTGCAAATAACGACACTATCCGCGACGAATTTTGCTTCCTCAATCTGTTGTGATGCAGAATTCGTCGGTGCCGTTTCTGCCCAGGCATCTAGAACGGTGTTGAAATCTTGGATCATTGATGCAGCCTCTGTTGCGGAAAAGAACTTTTCAAGGTGGTAGCGCGTCTGATGCCAACGCTGGCCAGTTTGGACTCCGACACATTGTCCCAGACTCCTATCAAAGTAGGATCCAATGCTTTGACACTGCTGTTTGGTATGAACTTTAAAGCCATAATTTAGCCATGTCCGCGAAGTTGAAAATTTCATGCGCCGCAAGACTCACGCTTTCCGTCATCTTTGAAAAAATCGCGCATTTGAGCCGGGGTATGCAGAACTAATTCGAGCTTTGATTTATTTCGAACAAGATATGGCTCTTCGCCACACATATCGCTCCCTGATTGGGATAGTTCTTTTCTAAAATAACTTAGCTATGGTGTTTAATTCTGCAGTGAGGCTTTGTTACCCATGCGTAAACCGCGTATAGCGAGTCTCACCAGGGAAAACCTTCATTTCTCGTCCATCGTAATGAGAAAAATAAAACGACTTAGGTCTTCTTTTGAATATTATTGAGGAAAAAAAGAGAATTGCAAAGCAACCGAGGGTCAACTGCCAGGTAGAAGCAAAGAGGATAGACTTAATGACAAATACTGTCACAGACGGGTCATCAAGCCCGAACTCATGTTCATCCTTCATGCTGTATGAAGTGTGTGAAGTGTGAAAGTTACGCGATGGAATTCCCAAAATACTTCGACTGGTCAAAGGAGTATTGCCAATATAACCACGCGAGGGAGGGAATTTAAGTCAGATTATAATTAAGAGAGGGGCTATATGTTTTAATCTAGGATTTACTTCGCGGCTATGCCGACCTGGATCCAAAGTTTCCAATTTCTGTACCCGAACGACATGGCCGAAGGAAAGGATGATAGATCTTCTACAAATGACATTACAAGATTGAAACCACCAGAAATAGATGCTTATTCCCCATTTAGGTGAGATATACCGCCAAAATGGGCATAAACAATCTACAATTAACTTTCGGCCGGGAAGTTTTGTAGATCAAGGCTGACCACGCTGACTGTGAATCCGACCTCAGCACACGAGGGAATTGTGCCGAGAGCCTCGTGCTCAGCTCTCGGGATGATATCTTTCTAATGTTGGCCAACTGGAAGACCTTCGGCCGTTCGGGTAGATTACGCTTCCGGTATAATACGATATGCAGACGAGAGAGCAAGTATAAAAGGGTGGCTTGAGATGATCTCACTCAACCATCGGCAAGATAATTGTCCGTATCAAAATCAAGGCACGCTTTTTGTTCAAAAATGGATTCGAACTCTAACCCTGTTCGTGAACTCGAGCTCCTTCGTGATTTGATTGTGTCCTCCGTTGATATCGTCAAGGCGACCATCACTGAGCACCAGGACCCACCGCTTACCCTTGATGCAACTGAGGAGCATCCAATTTTTCAGCGAGAAAATCAGGATGCCTCCTATGCATTGAAGACCATTGGATCTGCTGGGCAGATGCTGCGTGCTCTCTGTGATCCGCATATCTACCTCAACGACTTCACATACGGATACCATGACCAGACCTCTCTTCTTGTCGCCTGCCAGGCAGATATACCAAACCATCTTGCAAATGGTCCTCTTGAGATAAGCGAGCTGGCCAATCTGACCAATCTGAACGGTGGGGTCTTAGCCCGTTTTCTTCGAAACTTGTGTAATTCACACATCTTTCGGGAGATTGAAGCGGACAAATTCGCGAACAACAGACTTTCCGCCAGATACAAGTCTGAAACCTGGAAAGCCATCGTTGGACACTGGTAAGAAAGCGTTCCCGGTACCTCAATGCTAACAATGTCGCTGACTTCTATTAGTGTTGATGGCGGCCGTCCAGCCTCATGTAAGGTCTGGGATGCTATGAGTGATCCGGAATACAAAAACTCCACAGAACCAACCAAGTCACCATTCAATATTGCCTACAATACAACGCTTGACTATTTTGCGTACACGAAAACTGTGCGGCCCGAAATGGCCGACCGGACTCAAAAGGCTATGGGCGGCAAGACCTTTAATCTAGAGGAATTCCTGAGTCGTAAGTATCACACGACGCGACTGTGAGATAAAACTGCTCAATTAAATTGATTAGTCTATCCGTGGGCCCAGCAGAAAAACGCGCATATCGTGGATGTGGGTGGCGCCATTGGGGCGGCCACTCTACCTATCCTGCGTGCTTTTCCAGGTCTATGTTTGACCGTACAGGACCAACCCGAATCTCAGCCGCTTTTTGAGAAGGTAGTTTGTAATTCAAAACATTTGGATTATCTGCGTCACCATTGCTGATTATCTTAGTATCTCACGGAACGTTTTTCAGATGTCGTTGATGTATCAAATGCACGTTTTGTCTCTTTGGACTTCTTCAAAGAGTGTCCAGTCCAAGGAGCTGAGATTTACTTCTTAAGGCATGTAATCCACGATTGGCCCGATAACGAAGCCATTCGCATTCTTAAGGCGTGTGCTTCTGCCATGATACAAGGAAGTAAGTTACTGATCTGCGAGCACATGGTATGTCCAACGTATCACACTGCCGGAGACAAAGAGTCGGAAGCAAATAGCCAAGCGGCCCCTGAGCCACTCCTAGCAAATTGGGGCAATGCACCTACTAGCCGTCTAGATCTTCAGGTTTACACGTTTCTCAATGCCAAGCAGCGCACCTGGGCTGAGTATGAGCTTCTCGCCAAACAGGCGGGGCTGGAGCTCGTACAAGTGTGGCGCAATCTCGGCGACCTCTCGATCGTTGAGTGTCAATTGCGGAGAGAATAGTGATGATTCTGGAGTAGTTAGTTGTTACACCGGAATTTGGAAATAAACCGGATGCCGAGACCACTGCAGTGTAGTGATTCTAATATTATAACCTTTACGGCTCGGAGAATCACATAATGGCACAATGTGTGAACTGTGTACACAGCTACCTTCCATGTGAGCCAACGGCAATTATTTGATTTTCAATCATCATGAAACCGAATAAGGTAGCAGAGAAACATCCCGAAACGGCAAGTCAACGGGCGATGTCTGGGCCAAGCTGACAGGCGCCCTAAACAACCCTATCAGATTAGTTCATCCCAATTTTCTAATTATCAAAAAATAACTTCTCTTGCCTCTGTAATCCCAACTATCCTATAGGAGATACAATATGGTACTGCAGCTAACATCAAGCCGTAAACGAGAACTTTCTCCCTCATGCGAAGATAGCACGCCAACAAGCGCTTGTGAATAGCTTCAAACCGGTAAACAGGCCTTAAAAATACACTAGCGGTGAGGATTGAAGCATCAAGTAGCTTTCCCTAAGCCGGTTTACATATTTATTTTGTGTTACCTTGGTCGATCTCATTTCCCCGAATACTGCGTTGCTATTGTCAGAGCGGCGTACCCGAACCCACCTCGTGGCAATCGCTCGGCCAGACATCCGTTTATGTCTAGATGATTATTACATGTCAGTTACCAAGGGTGCGAAAATGGGGATCGCAAGATCCTCTATTTCCATGCAGATGAGTTCGGCCATTCCGAGGGGCATTATTTCCCGAGCGATGCAGTAGATTGGTTCCGGGACATTCGAAAGCTGTGAGAAATTCTCCCCAAACGATTGCGTATATAACCAATATAACTCCCTTTTCATTTGAAGGAAGTTTACTCAATTCGATCTTTTCAATTTGTATTAGGCCTTACTGCCGACATTCATTTTTCTTGCCGAGCCCCTCATGACGGATCTCCTTTTTCCCACCTTCGAAGCACGACTAAAATGCCAGAGAAAGCCTCAGTACGCAGCCTTTCTAACGGATCTTGTTCGTGCTGCTTCTGACGGAATTGAAGCCTTGTGCACGTTCCGTGCAATTCTATATGACAGCCCAAATGAACCGAAAGATGGATCATTCCTGGCATTCGACGCCCATGTTGGCGATACTGGCTGTCATCTACGAGCTGGAATGCTCTTTGAAGCATACGTTCTACACAGGGGGGATTTCAAAACATCCTCTGACCGGAGAAGCCCTGCCACCAATCTGGATAGACGAGACAATCCGCCGTCTCGAAACAACTCGCACAAAAGCCCAACATATTTGTCTCGCGTTGACCCGAGATGGTGCACGGCCGCAGACACTAGGATTTGGCGGCAAAGATCTTATCATTACGAAGGGGCTTAAGACACTTACTTGGGAGGAGGTTTCTATTTCAAAAGGCCCATTCTGTCTCTATGAGAAAAACCAGAAGTTCCTTCGGCGGGAATTTGAATGTCTGTCCTTTACAGATAGCACCCCAATGTCATCAGCGTCTTCAGATATTAGTCGACCAACCACACCTCCATCTGCCGAGTCGGAATTTGGTTCACCTTTCAAAACAGAATGGGACCTGTATGACAATAGGGTCTTGGTGCGGCTGGTTATTTACTGCTTCATTCTCTCAAAGTACAAGACCTTCTCAAGCACGAACAATACAGTCGCAGCTCGCCTCTGCCCAGAAGCCGCCGCTGAGCAGGGTTACGCCTTGATGAAAGATTTTTGGGATTTCAAAAATCCCGAATACAAAAGGGCACGACTAGACAGGATCGGACAGGAACTTCGCGTGCTACAAGTGTGGATATCCGATCTGAGCTGCGCATGGTTACACTCCATCGCCATCCGATGCGACCTGAAAGAAATGGGAAAGTAAGCTTATTTTTCCAGTCCCTTTTTCTATTTGAGCAGCTACGCCCTTCATAATCGATTTTGAACCTGACTGCCGATACTACAGTCTTATAGCCGAGACGGCCCGGAAGTCAAGCACAGGGCTTACGGTCGCACCTTGCTACCCAGGCTACCTCCTCCTCCGCAGAGAGTGGGCTCATAGCGAAAATCAGATCCTTCTTATCGACCGCTATTTCTGCTCGCAGGGGTGGCATTTCAATATCTTCGTTGCTCATGTGGGATTACAGCGGGACGGGCAACCGTTCAATGCAGACCTACAGTGCCCAATTGAATGGTACATCCAGTCTATCACGCTCGACAAGCTTGCGTCATCCGAGTGGAGCTCGCGGCCTCTCCTAGTTGCCGTGGGAAATAGTATATCGGGGGGTTCCGATCAATATAGGGCGCGTCTCTTATCTAATGAGCGGGCAGGATACCATACATACGAAGCCGATGAGTGCGACGAGAACAATCAGCATGTTCGTGATTTCAAGGAAGCTGACCATGACCGGCTGGCGCTTGCGTTTTTTGGGTCTCATAAATGTTATCCTTTTCAGATAGAGGCCGCCGATGAAATGGAGTTTGTGGGATTGTATATGGATATTCTTTGTCCGGGGATGCGGGGACAGTGGGAGACAGTTGCGAATGAACTGGGGAGTCGAGGTGGTGGACAAGAGAACCAGGATATCTTTGGTTGGCAGCATGTTTTCATTGAAGCCCCAAAGAAAGTGGCCGGCAAATTGAAAGAATGGATGGCAGCTGGGAACTTGTTACCTTTATCTGTTTAGATGGGATGCTGTAAATGCGAATTGGGAGTTTCAATACACTTCCAAGGTTTCTTTAAGCTATTGCAGTAAACATGGCCTGTTTGACAGAAGGAAGTTTCAGTAAAGCAGTGATCATTCCAATATAACAGAGCAGCCCTTTGAAAACAGCCAACCATACAACACTTGATCAATGATGAGGAGAAATTTTTGGAAAATAGACCCACACAACGATCCAATAAAAAGATACACTAGATCTGAGCAGAACCACCGATCGAACGAGCAGGCCAAGAGAAAGCCAAGAGAAGGCCAAGATACCAAGAGAAACAAGCAATCTACTTGCATCGACCCGCTCACGGCTGGCGTTTTCGTGGCGTTTCTTGGAAATGTGCTGCCCCGCCAGGAAAGCATACTAGTATAGACCTACCTGCTGGTGGGTACTGTCTATTTCATGGGCTGGGCAAGTCTCAGTAAACACTCATCTTAATATTTGGAGTAGGACTGTACTAGTACTCACGGTTATTCTACTAGGTAGTCGGTACGCTACTCGGAGGGAAAATTTGCAGGAGCCAATATGAAGCGAAACTAGAATGCGGGTATAATTATTATAGAAAGGTATTTTGGCCCACCACAAGAGCAGGATTCGGCGCGCAACATAAACACACCAACTAGACAGCAAAAAGGATACGCAAATGCAAATGCAAGATCATGACGAGCGTGAGATTGAGATCGTCATGATTTCAAAACGTCCAGCCTTCTGGGACCTCGGAGAAACACGATAATTCTGCAAATCAAATTTCGATTTGCTCGATATGGTATATACACTGTCCCAGATTTCGTCAGCTTAGAAGACCATACCCTTGACCTGGGGAACCTTCTTAAGATCGATGTTGCGGATCATCATGGTCCAGGCGATGGCCAGAGCCATGATACCCACACCAGTAGCAAGAAGACGGATTTCGGAGTAGGCGTAAGCATCCTGGATAGCAGTACGCGTAGCGTTTCCAATGGGATATTCAAGTTGAACATTAACGTCGTTGTAGATGGCGTCGATGCTGGACTGAGCCTCCGCGGGAAGGTAGTTTCCAAGGGCCTTGTAGAAAGTATTGGTCCAGATAGCGGTACAGATCGTGTAACCAGCGGAGCCACCGATGGTACCGACGACGTTGAGCAGGGCGAGAGCGGTCGCGAAGTGCTGGTGGTCGACAGCAGCCAGGATGGCCAACTGCTCACAGATAATGAAGACAGCACCACCCATGGAGATGAAGATTTGGCACATAACCTGGTAACCGACGCGCATTCCGGGCTTTCGAAAGTAGATCATCAAGCCCTGCGCGAAGATATACAGAGGAACGGCGATGTAGAGCAGCCACTTGAAGCGGCCAGTCTTGCGGATGGACCATCCGACAAGCAGAAGGAGTACACCCGACACAACGTCGAAAGTGTTGGAGATGTATCCAGCTTCGGCAATGCTGAGATCGTAGACGACCTGCAGGAAGTTCTGGAAGAAGTTGTTCCAGCAGTAGTAGGACAGCTGGTAAGTGGCATCCAGGAGACAGGCACCCAGCACAGTACGATCGGTCAGAAGACGCCATTGGAATAGCGGAGTAGGCGCGATGAGACCCTCGTAGATACCGAAGAAGAACAGCATAGAGAAACCGACGACCAGCATGGCGATAATATAACCAGTACCCCAGCCGTTAGGGGCCTCGGAGGCAATATCGAAGGGGACCTCGAACAGAACTAGACCAGCGGTGAAAATGATGCAACCGAGGACTATTAGAAAAGATATATTAGTTTCATGTTGTCGATTGTGTTGTTGCACAGTTTGATAGACTCACTATCGAACTCCAAGGCCCAGTACTTGATGCTCTGGAAGATGGTGCGTCCACTGGGCTCCTTAATACGGTGGCCTTGCTTCTCAGCTTTGCGGAGAGTGGACTTCAGGACGAAGTACAAAGGGGCGGCGACGATGGGGAAGATGATCGCCCAGCAACCGAAGCCCCAGCGCCAGCTAACCTCATAGTAAAAGCGATCAGCCACCTTAGGACCAGCAAAGGCGGTGATGATATAGGGAGAGGAGGTAAAGGCGTAAGCCAGACCACGATTCTTCAGTTTGGTCATATCGGCAGTCTCAGAGGTGGGTAGAACAAATGGTTAGATGCGAGAAAGGGGGTTCGGGGAAGCAAGGACAAGCTCACGATCACGTCAATGGCATACTCCATACCACCGAAACCAATGTAGTAGAATACCATGGCAGTACAGTAGATAGCGAAGCTGTCACACGAGGCCATGAGAATAAGACCAATGGTGGCGAAGATGGTCATAACCAGGAAACCTTCGGCACGGCCCCAAGTATCCATCATCCGTCCGACGGGTAAGAAGGTGGCGGCAGCGGCGGCATCAGCGAGAGCGGTTGGAACAGCAGAGAGAGAGTGCTGTTGGAATGACGACGCGACATAACTGCTCAAGCTACCGTAGACACTGGACTGGAAGGCGTTGACGAAGTACAGGAACCAAATGCTGTGGGAAGGTGATAGGCAATTAGTTATTGTTATTCAACGACTCGGCAGATGTTGGGCCGTCGCTTCGCAGTGGGTCCAAGGATTTAAGCATCAGCATCGGAGCAAAACTTACTTGATGAAAACGAAGATCAGGGTAGACTTCGACCAGGTGAGGGTGATGGCTTCGGCATCGCGAACACCATGCTGGGCGGCGGCATTGGGCATGTCCGAGTCCGACTCCGACTCGAGCCCACTCTGGTCATAGACAGGCGGCGCCTTTTCAGCATCGGTATCCGTCTTGCCCTCGGTAGTGCTCTGGACGACAGCAGATTGGTCATGGGAGCTCTGCTCAACCGAGGAGCTGGCGGCCTCATCATCGCGAAAGCGACGGAAGACGGCGCGGCCTCTTCTAACCAAAGGGCGAATTCCCATGGTGAATGACGGGAGGAGAGAATTGAAGTGGAGGATAGACGAAGTCAAACCAGAGAGCCAACCCGAAAGAAACGAGGGAAATCCTTTCCCTTATAGAACAACGGTCCCGAGATCGGCAATAGTCGGCAGCGGGAAAACATCCACGACACGCGGACCACGACGGCCACAATTGACCACAACGACTAAGACAAGGGGGGGGCCAGTGGCTGCGAGTGAAAATCTTTTTCCCAGAAAGAAGCAAAGTGGATCAACAACTGCACGCTGCCAGGAATCCACCAAAAAGAGGGCAGGTCAATAAAAACGGGGCCCAAGCGATGGCACGATCTAATCAGATGCCGGGGCCATCTTATCTGGCGCGCACTAACTCGTCTAGTGAAAGCGCCATCCACAACAAGCTTCGGATTTGTCCGCCTCAAGCTTCGCTTGGCTGCTTGGCTTTTTTCGGAAATGAATTGTGGATACGACGCGGGCTTTTTGTTTTGGTGTTGTGTCCTGCTGTGTCCTGGTTTGCCCTGGTTTACTGGGGCTTTCGTTCACTTTTTCTTTTTTGCCTTCGGTTCTCGCGCATGCGGTGGCTAACCCGGCCTCCACTCCCCACTTTTCGTAAAAAGAAATATAAAGGAATACGGACCAAAGAGAGGCCCAAACTGGGTCGGTTTATCTGATCCGGTCAGTGTAACCGATCAGCCCAGATCGTGTGGTCGGGCGTGGGATGGTGGCGAGTCAAATCAGTGCAGTCATCACAGTCATCACAGCCCTAAAAGAGCCAAGTCGATCTGTTACCTAACAGATCCACCACAACAAACAAGTGCCGCTGCTCTTCTGGAAAGAATTCCATGCATGAAATCTAAGTCACATCAACGGATCAGCAGAGGGGAAGAAGAAAAAAAGATCAAAAAACAAGGAATAAGTGACTTGCGTGGCAGTCAATCAGCCCACGAACGGAGAAGTATACGATGTGGAAACGAAACCCCGATTAACGGAGGATGCAGGGGCGCCATTCTCCACTGTTCGCCTGTCGGGGCCGACATTAATGCATGAATCGAAACAGCATATACATAGAAACCATATCACAACGACAGCGTGAGTCTACTTTGAGATTGCGACGACCCCGGCGAAACACGGTGGATCAAACTAACTCGACCAAGGACGCTGCACCGAAACTAGCGATATACAACGTTGGAGGCGGAGACTCAAACATTCAAGCATTCATTATTGACATGACTGCACAGAAACAGACCGGTTGACCTCTATGGAATAAAATGCAATCGCTCAAAGGGTATAGTAACTCGCCATTTCCTCCTGGAACCAGTTGTATGAATAATACAGTTGATCCGCCATTTGCGGATCGATCATAGGCATTCCACCGCTACCGTCGACCAGCAAGACATCATCAAGAACGGGGGCCAAAGGCACCGGTGGCCCTGGGGGCGGCGCTAACGGAACTGCCGCTTGGTTCATCAAAACCGGTGGGTATGCCTGCGGTGGTGGTGGTGGTGGTGGTGGTGGCTTTTGTTCTAGTTGTTGCTCCAACTGCTGCTGCTGCTGTTGTTGTTGTTGCTGCTGCTGATAGGCCATCTGGCTAAAAATCATCGTGCTCTGGTGTCGGAATGTCTCCGCCAGTCGATCCACACCCGCTCGGCGTTTTCCGAACTCCTCCAGTAGAACCACCACGGCTTGGATCCCGCGACGCATCATCTGCTCGTCCGGATGCCAAGGCGCGGGCTGGGATTCGCGGAGCGAGCGCGCGTTCTGTTCGAGGCACCAAAGGATCGTAATCCCGGCAAAGTAGACTTGGCTCAGTGTGAGCCAGATCCACTTGAGCTTCCCCACCGAGTAACTGTCCCAATAGGATCGAATCACTTGAATGCTGGAATCGCCGCAGCTGACAATGCTGGTCAGATCCGGTGTCGGGTTGCGAGCACTCGGGCGATACATCAAGAGAAGTGTGGTATAATACAAATAGTCATAATACGAAGTAGAGTAGAGTAAAGCAGAAGGGTAGACCGGGGCTGACATGCGCCAGTCGTCGACCTCTCGGCGGAATTGGCCTAAAGTCGTCGCCACTTCCTGTGGCGATGGTCGTGACAAGTTGCTGTACACTATCAATCCCGATCATTAACATGAATCTTCCCATTCTGAATAGGGGAGTGGGTGCACTTACGGTATCGATAGATGCGCGAGAAAATCCGGCGAAGGCGTATTACCTGCACTGGGATTGTCATGGCGCTTGTCCCTGGGGCTTCCATGCCATCGTCGTTCAGTTCCCTTGGGAGGCTCACACTGATATCGTCATCAGCAATCCCCAGCGGTCGGCCCAGGGTGCTCGCGATGAGACGGTCCAGGTTGTACAAGCTCCAGAACGCCCGTTTGGCCATTTCCTCCTCCATCATACTAGAGTGGGCCCGATCCTTATGCAGACCCATACTGATGGAGAGGCGCATGGTGGCGCCCAGGACATGCCAGATACTCGGACCGGAGGTCGCGAACATGGTGTAGAGCGCAATACCCAGCAATGCCCGAACTGCGGGTAAATCTTCATTCTGCAGAGCCAATGGCAATGTCTCTTGACTGGCATTGTAGAATTCTGCGGCTCTGGTGGCATCTGCCGACCCGATCAATAACGAAACGGCGATAATGACATGGTATGCGTTGTGCACCTCGGGCGACGGCACTCCTCCGGTATAGATGTGTCGCAGCTGGGCCATGAACTCGGGGCGGGACATGAACGGGTACTGATAACCGATGCTCTCGAAATACTGGTCGGCTAGTCGTTCCGCTTCCTCCAGTGATGACAGGCGCAATACTCGCGGTGCCGAGGCCGGTCGGGCGACGGATGGACGGCGATGCTCGAGCTGATCGCGAAAGATCTCGCCCACATTGGGTAATTCCGCGCCGACACCGGTCGAGGTTTCAGAGCCCGCGGGGGCGGTCGCCACGGAAGAACCTCGACTGCCGTTCGGACTGGACATGGAGGATGTCCTCGGACGATTCCCACCGGTCGCAATCATCGCGGGTACCTGATACCACCAATCCGGGTCACCTTCGCCATCGACGGGGGTTCCTGTGACGAGGTCGGCGACCGAGATGCCAGACTTGCGGTGCACGACTTCCTCCAGCCATTGGACTCTCTTCTGTAGGTTTTCGAGCTGATCGCGGGGGACGGAGGCACTAGCGACTTGCGGACCTGGTGGGGGGATGGTACAACGAACGCCGGCGCGAGTACAGGCGGAGCAATTGGGATAGCGAAAATCGCACTTCTTCTTTCGTTTGCGACAAAAGTCACATGCTGTCGAGACTCGTTTACTGCGGGCGGCGGCGGCGGCGGAGGCGGAGGCGGAAGCAGAGTGAAGATTCGAATGGGAAAGATCTGGGGTGGAGGTGGAAGTGGAAGAATCGGGGTGCGACCAGGCCGGGGTTGGCCCAGTGGAGATGGACTCCAAACGGAACTTTCCCAGCTGGTCGCGAAAATCCTTGTTATCGGGATTGTTCATGCTGGCGGGTCGAACCGTCCATCTCAGCCGACTTGTGGCGTTGCTGCAGGTGGAGGGGGAGAATGTGAGGGAGAGTTGGGGTTGGAGGTGAAGGTGAAGTTGGAGGTGAAGGCGGGGACTGCACGGGGAAGGTGGACTTCGCTTAGCTTCTTCACTTGACACTCTTCTACTACACTCTACACTCACTCTATACAGCATACAGCATACAGCATATGCATTCAAAGACTCATTAATCTACCTCAACTCACCTCTACTTGATACTCACATCATCAGACAGTCTCCAAATCCCCATCAAAGCACCCCAACTCCACCCATGAAACACCTGCTGCACGCTCTCCAATTGCCCGCTGTGATTCGAGCTTGATATGCCCGGGTCCTTACGAGTCCTTAATCTGCTACGGTTACAATCTACATCGGAACATCCTCTCAGATCGTCTCCATCTGCCGATCACCCTCTCGCTTGCTGTACTCAGGCACATCCTGCGAGTCTAATGACCCCCGGATTCTGCAAGTGACGCCACAGGGTCCGTCGCCAAGATGATTTCTCCTCCACCAATCCAACCTGGTGGATCGATCGTCACCGAGGAATGCCACAATCGGCCAGCGATACCCTCGTATCCGTTCCTCGCTTTCAGGGACGATCGCGTGTTTGTTATTTTGGGATACGATGCATATCAAGGTAGTATCTCGCACTGTACGGAGTATAGCTCCGTCTCTATAAATAAGGGACCTGGCTCGACGACTTGAATCTCGATCCAGCTACTCCATACCACCAAGTGACATCCCTTCAAGTTTCTTACTATCAATTCTTACTCCCAATCTTCTCGTACTCTCACTTCACCATGACTTCTACCGTCAAGACTGCAGCTCTCTCCCTCCTGCTGGCTGCTGCCGCTAATGCCGGTCCCCTTGAGGCCCGCGCCAGTGGTGTCCAAGGCTTCGACATCTCCGGTTATCAAAGCGATGTAGACTTTGCCAGTGCCTATGGAGCCGGTGCCCGCTTCGTCATGATCAAGGTGAGCTGAGGGACCCTAAACCCGCTCTCATCCAGTGAATAGCCCCATATTAACCCACTTACCCCCCTTATCAGGCCACTGAGGGCACCAGCTACATTGATAAGTCCTTCTCCAGCCACTACGAGGGGGCATCCTCAGCCGGTCTCATCCGAGGCGGTTACCACTTTGCGCAACCCGCCTCCAGCTCAGGAGCCAGCCAGGCCGAATACTTCCTGGCCCACGGTGGCGGCTGGTCCAATGATGGCAAGACCCTCCCGGGAATGCTGGACCTGGAGTACAATCCGTCCGGCTCGACCTGCTACGGCCTCAGTGCGTCCGACATGGCCGCCTGGGTCAAGGACTTTGGCGAGACCTACAATAGCAAGACTGGCCGCTACCCCATGATCTACACCACCGCCGACTGGTGGAAAACTTGCACGGGTAACAATGGGGACTTTGGTGCCGACTACCCTCTGGTTCTGGCGCAATACGCCAGCTCGATTAGCACCATTCCCAATGGCTGGTCGACCCAGAGCTTCTGGCAAAACACAGATTCGTACAAGTATGGTGGTGACTCGGATCTGTGGAATGGTAGTGAGGACAACCTTAAGAAGTTCGCCAAGGGCTCATAGAGTAGCGGCGATAGGCTGTGAAATAGTGCGTAGAATGATATATTTTGACTTTTGGACTACCCGGTAATTCCATGTCTTCACATACTACTAGGTAGAACCTTGGAAGAGCATGAGAATATTGCAATTGTAGTGGTAGTACTAGTACCTTCTACTAGCAGTAGTACTGCATTGATTGTAGACCTCATGCACGCCTTATTGGTTGCCCCTCACTGATAAACACCGCCTCCACGCTGCACCCAACTTTGTCACATCCTCAACTCTCTCATTCTCCATGGAAGACCTCAATAAAAACTTGAACTCCGCTTCATCTCCAGCCGCAGGGCTCCCACTAGCCTTCCATGGTACCGTGATTCACTCACGCAGCCTGGCAGAGCTGGAAGTCCTCGAAAACTGCTTCATCGTCGTCGATAAAGCCGGCAAGATCCAGACCTTACAAGCCAACGTTCAACCTGAACAGATCAACACGATCCTCTCAGCTCACGGCTATGCCCCAGATGTCTTCCCAATCAAACGCCTCCAACGCGGCCAATTTCTCTGCCCAGGCTTCATCGACACCCACAACCACGCACCACAATGGGCCCAACGCGGTCTCGGAATCCGCGGTGAGTCCCTACTAGACTGGCTCAACAAGGTGACCTTCGCGCACGAATCGAAATTCCAAGACCCCGAATATGCAAAGCAAATGTACACCTCTTGCGTAACCGGATTCCTTCAACAAGGCATAACAACAGCCTCATACTACGGTTCCCACCACGGACCCGCAACCCAGATCTTAGCAGATATCTGCTTCGCAAAGGGTCAACGCGCCCTGATCGGAAAATGTAACATGAACCGCAACGCGCCAGACTGGTATCGCGACTCAACAGTCGAAGACTCACTCCTCGAAACCAACGCCTTGATCAAACACATTACAACCCTAGACCCAGAATCGAATCTCATAAAACCAATTCTAACCCCGCGCTTCGCGATCTCCTGTACCCCCGACCTCCTACAGGGCCTCGGCGACATAGCAAAGGAGAACCCAACACTACCAATCCAAACGCATTTCAACGAAGCAACGCAAGAAATCCAATACACGCACCAGCTCTTCCCGCAGTTCCGCACCGAGGCAGACCTCTACCGGAAATACGGATTACTGAACGAGCGAAGCATTCTGGCCCACTGTATCTTCCTGGAAGAAGAGGAGATAAAAACACTACAAGAGCTTGACTGTGGCGTAGCCCACTGCCCGATATCTAACACAACGATGCAAGAGTTCATGGTCGCGCCGATCCGGGAGTATCTGCGCCGCGACATCAAGGTCGGTCTGGGGACTGATAGTGGTGGCGGGTATTCTTCTTCCATGCTGGACGCGATGAAACAGGCCTTTATCGTGTCGAATGCGAGAACGATGTTGACCAAAGGGGCGGATGAGCCTTTATCGCTTGCTGAGGGATTTTATCTGGCTACGCTTGGTGGGGCGAGGGTTTGTGGGTTGGAGGGGAGAGTGGGCAATTTTGTTGTTGGGAAGGAGTTTGATGCGTTGGAGATTCATTCGGGTGAGTTGTTGGATAGACCGGGGGTTATGAGTCCGGTTGAGGAGGAGGATTCCATTTTGGCGGTTTTTGAGAAGTTTCTTATGACTGGTGATGATCGGAATATTGTCAAGGTTTTTGTGAGGGGGAGATCTGTCAAGGTCTGAAGTATACACGACTTTCATAGTACCATATACAAGTATCTAGCTATGAGCATTGATCTCTTGATGAAGCAAGTATGACATTCCAAGTTTGTCTAATCCCAACCCCCTAATTAAGCCAACCTGCGCCGATCTATGTATAATATAGCAAGTATAGCAAGTATATCCCAGTAAACCCACCAAACACCCAAGGTAGAAGAAGGGACCCACCAAATGTGCAAATGAAACAAATAGCAAATAGATATACAGAAGAAAATTACTGCCAGGCACCCTGAGGGGGGCCAAAGTAACCCCGAGCAGGCAGACCCTTATACGGCGCTCCCTTGCCATCAGCGGTTTTTGTATATACAGTATTGCCCCACCACTCCAAAGAGCCCGCAGGTAATGTGATACAAAAGAAGATGAGGACAGTGGAAACCGCAACGCCGCAGTCCAAAGCAGCAGAAAGGACGTAATTGTATTTCGACCACCACGCGGGTTTTCGACGACGCACAAGGCCGTTGAAGATGACGTTGATGACCCACCAAGATGAGAAACTTACACCCGTGGCGGGTGGGACAAGGCTCATGGCGCCGAATGCAACGGGCCACGACAGGTAATTTACGCGTTTCCAGCGCCGCCCGAGAAAGTATGTGATTATCACGACGACGGGTCCGACGAGGAAGAACCACAGTATATTGCCGTAGATCTGACCCGGGGAAAAGAGGCGACCAGGACCAACGGCTCCTAAATGCATGTTAGTGAAATGGTCACACGAAATGCGAACACAAAGCGTGGTACGGCCAGGATTAGAACATACCCCAGATGAGAGAGGACGAATAGGTCACCCGACCATGAGGGCAGGTGAAATTACCCGTAGCGTCCGTCGTACAGACCCCATCAATCCTCGTAATCATAAACACCGTCACGCCGCACTGAACAATCGCCCCGATGAGGGTGGCCAGTCCCTGGGCGATGAAGAGGGTGCGCGGCGCGATGTGCAAGTAATGTGCGAGCTTCATGTCGGCAACAAACTCCAGTCCCTGCTGAACGGCAACATAACCATAAAATTTGAAGACCATGTTTGCGATGGGCCGGCCTAGGAAAGCATACCCACCGATAAACTCGGTAAGTAGATTCAACTGGTTGCTGCTGATATTCGTGAGGGCTTTGATGATTCCCACCGGGATGAAATAGATCATTGGCATGAGGAAGGCCACTAGCACCGCCCACACCGGGAGCCCGGTCTTCCACACCTCATTCGTGACAACGCTGAGCACAAACATCAGCACGGTGACCGTACCAAACCACCACCAGGGAACGGTGCGGTAATTCGACATTAGGCGCGCATGCACGTCGGGCTTGCTTGTCCCTTTCCACTGCTGCCAGAGGTCGCGACCATGGTAAAGACCAATGTGAAAAAATATACCGGAGAGATTTGCAAAAGCGACTCCAAAGGTGATAGCATATCCCGCGGGAAGAAACATGGGCGAGTAACTCCGGTATGCTGCCTGATCCACCATACCCTGATCATTCATAATGCGGGCGGTGTCGTACGTTTTGCCGGTGTTGTCAAACGTGTTCGAGTTGAGCATCGGGAGGAAGGCCGAGTACCAGGTGTTGGTATAGTATAGGATGGGACAGAGGATCCAGAAGAAAAGGGCAAAGGAGCCCATCACATTGAGACCGGCCCAGAAAGGGACCAGAAGAGGACTCTGGTTAGCATAAACCACCTGCGACCAGTCGAATGTCAAGACGGACATTCCTAGACCAGTAGTTTGTCCGAACAACTGGTTGACGATGACATTGTTGGGTACAATCCAGCAGATGAAGCTGAAGGTACTGAGACCCGTGAACAGATACCCCGGCGCGAAATACCAGATGGCGCCTCCGGAAAATACGATTAAGAAGAACCGGAGGCGGGTGATCCTCCAGCCATCGGCCACCGCATTCTCCCGATTATGGAGAGTGGTCAATAGTGCCGCATTCGAGAGGACCTGAGGCCACAACATGGAGGCCGGGCTGACCAGCCAGCGGGCCGCCATCCCTGCCAACCCAAAGCCGAACAGCTGCGTTGTGATGCACAGTAACACCTCAAAACCACCCTCTGAAGGCATGTTATAAAATTTGACGACCGCCTCAATGATCTGAGTCGCCTGAGCGGAGCCAATGGAGACATTGGCCATGATGGTGATCAACCCATGTTCCTTGATATTGAAGTGGCGATCGGGGTTGAGCCAACCCAAGGGCATCCATTTCGCCCATGCACAACCGAGCGGGAAGGCCAGGAGCTGAGCCACCAAAGCACTGATGGTGACGCTCGGTTGGCGCAAGCTGAAGAATTGGTTCAAACCACTGCCAACGACAGTGAAGAGGAGACCAATGGTCCACATGCGGGCGGTGTTCACGGGCAGCGACTGGTCATCGACGGGCTGGACGACGGCGCGCACCTCCGGGAAGGGCGAGTCGTCGGCCTCGTAGGGAAGGGTCTGCTTGGCATCGCGATCGCGCAAGATGGATATGTGGTCGTCGTCGTCGCCGTCATCGTGGGCCCGTTCGGAAGTACTCTAGGAGAGATGAATGTCAATGCCGAAGTCAATTGCGTGGTTCCGAGCGGTGGCAGTGGCAGTGGCGGTCACGGTGAGATGGGGAGAGAGGGGTAGAGGAATGTGACAATCGCACGACAAGCATGCGCAAGCAGAAGCACATGCATATACGGAGTCGACGATGCTGTCAATGCGACTGCCACGAGGGAAGTGGGGAAGGGGATGTGCAAGGGAAGCAGTCTAAACCCACCTGGGACGAGGAGTGACGGTGCTTAACCTTCTCGACCTCCATGGCCAAGAGGGCACAAGGCCAATCGGCCGGAAGCAAAGAGAGAGAGTCAAACCATAGACGGGTCAAGCCGACAGATGACCGGGATGGGGCACAAGGAGGGTGGAGGGAGGAGGGGGGGAAGGGAAGGGGGCCAGAAGTGTGGGTGATGCGAGGAAGTCAAAGTGGAAGTCGAAGTGGAAGTTGGGCGGGATGGGCCGAACACTGCAGAGCAGACGGCAAAGATAATAAAGTATACTATACTCCGTAGTATACCAATGGATGCTATACTATATTATCTGCATATACTACTAGCCTTACAATCTATATATCTGTAGATATATCTGGGCACTAGAATAGTGGTATAATGCTATGATCATCACTGTATGCCCAGGTGGGAAGTCTTGGCACTCCCTCTGCTAGAGTACTGTATACTACTTCTACTTCTACTTCTACTTCACACTCTCTTCCTTCCTCAACTCCTCTCCCCCACATAATCGAAACACACCCACCTCCCCTGCCGCATGCATGGACTGCATTATCATTTCTCAAACACATCAGATCTTCGGTCTACACCAAATCCAGCAACCTACCCCGGTTCTGTCGGCATCACCCGACCTGCAGCCGTTGTGCTCCACCAGGCGGACCGGAGCGCCTCCAGATGTGCGAGCCAGAAAATTTAAATGTCGCCCATCATTGTGAGATTAACGTGAACTTTTTGGACTTATCTCTCCGCCATACCCATCATGCGCTACAGAATATAAATGTCCGTGCTGTTCAAGTTCAAGTTGTCTGGCCTGGATCTACAAGTGGTTCGACGACCGGAGGAAGACCTTCATCTTGACTCTATATACTAACTATACCACCAGTATACTAGTACTACTAGTATTGGTATACCCTACTGCCAGTAGTGCAGGACAATACTATATCCAACTTGAATCACCTACACCCCATCATGGGCGACGCCGGTAAAGCTGGTGTCTGTGCTGAGCACAACTCCTTTCCCACTCCCTTCGCCCAGCGGCCCATCATCATCCTAGGTGCCGGGATTATCGGATGTGCCACCGCTCGGCAGCTCCTTTTGCAGGGATTCTCCGTCCAGCTCGTGGCAGAGTTTCTCCCCGGAGATCAGGATATTCACTATGCTTCCGCATGGGCCGGTGCAGCCTGGCACGCCGCAGGTGGCATCACTCCGGAGCAGCGTTATTTGCAAGCCGTCACTCATCGCATCTTGCTTCAAATGGCCCAGGACCCGGAGTCCGGCGTGAGTGTTGTTGATGCTCGGGAGTTCCTAGAGAAAGAGCCAGCTCCAGATTCCGCCATCTGGGGGAGGACGATCGTGTCCAAGGTTTGTCCTCGGAGCCGGAGCCTCCAAAGTGTAAAGATATCTTCTAACCTTGCACAGTTCCGCGAGATGGACCGCACAGAGTATCCCGCCGAATTCCACAGCGCCTGGGCTTATGAGACCCTCGTTTCAGATCCAACCCGCCATATGCCTTACCTACACCGACAGGTTCAGTCTTTAGGAGGTCGATTTATCCGACAGCGAGTGCAATCACTTCAAGAGCTTTACGACATGTTCCCCGACTCCCGGATCTTCATCAACGCGAGTGGAATCGGCAGCAAAACTTTGACGGACGTCCTGGATGACCGCTGCTTCCCCGAACGTGGTCAGAATGTGTTCCTTCGCACCGACCAGTGCCACACGATGTATTTCCGCAACGGCCAAGAGTACACCTACGTGATTCCCCGGCCCCAGTCCGGCGGGGTGGTGCTCGGAGGCGTCAAGCAGCAAGATGACTTGTCAGTGCCCGTCCCCATCCAATCTATTCGATCTCACTTCCATGGCCTTGGGAGAGATAAGCGAACCGCCACTGACCCTAGAACCAGGTCCCCGGAAGTCGATCTTGATATCGCGTGGGATGAGATCACTCGTGCGCACCGGTTGGCACCTCACATTGTCCCGGAACAGCCTGCAGATGAAACCGTCAGCCATATTATTGGGATTCGCCCGTCTCGCCGTGGGGGGATTTCGATTGGACTCGGCACAGAATGGAGCGCGCACGGTGCTGTCAGCCTATGGGTTTGGTGGCGGGGGATATGCATTTTCGTATGGAATTGCCGACGCGCTGGTGAAGATGGTGGAGGAGGCTGAGCGGGAGAACGTCATTGTTTAGCGGGGAGTATTGAAGGACGTGGTGTTTAGGACTGATTGTTTTACGATTCTCATATGATTCCCATTGATTTTTGCTACGATCTTTGCTATTTGACTTCTCCATATTGTGACTATTTATTTACCCCCTTCCCCTTCCCCTTTCCCCTCCCCGATGTCTCATTCTTGTCAGACGCAACCGGGGAGGAAGACGGGATGATTTGCCACTGAGTGATATCATTCTAGTACTTTTAGTACTTGTTTCTTTGAGTGCCTGATTCGACTGGACTGGTCTCGACTCGACTCATGTCAACTCTCCACGCGTTCGCAAGTGGGATTAGCGCGGCCAAGCGTGGGCGAGATTCCTCTTTTTCCCTCTTTTCCCTAGCCTTCCCCCCCGCCGGCGAAACTTGCCGTCCACTCAAACGTCGACCCTCGCCGGCTTTCCTGCCAGCTTTTTCCATCGCGTTTCGCCTCCCTCTGCTTGGGACCTTTCAGATCCCGAAATTCGAAACCCCGTTTCTTTTCTTTCATCTGGGCATCCACCTCTTCTTTTCTCAACTACCTTTGCCTTTGCCTCCTCGGGACAAGCTCACGATCAACCCCAAACATCTTGCGACCGCGTATCCCTTCACACGACGGTATTGGTTCGGCTGAAATTCGGAGATTCGAGATTGAAGCACTGCGTCATCAGACAAGAAAAAAAAAGAAAGAGAAAAAGACTCCGATCACAGAGATTGTCCCTTCGTGCCGACAGCCCATTAGAAGGCACCACTCATTTCTCTCACAACACTCTCTTTGGATGAGTCCATTGTACGGTCTTTCCCCGCCTGCTGGTCCTGCCTCAAGGCAGGACACTTGAATCCCGAATTCGAATCCCAAAATGGTTCTGGACCAGCAGATGCTCCACCTTTCCCTCGAGGATCGCCGCACGGTCGGCTACGACATGGTTATCACTCCGCCGGCGGAGAACGAGGTGAATGCGACCGGCGCGCTTGGCCCATCACGGGGACAATCACAATCACAATCACAATCACAATCACAACCACACGACAACTTGAACCCTGGGAAAACCCACTCCGCTCTCGACCACCCCATGAGCCGCATCTATCGATGTACCCCTACACCCACCATCGTCATCGACGGCTCCCTGCAAATTGTGGAAGTCTCCGATAGCCACCTCGCCCTCTTCAAACATACTCGCGCCGAGCTGATCGGCTCCAGTATCTACGATTTAGCGCCACGGGCCATCCCCGCTCCAGATATTCCCTCGTTAAGTGGCGCGTTGGGTGCCTCCCTCACTACTCGATCCGTGCAGTCGATTGAACCAATTCGTGTCGCCGGGTGCGACTCCGACTTCGCTCTCCGAGTGACTCCAATCTTCGAAGATGGCGCCCTCATCTACGTGGTGCTTGAAGCCCAGAGCATCAAGCGCGACCCACGTAGTCAACCCGGGTTGAACGAGCAATACTTCCTGAATGAAACATACAAGATCCTCGTCGACACTGTCAAGGATTATGCCATCTTCATGCTCGACACACGCGGCAATATCGCAACATGGAACTCAGGCGCTGCCATTCTCAAAGGTTACACCCGGAGTGAAATTATTGGCCAACATTTCTCCACCTTCTACAGCGCCGAAGACCGGCGAGCCCGAAAACCGGCCCGAGAACTCGAGGTCTGTCTACGGGAAGGTAGGGTAGAAGACGAAGGCTGGCGCTACCGAAAGGACGGCGGCCGATTCTGGGCCAATGTCATGATCACCCCAATCTTCCAACTGGGCCGACATGTCGGCTTTGTCAAAGTCACCCGGGATCTCACCGAGCGCAAGGCCGCCGAGGCCCGATTGATCGACGCATTTGAAGAGTCGGCCAAGCTGAAGACGGATTTCCTGGCCAATATGTCGCATGAACTGCGCACCCCTATGAATGGGATGTTTTTGGCTCTGGCGATGCTGACGAGGACCGCCCTGAGCGATGATCAACGGGAATATGCGTCAATTCTGGAAGACTCAACCTCCATTCTCCTACAAGTCATCAATGATGTCCTGGACTACTCGAAGCTCTCGTCGGGCTCCTTTTCCCTGACTACTGATGTCATCAACATTCCTAGTGTCATCAACGCCGTGGTCCGCAATTGCCAGCCCGCGTCAAAACCTAAATTGTCGGTGGTGAGCTTTATTGCACCAGACTTCCCTTCGAACCTCCAGGGCGACTCCCTGCGATTTCGCCAGGTCTTGCAGAACCTTGTCAGCAACGCCGTCAAATTCACCGAGAAAGGCCACGTTCACGTCAAGGCATCATACAAGGTGGATCCGTCTAGCTCCCAGTCATTCGAGATCTCCATTGAAGTCATCGATACTGGAATCGGAGTTCCCGAAGAAGCTGTCGGTACACTCTTCACGCCATTCACCCGCTTTGCGGATTCCGCTACCAAGCGATACCAGGGCACAGGGCTAGGTCTGTCCATATGCAAAAGTCTAGCTGAGCTCATGAAGGGTGTTGTCGGGTTCCGCACCAACCCAGACGGACCTGGTAGCATCTTCTGGATGTCAACCAAAATGAGCCGAGTTGATGGCCATCAAGCGCCACGATCAAAGCCCTTGGTTTCGCCGACCCCAATCAAAAACAATTTTGACCCGGAGCCACTCTTGAAAAAGATCGCTCCACAAAAACACATCCTCCTGGTTGAGGATAACAACGTCAATCAAACCATCATGATTAAACTCCTCGGATCCCTCGGCTTTGAACGCGTTGACGCAGCGTGGGACGGATCAGAGGCAGTACGCATGGTGAAACAGAAACCGCTGGCCTACAATCTGATTCTGATGGACATCAGCATGCCAGTGATGGACGGCATGGCAGCAACCAAGCATATCCGCGGGATGAAGAACGATGTACCTATCATCGCATTGACGGGGAATGCTCTCAAGGGCGACGCGGAGTTATATTTGGCGCAAGGCATGGACGATTACATTGCGAAGCCACTTCATCGACAGCAACTGATCGAGATTTTGTGGAAATGGTGTGGGTCTTAGAGCGGAGTCCCACTCTAAAATGACATGCATATCATTGCTTTTGCTCAACGTTCGCCACGACTTGGCGTCCGACCCCCGCTTGAACGACAGCAGCCATATCACCCCCGAGGCTCTCGCTCTGTGCTACCAGCCCCCATTATGCTCAGCAACCCAACATAGCCCAACGTGGATAACACTGTCTGGGTGGATGTTGATAGCCTGCGCTTTGGGTTCGGAGAGGGCTTACAGTATCAAGCCCCAATATGGACAGTGCTTTGCCCAAGAATGAGATGAACTCGCTCGTCCAATTTCCGGAGCTTGAGTTCTCCCAGCACATCCCATGGGATAGTGCAGAACCTACCTGCAAGCCAAACCATTTGGCTCGTGCACTAATAATAATGATTACTATGACCTTCGGTTTTTTTTTGCTCTTTTCATCTCTTCTCCTGGCCTAGAATGTAAGCAATAGTAATCGTAGCTCCTTTGTTGTACACTACTAGTACCCTGAGTACCCCAATCTCCGTATGTCCGGAACCTGGTCCAGAGCCCCGAGGCTCGAATTTTAGATTTATATTGATATATTACTTGCCGGTAATCCCAACTCAATTTCTAGCAGTACCTCCAGTGCCCTGGCGATGCGAGTATCTGATGTTGCGCGCGGGATGTCGGCGGTATTTTCATTTCTGGATTCAGAGGCTTTGAAGTCTCTTTCCAAATTGTTTCAATATTTATTTCCATTTATCAGATACTCTATCAGCTACCCAAGAAGATATTCGTAGAGCCACTTTGGCAGCTAACTGCTTGGCTACTTGGAACCTTGACCCTTGGCTGCGCGATGGGGCCGCAACCGGGACATCGAAAGCCGAGCCCAGAGATTCGTACCAAACTGCGCGCCCTGCGGAAAGATTCACATTTCAAAATGATAGCCATTCCAGTTTGTCAAAGTGGGGCATCGTTATTGACCATGTATTAATTGTACTTTGCCAAACTTTGGAGCAAGATGGGGAGCCTGGTTACCTTGAATCAATAGCGATCAAAATTCTATTTCGTTTGCCCGTACTTTCAATAGAACAGCTACCTAGTAGAATGTAAATTCGCATCGAAGAATAATTGAATATTCAAAATGCCTAGTATACCTACTTTATTATCAATTTAGCCACTGCCTCTTACCTACTAGGCAGGCCCACGAGAAAGTCCCGTTCTGTATTGTTCTTTGACGAAGGGCTGCAGAACTGATATACAGCTTCAACAAGTTGCCTAATACCTGATTTATTTAGAAGTCATATTATTGATAAGTAATCTACAGAGATTTTTAGAAATTGTATTGTTACTTTATACGGACCCGACACCCATCAATTTTCGCATTGTCTAATAAGGTAGACAGAAGTGTATTTATCGAGTAAAAGCCATTTGAATCAGCAGGTACCTACTAGTCTACATTCCACCGTACCTAACCAGTTGGGAAACAATGAAGCTATAGCCTTGCCTAACACAGTAGAAAACTTGAATGTTTGCTAGTAGGGCAACAGTCTTATGATTGTCTCCTATATAACTATGCTCTACCTTCCCAGGTATGCTTCTTTCTTTCTGAAAATTGATGCCATTTTCTCCTTCTTCATCTAGATGTAGCATTCTACGTATATGAAACTTATCTATTGAGCGGGATTCGATCTCGTTTGTAGGCATCTGTTGCCCTGCCTTCCGACGTCTCTATTCAAATGGCCAACAGTGAAGTTCTGCCTTGCTCGACATGACAGGCAAATATAGATCTATTGATCAGTACTGTGCTAGGTTAGAAGGTACCTATTCGAGTACTGCTCTGTACTCAATTTTTCTTTTCTCTAGATCTAGGCGGCGCTCTTAGCGTAGGAGTATAAAGATAGTAACCATCCTCTCATTTTGGAGCGTACAGTCTCATCCAAATTCTTCTTACCGCATCGATTCCAGCGCTCAGCTTTTTCAACATGGCAAATACGGTCACCCTCCTTGAATATCTCCAACAGGGGCTTGTACGCCACCCATCATTCGATACCTCGCCAGGAAGCAATACCCAAGCCACTAATTACAATTCCACTCATATCCGTCGTGTAGATACATGGCAAGAATTCAACATCGACACAATCACAAGTGAATTTGCCGCTATCCTGAACGGAGCCCGAATCCCAAACGAAATGCCTCCTCATACACCTCCTCGTCATGTTAACTCAGAGGATGCTGTTCGGGCTCGTGCCCATTCCTACCTGACAAATCGAGTTGTACGAGCTTTACGCTCCGGATTCAATTTTATTGCCAGCACGGGACAGCTGAGGAATTTCGAAAGACTCGCCTATGATGTCGGCTCACTGGCCTGCACAGAGTATGGCTTTCCCGACTTTGCTGTCTACGACACAACTGACGCAAACTCGAAGACTCGGCGGAACTTTGTCCCCGGCGACGTCAAAGTCTCCTGGAAGTGGTCCGCAGCTTGGCGGAGAAGCAACGAGACACGTGAAAAGAAGGAATACAAACAGGTACTTTCGCAGCTCAATTTCTATGCGAAGCGAAACAAAACACGCTATAGCTTTGTGCTCACCAACCGCGAGTTTGTTGCCATAGAACGGCTGGATGTGTACGGTCATCTGAAAGTTTCAGATGCCATTCCTTGGGATGCTCGGGGAACTCGTGAAAACCCCCCGTTTGACTGTTCCTCTGGCGATCTGGTATCTTACCATGCTCGCCGCTCGCAAGGATCAGGATGGAAAAGATGGAGCATACCTTACTTAAATCTCCAGCTCAATGGTTCCTTCCTTTCCCCCTGACGATCATCCATGTTCTTGTTCTGGCTCGTGTGTGTTGTCGCTTACTCTCATGTTGTTTTGTTATTTTCCTAGCCCCGCTCCCATTCGTCACCTTGAAAAGCATCTCCTTGCTGCTCATTCGGGCTTTTTTTGTTCGGTTCGTTTCTATGCCCGATGCTGATTCTTCCTTTTTTCTTCTCGACTTCGTTTCCTACTTCCACTTCTGTTCTTCTGCTATCTGCTATTCGTTTGTTCGTTTCTTTAGAATCTGATCTTTATTGTCATTCATAAGCCCGGCATCGAGTCCTGCTCCATCGTAGCTTGCAGTTGTAGAGTCGTACTAGTTACTGTAGTTGTTCATAGTAATGGAGAACCTGGGGTCCAAACAAAAGCGGCGCTACGTACATACTGCAAATACCAGTACCATCGTCCTTCCATGCGCGTGTTCTAGTAAAAACGTTCTAAGTCCATACATAAATTTGTACACTCCAGCAGATACAGCGAATCGAGTAACATGGTCAAGTATTGTATTGTCTGTTGTCTATTGTAGTGGTTATAGTTACTGCCTGGCCAATCAGACGGGTCGGGTCACGTGAAATCGCCGCGCCGTCACTACAACCGGGCCAAGTCAATCTTGCAGCATAACCACTCTTTCCAACCATCACAATCTCGTTTCTACTCAATAGGAACTCGGAATCTCATTCAATCATGATTCAGGAAGACGGTGAAATTGACCTCAAGGATGTCGAGATCCTTGAGCTTCTCAAAAAGTCAGAGCACTCTGTGATTTTCAAGGTGCTCGTCCATGAGACAACTTGCGTGATGAAAGTGGCAAGCACAAACCTGCAATTCTGGCGACACAAGATGATGACTCTAACCATACTATTTCCAGTATCATAATCAACCTTACCGGGAATGGGATCCTCCCGACCGTGAAGTGAACTTCTACGTTTGCGAATCCACTGCGTATCGTCGGTTGAAGGCCAAAGGTTTCTGCGAGCGGAAAGTCATTCCAAACTTCTACGGGACCATCACAAACATCCAGCCAAGAAAATGGCCACATTTGTGGATGTTTTGTGATGATGAACTTCCTCCAACAGCCATTGTCATTGAATATGTGCCGGACATGCATCGAATCGACCTTACCAACTTCTCACCCCAAAACGTGCAGATACTGAGAGAGATTCTTGAGGACATGCATCTCGCCGGGGTTCTTCACGATGACACTTATCCACGAAACATGATGATCTCCAGAGACCCAAGCACGGACCAGGTCAGAGTTCTCTGGATAGATTTCGACCGTGCCCAAACTTTCTCCGAGAGTCTTTCGGGATGGCAGAGAGAACAGTTGGAGGAGGAAACTGAAATTATGGACGAATTTATTCAGGGATTGGTAGGTTCTGACCAACAAGATGCGTGTGGCATTTACTGACAGTAACTCAGACCCAGGACAACGAGCAAGGTGAACTGTACCACTCCTACGCCTTCTATTATGGCGTGTTCGGACCGCTGGGATGGGCAATGGATTATGAGTGGGTCCAAGAGAAGTATGCGATCCCCGAACCACCTCCAGGACCAACGTGGGAGGAATTCCAGCGGGCGGCCAAAGAGCAAGAATCGCAATGGAAAATTGTTGGGGAGAATACCAGGGAGGTCACGGTAGAATGGGATTCGTGAGAACGTACTGTCAAAAGTTCCGCACTGATACAGCATGCATCGATGGAATAGATTGATGCATCCAGACTATGAACTTGCCAGGGAAATTTTCTGCGAATCTGGCCTGTTCAATGATTGATGAAGAGAGTGATTACCTGGTGTTAATTTACTCCCATGTACCTGTAGGATGTTCTCCATACCTTTAGCAATGTAGCAAATGGCGTAACAAAGCCAAAAGAAAAGAAAAGAAAAATCCAAGACTTCCAGAATATACCGAGTAAAAAGCAACAAAAGCCCTCTTAGTCCATTGAGAATTGTGTTTGAGTGCTCATTGGCTGCTGGTCGAGTTGAATGCCGACTTTAACAAGGTGGAGCCGCAGTGACCCGCATCCACGCCGGAGCTGTTCCTTTCCCTTTGATTCTCTCAACGAAAATGGATCGGCCTTGCATTCTCGTTAATTCTACTAGAACCTCAGACCGGTGCTTGTGATTTTGTGCCTCTACCGATACTCTGCTAGACTTAAACACCCCCTCCCTGCTGCCCCAGCTGCGAACATGGCGGGTGCGGGGATACTCAGGGGCATATCAGGATCGGCACAAACCATCCTGCCATTAGCCCCGCGCGAAAGAAAGCCAAATCCTATCAAGAGCCACCAAAAGACGGCATCTCTTATGCCCCCACTGTCAAGTGGACCCCGGAAACCTTGACTGGAGGTTATGATGGCATTCCGGCTTTGCTTCTCCTCGTCGAGCCTCCCCCACCCCAGCCTCTATGAATGGACCCTTTATCTTGGCTAAGACCCCGGCCAATGCCCGTAGCACCCCTGTCGTTCCTGGCGGTTGATGAATTGCTGCTTTTGGCCCGAGACTTCACGTGGTCCCTTACTGCCCGAGGTCCAAAGACAGAGACTCTTGTTGGGTTGAGCGCCAGTTAGCCGTGATAGACGAGCGGGATCACAATGAACTTCTCTACGCGACTGGACTAGGATACAAAGGATCAGAAAACTTCACAGAGTACTTTCGGTCTATGTTCAGAGCGTCGTGCACCAGAACTGCTCGTGCTTGAGGGCCCATTGACCAGCAGAGCTAACAATCACGCCAATATTTAAGTCGCCGAAGCCTACATCCACCGGAGTACAAAGGATTCCGAGCTTAGTCGAACTAAAGCCCAGAGTAACCCACGTACTAAATAATCTCCCCCGTGTATCGCTGATTCGACCGCGGCTTCTTTTTGCTGTGTCTGGCTTGTGGTCCGGAGTCATGGCGGTATACAAGCAACTTTCATCCAAACTATCTACACCGAAATCTCACGCCCCCTCTCTTAGCTCTAGGTCCAAGCATTCATGATCGTCAGCGATTCTGCCCGACTGAGGGGCTCTCAATCCATCAATCCATCAAATTATGTCTTGGTACTCCATAGTAGTAAACTACCCCATCACAGTCCCACTCCTCCAGTCCCACTCCTCACGCGCAGATCGTAGTTCCACTCACAAGCGGAATCCCCATAATGTTTTTACTATCCTGCTTTGTCGTGCCATTGTGCTATCTAATTGGACTGTCAAATGGATCACTGGGGAACAGAAATCCCCAGGGCCTGGCTAAGCAAGAGTTGCGGAGGTGAACAGGACGGTATAAATCCGGCGGCACCTGCACCCGGCCATCACGCCAGTCGTCTGTTCGGTCGTTTTGCCAGCCCTCACGCCACTTAGTTTCACTTCGGCGTGTATTACTTTTCCTCACTGGCACTTCCTCTCATTCACCTTTCACCTCTCACCTTTCCCCATCCACCTTACTCAACATGAAGCTGGCTACCTTGATCGTGGGAGCTCTAGCTTCCAGATCTCTGGCTGCTCCGACCCCCGGTTATGAAGTACACGAACGTCGTGATTTCATCCCAAGCTCTTGGGTTGAAGAGAAAAGACTCGACGCAGCTGCGTTTCTGCCCGTCCGAATTGGACTGACCCAAAACAACCTTGACTATGGCCATGAGCTTCTGATGGAGATGTAAGTCACGCACATGCTCCTAGTATCCATATCCCTCTTGGCGTACTGACATCGTGAGCTAGGTCTGATCCTAACTCTGCTCGTTACGGCAAGCACATGAGTGCAACTGAGGTGCATGATCTTTTTGCACCCAGCCAGGAGAGCGTGGACGACATTCGTGCCTGGCTCGAGTCGTCTGGCATCGCCTCTGGACGTGTCTCGCACTCTCAGAACAAGCAGTGGATCCAGTTCGACGCTGACGCCAGCGAGCTTGAGAAACTTCTTGACACCGAGTATTACATCTACTCTCACTCTGAGACAGGCCGCTCTCACATCGCCTGCCGCGAGTAAGTTGAAAAACTGAGCCGAACAGCATGGAAGTTGACACTTGAATTTAGGTATCATGTTCCGCACTATGTCCGCCAGCACATTGACTACATCACACCTGGTATCACTCTTCGTGAGATTTCCGGCGTAGGCAAGGCTAGCAACAACAACGTTCAGAAGCGCTCTCAGTACGGCCTCCCGCCTCCTATTCTTGAGCCCATCCTTGAACCGATTGAAGCGCTGCTGGAGAGCCTCTCGGCGAAATGTGACTTGTACATCACTCCACAATGCATCAAGAGTAAGTGACTTCATGAAATTCATCTTGTCCCTCTTGCTCACCACTTGCCAACAGGTCTCTACAACATCACCGACGGCAAGACATCCACCAAGGGCAACGAGCTTGGCATCTTCGAGAGCATTGGAGACATTTATGCTCAGGAGGATCTTGACTATTTCTTCCAGACTTTGGCCCCGTAAGTCATCTCCAGCACCTTTTACTCTGTATTTCACCCTGACTGACTCTTCGATAGGAACATCCCGGCCGGCACTCACCCTACCCTGAAGGGCATCGACGGTGCCACTGCGCCTGCATCTATTCAAAACGCAGGGGCGGAATCGGATCTTGATTTCCAGATCTCGTACCCATCATCTGGCCGCAGAATTCTATCCTCTTCCAAACGGATGACAACGTCTATCAGAACAACTACACCTTCCATGGCTTCTTGAACACCTTTTTGGATGCCATCGATGGGTCTTACTGCGATACCATCTCGCCTCTCGATCCTCCGTACCCTGACCCAAATCAGGGCGGCTACAAGGGCCAGCTTCAATGCGGCGTCTATCAACCACCCAACGTGATCTCGATCTCATATGGATCCGCCGAGGCCGATCTGCCGATTTCCTACCAGCGCCGCCAGTGCAGTGAAATCATGAAACTTGGCATGCAGGGTGTCTCTGTTGTTGTCGCATCTGGTGACTCTGGCGTTGCTGGTCGTGGTGGCGACCCAACTCCAAGCAACTGCCTTGGTGCCGATGGGGATGTCTTCGCCCCTGATTTCCCGGCTTCTTGTCCTTACATGACCGCCGTTGGATCGACCGTTCTTCCACTCGGTAAAATTCCGACCAGCCACAGCGAGCAGGCCACAGATCGCTTTGGCTCGGGCGGCGGATTCTCCAATATCTACAAGCGCCCCGACTGGCAGGACAAGGCAGTCGAGCAGTACTTCGCCACGGCTAAACCCAACTACAAATACTATGAGAGCGTCGACAACTCCAGCTTCGCCGCCAACGGCGGAATCTACAATCGCATCGGCCGCGGCTATCCTGATGTCTCCGCCATTGGCGACCGAATCGCCATTTTCAACAAGGGTATTCCCCAGATCATCGGCGGAACTTCAGCCTCGGCCCCCGTGTTCGCTTCGATTCTGACTCGCATCAACGAGGAGCGTCTCGCGGCTGGCAAATCGACCGTCGGTTTCGTCAACCCTGTTCTGTACCAACACCCTGAAGCTTTCTTCGACATTACCAAGGGAAGCAACCCTGGTTGTGACACCAATGGATTTGACGCTGCGGTGGGTTGGGACCCTGTTACTGGACTTGGAACTCCCAACTATCCTGCTCTGTTGGATGTCTTCATGAAGGAGGACTAGTTTCAAGGAAATCTGGTCGAGCATTGCACCTGACACTTCTCTACTCTTACTTCAACCCAGGGCATACCCCTAACTATCTCGCTGCTAATACTTAGCACAGCAATAATGAACATGATATCCCTTTAAAGTTCTATGAACTGATTACTTGGTAATGACAATGAAATCAATATGGGTACAATAGTAAGCCTAGAGGGTGCGTACTAGTGAATACCTGCCTGCTTCATGCATTGATCGAATACGCAATGGCCTTGTCGAGACTTGAGGTACGGATGACTAGTAGTACTATATTGACAGACTCGGTCTTCTGCTTGAAAGACCGAGTTGTATAGAACAACACTCCAATTAAATGTCCCGGGTTGAAGGTGTGTTGTCCAATCGGAGTCACAGGGTGCTCTGGAGTGGATCTATCTGAGGATTCCGGGCGGATGTGGCATTCGCAATTGCAACGCCACAGAATGTTATTTTCAATAGGGGCTGTCAAGAGCCAGGATTTTGCATTATGTTACTATTTTTCAAAAGCAATTGGGTATCGAGAAATCCGCCGTATCCATGAACGCCTCGTTAACCTCCTCGCAATAGCTCGGCCAAGCATCCAGATTAATCAAATCAGCCCAAGACCAAAGCGATTCTCCATCAATTCTCTGTAGCATGGAATCATCGCCCGGCAAATCCGGCAAATTCAAGTTCGAGGAGGAAGTTTGAGAAGCACGATCTTCAGACGTCGGATCTGGAGGTGCCGTTGAATCTGGGGTAGGGTGGCCGAGATTCAGGGTTTGAACCAACGTATCGACTTTGCTGCACAGGTGTCGAGTCAGAGAAGCGGCCCGAACAGCAATTACACTCTCGATGTCGACCGAGTCAAAAATTTCCAATGCGAGATTGAGAAAGTCTCTGGCGCGTGGGCACCGATGGCAGTACGGGTATGCCAGCATGAAGCCGATGATGGTGATGACTGCGTTCCACTGGTACTGATAAAACTCAGAATGGCCGTAAAATATTTCATGCATCTTCATCTGCTTATGAGCAATTTCAATCATCCTCATGGCATGGTTGAGGGCTGTTGCGGCATGGGCGTCGGCTTTTGGGTGTGATTTTGGAACAAGTGGGTAGCTAGGAAATTGAATGAAGACACGATGAAGACTCATCACGGCGTTGTGGTATTGTAGCATCAACAATGTGCTCAATAGGTTTTCTATTTCCGGGGACTCGCCAGGTTCTTGCTCAATGCCGGCCTTGAGACGATCAACGGGTACGTCAGGTACATCGAGCTGCATATTCGCGAAAGACTGCTCTTTCGGCAATCCATCACTCCATTTCTGGAGATGAAATATATGGTCGGAGAGGTTTTGAGCCCTTACCTCAATATCAGAGGCATTAGTGTCTTGGTTTATCGCGGGAGCAAAGCGATCCGTAGCTTCGTTCACAAGTAGAGCGGCAGCTGTAAGGTGGATAGACTCGGTGTGGTAGAGTAAGCCATTGGAGATTTGAAGATCTCCCGGCTCCCTGGTCGGTCGCATACACAATAGTTCCTCCACATGAGTCGTAACTGGTTTGCCAATGTGCCTTGAGCATCGAAAGTCCAGATGTATCAAGGTCCACCAGATTCGCCGAAAAAGCTGACATTCCCGGTACCAGCCAGTTCGAGCGTCCATGTAGTTGAGTGACTGGCTGATACGTAGCGCAAGACCGACCATGTTATATGCCGCCGGATGCTCCCCAGCGTCTAATAAATAGGAGACGAGATAGCAGTAACACTTCATGACAGAAATAGAGGGAACAGCGAACGTGGTCAACTGGGTGACGGCGGAAAGAGAGCGTCGAAAGTACGCCATCCCAATTCTGCAATCACGTCGCTGGAATTTGGACCATTTGAGACCGATAAGTCTGTTGTTGAGTCCAGATTGGTGGATATATTGCAAGGTATGTGCGGTGATCGCGTCGAGTAAAGGCGAGGGAGCTGCGTCGGCCTGCCCATCAGGTACTAAGTCTTTCCACTCGACTATGGGCATTCGAGGACGAAGTCGGGACCAGAATATTTGCAACAAATGATGTATCTGGGTTGAAGACAAGTCGGACTCTGCAGCATGTGTTTCTTGAAGATTGCCAAACGGGAGAGTCGAGATCTGTTCTAACGGTGGGTCTGTGCTAGGAGGTGTTGGACCCGGGGAAAGTTGCTCGACTCCCGAGCAGAAGGCATTGATGCGAGCAATGAATCCGAGCATGGAATCTGTCTTATGCGAGGTCCATGCTAGGTTTTCCTCGGGCGAAGGGGTTGGGGCTGGAGTCTTCTCCAGTACTCGAGAAGACTCATCCTGTGACGCGGTATCAAACGATTGTTCGTCTGATATCGGTCGGTTCGTTCTACCACCAGCTGGTTCTCGTCTCCTTTTCTGGGGAGTCACTGATGGATGAGATCGATCGCAGGTGACATTATTAGCCACGCAAGGGGGGGCAGGGTGTGGTAGACTCGCACCGCACTCGATGCTCGCGACAAAAGTCGCAGGCTTTAGCGATCTTCCGACGCCGCGACGTAAGTTCCGTTCGTCTAAAAGGCGAACTTGTATTTTCGGGCATTTTTAGATATGTTGGCCAGTGAGAATCACCGGAAGGGGGGAGAGTTGGGGCAATGAGAGAGAAATAAAACGGAATCCACCGATTTTTGCAATTTTGACCAATCGGAATCGCTGGAACGGCGACGATGATTAATTGGAGGTGAGTTGTATAACGTTAGTTACTTCAAGTGGATATATTCCGGTTTGCATTCAACTTTCCAACAACTTATAAAAGGAGATAGTTTCTCTTCTCAAATTCAGTATTTTTATTCCAATTCCACCCACAGTCAGACTCTTCCTACCCTCATCCTCACCATGTCGCAACAACAAACCGTCTTTCGATTCCCGACCAGAAATGCCTTTGAAGACTTGGCTACCTTCCAGGAAGATATTCCTAGACCGGCTAGCCACGAGGTTCTCATCAAAGTACGGGCTGTTTCAATCAACTCCAGAGATACCCAGATTGCTACCTCCAAATATCCTTTCCACATCAAAGACAATGTAATTCCAGGATCGGATGCGGCCGGCGACATTGTGGAGGTTGGAGATGCCGTCCGTGGTTTCGCCAAGGGAGACCGAGTTGTGGTATCCTTCGATAATACCCGTCTCTATGGGCCAGCCAATGATGTGATTTCCGGTCAAGGTGGTGGTGTTGACGGTGTGATGGCCCAATATATCGCTCGCTCGGCGTCTGCTGTTGTCAAGATTCCTGTCGGTTCCCCTCAATCATACAGCGAACTCGCCTCGCTTGTATGCACCGGAGTCACTGCTTGGAACTCTCTCTACGGCAACAACCCTCTGATTGCCGGTCAATCTGTTCTCGTTCAAGGTACGTTGTTGAGCTGACGCGATCCGGTCTCATTCCCAAAACCGATACTAATTCAAACATGGCGCACAGGCACTGGAGGTACATCCATGACAGCTCTTGTTTTAGCCAAAGCAGCTGGTGCGACCACAATTGTGACCTCCTCCAGCGATGAAAAGCTCAAGGTCGTCAAAGAATTGTTCAACCCCGACTATTGCATCAACTACACCAAGACTCCGGACTGGGCTTCAGAGGCCGTCAAGCTGACCGGTGGAAAGGGCGTTGATCACATTTTGGAAATTGGCGGCGTCGGAACCATCGAGCAGAGTATTGCTGCAATTGCCCAGGGAGGAGTAATCAGCATCATTGGATATCTCGCCAAGTATGACCCTGCGCGCGTCCCCAACATCTTGCTGCTCGCCCTTGGCAAGGAGGCTGTTCTGCGCGGTATTCAGATTGGCCCAAAGTGCATGCTAGATGACCTAGTCACTTTGGTGTCAAGGCAGAAATTGAGGTTTCAGATTGAGAAGGAGTATGCATTCACTCGGGATGACATTGTTGCCGCTTACAATGATCTTGCTTCTGGCAAGCACATTGGAAAGATCTGCATTACGGTTGAGTGATTGGATCTTCAATTGCTATGTCGCCTAGTCTTTCGTCAAGGGCTCCCCATCAGTTTTGTTTTGCGATAACTTCAAGTTGATTCTTTTTAATTTCTGGGCAAAATTAAATCGAAATAGAACGCTTGATCGGCTTTCAGGTGGCCACGACGCCACGATGATCAGCAATTCTCAACTAAAGCGATGGGTATGTGAGATAACATTGTAACTCACGTCTGGGGCATAAACAGTCGTCGCAATCAAACGAGATGGATCCTTCATTGATATTTGCAATCCGTCTCCGTCTCCGGAAGAATTATTCGCGTAGTTATTTACCAACTTTGGAATGTATTATCATTTATTGAAGCTCGGTCTTGAGAGCTCCGGTAGCTGCCCGGTAGTAATGTAGCTTGCATGGCCCCATCAAATGAGTGTCGATTAGAGGTAACTTAATAGATCTGAGTTGGCTGACGTTGAAAAGAATCCCAAGGTGCTTGCGGCTTCCCTTCCCTTGCCGACTGGCAAATGGACTCGTGTATAATTGTTAGTATGATGCCTTGTTCGTTTGCTTCATGACTGAAGCGAGGTTATATTTGTTTCATGAGAATGTACCAGCTATGCCTTTTCTTATACCACCAACGCCCAACTTGCTTCCTACTGCGAAGGGGGAGTGGATGAAAGACGAAGACACTGCCTTTGTTTAGTTCGTAATGTATGCAGAGGCCGCTAGCTAATTACACTCCAATAGAAGCCACGGCAATGCTCAATTTCACTCTCGCAGCCCCGAGTTCGGCTTGCGCAGTCCGAATGTACAGTTTGCAGATTTACACCCCCGCAGGCCGACTCAGACGGGAAATTCTAGCGGCGTTGCCCGGCGAACCCGGAGAAAATGCGACAGTCCGTAGCGATCGAGCCGACGGGACCGGCGTTACTCCGAGAGGGGCAGAAGAGGTCCACGCAGGAAGCCCAAGCGCTGACGATGGCTAGAATTGCTGCAACGGGGTTACGGAGGGGAAAAAAGCCACCTGTCGCTGTCGGAGCACCGCGTGCCTTACCGGATCGGGTGCCCGACCAGGATTCTCACGGCCCCATGGAACCTCATGGGAGTGTGGGAAACTAAGCGCCGAGTAAAAATCATTCGTTGAACCTATGCCTGGCGACCCCCCGGCAGCGAGCCCCGGTTTGATCGGTAGTAAATTGCCTGTCCTTGTCTAGCGCCTTCTAGCGCATCGGTAAAAGAACCGGGTAAAACACGGATAATAAAACATGACATCAGAAATTAGGTAAGGTTGGGGGGGAGTCTGCGGGGCAGAACAAGCAGAAGTTGGCTATTATAATGTTATAATGCTCTAGAGAAGCAATTGAGAATCGAAAGAGTACGACTAGTCAATTGGCGGGGATACCACCGATTAAGGACCTTGCCACTGGGGTTCTCAAATAGGCGAATCCAGATCGTAGCTTGCATGCCCGGACGCCATGTACCCCCGCCGATCCCCCTCGGTGGAGACTGGTCCGGGAGAGAAGTAGTAGTAGTGAGGAGAGAGAGGGGCAGCGTGGGATGGCGAGACCATATGCATCATCCTTGGAACCCCCCGCCGGAGACACGTTGACACCCTTATTAGATACCCTCCCCCAGTTTCTGCTCTTTCTTTCTTTCTTCTCCATTCCTCAAATTCTCTCTTCAACCCTAACTACACACACCTACCATCTTCAAAATGTCTCTCGGAAAGAAGGCCACTCTTAACACCGGTGCTGAGATCCCGTAAGTTCTCCAAGTCATGAAACACCAACTTCTTAGAGGATTAGTTTTTCTAACGCATGCGCACAGCCAGCTGGGATTCGGTACTTGGCAATCTGCCCCCGGTCAGGTCGGTGAGGCTGTCTACGAGGCCCTGAAGGCCGGTTACCGCCACCTGGTATGTTGAACACTCCCCCGCATGTAATTGGAAATTCCGGGTAAATTCAAAAATGCTAACGTGTCGCAGGATCTTGCCACCATGTATGTCAACAATTCAATCGGCACAGCCGGGTCCCAATTTTGAATCACAAATCTCTAAACGTCCTTCTTTTATACAGCTACCAGAACCAGGTCGAGGTTGCTGCCGGTATCAAGCGCGCCTACCAGGATGTCCCCGGACTGAAGCGTGAGGATCTTTTCATCGTGAGTTTCCTCAGATCTGGCGCGTGTTCTGCGTGCTTAAAACACTTGCATTGCAATTGTCTAACTTTGTTGCCATCCCTAGACCTCCAAGCTGTGGAACAGCCAGCACCGTCCCGAGGTCGTTGAGGCCTCTCTGGATGCCTGCCTTGCTGAGCTTGAGCTCGACTACCTTGACCTTTACCTCGTTCACTGGCCCGTCGCTTTCCAGAAGGGCGAGTCTTACTTCCCCCTGGTTGAGGGCAGCAAGGTTGAGGGTGGTGATGTTATCATTGATGACGGTGTCTCCATCGTCGACACCTGGAAGGGTAAGATTGAATATTCACTTGCTTCTTGGGGTATTTTCTCATTGATCTTTCTCTATAGCCATGACCAAGCTCCCCAAGAGCAAGGCCCGCGCCGTCGGTGTCTCCAACCACACTATCCCTCACGTTCGTTTCCCCGATAGCTCGCAAAACAACAAAGACTCATGCTAACACCAATCTAGCTCGAGGCCATTATTAACGGCACTGGCGTTGTCCCTGCTGCCAATCAGATCGAGCGTCACCCTGTCCTGCAGAGCAACGACCTGATCGAGTACTGCCAGAAGAAGAACATTCACATCACCGCTTACTCCGTATGCACCGCATTTTCCCCCGGCCTTGTCCCATACAAAAGCTAATTTGAGTAGGCCTTCGGTAACAACATGCTTAACATCCCTCTCCTGATCACCCGCCCCGAGGTCAAGGAGGTCGCCGAGTCCGTCTCCAAGCGCACTGGCACCCAGGTCACCGGTGCCCACGTCATCCTCGCCTGGTCCCAGGTCAACGGTGGCAGTGTCATCCCCAAGTCGGTGACTCCCTCGCGTATTCGCGACAACTTCAAGGAGGTTGAGCTCACTGCCGAGGAGATCGCCAAGGTCAACGCCCTGGGTGCTAACCGTCGCCGCTACAACACTCCTTATACTGCCAGTACGTTTCCCCCAAGCCTGTCACCACTTGAGAGAATTCCACTAACAGTCGCACAGACAAGCCCCGCTGGAACATCAACATCTTCGGCGAGGAGGAGGAGAAGCCTGCCGACCACAAGGTCATCCTGTAAAAGTTTGGATACCCTCTTAGTCGGTTAGAAAATTAGGCAATGAATAATGATAAATGTATATTGCTATATGCACTGAGCTCGCTTCAACTAGATATTATCCAATTAAACTACCGCGGTCAAAAGCGTAAGTCAAGATTGTCTTACCGATGAGACGAAGGCAATCAGAAGGTCCCCCGTAGATCTTCACCGTCTAAGCTCGCGGAGAGATCTAAGCATTTAGTGGACACTCGTACCCACAGTCACCCTGTGGAGTTATTTATACGAAGTATGCATACAGCTCGCGGGCCTACTATTATTGGTGAAACTGATTAAGGCCGGCTTAGAGTCGGAGGAATCTCTTGTTGAAATGATTTATTCGGAAAAGGTCCAAACGCTGTCAACTCCTTCAAATTCGCAACACGTTGGTATTGCCATTTCAAACAATGATACCGCCTCCCCACACATGTCTACAACGCTTCATTGGACTGTGCCTGCGAATATCTTGTTGTTTGTAATTCAAAACTGGGTATATGAGACTAAAAAGGAAATTCGTAGTAATCACTATCTCGCCATCATTATATCCGTCAAGCTTCTGAGTGAATTGGTCGTTGGTGATTTCCAACCACCGGCCCGGCATCCATTTCATGATAGACTGTAGCCGGTGACATAGGGCTCGATGCTTCATATATTGAGCGACCATCCAGCTGCGCAACCTGCGGACCCACAGGTTTACGAGGTAGTGGTGGTTTCAGTTCTCCAGCGGGAACTACTGCCTCCTGTAGTTGCGGTGACTTTTCGGCTGATGCTTCCGATGATGGCGATTCGGGAGATACGGATCGATTGTTCTTCGCTCTTTGTTGTCGTCGCCGCCGGAGAAAGAACCATACCATCACGATGATGATTACGACAACCACGACGACCGCAATGGCGATACCAGCTTTGGCTCCTGCGCTGAGAGAGCTACCCGAAGAACCGGACGAGCATGAATAAGAACTTTTAAAAACATCGTCGGAGTTGAGATTGTCCAATGCGCTGCAGGACATTGAACTACTGCCTCTGATGGTGGCTGAGCCTTTAACTTGGTCGAGCGATGGCAAAGATACACTATTCGAATAAGTTAATGCCATCTTCATTTGACAAGACATGGGTCAGATTGCCTACCTTGAAAAAGCTCCAGTAAGTGTCAGTTCCCCATCAACTTCTTCGAGCTGTGGGAGTGTGAGGTATTTCAAGTTCGAATTCCCGGTGATAGAGATGGACGACGCTTGCGAGAGGTCATTCAAGGTGAGAGATGTCAACGAGTCCAAGTTGGCCAACGTCAAAGCACCCTGCAGCGTTTCCAGCTTCGGCAGGACCAAGATATTGATGCTCGATCCGGTCTCCACCGAGAATGAACCCTTGATCTCCTGTACATTGCTCAAGGTGATGGTTCCACTGGCTGAGGATGAAATCGTGACGCTTCCCTGTAGAGTCTCACAATTGGTCAGATTGTTCGCATCGCTCTGACTATTGATGGTGACACTGCTTTTGCCTGAGATTGTCAGCGCGACTGGAAAGAGTAGAAAAATTGGTAGTGGGTCCATGGGAGCTCACAAGCACTATCATCGGCAATCACCGTTACTGTCTGCCACAGCGCAGCTAGCAGAAAAAAAAAGGGAGACATGCATCCCCAAAATGTGTTTTCTCTGCTCTCAGAATGCAAGGGACTTTTCTGGATTTTTCAAGAGAGGGAAAATGGCAAAGTCCCAGCATTTAAACGGCAAATCCCGATCCATGATGGCATAGAGCCTGGGCCAATCTCCGCTGCTCCACCAAGGCACGATGCAGGAAATCAATTGATTGGGCATGCAGAGTCTTGGAGGTGGCACTGCCCACTTCCCCACTGCATTCGAGCTGTTTACTTGCCCATTCCCCTCAGTGCTTTTATTCTCCGAAATTTTATCTTCAGGAGGGTCCTCTTTTCCGAGTACAATATGTACTACTCGTACCATCACTATATTCAATTCAGGCCATTTGAGAGAAACTTGAACGAAAAGACTAATTGATTCAAATATTAAGCATAAAACCTTTCATTACATTATATCACCATCTCCATTCCCCCACTTGGTCAATGGCTTCCGTTTCTATTTTTGCGCCTGATCCGCGGTAGGCAGCAGAATTGCCGATTCGCTTTGAATTTCTTGGATGTTCTTGGGAGACTAGGATTAGCATGCCCCACGAGAGAGGAATGTGCCGCTATCAGGTTTTTTTTTCAATATGGACCTCGACTGGCCTGATACGTTTGATATCAGTCGATTGAAGGTACAGTATTCCATGTGGCTTGTGTTTATACTTCCTCGCATAGTTCCTTCCCCATGCTTCACCCATGGATTGTCTGCCAAGATCATTAGTCATCAAGGCACCAAGGCATAAAGACGAGTCAGCAATTTGCGGGGAAGTTGCGGAGGCACCGCAGGACTGACGGAGTGCAATTACACAATTCTATAATGACCATGTTGCCCACTCTACAATCCCTGCCTCCGTCCCTATGAGAGTGGGCAAAGGCTGTGAAAGGTGTCGCCATCGCCATATCCGCTGCGTCATTCCACCGGGTGCTTCTGCTTGTATACCTTGCACCCGGTTGGATCGGGTCTGTCATCTAGACCCCCCCTTCCAATTCAAGACAGTGCGCCATGTGTATCAGAAGAGCAATGGATCCGCCGCTCGGTTCGATTTGGTCTGGGATGACGAGCAGGTCTGGGTCGACGTGGAGCAACCCGGTGAGTAATTGGCCACTCAATATATCCTGTTGACTCCGAACTAACCTTCTATCCCAGTGACATTTGTCGACGGAACGTGCGATGGACCCAAATCAGAAGAAACTCAGCAGCTGCATGCTACCATTCCGAGTGGTGACAATTGCGTCGCCAATCCCTCGCTAGAAGAACCTACATCGATTAATACCGAGGTCCCTATACCAGAAGAACCGCCCATACACCCAGACCATCGACAAGACCAACTACCGCTCGAAGATTTCCCACCTTATCATACCAGCAGCCCAGTGCGACCTCCATCTGACAAATGTCCCACATTGTCACTGCGTGAGGCATCTCTAATGAGACGCTTTATACAAAATATCGCACCATGGGTAAGTTTATCTCGGGCTCCTTGTTCGAGAGCGTCCTCGATCTAATACCTTTAGGTGGACATCTGCGATCCTTGGTCACACTTCACCACAATCATTCCGCGCCGGGCTTTGCAGGTCCCAATGGTATTCAAGGCAGTTTTGGCTCTTGCGGCGCGTCATGAGGCGATCTTGACCGGCCAGAGTGACTGGGAGGCCTCCACCTACCATGGCGAGTGCCTAGAACTACTAATCCCGGCCCTAGATCAACTCGAGCAGGACCTCGAGGAGGATCTTCTCACCACCGTTGTGATCCTTCGAATTTGTGAAGAGCTTGAGAATAGCGAAGACCAGAGATTCCATCTAACGGGATCTAACCGCCTCGTCAATCTCAGTTCACGCTCGGGGTCATCGCGCGGCATTGTGGAGGCTGTGAGCTGGCAGTTCCTGCGTCAGGCTATCTACTCGTCCATTGTACAGTACCAACATCTCGAACTGGATCTGTACAACTATGAGCGATCATCGATGTTTCAACGAGACGATGATTTCGCCTTTGCCAACATGTCCATCTTCCACTGCGCGCACATCATCCAACTATGCCGTGTTCCACCCGATAATCCCGTTGACGAGCAATCGTGGGGCCAGGTAGCGAATGCAGTCGATGAGTGGTATCAACACCGGCCTCTTACCTGGCAACCGCTTCGGTATCAAGACCCTGATGTGACTGAGGACCGACCATTCCCTGAAATATGGATGACATCGGCCCCGGCTGGTATGTTTCCTGACGAGTTTCCACCATGTGTCGTAACTGACGGTTTGCCTAGTTGTGGGAATGCAATATTATCACGCAGCTTGTATCTTCCTCACCATGTCGGATCCCGGGTCGCGAGGCTTGCGGGAGTTCGAATTGGCTCGAACCCGGCACTTGGCTGAAGTAAGCTTTATTGATCTCAGCAATCTCTCTCCCGACGTTAACAAGGCCCATAGAGAAAAATCGCGGTCCATGTGATCTCCGTCATAGGACTATCTTGGTCAAATGAAGATGTACAAAATGCCTACTTTCTAGCCTGTCATCTACTATATCGCTGTTCGTTCTACCTTTCCAAAAATCACATCACTGCCCATTGCATTCGACAGTTGCTAACCTCTGTCAGTTGGATATTGTCTACAACATCCGGTAGAGCAAAGAGGTTCATTGGAATTCCTTTCGCATGTGGAAACTCTTCTTGGATGGCGAACTGCATGGATTCGAAGTGAACTTAGCCACCAATGGGGTGAATTGGCCGTGGTTGAACCGCCGAGTACGTAGTGTCGCAAATGCTTAATTGAGGTATAGAAAATTGCCTCAATTGGGCATTTGCATCGATTTGCACCTTGTCGGGTGATTCCGCCGCACCTCACTCTCACTCTTCCTCTTCCCGCTCCTCCTCCACTTCTCCTCGTCAGCCTCTTCCTGCTCGCTCAAGCCTGTCACAAAGTCAACTGGCACTCATTGCCTGTAATCATCTTGCTTTCACTTCTATATTCTTCCGTTCGGAACTTCCCTTACTTCGTGTGATTTCATCTGATTATTTAACAACCTCGCCTCGTCTTACTCCAACATTCACCTTTATTTATTTATCGACTCTTTTTAATTCGAAGTCCTCTCAACCTGAACTTTCTGGTTGGCCTACAAATGGCCGAGGGAAGGTGAGACATTACTACGCAAGACTATCACTCAATTCCGGGCTAATCCATGTCACCGTCAGGGGCCACGGGTCCTTTCTCACCATTTGTGAACTTGGGTCCTGATCTGACAAGAGAAGAAGTCGTCGACGCCATATTCGAGGCAGAGAAAAACGATCCCTCGGGGAACCCCCGTACCCTAACTATCGGCGGCTCTCAAATGCTGGTCCTGTGCAGTCGCGAATACCAATTAGAACTGTGCTACAAGTTGGGTCGCGATGTGCATTATATACCAGGACACATGACGAAGGATCAATGGCTGTCCACCGATCCCGTATACGTTGGTGGGCTCCTGATTCAGTCACGCGGCCTACCGGTCGTTGAACCCTGTACCGATTGTCTCTGGAACTTGGGGCCATTCTCACGGTGTGTTCGTCTCCCCGGTCACTATGGCGGTGTTTGTGGAAGTTGTCGCTATACCAAACGAGATAAGGAGTGCACTTTGCGACGAAATGGCGGTGGCAACCGCACCACTTGCGTGTGGGAATCAGTGATAGCCACCCAACCCTTGTCCGACTCCGAACCCTCCTCATCCTCCTTCGCGCTTGATTCCTCACCATCAACAGAATACTTCTTGGGCAGCTCCCAGACGAGCGCGATGGTCATCGAGGATGAACTGCGGTACAGTCCATTTGGCTCTTCTCCTCCATGTTCCCAGCCTCTTTGCTCCAATGGGAATACTCCAGAGTCCTCCCCTACTCGCCCTCCTACTGTTTCGCCTCGGCCTTCGTACGCGATTGCTGTGGAAATACCGCCACCAAACTCGATTGAAGAACCCGCAGGAAGTTCTTCGTTTAATCCGATATTGATCACAGGCGATTCGGATCCTGAAATGGACAAGGCCAGCTCTGAAAATCAGGATGAGGATATGGACATGGATGTGGATGAGAACTACATCATCTATTTGCCGGATAGCAAGGAAAAAGATCCGGACTATATGGAAAGTTCCGACTCGTCCGAAGAGGAAGCCTGTGATACAAGTCCCACCCCGGCACAACACCTGACGAAGACGAAGACGAAGACGAAGACGAAGACGACGCCTCACTCTGACAATATCTACCACACTTGTCCGAGTGGATTGTCGTTCTCCAACGTAATCCAACATCACGGAACGCAAGATGTTATACTGGGTGTTATGGCTTCAAAAGTAATGCGTAATAGAATCTCCGCAAGAGGAATAAATAGCAGTTTCAATGAATGGTGAAAACAACCGAGTTTCCTCCCACCAAGTAGTATACTACCCTCCCCTACCCCTAACATTAGCCTAAAGGAGGATCATTGATAAGCACCGATAAGCGGGTCCCACTTCCACTGGCAGTTTCACACTGGAGGAACCTTGGAACTTATTCTTCTCTGACTTCCCCTCCTCTGCTCTGCTCTGCTCTTCTTTTGCTCTTCTCTTCTCCTCCAACCTTCTCTCCCTCCTAATGGTTACTTGACCCGCTGGCCATGGGAGGTCATCGCCACCGATGCCACGCCGAAAAACCGCTGACCGAGCAGGACCGGTGAAGACCCGCTCTCGTGACGGATGCAAGGAATGCCGTGCCAGTCGCGTGCGATGCGACACCACAAAGCCCCGTTGTACCCGCTGTTCGGAGAAAGGATTGCCCTGTACTACTACTCTCGTCCTGAAATGGGAGTCCGAATTCGCCAGCCGAGGCGTCGCCTTTGGCCGCGCCGGTGTCTGGAACAAACCTCGCCCTGATGGCGTCTCGAGCTCGAGCTCCGTCCCTTCGACTCCGGCTACTTCAACCGTTGAGGACACATATTGGTGTTCCTTGCCCACCATTCATCCATGGGGATTTGTCAATAGCGGGGTACTCGCCTTCGAAACCCGCGGCGAAGTCGATGTCAAGTCGAACGAGCTACAAACACTGGTTCCGCTTATCCAAGGCAATGCCTCGCTAGGCCAATTGCCTCTCCATCTACACTCACTGGGGGATCTGGGTGGACTTGCGGCGGCGCTTCATCCGAACCCTAGAGCTGGCCCTTCTCTCTTCCCGGATGTGACTCGAATGGGACATGGAGAGCTGATGGACTACTACCTACAGCAAGTCTGCCCCCGCACGACAGCCAGCTCATCTGTCTCATCACCATTTGCCTCCGTGATTCTACCTTTCAGCTTATCCGCCTCACCCACCCTCTTCAAAGCGATCCAAGCGCTAGGAGCCTGTCATCGCTCTCGTAGCGATGCGTCCTATGGTGCCTTAGGACTACGTCTGAAGTCAGAGACATTGCACGATCTCCGGCACCGCCTCTCGCCGAGGGCCCCTCCAACTGCTGCAACGACCCCGAAATATTGGTCGTCATGATGCTACTCTGTCAATACGAGATCGTCGATAAATGTGATCCGCATTGGACGATCCACCTGAACGGCGCCAAAGATCTAATTCGCCTGAGGAGAGGACAAGCGACAGCGTCATCATCTCCATCAATGCGTATCCCTGACCCAGCCACCGCCTTCGCGGAGCATTTCTTTGCCTTTCAGGATGTCATGGGTCGAACGGCGTGTGCTAAGGAAGTCGCCTTTGGCAGCGACTACTGGAAAGCGGATGATCGGCACATTGACATGTGGATGGGATGTAGTCCGGAGTTGGTCTCCCTCCTCTGTGCTATTACCGACATGAGTCGAGCTCGACGCACTCTGGACTCCGATTCCTCCCGCGAGAGCTTTGTGCACCGGGCGGCATCGCTAGAAGGACAGCTCGAGCATCTCATTCAGGAGATTGAGGAGGGCGATGATGATGTTCTTGCATCCGGAGCTGAAGCCAAACGTCTCGCCGCGGTGCTTTACTTGCACTGCGCGTTGTATAGCGCATGTCCCACTAGCCCGCTGGTCGCCCACTATGTTCGGCAGATTCTTCAGATCGTGTCTCATCTGTTAGACCGGGGATCCCTGACGAGCATCACTTGGCCTGTCTTTGTCGCTGCGGTCGAATTGGATCCGGCCCAGGATGAGATTTGGACGGACGATAGCGGGAAGCCAGTGTCTGGCCGAGCAATAGTCCTTCAGGCGCTGGCTGCTATGGCCGAGTCTACGATTGCAAATATTGCGCGCACTCGCGCGGTGATTGTCCAATTGTGGCAGACGCGAGACCAAGATTTGGTCAAGGCACCGCAGATTGAGGGGAATGACTGGGAGTGGTATGTGGTGCCGATTAGCGATGCCATGAGTTTGGCTTGAGGACCCGAGGCCATTGATAATAATCATTCATAGTATAATTTAATAAGTTGACCTAGTACTACTATCTCGTTAACCTAACCAGTAACTATACTATACTATACTTCTTTATATACTACACTCTATACTTTTATACTTCTATACTATACTATACTATACTATACTACTATACTCACTCTACTAGTGGAATGCTGCGGGGTCCCCGTTTCGGGTCTAGCGCCAATGCAGGTTGGAGCAAGACATCACCTCAACTTCAACTTCCACTTCACCACTGGAACCCATATCATCTCAACTCGCCCTCGCCCTCGCTAAATACCCCAGCATAATGTGCTTAAACACCCATCCCTTTCGTCCTCAATAGATGCCCGAATGGACCCGGCTCGACCGCCGGCGCCTGGCCGGAGCACCTCGGCGCAACACTTCGAAAGCAAGCTCAGCCAACAATTATCACAACCCAGGCAATCAGAGTCTATTGACATTTACTCCCCCAAATCCAAGTCGCGCTCCCTTTCCGATGCCTCCAAACCTTCAACTTCAACCTCCGCCTTCTCCCACCCCCAACCAGCAACGGGTGACTTGAGTCGTCCCCCCCAGTAAAGACGACAGTGTAATCCCTTCACTGCCTTCCACCCCAAGTCGTCCTCAACACAACCCAAACCTCTCGATCAACCTCCCCTCCAAGACTGCCGGCTCACCTCTCGCCAACCGTGCCCCTCTCTCTCCTAAACTCGATTCTTCCCAAATTTATGGTTCCCCGGGCTCCGTGCTTCCGCGGCGATCTCGGGGCCTGGATTTCTCTCGCGCTTGCACCAACCTTCACCATTCGACTCTCGCCGAGTCGTCGCCAGACTCATCCCCCACGATTGGAGGTCGCGGAATGACTATCCCTCAGCGTCGTGGCTCTCTCAATCTCAACTCCACCTCGGTGCCAGTGTTCTCTACTTCAGGACCGGCCGACCGTACCGCTATATCCAGCTCCGTCTCCAGTGTGAACATGATGGAATCAGACACTAGCAGCAGTGAAGACGATGACGCCGCCATGATGGACCGCGATGATCCTATGTTGAATACTCCTCAAGCCAACCGCATGGCCAGTGGACCTAGTCCCTTCACCACGGGCAACATCCAAAGCCCCGGAAACGACTGGATGGGCCCATTCTCAGGTCCTGTGGGCAGCCTGTTAAGCTTCCAACGTGCACGCTTCCGCAATAAAGGACGCAGTCGACACAGCTCCAGCAGCGCCAGCGGTAACAGCTCTAAACCCAGCCCTGGCCCACACTCTCCACCAGCGATGAAGAGCGTTGAGAACTCCGTGGGCGGCTACTTTGCTCCGCGACAGAGTGCTCATGGCCGGCGTGAGAGCTTGAGTCTGGGTACTCATGATCTACGACTCTCCGATCTCAGTGATGACGGGGAGAATCGTGCTCGCGCAGGCAGTCCCACTGCTGCTCCTCATTCGGAGGGAGGTGGAGGTCCACTGGGGGTGATACGCCGTGCTGTCACTCGACGAGGAAGTTTGTTGGTATGTGCAATCCTAAATCTCACTCTCTCCGCCCTTCTAACTCATTTGACAGCCCAAAACCAAAACCTTTGCTCGGATCCGCGCCGCCTTGATGGAAGAGGGAGCCCCAGTCGACAGCGACATGAAACGTGAAGCCGAAGTGGTTCGACAAGTCCGCGATACCGAACCCGAGACATCTCCTACCCTTGGCGCTACTGTTCCACCCAATTCATCATCCCAGGCCATTCCAGAAATGGAATCAATCTCGGAGAAATTGGACATGGCCAGTCCACCCACGAGCACCTTCAGCAAGCAAGCCAGCCAGAATTCCGGCGGGGTCGAGTTCTGGAACTCCTTTGATGGCCGCTATCGTACTCCACCGCCCAGTCGTGCAGCAGGAGCATCCGCCAACGACGATGATATGGTCATGGACATGACTCCCTCTACGACATTCGCCGATTTCAAGCCCCATTCGCGCTCATCCACCCCGCATGCGCAAGGCACTGCAGGAATCAGCGAAATCAATCGCAAGCGGCGCCGCGAGGACGACTTTGATCCCAACCTCTTCAAACGCCGGGCCGTGTCACCAAGTGTCAGCGCCCAGAGCAGTCCAGTAATGACCCACTCGTCCACCGTCGATACCGGCCCAAGCATCTGGGGACCTCCATCTAAACTTGGTCCCCCTTTCTCCGAACGGCCCAGCACGGACAAACGCACGAGTCTAGACAATGGTAATCGCCCCATTCCTCATACAGGAACTCCCAAACGGGTCGGTCTGCAGGGCATGACCGAGGCGAGCGATGGATTTATGAATATGAGCATCGATTAGACGGATCACGGCACTTGATAATCATTCGGGAAGGCGCTTCATATCTGGCATTAGCATTGTTTCTTTTCGGCGTTCGGGATCTCTCTACAGATACACACTCTTTTTTTTAGCGAGATGCGCGAGATACCTAATAATTGTATGGTTTGAATTTATTCTTTACTTTAATTGCCTGTCCCTGTGCACTTACTGGTTGTAATATATCCAAGTTCCAATATATACATACTTTGTTGTACTCTCCTCTGTTGGACTGTTGTGATGTTGCCTCGGTGGGTCTTCTCCGCCCGGAGCTCCCCTCGGGGCCTTCCAATTGTTGTCTCCTCTTCAGCTCCAACTCCAACTCCTCCCCCCCCCTCCATCCTTCACTTTGCTGCTATTCTAACCTGCGGCATGTCTACTACTATCGAACACGCTTCGGCTTTTATTGAGGGCGCTCCGCCCGGCGAGGTATGCTCCCCACCCCACTCTGCCACGAGGGGGGTCTGACCTGATCTACCCTACACTGCCCCTCCTGTGTTTTGAAGTCCTCAGCTGATTGGAATTGACCCCGAATCTATAGCTCGCCGACGTCGTTGCCGGTAAATCACCTCATCCCCATCCTTGCCTCCCGCCTACCCCCGTGCCTCGCGTGTTGATACTGAGTTCTGTCGCCGGATTAAAGATGTGCAGGCCCTGACCTCCGAGGAGGGCGATATCATTCCCTCTCTTGCCCCCGCATTCGAACGATACAATGAAGCCCAGCTCACCACCGTGAAGCTACCGGGCTCTAGCCAGGAGGTGTGAATTTCCGCTCTTCAGCCGGTTACGGCCAAATTTACTGACACCGCTGGAGGTTATCGTCAGTGAATTCAATAAGGTCGAGGGCAACCGCTACTTCGACCCTGAGAGCCAGACCTCGTTTGAGATCGACCACATTACTCAGGTATGTTTAGCAGCCCGCGCCAACGGTATAACCCGCTCACGAGTTGGATCAGACTGCCTCCGCGGCCCAATCAGCACCATTGGAATCGCAGAACGCCGATCTGATGTAAGGACCCCGGGGTTGAGAATGAGCATTGAAATCGACAACCGCTGACGGAAATAGTAAATCACTCATCAAGTCGCTGGGCATCCACGCCCGCGAACACTACCCCGACTGCTCATACGGCGTGTACCCGACCGAGAACGACTCGGCCGTCGCAATCCTCCTCGTCGCCAACCGCTACTCCCCGAATAACTTCTGGTGCGTTTTCCAAGCTCTTTCGAATAGGGGCAATATACTATTGTATGCCGCATACCGATCAGCACAAATTAACCACCCCTTCTCACAGGAACGGTCGTTTCCGTGCGATCTACCAAGTCCCCGTCTCTTCCTCCTCCACCTCCATCAACGGCAAAATCCACGTCGACGTGCACTACTACGAAGACGGCAACGTCTCCCTCAACACAACCAAGCCAATTGCCCTCTCCGTGCCCAGCATCTCCGCGGAGTCGATCATCTCGCGCATCGCCACGGCCGAGCGCGATTACCAGGAAGAATTGAACCGGGCGTTTGTGGCCATGGCTGAGGGTACTTTCAAGGGTCTTCGACGACAGCTACCTATTACTCGGCAGAAGGTTGAGTGGGAGAAGGTTGGTGGATACCGATTGGGACAGGATATTTCTGGCGGCAAGGGTCGTTGATACATAGCGTGATTTTGGGCGGAAAGCGTTGGCGATGGCGATGGTCTTGATCTTAGACCGATATATCTTCAATTACTTGATCAAAGTAGTATTTTTCTGAGTGGAGTGTTTTCTCGGGTACAATGTAGTCTGCATTTCTAACTACTGTTGTTCTGTCAAGGTGTTCTGGTGCTCTCGTGATGTTCTGGTGCTCCGACACGAACCATCAGCACCAACCTCCACCAAATGATACGATGGCCCAGTCTAGTCTATCTATCTCTGGTACCATCCAATGGATAAGTGTGTTCCAAGACTATTTAATCTAAAAGTCCCAACAAAACCACCCAATCGGCTGAATAAGCGCACCCGGTCAGTGGAAACCTCCACTTTTCTTTTCCCCGCGACCCCGGAATTTGCATTTGGGAATTTCCTGCCTTTCCTTTTCTTTTTGCTCTGCTCTATTCTCTCCTCCTTCCCTGTCACCAACCCCAGGGAACTTCTTCCAATGATCTCTCAAATAAACCGCTTCGTCAACAATGGCGCCGGTCTGGAAAAGACCCTCCGTCTGATCCAGTCCTCAGCCCAGGTCGCCAGCGTGTTCACCGTAAACAGCACCGCCGTGCGCCTGACAACCGCAAAACTGCAATTGGCACTGAGTAAGCACTCCGATCCTCATTTGACATCCTGAGATCTCAGATCTGAGATCTCAGATCTCAGATTTATCATTATTGGTAACTAACTTACATTCACAGCACGGCGGTTCTTCCGCTTCTTCGGCTTCATCGAGTCCTTCCAGCGCGTCGCGGCTCTACTAAACAGAGATGCCATGGGATCGATATCCGGGTGGCTGGATATGGCTAAATGGACCTGTTTCGGTTTCTACTTCGTTCTAGAGGATTTAACTATCGTACGCTATACACCCTTTTCTTTTCTTTTCACCACCTCCGCCACCACCACCACCACTTACTAACAATCACAGCTCCACGCAATGGGCGTCTACGCCGTCCCCTGGGAAGAGCGCATCATGCGCGAAGCAAACACATACTGGTTCTACGCTCTATGTTTCTCATTACTGGGAACAATCTACGCGCTCCTCTTCTCCAGCAACGAAAGTCAGAGCAAGGGAAAGGGCAAGAGGGGTGGACGGAAGAGCGAGAAGGCGGCTGCTGCTCCTAAAATCGACTCGTCGGCGCTGTGGACGGCTTTCGTGATTGATGGGTGTGACTTGTTGATTCCGGCTGAGCTTTTGGATTGGATGCCCACGGGTGATTTGGTGATTGGGTCTACTATGATTCTTAGTACGCTTTTGGCTGCTAGGGGAATTTGGAAGAAGGTGTGAGCTTGTTTCGTTATGGCGGAGGGGGAAGGGAGAGATGCGGTTTGGTGTGGTGTATTGTAGCGAGGTGGGTGCGGAATGTTGATATAAGAGAGACTCGGAGGAACTGGGTGTGTATACGATCATCTTGATAGAAACATACTCGCATAGAATAGACTGTATAGCATAGAGTTGCAGCCATGTAAGCTTTGGTGTCAATAATAAGGTCTAATGAGAACAGAGAGGAACTTTAGGTGGACGGAGTCGAGTCGCTGATAAGGTCGGCGCGGATAAGGTACTAGGACGACTGTACGAGCAGTATGTGTCCAGTCTGAAGAAGTTTCGTCGGGAATACGATGTACTAGCGACCCAATTGAAGAATCCATTTATTTTTCTGCGTGATTGAAACTTGTTTACTAAAAACGACAAAAATATAGCCAGGTCTTAGCTTGATCTGGCAAAAAATGGACTCGCGGGGAATCGAACCCCGGACCACTCCCATGCTAAGGGAGTATTATACCACTAAACCACAAGCCCAATTGAATGAGAAGCGGGCCAGCTTTAGGCTATATGAGCCAAGATAGTGTATAGCCACTTAAGACTTACCAAGTCTGGTAACCATGTCAAAGGGATCTGAAAAACGACAGCCAACAGATTTGAAGTTGGGGAATTAATTTCGCATCGATATAAATAAAAACAATAGCAGAAAATAGGATATAATGATAGAGATTAGTATAAGCAGTCAATCGCCTTAGACACTGCCAGTCAAACTGCTTCAGAAATATATTAGTACTAGTAATGTCCATTTTGTGTCAGGGTAGAGGTACTATCGGAGAGTACTGCATCAAAGCAACTTAAACTTGAAGACACCTGGGCATGATACTGGTGACTGCCAGAGTAATAGTATCCACGGGGGCCCAGTTCATATGTTCTTGCATTCCCTCTCGATGTCAGTCTAAGGCATTAACGCTGGTACTTCAACCCTATTGAATTGCCTCAAACTTGACTGTTGGTAACACTGGGAGGAAAGTGCCAGGTACGCTCAAACTTATATTGAACTAAGGTTTCGAAAGTAAACCTGTACAATAATATTGCCTGTCCTATCCGCGTTGTATCCTGCACCAATAATCAAGGCTAGTTGCATCAAATCGTGGAGTATGTTGTTCTAGTTCATGTTGGGCCAAATTGTCCGAAACCCAAGTCCTGAGCATCTGTGGTACCATGGTTTGAGCCAAGTGGGGAATATCCAAAAAGTCTCAAAATTTCCCTATTAGGCAGTTTGGCCGAGTGGTCTAAGGCGATTGACTTGAACGACTCCATTCTTCGGGCATCAATTCTCTTCGGAGGCGGCGGTTCGAACCCGCCAGCTGTCGATTTTTGCTTTTCACGTATTTGTAGTCACGTGACTACATACTACTATCTCCGCCCATCCTGGGATCATCCGCGAGGCCCCCGATATTCGCGTCTTCCCCTCCAAACTAACCATCATGCCGTATAACCATGCTGGTCGGCCGTGCGCGGAATGAAGGCTGTATCCTCCGCAGAAAACAAAAGGGTTGAGCAACTTGTTCTGAAGGACCATGCCAAACCTGCAAAACGGAAGCCAAAGACCGTCAACAATGATGAGAAACAAGTCGTCCGGACATAGCGCGTTTCCCAACCAGACGCCCTGACAGTCCCTCCTTTCCTCCTCGACTCATCCTGGGAACATCATGGCCATTGCTATTTCCCCGATCAACTCACCCTCCCCACTGAACACGACGGCAACCCTGGTCCGCTTGACTCGATTCCCCTGCTCTATACCTTGTGTGAGAATGCGACGGCAAACGGAGCCCCGCTGGCCAGTCTCCGTGCTGCAGTAGATGCTGCGGCATTCGCATCTCTAACGATTCAGACTCGTGTGCCTGAATTGACGGTCCAAGCTCGAAAGAAATATGCGGAGGCTTTGCGGCCCTGGAATCTATATGTCGAAGTGGACCGTCCTTCCACAGACCCCAGAAGAGATCATCATCGAGATGACCAGTGAAATATGCGAGTCCATTCCATTCTGCCCGGGCGACCTGGACAACCTTGGGCGACCTGTGCCTCGATTAAGGCATAGAAAGATGGGAATCAAAGCGATACAAGGGTTCGCACTGATGTGGCCATTGTTTAGAATTCCTCAAAGCGGACATGCGGCGAAAGCCCAGGAGACATAAGCGCGAGAGGCGCTGCAGCGAGTTGCGACAAGCCATGGGGTTCGACTAGGAATGGACTTGACCGTCGAGGCAGTGCAGCTTCAGCGGACGTTGAGCTCGCAGAGTTTTGCATCGGTCAGGACTGACAGCAATTAAATTGGATATATAGTAGACGTAGCGAATAGCTCGACGGAATTGTAAATATCGATAGTACAGTGAACCTAGGTCACAGACATTGTACGATTAGGGCGCGGCGATGAAGCGCTTTACAATACGGCTGAGCACGTTGTGATGATTGCATGCATGCGAAAGCCGGCAAACTGGTGGACGGTACTACGACTGCGCCTTCGACAATGAGATCATTCACAGCGGCAGTCCAGAGTACGAGCATTTCCCAAAGCGGTCAGATTTACACAGCCCACAAAGAAGAAATACGAGGGGCGATGCGAATAAACTTCGCTCGATTCAGCATGTGATCGACAGCCCTGGAGACCCGTGGATACGAAGCCCAATTAGGCAAGTCTCGTATCTGGGCTGAAGAGGTTCATCCAGCATCGATGGCAAGGGGAAGGGGATATTTAAATACAGAATTCCGTCCTTGACAAGATGGAATCATCAAAATCAACTTGAACCTTTGGAAACGAGATCATTTATTAAACCATCTCCATCATGACTACAACCACAACCACCCAACTCGATGACTTCAAAGAGCCACTCGCCTCAATATCAAGTGGTACTAGTACCAGCACACTCTACACACTCACCGATTCAACCTCCTTCAAACCCACACGCACATTAACAGTCAACTCCCGCGGTATCGGTGCATTTCGACTCCCCATCCCCTCACGAGAGACCGAAATCGCCATCCAAAACGCCGACGGAAGCGACGCCTACATCTCCACGCGGGACAAAGTCTGGTCAGGCAATTGTGTACTTTCACACCCGAAGCAAGGAAACCTTATTCGCACAGACTATTTCTTCGGGCCCAATCGTGAGCCTATTTTGCGCCTACTGCAGACATCGAGTGTTCTCCCGGATGAAGTTAAAGTGACCGGACAATGGACATCGCGCACGACGCGCTTTGCCATGCCGGATGGACAGGAGTATGAATGGGTCTACGCGAAAGAGAAGACTGATGGTCAACGTACCAATCTGCTTGTTCTCCGGGCTGTCGTCGTCAAGGACAAAGTTCAAGGAGAGGGGAAATTGGATCACCGGCAGATTGCGCAGTTAGTGCGTGGAGCGGAGACTCGGACGCCCGGAACCTCCCGGTGTACGGCTGGCAACGGCGGTGAATTGCAGATGGATGAAGGGGCGATGGAGGGGCAATTAGATGCGGGGGTGATCGTTGCGACGTGTTTAATGATGTTGAAGAAGGAGGTTGATCGGAGGAGAATGATTCAGCTTTGTGTGATCGGCGGTGCTGGTGGTGGGTCATAGATGGGCAGGCACTTGAGGCACTTTGTTCGGCTTCATATTTTGCTTCTCTTGAATGTGAATGTATAGTATAGCATAGTATATTTCTAGGTATCAATTTTCAGCACTGCTCTATTCTATAACTCCTTGCTTTCAAGTTCTCATCTCATCATCACCCATCTGTATAGTATCAGGGAGAGCCTGCTCTCCCCTTGATCAACCCCACCACTTTACTTCTTCTCACTCAACAGCCCCGCAATGTGTGGATTCATCCAATATTCATCCAAAACCTCCGGCTGCATAGTCTTCGCACCAGAGATCCATCCCCGACATTCCCCCGCACCACAAATACACTGGAAGGGCTGATCCATCTCCCACTCGGTACTGGGATAGAAGAAGGTAAGAGCATCGCCCTTCTTCAAAGGCTTGTCATCAACGACGCGGACCTCCATGCGCGACATATCGAAGACTAGCGATGGGGCACAGGAGTGATTGCAATAGACCAGGTCGGAGTTCAGCTCGATGTGGGTATCACGGCCAGTTTGCACGCTGGTGTAGGCTTTTGTGCCGGGGGTGTCTCCTGTGATTTTCGCAAAGAGGGAGCCGGCTGGGAGGTCGACGAGGGAAATTGCACCGCTTCCGAAAGCCTTGGGGCTGCGATTGACGTGGAGTCTATCGGGGTGTGTTGGTGGTGGAGAGTTTAATGTAGTTGAAGTTGTGGTGGAGGGAGGCGGGGAAACTGCGGCGGGAGACATGGTGATGATGATGGTGATGATAGATGGCAGAGCGGGAAGAAAGAGTAGAGCAATTGGGTGTAGAGAAAGAGTAAACCCCGGAGTCGCCCGTATTTAAAGGATTGTTTTTGCAGGATGCCCTCTGCTCTTGGGTAGACATCCCCATTCAACCGAGGATTCGATTGCATTCGGACGGGACCGAGGCAGTCCAACATTCCTAAATTACGCGCCCCCCTTTCTGCCCCGCGGAGAGATTCCCTGAAATGACATCTCTGCGACGACTTCCTTTCATCCAGACCACTCACCGGTCGTCCCAGGGTGGAGGTGGTGGGCTAGGTGGATTAGGCTCACGCGATTGTTTCTAGCGGCCGATCTGGGGTGTTTTTGTCTCACGCTGAGACTCCGACTCTCTCACATGTGAATTACAAGTTCGCTGCTCCGCGCTGCTCTACAGTACGTCCCGAAACTGGTGCAACCGCCTACACTCTTGCAGTAATTATTTAGCCCCACTGCCAAGAAGCACGAGACTATATTAGGAAGACACTCGGAATAAAAATATTCCTGTACCAGTCTCGATACCGTGCTTTCCTTTTATTAAAATACGGTGCCTTGTCTTGTAACTGTATGAGTGATCTACATTTTCCATGGAGATACAAACAAGTCAAACACCAGAGCTGGGGAGCGCCTCGGGAGTCTGGCGACCTGTCACTTCCCTTCTGCTCCTATGTCTAAGTCCGTCTTGGGGGGCTTACTCGGCCCCGACCTGCAAATAGTGACTTGCATTACTTGCTTACTGTCCTTACAGACTACCCATGAACCCGCTTATTGTAATACTCGGCCTGTCAGCCACAGTGCTCTCTTCTTTACGCCCCAGAACACACTTGGTAGAAGCTGACACAACTATATTAATAGACTCCTTAGTGGTATCTTCTGCCTTGGGGGGATGACTTATACTCCTTTCGACGATAATGATGACGATTATACTTACCGACCTGAACTGCCCAATCTGTAGGAAAGGACTCCCTCGTATGCCCCTACCTCTGGCTACCCAGACTGTGAATAGACGCCATCAGTAATCTGCCCTTCATCTGATTCTGAGGATATAGTTGGTAAATGTTCACCTTCCTTGTATCAACATCTACCGGACCAGCAGAGATTTGATTTTATGGTTGAACGTATAGATAGAAGTGCATGGGATGAATAATCTCCGGACTATATCCAGTACCAGATTGAGTAGAGGGTTAAATTGAACAATTGAGTTGTGGTTAAGGATACAAAACAAGACCTGACTCAGACGCCTAACACACTTTCACAGATATGGTTAACTACTCCCGTATCTTTAGTTATATTCCGAAGTTGGACCGGAAGATTTCAAACAGACGACACCTGTAATGCTATTTATGATTATTGATCCAAGAGTAACCACCCCCGCCGTGTCGGCGTCCCAACAAAAGTGGCTTCAAGCAACAATTGGCCCATTAAATCGTTGCGAGATGCCGTGAAATCTGAATCCGTAGCAGCGTGAGATGATTGTACACATAATAATCAGCAAGAAAAGACTGACTATGTCACAAATACCCAAACTGACATAGTGTAGCGAGCGTTCCATCACTATCATTTGCAAGAATATACGGTTGCTCACGGTCCCAATTCTCCCACAATCCCTCCCTGCTCACCACAAAGCATAACTCTCGCCACCTTAACATTTGCCTCGATCCCATAAAGGGTATGAGAATTAGAACCGAGATATCCTCATCAAGCATGGCATAAAACCGGTGTGGTGTGTGGCTTAGCTATTTGTCCTCGACATCGGCCTTCGGGTTCAGTGGCGCCCAAAATTTACTTACAATCAGAATAGTAATAGTCCACTCTAGATATGGTTCAGTGGGTAGAGAAAAATTTACACCGGCATATTGCATATATTTCTCTGCGTGGCTTTAGAGAGTATTTTCATATTATCAGTTCACAACCTAACTGGGATCCTCTACTTGATATGCTCTCGCGGTGGAGATCTACTCACAAAGGAAACATATAACGTAACTCGAGATCTGAGAAGACCCACCGTATTAGGTAAAGCTTTCGAACCCTTCCAGAAAACGTGCGCGAAATCTCAAGGTTCGCATTTGTTGTCCCAATACGGGAAGGCTCCCGCAGGACGGTATGGCTCCCGCAGGAGGCTCGGAAATCCTTGCCAAGACCAGTAAGGTCCAAGGACAATTTTTGGCTCATAATCATTTTATGAGCATCCTTAAAAGGTTTAACAAGTTCTAACAGAAAGCTTTTCTCTTCATTACTGTATATTTGAGAACTCATATACTTCCTTGCGCGCCACCAGAAATGAGCATTGGAAATAACGATGTCATTTCGAGAGGGGTGGAGTGGTCGAAAATCGACACAAAGTCCACGCTGCAGTCGTCGATGCGACTGGAAAACTCCTCTTCTGTGTTGGTGATCCATTACGAATGACGCTTATTCGTTCCACGGCAAAGCCAGTGCAAGCTTTGGCTGTCATTGAGACGGGTGGTTTCAGTCAGTTCAAGTTTGACGACGCCGACCTGGCCTTAATGTGCGCGTCGCATAGCAGCGAGGAACAACACATTGCCCGGACTGTCAATATGTTGGCGAAAGTCCAAGCCAAAGAAGAGGATCTTCGTTGTGGAGGTCACTCGGCACTGTCGGACTCAGTGAATCGTGGCTGGATCAAGCGCGACTACAATCCCACGGCAGTGTGCAACAACTGCTCGGGCAAACATGTTGGTATGCTTGCCGGCGCCAAGGCAATCGGTGCAGACATGGCGACTTATCATCTTTCAACGCATCCCCTTCAATCACGAGTAAAACGTGTATTTCGGGAATTGTGCGCCCTCGAATCTGAAGATGTGAAATGGGGAATTGATGGGTGCAACCTTCCAGCACCCGCAATTCCCCTCCACTGTCTTGGGAGACTCTATGCCATTATTGCTGCGTCGGCCGACCACCAAATGAAAACGGAGGTTCCTACATCAGCAAGAACGCAAGAATTGGGCCGAATATTTCATGCGATGACTCAGTACCCAGAACTGGTCGGTGGAGATGGGCGATTCTGCACTGTGCTCATGCAGGCATTTCATGGAAGATTGATTGGTAAGCTTGGCGCAGATGGCTGTTACGGAATAGGAATTCGAGCATCAGAGCAGACAGCACAGCTTGGAGCAACGGGTGCAGTGGGCATATCTCTTAAAATTGAGGACGGGAATATTGCGATTTTGTATTCCGCAATATTGGAAATCTTGGAACAACTTGGGATCAGATCACCAGAAATGCGAAAGGATCTCGACGCTTTTCACCGTCCGGCAATCACCAATACAGCCGGTGTCGTTACTGGCCAAATTACTCCCGCTTTCAAGCTACAGGCTCCCTCATTAGAGCATTGAAAGCACAATCTCAGTCGCTTGATACTTCTTGACTAGAGTTTAACATGTTGTACAATAAAATGCATTCTAGATCATTCGAAGTCTATTAATTTTCGCCATGCTCAGATTGAATAAAACACCTGACACCTTCGAAACCTGCAGAAATATGACAAAGTCAGTGAGCCCTCCGTGGAGCCAGCCACACCTGGGGTATTGAAAAAGAACATGGCCGTTAATTGGGCGCTGTTGTGGATTATTCGGCGGTCTGGTCAAGTGAAAACTTTGATTTCATCGATGTGGCCCATTCGTTTATGTCACGTAGAAAGTGACGAGCAGTTCCAATCTGGATTCCTCGTAACACAGCAAGCCTCAATTAATATTCCTAGCGCCTGAAAGAATGCCTCAAAATGCATTCCGAGGGACTGCAATTACGGACAGACAGATATCACAATGGCCATAGGAAGCCGTGCCTTCATTCCTTCTCTGAATATATCACTACTGACTGATACCTGCACCGAAAAACTGTTCCAAGACAACCAGTGGAATTTATCTTGAATCCTGACACTAAAGGTTCTACCACAAATTCATATGGTATATGATGTTTATATAAACTTAGCTCTATTGTGCAATAGATGTGTCGTGCATTCGCAATGATGAGACTCAAGTGTTATTTAAGCTAACAGTGGCGAAGTGTTCTGTTTACGAATCGAGCCCATATTTCAGAAGATAGCGTAGTGACAATAGATCAACCATGAAGCATTAAATCATGTCTGTGATCTTTAGCAGATTTAGCAGCTCCAGAACTCGCCGGCTCTTAGTGTGATCTGGACCCAGGACCTTCTCATAGCCTGCTAGTGCTCGCTGGTACATCTCTTCTGCCTCTTTTAGCTTCCCCTGATCATAGTAGAGATTTCCAAATCTATGAAATCCTCCCCAAACAAAAAGGTCATCTGAAGGGTATCGCCCATCACGTAAAGCATTCGCGTGTGGAATAAGCCGTTGCTCTAGCTGTGTATAATTGTGATCACTTGTACTTGGAACTGAGTATCCAACGCATATGAATGCTAGTTCAGAAAGCTTGATAGGATTCACATTTGTGTTCATGCTGGCCATGTGGAAGCACCAATCCTGTACCACAGGAATAAAGTTCAGAAAAGAAAAGAAAAGAAAACAGAGGTGAAGCTGATTTCGAGCGGTCCTGTATATTGCCTTTTGCTCTCAATGCTTTGATGTAATCTAGAATGATGAATCATCTTCATATTTCCCATGCATATCAGCTGTTTACAACAAGAATGTCGAAAGAAGTGGCTATGTGGATTCCCACATCCACATGCCTCTATTTATCATTCTAGCGCAACTCAATTCATCGGCTTTGTTTCATTGTATTTACTGTCCCCCAAGCGCTCCCTTGAGGTGACCAACAATTTTGACCGTGTCGGGATGCTCACGTCCCAGCATTTCCTCCTATGCTTCGAACGCACGCCCACGTATCGCTTCTGCCTCTTTGTATTTCCCTTGGCTGGAGAGGATGTTACTGAGGCCGTCGATAGTAATGAGCGTGTGAGGGTGCTTGCGCCCAAGCACCTTCTCTCGTGCCTCCAGCGCTCGCCGGTGCATTTCTTCCGCTTCCTTGTATCTCTCTTGCCTGAAAAGATCTAAGCCAAGGTCATTGACAGTGGTAAGTGTGCCAGGATGCTCGCGTCCAAGCACTCTCTCCCGTGTTTCCAACACCCGCCGATGCATCGCTTCTGCCTCCTCAAATTTCCCTTGGCTGGATAGGATGTTACCCAGGTCATTGATACTAATGAGTGTCTGGGGATTCTCACGCCCAAGCGCCTTCTCTCGTCCTTCCAATGCCCGTCGATACATTGATTCCGCCTCTCTATATTTATGTTGCCTGAAAAAAGCTAAGCCAAGGTCATTGACAGTGGTAAGTGTGCCAGGATGTTCGAGTCCGAGGACCCTCTCTCGTGCTTCCAATGCCCGTCGATGCATTGCTTCCGCCTCCCTATATCTCCCTCGAGTGGAGAGCACAAGGCCAAGGTCATTAGCACTAGTGAGTGTGTGAGGGTGATCGTACCCAAGCACCTTCTCTCGTATTTCGAATGCCCATTGATGCATTGCTTCTGCTTCTTCATATTTTCCTTGCCTTAAGAGCACATTCCCAAGGTCACTGACGCTAGTAAGCGTACTAGGATCCTCGCGTCCGAGAACTTCCTTTCTTCCTTCCAATGCCTGTCGATGCATCACCTCCGCCTCTGGATAATTCCCCTGGTGGGAGAGGTCCAGGCCAAGGTCACGAGCACTAGTTAGTGTATAAGGATGCTCGCGTCCAAGGACTTTCTCTCGTGTTTCAAATGCCCGTCGGTGCATTGCTTCTGCTTCTCTATATTTCCCTTGCCTAAAGAGAACCATACCAAAGTCATTGACAGTGGTGAGTGTTTCAGGATCCTCACGCCCAAACGATTTCTCCCTTGCTTCCAAAACCCGCTGATGCATGGATTCTGCCTCTTTATATTTGCCTTGGTTAGAGAGGACGTTACCAAGATCATTGATACTTGTCAACGTGTCAGGATGCTCACACCCAAAAACCTTCTCTCGTACTTTCAATGCCCGCCGATGCATTGCTTCTGCTTCTTCATATTTCATTTGCCCGGAGAACACTAAGCCAAGGTAATTGATAGTGAAGAGTGTGCGGCGATGCTCGCATCCTAGCACCTTCGTTCGTGTTTCTAACACCCGTTGGTGCATCGCTTGCGCTTCTTCATGTTTCCCTTGTCTGAGGAGCACATTACCAAAGTTACTAGCACTGAGGAGCGTTTTCGGATCGTCTAGCCCAAACAGCCTCTCATTTGCGTCTAATGCAGATTTCTGGAAAAATTGCGCTTCTTTGTATGTCCCTTGAAGCATTAAATACCATCCGCAGTGGAAGGAAATTGTGGCCGCATGCATTTGATCTCCACGGACATCAGATACCGATTTTATCACCTCCTTCGCATGTGGAAGTAGCCTTCGACATTCCGTCCAGGTCTCGTAATGTCCAGAGGGAAACATCTGCGCCATAATGGCTCGCGACTTCTCTTGCCACCGAACCAGTTCGAGGTGGATCTCTAGCCATTTCCGGACTGATAATTGTACCAGTCGATGCATATCAAAGGATGCTGTTTCAGTCTCAATCCGGACAAGTGAATAACTGATCAATGGTGCCAATGCATCCTCAAATTGGAGCTCATCATCATCCGCACGGACGAGGCTTTCTGGGATCCCCTGCCGATCAAACATGCTAATTAAAGCCAGCAAATCCGTCGCTGCCGGCCGTTCACGATGGATTTGTTCGAACGATAGCTGCCATGTTGTAATGATCGCATGCCGAATACTGGGGTCCCGCCGGAGGTCTTTGGCGTCCTCGTGCTGAAGAAGATGTGTCTGGTTCGAATCGCTCTCGCGGAACAACTGAAGGTACCGGGAGACTGAGACTCGAGGTGACCGATTCGCAATATAAGACCCTGCCTGGGTGATTGCCAGCGGAATATATTCAAGTACCTGGACGAGCGCCTTCTCATCCTCTCCAGACCCTCCAGATTGAGAAGCCGGAATCCTTGCCCGTAAAAGGGTGAGGGACTCTTCCTCGTTCATTGGCTGAATCTCGATCACGTGACCATCCTTTCCTATCAGATTCCGTGCCGCAAGTTCATTTCGCGATGTGGTCAGGATTGATCCATGGACAGCCTGAGGCAGGAACAATATCCGTGGGCCTCGATCATTGTATTCATTGCCACTGAAAAAGACACCATCGTCATCCACATTGTCAAGCACCATCAGCCAGCGCCCATTACCTGGATCACACAACCACTGATAGACAAGCTGGAGGAGGTTCATATTCGGATTATCCCGTCCCGGAATCTTCGCGACTGCCGCAATTTGCTGGTAGCCCTGCTCCAACCGCGCCGCACTGCTGGCGTGAATCCAAAAAACCCATGTGTCCGGTGTAGATTCTCGCACGTGATAAGAATACTCGATGGCTGTCTGGGTTTTTCTGAATGGCAGGCATACTAATTATCAATTTTTATCCAAAAGGCTTTATGATGGGGACAGCTCACCCAACGCCGGCCAACCCTACTAATGCGACCCGCTCATGACGCTGGCCGGTCGCCGTTTGTTTTTCCTTGATCGCACGGATCACAGCTTCTCGGCCCACAAACATTGTATCCTTCTGAAAAGGCACTGTAGAGCACGGCTGGGGCGGGGCTTTCTGTTGGTCTCCACCACAAAAACGGTCATTAGTCCTGGCTAGATAGGGAGCTATGTATTGTAAACCTCACCTGGAGGCAGATAGATTGCTCCATAATTGTTTCCCACTTGCATCCCCCAGTTATTGCTGCCGAACGATATAGAGGACATAGTGTCTTCGTAATGCGTACCTGAAGAAATCATCGTCAGGGCTTCCAGAAACTGGCAGAATATTTATTCTCAGCCTCCGCATCGTGTGGCCAGGGTGTTGAGAGTGATGAGATGCTCCTGTTTTATCTTTGGATATAACTCACTGGACCGAACCGCCACCACTGTGGTTTGTACTCAAGCTTAATCACAGAATTATAGGAGAGATGAGAGCGGAAATTAAGCGCCCTTGTTGATAGAGGGCCACCTCAGCCTGCTGAGGCTGAATCGACCGATAAGTGCGGGGTAAAAGCATACACCTACAATCATTGCTAGAATTATTTCATGGCCACTGCTGTATACCGAATGTAACTTCCTCCCACATCATTTCTTGATATAATATCGAGGCCACATGGATTATTGGTCTACTACTATCGAAAGGCTATTCTCCTACAATAGCTAAGGACCATAACCTTCACTTTACTTCATTACGACATGACCCCTTATCCTGACATCACGTATAGCAATCTGAAACTAAACATTCCTCGGTTTAGCCTAAGACTAGCCATTTTAGACTTAGCGCCTAGTGAGAGAGTAGTTGTACATAAGGCCACATCCAGGGCAAGCCGAAATTTTTCTGTTCCTCAGGGGATCGCTTTGACACTAAACTCCATATGACTGATGTACCATTTCTAGGCAGTAAATGCGGGTATCCACCAAAAAGGACCCTTCAACTTCAATCTTGCTAAGCACTCCTGGTGAAAATTACCCGCTCTTAGTTATTCTTTAGCCTAAACGTAGTTAACGGTCAAAAAATGTGTTTTCCTATTCATTATAATCACCTAATTAATTTTGCTTATATATAATACTGTTGACTTTTGATCAACTAACCGCTGAAATTCTCTTGGTATTTAACGGTCAAAGTACGCGTAAGCTAACCAAATCAAAACACTATAGGACCTTTAGTTATCCATCCTGTAGTTGAAAGGCTGTTGATGTAAGAGTCCTAGATAATTTTATTTTTATAATTATTGTACACACCAAAAATTTGCTCAAATTACAGTACTTCAACTCTCACATACTGTTCAACGGTCAAGAACGCGGTTTTTTAGCTAATCATTTAAGGCTGACAGATGAACTAATAATCATAAGATTCCAGGGTTGAGTGATTTCGTAATTTCCTAGATATCCGTTAAAACTGACACAGCGGTATGTAAAGCTTTGTACAGTATAGAGATTCGATGCCATTTAGGTTCCTCAGGGTTGAGATAGAATCATCAAGTCTAGCTGGTGAAATTTATTTTAAAAGAACCTCATCTTAAAACCAGTCAGGAAAATCCAAGTATATAGCAACTGAGCATACATAACGTTGTCTTGAATCTGCTAGCTGTTATTCACATAATCTGCAGTTTCATACTCCTGTCTCCTTCACGGCCTGGATAGTTCCATTTCAAGTAGGAGATGCCCCTCAGGAAACTGTGCTAAAAATGACCTCGACGTCTCCAGCCAATCAACGTCATGGGCGGACATTATACGCTATTCAATCGAGATCGACCGGGATCCCCACGTCCACCTTGTATCGCGACTGAGTGTACCGTTACTAGTCGATTGCAAGATAAGGGTTTAAAAAGTTTTAAAAAGAATAAACAGGTGAAGCTGATTTCGAGCGGCCCTGTATGAAATACATCTTTTATCACTTCTTTGACCAAAAACAACCTTAGGGTCCTCACGAGAGTCGCTCTTACCTCGCAGATTTACTCTTAGCCCCCACTATCAGGTGATCTGCCGCACGACAACTGCCAGAAACGGTGAAAGGCAATAGAGCATACGCGAAATAGAGGGAAAGCTGTGTAATTTCCATGTACCTTCTTACCTATTTTGTATGGAGAGCTACCTCGCTCTACCCTGCCCTTTCTCGGATAACGTGAAAGCAGGAGATTCCATCGTTCGCCAATTGTCCCACCAGTCCATACTCCCAGTCAAGATACCCCTGCATGGCTTCGCGCGCATTGTCGGTTCCCTCGTACGGCCGTTGATATACATCAATTGGTTCCGAAAGCCACCTCGTCTCATTTTCCAGAGCATGCCCCGCTGCAATCCAGGCATTGGTGCCACCGGATAGATATACAACCTCGCGCGAAATACCCTGTCGCGCATACTCCACATTGATCGCAGCGACCATCCCATCGGGCGAGGTCAACACAATCGGCCCCGTACAATTCACGGCGTGCAAATCGCGAGTCAGTTCCGGCCCCGATGCAAAGAATGCCCCGGGAATGTGGCCCTGGCGATAGACCGGACTGCGTGCGAGATCCACCACGTTGGCGTTTGTGAGGGCTCGCAGTTCGTCAACTGTGATGGAGATCGCGACCGTATCCACCGGTGGGCTCCATTGGGGAGGATCTGGCCTGGGCCGACTGTCCAACACCGTACGAGTAACGCTGGATGTCTCGTCCAGGACATAGACCTCCCATCCCAACTGTAGCAGCCAACTGGCCGTCATGCGGGCTCGCACCCCATCCGTATCGTATAACACAATGCGAGCACCGCGAACGCCTGCCCATTCATCCGTCGCCTGGACCAATTGACCTCCCGGGGCATTTTGGAATCCCTTTGGATGACCCTCAACATATTCGTTCGGGTCCCTCACGTCGAGGAGGTAGAGTGTTCGCTCTTCCTCCGCTGCCAACCGACCAAGCTTCTCCCCGTTGATAATCGACACTCCGACATGTTGTGCCCAGGATTCGGCATGCTGTCTAGCTTTAAGAGAAGCCTCCGGAGATGGCAGAGGAATGCGCTCAGCTTTGCGATGCTCCAATTCCAGACCGTCCAGTGTCCATCCAATGGTTCCATTTCGCAATGCCATGACTTTATTAGGAATCCCACCATTGATCAACGACTGCGTCCCAACGATACTCCGCGTGCGACCCGCGCAGTTCACAATGACCGTAGTATCCGGCGACGGTGCTGCTTCGAAAATGCGATAGAGCAATTCCCCACCAGGACAGCTGCGACCGCGCGGAATACTCATGGTTGAGTACTCTGAAAAGCGCCGCGCATCCAACACCACCGCATTTTTCTCCCGAGCCAAAAACTCCTTTACCTCTTTGGCTGACAGTGACGGTGTGTGTCGGATCGATTCGACCAATTCCCCAAATGCCTTGGACGGCACATTCACATCGCGATAGACTTCGCCTACACGCGTATATCCCACTAGACCCCCTTCCAGAATAGCGACATCGCTGTATCCCAATGCGACAATGCGAGCTACAGCTCGCTCGACGTAGCCCTCGCCATTATCGTAGACAACCACGGGAGTCGCGCGTCGCGGCACTAATGGGGGTAATTTCTCCTCTATCTCGGAGACCGGCACACTCAGCGCGAAGAGTGGGTGGGCATTGGAAAAGGGTCCTTCTTCGCGAACGTCCAGCAGGGTGATTTCCAGGTGATTGAGCCAGTGGCGTCGTAGCTCGTGGGCCGTGATCGACTTTGTCATTTCGGCAAGGCTGGCTGGGCTGGGCTGTGAGGTGCTTTCTAGAGCTATTTCAAGAATAAGCTTATTGCGTCAGCATAATACTAGTAGATCAAACAAACTTGGAAGACAAACTAACAAGCTAACAAGTTAACAAGCTGTGTTGCTGCTCAACGGTCCACTCGGATGTTTTTCGTTCGGTCGGAGGGTTTTCCTTTGCAACCCCGGAAATCCTCCGCATCAACACGATGCAAAGCCCCACGATGGGATGGCGCTATCAGCGCTATTAATTGCTAACGGGGGACACTTGAAGGTCGGAATTTTCACTCTTGAAAAATTCTCAGACCTCAAATTTGGACTGGAAAAGAATTGTGGTGAAAGAGAGAAACAAATTGATTGTTGGATACTCATATTGCGTTCAATGACTTCTTTTCATCACATTTCTCTGCTAGACAAAGCCAGGAATAGTGTTGAATCCCCGTATCTCCGTGTACTCGTACATAGCTCTCTCTAGTCGGAGTAGTTCCAGAGGAAATATGGCTGCAATATGTCGTGATTGACGTCTCTCCTCTTCCTTTGACATGGCGTTGCCACTCTCCAACTACTGTATACCACGACAATCGTCTCCTTCATTTTCTCTAAGATTCAAGTTTCTACCTATGATACCTAATGTGAATTGACAAGAATTTTCTACATTTGTATATTGTGTATACTTCTACCCTCATTATCTCCATCTCCCTCATCATTTCCATCTCCATCGGCCCTCGGACTGCGGCCAACCCCGCTCGACTCCAACTGGCCTGGCCACCTTTCGAACTGCTTCAGAAGTTCAGCCTTAGACCTCATGTTGGCCTACCCAGAGCCAGTCCCTAGAATGAGCATGAATCCGAGCTTGAGCATGAGCATGAGCATGAGCACTCTCCGGCAAAAGCGACAGTCCTGCGAAGCCTGTCGTAAGTCAACCCGGAAAATTCCCAATGATCTGCAATGCTGACCTCCAACCCAGGAGCGAGAAAGCTACGATGCTCCGGCGAGAGAAATGGCTGCTCACGCTGTCGAAATCTCTCTCTACAATGTAAATTTCAAGACAAAGGAGCCCCCGGCCGTCCAAGAAAGCGACCCCGACACGAGCAAGCAGATCGCGAATGCGAACGCGAATTAGCAACGAGAGAACCCCAACCACGTCCGATCTCACCGAGCTGTTTCCAGCTCTCACCACCCATCGTACACGACCCGATGGAATCAGCCCAAGTCGAAAGCATGCTAATGGGCAATGGCGACTTCGGACCACTCCCACTAGAAATGTCCAACAACTGCGGCCTGGGCTCATCCTGTTCTCTCGATTTCTCCGGGTCGCTAGATTTCAGCACATTCCCCATCGGCCCATTATCCAATTCCCACCTCGACCACCATCACGAAGGTCTATCAGACATGTCACTAGCAACGACAACAACAGCCTGCATCTCACCACCCCTATCACCGCAATCTTGCCAATGCGACGAGGAAGTCTCAGATTCGGTCCGGGCCCTAAGTCGCGCGACAATGTCACACAACATCATCCGCAATCTGCGCGACGGGATCGGACTCACGGAGAGACTACTTACCTGTCCAATCTGCTACGACGTCTCCAAGCCGCCCCGAATAACAGTTCAAAACGTACTGTTGATTGGCAGACTCATGTTCGAAGTAACATCGACGTACGGGAAATATCTAAAATGGCTCCGAACATACTGCACCGACCTGGACGAGAAGAGTAAAAGCGAGACGATATATCTCATCCCCGGACTGGAAATCGGATCCGAGCTTGGGTTCAAGATTGACGGAGCGCGGTTTCATGAATTTATTACGCATGGGTTACAAGCTGATGCCGATCGGCTTATCTCCGTGGGAAAACAGTTTGCGCAGAGACAGAAGAATCGTCATATGGTTGGCCATGAGACTTGTCCCGATGTTGAGGGTCGGTGTAGAAAGGAAGAGTATGGGCTTGATCATGATCCGCTTGATCTTTGTCCGCAAAATGCTGCTTCGAGGAGGTTGACTCCTTGCTTTAGAATTGTGGATGAGGTTCAGTCTATGATTGGACAGGTTGTTGAGTCGGTTTCCTGATATTTATTCAGCATAGGGTGGAAGTCTGAGCCATGAGCGTTGTTCTGTACTTGTTAAGGCGTTTTGTCAAATAATACTATTATAATGGAGTTGTGAATTCGATTGAACAAGATGAAACATTTACTCATAGGATAGGTAGAATTGGCTTCAGGACTTGAATTTGAAATAACATTACGGTTAACCTTGGAATAAGAGGTTATTTTTGTTAGACAAGTATTGCTATTGAAAGCTCGGAGTAGATGAACAGCATTTCCCATTCGTGATGCCATTCGCAACTCCTTTCACAACCCCATTTCTTCCTCCCTTCTCACCACTGTCTGCTACCACCCCAAGCCTACAAAAGCAAGAGGACGTAATGGACACGTCCGCCTCGGCAAGGGCCAGTTTCAACTGCTGTTTGATGATATTCGCCTCTGAAAGGCGCTCCAGTCGCTCGAGGCACTCGTGATAACCATGCAGAGCCCAGACGTTATTCGGATGCTGATGTGCACGTTTGGGCGTTGGGTACAGGCCCAAGTCCTCCGCATAAGCCTGGGCGGCCTGTTCAACGTGTCCTTGTTCCAGGGATAAAGCTGCGTAGGCATGTCGTGCCGGGAGCATCCATCCCCATGGCTCAGCGAAAGGTAGCTCATCTTCAAAGACAATTGCCTCGCGTAGCCTAGCAAATGCAGTCTCAAAATTCGCCCGTCGATATTCTATCTCACCATCTAACATTGCCGATGCCACCTTGAGAATGTCGGTTATTTTATTGGGAAAATCCAGTCGCGAGGGCGGAACCAATTTTGACGCTTCTTCAAAGCGTACTCGCTCTTGATCAGCCTCGGATATTTGACCCGTGGCCGCGTAGGCAATGGCTTTGCCATAATGTCTCATGACATTAGTTACACAGTACAATTCTCGATCCTCGGGAGGCTCAAGAGCCTTGAGCTCGTCCCACCTTCCAAAGCGAATCAGAACATGGACGCGCACTGCTTTGAAGAACTCCATCCAATTTGCTAGCATGGGAGTCTCCACACGCAGAATTTCTTCGGTAATAGTTGCTTCCATGCGGTCCGTTGCATCGAATGCAGCCTTGGATTTCCCAGCTAACATCGCCGCATATATGAGTGAGTGGTAGTCGTGTAGACGATAGTAGCTGTAAAAAGTCAGGCCACCACTCTGCGCGAAATATTTGTCGTCGGCGATCGTTGCCTTCAGATTGTACTCCACAGCACGTCTGTAGTCGCCTACAAGAACATCAATGTGCGCGGGCATATGGTAGGTATGGCCGGTGTCTGCTACCAAGTCGCGAATCATGTCCGCGGCAGGCAAAGCAGCCTCGGGCGTGGCAGACATTTCCATGAGGTGAATATACATGTGCGCGGGCCCGGGGTGTTTTTCTACACCAGGTAGTTTCAGCGCTTTCTCAAGCAAAGATTTGACTTCGAAGACTGGCGATGATGCGATGGGCAATCCCGTCGCAGCGTCGTACAACTTGCGCGGAGCACAGTTCATCAACGCGTCAGCGAAAAGTGTGATAAAGTCAAAGTCGCTGTGGCCGAAGGTTTGATATGACTTGCGCATGGCATCTGCGTAGGCCTTGCTGCAAGCCAGAAAGTCCTTATTAGGGTCGTCATTTGGATAGCGTATAGCCAAAGCTTTGATGAGCGCTTGTTCCCACGGGGAAGCATTTCCCGCGCGTTGAAGGGCTGCCTGGGAATAAACGAAGCAATTTTTGATAGCATTTATGCGATCGGCACTATCGAAAAGTGCCCAGGTTTTATTGTAATTGGAGCCAGAACAGAACGACACTCCCAATAAGCCATTGCGCAGGCGTTATCGTGAGCGATGGCTTGTTTGTAACATGTGATTGCTTCATCGTGGTTGAAGCAATATGTCCAAATGAGACCGCGATTGAACCAAGTCTGCGCTTCTTCGGACACGGTGCTAATCTTGCGACTCAATGACCCGAGATCATAGTACGGGTCTTTGGAAGTGCGCAAGGGATACGAATACTCGGGTCCGGTTGAGCCCATGCTTGAAAAGGTCGCCCGAATCGGCGAAACGGGTTGATGTCGATGTAGATAGCTTGATATTGACGAGATCAACTAATAGCTTAGTAAAATGAGCTCATCTGTCCAAGCGACTCGACGAGTTGTGTCGTCGGAGGGTTTTATTGCGGTGCGGATGGTTGGTTTAAAATGGGCCGAGGTGATTTGCATTGGTTGCGGGGGTCAATTCCGCGCTTGGACGCGGTTGAAGTTTGGGCTTGCCTTTAGCTACAGGCTAATAGTGATACATACTTGCTCCTACTAACTAACTAATGTATCATTCCTTCGATGTAGAAATCAAGCAGAAAAAAGACTGTGATCAAGAAATCTCTCTAATCTATCACTATCGCCGTTCGCCTCTATCTTTGTCCATCTCAATCGAAATACTCTGAATTAGAAACATAAAGTGGCATCGAGTTTTCCGACATACTGTCAGTAAGAACTGTCTTATTCGAACCATCCGCATCCATGATCATAATTTGCCCATAAGGGTTGAAATGTATCGTCGTACGTTGCCGCCTCGGCTGGAATCCCCACATTCCACTCGACAACATTATTCGACTATCGTAGTCCAGACAGCATGGGAATTGTTGGCGGCAGATGAAGTAAGTTCAGTGTAATCGGTGCCGTTGGATTGAATGATGCAAATCTCATAGTTTGAATCATATTTTGTGCTAAAGATATTCCATTGAACTATCCCCTTAAAGCTCACAACAACCTTGCCATCTCAAGCTGCAATCTCTGCTAAGTCTTGGAAGTACTAACCGAGCCCCTCGTACATAAGAATAGGAACCAGGTAGAACAGCTGCAAGCAAAGATTAATCCTGAGACTGGAAGGCCATCCATCTGTCGTACCCGAAGCGATCGTTAGGCCGGCCCACAGTACAAGCGTTATCCACCTTGCCGTGAACCGTCTAATTGTAGCAAGCCAGGAAATCCAAATTCCAAGAATCAAAACAGCCGAAAGAGCTTTATTCGTGAAACCCGTAGCAAAGGCAATAGCACAATCGTGTAAAATTGAAATCACAAGCATGACCCAGTAAAAATACCACCATTTGAGGAGAATGAAATTGCGGCCGAATAGTAAAAACGAAGAAAGCAGGAAAGGCGTGTTTTGATACCATTTTTGTACGCTGGCTTGACACTGGAGAGACAGCATCTTGTACTCATACTTCAAGGATTTCAGGAGGTGTCCTTTCCTATCATAAACTATCATTAGGTTGACGTATGCATTGAGTCGCGTCTGTCTTCCGTGGTCATCGCGTAGAGGGGACGTGGCACTCATCTGCAAGGCGCGCAAACACAATTCTTCAACTTTGCAGAGATGGCGTTTCTCTGGATAGGGAACTCCAAGATAATCTAGATCGCTTGAATGTGATTCCGCAATGTATCTGTGTATTCGAGAAAACCCATATCGCATCAAAAGCCTAGAGCCTTGAGATGGAACACTATTGTCACCCGCAGAGGAGAGACCAGATTTGCCGGTCACCCAACGACTAGCCGCTAGGTAGTATTCCGCAAGCCAGGAATACAGACGACCGTAGGTGGAATTCTGAGCCATTTTCTGTCCCATGACGTTCCACTTTATGAGTTGTAAGCAACGGTCAGCATGTGGAAGAACCTGACGGCAATCAAGTAGACTACCCCGATTGCGACATGCATATAAGGCAACGCAGTTAAGAACCTCATCTGCTTGTTCGTGAAACAATGGCCTGCGGCTGTTGACAGAGTAGAGCCATTGATGTACGCATTTATGCATGCAATACCCTGGAACCCCAGGTGTTATGCCACTAGTAGTGTCTGGTCCAACTTCAGTCAATCCATACTGGCAAAGAATTTTCATACATTTAACGAAAGTCGGAAGGTTTCGCCCAATATCAGCAAGGGGGGGTACTACCCCCCACGTCGTAGAAGTGCAGCCCAAATATCCTGGTTACTGAAAATGCACCAGTAATTCGCTAGATATGCTGCATTTGGATTTTTGCGATTGATTTCTTTCATGGTGATCTCCCATGCGACATGTACTGGAAATGTTGGCGGGGGATTCTCCGGCACCTGCTCCGACCACTGAGCCTGATAAATTTCCAGGTAGTCACGGCAGCTGATATTACTGTTCTTGATGTAGGCTCCAACACTGGAAAGGGCCTGTGGGAATCCATCCAATTCCTTGATTAGGTCATGAGCATACGGCTCTGGTCATGAAAGGTCAGAAAAGAAAGATTAAAAAAGTCACTTCCGGACTTTGAGGCACTTACCTTTGCCTAGATCTGGTCTCTCTGAAGTTCGAGACAATATCTCAAGACTCTGCTCCGTGTTACGAAGCTTTTTCACTGGTACTTCGGTTCCCAGATTCACGCCTGGATTTGTCGTGGTAATTATTATATGCCCTTGCTGTACATCTGGAAAAAATCTCGTAAGGCCACATGCATCAGATTGGTCATCGGCGTCGGCTATACCATCAACCTCATAGCAGTCATACACCAGGAGCCACTTGTCATTGCCTGATAAGCTAAGCCATCTTTTGATTGCGGGAACAGCGGCAGTGGCATTGCGCGAGTAAACGATTTTCTGAAGGGCAGATAAGGAGTCATGATCTTTGGTTATGCGATCTGCCATTTCCAGAAAGCTACAGGCGAGACGGTATTCATCAGAGGCATCGAGCCAGAATATGGCGGAGTAGTTGTGCAAATTTTGCATGATGTATGCCAGAGCAATTTGCGTTTTGCCGATCCCCGAAATACCAAGGAGAATAACAGTCTGCTTTGCGCTGTCAGGCTGGAGAACCTGTTTTATTTGAGCCATCTCCGCTTCTCTGCCAACAAAATGACGAACAGGAGGCATGTCGATTGATCTGAATCGAACATCGAATTCATCTGTGTTAGATTCTCAACTGTCAGCCAAGGACCACCACCAGTAACATTATCTGAGGTGTCGGTATAGACCTACCGTCCGTGAATGAACCATTGCCAAAAGTGATACCATCATTGTATGCATGTACTGGCACTTCACATAAAAGCTCTTTAGCAAAAGCTGCTGCTGCCAGAGCCGCGTATCTTTGCCATTCTTTATTCTTGTGTGAGTCTGCATAATCACAAATGCCACGCACTACCAAGGACGGAAAATGGTTCATCAAACCGGCAGCCTCCATTTCGAAACATAAGATGCCGAGTTGACCAGCAAGTTGATCTCGAGCTTGGGCATCCTTCATGACTTGATTGCCCGACCCAATGGTTCCATAGTGTATACGAGGTTCTTCCGAGGTCCGTGGCCGCCTGGCTACGATTCTGGTACGGTCGCATTCATCGCAGTTGGCGCGGTCACTGGCGGAATTTTCATGAGTGTAACTAGCATCATAAAGGTGATCGTGTCCCTCCGCTGGCCTGTGGAAAGAATCTGGACTTGCTTGCGTCTCTGTAGCCACTGCCTTTGAGATATATGACTGAAATCGCTCGCTGCCTTCTACCATACGGGTTGCTTGAACCTTTGCCAGTGCTGTGAGAAGCTCAGCTGGAGGCATATTCAATGTCCCGGTACGCTCGAATTGATCAGACGACATTGTTTTACCGGTATCATACTGAACAACACCGGGAAATTGTCCTTGCGGCTGACTGACGACAACATCGCCAAGCCTGATATCTGTACCGAGTGATGGAACACCGCCTCCGATGCCTACCATAAGCCCGATCCGGATGGCGGGAAATGCTACGCACATATGGGTAGCGACGACTGCTGCAGAGGTCGTTCCATAAATCCCTGCTGGCAGGGATGCGATAACAACATTATGACCATTAATTTCACCTAGCTGGTAGCAATTCTGGTCGTGGCGAGGTGTGCGAAGTGGAGGATGAGTCGCATCCAAAACACGTCTTGCTGCAGCCATCTCCAAAGGGAGGGCGCAGATCCATCCGACGGTGTAGTCATCTGGGGACATCATTATGGTTTGCAAAGAATGGCATTCATTGACCATAGAATAGTAGATAAGTATCAGAATGGTTGCGAGGGAAAGAGAGCTTGAAGATTACCTTGGGGCATTATTGGCTATTTGTTGTACATTAGCCTGCGGCTGAGATTGGTTAGAATGAAGCGGTCAGAGGGTTGCAATGCAGGAGTTACGTACGTCGCCTTGGACTCAGCATAACTTAGTTCTCATAACCAATGAGATAAGATGAGGATGATCGGGGCGCAGCAGAGTCAGGGCCAAAGCTGGAATACGATGTGGGAAGAATTTGATCTTGTTTACGCTCAGAGTCTTTGCAGTTGTTCGTAGATTAAATTTGGTATTGAACTGTCCGTTGCTTTGGGGTTTGTTTTCAGGGCGTGTATACACCTCGATATAGTGAAGTAGGAACAAGCCCCAACTTTCAAGGGATGAAGTGGTATGCGGCTCAATTCTGGGAGTCCAGGGGTTCGGGAAATTAGATTGAGCCACATACTTTCACAGCCAATTGTTTTCGTGGAGTGGGGATATACGTGATCGACATCGAGGGGATTATGTAAAATATTTGCTTCTTTTGCGTCAGCTCTTGGTCTCAAAGTTCTTTGATGATCTTGTGCACGAATATATCTCATGTTGGCTGCCGATGCATTTGGCATCTAATCCCCAGGGTAATTGAGTGCACAATCCGTCTATCTACACGAGATAGTTATCATACTGCCGTTTCTCGACATCCAAAGAATGGAAACTGGGTTGTCTCTACGCTAAGGGATCAAGGCGCAGGGGAATGGGGCTGAAAAAACACCTTGGCAGCCTCACTGTCACACAGACACAGCCTCGCCTCTATCGTAGATCAGGCGGGTACGGCTGGTTCAAATTCGTCCCCTTTGTCGGTCCCTATGACTACGGAGCTCTATAACGCCCATCGCAGGCCTACTATTTAGGCTCACCGCCCTGGAGGCCGCCTGTGACATTCACGTCCCAAACTTACTAGTGTTCCCCACACAAATTTAGACCTCGCTGATATCTTGTTGTGATTACATGACATGGCATTCTACATAAATGCACGGAAACTCTTCCGAAGGATGTTTGTCAACCCGAAATAGAACCTGGCCAAAAATGGAACCTGGCCAAAAATGGAACAGGGGCCAGAAATGGAAATCCTACTAACCCCTATTAGTCAGGTATTGAGCAATGCCTTGATTGAGTCGAAGAAATCTTCGGACAATAGAACCATCACTTTGGCCATAGCCTCTAATCACCTGATGGTAGTTCAGAAAATACGTCCTATCAATGACTGCAGATTTGGAACAGCGGAGCAGATGCATCCTGTGTTGTGAAGTAGCTTGCAAAATCGCCTTGCGCTGTTAACTTAGCTAGGAAATGCGCCTCTCCGCATACTGGACTAAAACTGGCTGCGATGTCCCCGGCCCATCAGCGTCCTGCGCGCACATCATACGCAATTCGGTCAAGATCGACGGCTATCCGCTTCCAGTTAAGTTTTTACGATCGCTCGCTCTGATCGTCTTACGCCAACGGTCCTCGATTTTCCAGATCACAGACCCCAGCCTCAAGTTCCGACCCCCGGGAAAGAATTGGCCGCAGGGCTTTTACCGACGACACCCGCGGTTGAAAGCGCGACGGCTGCGAGCGATCGATTGGAAGCGAGATAGCCGGCAGATCGAAGACAAAGTACGACACTGGTTTACCATCATTCGTCGAGAGCTGGCCGATCCGGCCGTTCTGCCGGAGAATGTGTATAATATGGACGAGACGGGGGTTCTTCTTAGTGTTCTCAGCACCCTCAAAGTGCTCGTCGGTAAGGACGATTTGAGGAAGCATCGAGGGACCACAGTGAAGCGGACGCTAGTCACGGCGATTGAATGTATCTCCGCCGAAAGGTGATTCCTACATCCTCTCTTTATCTGGCCGGCCGCCACCCATCGTAGTTCGTGGACTACTCACCCCACCCCCGGGTGGCATTTTGCCTGCTCCAAAACACACTATACAGACACAGAAATCAGTCTGTACTGGGTGGAACATGTGTTCGATCCGCAGACTCGAGACCGAGCGGGCGGTCGGCCACGACTCTTAATCAACGATGGTTTTGGGACCCATAAGTCTCTAGAGGTCATAAAGTTCTGTTTTGCTAACCATATTATCCTATGTCGTCTTCCTTCTCATAAGTCTGACAAACTGCAGCCGTGCGATGTGGGTGTCTTTAGTCCTCTGGAAACGGCATACAGGGCACAGGTTGAGCAGGCATGTCGGGCTGGAGTGAATAACATCGGCAAGCCTCACTTCACTTATCTTTATGATCGCGCCCGAAAAGAGGCATTCACATCCCGCAATATACGGTCGGCATGGTCCAGAAGCGGCCTCTTTCCATTCGATTCTTCGCGCGTTCTCCAGGAGTTTGAAGCGCCCCAGCCCGAGATACAGACCGCGGTCCGTGTGGTCCACCAAACCGTGTCCTCCAATCTCTCTTGCATTCCAAATACCTCTGATCATTTCGCATTACTAAGGAGAGAGATCGAGCAAGATACCCTCCATCGCTTCTGTACTTCGTCTTGGGTTAATACGACGGATAGGAATCCCAATGTCAGGGTCATATTGGCGCCATGGATTTGGTAGAGCATTTCTTCCTGCAGTTAAAACCAAACATTGATCATGGCCACGTTCCTCTTTTCTTTGGAATCATCGCCTGTTCAGGGCTCTGTGTTGCAGAGGGGGGGTATTTCCAGCGTGAAGACTGATCAAGGGCCAAGACCAATACGGGTCATGAAACCACCTTTAAAATTCTATTTGAGAAATTGAACTAAAAGCTACGGCCCATGGTTGTGAAATAATCAAGTCATCGATAATGTACACTTTCCTGCTGGCTTCCAGCCTACTTACTAGTAGTTAGTTCACAGTATACACCATAAAAATTGCAAAATTAACAATGGATGGCGGCTTGAAACCTTACAGCTCACGCATCTCAGTTTTCTTTGATGGTCAATCAACCTCTAAAATTTGCCGTGTTCGACAGACAAACGACGCCAAATCTATGAGGTGGGTCGTACCATAGATGCAGCTGCATAAGGTGTAGGGTGTGTACTTTGTAGGGTGCGTAAAGTGGGTCTTTCTACAAAATGAACTAGATTTTTGTAGAGGGCAGGGCGTGGATTGTGGGTCTATTCGCGAACACGATTTTGTAGGGTGTGTTCCGTAGACCATGAGTCAGAATGCAAATTCAATTACTCACTGGCGTCATGGGTATTAATATTAGTATATAAATCCTGGACGCCGAAGGTCTGACTTGCTAGAATTTCGAACATTCCCAGGGCTGCCGATCTTCTCCCAAAATTCACAATGAATTTGGCCATCCCAACTCAATGCTCAGCCCTATCAGAGCTGGGCTCTTTCTTGCGTCCTCTCTCTCAGTCACCGACGTTGATTCTTGTGTGATTGTAGAATCAGCATTTTCAGAGAGTGAGAGATGTTCCGAAGAAAAGGTAGCGATGCTTGATTCCTTTCGATCATTGTAAAATTCTGATATGTTATAGTTTCGTTATCGTCTCAGCCAGACACCGGAGCTGTCTATAGGACTTTTTATCAACGACGGGGGGAATGACCGACTTATCGGACACGTCATTGGAAACAGGATATCTGGTGGACGTGTAACTGAAGGATCTATCTTGATGCCCGAAAATTGGCGGACTCTTGCCCGCAATGAAGCATTTACTGCAAATGGAGAAGTGATTGGAAATGATCCTAATGGCACAGCCATCGCTGTCCACTCCGTTTCCATCTCCCCGGAATATCAGGGCAAGGGGGTGGGGAAGGCCATGGTTGCGGCATACATCCAATACATCAAGGATGCAAAAATATCAGCAGAGTGTATAATGTTGATTGCTCACGATTACTTGATACGATTTTACGAGAGCACAGGCTTTGAGAATTGTGGGAACAGTCACTGCCAGTTTGCTGGTGGTGGGTGGTTTGACCTGGTAAATTCCCTAATCGTACCTGGATTTTGCATCTACTGACATACAGTCTAGGTTTATAATATTTGAGGTAGCTAAACGGAAGACAATTTTCTACCAAAAACAAGCGCAGGTGAACGATGTCGTATCTGATCAAATAGTCTCTTGGGAAATCCGATGGAGCCGCGTTAGATCCTATGGGTAGGTATTGAATAGAAGTAAAGTGGTTATTGCATACTGTGCCTGTGCTTATTATAGATGGAGAATTTGTAGCATTTATGTCGTGTATTACAAGAAGCGCAACGAAAGTACCACCGTGATATTCTCCAATTTTGAGTTCCACATTAAACCCTGCTGAAAAACATCGACAATTTTGATTAGCTTCCATTTTTAACAAGTCTCCGAAGTCAATCGTCTTCGCTGGGACCTTTGACCCTCCTACTCGAGATTAAACGAAAGGTCATCAGTGACCCAAGGTAACCAAAAGAATCCAAACCCCCAATGATCTCCGGATGCTTGGAATTAAGGCAAGTTGGATACTCGATAAAATCAAGAATATGTTCTGATATAACCCTCGCCATTATAACTTTCAAAGCTTGGAGATGGGAAGGATTCAGCTCCATGGACTCTCGAATAACTTCGGGAAATATGGCCGAGCTCCAATGTGCATCCAAAAATTGGTGGAATTTGCGAGTTGCTAGAGATTTCAATAGAGCAATCCCAAATTTGTGATCCGCGACAAGTACTTCAACATTGTTCAAAGCTATTTTTTGGAATTTCTCGAGCCAGTCGACATATTTTCCGAATTGACCAAATCGACTCCATCGAAGGTGCCAGTGGTAGTAGAACCTGGTTGAAATTGAAAGATATGTCCAACTTCTCGATATTGAGTTAGATAGAGGAAAGACAAGACGCGTTCGATTGTCTCCGGTGCGTCCACTTCCAGATTGATCGATCGTTCGACAGATTCCTAAGAACATCGGTTACCGAAACAAATAGGCCAACTTTCTTTCATACCTTGAAACCCCCACAAAATGCACTTTTGAAATAACTTAATTGTGAACAAACAATAGCCCGATGAGCTTTGAAGGTGATGTCTTGACAGATAATCTCCATATTAGAAAATTACCCTTCTAAGAACAAGGCACGTGTTATGTCAACGATGCCCGACGCGGCCGACATGGTAATATTTTGAATAAAATAAGGCAGGATTCCACGTATGGATGCTACGTAGTGTGATTGAGGAAATGAAGACAACGGAATTGATGGTTGAAGAAAAAAAAGAGAATAGCTAGGAAATAAATGCATTATGTAGAAGTTTGTAGACAAAGGACTTCCCCATTCTAAAAATTAGCAAGCAACGGCCAAAAGCAACTCGGACAGGTTAGAAAAAGGACCCGAAAAGATCACGACTTGGAAATATTTTATTGAGATGAGGTTAACTCTGATCCATGGATATAAGAATTACTTAGCATAGGAGAGATCAACCCATTTATGAACAAGAGATATAAGGGCACTGTGACGCAACAAAATTCATTGAAACTGTATCGAATTAGGATGTGTGTACTTCCACAAGGCCGTCAATTGTGACATTACCAGAGTTCACCGAGCAGATATGATATCGGAATTTAGATATGAACGAGAGAAATAAACAAAATTTTAGAAAATTGATACGTGCGGCAAGGTGGACGAATGGTCTAAGACTCGGACTATTCATCTATAGAATCTTCTTGTTGATGTGTAGCTATTTGTTGCAGATGATGCAATCAGCATGCTTGATGATAATAGCCGGATCGACGACTTAGAGAACCCCGTTGAGCGGAAGGACCCACAATCCTTATTTCGAGAGATGCTTTGATAGAATTGTTGTTTCTATTGTGATAAACTATCGATTTCTTGAACTCAAGGTCGATTTTTATTGGCGTTTCAAGCCGTGCAGGACCTTAGAGACATCCATGATTAACCAGCTGCCAAAAGAATTTTCTAACGAGACCGTGAGAGATTCTATGAGGATTGGGTTTTCTGCAAAGCCCCTAGCCCCCAAGCCTCGGAAAGAGGCCGATTACCTCCAAATCTTGGCCGATGTCGTGATTTTATATCCACATAATACCATAGCTCTAGAAAGATGCAGCTAAGGTGTCTTGCACATTTCCGGGTAGCTTGTATAAATTTCAAGAACCTTGGAAGATATCTGTTTCGAGCTGATAGTAGTAGCATTGCGAGCTACAATTTTGATCATTCACTTTCCATTTTACAATAGCGACTCGGTAAAGAGCCATGGGGGTGGGGAAGGGCGCTGAAAATGGCATACAGGACCATGAGATATTGACACCCAAAGATGACCCTGGCAATGGAGCTGTCGAAGCAAAGCCCAGCGACAAGGAAATCGCCCTGGAGAAGAAATTATTGCGAAAGATTGATCTCCTCATTATGCCCCTCATTGTGGTCATCTATCTGATGAATTTTATTGATCGGTGAGTATTTGTTGGGACTCGGAGTTTCGTCGATGGCCTCTTTTTCTGAAGGATGTATAGAAACAACTATGCTGCAGCCAGATTACAAGGTCTGGAAGATGATTTGAATCTTACATCTGAGCGATACCAGGCTGGTAAGTTTGCTTCGCGTATCTCGACAGTAGCCAGCCACTGACAGATTCACAGGGCTGGGAATATTCTTCGTTGGATACATTCTCGGTAGCGTGCCGTCGAATCAAATATTGAATTATACAGGTCGCCCGTCACTCTACCTTGGTCTTACCACCATCGCCTGGGGCCTTGTTTCTGCTCTAACAGCATTGGTGCAGAGCTATGGTGGAATTCTTGGTTGTCGGCTAGCACTTGGTTTTGTGGAGGCCCCATTTTTCCCAGGTGTGCTCTTCTACTTATCCAAGTGGTACACGAAAGGAGAACTCAGCATGCGAATGTCCCTCTTTTATATCGGGTCTTTAATTGCCGGGGCACTTGGTAGTCTGATTGCGGCCGGCATTCTTCATAGCCTAGCCGGTAAGCATAGACTCCCCGGATGGCGATGGCTATACATCATAGAAGGAGTCATCACAATCGTTCTTGGTTTCCTTGTGATACTTCTACTACCAGAGTTCCCGAACACTTGGAAGGGCCTTTCGCCTGAGTTGAGACGAGTCGCCAACCGCCGTATGGCAATTGAAGCTGCTGAAGCCGATATAGACGAAGGAGAAGGGATGTCGCAGGTAAAGGGCTTCATTCTGGCAATGAAAGATATACGAGTGCACGTTCTGGCATTTGCCTTTATGTGTAAATCAGCCGCAGGAGGCTTTTCCTTCTTTTTTCCTACTTTGACTCAAACGCTTGGCTATAGCAATACCGTGTCTTTGTTGCTCTGCGCTCCACCATATGCCTTCGTGGCTCTTTGGAGTATCGCGCACTCATGGGCATCTGACCGACTGCGCAAACGCTTCTGGTTCTTGATATACCCAATGCCCGTCGTGATTATCGGCTGGATAATCTTCATGACCACTGACTCCTTTGGGCCGAGATATCTCTCGCTATTCCTGATGTTGATGATCTTTTCTATCAATGGAACGTTCTTCGCGTGGATAGCGACAAGTATTCCCCGGCCACCGGCGAAGCGCGCGGCGGCATATGCCTATATCAACGCTGTCGGAGGCAGTGCTTCCATCTGGACGCCCTTCACCTACCGCGACGAGGACAAGCCCCATTATCGGCCCGCGCTAGGACTGAACATTGCTCTGTGGGCAGTCACAGCTGCCTGTTTCATGTTCATGTACATCAACCTGACGCGAGAAAACAAGCGCTTAGACCGACTAGAAGACGAAGACGTGCCCCTGAGCCACGAAGATTTCGAGCGATTGCAAAAAACCGCCGAGATAGAGGAGAGTTGATCTTGCGACCGCGCGAAGATTGCAGAAAAACCATCGATTTGTGATTTAAATAGGTTGTGTAGACAAAAGACATTCAAAGTTGTTTCATCTAGTTCATCAATTCGTGACAATTCTATGCATGATATAGATCAATTCATCTTCTTCAAAAGTTCCTTGCCATCTAACCAGCGCTCAAGATTTTCTGCTACCTCGCGGTACCAGCCGTTGATCAGCTCTTCCTCGCCGTATCCCATGTGCGGACTCAGGAGTACCTCACTGCGTCCATCGCGACCCCACTGAGTTGTTCTCCATGGACTGTCAAGAGGGAGTGGCTCCGGGTCGAAGACATCCAGCGCAGCTCCTCGAATTGAACCGGCATTCAGGGCCTGTAGGAGTGCCGCCTCGTCGATCAAGGGACCGCGAGATGTATTGACAATCATCGCGGAGGGTCGCATCGTCGCGAGCTCTGGACCACTGACGATTCCCCGGCTACGCCCCGAGAGGACATTGTGCAGACTCACTACATCAGCGCGAGCGAAGAAGTCCGTCTTGGAAGGGGCCACCTCAAAGCTGCCGGCGGGAAGACCCTGGGCCTCGGCTTGCTCATTGGCCTTCTCTTGAGTCAAATTGGTCGACCAGGCGAGGACATTCATGCCGAATGCCTGAATGGCAATCTTGCCGACCTGTGAGCCCAGCTTGCCCAGCCCGAGGAGACCAAGATTTTTGCCCGAGAGGTTCACGCCCAAGGAGCCTTGCCAGGAGCCCGCCTTGACAGCGGCATCATCACGCGCGACATGACGGGCCAGGCCAAGGATCAAGGCCCAGGTATGTTGGACAGTTGAGTTGACCCCGGGAGGTCGTCCTTCAGTCCCGGCGACTGGAATACCACGGTCGGCACAGGCTTGGAGATCGAGGGAGAGATTGCGCGTGCCGGTTGTGAGGAGGAGTTTGAGGTTGGGGAGGGCGGCGATGGTCTTGGCGGAAATTGGGGTGCGTTCGCGCATGGCTAGGACGGCGTCAAAGGATGATAGACGTTCAATCAGCTCGGCATGCTGGACAGGATCGCGCGGGTCGAGTGTCTTGGGGAAACTGACGATCTCGATGCGGGATTGGAGGTGGACGAAGTGGGCGGGTGCGATGCCCTGGTAGTCGTCGAGGATAGCGAACTTGGGCATGGTGGGGGTGAGTGATGGGGAGGGAGGGGGGGAGAACAGTTCAATTCAGTAATTCGGAGCTAATCTATGGCAATTGAGGTGATGGAAGAGACATAGAAGTAGAAGTGAAGTTGAGTGAAGTCGAGTGACGGTGGAAAGTCGCGGTTGCTTTCCCCGCGCCCGGCTGAATGCTTATCCGCAGTGCCTTCTGCACATTTCATGCATTGCATTGTATTGCATTATAACTACTACAATACACTACACTACACCATTATACTTCACATCACATCTATTTATTCCGCAGGATTCAGTCGTCAACATCCAATATCCATCATTCATTATCCATCATCCATCATCCAACTTCCACTATTTCTTCACTGGCTGCGGATCTCGCATCATCAATGTGAACCGATCCACGCTCTTCCCTCCATACAGCGTCCGATCAAGAGCCATTTCCTCCAAGGGCTTCCAGCCATACTTGATATATACTGGATATCCATCACCAGTGGCTTCAAGATATACTCTCACCCCGAACTGGTCTGCCTGATCACAGCCCCAGCGCAGCAGCTTTGATGAAAGGCCTCGTCCTTGATATTCAGGGAGAATAGCAAGCAGATCCAGAACTAATGGGAAAATCAGTCAAACGCCAAGAATAAACAAACCATCCTCAAGAAAAAGCGAACAGTTGACTTACCCATGTCCTGCTCGGTGGTGAATCGCTTGCGCGAAGTTTCCAGTAGCTGTCGAAAGGCTGCATACATCGCCTCATTCATCGGCCGAGGGGCCAGGGCTTTGAAATCACGCGCAGCTTCTTGTGCTTTCTCACTGAGAACAGGAAGTGTCTCGCCGACAAGGGCCTTGGGGATATGCCATCGACTGTAACCAATAATATCTCCACTCGCCGGGTCCACCAGCTTCAGGACGTGCATCTCCGGATTCGCCAGATGTTTCATCGAATAGACTGCCTTGTACTCCCCTAACCTTTCATCGCTGGCCTCTGGGAAGACTTCCTGAAGCAACCCTTGATGCCGGAAGCTGATTATATTGACATTGGCCAGGCCAGGCCCGTCGGCCTCGGTGGCGTATTCAATTTGAGGATCCATTGTCGACTCGCGACTCTATCGGCAATTATCAGTCGGGTGCTTGCGTTGGACACTGATGGTAGTTAACGAGTAGTTGTACCGCCGAAGTTGAAGTTGCAATTGTGGTAAAAAGCTGAGCTGCCTTGACTCGACTTGACTCACTCGGAGTTCGGACCTCAAACGGTCAAAGACCCCCGACTCCCCCACTGTTCCGGAGACCCTCCGCCTGTCGGGGTCCCCAGAAGGAAAAGCGCACCGCGATTACCATTTTCCTATTTAGTTCCAATTCTACACCTCCCCGTCTCAATCTGGAGCAGAAATCGGCATCCCGTAAGTAGTCTCGGCTCTGTCTTTATATCTTGGATGCAGAGTCCTCTCCTCAAGGGGAATTAAAGGACTTGATGTGTTGCAATATCCACTTGGCAGTTTCTAACGCGATGGTAACATATCGGGGCGCTATTATTCGTCCGTCGAAGCTGACCCAAGATGCGTTCCTTCATCGACAATAAGGCGGTAGCACAAAGCTGCGCAGATGCCAGTGAATCATTCTCACCAGGGCATACAGTCCTTCTTAGCATCGGTACTATAGTATATGACCAGTAAATACCCAAGGTTCAACCACTTCAGGGGGTTGGTGAGGGATAAGAGAATGAACTCTCACCTACCAGCCCTGGAGGTGAGCTTCCAGCCCAGTAGGTTGAAGAGCAGCATGCCCAGGTGTATAATAGTACTACTCAATGACTTGTAGCCCGAGGACTACATGCAAATCGCCAAGGTTATTCTGCACAAATCTTTGTTGCCACGCGAGAAAGCGGGACAATCGATCGCTTCAATCTAGTGACAGAAAAGCAAGGGACAGATATTAGCCACTGGGAAAACGGATTATCTTGATCAGCCCCGGCGACGCCGTGATAATTTTCAAATTGGCAAAAATAATTCGTGAATTGATGACGTTGAAAGCACATGGACCTGGAGTGGAGGAAAATGTCCCGAAGCAGCTGAAGCCACGCACATGTGATACAGGACAGCGAACGGCGATAGAAAGTGGGTATTGAATTAAGTCATTTCTCAACATCAGTCGATCAGCGGCCAATTGCCTAGGTGATCGACTCGGTGTTTTACGTAGTCGGTTAAAGTTTCGGCCGTTACATCGCATGCATCGGGATCGCATGCCGAGGGTTCAGCCACTGCCACCGATTACAATTGCTTCAATATTCAACTCTCCCCGAAAACCGAGTGATCTATGTGCGGTTTGGATTTTGAATCTTGATTTCAATACCCAGCAAAACATGCAAATTGATCGTCAAAAATCACCGGTTGCATCTTTTAGTCATACCCATACTCCTGCCCACTCTCTTCTCCAGGCTGCAATACGAATCCTGTGGATTCTATCTCCACAGCACGCCCTACTACCCCGCACCAGCGCAGTTTCGATTGTATAATGAATTCCTCGAGCTGGAAAAACATCGTACCACCGAGAGGAATTTTCGAATTGCACAGAGTAAAAGTCGCCGTGGCCACGAGTGGGATCTCAGCCCCAGCAGCCCCCGGAGATGTGACCTTCGGTTTCTCCAGCACCACATCTAGCACCACCTCCAACTTCTCACTGTCTCAATTCATTTACTCCGTGTATCGGATTTCATGTAGATCCGATCTCACCGGCCCGGGAGTCTGCTTATTCCACGGCAAGGTTTCGTCATAAAGCCTCTAGTCGACGCTTATTCTTATCATCGGAGACATCCGTTCGGGTTGAACCTCTCTCGCTGGCCGTCGCGGGAACGCTAAATCCAAACAACCTTTCCTATGTAGGTCCCTAGCTGTGCCGACCCACCAGGAATCGCCCGAATTTGCTCTTTTGGTCATTCGGTGGATCCGCCAGCAGCTGTACCGGCCCGGCGAGAGCGGAGGGACCTGGGGCCCCGGAATTTGCACCCCGCGAAGAGCTGGATACTTTATGGGGTATTGCTCCCCCGGATTGTTTTATATCTGTAATTCTCCAGGTCCACATTAGAATCTCATTCTACGATTTCCCTATCTCTTCTTGCTGTCGTTGCGCTTGATTTCGCCCCGATATGGTTTCAGATGACGAGGTTACTGATGCGCACCATCATGCCGGAATAGACAAAAAGCAAAATGACGACTCAATATCGAAAGACCCTATCAGTGGGATTGAGAATGAATATGATTACGATACCGAAGAGAAACAGGTAATCGGCGAGCAGCGCCAATTGCCTGACCTGCAGCGCAGGCTTCGAAGCCGCCATTTGCAGATGATTGCCATTGGTAAAAGCCACGCCCTCCATTTACCGCGATGACTTGCTAACGATCATATACTAGGTGGTACAATCGGAACGGGTCTATTTATCGGAAGTGGAACAGCCATTTCATATGCCGGACCTGTCGGAGCACTCATCGCTTATATCTTCGTCGGCTCCATCGTCTTTTCCGTCATGACAGCGCTCGGAGAAGTTGCAACGTTCTTACCTATTCCTGGAGCTTTCGCCTCTTATGCCACTCGATTGGTGGATCCAAGCCTGGGATTCGCAATGGGCTGGATATATTGGTTTTCTTGGGCGTCGACCTTTGCGCTCGAATTGGTATTTCCTACCCGCTCCCTGCTAGTCATCCACTATGGATTGGTTTCGGCGTTAGATACTCATCGCTAACGGAATTTTTCAGACAGCGACAGGATTAATTATAAATTATTGGAATGATACCATTCCGATCGCCATTTTCATCGCCGTTTTCTTAGTGGTTATTATCTTATTGAACCTTCTCCCGGTCAGCTTCTTTGGTGAAACCGAATTCTGGCTCTCAAGCATAAAGGTCTTGACCGTGATTGGATTCATGATTTTTGCTATCTGCATGAACGCAGGAGTCGGCAAAGAAGGATATATTGGCTTCCGCTACTGGGTCGACCCAGGGCCGTTTAACAATTACCTCATTGAAGACAAACCTGCCCTAGCTAAATTTGTTGGGTTCTGGGCTGTCTTGATTAAAGCTGGATTCTCATACCAAGGCACAGAATTGGTCGGTATCGCTGCCGGTGAAGCGGAAAATCCGCGCAAAACCATACCCTCCGCTATCCGAAAGGCGTTTTTCCGAATTATATTCTTCTTCATCTTCACCATCTTCTTCATCGGTATCGTCGTTCCATCAAACGATGATCGCCTGACTGCAAGCGAAGGCAGCGGAGCCAGCGCCAACAACGCAAACGCCTCGCCTTTTGTTATCGCTGCTAAGCGCGCCGGCGTCAATGTATTGCCATCGATTATCAACGCTGTCCTGCTCACTGTGGTTCTGTCAGCTGCCAATTCAAATGTCTACAGCGGCAGCAGAATTCTAGTCGGCCTCGCGCACGAGGGCTTCGCACCCAGGGTGTTCGTCAAAACCACCAAATGGGGTGTTCCCTACTGGAGTGTCCTGTTCACATCGGCCTTTGGCCTGTTGGGCTTCTTGAACCTGTCCAATGCTGGAAGCACTGTATTCGAATGGCTCATGCAGATAGCCGGATTGGCTGGATTTATCACCTGGGCATCGCTCAATATTTGCCATCTGGCATTCATGCGCGCATTGAAAGCCCGAGGAATCTCGCGTGACATTTTGCCATACAAGGCACTCTTCCAGCCATATTTCTCATACTACGGCCTCTTCTTCAATGTCTTGATTATCATCACGCAGGGATTCACGGCCTTTATACCGAGCTTCAGTGTGACCGACTTCTTCATTAACTATCTCAGTCTCATTCTTTTCACTTTGCTTTATGTGGGCCACAAGATTATTGTCCGTCCCTCGTTTGTGAAGCCGATTGATGCCGATATCGATACCGGTCGGGTTGACCTTGATTGAATCATGATAGAAATAGAAATACACCTCATTTACTAGAAAGTCTTTGCATCAATACATAGTACGGGGAATCAATTAGATTTCGAACTCCCAGCAACGTGTCAATTTGAACTCATGTGTTTCGGCAAACGAAGATTCTACCAAAATATCTCTAGACTTAAAAGCACTCTCATACCAGCAAAGGTGCTTCTTCTAGATCTGCAATGTCATGGAGGGGTGGTATAAGATGAGAACTCGCCCGGGCACGAGACACATACGTACCGTGACGTGTATACTTCCAGGTGCGAGTGAGTGTGATAGAATTGGGGATTCCCCGCAGTACAGGATTTGCCACCGTACCCACCAGGCTCGCCTGTGATGCTTCACCCCTAGATGTTTCTTTTCTGCTCAAATCCGGTGTCTGAAACATTCAAGCCAAATGATTTTTTCGGCCTTGAAAGTGACCGAGTACCGACACACGCTGTAGTATCTGTTGAAACGGAGCTTTCTTCGGATTTACGATTTTTCATTAACAACCTTGGAAGTGTTCGGCTTCCGGGACTAAAGCCGTGTTCTCGGTTATCTCCGACGCGCTCACCGTTCAACCCAACGAACTTCTTACTTCACAACACCTTCTTCTTCTTCAATTTTACATTTATTTTACACGCCCTAGCTCCATCAACATAACGAATCGACCTCAACACTTCCAACCTTTTGACATCCCCAACATGAGCAAGCTCCTTGTTGTATTCGGTGCCACCGGCCAGCAGGGTGGTTCCGTCATCGACTTTGTTCTAAACGACCCCGAGCTCTCGAAAGAGTATTCGCTACGTGCAATCTCTCGGGACTCTTCAAAACCTGCTGGACAATCTCTCCAAAAGAGGGGTGTGGAGGTTGTGTCTGCCGACATCGACGACTCTCAGTCCCTTCACGCTGCAGTAGCCAACGCCCACACTGTTTTCATCGTGACTACCACGGTCTACGATCAGCATCTCAAATCTCGCGAATTTCGGCAAGGAAAAGCAGCTGTCGACGCATCGGTCGCTGCTGGTGCCAAATATCTCATCTTCAGCACGACCCCAGCATGCGAGCGCCTGTGGGGACACCCAGTCGACTCCTTCGATTCCAAGGCTGAGATCGAAAGCTATATCCGCGAACTCCCGATTGGCAGCGCATTCTTCGCGCCAGGAATGTTCATGCAGAACTTTCTAACCAACCAAATCCCTCGCCCACTCCCCGGACAAGAAGGCGGCGAGCTAACGTACGCTATTGCAAATTTCATCTCCCCAGACGCTCCAATTCCCCTCATCGAGGCAGCAAAGGATAGCGGCAAGTACGTCGCTGCTATTCTCGCCGCGCCAGAGAAATACGCCGACTCAACATTATCCGCGGCAACTGGTTTCTATACGTACCGTGAAGTCGCGGAGATCATCACCCGCGTCACGGGCAAAAAGACAATCTATGCCCAGATCCCACAGGAGCAGTGGGTTAGCTATCTTCCCCCCAACTACCAGCACTCAATGTCAGCTATGATGTGCTGGGTTGAGAAACCCGGGTACTATGGACCTCAGACGAAGGAGTTGGTTGACTGGACCGTAAAACAAGCAAGGGGCAAACTGACCAGCCTCGAAGAATTTATTGAGGAACACGCGAAGGAGATTTTTCCGCAGTAGGATTTGTCTTTCAATTCTACCTTGTTAGAGATTTTCCAGTAGGGTTGTTTGTCAACACTCGCAATGTCGATATCCCCGGTCAATGTTTTCAATACAAAATCAGCCAAGGTTTATATCAACCAAATTTTTATTATTACTAGTATTGGTCTTATTCGAAACATTAAGCTAAGACCTCCGATATATCAAAATATATGGAAAGTGCCCAGAGCTCGCCGATGGAAATTATAGCATATAGGCATCCTAGTACCTTTACTAAGAAACCAGTCGGCGTTTAATGAAATCAACCACATCTTGATCATACTTCTTCATATAAGTATGATGCGCGAGATTGTCGTCATCGGGGAGTGGTGAGCTGGAGAAATGTCAGCATTCATTGATGTATTCTCATCCGAATTTCAAATCGATTTGTATAACATACCAACACTGGTTATCGCCATAGTCGCAATAGCTATGCAATGAGTTTGCGAATGGATCGCACGACGAAGGGTTCAGGCGTGGGAAGATCTGTCGAATGATTCATTTAGATTGCGGTTCTCGTTAGTTCTTAGATGATGATAAACATACTCCGAGGCCAACCGAGCAGTTCCCGGTATTCCAAGGTTGGAAGGGAACGAATGTTTCATCGCCGTAAACAATGTTCGCAATGACTAGAGATGTTCATTAGAGCCACAGAACTGAATGCCGAATTTTAGTCAAGAACTCACCACTCGTGTTGTATGATGGGTCAAGTGGTGGAACTGGGATCAACAGAAGAGAGCTTGTTCCGCAAAGAGCTTCCATGGTAAGCACAGCACCCTATTTTAATGTGTAAGCAGTTATCGTCCCCCTCCCCCTCATAATAGCGGGGGACATACCAGAGAGTATCCGACAAGTGCCAGTTTCGATTTCGGGCAGCTTTTCACATAATCCGCAACATAACCCTGCAACATTAGAGCTCCAGAGGAGACTGCGGTGAACTTGTCTTCGGGATCATGATCAAAGGGAAAGCCAAGAGTTGTTGACCCGGGAATTTGGTCGATGATTTTGTCAGACAAAGCCTTCATCACGCTTAAATCGTTACCAGGACCCTGGCCCCTGGAAATGATGACATGGACGCCGGAGGCACAGTCTTTCGAAGGGACAGTTTGTGCGTGGGTTTCCTGGACCAAACCGACCAAGGCAACGCCAAGGAGAGCCTGGAATAGCTTCCAAGTGAACATTTTTGGTCTATCAGAAGTGCGGACGAATTGAGATTGGATGAGCAATGCTGTTCGAAGTGACCGTGTGAATAAATTCTTGGCTCCGGGTAGAAGTGGAGGAGTTTGTGCTCAAGCCAAATGATCCTCTCAAGTGATGCGAAACTCCTTTTTTTGTTTTTTTTTCTTCTGGACCTCCACGGCTCACGACAAGACTGGCTTGCCTCAAGCTGGCTGGCTGGGATATGGCCCGCCGACCTCTTCAGGGGGTGTTCATTGGACCCTGAAGGAACGTGTGAAACTTTAAAGACCATGTGTGGATTACTTTAAATGCTGAGCTGAGAGATTGCGTCGAATCCCAGGGCGGGTTGAGCTTCAAAGCTTGGAATTAAAATTGTGATCGGCAGGGCATTTGTTTATGCGGAAGCTTACTCGTACTATCTCCTCGCATTTATCCATCCCCTTCCAGGATACCAAACATCAGTAGTACGAGTACTTTCAAACAGGCGCAGTTGAATTTAGTTATCTTGTTTCTAGTTAATTTACCTGGAGTAGAAGCAAAATGGTTTGTAGTAGGAACGACTAGACTCGGTTTTTGCATTCGTCGAGATAGTTCACACAGGCAATGCGGGAAAAAGAAAACACGATTTAACGCCGCCTGTTGAGTCTCATTTATTTTGAGGATGGTGGAGAGATGGAGCTGTTTGGATTTCTTTCAAAATAGACTCGAAAATAATAAAAAATAAAGTTGTTGCTCTGTAGGGCTGTTTCTACCATCAATCCCGCTGGTCGCACTTCGTGCATAACCTGCCATAGTAAATCCAGTCTAACCTCCGCACTAGAATAGTACGAGGCACAACTCTAGCCGAATTATAAAATATACGCGGCGAATTGAAGGTTCTGATACTATGTTAATATTTATGTAACGGGAATCTAGAAAATTGCGATATTACACCGCACAAAATAACTATATGTTGCTTGACTACAATGCTCTGGCTTCTTAGTGCCGCCTGACAACACGGTCCACCACGTGTCGGGCAGAGGCCTAGACCGCGCCTTGACTATTACCTGTAGGCTTCAGTGGTAGTAAAATAGCATATTATCGTGTGGAATTGAAGAATTTGATGCTACTATAATCACATCCTGGCGATTGTGAAAAGTCGTGACGCAAGTCAAGCATGATTATGTCAGCGGGTATCGGGGCTTCTTTGCAGGGGCCAAGAAGATTCATTAGCACTAGTCAACGAAATGATGGAGTCGTTCTCTGGTTCAATGAATCATCTTGGAATGGAGAGAGAAAATCCTGTTGTCAGATCGGAGAAGTATTGGTCGTGGAGTGCGATACCCAAAGCTGTTCCGGAACCCCGGCTAAATAAGCTTTGTGGCAGAAGGAGAAACCAGAATCGCCATGGTACGCGCACAAAAGTTGTGAAATATTGTTGGGAGCCTAGCATTATCGCCGCATGCGGCTCAGAAGAGTTTGATTATGATGAAATTGACTGGCATATGGCCAGTATCAAGCTGTCGCTCATGTCGACAAGTAATTCGCTCTCTACTTGTCAAGGTGCTGCGTATAAATCAGGTACATCCCTTGAAAACGACTTAGAAAATTTTCCCTTCTTGCAGATCTTATACACCGGGTTTTTAAAACGTCTATTCTAAAGCAAAATGCGTTTCGGATCACAGATCGCCTGGCTTTTTGTCGCCGGAGGCGCCCTCTCCTCGGCGGCCAGCAGCTCCAGCTGCTCTCTCACTTCTAGTGACACAGACGTCCTCGAGTACACCTGGGCACTGTCGAACTTCCTGAACTCGTTCTATCAGACCGTTCAGCTCAATCAAAGCGTCGCCTCCTTGGTGTCCAACACCACCAGCGGCTCTAAGGCTCTCGCGAACCTCGAAGGCATTGTTCACGCCGACAACCTGACTGCCGAGGCCGTGAGAGAGCTCGGCTCCAAGGCTCCCGACTTCAGTGAGCCTTCATGCCAATACACCTACCCTCCTATCAGCAGCATTCAGTCGTTCGTCAAGTGGGCCTACCAATTTGAGTCCACCCTCAGTGGCGCTTTTATTGGCGCTGCTGGCTACACCCAATCGCCCGAGGTCGCCTTTTTACTTGCTCGCCTTGCCGCTGAACATTCCGCTCACTCTACCTGGATTGGTAGCCGTGTCAACTCTTCCATGTTCGAGGCAAATGCCACTTCTTTGGTCCCCGCATACGCCCCTAGCCAGGTCCTTCTGAAAGCAAACAATACTGGTAGTCTGGGAACGTACCTCGGCGACTGTGTTTCTGCTCCAAAGAACCCATGCGGTGTTCTTCAGATTGGTCCGCTGGAAGCGAATATCACTTCCAGCTCCGCGGCAGGCTCGTCCAGCTCTGCGGCAGGCTCTTCCACCCTCTCTGGGCAGCAGTACCTCTGCCTCCGCCACTGCCACTGCCACCTCGTCTTAAACGTAATAGTGAATATAGGCGTTTGGTTTTAAATGCTGATATTATGGTGGATTTGGATAATAAACTATCGAGCGATGGGATTGGGGTTTCAACATCTATATAATAATCAGAGGTCAGCCCGAGTGTGACGAACTGGGATAATAAACGACTAGACTGTTGGAAGGAGAGGGATATTTTGTACTAGTATTTGGGAACAGGTAATTTTCTTGCTGATCTCAAGCAATTGAAGTGTTAAGAATCAATATCTCATTATGCCCACATCGAGTGAGGGTTTTAACTATAAACATTTTTGCGGTAAAGTGCATCATATGTACAGAGCATTCATCGTCATCCCGTTTTGCTTTTTGCGAGAACAGAATTTTATTCCGCCCGCTCATTTCCCTCAACAGAACTTCCAGTAGACCCCTCGCTAGTTGCAATTGTAGCATTTCCATGCCCCTTTCCTGCTTGCACAGAAGTCAAGTCCTTAGCAGCCTCGAAACTAAACTGGGGACCACGGTACTCGGTTCTTCCGCGGATAAACCACCAGATTGAAACCAATGTCATCAAGCCGACAGTGATGACGCTTGTATAGTTCATGTTCTGAGCGGTGACAGGCATCACCTGGGGAAAGCAGAAGAAAACCACGGTGACTAGAATGTAGGCCAAAGAAAGGATATTGACTGCCATTCCCAGCTTTCTTCCCATGAAGAAAGGCCCAGGTACAATGTTGCGACGGCCGGTCAAAACATGGGGCAGAATGGCACCAAAATAGGACAGAGTGCTCAGCACAATGAAAGACGAGATGAGGGCCTGGAAAGCCGTGGTACTTCCAACGTAGATACAGCCGAGGCATGTAACTAGTGCGCTCATGGCGCACGTAGCACGCACGGGGCAATTCAGGGTAGGGTGAACCTGGGCAAAGTAGTTCGAAAAGGGTGTTGCGCCGTCACGGGCCAAGCTCCACCACATTCGTCCTCCGGTAACAAAGGTGCCGATGAGAGTCGGGAAAGTAGCCAGGAATAACACTGCAATAAGACCAATGGCACCGGTAGTAGTTCCTGTTGCTTGTCGGTAGATCTCAGCAGTAGGGAAATATCCCGAGCTGCTATCAAAAACAAGATCAATATCTTGGATCGAATAAAACAAAGCGATAAGGTAGATGAAGGAGGTGCTGAAGGCTGTCAACATTTGGAGCATGATGCCCTGAGGCACTTTGACCTGTGGCTTGGGAACTAAATAGTATGAATGGTTAGCATTTCCATTCAATCGGATTATATAAAACAAATTAATTGGCATTGAACTCACCTTCCTCTGACAAATGGCTGATACAGTCTGGAACTCCAACAGCGAATGCAGCGTTGAGAAGACCCGTCATAAAGCAAACTCCGTCAGACCAGCCACCGGTCATGTTATAGTATGTCTTCCATACTTGGGTGGAGCTGGCATGTGTCTTTGGCATGGCTGCAAGGACCACAATCGTGGCAAAGAGTCCGCACATAGATAAGATCAGAGCGAGTCGGTTGATCATAGGAATGTACCTATTTCCGAGGCAAACAATCGCACAACATGTCCAATTGACAATTTGAAAGACGATGAACACCTGCCAGGAATTCCAGGTAATGTCGTCGTGACGAAGCAGGTACATAGCCACCGCTTCGTTGCCCAACATGGAACTCATTGACGAGGCCGACAGAAGCCAGGCACAGGCGTTGAGATATCCGGTGAAGAATCCAGCAGCGCGACCATGCTTGCCACTCAACACGGTCGACCAGTAGTATACTCCGCCCGCGGAGGGCATCGAGGATGCCAATTCAGCCAACGAGGCCGAAATAGCCGTGTAGAAAACGCTGACGAGTATCAATCCATAGAGTAGAGCCATCGGGCCCCCATTCATGAGCGCAGTCACGATTGTACCACCGGTAGCGGCCCAGGAACTAATTGCACATATCCATGTCAGTCAAGATTGGGAACAATGAAAGAACAAACCAACTTACTTAGCGATCACAATTCCCAAGCTTGTTACACTCCATAGTCCGAAATTCCGCGACAGCTCCTGCTTGTGACCCAGTGCAGCTTCCTGGCGCACTGTATCTATCTCGGTGCTATTTCTGATCCCATTCTCGCTGGCGCTGGCCTGAGCCGTGTTCTTCTCAGTGACAGCCATAGTGTCACGTATGATTTCAGTTAACGGCAAGTGGAAATGAGAAAGAATCAGGAACAAGGTGAAAGAGAAACGAAAGAAACTCAACAGACAAAACACCCATGCCCCACCAACTAGCACGGATAGATGTCAAACTTCTTTTGAATACCCCTTTCGGGGCATAGACGGGCCCATCATTTACCACGCGAGTTTCCACGCGAGTTTCATGCTCAAGGAAATTCCCCGAGTCCAATTCAGTGTTAATACATTTCATGCGCGAGAACCCCTATTCGCCGAGCGTAAGTGGATACATGCAGCAGAACGATCGGGAGGCTGCGATACATTCTCAAACAATCAAAGTTTTCGCCGGTATCCAGCCCGGGCATCGCCTGCACTCAGTTGAAAGTGAAAGGTCCGCGGGCTCCGGTTTAACCAAAACCAGACCCCTCTCTGGCGATGGACCCATTTATTAGCCTTCAGGGCATTGGGTGAAACCGGCACCTCGATTCCGATCGTATCGATTTCATGGTTCCAGATCTCCATCACGAGAAAAAGACGCGAGGGACTTGACCCTGCATCAAAATGTGGCTTATTGCTTCACAAAATTGACAGCGACATGGAATAAATTAGTGGCTGTCGGCAATCGCCGTGACCTGCCGTGGCGAAGTAAAATAGCCCCCACGACTTAGCGTGCTTGGAATGCACCTAACGAGAAACGAAGGATCGAGAGCTCATCCAGGACCAGCGACGCCCTATATTTATCTCCACTTGTGGATCTTGCCGTCAAAGATCGGCGGGTCACGGCCCCGCTGAGTTGATTAATCTTTACCCAATTGATGCGAAATATACGCAAGAAGGCGAAAGAACACATTTCGATGATTCGAAACGTCACAGAGAAGGGAAAAGTGCTTTGCATGTGGGTGTGCAGTGCAGGGATGTATCGCAATGCGTGAAATTGGGGTTTGTTTCTGACTTTTCTATGAGTCTATTTTGTAAATCCAATTGTTCCTATTCCCATGGTCAGGCAAACCCTCCGAGGTCTCGGCTATTCCTTCATATCCGATAAGTCTCAGGCCTCAGCGCTTCTTGGCCGCGCCGATCAATACCCTTATAGGTGGCTCATACCATTCGATGCTTCCGATGGAAGTTAATCAAAGCCGTAAGCCAATGAGACCCGTGCACTTCTGAACCTGAACGAACCTCTCGATCCTTGGGTAAGTGGAAGTTTCCCGCCGCCGCCGCCAAACTCAATTTCCTTCTGGAGGGTATCCTGTGCTGTTTCTGACTCTCATTCTTCAAGAGCCTCCGATGGAAGGATTGAAGTCGACCCTTGTGATTCTGTGAGGTAGGCGACCGAGGACAGCAATAGTCCCATCATCAGAATGGGAAATGTTTCGCCCACTCCGCACCAGCTTTTGGTGGAAGCGGCGATATTTTGGAGTATTGGGACGGTTCTATACGTCGGCCGAATGTGCGTGTGATGTATCTTTGTCTAGAAGATCCCCCTCGATGCAATGTGAGCAATATGCTAACTATGCTGCGTACAAATAGGATCTCGCGCTTATTGACCAACATGTCAATACAAGGGATATCATGTGCGCAAATTCACTTAATTTCCATCGTGTGGTCGGGCTTGACTGACATGTCTCATCGCACATTCTAGGGGACGACTATGTTATGACAGCCACCTTTGTGAGTTCGTTCCAAGGTTTCTGCGATCAGATTTGTGGCTTTGGACTAATCTCAATTTAATCTCAATAGCTTTTCTATACGTCTCTCCTCGTATTGATCCAAGTATCGGCAAAATATGCGACCAATTTGATGGATCCGGACGAAGCCGAGCAAATACTCACAGACCCGAAACAAGTCCACGACCGCATTCTCGGAAGCAAAATCGTGATTGCGCTGGAACAATGCATGCTCTTTTCCACATGGGGGGGTCAAGACCTGTCTGTTGATCCTCTACTGGCGGATTACCCAGAACCTGCCGTCTAGACTCTATGTCAAGATTCTGTCTGTTTATGTAGCGATTGGCTTCGCTGTGATTATGATCACCTACTACGCCGTGTATTGCAGACCCTTCTCGCAATATTGGGCGATGCCCGTGTCGAATGCGCAGTGCGCCACGTACCAGCACTACTCAATCACACAGGCTGTCTTCAATATATCATCTGACGCCTTCATGTTCGCCATTCCGATACCACTTATCGTCAAGGCCAAGCTCCCGCGGCGAAGGAAGCTCCTGTTACTTCTAGTAATGAGCTTGGGACTGTTCACGATCATCGCGGCCATTTTGAATAAATATTTCAATTTCGCGTCGCCCATGACCACCGTCTACCAAATATGGTATATTCGCGAGGCTAGCACGGCGATCTTCGTCGCGAATATGATGTGCTGGTGGCCGCTTCTTCGAAAGATATTTGGCATGAAAGCTTTCCAGTACATCACTACTCCACGGCGATCATATCGGAAGACCGATGAGAACAATACCCGTTCGAAGACTGCTGGCTCGCACTCTGGGCGCGGCTCATTTTCGGTTACTCGGGCCTTCCATCGGACGAAGGAATTATCACTCACTGGACACAGCCATGCGGGGCGGTCCAGTCAAGAGGCGATAAATCGGTCTACGGGGGATCTTTCCGGTGATATAGATCGGCCAGAAATACCACTTCAAATTTGGGGGAAAGGCAACGAGAGAGGTGGTGATGTTGAGAATCTTGCGATTCAGGAAGCGACCGTGAAATTTGAAAAGGCGAGTGATGAGATAGACAGTCCTCGTGGTGATGGAATCTACTGCACTACTGAATTTAACATCCGCACCGATATTAGAGAACGGGATTAGCTTCATGTGGATTTAATATGAATATAGACTTGCATAATAAACTTGAACACTTTCTAGAGATTCTCATTGAAAAAGTACATTACATGTAGTTCCAAAATTTCCAAAATTGAATTCCGTTTGATATCCATAGATGGAAAAGCAAGCCTTTTCCAAGCCGTGAGTGAGCTAGAATACTCCCTTTCGGTTAATGGGAGGTGCTGATGGTCCTCTTCTGTTCTCGTCGGTCGTGCACATTGCTATATAGCTCTGTGGGGGGGGAGTCTTCCAAGGCTATCGTTACAAAATTACAACTACCATAACCACTCTTAATAAAGTTGCCTATCAATTCCAGAAGGTATTGATGCATAAAGTAAAAGTCATAATATCATTCGAATTCTTTTCCCTTGAGCATTAGCAAATGCAATCGCCCCGGGTCTATGGAATACATCTCCAGCGCACAACACTGAAGCACATGCAATTTTAATTGAAAAGAGCCATTTACAGGTTGGCGAACTTAACACCAGCCTTCTTAGCAGTGAAGGTAGCAATGAGATCCATCAGAGGAGGGGAGAGAGCATCATAGGTATTAAGGCCGTTAGCCTTGAACTTGGAGCGAATAGCATCCATACCCTCGGGGTTATATCCCTGCTCGATGATAGAAGAAACGAAGCCAGCGAATTGAGGCTCTTGCCAGCCCTTCTGCTTAGATAGCTCGGCGTGAACGAAGTCCAGGCCGTGGAAGGGGTGAGCCTGTTCGATGCGGCCGTACATGTGGACGCCGCAGTCAGAGCAGGCGTGACGCTGGATGACGGCGGAGGGGTCGACGATCTTGAGCTTGGAGGCGTTGGCCTCGACGGAGACGTTATCGCGGGGAATGACGCCGACGATGGAGAAGAGGGCGCCGGCGGGCTTCCAGCACTTGGAGCAGCCGCATGCGTGGTTGTGGGCGATGTTGCTCTTCAGAGCGACGACGACTTGGTTGGAGGGGCAGCGGCATTGGAGGGTTCCGCCGGGGAAGTTGGGGTCGCCCTTGGTGAGGCCGTTGTCGATGAGAGGGTGGATGGAGGCCATTGTGAAGGGTGGGAAGTTTGGAAGATGAGAACTGGAGAAGTAGAATTGAATTGCGCGTAGGGTTATATATATAAACAAATGATTTTACTTTGTACCTGGATACAAAGCTGACATGCCCCCAGTGGAGTGTAGTATGTACAATGCAATGAAGTGCAGGGCAGCACACTCCAGTCCAGTCGGAAAGCTCCATACCCCTCATGAGGGGAACGGGCACGGCGCCGGGGTGGAGACGAACCGGAGTCGAGCCGGGTTGCAGGATGCACTGGATTGGAGCAGAACGCGCTGATAACGCGGACACATTCCCGATGCTCCCGACCTCCCCACGATTTCGGCGCTGGCGTGATCCCCCCCCCAGTTGCGGAATTGCGGGGTGGGAACTAAATCGAGTAAGAGAATCCTCAAGGATGAGGGGAGGAAGGTGGTTCTCCAATTGATGGTTTTTCTTTATGGTTCCATGCTTTGCGGATGATCTTGTCTGGGACGGGTCATGGTTGTTAACATCCTAGTCGGGGGAAGAATCTGGACTAGGTGGAGAAGATTGAAATGAAAATGTCATGGCCGACGAGAGTATTTTCGGACCTAAAACCCGTCCTGGAGATTGGGATCCGGTCAGTTGAGATTGTTGAATGTTTCGCATTCATGGCAAGCATGGAGGGAAGAACAACGACAGAACACGAGTCAAGTGCAAATCGAGAATGCGCGACTCGGCGATTGAATGCTTTATAGGCAAGTGAGGATGCCCCAAAGGTCCTCTCAAAGTTCAACCTTGGTGGAAAATGGGCACTTATCCGGGCTTCCAGTGGAAGAAGAGAAGTGAAGAGGTTGAAAGTTGAAAGAGGACAGGAGAAGTCACGCCTGGGGAATTAGGCAGGCATGGGTGTTTTTTGGTGAATCAAAGGAAGGAGCGACTGCTTATCTTATCGGACACGCGGGGATGCACGTGGGGTTCCTTCCCTTTGAAGACACAAAAATAAAACAAGGCGGAGGAAGGAGCCGGCCTGCACTGCACTATTACAACATTACCCAGCGATATCCACCTCAGACAGCTTCTTCTTGTCTCTTCTCTCCATTCTCTTCTTTTCTTCCTCTTCTTCCTCTCCTCTCTATTCTCCCCAAAATGATGCGCTCTCGAGAACCACCGCCAGCAACACAGCAAACACCAGGGAATGACGTCACGAGTCACCAAGAAGTCCAGGCCGCGGGCACCATCCAGGTACGCGATTTGCGGTACAGTCGGTATAAACGATCATTTTTTGATTCTTTGGTCGGATAGCGCGTGTATCGGGGTTATCGAACTCGACGGGAATTGCAGGGCAACAATCTCACTGCTGCCAGTCGGTGGATGGAGGTGAGAAACCCCCCCTCCCCTCTCTCTTACGGCACCATAAAGCTGATTGATATTGAACTATATCGCAGAAAACCCACCAACCATCCATCCAATATCCCGAGAATTCAGCACCCACTGAATGTGACTCCGCTCCAAGTCCGGCGCGCAAAAACTGGCAACGAGCGGTCAGCGTAGCCATCCAAGCTGGGGCTACCGGTGACTGTACACCATCGGCTCCACTGAGGAGAAATGATAACTCAAGCCACCGGGAGGGAAAGCGGGAACTGACAAAAATAATGGACCTGCCATATTTCCTCGAAATGGTCGATGGGAAACACAGGCATGGGAGCCACCTTCGTGCTTATCATGCAGTCTGGAAGGATTCCCCTTCGAGCGAGAACTTCTTCTACTGGCTTGATCATGGCGAGGGGAAAGACGTGGAAGTTCCACGATGCTCCAGGGAAAAGCTTGAGAGAGACCAAGTCCGCTATTTATCCGCGGAGGAGAGACTGAAGTATCTGGTCAAGGTGGATGATGCCGGAATGTTCCGCTGGGCGAAGAATGATGAACTTGTTCAAACGAATAGCAAGAGATTCAAGGATAGTATTCAAGGGGTTGTTCATGTACAAGACGGTGCCATGCCATATAAAGGAAACATAGAGACATCGAGTCCACATTCCCCTTCGCCATCCTCATCCCCATCCCCACCAGCAACTTCTTCATCAAGTCCTGCTGGGGATAAGGAAAACGACGACCCACGACTATCGACACGCGAGGACTATGAGCTGAACAAAGCGGTCAGCAAATTCTCTCGCATTAAGCCCACTGTCATATATGATCACTTTGCTGGGAGCTTTTCGACAAAAGACGACATGTGGATATTTGTCGGTAACTTTCTCTATTGCGATGAACATGGCTGACGTTATAATGCAGGTTGCCGATACATCATTCCGAATCTACATCGGCATCAAAGAGCCTGGTGCCTTCCAACACTCCTCCTTTCTCCGCGGTGGACGGATTTCGGCAGCTGGGATGCTCAGAATCAAGAATGGTCAGCTACGCAGTCTGGCCCCACTAAGGTAAGTCTCTCTCCTTCCAAAACAATCAACTCCTTCGGCGGTTCATGATACTCATACTGCCCATAGCGGACACTATCGCCCTCACTTAGCCAACTTCCGAGCCTTCCATCACTCCCTCCAAGAACGAGGTGTCGATCTATCCCGTGTCTCCATTAGCAAATCCTACGCGATCTTAGCAGGAATTGAGGGATACACCATTACGAAGAAGAAACTCCACAACGCTCATGAAAAGCTAGATACTGCCAAAGACAATGCCAAATATAATGTCAAAGACAAACTCCAAAAACTTCATCTTTCCGACCCACAGGATTCAAAGGAAAGTGGGGAGTGAAAATGGGAACGAGGGCAGTTACTTGATACACGCCCGATATACGAGTGGCCCCAAGAGGCATCATCAGCTTTACGGAAGATGGTGACTTAGGCCGCTGAGTACACTTCATTATGGCGGCAGTTCCCGAACCTCATTGCGCCCTACTTGGTGATCGGCAAACTTTCGAAACTGGCAGCCTCACCCAACCCACACAACCTGACATCCCTTCGAGAATGCAACAAACATCCATGCGCCCCAATAACCCTCAGAACAACCTTGTTCTTGCAAGTCGGCTTCCTTCAAAACAGAAAGAGCGAGTTGAATGGGACGTGGAGAAGTGGAACATTCCGGCTCTCAGGCCGTGACATATCAACAAGATGGAAAAGAAACATGGTATAAGTGGCAAGTCCGAAGAAGGCACTCGAAGGCACTCGTTTCAGTCACGCGGGTGCCGTCGGCTGTTCACCGTCTAGATAGAGGGGTTGGTGCCTGTGGATATTCCTGCTGGTTGAGGAGAGCAATTTGCTGCTTGAGCGAATGCTTCTGGGCTTGATTATACACAAGATATTTCCAAACTTAATGGAAATAACCTAAACAGAAATCGCCTGTTTTTCAATAGCCAATGTTCTCGATCTAGACCATAGGAAAATATTGCGTCTCGTCTTCATATATGCATTATTCAACTAGTGAAAATTTACTTCAAATCCGTGACGACAGCTTCCCTACGGTCTCATGCAGGACATAATCGTGGCGCTTGGTTTTGCTTCGCACACGCTCTCCATCTTGTGGGGTCACATATCGGGCCTCTACGGCGGGATTATAGCCAACACCAGATGCCTTTGCAACTTCAACATCGGAAACTGCTCGACCTTTCTGGCCATCTGCCCGTTTGTAAACGGTCACAACCACTGCTCCACCCAGTCCCAGGTTATGCTGCAATGCGACATCCGCCCCTTCAACGAATCGGTTATTCGCCCAACCTCGAAGTTGCCAAGTAAGCTCGGCACACTGTGCTAATCCTGTAGCTCCAAGCGGATGTCCTTTGGATATTAACCCACCGGATGGATTAATGACAGGGCCCCGGCCGCCATATGTAATATCTCCACGGCGGACCATCTCGTGTGCCTTCCCAGGTTCCGAAAAGCCAAGCCCATCAAGCAATAGCATTTCATTCGTAGAAAAGCAATCGTGGAGCTCGCAGACTTTAATATCTTGAGTTTGAACCTGAGCCTCCTGCATGGCTAACTTGGCAGCATCGCGGGACATGTTGAACCCGACAAGATCAATGGCGCTTCGAGAGTATACCTCCGGCCCATCAGTAAGCATCTTTTGGCCTGCCATCAAGATTGCTTGGGAGCGCAGATGTGGACGTGCGTCGAGGAACTTTTGGGAGACTATCACAGCTGCAGCTGCGCCGTCACTAGTCGGAGAGCATTGAAGCTTGGTAAGGGGGCCATACACTGGTGTGGAGTTGACGATCTCATCAAGGGAGTAGGCAGTCCGGAATTGAGCGTATGGATTCTTCTGTGAGTGCTCATGGGAGATTCGGGCGATTTCCGCAAAGTCCTCGGCCTTGGCGCCATACCTGTCGATTGAGATATTAGCGGCATCCCTTTCTGATGTTTACTGAAATGGCTTACCTTGACATGTATTCCTGTCCAGCGTTTCCAAAATATTGCGCGTTTCGAGGTGAGTCATGTTTGCCGAATTCATCCTCCATCATTTTTGTAGAAGGGCCAAGCGGACTAGGACGATCATCCCATACGCTCTTGATGGAACCTGGGCGCATCTGCTCGAAGCCGATCACCAGAACGCAATCTGCGAGGCCACCTTTGACCATCTTCCGCGCAAGATGCAAGCCTGTTGAACCGGTCGCACAGGCATTGTTCACATTGTAGATCTCGATTCCAGTCATGCCAAATTGGTAGAAGATCCTTTGTCCTATACCGCATAATGGTCAGAGGGGAATATCGCATACTCCCTGGCCAGGACCGACTTCCCGATTAACTTACCAGAAGTAGTATCTCCATAGCAATAGCAGGCAATTCCCGCTTCGACAGAGTCATAATCAATCTTCGCATCCAACATCGCCTTCACTCCTGCTTCATAACCCAACTCGGGATATTCACGCGTGCGACGTGGCTTGAGGAACTGGGTCAACCCCACACCCAGCACGTACGCATTTCCTGATGAGTTTTGTGCCATGGCTATACTTGATGGTTTAATGGCCTGCGAATGAAAGTAATTAATGATCTGCAATCCGGGGTATTGATGTAACTAAATAAAGTGGGTTGTGATAGCCGAGAGCTCCGAGGCAAAACTGCTCTCCCCGCATTTCACATCTCGCCTGCAACAATCGACCAGCTCCGAGTCCATTTGGGTTTAAGTTCCACCCCTTGTGCCGTGCATAACTTTCCTTTGCCATAAAGGCTATATCAGGCCTTCTATTCTCACGCCTTTTCGCAACTCATCGCACCTCACCCAGCTTAGTACGCGTACTCGTATCCTTTCTGCTCCCCTATCGTCTGGCCATTCAACAGTTCACAGAGCAAAAATGGCCAATTCATTACAAACACAGCCTCCCCCAACAAGCTTCTACCAGCTGTCTTACCCCAAGCCTGGGATTATCCTAGTGACCATCAACCGGGAAAAACAACGCAATTCTCTACCTGCAGAAGCACACTGGGAAGGCCATGCGTTATTCTCATGGTTCGATGAGGAGCCATCCCTACTGGTCGCAGTGGTCACCGGCGCAGGCGAGAAGTCGTTCTGCGCCGGTCAAGATTTGACCGAGCAAGCTACTTCGCGTCGCGGACCTAAGACTGCGGCCCAACAGGCTGTTATGAACCACCCTCCCAGCGGCTTTATGGGTCTCAGCCAGCGAAGAGGAAGAAAACCTGTTCTGGCGGCCGTCAATGGCTTTGCGCTCGGAGGTGGATTCGAAATTTGTCTCAATTGGTACGAAGTACCCTCTCAAGATCGGCTTCCGGTTACAAGAAATACTAACGAGAGTCTTATTATAGCGATATCATCGTCGCATCTCCAGAGGCTCAATTCGGGTTACCAGAAGTTGCTGTGGGCCTGTACGCCGCAGCAGGCGGTCTTCCTCGACTGATGCGAATCGTGGGACTGCAACTCGCTTCCGAGATTGCAATGACCGGTCGTCGACTCTCTGCCCAAGAGGCTCTAGACTACCGATTGATAAATCAAATCTCGAAATCCCCGCAATCCGTCGTGGAAGAATGCATCGAAATGGCAGTCCGCATCACCAGCTTCTCGCCGGACGGGATTATAGTTACTCGGCAAGGATTGCGGGAGGCCTGGGACAATCCAAGCGTGGAACATGCAACTACGCGAACAAGACATGAATATGTGAATAAGCTCGTTGCCGGTGACAACTTCAAGATTGGCGTCGAGGCGTTTGCCATGAAGAAGAAGCCCAAATGGGTCCCATCGCGTCTATGACGTAGTAGGGGTTATGTATCACAGCGAAGAGAAATGAGCTTGTGATTTAGTTATCGTAGCCAGTTAGCATTGAATTTAATACGACTAGAAATAAGGAATAATTTAAGCTATCGTCTTCCTTTGCGAAATTAATTTGGATCATTTTATTTCAGTCGCAAGCTCGACATTCGCTGCCTTCGGTACCCCCCGACACTGTGCCATATGCTCAGTTCATAACTTTTGCTCGGGCCGAGGATGTGTCGATCCCCACACGCCTGTGCCCAGGTGTCTGAAATGCGGGATGAAAAGCAATGGATAAGCCTCGACCATAGCCTATTAATATCAGTATCCAGCAATAATCGATCACTACTGCAACCATGATTCCAGTTATCATCGGCGTTGCCGACATCAAAAACCGATCGGCCAAGCCTGAGGATGCGAAAGAACCGGCGACTTTAATGCTGGAATCCATCAATGCAGCCATCAATGATGCAACCACCTCATCAACGGCCGAAGCAAAGCTACGGTCCAGTATTGACAGTATCGACGTCGTGAAGACGTGGACATGGCCATATTCAGATTTACCTGCACTTCTAGGAGAGAAACTTGGCGTGCAGCCCAGACACAAAAGCTACACTGACCACGGTGGAAATCAACCAGCGAAGCTTTTGGATGATGCTGCGAGGCGTATCGCGACTGAAGAGAGCCACGTCGCTGTGCTGACGGGTGCTGAAGCTCTTGCGTCTTGTAAGTAATCTTTTGCGGGGTGGATTCTTATTTTCTGACATTTAGTATTAGTGGCTGGCTGTGTCAAGGCAGGTCAAATGCCACCTCCTGGATGGACTACCGGTCCAGAAACTGAGTCAGTGACGGATGTCTTTACTCCAACTGGACGGGAACTCAAGAGGAGTAAGTTTCAAGCTGTTTTAATACGACCACGGGGCACAAACCTTCTAACAGAATTCAGATATCGGAGGCATTCACTCAGTGGGAGCCCCAATCCACATCTATCCATTGTACGAAAATGGATTCCGAGCCCATCGTGGTCAATCAATCGAAGAAAACCATGAAGAGTCCGCCATTCTTTACGGCAATTTTAGCGAGGTCGCGGCGTCGAATCAGTATGCGTGGAACTATGGCCAGAAACCTGAAACCACGCATTCAATTGGGACGATCTCCAAGAAAAACCGAATGATTTGTTTTCCATGTACGTTTCTTTTCATTCAAATTTCAAGGTAATCGATTCTTGAACAATCTAACATTCCAAACCTAGATCCCCTCTTGATGAACGCATTCAATACGGTCAATTTGGGCGCGGCTTGTATTGTTACTTCAACCGACTTTGCGAAGCATCTTGACATCCCAGAAGATAAATGGATATACCCTCGTAGGTAAAAAGGACATCGTGGAATGAATTCCTGGCTAATCAATTGATATTAGTTGGTGGTGCTGGATTTAGAGAACGCGACCTGTGTCAGTATTTCCTTCCGATAATATTCTAACGGTTGAATATTTATTAACTTCGTATAGTCTGGGAGCGACCAAACTTCTTCGAAAGCTCTGCCATCTCCCAATCGCTTGACAAATGCCTAGAGCTCAGCTCGCTGAAAACAGCGGATATTGATATCTACGACATGTATTCGTGTTTCCCCATCGTCCCAAAACTCGCATGCCACCATCTTGGACTTTCGATTACTAAACCAGAGAAACCAATCACTGTTCTCGGTGGTTTGACCTCATTTGGAGGTGCTGGGAATAACTATTCCATGCATGTGAGTTTTGCCGTTTATGGTTCAATAAAGAAAATGCTAACTTGGAAGGCTATTACCGAAATGGCTCGCCAACTTCGCGGAGGCTCTGCTCGCAACGGCCTTATTCTAGCCAACGGCGGTTTCTTGTCTTACCAGCATGTGATTTGTATCTCGAACAGGCCGCGAAAAGATGGAAGTCAATACCCAGACAGCAGTATTTTCAATACTACTATCCCCGATCCCATCCCGCCTATAGATTCCGAAGCTGAAGGGAAGTCCCAGATAGAGGTAAGTGCATCCAGTTGCTGCTAGGACTTTTGTTTTGAACTTGAAGTGATCCTCATTCTAACATTCAAAAGACATATACGGTTGAATTCGGCCGTGATGGACGTCCGACTCTTGCGCATATTGTAGGCCGTCTGTCAGGAAGTAATCATCGATTTTTGGCCAACCATGGCGATGAAGAAACTCTGAATCGACTCGCCTCTAGGAGCGATGAGCCGATTGGAAAGACAGGTAGAGTGGTGCCTGAATCTGCTGGAGAAAAGGGACAAAGAAGGAATCTTTTCTATCTGGATAGTAATGCTCGGTTATAAGCGAGCCGATACTTGCATGTCATGTCAGGTTGTATCTACTCTACTGGTAGTTACTAGTAGTATACTTTTGGCTCTTGGAAATAATTTAAATGCACATATTAGTAATGCAGATTATAAGGACAATAATAATATGCACATCTCAAAGACCAACTCCATTGATTTATACGCTTATATAGGCGATTGAGTTATGAATTTTGTGACTACCGAGAGAAATGCTATACGATCGTCGATTCTAATGCTCGGCGCCTCTCGGCGTGCCCCGCATCTCCTCCGCAATCTACCCCAATGTCTCCATGTCTCTCATGATAAGCAGCTGGATCTGCTAAATACACCGAAAGACCGATGAAAGCAAAGCAAATACATTAATTGCTACCATTCAATCGACACTTTTTGAGCATAATGGCGGCGACTCTCTTGAGATTAGTAGGTCACAGTGCCCGCACAGCTATTCGCCGCGCATACACTCACAAGCTCTAGGTCAGCAGAAAGCATTTGGGGACCCCTTATTCCCCTCAGATTCCAGTCGCATCGCTCACGGTTTACGCGTCCTCTGCATGCGCGTGCTACAGAGTTCCTACAGAATCAAGACCCAGATCTCTCTGATTCCCAACGCACCGTACGTGAGGCCGTCGGCAAGATCTGCTCGGATTTCCCAGATGAGTACTGGGCCCGAATAGACGAAACGAAGAAATTTCCAACAGAGCTTTATGACGCGCTAGCATGCCAGGGCTGGTTGGGCATCTGCTTGCCACAGCGTTATGGGGGTTCCGAGCTGGGCATTTCCGAGGCAGCAGTGATGATGCAGACGATTTCAGAATCTGGCGCTGGCATGACCGGTGCTTCGTCCATACATATGAATATCTTCGGTCTAGAGCCGGTTGCAAAATTCGGGACGGATGAGCAGAAGGAAAGGTGGCTACGACCCTTGATTGCCGGTCGCGAGCGAGCCTGTTTTGGAGTCACAGAGCCAAACACCGGTCTTGACACACTGAAGCTACAGTCCACAGCTCGTCGACATGGAGATGGATACATACTCTCAGGGCAAAAGATCTGGATTTCGACGGCACAACAGGCAGACAAAATCCTAATTCTGGTTCGCACAACACCCCGCGATCAGGTACGAAAGCCGTCGCAGGGACTATCCCTATTTTACACCGACCTTCAAGTTCCTGAAGTCGAGATCACGGAAATACCTAAGATGGGCCGTGCCGCTGTCGATACCAATACTCTCTTCTTTGATGAGTGGCATGTGCCGGAAATCGATCGTGTGGGACCAGAGGACGAAGGCTTCAAAATGATTATCCATGGAATGAACGCTGAGAGGATCTTGATTGGCGCCGAAGCACTCGGCTTGGGATTTGCAGCTATACGGCGAGCGGCATTATACGCTGGTGAAAGGAATGTGTTCGGTCGTCCTATAGGACAGAACCAGGGCGTTCAACATCCCCTTGCGGAGAGTTGGATGAAATTAGAGGCTGCCCGTATGGTGATTTACCAAGCGGCTCGTTTATACGACGAAGGCTACCAGGGCGGAGAGTATGCGAATGCTGGAAAGTACCTGGCTGCCGAAGCTGCATTTGAGGCCTGTGAGAGAGCGATACTTGCTCACGGGGGCATGGGGTATGCGAAAGAATATCATGTAGAGAGGTATCTTCGTGAGGTCTTCATTCCTCGTATCGCCCCTGTGAGCCGGGAGATGATTTTTAACTACATTGGGGAGAGGGTGCTTGGGCTACCTAAATCATACTAGATTTCTAGGTCGTGGAATAAAAAGAGAGAATGATATGAAAATGAGTCTAGAAAATTGAGTGGATTGCAAGATGATCTCATCATTCATTCAAAAGGACACTCTCGACTCTAGTATCTAAGAGCCACGCTACGAATGTCGTTTCATACATTTATCTCAACAGCTAATTCAAAACTATATGTTCGGTGAATTTCGGAGCTATGAATCTTCGGTCTCGCGAAAGTACCGCGGCACTGACGACAGCGTGGAATCCAACAGGTCGGCTTTATGCGGGGGAGGCCTCCCCCGGATTTCCACATCCCACTATTTTACCACGAGCACTTCCATTCAACCCAAAGCCTGAAATTTCATAAGTTTCAGAATATGGCCAGCCTAGGAGGATCATCAAATCGCATCGGTTTTGTCAAAAAAATTTCGCGCGCATCGAGGAATGCAAGATTCCGCATCACCCCGCCTGCAATCACATTTCGAAGTCAGCAACGATGGATCAATAGCAGTGCTCAGAACAAAGGCCCTCTAGATGGCGTTCGTATTCTGGACCTAACTCGTGTGTTGGCGGTTCGTCTTAATTCCAGCTAGTCAAAATAAAACTCCGAGCTAACTTATGTAGGGCCCTTTCTGTACCCAAATACTTGCTGATTACGGGGCCGACGTGTTGAAGGTTGAAAATCCGAAGGGAGGGGTGCGTTCCTTGCAATATATATATCGTTGATTGACGTGGAAAATTAACAACTCCTAGGATGATACGCGAAGGTGGAAAACTGCCGCAGAGAAAGACATCTGGAAATCCACCGAGAATGATATTTCAGCTTACTTTTGCGGTGTGAACCGCAACAAACGTTCGATCACTCTGAACTTCAAGAAAGAGAAGGGCCGTGAAGTTTTGTTCCGACTTGTAAAGAATACGGATGTTTTGTGCGTCGAGTTCCAATTAATATTTGCTTACGCTTCTTCTGACCACGTCAAGAGTCGACAATTTCGTGCCAGGAAAAATGGACGAACTGGGAATTGGATACGAAAAACTTCGCTCGATCAACCCCTCAATTATCCATGCTAGCGTCTCCGGTTTGTTGGCCTAATATTCGACTGTGACATTCAGCTAAGAGTATGACAGGTTACGGAGCAAGCGGCCCGTACGCCCATCGCGCGGGGTACGATGCGATAGCTGCAGCAGAGGCGGGTTTGCTGCACATCACTGGTGAAAAGGACGGTCCTCCGACTCGGCCAGGTTTAGGTCTTACAGACATGAGTACCGGATTATATCTCCACGGTGCGATCCTGGCTGCCTTGTTTGCTCGCCAGCAAAACGGCAAAGGGCAAAAGATTGATGCGTCTCTATTTGAAAGTCAGGTATCATTGCTATCCAATGTCGCAATGTCTTGGCTGAACGGAGGAGTGGAAGCTCAGCGCTGGGGAACAGAGCATCCTAGCATAGTTCCATACCAGGCCTTCCAAACCAAGGATTCCTACATCGTCCTCGGCGCTACAAACGATCGCCAATATCAGGTCCTTTGTCGACTGATGGATCGACAGGATCTAGCAGAAGATCCTCTTTTCGCTAGCAACGACGCCCGAGTGGAAAATCGGGATAAGCTGATGAAGATATTGAAAGCCATCGTTAGGCAAAATTCAACAGACGAATGGCTTCAAATCCTCGAGGGTAGCGGAATGCCATACGGACCAATAAACACCGTGGAGAAAGTGTTCTCCCACCCCCAGACAGACGCTAGAGAAATGGTTCACAATATACCCTACAGCGCAGCATCCTCTGGGCAAATTAAGGTTCTTGGTTCGTTTTGCTCCTCATTCCTGTGTTACTATTTACTATCTAGGTCATTCAATGCATTTAGTATAATTACTGACGATCACCAAAGGTTTTCCTGTTAAGTTTAGTGAAACAAGACCCCAAGTTCGAACTGCGCCACCTGGGTTGGGCGAGCATACAGAGACTACACTCAGCGAGCTCGGATTTACACAACAAGAAGTAGAAGAAATGCGTGCCAATCGGATTATCTAACGTACAAACGGACACTTCAGTCATTCTCGGGTTTCGTGCACGGCGACCCTGCAATCCTAGCGATGATTAGCTTCAGGCGCATGTGAAAATGAGCCTTAGATAATTTCAGCGTCAAAAAATATTTAAAAATTCTCAAAGTTGAGACTGCAAATCGCTGATCTCCTCGGATGGGTGACTATTTCTTCTTGGCTAGCTGGGCCTAGACAAGGTTAGACTCAGAAGTAGATTTTCGAAAGCAAACATATCTTCCTGTCAACCGTTTCTGTACTTCGTATCATGCATAAATTCCCGAGATAGTGTCGGAAACGAGAGCTGTCAGTGGGGGGAGAACTCGGAGCACCTGTGGCTGGCTGCAAATAGAAGCTCGTGCCATGAACCCGTTCGCGCCCATGCAGCCCCATCATGCAGCCCCAGAGGTGACAACGAACGAGTCCTTCTTTTGAACGGGTTGACCGCATGCCTCAGCTCACTCCGAGCCAGTCGAAATTCTATGCGGCCGCTATTGATCAGTTCTAAATCAGGCTGCGGTGAGCCCTCTGGCTTTACAAACGATCGACAGCATCCGGTGCCGCTCAGCTTGTCGCCAAATATTTCCCTTCACCAGATCAGGACCAACAAAGCGGTCCTTGACCAACAACGGGATAGTGAGCCCTTGGAGGCTTGCCTCAAGTGTGATGCTAGTGGCATATGCTGCAATTTTTTCAATTCTCCAATTCACCAGAGGGCTAATAAGTGCTTGACATGGTTGCAGGTCGCTCACTCTCCTTGGAAATTCAAATAGTATTTATAAAGATAAAACCCAACCTGAAGGCCGCTGCGAATATCAGGAACAGATCGGTGGCGGCATCAAGATTACCGACTTCCGATTCGGCATCAGGTTCCTGAAGTAAGGTCCCCTAAAAGTATTTTGTGGTTGAAATTAACGCTGATAAATACCCATCAGGTACGCTTTTGGTGGTCAGCCCTTCTGGATCAAACTGTACCTTGCTCAGGAAGGTGTTCAGACACCCATCACAGACTTGATCGCAGAAGTGTATAACTTCAGTCAGAGACCAGAGCTAGATGGCTCAATTGTCTGTGGAAATTGCAAAATTGGTCAGACAGTCAAGACCAAGTCTACTGGGTATATTCCAATCACACCAGTTCTTTATAAACTGTTGAAGGCTGGTCAGAAGTTAAAAACACTCACCCGTGATGTGGTACTATCTTTCTTGAGAAAGCGTGCATACTGGAGAGTAATAAAGGTAGGATATTGCATTTTTCTCTCTTAATACTTGGAGGCGAAGTACTAGCTCGTTAGCAGCACGGCAAGGAACTACCACGTTATGAGGTTGAAAAGCTCGACCTGGAGATAATCGGAAGTAGCAACGACACGAAGTTCTTCGAAAATCCTGCTCTACCACCGGAATTTGATAATTTTAAGGAGGAACACACGATCAGCGGTGGTGCTGGCGGTGCCCTTGATCCGGAGCTAAAGCAGCCAATTATCCCCCCCCCTTCACGGTACGTATCCAATATAGCCTTCATAAAATGCAGATAATACTTATTAACAATATGACCACAGTCCCGTGCGACTCAAGGCAAACCTTCCTCTTCACAGCAGCTTGGAATTCCAAAAACAGCTCAAACCTGACAGCGTCATTCTCTTGGGATCCAATTATGTCGACCTATCCAAACCTGCAGTTGGCGTTGACATGACTCAAATTTCCATCACGGATGATGCTGGAAATACAGTTTTCCATGTTTCAATTCGGCGGGGCCAAGGTCAGATTATATTCAATGCCAAGGTCAAGGGTTCTTGGGGAGAAGAAGAACGTATCAATTTAGATCATCGCTTCCGAGCAGGTGAAGAAGGTGCAACAATTTTGATACATGACCAAGGAGATGGCTATGAGGTATGGATTGATTGGGTTCACGCTCTTTGGTTTGCCAAGAGAGTGAAGAATGCCGTTCCTAAGGCGATATCCTATGGTCTCGCTGATGAGAACGGAACTGCTGTGCTCGCGGACGACATTGAAGTGCGTACTTATCCATCTATGAGGGCTTTATTCCTTCAGAAGCATGAACACGAAGAAGATAAACGCAATTAATGCAGGAGGGGTAGCTGGTCCCACAATCTGTCATGTTATTTTGTCATTTACTTTATGCTTTGATTTATGGCGATAATTTAAGCTCGACCTCCCTCGTATATTATCGAATGTCTTGGTAATTAGGAGCAGAAATTCCTTCGATATTTCATGTCAACTAAGCTACACATATCGAGATTTAAAATCATCGCTTATCTTATGCTGGCCAGTAATAGATGCCCCTTTCCACGTCATCTTTCAACTCTTTTTTCACGTGCAGAAACCCGTTATGTTCCAATTTGGGATATTCACGTCCAATTAGCTCGGCCACTATGCCTCCAAAGACAACTGACCCTTCAACATTAAGATGCGTATAGTCAGCTGCATTCAGATTGTAAGTATAGGCGTTTTGCGGTCCGATGGCATTGAGATAGTCAGTGCTAGCTTTATTCAGATTGATAAAATTAGCCCTTGTATTATGAGCGGCAGTAATCGTGGCTGCTGTCTCATTAGACAGACTCTCAATAATCTTCGGGGTTCCGGTAGAATTATCATAATTGCGACGAGACAATGGCGTGACAAGAATTGGCGTGGCTCCGGCATCGCTAGCCTCTGCCACAAACTTTTCCAGATTTTCCGTATACTGAGCGATCGAAATATTGGCTGCTGGCTTCTGATCATTATGGCCAAATTGAATGGTCACAAACGGGCGATATTCAGTACTAGCAGTTTTGATCGTTGCCAAAACATTATCCCAATCTCCACCAGCACGAAAGCTGACTGTGGTGGCCCCGTTATGGCCATAGTTTTGACCAGATGCTGCATTGAACAAGGTTGTGTTCAAAAATCCGTCTCCCCACCCACCACCATTCGAACTCTGCTTTGCAGTTGTACTATCGCCTGCTAGAATAAAGAACGGGGGCTTAGATGATTTTGAAGCCATTTGAGTCGGGAAAGGCGCCCCAGCAACGTGTGGGATGATAAAGAGCAAAGAGCAGATTATAAATTCTATGATGTTGTATGAAATCCCAATTGAATTAGATTTTGAGGTTAGAGCAGAGCAGTCGCAGACTTTATACTCAAAAAACCAAAAGAAAATCCACCAACAGGAGAATTATAATATACGCTGTGACAATCCGGATTCCGAAAGCGGGCAATATGCGGGGTAGCACAACTAGGATCACCATTCGAGTTGCAGAGAATATGAATCTCGCGAGATATTATACCGAGAGATTTCTACTTCATCGAATAAAATAGCAAAATCCATCGGGTTTATTCAAGCCGATACTCGGGTGCGCCATGTATCACACTAGTATACACTACCACCAGTTGCAAGTGAACTAGTTCAAAGGACGGACACCGGTAGTAATTTGGTAATTTGCATGGAACTTATTCTTGACCTATATGTTAAACTGGGTCGCTGGCTAGGCACTAACAATGTATATATGCCTAGATAGACGGTTCAGCAAGAACCGTAGCCACAATTTCCGTGGCTTTAATGAGCTCTTCTTCGTGCATATGTCTACCAACAACTTGTATACAGCAGGGAGCGCCTTCCACGGCATCTGACTCGTCTGGAGGGTCATAATAATGTCAGAAGGAATCTTTCAGGGGGCTCAAAGTCACTCACATCGTGGCTTGTACTCTACGTCTCGCGCGAAGGACGCATCATCAAGCTTGTTCGCTTTCCCATGTGGGACAATTGCCGCTGGGTACTGGAATCAGGTTAGTTTAGAGATGTATCATATCAAGATAGGCATAGACTCACGTCTAAAACGTTCCAAAGTACAGTATAGGGTACGAAGCCAAATACATCATGGGGTTGGGCAGTTCCCTGGTATCCAGGCATAATAATTGCGTCCACTTTCGACTTCACCATGATCTCCCGGAACTCTTCCTTGAGTTGATTACGTTGCTGATTCAAATCATATAGACCTTCCAGTGACAATGGTGCATATTCATACTGCATGTACTCATGGGGTAGCGAGGTCGATTTCAATGCAGGTATAGTCGGCTCGCCGCTGGCAGCAATGTGCTGAAATGCAGTGCCAGATGGGTCCATGGCAAACATGCGGAATGCCAGCGCGCAAGCATCTTTGATGGATGGAGTTTGCAACGGAATTATCTCATGCCCTGCTAGACTCAGCTTTTCGCTAGCTTCTTTAAGCGTTCGCAACACAGGGGGGGTGAAGAGGGAAATGCGGGTCTTCTTGGATAAGACCAAGTCTCAGTCTTGCTTTAGGCTTCACCTCGCGCCACGGTGAAAATATGGCAGTCGAATCAAAGTTCCAAGGGTCATAGTTCGTCATGGACTTCATTAGCAGCTCTAAGTCACGAACGGAGGTGGCCAGAGGACCAGCACATGCCCTGATTCCCAGCAGACCTTTTCGAGAAGAGCTGGTCTGGCCACCATACGGAATTCGATCTGCAGATGGACGTAGCGCAAAGGTACCATTGCAGATAGCTGGAATCCGAATTGATCCAGCAATGTCTGTTCCAATGCCGAGTACCGAGCCTCGCATAGCGATCAGCGCCCCCTCTCCGCCTGACGATCCGCCCGCATTGAGGTTTGATCGATGCGGATTGAGTGCGCGACCGAACACATAGTTGTGCGAATCAGCGGCCTTTGCAAGTCAGCTTTGGCTCTGGTAGTTTCGATTCACTGTTGGCTCACCATCATGGTCTGTGGAATATTGGTCTTCACATAAGGGATGCCGCCAAGCCTGACGATTATCTCGACGGCAGGCGAGTTGGATTCAACAGGGCCATTCTTGATGAATGAGGTAAACCCGATAGTAGAGCAGACACCTTTGACATTAAAGCAGTCCTTTGGGTCATTGTTAGCAAGCCATTATCTAAATACCAACATCGGATTCTTGCCTTGAAGCTGATTGGCAGCCCATGCAACGGTCCGACCGGCTGGCCTGTTTGACGAAGATGCTCATCCAACTCCTTTGCACGTTCGAGAGCCTGGTCGAAAAACATCTCGGTCAAGCATCGTGTCTGTCACCGGTCAAAACCCGTTTCGAGTCGCAAATTTTGCGAATACTGTGAGGGGACATACTACTTGCTGTGCGATCGCTGCTCGGATGCAAAAAGCCTCGGTCACCTCATAGGCCGACAATTGTTGTTGATGAATCTTCTCTAAAAGGGATGTCGCATCGTGATTCTCAGTTATATCCAACTGTTTAGGGGTCAAAATCCCGCAGCGGCGGGGAATATCGATCACATTGTTGCTCGCAGTTTCCGATATGTCGGTATACTCAGCTGCCAGGCGCCAGGACGAGGGAATTTGTGCTGAAACTTCAGCCTGCTTCTTCTGGACGAGTGCTTTCCAATTTTCGACTGCCATCTTGTTGTGATCAAGAAACTCTATATATTGGCCGGGATAGTAGTGATTTATAAAGTCGAGTGCGGGGAAGTCGTCGCTATTTATCTTTTCACTTGGGTCTGCCAACCCAGTCTTATGCATACAAAATTACGGACTCGGAGTATACTAGTAGTGCGATGTGCATTTACTACGAAGAGGAAGTCCACCCGCAGTATCGAACCATATCCTCTTATTGCTAGTATATCTACTAGTACCCCTTTCTCCCTCAATCCATGGATATCCATGGGTTAACCTGAATGCTCCCGTGTCACTATCGCGCCCAATCAGCGGCTTTTGCGCGGCCCCACGCCATCAGATTGCAACGCCTCATCGCCATGCTTGAATCATTTCCATAATTCTCGTCTGTGCCTAGCTAATCCATCGTGATCACCGCGCGGAATCGCACAGTTCCCTTGACCATAGCCTCTGCGCATTGGTCAGCACTTGGCCAGAATCTCGGCATTATCTGAGCAAGTGACTTACCGAATGCTTCATTAGCCTTTTCTAGAGGAAATGTCTCGATCAGACATTTGACACCCTCAAGTTCGGTAAATTGGATAGTCTCCTCCGAGTCTAGAGCATGTCCACTGGGCCATCCATGGACAGAAAGACCCTTCGAAATCTGCTCGTGAAATATTTTTAGCGACCACCTGGGTATGAGGTATTGAAATTATAGAAATGCCAGAGTAGGAACCCACCATTGCCAACGAGTCAAATGGAACCTCTCCCGCAGCTAAAAATCATTAGTATGATGTGCTTTGAATAAGGGTTTCGGTGGACTTACTAGCGAGGAGAAGTAACTTTCCAAGAGGCCCAAGTCCCTTCATCAGCGGCGTAATGGCTTTGGCGTTCGGCGCTGTCGCGACGACAAGTGCCGCACCGCCGAGTTTCTGCAGTGCCTCAGCAGGATCTTCCTTGCTGCTATCGACGTATTCATGAGCTCCCAGTTCTCGCACAAACTTCTCCTTCTGAGCATCCCGAGAGATGGCCACCACTCGGAATCCGAATCGGTTCGCATATTGAATGGCTAGATGGCCCAACCCGCCCAGTCCTTGAATAGCAACGACTGATCCAGGCTGGATATTGAGGCGTCGCATGGAGTTGAAGACTGTCACTCCAGCACACAAGATCGGAGCATACTCAGCGGCAGATACATGCGTTGGGATGCGAACCCCAGCCTCGGCGCGCAGAAGGCAGTATTGGGCATCTGTGGGGGAAACTTGATTAGTCTGAATAGTATGATCGCTTTAATGCTGGGTCTTACATCCGCCATCTTTCGTGACTCCATTGATGATGCCCTGATCACACATTTGAAAGTTACCCTTGCGACAAGAGAGACATGTGCCTGTTTGCGTATTTCAGTTAGCACCACAATATCATTAAGTCTGAATCGTTATTCGTGAAAACTCTACCGTCGTGGCCTCCATGCCATGGCCCACCGATGCGATCGCCAATCTTCCATTGCGAGATATTATCCCCAATCGCAGCGACATGCCCAATTATTTCGTGGCCAGGAACGACGGGGCTAGTGTCGCCATTCCAATGAGTAAACTATTGACAAGATTTATTATTAGAAGCCACTTTGAACTTACAATTTTCCCTTCGCCCCATAGGCTTGCGGGATATGATCAGAAAAGCAAACACCACATGCCTCCACCTTCACTAGCACCTCGCCAGCTTCAGGCATCGTCAACTCGACCTCTTCGACATGCAGGGAGTCCCCAGCCTCTCGAAACACGGCACGCTTGTAGGAAGATGGCAAAGACATTGTTGCAGTTTGGGGGTTTCAGAACCAGGGATAAGCTTATCCAAAGGCAAGGGATACGCTTGGAAAAAAAAAATCGAGAAAGACCGAAGGCTGACTTAAATAGTTCCAAATCTCTCACAACCAGTTTCCAGTTCATGTAGTGAATGGCGGATGTGATGACAGGTTTCTATGAAACTCGCGGAGTTAGGTGCCCTTAAGCCGAATCGCTCATCCATGCATTGTTTGACCGCAAAAACATCGCCAATTTCGTCATTGTGACGTGTAAACTCTGAATTTCTAAAAGAAACACTTAAGAAAGCAATTTAGTGCATGTGCCTACCGGTTTAATTTTCATGATGGAATAAAGTGTGCCGACGTTTATGAATCATGACTCGTAATGTTCCTAGTTGAACTCAACGCCAAAGTCCGAGGGTGTGTCGGTCTCCGGAAAACTCAGTCCGGGTGACTACAATTATGAAGGGCACTTCTCTTAGCCGATCAACTGATTGGAAACAGAAAGTAAAAATATTCAGCTCTGGCTTTCTCAAGAGTCAAATTTCAAGGTCAAGTTCAGAATTGATCCTTATACATAGGAATATCCATGGATTTTGCAGATCAGTCAAGTTCCAAGGTTTGCATGGGCTGCGTGCTGGGTGGGGGCATGCCCATGTGAGAGGCATATAATGCTCCACCTGAATCATACAAATCACCTTGGAAGATTTGAATTCACTCCGAGTCATCAAGTCGGACCCGACAAAAAATGAAAATTGTTTCCCAGTCCATCCAAGATTGGTTTTTATCATGGACCAACGAGGTAAAATGATAAGATTTGCGAATATTCATTCCTAAAGCCTTATTTAGCTGGTGAAAAAAACCCTGTTGAAACATCAATTATTCCTGTTTGATCAAATCATGTACGGTGAAGATCGCTTTCCAAAAGGTTCAGCTAGGCAAGGGTTCAAATCTACTTTACGGGCAGCCACCTCGTGATTAGCTGCAGGGCGTGCATTAGATCGACCTGACTCATGCGAACCCCTCAAATCCTTAGAGCAACCCGACCATGCTTTTTATTTCATCCCACTCGGCAAAATGTCAGATTCAGAGGAGCTTCGGCGTGGAAACAGATGGCGCTCTTCGAGATTTTTGATCATAGGGACGGCCTGCCTGGCCTTGTTCACAGGTATTTACTGATTCGAGGCTTCGAATAAGTTCCTTTCGTCTAACTACTCTATTTTTCAGAAACTCTGCTCTACGGCTTCGTGGTCCCCATCCTACCTTATATGCTAGAAACTCGCTTGAAACAAGACCCAGATTTAACTCAGCGTACCACATCTGGTCTGCTCAGTGTCCATGGATTTGCGACCCTCATTCTGACACCCCTTGTCGCCATCGCCGCTGATAAGACGCCAAGTCGCAAAACTCCTCTTATCATTGCTCTTATTGTCTGCTTGGGAGGAACTATCCTAGTGGCACTGACTCCTAATTGTAAGTCTGAATATCCACATCGTCTCGACAGCTTACATTCTGACCCTCACGTAGTATGGTCTATCTATGTCGGCCGAATCCTCCAGGGCGTTTCGGGCTCTGCAGCCTGGATTATCTGTCTGGCGATGTTGACAGACTGCGCCAAAGAAGGACAAGTGGGAAGAATGATGGGGCTTAGCATGTCAATCGTCCTATCAGGCACAGTCGGAGGACCAACCGTCGCAGGAGCATTGTTACAATGGGCGGGATACTGGCCGGCCTGGTCGGTACCCATTGGGCTTATTCTAATCAACATTGTCGCGCGGGTTATCACCCAGGATCTGCCAAAGCCATCCGCTACATCGACGCCTCCTTCTCGAAGCGGAATATCGACAGATGGACAGGATTCGCCAACAAGAGATGTTGAAACTGCAGAAACATCTCCACTCCTATCTCAATTGGTTGGTGCTCATGACACAATGTGCGAGGATAAAGACGACCCTCAAGATGCTGAAGTATCTTTCTACTACGAAATGCTCGGTGACTGTCGAGTCCTCGCCAGCATTTCAACGACGATACTGTACTCCATACTCATCGCAGGGTTTAACACCACCTTGCCCGTGCATCTTCGAACGATCTTTAATTGGGGGCCTTCCAATGTAGGAATAATGTTCCTTGTTCTACGGGTTCCTGCTATTATACTCGGTCCCTTAATGGGGTGGGCCCGCGATCATATTGGACTACGATATCCTACTACGTTAGGTTGGGTTCTCTTAGCACCTTTAATGCTCTTCCTGGCTATTCCTACTGGTCCAGAAAATCATGGGAAGGCATTCTACGTTACCTGCCTCGCTTGCATCGGATTTGTCACCACTCTGGTTCAGGGAGCGGGCGTGTTACACACAATCAGTAAGCATAGTATCACGTTCGATCGCTTTAATTTTGCTTTCTGCACACTTGCATACTGATACAACTCTTTTTAAGCGATTCTGAAGGATATCGAATCGAGACGGCCCAATATATTCGGGCCAAATGGTGGTCTGTCGAGGGTCTTTGCCATCAACGAGGTATCTTTCAATGCTGGGCTTATGCTAGGCCCCTTATTGTCTGGCATTCTGTCTGAAGCAGTTGGTTATTTCAATATGAGCCTAACATTGGGTAAGTCACTGGAAATTGAGGCGTTGCTACTGTGCTTTGCTGATCATCTTTCAGCTTCGATTTGCTTAGCAAATGCTGTTTTTGTTTGGAGCTTCTTCGAAAGAGGGATTGCTCAAAGCAAAAATTGAAAATATCGAGAAGCTGGAAGACCACTGGCATCTTTCATTTTTCTCAAGCCTCTTGGGTTCGTTAGATGCTGTATGCGATCGTTTTGTAAAAGTTATTTCGGGATTGTTTATTGCATCATCAATCATAAATTGCTTCCAGGGCACGTTTTAGTTATCTGCCCTATCTGTTCATATTTGGGATAACATGCACGGTGCACGGCAGAAAGCCTTTTGTCCATAGAAATGCTACAATTGAATCGTTTAGTAATGCATAGTGCTTTGCTCCGTATGGGCGAGATGGTTCCTTTAAACAGGCAATCCGATCACCCATCTTTCCCGAAGACAAGTGACAGAGTCAAAATATGCCAGGATGATAGCGGTTATATCACCCGAGGAGATCCCGTCTCTTCCAACGGATACGATTCCCCATGTCCAGGGCTATCACCTTGTAACATGGATTGTGATAGGCCCTGCTCCTCGTCATCAATTTTACCAAAGCCATCAACACCTGCATTGTCACCTTTATCATATGGGACATCACAGCGCGCCGATTGAAGTGCTGGGTAGTAGCGACGGTAAGAGAACCATGCGATCAGCATTCCAAGTAGGGACCCAATAGTCACGTCCCAGACGTCGTGGCGATAATCATCCAGGCGAGAAATGGCGATCAAAAGCGCACACAGAAGTGGTATAAATGCCAACAAGCATCTGCCGAGATCTGTTCGTGGACGGAAGACGTGCATTTGACCACAGAAGAATCTACATCCCAATTTGTTAGGGAAAATATCACGGCACAGTGACGCTAGAGATACTCACAGGGACAAATATCCTAGGCCACCAAAGGAGAAGCTACTGTGTCCGCTGGGGAAGCTGCGCCATCCTTCTTGGAGAATATGTTGATTTGTCTCGGTGCAGACAGTCCATGCGATCAGCGCATTGTCTGGTGTGCCCCGAGATGGCTTACATCGTGAAAGCAAGTCAGGGCGAGGCCTTCCGACGGAATTTTTGATAATGTCCGTCAAGAAGGAAGTGAGCATCAAAGCCACCAGGAGGCCGAGTATAGTTACTTGGGTCCTTTGTGCACCGGGGTGAAGCACGGCTGACCAGGCCAGTATTATGAAGAAAGGGATGACCCCAGCATAGAAGACAGCCCAAACTAGCCAATTGAATCAGTATGAAGTCGGAAGAGAGGAAAGGCGCAATTGGAGGAGCGCGTACTGACGGGGACCCGTTCTTGGACAGCAAATGGGTATTGGATGGACTTGTTATCGAGGGAAAACATGCGATGAAAAGGTGAGACGAAGATTTGGATCTGCACAGCAGCGACCCAAAGGTTAGCGATACACAAAATAGCCTGGGAAATGACAGTGGACAAACCAATAGCCATCCTGCGACTAGGAAGCCCAATGCCATATAGTCCGCGGCGTAGGAGCGCTGAGTGAAGCGAGCCGCGGCCCCGGAAAACCCGACACGATGTAGAATGGGAGTTGACCCGGTTGATGATCGATTGTGAGGCATTGTGGTCGAGTCGAGAGAGCACGGCGTTGAGTTGTGGAGGTTTCGACGATTAAGGTGTTATGGAGAGCATGTCATATCATATCACGCCGCTCAACCCTAGCATGCTAAGCCCAGGGGAAATCCAAAACCTCCAAGATCGTGGAGGAATTCCTCGTTCAACTATTCTCATAAAGAAAGCAAAAAAAAAAAGAGGGAGTTGAGCTGTGGAAGTGGAAAAGGGGAGGAGTTGCGCGGCCTCGCAAGGAAAAGGCGAAAGGCGGAAAGGGAAGCGTGAAGCGTGACCTCCGCTCTTCACTCCGTCACTCCTCCACCTTCTCCATTCCCACCCCCTACTCTCCTCTCTCCTCTTTCACTCGACTCTAGTATTACATTACATTCCTCCCTTTGGCACTGACACAGTCGACTGAATTACACTCCTACTCTCGGCCGTCATGGACGACCCCCAGCAACCAGCTGTCACCGCTGCCTTTGCGCCCCCACCGCCCTTATGGAAACACTTCACGCGCGAGAACCGCAACAAACTGGAGGAGATCAAAAAAGAAGCTTCCAAAGGGACCAATGGAGAGCCTGCGCGCGACAAGAAATGGTCACCCGCGGAATTACGCGAATTGGAGGTGCCTGCAGAGCTGCGATGTCTGGTGCCGCCGGAAATCCCCACGGGGGAGTACTCGGTCTTTGGTGAACTACAGACTGTGAGTAAATCCGAAGGCTGCTTGATCACACTGGAAGCTTGTGCTGACAACCTATTTCTTCCATTCTTTAGCGGTCCACAACTCTCCCCTCACTCAAGGAACAAGGCATTGATCAACTCTACCCTGAACCTGCTACCACCCAAGACAAAGACACTGCGCAACCTACCTCCAACCTGAATCACGCCTACTACCTGCTGAAAATCAGTAAATCTCTTCTGCTCAACTTCCTTGAATTCGTCGGAGCTCTCTCCGTCTCTCCCGAGCAGTTCGAATCCAAAGTTAACGATCTACGCAACCTCTTTATCAATGCACACCACCTCCTCAACCTCTACCGCCCACACCAAGCTCGCGAGTCCTTGATCATGATGATGGAGGAACAGCTTCAACGCAGCAAAGATGAAATTGAACAGATGGACAAGGTCAAGGCCGAGATCGAGAACGCTCTGGAACAAATGCAGGCCCAGGCTGGAGAAATCGACCCGGCCAGTACATCTGCTGAACAGGCCTCGTCCGCAAAGAAAGATACGCAGCAGGGCCTGGAAGATGCTCGACAAGTTTGGGATATATTGGACAAGGAGATCTGAAGTGAAAGAGCCCGCCATTCTTTCAGCAACTCTACTTCCTTTCTCAACCATCCGCCGTGCCACCGATACCCAACTAGAGCGGAAATTCGTCATGACTCAAAGATAGACTATGTTCAGGTCGAATGATCGGCCTTGCCTATGCCCTCGGATAACGCATATACATCCGTTGGGTCGTACTACGAATACCCATCCTCGTGGCTGCTCCAGTGCATGTCAGAAGTACAGGCAAAGTGTGCAGGCAGGAACGAGAAACTGCCTGAAATACCATTCAGGATACCTATACAGACCACTAAATAACGGCAATTTCCTCGGAAATATATCGGCCTCTGGCAGCAGCCTCGCCGTTGCATAAATTCTTCGGCATATGCCTTCCCGATCAATGGCCAAGCGCCTTGTTTCTTGCAGTTCGAAAAAGATAAGGAACAATTCCATCGATGCATGGACGACCATCGCCCGGTCGCCTCTATTCAACCAATGAAGGCCAATTCCAATAAGCCCATCTGTTGTTTAAAAGACCATGCGCTGCCAATTTCCCACGACAAGCGCTTCAGCCAATTCTTGCTCATGTGCTTTTCGTGAAATTTCTCCCAATCCTGTAACCCAATGCCGGTTCAGCGGAAGCTTATTCTGCGAAACATAGCGAAGGGTGGACTGTTATAGGAATTACTACAATCGACGATCCTTACCCCACCAATTCCGGTTAGACAAAATTTCTCTAGGTGTATCATCCTATAGTGGGAGATATGTACTACTCTTACTCAATCTTTATGAAGCTACTAGTAGACCTTTCTGATATCAAACTAAGTTTAGAATGTCATCATGAAACCCTGCGGATCCACGGATCAAACTTTTCCGCTTACTCAGCGCATGAGCCTGCTCTTGACGATCATCCATGATTCCTCCTATACTGTACCATCTTCATGCATTCTGACGACGAACCTCGCAAGCGCACGGCGCGTGCCTGCGACTCCTGCTATCGACGGAAGGTTGGTGGTCTAGCCCCTCTGCACTTGGTTCTGGCCCACGCCACTAGTAAAGTTATGTACGCGCGCTCGGGACTTGAATCCATATCATTGGCATTCTTCGCCTAGCGGTATATTTTGTTTGCTATATTTTACGCCATTTCACTCCTTTTTTTTTACTTTTCAATTCAAACAGTTCAGATATCTTAGTAAGTACACGCTAATTGGGCTTGCTTACAGATCAAATGCGACGCGGCCCAACCGCAATGTGAATGGTGCAGCCACCATAACTTGCCTTGCACCTACGATAGAGTAGTGACTCGAAAACGAAAGACTCGGGATGATGATGGGTATGTCTTTGGTTTTAATCTTCTATTTAGAATTATATCCGGAGTTCCTTTTATTTCTCTCCACGGATCGATTGAATGACTAACCCCGTATCAATAGTGCCCAGCCCAAGGCCTCGCGCCTCTCGGAACGAATTAGTCGTATCGAGCAGGCTTTAGCCAACAGCTTCCCGGAATTAGATTCAGGTTTGAAGCCGTCTGCATGTTTGGCGATCGCGTAGCTAATCTGAAGTAGCGACGCTTGATTTCTCCCAGATGCAAACGTTGGATGACAACACAACTGCGAGCAGCTCGCCTAGTACAACCAGCAGCCAGCTCCCCTCTGCAGTACCATCTACAGTGGGCGTTCATTTTGCCGGACGTGAGCTGGGAGCAATTAGTCTGATCACAGGTATTCCTTTCCTTCTACCAGAAGGCCAAGAATGGGTCCAGGCCCGCACAGGACAGATCATCTCGCGGGATAATCTCAGTCCAGCGCGAGCACCGTGGGAAAAGGAGCGCGGACAGAGTACTAACAATCTTTTCAACAATATTTCGAACCAAAATATGTTTGAACTGCCCGATTTGCGAGTCGTACGACTCTATCTCGAAGCCTTCAAGAAGTCATTCGTGATGCAACGTCTGTTCCCCGTCGTGGACCCAGATCTATTCGAGGAAACGATTACATCGGCCTACAAACAGCCACACTCTACTTTCAGTCACGGACAGGCTAGTAGCCGCGCATGTGTTATTGCTTTTCTGGCCTTTGTCTCTCGTCTTCCCCCAATCAAGGAATTCGTGGTGAACTCTCCACTGGGAGAAGTAGACTATGATGCCCTGGCTATCAAGGCGCAATTCTTTCTCACGCAGGTATTACAAGAGCCTGCGAGCTTGGAAGGGGCCCAGGCAGTCATAAATTTGGTGAGTATCGGAAATCTCGAACCAGACATTCTTGAGATTATAGCTGATCGGTTTTAAAGACTCTCTTCGAGCTTTCGTCCGGAAACATGCGGGCAACCAACTACTTCGCTGCGATCGCCGCCCGATTTTTATTCATGCTCGGTGCCAATCTTGGCAATCCCCCACAGGGTTCTCAAAAGTATTCGCGCAGAGAAAAGACATTGGTCTCTGCGCAACCTTTTCTGGATTTGCTACACCCTCGATAAAGACATTTGCTTGCGAACGGGTAGGCTCTTCCCATCCATGCCCCCATCCATCTTAACACTTCAACTTCGATTATAACCCTTCTTTCATCAGGCCAACCACCTACAATTGCAGACGAGCATTGTGACTTGACTCTCCCACCAGGATACATAGAGCGAGCCTTCACAGACCCAGAGAGCGAAGAATCGACCAACGTTGACCCGATATTCCCATTCGACTTGAGACTCAGTATGATCAAATCGCGAGCACATAGCGCATTGTACTCAGTAAGCTCTCTGAAAAAATCCGACGCAGACCTGTTGAAGTCAATACGAGAGTTGGACGATGAGCTGGAGGAATGGCGCGCAGCAGTCCCAGCGCATTGGCGCCCGACTATGTCCTTTGCACAGGATGCTTCGGATCCAAATGTCTGCATGCACTCCGTCATGCTGCGGATGAACTATTATCTCTGCATGTCCATCATTCATCAAGCGAGTAGTCGGTGCAAGGCTTGGGTGAATGGGAGTGGGGGGTTGGTTGATGGAATTAGTTCCAGTCTCACATTATCCGTTGAGGCCAGTCGATCGACCCTATGCTACTTGGAATCTGCAGAACATGTTTTAGTTGATGGAGTCTTTTGGTATGTTGCCACCTAGTACTGACTTACCATACGAAATTGCAAGGAGGGCCCACTTGCTAATCGAGCTTTATATAGGACGCTCATATTTTACCCCATGTCTGCTCTTCTTACGATTTTTTGCAGCATTCTTCAGAATCCGCTCGATCCACGCTCGCGTGATGATATGGGTCTTCTGAGGGTGGCAACGGTGATGATTAGACGTATTTTCACCCGCAAGTTGCCACAGAAAGAAGTAGCCCAGTTCAAGTTGGTGGCCGACTTTGTGGTTGAATTGAAAAGACTGGCAGAGTGTGCCATCGATAAAGCGTGGCGCGAGCAGAGCACCGGTTCGCTTTTATCTAATTAATCAGCGGCACTTGGAGATAATGGGAGGGTAGACTGGGGTGTTGGTTAAATTGGGGATCGTGCTGAAAGAGACTGGTGGACTGGATGCCCCAAGTATCTCCAGCCTCGAACATTAGACTTTGCCCTGCTTTTATTTCTCTCCCCCCTTTTGCTACTCGGAGTTTGGGCGCTGAGCAATGAAAGAGGGTTTGATGCATGGCGTTTCTACTGCGATGTCAAACACCTACTAGACTTATTCTACAACCAGGTACAAAATCACAATACACCACTAATAACCTTGGAAATGACATCTCCAGCGGACTTTCTCATACCATTGGTAGGGAGGATATTAAGCCAACGTGAACGTATACCTTGAACTTATCCTAGCATCTAGGTTATATGTGCATTAGAGGGATAAAAAGCTTCGAAGCTCGTATAGAGGCACGGACCATACAGCCAAGATCACTAAGCATCACAAGATACCATTTCAAGCACAACCAGGCTAATAACAAGCATCCACGTAGAAGAAAATCCATTGGAAACCGTGCAGTTCGCACAGAAGACAAAGTGGGGGGAATATAGAACGGAATGACAAAAGAAAACAGGATATCGCTCAGTAAAATGCAAAACATGCGCAACTTCAACGAGTCCATCCATTCATTCAAATTTCTCGCCCAACGCAATTCAGTAGGTAGAGTGAGTGGTGGGTGAGTGACAAGAGCACCCACACCTGCCATCACCATGCCTCACATCACGGTACAGATACAACAATCACACTCCTCATCACCACAATCACAACCGAAGCAGGGCTTCGAAACTGTTTTGATAGGCCCTTTGATCGAGCTTCCGGAAGCACTGGAAGGTAAAGTCCAGTTAAACGGATTCGAGGCAGCGGAGATCATCTTGACTTGACTTGACTTCCCAACAGCGGTGGAGGTCGGAGGGTATGTAGCGGGTCTAGATTAGACTTTATGTTTAGTTAGCAGAGTCTCAAACCATGGGCTGAGATGAATGGGACTCGAACCTCGACGCGGGTGGAATGGGAATATCTCGAGCAGAAGAACTGGAAACTGGGATATTATACGATCGACCAGATCCACAAATCAATGGGCAAAAAAGGGATGGGAATGAAACGAGAAAAAAAAATCGGAAGAAAGAAAAAAAACCCCCAATATCAGGCCAAGATAATTAATGGTAACAGCCCTATAGCGTCCCCGCAAATTGGACTTGGACCGAAACCACCGAGCAGGCAGCCATTTATTTTCTGCGCGCGTGAAGAACCTCCCGCCACACACGTCACAGGGTTTAAGTGGACTGGCAGTATGTACTACGTAGGCTAAGGTGTAAGGAAGTGGTAGAAGAAAGTGAATGATGAATTGAATAATAAATGAGGATATCTAGGGATGTCATAAAGCAGGTGCGGTGATAGCAAGTATAAAACGTGGTAAGACTGCAGAGCCCAGGGAACGGGAATATTTGCCAGGTTTACCAGGGTCAAGCCGAAAAGGAATGCTCCAAGGGGTTATTTCAAGGGTTAGTTCGATTTATCTAAAACCACTCGGAGACCAGACTAAAAGAACAGATCTACAGATCTACACAGAAACCAAATTTTGTCTCGAAAGACAAGTCAATTGACCTATATACAGCAACAACTTTTGTACTATTCATCACTCATCGCGGAATTCTCCGCTCCTGAGACGGGGTAGGGTATCGTCTAGTCATCTCGTGTTGGGGGGGGGAAATCCTCCAAGTCTATCCATTAACATCCAAAGTCATAAAAAATAAATAAATCATCAGGCGCAAGCCAATTCAGCGAGAGGAAAGGCTTTACAGCTGCTCGACCCAGGGGGCGGCGCCGGCCTGCATCTGGTTGAGCCACTTGACGAGCTCGATGAGCTCGGCGCGGCGCTCATCCTCGAGCTGGTCCTCGTCACCGGTTAGGACGGCCTGGAAGACGGGGAGCAGTTGAGGGGTGAGCTCGCGGATGGTGGGATCCTCCCACTTGTACATCTGGCAAATCATGCGGTACAGGGGCTCGTTCTCCTCGTAGTCGTTCTTCAGAGGAAGAATGTTAACCAGGACGGGGAGGACGTCCTTGGTGGGGACGTTGTCGCGGCTGCGGAGAATCATGCGGCTAACGCAGCCAGTGGCATTGTCCTGCAGGCGAGACACGTTCATCGACAGGCACTGCTCGAGGCGGCTGAGGATGGTGGGGTACTCCTTCAGCATCTCAGCGTCGGACTGGGAGTGCTCGACCAGGCGGCCGACAGCGTAGGCGGCGTTGGAGCGAGTCTGGGGGTCCTCATCGTTGAGACGGTGGAGGAGGAGCTTGAGGAAGGTACCGGTGAAGGGGGTGACGGAGCCGCCCATGCCGTTGATGCACTCAGCGAGGACACCGACGGAGGTGGCGCGCTCAAGGGCCTCGCCGCTGCTGGCATAGCGGAGGATAGTCTTCTCGAAAACCTTCCAGAGCTCAGCGAAGCTAGAGCCGAGAGCGGCGGCCATACCAGAGACAACGTCAAGGGCGGTGTCCACGACGACCCAGTCGAACTCGGAAGTCTCTTCACCGGCCTCAGCGGTCTCCTCCTCGGGACCGAATTCAAGCTGGCAAGGGTGCTGCTTCGTGATGATGTCAGTGACCATCTGGATCACGTTGTGCAGCATGGTCTCGTCAGCGATGAGAGCGGGACCGCAGAAGCGGAGGTTCTCAGCCATGTTTCGGTTGATGTCGGCGACGGTAGCACTTAACAAATCAGATCAGTTAGCATGTGGTCAAAACCAACGATCAGAAGCAGCATAGCAAAAAAAATAGTGAAGAACAATTTCAGATACAGAACGCCGTTTACATCAATCGCGACTTTTGCGCGTCAAAGTGAGCTGGGTTAAGCGAGATGGATCATCATGAAAAGGGGTGTGCCCGGAGGCAACGGAGCAAAAGCAAAACATATAAAAAAGCATTAAAACGTACCGGTCGTCTTCCTCAGTCCACATCTTGACGGTGGCAGTCATGAGGATTTCACCAAACTTCTTGACCTCCTTGGCGGGCTGGACCTGAAGGGGCAGACCAGGCTGCCACTTGGCCATTTGCTCGGTCTCCTCAGCAATGCTGACGAGCATAGCGTAGGAGCGGTGCAGAGTGCTGATAGTGCTCTTGCGAACACCCTCGTAAGGGTGCTCAGCAAGGGGCATGACCTGCTCAATGGTCTTCTCGAAGTAGGGAAGGAAAGAGCTGCGGGTGTGGGTGATCAGATCACCGATAACCTCGACGGCAATCTCCTTCTCAAGAGACAGGGGAGTGGTAGCGGTGATGTCGTCCCAGGCATCCTCGTCGTCCTCGAAGTCAACATCCTCGATCTCACCCTCAACGTCATCTTCATCGTCAGCGGAAGCGACCTTGACCTTACGGCCAGCAACGGTCACCTCCTGACCAACAAGGTCCTTGGCTGCCTCGCCAAGCTCGACCTCAAGGTCGGTCTCATCTTGCTCAATACAGGCGAAGAGACCGTTGACAACACCCTCCAGGAAGGGGGAGAAGTCCTCAGAGTAGACCTTGGCCATGGAACCCCAGAAGATGTAGGTGCTCTCCTTGAGACGGGAGTGTCCCAGGTGGAGAGCCTCCTCGGTGGCGCGCATGAGGGGCTCAACGTAGGGCTGGTAGCGCTCAGGGCCAGCGGCAGCAGCCATCTCACCCATAGCGTCAGTGACACTAGCACGGAGATCAAGCTCCTCCTCGCTGTCCTTGACGGCAGCAAACTCCTGGAGCAGGTGCATAGACTCGTCGAAGAAGGACAGGAAGGAGTCACCGGCGGAGGAGGCCAGAGAACCAAGAGCACCGGCAGCGAGAGCCTTGATCTTGAAGTCGGGGTGCTTGAAGAGGTTGTGCAGGATGGGGACAAGCTCAGCTTGGTAGGGAGCAACGTCCTTCTCATCGAGACCGTCAACGACGGCATCAATGGCGCTGATACCAGCCTTCATGATGTCCATGGTAGGACCATCCTCCTCTCCATTGTACTCGGCCATGGCCTTGGCCAGATTCTGGAAAAGCAGGGGCATCAGGCGCGCGTGCTCTTGGCTGAGGTCCTCGGCGAGGTCATCGGCCAGACGGGCAACGGCGTGCAGGGAAGCCTGACGAACCTTGGACTCGGAGTCGGCAAGGAGTTGGAGAACCATAGGGAAGATCTCGTGCATCTGGGTGCTGATGAAGTCGGGAGCACCCTCAACACACATACCCAGAGCCATGATACCGGCGCGGCGGTAGTTAGGGTCTTGGCTGTTGAAGTACTGGCCGAGGGCCTGGAGCAGAGGAACAACAATCTGGCTGGGGGGGGAGGCTCTGGGCGAGCATATCCAACAGACCGAGGGCGGAGCGAGCAGGGGTGATCTCGTCGTCGATGGGGGCATCATCCAGCTCGGTAACGATGTGCAGAGCAGTGTGGGTGAGCTGCTCACCAATGCGCATACCCTGGATCTTGAGCTTGCGGTACTGAACGGCCTGCATGAGGAAGCTGATGGCCTGGGTGCGGACATCCTCATCGACCTCGGTGTTGGCAGAGATCTCGTTCATGAAGACAACGAGGTCCTTCAGATGAACAGTGAGAAGGGCAGGGTCGCAGCCGAGCAGGGTCTGGAAGACCTCGAAGGCCTGCATGATGCGGTCGTCATCACCGGAGGAGATAGCGTCCTTCAGGACAGCAACCATGGAGGGAACGAGGTCCTGGAAAGCCTTGACAGAAGCCATGTCCTCCTCCGAATCGAGGTGCATAGCCAGCTTGCTGAGAGCAAGCAGGGTGTTGATGCGGACCTCGGCGCTCTCGGGGTCCTGGATGGTCTTGCTGAAGAGCTTGAAGAGGTCAGAGAACTTCTCCTCGAAGCCTTCACCGAGAGTCTCCAAGATGGTGAAGAGAATGTAGATAGAGACGGCACGCTCATCCTGGTTGCCGCCGTCGGCAGCGCGGAGGAGCAGGTTGGGCAAGTCAGCCCACTCGCCATCCTCGAGATCGATCTTGGCCACAGCGGAGATAATACGAGCAATGGAGTGACGGACCAGGAAGAGCTATCGCTCATCGAAGAGCGGAGCAGCTGATCCCGAACCTGGGGCTTCTGGTCATCGGCGACCTTCACCCAGTGCTTGTTAACGTTACCGCGAGCCTCAACAGCCGCGAGTTGACGGAAGTGAGGGTCCTCATGTCCGGTAGCGATCTGAATAAGGAGGACGAAGGACTGGGGCTGGGAGTAGAACTCCTTTTGCAAGATGCCGGTAGCTTCCTTAACATTTCCCTTGGAGGCTGGAGGACGCAAGGAGTCAGTGACATTCATCTTCAATGGGGATCAGGGTGGTACATACGGTCAAGAACCACCTGCAGCTGCTGCAGGAATCGTTGTTGATCCATAATGGTGTGAAATGAGATCGAAATCAGAGATTTCTTCTTTTATGTGTGCGTGGAAGGTCGTAAAACAAAATGTCCCGGGCCTCTTTATGTGAAAGAAACGAGGCTAGAGGGACAAATGCAATGAGCAGCTTGTCTTCGACAAACAGCTCACTTTTTGGGGGGGTATCAAGATAAACGAAAAGGAAAAGGAAAGAAAAAAGAAAAAGGAGAGGATGGTGGGGGAAGAAGAAAGAGGGAGAAGCAGAAGTATTTGAGGCACAGCAGAAAAAAAAAAAAAAGTCGTCAGGGGTGGGATGGCTGCCCAATCGAGTTTAGGGCGGGTCCGAAATTTTTGCTGGAGCGCGTTGGAGGTCCCACTGCTTCTGTTGGTACTGGGACGCGCCGAAATTTCTGGTTCGCGATGGAATTAATTCGATTGTTTTGAGGGGTTGCTATGGGGCTTTTTGTGTAAAAAAGTAAATAATTTACTTTATTGGTTGGTGGTGTGTGGTACTGGGAAAGAAACACACCTATTGTAGTACCGAGATTGTTCAATGATATACCCGGAATGACCAATTCATATACGATGGTCAGCTCTGCAGACAAAGCAATGATGTAGATGAAATATCCCTAAAACTCCTCCACCTGTTCTGTATAACTCCAAAGCCCAAAGCTAGAAGAGTCTCAGCCAGCAAGTTGACCGGACCCCAACAACCACGGTAATAACTATGAAACAGAGAGCGGAAGATAAAATGCAAGACACCAAGAAAGACCAGTTCAATATTCGTCAGAGTCATATTCGTCATCGACCAGCAATGACCGATAGCCTCGAGAGGCAAGATTGGCTTCCAACCCGCCATCAGACGCGGGATCAGAATACCCTGGAGAAGAAAACGTTAGCAAAGATCCACTAGCTAGGACCCAATGTCCGATGATGTCATGTACGTACCTCCACCACCAAAGTAGCTAAGAGCTACCGGCAGGAAGATGAGGGCGTGGGTGGCGGCAAAGATAACTAGCGCCAGCCACACCCTGAAATAGTAGATCTCAAAGATCTTGCTCCGCGTGAACGCAAGAACACAGACTCCTAACAACTTCGTCACAGTGATACCACTAAAGACACTGCCCCCGACATTGACCAGAGCCGTCCAGGCGCGCGCATCCTTGCCGTGGAACTGGGTAGGAGCTTTCTCCAAAAGAGTCGACGAAGGGAACATGAAGGCACGCGCAATGTGAGCACAGAACTCGACACTAATGCCCACACAGATCACCAAGTTCACTAGCGAGACCGCATTGAGAGACACCCCGGCAATGGCCATGGTGCCGATGATATCAACCACCGTCATGACCACTGTCGTTGTTACGACTGCGCCGGTAGCAATGGATCCCAGAATGGCCGAGGTCAGGACAAAAATGATAGCTACCGCCGAGCCGAGGAGCGTGCCTGTCAATTGCACGATAGACACGTACTGGTCGAAGAAGATATAGAACTTGGAGTAAGGGAAGACGTCGATCTTGTGCTCCCGTGAGATATCGTCTGCGATGCGGCGGGCGGCGATATAAGCCTGGATGAAGTCCTCCTGGCTACGGAGGGCAGTATGGCTGGTGCGGTAATGACTGGCACTGATCGTAGTGTGTTCCTCGTCGAGCACCAGTGCATTACTATATGGTGCCTTGCCGCCAAGGGGACAATTGGCAGTGGTGTCGGCTTCAATCCACTTCTCAGCGTAGTGGATAAACTCGGGCCCAGTCGGCATGCCGTGTAAAGTGATGTTCCAGGGAGGATCACGGCCGTCAAAGCAAATCTTGCCGTCTTCCTGGCAGCAGTCCTGCTGGGGGTTGAGCCAGTAGAAGAAATCGTCGAGCCAACTGGCGGCAGATCCGGAGAGGTAAGAGACATTGGAACGCTTGGATTCCTGTTCCAGTATAAATGGCAAGGAGTATTCATCACAGTTAGTGAATCGCCCGCACAATTGTTTTTGATGGGATCGCTCGGTCACATTTACATCACGGGTGATGAAGTAGACAGGAGGCCCAGTGCGGAAGTAATCATAGAGGTCGTTGAAGTATGGGATCAGGTACGAATCGCTGGGAATGGCGATTCGCTGGTCCAGTCCAAGTGGTACTTCAGGGATCAAAGCAATGCCCGCGGTCAAAACGCCCAAAAATGTGATCACAACAGCCGCCTTTACTCGGCGATCCAAGATAAAAGGCGCATAGACACGGCGGATAAATCTCTGGAGAGTGCTTTCAGCCTCCTCATCGTCATATATCTGATCTTCGGGTAGGCCGAATGAGGTCGCTTTGCGCACAGTGAGGCAAGGGAAGCAGTCTGCGCGAAGGCTCTCGACTCGTCTCTGATTAAGAGAGAGGACCGATATAAACATTGTCACCTGCAAAATAGCATTGATGAAGACAGCGCCGGCGGCGTATGCGGCAAAGTTCTTCACAGCGGGCATTCCCACAAACACGCCCAAGGAAAAAGCCACCGTCTCAGTCAAGGCAGAGAGGAAGACACTTGGTCCAATTCTACCCGCTGCACGTGCTACGCGCTCATCAATTTCTTCGTCCGGGTAGCTGAAGTTCACTCGCTCGAATTCATGGACGATCAAGAAGATATTGTCGACACCCACTGCGAGCACAAGGAAGGGAATAACTTCAGCGATGATCAGGGTCGCTCGCACACCCGCGGCCGAGAACAGTCCCACGGAGGCAGAAACAGACATCAACACGATCACGATGCCAGCGATGCCCAGGGTGAATTTGGACTGGACCAGCGCATTGGCGCGGTTATGCAGGAGAGATCGCCAGGTGACAGTGACAGATCCCAGGGCGAGAGATGCATACAAGAACATGATCACGTAGCTGATAACCACGATCTTTGCATCCGTGTTGGTAGACTTGTTCAACTCCTGCTCCAGGCTGATTTCGGTATTGAATGAGACACGCAGTCCCCGCTCAACTGCTTCTTCCTGGACGACATCGAAAACGCGCCTAAAACTATTCTCCCAGTCGATCGCCTTCTTCTCGCCGTCGCTCCCTTGGTCGTGGTTATTCACTACCCAGGTGACGATCAACGCCTTAGCATCCAGAGCATTTTCACTTTCATCGTACCCGCCCAAGATCATCTCCGGCTTCAGGGGCTGTGAGAAGTCCGGCAGACAGCTCACATCGCCAGGCGATTCTGTACAATGGCTCAGACGATCCTCCCAGGTATCCGGATCGAGGTTGAACACCGAGCCGCCATAATAGCCAGTCAAGGATTGTACCACACAGGCATTACCGACGGGTTTGAAGCAAACATCATCTAAATTCAGGCCAAGGTCGAGCGAGATCATCCTCCGCACGCGAGACTCAACATCAAACCACCAAACGAGCGTGTCATAAGTCAGTACTGGGCCAGTTTCATTGACCAAGAACGCCTGTTCGGCTCGGTAGAATGGGCCAAAGTTTTCATCGAAGTAGGCTTTCTCTTGTGCTGCAGCTGACGACGGGCTCACCCACAGGCGGACTGGGTCGGTCTCAACCGCGAAACGTAACCAGCCTAAGCTGAGCAGGACCACAAAGACAAAGCTGGAGACAATGGTGATGGCCGGGAACCGTGCTGAGGCTCCACCAATGCGGTGGAACAAGGCAGACAGTAGCGAGTTCGGTTTATATACTCCCTGCGGCTGTTCCATATATCCACCACGATGAACAACTTCACCTTCATCCTCTTCATCGCTAGGAGCCGGGTCTTGCAGTAGGCGAACACGTTCAGGCTTGCGGAATCGGCGCTCCTTGAAAGTTACGTAGCTTGCAAGACTCATTACTAGTAGCAGGAAGGCGGAGTATATGATGATAACGGCGAAAGACAGACATGGCAACAGTCCAACATGGCAGCTCTTTTCGGTTGACACGGCAGGTAACTCGGGGCAAACATCTGGACAATCGACGCAAGAGCAACGATATGCCTTGTCGGGGTCATTGCAGGCCTTTGGCTGAATCGACAAGGGCCTCATGCCCTGCTCGTCACTGCGTGGCTCCGTACGAAAGTTGATCTGGAACGGACTGCCAAGAAACTTCTTATCGCCCAGGAACTTCAGGAACTGTTCGTAATCTTTCGCGCCGCCTCCGATGAAATCGATCGCTTTACCGCCAGAGGCACCGTTCTTCACGTTCTTGCAGCTATCGAAGAAGCCGCTTTGGTATTCCTCAGACCAGACATTATCGATCTCAGTGACGAGTGTCTTTCCTGAGCTATTCTCTTCCGTTTGCGTGACATTAACGAATAGGGATTGGTCGGGCGAGCAGGTGAATGTGCAAAAGATGTTGAAGAAGTTATCTCGGCAAGCTGGACAGGAGGCAATGATGCCCTCTGCCAGTTTGAGGTTGGAAGACAGCGCATCAATCTACACGTGGTTGATTCTGTTAGCATGGCTATGATAGAAGCAAAGGAATCCGCAACTTCCAAGAGTCACAAAGTTCTACTCACTTGCTCCTCGAGACAACAGACTGGGCCGGACTCCCATTTCGGGCCACAGAGGTTGACTAGCTTCTCCCGCACGGGGTCCTCCAGGCCCTTCGCCCGTCCATTATCGGGGCACGGCAGTTCCCCACCAAAGATCGACTGTTTCCCACATTGTCCTCGGATCGCGCATCGGCCCTTCTCGTGGATCTTTGTCTCGCCTTGTGCGGCGGCGAGCGTCGGCTGTAAAGCAAGGGAGGAGAGCCCGACGAGCGCGGCGACGAGACTCAATTGCCGCATAGTTGTGAGAGCGTGTTTATGACTTTAATGAGTGTTTCTCTCTCTTGATGAGTTGAGAGGTCTTCTTTTGTAGTATAGCGAGTTGTCTAAGGTCGTTCAGAGTCGGTGGTCGACAATGCGCCAGTGGGGCATGGGCATGTGTGAGGTATGGTCGCGAGACCGTGTTGAGAGCGTGTTCAGGAGTGACAAGGTGTAAGGAAGGTAAATCCCAGAATAGAAGCAGAATTCAGGGGATATCCAGACCTGCGACAACTTGAAGGAAAAGAAGGAAGACCAGGAAGGTTAAGACGGAGCTAAGGGAGAGCATGACATGACGTGGACGGGGCCGAGGCGGAGACAAACCGGGAAAAGCGGGTCAACCCCGTTCTCCAGCTTCAATTTCAAGTTTGGTCTACAGGGCAGTCTAGCATCTATGGTGATTAGTATTATATTTTACAATTTACCAGGTCTCTACCTAGGTACTCCTGCTTATGAATCAGTTGATGGGTTTCTATTCAATGTAGTCATATGTAGGCTAGTTTACGATATTTCCCAGTGGCACTCAATCAATATCTGGATTAAATAAGGTAGCCTGGATTAATATACCCCTAGTTGAGATATTTATTCTTTTCAACAAGGACAACCCCCAGAACTACTAGAGAAGCCGCCGAAGAAACGCACCGGGCACTTTTATAAACATAACGCCGGGCACAAGAGATACATCCAACTAGAATGTCTGCATCGCCGATCTAGTTAGCGATCAGGACGCATGAAATGAAAGGAAAGGTCTGGAGAGAAAGGAAAATGATATCGTAAAAGTTTCAAACATAACCATGTACGCAGATTTCAAAAATGCGTCTAGTAGCCCTCATCTTCAGCCTGCTGATAGATGTGGCGCGTCCGCGTTGGGTCCTTGCGCATCGTCTGACCAGACCCGGTGAATCCCACTATCAAAAACAATTAGTTGGGTGTCAATCAAGACACGATTACCAGCACGCAATCGGCCCAAAGAATGAAACGTTAAGGAAAGTAGAGCATACCTCGAGCGTTAGGACCGTCGCCTGTACGAAACATGCTATCCTTCTTGCCAAGCTTGCTCTTGCTCTTGCCCTTGGTCTTGGCCGCAAAGTCCTTCCACTTATTCTTGCCCTCCTCCAACTCGCGGGTCGCCTTGACCTTGCGAGGCACCTTTGCCGGACGCGCATCGCTCGCCTGGGGCGTCTCGTTGCGAGCCTGATTGGCCAGCGTTGGGTTGATATCGGCGGCGGCCGAAATCACGTTGGACGGCGCGGGTGAGGGAGACGCCGAACTGCCTGAAGGACCATCAGCCTTGCGCTTGCGATTGTCATTTCCCTGGACGGGTCGGATGTCCTTGGAGGTCAGGTTCTCCACGGTCGCATATGACTTGAAGGAAACGAGGTAGACGGGGTTACTGGCGGAACCAGTGATGGAGGTGATGCGGGCGGGATAGAAGGAGCCGTCTCCGGAGACCCAGCGGGCGAGAACGTGCTCGTTGACGGTGAATGAGGCAGGTTGTGAAGGGACAATCTCGTCTTTGTTATCTGCGGCTGGTTTTGAGGCATTGTCTTTTTTCCACGAGTCTCGAGAGGCGGGCTGGGGCTGGACGGGCGCGGCGGGCTTAAGCTCGGCAATGGCAGTTTCGGTGAGAGTTATAAGTTCTTCGAGTTCAGTTTGGAGACTCTGCAGTTCCGTGTTATCGGGTTCTACCTGCAAGCTTGACTGGACAGTTTCAAGCTGGACCGAGCATGTTAGTTCTGATTCTGGGAGGGCTGCGGCAAATTTTGGACCGGGGGGAGTTTACCTGAAGCTTGAATTCTTTGACCTCGGCCTCCAGGGCTGCGACGTCGGACATTGTATTGCGGGGGATGGGTTTATTCTGGAAGGGCAAGGGTTAAAGGAAGGGGGAGGGATCAGAAGGTCAAAGATGGCCGCGTTGAGTGAGGGAGATTGATGGCTCCAGCTGATTTGATATGCGGAGGCCGTTGATATGTCCAGGTCACGTGATGATTGCGATCTTGCAGTGCTTATCAGCCATCATCTGCCAGCATCTAGGGAACTAGGGTACCCTAGGGCATTCTGGCTAGGAGATGGCATTCTAGTATGTACTACTGGTACTAGTCGTAGTTGATATTCTGGACACCTCGGTATCTGCGGTCTAGACTGGATGGAGATGTGACATCTGATACTCAGGAAGGGATCTTTGGATTCATGGAATCCACCCTTGGCTAGATAGGGTCGACGTGGGTGCCTAGTACGAGTACTGGTAGTACTAGTAGTACCAGTACTGCATACTACGCTGAGTGGCCTGATTGCAGCTGGCACGGGCAAAGGAGTACGATCGACCAGGTGCATGCGAGGTCGGAGCATAATCTAGCCGGGGGCCGAGTGGAAACGTCATCTTCCAAGATTGCCACGAGGTGGGTCTAAGAGTTAATAGTAGTACTCCAGGGCTACTAGCAATATTCTATGAATGATACCAGTAGTATATAGAGTATGCTAGGGATACTGAATACAGGCTGGGTAACTACTACTACTCCTACTACTACTACTACTTCTCGGAGGTACCGGAGATATACTATTGGAGACCTGTTCTACTATATATAATGGTAGAAACACTGGCGGTGAGGACCGTGAGGTACTACTAATAGCATACTGAGTACTTAAGCACTAGGCTATAACTATAACTACTAGTACTACGATAACTTATACTAATAGTAGCACACTAACTAGACTATAATAATTAGTACTACTCCGTACTAGTTACTAGTACTGTCTGACTCACAGAACTGGATCGAACCCTCTTCTGACTGATTTCTAAGCACTCCAAACATTCCCCGCTACCCTGGATCCTCCCCCCACTCTGATTGGCTGCCGATCACCTGCCTTCACCACAACTGGGAATTGCCTCCCCCCCCCCAGCGTCCCATTGCATCCATTGGATTGATACCACTCCCTCCACTCCCTCAATGTCTTGTTCTCATCTTTAATCCCGGCCCCCGTTTCACTCACCATCCCGGCGGAAAATACGAGACCCAGTCCGTTTGTGGTCTAGTCAGTCTTAGCCTTCTTAGCCTCAGGCCCCGCTACGATCTCATCTCTTTTTTCCCCTCTTCGTTGAATCATCATCCCTCCAGGCTCCGGCTTCGTTTGTCCATCACGGCCTTGTAGCCTTCAAGTTGCCACCCTTCCGTTAATCCCGTTCTGGACCCCTCCAGAACGCTTTCTATCGGCAACCCCCATCTCATGGTGTGTGGGCGAAACGCCCAGTCGACCGCCTCGTTTCGGATCATTCCAAAGAACCGATCTTTCGACCCCCTCCAATCTCTTCAATCATGAGTGACTACGAAAACCTCTACCAGGCTGGGATGTATCTATCCCCCGGCCAGCAGGATCTCCTCCTTGCTGCTCTATCATCCAACAACCCATCCCAAAAGAACCCCAACCATACCCCGCAGATTAAGCAAGATCTCAGCCCCGATCAATCCTCAAATGGTGGCCTGAGTGGGCCCCCGTCGGGTGGATATGAGAATGCTCAGTTTAATGGCTTGGACTTCGGGGAGAATGAGAGTCCCTACCTCGACTTCAACCCAGACGTCGACTTCGAGTTTCCTGGCTCGGGAGATCTGATCGGGGACTTACCCGATGGCGAGTATGAACTCGGTGAGAAACGGAAGTCGATGGATGGGAAGTCGGATGACGAAGAGGAGACGGGTAAGAAGCGGCGGGAAAGCGAGGCGAAGAAGCCGGGTCGCAAGCCGTTGACGTCGGAACCCACGACGGTATGCCCTTCCTGACCACCCGCAACCCAGGCAGTCAGTCCCTAACCCATTACACAGAAGCGTAAGGCTCAAAACCGTGCCGCACAGAGAGCGTTCAGGGAGCGCAAGGAGAAGCACCTCAAGGACCTGGAAACCAAGGTGGACGAGCTACAGAAGAACTCGGACACCACTACCCAGGAGAATGGCCTGCTCCGAGCCCAGGTGGAACGTCTCCAGGTGGAGTTGCGTGAGTACAGGAAGCGTCTCTCATGGATGACGAGTGGCAGCGGCCGCTCAGCCATCAGCGCCATTCCCAGCGCTCACTCTAAGGGAGCCTACGGGCTCCAGAACAACGAATTCTTGTTCGACTTCCCCAAGTTTGGTGACCTTCCCGGATCCCATCTGTTTAATGGCCAGGGCAACAAGAACGATCAATCGAAGGCCAAGTCGAGTGATAACGTGCCTCGTGCCCCTGGTGTACTGAGTCGTCAAAATGGAAGCCCGGCTAGTTCCAGCAATTCGAAAGCGAGCACCCCCACGGCCGGTCCCAATTCCAAGCCAAGTCCTTGGTCGAATGGGACCCCCGCTTCCGTCAAAACCCCTTATAATAACCTGAAGCCTTCCAACGCCTCGACTCACGACACATCGACCTCGGATTCGCCGTCTTCCTCATCTGACTCGCATCAGAGCCAGCTGCTTTCATCAAGTGGCACCTCCCCAGAGCCCAGCGTGAATTCCCCACCAGACCACAAGCCTAATGGTTCCGGTGCGAATACTTGCAGTATTCATGGATCGATCAATGGCGAACAATCCTTCTGCGCCCAACTGGGCATGGCTTGCGGCAACATCAAAAACCCCATCCCGGCGGCTCAAAAGGGCAAGTCCAACAGCATTTCGAGCGATCACCCAGCCTCCACCGATGATTACGGGCTAGACTGGTTGTCTCAACAAAATGGTGGTCAATTCGACCCTGTACTGTTTGGTGACTGGCGGGAGCCTCAGGACGCCGTGCTCTCCCAGGACTTTGGTTCTTTCTTCAACGATGCTTTCCTCTCTCCCCGACCTGGGCAGTCCATCTCATAACCTGACAGAAGCAACAACGCAGCCGACGCCGAAGCCGCAGCCACAGCCGAAGAAGGATCTGATGTCTCGAATTGACCAGAAGCTTGAGGAAGAGGTTGTCCCAGGCGAGGACAAGAATTCGATGCTATCTTGCAATAAGATTTGGTATGTTAATAACCCTTTTGAAGATCCGATTGTCGACCAGTCACTAACGCACTCTCCTCCCAGGGATCGACTACAATCGATGGAGCGATTCCGCAATGGCGAGATCGATGTTGACAACCTGTGCTCAGAGCTGCGCACTAAGGCCCGCTGCTCTGAGGGTGGTGTCGTGGTGAACCAGAGTGATGTCGATGATATCATGGGTCGCGCGAAGTAATCAGTCGGCCCGACCCGGTTTGGGATGGAGACGGTTTGCATACTCCATTATCCCACCCAGACACCTCACTTCACGACTCACGGAACCCGCTTCACGCCCAATCAGCTGTACACGTTATCAATCATACCCATCATCTCATCGAATTGTCATTTGAAAATATCCGGCGTAATACATACAACTCAGGAAATCCCTCAAAATGAGAGGAATCATCGGCCATACGCACCGCACTGCACCGCACTATCATCTACTTCGAAATTGGATCCGTATCGGCGCACTATTGGCCCACTGCCTCGGAGGCATTTTGAATCCGTTCTATTGATCTTCAGATTTTTCATTTTCTTCTTCTTCTTCTTCTTCGTCTCCGTCTTCTTCTTCTAGCTATTTTTTTGTTCAACTGCTCTTGTTGATGTTGATGTTTTCATCATTTCTCTCCTTCAGCCCGGCGAACGGAGACCCGGTTCTCGTTGTCCTGCGATGCAATCTAGTAGAATGCTGGCGCATTTTATCTTATCACCGGAGGAAAATATGGTTGGCGAATGGAAAGAAATGGCCTGGAAAGGAACTGGAATAGGTATTTTGATACTTGCACGCTTTCTTTTGTGCTGTACCCTTGTAAACAAATATGAGTACTTCGAACGATTTTCTGACGATTTTTCTCTTGCGTAAGTACTAGGTAGTAAGTACTAAACTACTCCTAGTGACTAGTAACAGTATTGATCTTATTAGCTGGGTACCTAACAAGTACTCATATCTTCCCAATCTGACTTGCATCTGTCTCTAGACTAGACCAATTAAGAACATACAGCTTACTACATCGCTACAGCGAGTTACCACTGGGGGAAAACGTACTACCCCGACCTGATCTAGATGCAATTGACACTACAACTAGTACAGGTACAGGTACAACTAACTACTCGTTACAAAACCAAGAACCGAAGGTGTAAGGGTATCGATGTTTGTCTCTTCCAGGGAGGGAAAAGGAATTAAAGTACAAAGAAACAACCGGGAAAAAGGGAAGAGGGCAACGACAGGGATGTTAATTATTTTTTTTTTCTCGCATTGGTGGTTTTTCTTTTTCTCTTTCTGTCTCTGTCTTTCGCTCATAGTAGCATGCGTGTTGTGATCACGTACGCTCTGCCAGAATCTCGCCAGACTTGTTCTCTGTTGAGTTTCAACGTGCTTCATAAAGTGACCCCCGGGCCTGATCTTGCCCCTCTCTCCTCCCCGTAGATTGTTTGGAGCGAAGCAGAGAATCATAGTAATAGACCGGGAATCATTGTAAAGCACACCATTTGCTTAACGTTGTGAAGGGTGGGTAGGGGAGGAGGGAATTCGAAAATGGGTTTCACGGAGTGAATAAGAGACACAAAGAAATTGGAATAAGTCGCAAAAAAAAGAAGAGGATGGGAGGAAGGAACATGGTGTCAACGTGAGGGGCGTAGGAAAACAGTTGATCGATGGGCTTGTCGATCATTCGAAGGGTAAAACGCGCGCGGAGAATGGAAATGACCTCTGGCTCAGGATTTAAGCGTCACCAGAGGGGGTGGGCTTGTCACCCGAAGGAGTCGACGCAGGGGAATCGTTTGGCCCACCACTCTTGAAGCCACCGCGGCCACCGCGGCCTCCACGGCCACGACCCCGGTCACCACGACCGCGGCCAGTGAATCCACCCCGGCGAGCACCCTCGCTGTCACTAGCAGACTGATACCCACGCGAGCCGGCGTTGGATCCACCACGGCCACTTCCTTGCCAGGTACCGGCGTTACCCTGACCACGGCTGCGGTCCTCAAAGAACTTGAAGTTGGGCTTGCGAGGTTGACCGCCGGTCGTAGGGCCAGACTTCTTGTGTTCAATGGGTTGACGGTCCATGGCGGCCTTGGCATCCTCCACAGTCGGGAACGTGACAACGTGGTTGAACTTGCCATACTTCTCAATCTTAGTGAGCTTGGCCTGATCCTCCTCTGGGAACAGGTCGCGGACAGCTTGCTCGTTATCGACGTTGGAGATGAAAAGCCCGTTGCTAGGCTTCTTCTCGCCGCGAGGAGCGGGGGATTCGCTGGTCTTTTCTGGCTGGGCGGTACCGTTGGTATCAGCATTGACCTTCTCCTCACCGGCGGACTGGGTGGAGGTTGCAGCAGGCTGGGGGCTGGCAGCCTTGGGAATCACAGGAATGGGAGAAGCACGAGCGGGCTGACCCTTGGCCTGACCGGGGGCAGGGGCGCCACGAGCCGGAGGCTGGTTGAACTGAGGCGTGGAAGCTGTAGGGCGACCACCAGCACCGGTAGGCGCGGGGGAAGCAGTGGTAGCAGGCAGGCCGCTGGCGACGGGAGCACCAGCAGCGACGGGCTTGCCGCTACGGTGAGCGAAGTTGAAACCTTGAGCCCGCATTTCCGTAGCGATACGTCCTCCCTCGATCTCTAGAACCAGGTATCCAAAGGCAGCGTCAGCCAAGTTGAAGTTCCACATGTTCTTGAAGGCGCTCTCATCCACTTGGCCAGCAGCATTTCCGGCGGCGACGGGGCCACCGAAGGGGTTGCCGCCATTGGCGATGGAGGGCATCTTCTGCACCACGTCCAAAGCATTGTCGAGCAGTGTCTTTTGGGCCTCATTAGAGTTAATGGCCGACTCAACCTCTCCGCGGACAGTCTCCCAGACATCATTGAATGAAGCCTTGGAGGCAGCGAGCTTGCCTCGGTAGTGGTCCAGCGAGGGGTTGACGGAGAACTCATTGTAGGAGGATCCGTAGCGGAAGTGCAGACCAGCGGAGACGGAGAAGTCTGCCTTGAGGGTGACCGAGAGCTGGTTCAGCATGCCCTCACGGGCCGGAGAGGCATGTGTGACGAAAATGCGGGTCTCGGAAGGATCATAAACTCGGTTCGCGGTATCGATCAGCTCTCCCATCTGCAAAAGGGTGGTCCACATGGTACCCTGTCCACCAGCAATTGTTGTCTTTCCCTCGCCGTTATCGAATAGCTTGTGCATCACCACTGCACCACCCAGACCCAGGAGGCGCAGCTTCACACCGCCAATGTCCAACAGTCGCGAGTTGGCCTCATCGATGATGTGCAACTTGTCAACCTTGTACTCGCCCGAGCGGAACTTCTCCAACACGCGCACATCTTCGCAAGCACCCCAAACAGTGTAAACAGGAACGTCTAGAGTGATGCGCTTGTCGAGAAGCATAGAAAGCTCGGAGAGGGGTAGCTGGTCGGGGGTGAACCGTTGCTTAATGGATTGTTGAGGAGGGACTTGTGCGATCGTCCTCTTGACATTTTCAGGCAGGAGGGGAGAATATTGGGCGACGTGCTTAAGTGTCCTAGGGGCGGCAAAGGGCGAATGTTAGCTGGACTGTTCCCCGAAAATGTTAGGTGCCCGGCTGACGCGAGCGTAGATCCTCCTTCCTGGCCAGGCCATCGGGCAGCAACCAAAGGGGCATAGTCAAAAAGCAAAAGTCGCGAGATCCAACTCACTTGTCTGCAATGCGCTCCAGGGAAGTATCGTCGTAGAAACCAAAGTCACCCGTGTGGATGATGTGGTCTGCGCGAGCCTGCTTCGCCAGCTCATTAAGGGACTTCAAGTTTCCTATCGATCATGCCCAATTAGCTCAACTCCATGTCATGTTGTAGCCTAATCATTCATATCATTCATACCTCGCACGTCTGCAATGCACAGGATCCGAGTCGGTCCATTCTGAATTACTCTGCCATTGTTGGGGAGAAGCGGCGTGGCCCCGGGCGCCGGACCCGATGGTGTCGCACCGTTAGAGATGGGGTATCCTTGGGGACCAAAGTTGTGAGGACGGGGCTAGAGAAAGAGAAAGAGAAGTGAAGATTAGCACGGGATCTCTTCGAGCTAAATCGCGCCTGGAATGCTCGCCAGTCGGACGCGGAGTGCAGTGCACTCCGCCATCGAGGGGGGAGCGCCGCTGGGGGCACGGGGGCACTTACGGAAGCCATGAGTCTGAGAGGGAAAGAAGAGATTATGGCGTTAATGACAGAATAAAAGGAAGGGGAAAAAGCAAAGGGGGGAGATGAGAGGGGGGGTGAGAGGTTGAAGGGCAAGAAAGAAGATTCACGCATGAAGCACGGCTGCTCTCTTCGGGCGCGGATTAGGTAAGCCCCCTGGCGAGTATAAATTACTTCAATACAGTAGGGTAGGAGTTGTTTGCTACAAATATCTTTGTTTATACAATGCAGATCTATTAGTATCATATATAGGATATTGGAAAATATGGACATACAGCTAGTGAGACTATAGCAGGCGCCTACTATGGCTATCTAGTTGCACTGCTCGTAGTACAAGGTTGGTAGTAGTCACCTAAGTGACATATCAACTTCAAGTTGCCAACCTCGGGTTAGTTACTAGTAGTAAATAGTATATTCAAAAAGAAAGTAGTATAAACTTCTATCAACAAATACTCTGCAGCTTATACTAAATAGTAATACTCTACTAAATAAAAGTATGAGAGTGACTTCTTCCCTCAGCCCTAATCAGGCACCCGATGCCCCCCCTTGGGCCACGCCCTGGGCGCTGCCCCCTGCAAAGCCAGTTCTGGAGATGACATCTGGATCGCACTCCCAACAGAAGTTGTTACCGAAGCCAATGGGCTGTTTCTCACAAGGACTTCTCTTTGCTCAAACCCGACCTTAGGTATCGTAAGATCGCATTTCCTGCTAGCAATGTACAGTCGGTGAGTTCCATCCGGCGCAGATGCGGTATAATAGTTGGTTCTTAGCCATCTCCCATCGAGCCTGTAGTTTTGACCTGGTATATAGCGTCCGGGGGATAACACTGCTTGGACTCTGACCCATGGCCCCATTCTACGTCTTCGATTGCTAAGTATCACTGCTTCAACCTCCACAGCCGGTTCGTGAACCAGTTGACCATTAGCGACAACACCAGTAATCATTCCTAAGGTCATCACTTTCGGTATATCCCCGCCCGAGCGATGAGGCCCTGCAATTATTGATATATCGTTCTGGAAAAATCGCAAGTTACTACAGCCAGTGTCATGAATAACCTCGAGCTCATCCCACCAATCGTAGTGTGGAAGACGGAAGGCTGTTTGATACTGTGGATAGTACCACTGGTCAGATATTGGCTCACCCGGAGAAGATAAATAGGACACAGGAACACATACCACATTGATACCAGTGCGACGGTTGTTGACTCGGAGCCTCTCCTCGACTGTAATCATCGCTAGCCTGCCTTCAGGACCAGGTATTTGGTTCTAGTATGAGGAACGCAAATTAGCTAGACCGAGCAGAATAGGTTAGTGGAACGCAAACGTACCCCTTCGACCCAAAAGTCCTTATAGCCATCGTGTTTCTGATTAATTGCTTCAAATTCATCCCAGTCAAAAGGCCGGGGCTCGCAAAGCTGAGCTCCTTTCGACCAGTATGTAACAAGTCCGGTCCAATCTAGTGTTTGCGACCTGTATGCGTTCAATATCGCTTGAACATTGGACAGTTGCTCATATTGATCTTCCTTTTGTAGACAATCCTCAAGGTCCTTGAGGACGGTGATTCGCTCAATTACTTTCCAACTCAGGCCCTCTTGCTCTCCAACCGTTTTTTCCCTGTCGCTAGATTAATCAACTGGGCCATTCATATATATAAAAGAGTCGAACGATTGAGAATTCATGCTTACCGGAAAAGGGCCTGCGCTTCTCGATAGTCTTCTAATCGTCTCTGAAAGATATGAGGCATAATATTGTCCTCTAACCTCTCCAGACAACGGGTGATTTGAGCATCAATGTCACTGTGAGACCAAATCAGCATTATCCATTGGGGTCCAACGTATAAAAAATAGTTACCCACTTTATGTCAAGGTCGGGCTCTTCTGAAGTCCATCCTTTGGGTAGCCTCAGTTCATCTGTCAATGGGTCCGGTCCACGATGCTTCCACCTCCGCGGTTTCTCAGGGCGTTCGGCCATGGAACAAACATCAACTATGCCCACATAGGACTTTTCAAGATCCAAATCTTCTACATTTAGTTTTGTACGGGGTGTTGAGTCCGATGGAGACCCGTCTTCGTATACTCGATCCCGAGAGCTCGATTTGGTTCTCTTTTTCTTTTTCGATTCTCCTCTTGAGAATGAAGTATTGCGCCTGCTAACTCTTGGCAATGGAGAAGACTCCTTGTTGCGGGTATTTCTTAGTAATGGAGAAACACGCCATTTCCTGCGAGCGGTACGGGGGGCCGGAATGGGTGAGTAAATCGTGGTCCCTCGATCCCAAGGTATACTATTCTGAGGCGAATAAGACGTCGGTGCGGTGGATGCGGAGGCATAATAGCCCGAGCCCGAAGAGCCTCTAGTACTTGCACTTGAGAACATGTTGTGAAACTGGGTTAATCAGGTCAATTTCACGAGGACTGGCAAAATAACATAGTAAACCAAGAAATTAAAGCAACCCGCGGGTTAAATAAAAGACGTGTGAATTGTCCAGTGTTGAAAGGAAACAAAGAAGACTGAGAACTTTCCAGATAGCTAACGTCTTTGTGTTCCTTGATGCTGTCTATCGTGTCTTTCATATTCGTTCCCAGACTCGAGCTGTTCAATGAAATCGTCGTGATTTTGCCTATCGACCATCAGTTGCTTTCACCTTTTCTCAAAGAGATCTCGTGCAAAGCCGCCTTCGAAGTATAACTTGTCCCACTATTTTACAAACCGAGTGATCTAGTATCAATTTCCAAGTACACGAGCCAGGTCCCTCATTGCAACCACTAGCCAAAATGACAGAAGAAATCCTACTACAGGCCAGGCAAAAGAATAGAGTAACAAAAGAGTAGAATGTAATTACAGAGAGTGCTAGCTATATACATGATTTGAGCTGCGCGATCAAAGCTCAGGCCCATGAGATTCGAAGCGGGACTTGCCCTCCTTCTTATGCTGGACTTGGGTAGACTTGTTAATGGACAAAGACTGAACCGACGCCGGACCCTTCAAAGCCAAGAGCGCGAAATGCCCACCAACCGTCGGACGTGCGCGGCATAATATCGGGATCCCTGGTTCATTTCCATGGGAGGACGTAGAGACATATCGATCAGAAAATGGCCAGTTGTGTTTCCCGTTCGTCATGAATGCCCACAGGTCATCGACGAACTCGTCCCGCGTGTTCGTCTCGAACGTGGCAGCAAGCCACATATTCCAATCTGACTTGGCCCAATCCTGCCTGTTGTCTAGAGGAACCCCGTACTCGCCTCGGACAGTAGAGTAGAACTCGCTGTTTGCCCGAATGGCGTCGCTGGAAAAGGTGTTTAGTCCAAGCAGGACGTCCGGGAATAGGTTGTATGGAGTCTTCCATGATTCGGGGTGATCGGGATATTGCAGTACGAAATGCGTTTGCTCTTCATCTGTGCCCAGGCCCTCCTCAAAGAAAAGGTTTGCGTGTTCCTCGCCGATGCGTGAGTATTGGTCAATACCACTGAGCTCGCCAAATGCTTTGATACCAACCGCTGCCTTGATGGCTAGGTTTGTCTCGTTGGCGAGAGGACCGGCGGCATCATTGGAGGAAAGTTGGTTTGCGATGTCGATACTGTTGTCGACCAAGTAGTCGGCGTATTTCTGGAAGATGTCGATATACTGACCCGCCCACTCAGAATCTCCTGTCGCGCGGACGTAAGCAAGAGCAAGAATCAGCAGATTTCCGGATTCCTCTATCGGCATCGGCTCGGCTTTCTGGTCATCATGGCCAATGGCAAGTGGGTAGTGACTGCCGAGGTCATGAATGGTATACGGAAGATGCCAACGACCGGCATCCAGGTACCGCATCACAGGTTCCAACATTAGGCGAATCCAATCAGGGTCCAGAACCCAATAGATAGGGAATGCTGGCATGATCACATCAATGGTGTTGACATTCCCGTCGCTAGAAAGCTCCTTAATGAATGCCAATACATCGTCGGTGTCGAGGGAGTCATTTGGAATAGTCAAATCTGTTCCACCATATGCTTGGCGGGTAGATAGAGCAATAATATCCGCATATTTGGGACCAGCTGCCGCAGTAGCAAAATCTATCAATTCCTGGTCCAACTCCAAGGACTCTCTCAATGTATCTCCGTAATCATCCAGGAAGAATGAGAGAGCTTGATTCGTAGTAGGGTATTCAGCGCGATAATACCCGGTATATTCGACTCCGAGATAGTTAATGGCTGCCTCGCGTTCGTAGCCTACGACAAAATTGACGGATGCTTCGCCGTAGACAGTTCCTAAATCATGGGCCAAGGCGGCGACGCTTCCGTACGACCACGCAAATTCTTGTCCGGAGAGATTGCCCTCCTGTACGAATTGATTTCGCACCGACTTGGGATCTCCGGTCAGGGAAGAGAGGCTGCTATATTCAGATGGGCGCGAAGCGAGAATGGCTTTGCCCCAGAGTGCCATATCACTGGCCTCGGCATATTTTGCTGCATCTTCCACGGAGAGCGAATGAATGAGGAGGCCGTCGTCATGTTCTTCATAGTCAAGGACGGAGCGATCCTCGCGTCCAGTCCATCTTCCATCGATATCCGAATAGATTTGGATATCGTTACCGAAATAGGACCCGGAGACTTTGACAGTCAGGTAACTGAAAGGAAGGGACTGTCGCAAGTAGTTTGAGGGGGTCACAGGCGAGAAAAAGTCGAGGGTCAATCTCACGGAGCCGGCCGTGAGGTCGAAAATGGAGTGAGTCGAGGTGAATTCGCCACGACGCACGGTGGCAGGCAATATTTCATCTTCGTCGAGGTCCGGAACACCCATTACGCTATACGCCTGGCCATCGACACGCACAATCACGGACCAGCCGAGCTCCTGGCCCGCCCAGAATTGTGGTTCGGAGTAGGGAAGTTGTTGCACGCGATCACTGGGCATCCATGCTGATAGATAAGGGTTGCGTACCGCCAGCGGATACGATGGAGGGAGCACAGGGTGATGTGTGATGCTTCCCTGCTGGTGACCTTGGTGACCATTGCTGAAAAGGGACAGAACGGAGGCGCAGAGGGAGCCCAGTCCCAGTGGCGCTTGGGAATCGAATCTCATGATGTGTAGTAGGAGGATCGACCTGGCGCACCGGGCGCATGGATCGATAGAACAATGAGAGCAAAACTGTTGCTATGGAGGGTATTGCAGGAAGGAGAGACGATGAGGATGCCAAAGATGAAACGAGAATTTCAGCTCGGGTTGAAAAGCGAAATGGCGGGCCTATGGCCCCCTGGTGATGGACATTGCTGGCCCCGGGTCCGCTGATCAGCCTGCATTGTCGTCATCGAGAGGAGAAGCCCATTCTTGCCGATCAAAATGGTCTGGGCGGTTATTCTAGCCTCCAAACAGCGAGGGGCCGGGGGTGGTGGATCCAGATGGATCCTCAGGGGCCAACGAGATAGCGAATAGGTGGTTCTGCGGCGCCATGGCGGGGCTCTACGTAAGACGGGGGCGCGTAAGCATTTTGTCCCGAGTTTCGTAGGTATATTACTTTGTTTGAAGAGTCTCTTCATCTGAACCAGTTTGTTAATTGTCTACCTTGGTGTATAGTACTAGTAACTAATAACTACTGACTCTATATTATGATACTGGCGTAGGTCTATAGTACCAGTACCATGGTTCATGTTCATAGTGAATTGTGTCTTGCCTAAACTGACGAGATGGTCGTGCCTGCCATACTTGCCAGTGCCATCTATATCGTGCCTGCCCCATGTAACTAGCCTACATGTATCTATGATACATCCAAACATACTACTAGCACAAGTAAAAATATGATTAATTCTGAATAGGATGTTGAGCAAATTTCATTGTACTAGTAATTTTGTCCTCATAACTTCATAGGAAATTCTCTTTTATAGCTTAGACTCTTCAATGCGGCGACCGATCTCGTCGAAGTGAATCTGCTTGCCGCTTCGCAGGGCCTCCTGAAGATAGGATCCAATCTCAACAGCCTTGACAGCATTAGTCAACTTCATTGGAAGGGGTGTGTTGTCGAGGCAGGCAGCGGTGAACTCGTTAGCCTCATTTGTGAATGCAGGTCCGAAGCGGCCGATAAAGTTGGGCGGGACTTCGCGAGTGATGCCGCCGGAGTGATAGTAGTTGACGAAGTTCTTCTGAGGATTGCCGTTGACGGTGAGTTTGCCCTCGGTGCCAATGATCTCTGTGGTGTCCTCCTGGCCGTGAGCCATCATGCGGGTGCAGTAGTAGTAGGCGATCTTGCCATTTTGGAACTCGACAATGCCGACTGCGTTGTCGTAATCCTTGTGCTTCTTCAGCTCGGGCTGGACGGCAGTGATACCATGGGCGGAGATGCTCTTGGGAATGGAATCGTCACCGAAGAACCAGAGAGTCAGATCGATGTCGTGGACAGACATGTCGACGAAGACACCACCAGACCAGGCGGCATACTCCACATAGAATCCAGAGGGGTCAAACTTGTCGGCAGTTTGACTGCGAATAATCGAGGGACGACCAATGAGGCCCTGCTCGGTCTTTGCGAAGGCATCGCGGTAGGACTCGTCGAAGCGTCGTGAGAAGCCACACATCACCTTCAGGTGAGGCTTCTTCTTGGCGGCTTCAACCACGGCACGGCACTAAGAAATTACGATCAGTATAAAATCAAGCAAGAAGTGAGCTAAGGGGGAGGAGGGTGCGCGTGACGAACCACTTCCACATCGACAGAGAGGGGCTTTTCGCACAGGACGTGCAGGTCCTTCTCGATCGCCTTGATGGCTTCTTCAGCGTGGACTGAAGTGGCAGTTCCGATAGCAACTGCCTGAAGACCGGGGTGTTTCAGCATCTCATCATAGTCGGTGTACAGAGTCACTCCGTGGGGCTCAAGGTTGACTCGGCCCCAGGCAATCTCATTCTGGTCGGGAGTGAAGGCTGCGACAAGTTCGGCGCGAGGGGTCTTTTGGAGGAAATTGATAGCATGCAGCTTTCCGACACGGCCAAGGCCGGCCATACCGACTTGTAGTCTTTGAACGCCCATTGTGTGTGATGAATGTGGGAGTAACTGGAAGATGTTGCTATGCTGAGTGAGAGAATTATTGAATCCGGGGTCCTACTGCGAGTTTAAATAATTCATGATGGCTCATGTAGGCCTATCGAAGGCACAAGTCTTCTACTGTGTCAATATTTCGGGAAAGTCTTCCCATTGACTCCATCCGCACTCCATCTGCATAATGATATCCTCATGCACCACTACAGTGAGATGTCAAGTGGAAAGACTTATCTTGTCCACCCGAACGAGTAACTTCGCCCACCGCACACGCCCGTGATCCACACCTGGTCAGGAGTATTCCTGGCCAGTCATTAACTTTCCAATTCATGCGTACTTGGCTATGAGTGGACTGCTGGTGCGGTGTTGTGATTGATCGGTTGCTGATTGTGGGGATTCCCCCGCACTACGGAGAGATTTGCCTCAACGCCCCAGGGAAATTCTCTCCGCATATTCACCCCCAGAAGTCTTTCCGTACGGAGTACTCCATAGCCAAATGGATTCGCGGCCACGGAGAAGCCGCCTGGTGGCAGGCTGGTAAGTGTCACATTTCCCTGTGGACGATCATCTACTAATTAACGATTGCCTAGTCAACGATGCCGTGGTAAGTTTAAACGGGGGGAAGAGATTGAGTTGAATCCCATTAACCTAAACGTGGCTGCGTTTTCTAGTTCGTCATTTGAAGTGTACGTCTTGTGGGTGAATCATCGGCATTGTATGTATATACTGATTGTTCATTCCAGGCGATGTTCATGCAGAGACCTGTCGGCACTGTCAACGTGTTGGCGTCGAGTGCAACCGATCATCGGTCCGGTTTCGCGAGGGGCTGGCATTACCGAGTATTGCCTTTCCAGAGGAGCCGAGTTGGCCCCGAATTAATGGAAACGGTACTTTGAACTCATTGAACATCAGTCGAAACATAGAACAATTGCGATGCTAACTCTCCAACAGTTCGCTTTCATGATGAAACCTCTGAGATCACAAGTCTATACGTAGAAGTCACAGAGGGCCCTGAGTCTCAGTGGGTCCACGAAAGAGAGGCTCATTCTCAGGGAAATCCGCATCATGAAACAGTCATTCATACCCCTCAAGAACCTCAAATTAGTCTGCAGCATGTTGTCAACCTTCGATCGCCCTCAGTACCCAATACCGCGGCAGAAAACCCCTCTCCTGCGAGCCTATCCATTATCTCGTCATCCTCATCTCGAACTAGATCCAGCTATACTACCCTTCATACATTCACCGAACGAGAGGCCATTTTGATCCGGAATTTTGTTGAAAACATGGCTCTTTGGGTGTGTTCGCCAATAAAAGATCAGTGTTCCAAAAGAACATTGAAGCTGACAGACAATCCTAACTATAGGCCGATATCACCGACCCAAAGCGTCATTTTGAAACAGAAGTGCCTGCAAGAGCACTCAAAGATTCAGTTCTTCGCCATGCGGTCTTGGCTTTCTCTTCGCGGCATTTAAATCGAAGAAATACGGAAGATGCACCGGAAGCACTGCAATACCATAATCACTGCGTAAAACTACTGATCCCTGCAATGTCCGAGCCAGAACAACATATCACTGAGGATATTCTGGCCTCGGTGGCGATCTTGCGACAACACGAAGAGATGGACGGTAAGCAGTTTTAATAACCACCCGTCAATGAACCAGCAACTAATTATTCTCCAGGGGAGGATAATCAATTCCATCTGACTGGCACTACTCGCATTCTCAATACAGTCTCAATATTTGGCTCCTCCGGTGGCCTGGGCGAGGCTGCGGCTTGGTTATGTTTGCGTCAGGATATCTATGTGGCCCTAACGACTCAGCAACCACTGCGAACTGACTTACAAAACTTCCTGGAGTCCGATGTTTTTGACAGAGATGATGACTTCGCGTGGTCCAGTAGGATGGTCTTCCTACTGGCAAAGGCTCTGCAAGGCGTCTTTGCGAAGAATTCGAATTCAAAATCCATCGACGAGGAGGTTCAGAAATGGTATGCGAACAAGCCACATACCTTTGAGCCAATCCGGGTAGTTCCACGCGGGTCGGAAATAGAACATCGATTCCCGGCCATTTGGATGTTGTTGCCTGTGCATGGTGGAGTACCCTCTTGTCTATTCTCTATTACATTACCTAGTACTGACAACGGTGCAGTTGTTGGCTTGCAATACTATCATATGACCAAGATTGTCCTGGCACTTTCTCAAAGTTCCACCGCATCTTCTACATATGAGACACTTCGACAATCCCGATTAATTGAGGTGAGTTCTGGATCTCATCGCTTAATCGGTCGTTGCTAAAATCCTCACCACTCAAAAGAAAAATATTCAACATCATTTACTTCATGTTTTGGGCCTTGCAAAGTCTAATTCTAAAGCTGAAAACACGCTATTCACTGCACGTCACAGTCTGGTAGCATGTAAGTTTGCTCGCAATGAATCATCTTCCCGGTTTGATGGGATCTGTGTTGACTATCCCTTAAGGGGGCTGGGCTTTAAGGAGTCGTGGAGATCAAAAGGCAGCAGAATCCCTATTACGGGATATGCATGAAAGAACAGGATGGAACATGGATATATTAATTATGTCGCTGCTGCAGCAATGGCGCGATGAAAATGAGCATTGTTGACTTTCCAATCGAAAAGCACCTAATGGTGTTAGTAGTAACCTTTCCTGGTCGGGGTTTGATATTCTACACGGCTGATCCTCAATCATCACATAATGAATACCTGCGGTTCCGGCAACAATTTCGTCCAGTTCTCACTTTTTCGCTTCTTCCGAATTTCCTGAAGCAGATCCAAAGCTCTTAAAATATTGACAAACCCATTGCGACTGAATTGTCGTTTCAAAAAGGTATCAAAGAACAACTGGTGCTCAAGCGAGTGGCTCTCGGACGCAGCAATAAAACACGCCCAGATAAGAGAATGCTCGCCTAGCGATCCTTCAGGAATCTGCTCGAGAGTCGATTTGAAATCTTCTACTAGGTGCGTCGATGGTGCTCCATCATCTCCTAGGGATGCCCGATAGAGGTAAATGTCATATGCTTGTTGTCTCAGACTCGCAATTCGGTCGAATGAATCGAAATATGTGGGATAGAGGTGACGATAGTACTCGAGGCAATCAAAACTCTGTTGGCCTTCAAAAATAAGGGTGCTTGTGCCCACGTCCTGACTTATGAATGGCGCTCCGTAAACTCTTATCCTGGTGGTTTTAGCTTTCAAAATGCCCAGATTGACCAGCCATTTCGCACAACTCACTTGTGGATTTGCCGTAGAAGGAACTGGGCCAAATCTCCCTCTGCGAGCTTTGAGTCGCCGCCAATAGCTTGCAAAGCAAATTGTAACACGTGAAACACGATGGGAAAATCCGAGGACCCGTTCACCATCAAAGCCACGAGAAGAACAAGTATTGTTAGAATGATGACATGCTGTGTTTCCAGGTCATATTTGTCGATAGATCTTTTCTTTTGAAGCTCTCGGATAGCCGTTGTATAAAGTTTAGCAGCATCCTGGAGTTCGCAACCTCTCCTGCTGGATAGATGGAATGCAGATGCTGCAAGGACCGCGTTCATAACCAGTTCATCACGATGGGCTATTGGAAGAACCATATGTCGCCACCCATTATTGAGATCATCAATAATCACCATCTCGGGGGCAATGTTTTGAGAAACTAGATAGATCAATGGTTTAGCGATGCGCGCCTTGGCTTCGCGTCAATCAAGAACCTACAATAGTCCAGCAGGAACAGCTTCCCAGGGCTCACCGAGCCAAAGTTTGGAGAAACTATGGACCTCCTCTTGAATAATGACTCATATTGAGAGTCATGACCATGACCGTCTTTCTCATTGTTGATCGCACTTTTTCCCCTTGTCAAACAGAACGTTGGAGCCAGAACCTGGACTTTCCCTTTCCCAGAACAACTGGATTTCTTCGAACTCTTCGTTCCCAGAGAGAACTTGAAACTATTGCGAAATTTCCATGACGAGCCGAAACCACTACAAGAGATACCCTTTGCATCACATTTCTTGCAGTTGGGATGTGTGCGATCGCAATGGATTCGGCGCTGAGAACACTCGTAACAGCCTGACAATTAACAATAAGAAATCAATTTAACATTGGCTGTCCTAAATAGGGGTTCATACCTTTGATTTTCGGCACGTAAGGTCGTTTCCTCTGTGGCATGGTAGTAGGGAAGTATTCGTTATGGTGATGATGAGTGTGAGTTCTGTTCACCCCACCTTCCTCCTCCCTTCCCTCCCTTCTCGGCTTCGCATCCGATGGGGTCAAAAGATAACAAAAAGTGCGGGGTATGCAGCATCCAATGGAATCAATTATACTAGTAGTACGTAGTATACTAGTGATGTTACACCAATCAATGATTTAATGCTAGTACACAATAACTTGAACTTGAGGGAAATATTTTAAATGCCGTTCAATAATTTTGATATATGCTTCGATCGCCAATCCGGTAGTCAGAACACTATGATACAAATGAATACCGGTATATGTATGGTTCAACCAGGTCAGCTCCGGAACAACTGCAGACCGCCCTCTTCCTGGTCTTCATCACTCTCAGCATCACTGCCGCTATCATCTCCTTCGCCCAGCAACCCACTGGCAGTTCTGCCTAGCAGCGAGGCAAAGAATTCATCACGAGCCCGAATCGTCCATCCGCCACGGTCCTCGGGAGCCATAAAGTTCTGTAACTTCTCATGCACGTTGTACTTCATCTTACGACCCTTAGAGGCACGGGTATCAATGTCACGCTTAACCTTGTCGTTGCGCATACCAGTCACTGGGTGGATCGGAAGGCGAGAAGGTAGCTGCGTGAGGGAGTCGAGACCGCCGGACATGGCCTCAGAGGAGGACATGCGTTGCTCGACAAGCTCACGGAGAAGAGATTGATAGAAAATCGTGTCGTCGTAGATTGGTTCGGTGTTTTCTGTGGCGTGACGAGCGCGCTTGGAAGATCGGTCGCCGACTTCGGTTGCGACGTGGGCATCAAGAACAGCGGTGATAGTCTGCTGGCCCGAAGCAGAGCCTAGAAGCTTTCCACGTGCATTAGGAAGAGAGGTTGGGGCTCCCCTGACCTTGGAGGACCACTTGTCGAGAACAGAGCGGCGGTGTGTGAGGGATTCGGATTCGAGATCGGCCATGCGCTCCCAAAGCGAGGCAGATGTGGTTGATGGTGTAACGGAAGAACGCTTGCGCTTTTTCGTCTCGTCCTTGGACTGGGCTTCGGCGAGGGCGGTGCGAAGCTCCTCCAAAGTAGACCAAAGAGCAAGTGCTGCAGATTCCGCAGACTTGATCGCCTCGGAATTTGAAGCTTCACCATCCTCTTCCCGAGCATCTTCCTCCTCGCCAGCAATCCCGGAAATGTCGTTGATGGCGGTCAGACCTTTTTGCAACTTAATCCGAGTGTTCAGCAGCGCATCAAAGGTAGCACGCTGCGCCTTGACAGCCTTTCCCTTGGCAGCATCAGCCTTGGAGGCCTGTGAAATGGTGGCTGCAATGGTCTTCTGGTCCGTAGCCATAAGCCTCCGCAATTCCTCCCGATCATCAGCCGATGGTTCCTTGCTGCCAGACTGCTTTTTGCTGACGCTTGGTTTGCGTGGGGCAGATGATTCTTCGTCATCAGATGTGATCTCATCTTCGCTGTCTTCGGCATCTTCGGCATCGTCTGACATGTCATCGCTTCCTGCGGATCCCTCTAGATCAGACCCTGATCCTTCTTCATCGGACAAGGCAGCGCCCTCGTGGTCGCTCTCCGATTCATCCGAGTCTTCGTCGTCGTCGTTTCGGGCCGCGAAAGGATCGTCTTCACTGTCGGCATCCAGCGCATCTCTGCTGACACGAGAGCCGTCGTATTGTTTGCCGAGAGAAACGGGTTCTTGCTTGCGAAGCTTTCCTTTGCTGTTTCTTGTATTAGCAGACCATCACGAGTCGTGACAGATGGAGACAAAGTCTTACCCTACGGCCTGGTAATGCTCTCTCCCAGCATTCGATTCTGCGGGCTTTCCACCCTCTTCATCGGAAGAATTGCCATCGCGCTCAATATCCTCGGGATCAAAGTCTGAATACAATCAGATCAGATCAGCATTTGGGAACCTCAAGGAGTTGGGTGGGAATTTCGACATACCCTTTGGAGTTGGATCTTCCAGATCAGCGAGCTGATCAGCCAGCGACTTTCCAGGTGCCATGGTGAGTGAATGATAGGCCTTCTGGACTTGGTTAACACAAGAAGATTGCAAGCTGCGCCGACCTTCACTTTTTTTTGTTTTTCCGGTTATCCGGAACAACTGCCCTTTCTGGGACTAGTGTCTCCGCTTCTCAGGCGGTGAGTGATCTCGTGGTTTGGGCGGTGAATACGCTGCCCGTATACTGCCGCTTTTATACATTCGTTGCATCACCTCCAGTCTGAACTTCTTCTCCTCTGCCCCCACGGTGCTATTTACCAAATAATGTGGTCCATACCAACTAGCTGCGCACCAATGCGCAGTCGCATGTTCTCGACCTTTCGAGTACTCCAGCATGAGAATCCCCTCGTCAGTATTCAACCATCATTGCGCCTCGGTTATATTGCGACCTTTTATTAACAATTCCTAGGGTCTCCCACGTTCAGGCACCCCTCCAAGCCTCAAGAGCCGCCGCGGACTCCCTCAGAAACGCAAAATTCGAGATGTGAAGAAAGTCATTGCCGTGTCATCGGCCAAGGGCGGCGTGGGCAAGTCAACAGTTGCAGGTAGGTCTGCTATTGAGGGTTTCCTGTTTCATAGTGTATTGTGCTGATGTATACTTCGACCAGTCAACCTGGCTCTCTCCTTCGCTCGACGGGGAATTAGGACAGGCCTTCTAGATACCGATATCTTCGGCCCATCCGTCCCAACCCTCCTCAATCTCTCCGGAGAACCTCGACTTGATGAAAGTAAGCTCCCATCCATACCTCAACAACTCTTCAACGATTTCGAACCATTCATTTACACACACAATCACAACAGATAACTGCCTCATACCCCTAACAAACTACGGCTTAAAGTCAATGTCAATGGGCTACCTCCTCCCCCAAACACAAACAGACACCCAAACCGGCGAAGTACCAATGGACACAACGCCAATTTCCTGGCGCGGACTAATGGTCACAAAAGCCATGCACCAATTACTCCACTCCGTATCCTGGGGCCCATTGGACGTCCTCGTTCTAGACCTCCCACCCGGAACCGGCGACGTCCAATTAACAATCAACCAAGAAGTGATAATCGACGGCTCGGTAATCGTGACAACGCCCCAAGATATCGCGCTCCGCGACGCAGTCCGCGGCTTTGGCATGTTCCAGCGCATGGATGTCCCCGTCTTGGGAATGGTTCGGAATATGGCCTATTTCGCTTGCCCGAATTGCGGGCATCAGACGAAGATTTTCTCGCATGGCGATGGCGATGGTAACAATCACTCCTGTGAAGATCGCGGTGTTGTGGCGGAATGTAAGCGGCTAGGTGTGGATTTCCTTGGTGATATCCCGCTCGATGCGCGAGTTTGCGAGGATGCGGATCGTGGAATGCCGACTGTTGTTGCCGAGGAGAGTGCGGAGCGAAGTGCCCGTCGCGAAGCTTTCCTTAGTGTTGCTGAACAAGTCGCCCGTAAAATTGGTCTGGAGTGGCGTTAACATTTTTTCTTGCCTTCTGTGACCGGGCCAGTCCCAATTTGGATTCTGTATACTAGGACTCTTGCATATATGGTATTACGGTTGTCGGTTGAAGGGCTAGAGCATGGTGAGATCTGTACGATAATCTGCATAAAGGTGATTTCAAAAGTAGATTTCTTGTTTGCAAAGAGTTCGAAGGTTGCTACATAAATCTGAGCAACTCAAAGAGAAAGTCAAAAGGTCGGTCATATATCGTATTCGCGTCCGGGAACTTCTCCCAGTCTCCCATGACCGTACCCGAAACCTCACCTGAAGAAAAATGGGTATATTGAACAAATAAAAAAGGGGAAAAGGTGTCAAGACAATTCAAGAAGAGTAGATGGTAGATCAGTGCTGTTCTGAAAAGATCAGAAGCAAGAGATATGGGAGATATGGTAAGGCAGAGTTGGCCAGATTCTTGAAATGGCTTGGTTGGAAACGAAAGAGACTGATGGAATGGAAAACCATCAAAAAGACAGTGGAAAGTGGTTGAGGTGACAAGAAAAGAAAACGCATGGTATGTAGATGGTTGTAGCAGCGCATTATGCAGAATCAAAGATGTTCATCGGCAGTCTTGAAGACTTCACGATCAGGCATATCCGGGCGATGGGAAGTTGAATTTCGGGCCTCGTCAACAGAGGGCCCAGGGCGTAGTGATGATGTGTCGGTCGAGAAACGTCCGTCTTCGTTGGGAATGACAACGTCGCTAACACCCCTGACGTTTCTTACTGCCCTGGTGCTAGCTGCGTCTGGGGAGACACCATTGGGGATGCCGACATCCTTCTCGCCACCAATGGTACTAGCATCGTCGGACAAAAAGTCGCTGCGATCAGCTACTGAAGATGGACGACCGTTCAGGTAAGGTAGTGAAGCATTTGAAGTCATCGCGGCATGGAAAAGAGCTCTTGTGCTTGCGCTGTCGTCTTGCAGCTTGTGGTTGTCAACCTCAGGTAGAATGAGGATCGGGCCACCACTTTTCTGCGAAATTGGCCGAGAAGCAGTTTCTGGGTCGGTAGAAATGCGCCCAGATTTGAAATCCCCATTCGATTGCTTCGGCTCACTCGCAGTATCCCAAGTGACAACACCTGCACCAGCAGCGGTAGCCTGTGAAGCTTTGTTGGCGTGAGCATCTTTGTTCTTCGCGGGCTTGCTCGAATATGAGCCTGCTTGACCAGCATCCACACTAGTACGAGTTGAGCGACGGCCAGATTTCTGGGCCTGTTGCTCTTTTTCGAGAGTCCGCTCATCGTGCTTGCTGCCCCAGCCACTCCATAACATCAATCCGTAGTTCTTCTTGGCGTGACGTTTGGGCAGTGCGCCAGGGGCGGCCCGTCGAGCAGCCAAAGAGCTTGGTGGAGGACATTCACCGTTGAAATCCTGCAGACCATGTGCCATCTCTTTAATGCGTCGGCCCTGAACCCGGAGCTTCTCCTTGGAAAATTTCGTGTCCCATTCATGCTTCGCAGCTAGCCACTTTGAAATAAGCTCCGGGTTAATTGCGCCAACTTTATCGGGAGGAGTATCTAGAATAGGATAAGACGATGGGGGATCCAATGGATAAGTACGCCCGCGTTTGTCAACCCGTTCACGCAACATATGATGGGAGAAGGCGGGCAAAGGATCCCCTGCTCTTCCGACATAAGAGATCCCCGTATCTGTCCTAGGGATCTTCGCACCATCATGAGGACGAGAACTTGAGCTGCCATCCGAGCCACTGGAGGACACTGGGGAAAACTGACTCTCATCGACAATTTCCACCTCGGCATTCTGGGCCCGGGCGAGTGCCCACGATCCGAACTGTGAGATGACTCGGAACATATACTTGGCAGGCCGACTAAAGCTGAATGTCGGCGCGACATGGCACAGGTTTTCCCAAACTTGGAACTGCACGTAGGTGGGCTCGTATTTGTTCAGAAGCTCACGGTCAGGGTCGAATTCATCGAGGTAGACGTCGCTCGGAGGGTAGGCAGTAGGATTGGCGGCCTTGTGTGCAATGTAAAACTGCTCGTCTCTAAGCATTTCACCACCACCACTGAGGATCTGGAGTGGGGGAAGGCCACCTAAAGATGGTTGAAGAATCGGAGAAACCAATGGATGCGAAATGAGTTGGTTGGTGGTATACATCTGGATTTGATCCTTGAGTTCGACCGTCTTGCCCTCCAGTTGAATGTGGATATTATCAGGCTCGGCGTGCACGGTGTTGGGGTCCATGCTTTGTTGCATCCCGGGGTATGCATGTCCTGGAGCGATCGCTTTCTTCTCATGTAGTGTATATCCATGAACGGCTGTCTCCTCCGCATTGCTATTAGGGGCCGGGACTGTTTTATCCACGTCTTTTGCAGTGAGGGTAGGTTGGTGGGAGAGTTGCTTGATTTTCAAGATTTCATCGGCATTCGGCGGCGGCCAAGCCGTCGATGGCTTGTGTCGGAAACCATAAGGAGGAATATAATCACCAGGATTATCTGCGACGATGCTGGGCATGGAGTGGGTGAGGTCCACCCATGGGGAAATGAGGATCGCCCCAGCGGGCAAGGGGATCCCCTGATCGCGCATAATGACCATTAACGACAGCGCCATGCCTCCACCCGCCGAGTCGCCCGCAATAATTATTTCCTTCGAGTCGTAATGTTTCAACAGCCACAAATATGATGCCAGGCAATCTTGCAATGCGCATGGGAAGGGAAACTGGGGAGCAAGACGATACTCCGGAGCGAACACGCGACCGTTGAGCTTACGCGCATGGCGCTGCATCATGTACCGATGGGTGTCCACGCTTCCAAAGAAGTATGCACCGCCGTGGATGTAGAGCATAATGCGATTGCTTCGAACATTGGCCTTCTTGTTCTCATTGTAATGATTGCGCATCTCGATCCACTCTCCCTTGAGGTCCTCCGATGGACCTCGCCATTGCCACCATTCCTCGCCGCCGACCCGCTGGATACCCTTCGGACCGAGCTGCTTAGAAATAGCTTTTCCGGCAGTCGAGAGCTCGTCGTCGGGGATTATAACTGTCTCGGTTCTTACCCAATGCGGACTCGGGACCCATTGGCTTGTGAAGGCTTGAATATCTTCGACAGGGTGCTTGGAGGCAAAGTATAGAAACTGTCGGGTGATCTGAATTCCTTCATCGTAGGTGATATGAACCGAGGGCTTATCATGGAGAGTCTTGCGATGTAAATACTGTCCCAACAATCGATCAGTAAGCTTCTAGTTAGTATGTTTGTTTGGGGAGTGGATTTGGACCTACATGAGCGATAAAAGTTTGGATGGCAGTTGGCGTCAAAGCCATGCCCAGAGAAATGGTATGCAATGGCATTGTCCATTCAAAACAATTGGCCACGCGAGTAAAAGAGGGAAAGTTCGAGTTGTAAAAGGGGAGAAAGTAGGAAGAAGCGAAGTGGAAAACGGAATGGAAAGTGGAGAAGTAACCCGACGTCATAGTTGAGGCAAACAGAGCAAACACAGTGGGGCAGGAGCAGTTTCCACTCACTGCCGATCGGGTTCGTATTTGTGTACGACAGTACGAGTATATCTTGAATATCTTCAATATCTTCAATATCTTCAATATCTCCAATATCTCCAATATCTTCATTTCATTTATGCGTATTCTGTACATACTATGTACAGTCTATGTATGCTCATTCACCGTCTACGGCGAGATGCCAGGAACAAGATCACTATATACACCACTGCCACTATCCCAGCCACAACACTGCATGCTATCACCGCCCCTCGCGGCGAATATGGATCCTGGAACCCGGTTAATTGGAACCCGAGTCCCATGTTGATGATTCCCAGTACGATCATCATGCGGCCAAACCATCGGTGCAAATATGCAAATATCCCCTTCCCAGAACTTCCATCCCCGACACTTTTGCGGAAATGCCGGTGTTGCAAAAGTCCCATCGCGGGTTGGAAAACGACCAGACCGGCAACCACGATCATCCCAATGATGGGATGGTGATTGTGCATCAAATCCAGATCTTGAGCCATTGTGATTCCAAGTGCCATTCCTGCAATTGCCATCACCAGGTTGACGAGCTGCAAAACCGCGTGCGTCATGATGGTTGATGGGAAAACATAGAGCGCCAGCGCCCCGAATGGCAAGAAGATCACAAAGACCAAGATCATCAAAATCGCATGGGCCAATTGTCGCTTCTTTAAACTTTTCCCATCAACGGAATCCTCGGTTTCTGCCGATGTGACCGTTGCGCTCGACAAAACAGCAAATGGGTTGGCGCTCGAGTCCGAACTTGTTGACAAAGCACCCGTCGCTTTCTTCAGGTTGACAGTGGCGGTTCCCTTGTCGTCGTGCTCGGTCAGCTCTGCTGATACACTATCCGTACTCAATGGGTCCCCATATTTGACAGCCCAAATCCATGGACTCGAGCTGCTGGTCAAATCCAAACTGCCCCCATCCCAACTTATACAACTATCACATCGAATATTGGCCGTGATTTTTTCCTGATTGAAGAATCCACTACCACTAAGCACGGACACATCTGCATCCGAATTATGTTCTGGCTCAACATGGCCCTTTCCAAGGCGGGGCGAGACTGTCACGTTGTCGCTGCTGCTCCCAGCTGTATACACAACGAATATGTTGGCTCCGCTCATTCCAGTTCCTTGTCCGAGTGCGAACCATTTTACCGGGCTGGTAGAATTCATCTGAAAGAATATCGGCCCCTTCCCCGAATTTGCCGTAGTTTCAGGAACGTGGATTGTGAATGTCAGGTCATTTCCTCCTGGGATGATGTTTTGAAATTGGGCTGTTACAAAGTGGGCCCCAAAGAGGCAGAGCCAACAAAGGAGAAGCATCATTGTGCAAAAGAGTACCGGTGGTGACGGGTATCTAAAGGTTCCCTTTTTTGAGGGGGGTAAGGCTCATTTATACATATTCATACAGCCATGACGCAGGCTCACAAGGGCTCTCATTTTCGCATTTCACTGGTGCTGTCGATCTATGCTGGGTGAATCCCAGCGTATCGCTAGACCGTGAAAGCATTAACCATTGTTAGACATGATAAAGCGCAGCCAAGGTTTTTTTTGGGTCGAAGTCAACAAAGCCTTTCAGCTTCTTGAAAGGGCAAGCCACGATATGCCGAATCAAGTATAAGCGGTTGCTAATCTCCCCATGTCAGCCCTCATACGGGTTCCAAGGTTCCCCGCTGCGCCTCCACGGATGCCGAGACCACCAGGGGATTGAAATTAGACGATCTTCCGTTGGCCACGCAGCCGTGCGAAGTATTGAAAGGGCCTCCTTCGCTATCATAATACCCCGCCGATCTGCACTGTAATTCTTTTATGACATTTTGCTTGATTTTGAATGGTGACTGCAATTGCTTGTTTAGGCACAATTCCCGGGTGTGGGGAAGGTCAGACTAAAGTGTGGCTATGCCAAAACCCTATCTCCAACTCAACTCTCGGGCTCTCGGGAACTTTATGAAACTGACAGTTGACCGCCGAGCACTTCAGGAAGCTAATGGTACATTAGCCTAGGCAGATGCATTTTCTCCGAATTTTGGTGCCTTTGCAGCTATCGACATTATCTTCTCTGGGGCCCTCAGAAGATGACAAAGACACGACTAAGCTGCATGCCAAGGTGATTAACCAACACTATCACCTATCAGACAACCCAATGCTTGGATGACACCAACAGGATCTTCGGTCAATGAGCAAATTTCAAATCCAGCCCTTGGCTCTGGACTATTCCCTGTCAACAAATTTCGACTTTTCTCTCAACGCAGCCCCGTATCGCATAAATAGCAACGGTACAGGTAACGCGACGCAAGAAATCCCGCCAAGCAGGCTTGCTGCAGGCCCAATTCCCAGGTTTACAAACATTGGTCGGGCAGCCATTGGCATTGCGCAAGCGAGGACCGATCGGAGAATTGTATTGGCAGACACTGCACTCGCAGCGTAGGGACCATAGGTGTCGACGAGAAAATTTAGACATTGCTGAAACGCGATATTAAACCCTGCTCCGATAAATCCTGTGCCTGGGTTATTTGGGCTGCAGCTTAAAATAACAAAATCTTTCATCTCACGTCATCATCTTACCTGCTGCGATGACGGGTAGTGGCCATGGGTACTTCGGAGCCGCTGTCCATCCAAACCAAAACAGACCGACTGAGAGCAAAATCGCCCCGACAATTATTGGAGGCAGACGCGCCTCGGGAACTGCTTTGCCACAGTTGGCTTTAGCGGCCCGCTTGTAGCGCGGTTGGTTGGCAAAGTTGATGAATACGGCACATCCGACGCCGACTAAGATCGATAGGAAGGGAAGGGTCGACACGATGAGGCTCCATTTTCGGTTCTCATTAAAAACAATCGGAAACACTTCGAGTACCAGGTAAATCAAACTGTAAGTGAATGATGCGTACAGTGCAAGGCACGCTACCATTGGTTCTGTGAACAACATTCTGTCCAGCGATTAGCACGAGTTGAATTGATCAATATTGTGGTTTTCACCCACTTCAAAGGACGGGCAAGGTGTTTTGTCACAACGGTACTGATTTCAATCTTCTCCTTTTCGTGGGGATGCCAGTATCGTTGATCTCCGGTGCTCCGGCGCAGATCTTGAGCTTTCTCTTTCAGCAGAACAGGCGCATATGTCTCAGGCAGACAAAAAGCACATATTAAAAATAAAATAAATACTAAAGTCCCCTCGATATATTCAGTCCCTGGTTTTTACCTTGTCAGCAAAACTTCCATCTCTCTAGTTTTGTAGCAATAAACCTACAACGCCATCCCAACCGCGGATTAACCGTTAAAGCAGAGCCAATGACAGGACCTAATGTTGGCCCCCCCGGTAATGCAAAAGGCAACAATTGTCATCGCATTCCCACGAGTCGCCGGTTCAAAGATGTCTCCCAGAGCCGCAGGAACATTGCTGATAGGCGCAGAAGCAAATATACCACCAAAGAAACGAGTGAGGAAAATAGCTGTTGCGCTGCGACTAGTTGCGGTTCCGATACTAAATAATCCGAGAATGAACACTGCTGGCAACATGCCCATCCGGCGACCGTAGACTTCGCTGATCGGAGCCCAAATCATGGGGCCAAATGCCCACCCTATTATCAGTTTCAGCACCAATCTATGCTGTTATGAATAAACCCTTTGGCCATTGGCATCACTGACCTAGAACAAAAAGAGCGACCGTCAAGGGCGTGACCTCGGAAGTTGTATGGGTATATTCTGCAATGCTGGTTGCGGCTGGTGAGATAATTGATGAACCAAGTGATCCGGCCAAGGCCAGCATAGCCATCTGGACGACGAGAAATGCCTTGTGAGAAGAGCTGTAGTTCTTGGGATTTTTTGGGTCGTCGTCTTCGAACTTGACTTTGACAGCGTCATGGGTAATATCTTTTTCTGGGCTCGCCCGGTTGGTTTCAAGATCCTCGGACATGGTAAGAAAATTAAAGGAGTATAACCAGTATGAGCATAATGGGCTTCATACTTTCTTATAGCTGACATGGGTACTTATAGCCGGACATTGGAGACCGAGTGCCTATAAACACTCCAGCTCTCGATGTGAACAGGCAATAACGAAGAAAAGGATACAAAACCGAAGATAATTCTCGCAGATTGTCAACTCTGATTGGCGGATAACTGAGTCTTGGACCCTCGTGAACAATTTCCTAAACCATTTTGGCTCTAGTGGCGGCCGCCGGACCCACACAATGACGAGGGCTGCATTGATTCTCCATCTCAGTCATTTAAAACACTAGCGGCGGCCGAACATCCATTTACTTCATTCTTCATTCTTCCTCAGGGAGCTTTGAATTATTCACAGTTTTGTGACTAGCGGCGGCCGCAAGTCTCCACGCGCCTTTTATCCTCCGAGATTTGGAACCCACAGCGATATATTCCATGGAGCGTGCTCCACGAGTCTGTGCGACCTGCAAGGCACGCAAGAAAGGATGTGACAAGTCTCTTCCAATTTGTGCATATTGCTCCCATCGTGGCCTTATCTGCATTTATGAAGACTCGCCTCCTGACCATGCCAAATCCTGGGATTGGGACCGGACGCGGAATACGGACGTGACACGTTTTTCTTTTCCAAACATGGCGCGAGACTTCACCTCCACAAATACAAAAAAGTTGGCCATTGACCTTCAAGACTTGCTATCTCATATTTTACAATCTATTGGACAGAGTTTCACGGGGGTATGTGGTTCTTACTTCGATGGCTTTCATCGATGGCTGCCGATTATATCGTATGAGAATCTTGAACGAGTCCTCGCGCGCTATGAAGGAACTTACGCTCCGACCGAACTTTCGCTTCTGATGCTATCGATGCTTCTAGTTGTGTTGCACCCAGAAGACGGACCTTTGAAAAGCACTGTCTCTCCAACTATGCTGTATCCAGAGCTCAAAGCTACGTTCACACGACTGCAGTCATATCTTCCGACTACTGCACCTATGGTTCAGGCAGGATTGATATTAACGGCGTATGAATACGCTTCCGGTAGACTTGATGAGGCCTATATCTCAATTGGAACCTGCACAAGAGTAGCCTCGGTGGTAGGAATTGGAGGGGTGAAATACTCGCAACAGACACTGGCATGTTCAAAGCAACTGCCCTGCTTCAGAGATGAAGAGCAAAATATACGATGGGGACTTATTTTTCTGGAACGGTATATCGATCACATTTACAATGATTTTGCTTGAGAATCCTCTAACTATATCAAGGCTTATCCTTCTGGAATGCCCTCCTAGCTATCAAGATTTAGCGCAGAGTTTCCCCGGCCATGATTCTCTACTCCCACCAGACTTGCATCGTTACTCTTCCCTGTTGGCCAAACCTCTCTCCCATAATAAGTCCCCCACTTTACAAGACATTCACGCGACCCATGTGAGTTGCTTTGGGCGGCAAATACAAGCGACCAGTCTGCTAGACCATGTTGTACAGGCGACTTCATTGCCTAGACCACCATGCTTTTCCGAATTAAGAGCCTTGGACGACAAGCTACGAGAGTTTTGCACTATCATGATGGCTCAGTCTGTACATGGACACCAGTGCGGTGCCAGTGGAATTGTCATCAGGTATTATATCTCCCTCCGTTGGAAGAAGTGAGGCAGTTGATTTCTAATTCGAGATAGATCTCTGATTCGCCTTCATCAGTACATCCTAGACAACAGCGACTCAATTTCCAGTGAAATCTCTCCATTGCAACTTCGAGAATACTCGCATATCACGCTTGAAACGTTAGCTAGGATGATGGCGGAAATCGCCCGCGACCATATAGAGCGCTTGATTCCCGATCGCATCGACTCGCTCCCGCTAACATGCTCCTACAACATGCGTACAATGATGGATTTTATCAAAGAACGCCCGGGAAACTCCACCAATAAGAGCTCTCCAGCTGCCGTGGATGATTTTGCGACGCTCTATGAGGTCGCACTCAAAAGATGGCGATCTACTGTGTAATGGCTGATTGGCGTGGATGTCAGACACCATGCTGTTGTGTGCCCCCAACTTGTTTCAATTCTCACTGGGGCCCTGTGGACTATATTTTCTTGTAAGAGAAAATAGCTGCACTCACCATTCACTGTTCACAAAGTACCCTGACGATCGCTGCAACCTGTCAGAACGACACATCACGATTGGTGAAAGCAGGATAACGATTGACAAGCATGGCTTGGCCGCGCATAGGGTACTCTCCGTATTCGGAGCAGAAAAAGAAAATCCACTGCAAGTACCCTGAGGGTGTAAGGAAGTAAGCAGAATCCTCTTGGGTGGTTATTTTCGAGCAGCAAGGTCGTGTCGATTGCGATTGCATTCTTGGCACCTCTAGGGGTCCCCAAAGTATGAATGAACCTCCGCCGATCAGCTCTTCCTCTATATAACCAAAGTGGCGGCCCTGGTCCTTAGTTGAGTTGCCCGCATCCTACCAGCTCCAATGAGTCGCACGATTCTTTTCACAGTCGCGGCTTTGCTGCTCAGCCAGACCCAAGCTGTGCCAGACCGGTCGCTGAAACCTGTCGTTCACGTTACCACCTCCGATGCCGTTCACCCTGGTGAGCTGGCTAATGTTCACCTGAAATGGCTAGGCAAATCACCCAAAGCTATTAAAGCTGTTTACGACTCGTGCCTTGAGCCCGATGGGTCAAACCCGGAGGCAATCATCGGCCATTATACTATCAAACAACAACCTCCTCAACGCCTAGCGTGGGCAGTTCCCAGCAATGCTCAATCCGAAAAATGCATTTTTGTATACGGCGAGGCTCAGAATGGGGAAGTGGACCAGATTATCGGCAAAAGCAAGCCTGTCCATCTGCAACGAAAAGTCAAAAAAAGATCTACTGCCGAAATGGACCTTCCCCTCCTGAAAGACTTCGACTCTCTTGGAACTTGGTTTGACGGAGTATCTGCTATCAAGCAAAAAACAGATAGCAACGGGGGTGTTGCATCCGGAGCCTCGTCCAAGAATACTTCGATCGCGATTGTCGGTGGTGGAATCGCAGGTCTTGCAACCGCTCTCATGCTTGAAAGTGTCGGTCTCCATAATTGGGAAATTCTCGAAGCCAGCAACCGGGTTGGAGGACGATTTCGAACAAAATACATGGCCGACACTCAGGAATGGGCAGAGATGGGCCCAATGCGACTCCCACATTCCGTCACCTACAAAGAGAACAATGAGACTCTTCTGTACACCGACCATCAACTCACCTTCCAAATGGCCAAAATTCTAAACAATATGAACAAAAATGACTCTCGCTGGAAAATTGACTTCATCCCCTGGGTTCAGCATCATCCTAATGAGCTCATTGCCCAAGGCACCCGTCGACACCCTGATGGTCGCATTCCAACGCGGGGAGAAATCGAGGCCGATCCAAGTCTGAAGGATCCGCCATCTATGACCAGTGCGGAATACGAGGGTACCCAGGATAAGATGGACAAAATCTTGCAAAATACAACAACCCTCAGATTGATTCAGAAGAATGTATGGCAAGCTCATAAGATTGCTATGGATGAAGGCTTGGATGACTGGAGCGAACAGGCCGTGATGCGCCATGTCTTCAAAGCCAGCGAGAATGTGACCGATCAAATATTGACGGATTCAGACTATGATGTATTCTGGGATGAGCTCCATCACAACTCCAATCTCGGCCTAGATGGAAGCTCTGGCTCCTTAGGCGAGACTCACTGGCTTTGCATCGACGGAGGCTTCAGCCGACTTTCCGAGGCTTTCATGCCTCATATCAAGGATAGACTTATTCTTAACCGACAAATTCGGAAGCTGGAGTCTGTTCAAGGTCCGAATGGAACAACCCGTTCGCGTTTGTCTTGGTATCCAAGTATTACCAATCGAACCTTCGAGTCAAAGGAATACGACTATACAATCATGGCAGTTCCGTTCACTATGACTCGCTTCATGGATCTGCCAACTTTCTCCTCGGTGCTGGGACGCGCAATCAGTGAAGCCGGAGTGCGCTTCAAGTCCGCCTGCAAAGTCGCTCTTCTCTTCTCGGAGCGTTTCTGGGAGAAAGGCAAGCGACCCATTTTCGGCGGATACTCAAAGCCGCCCAGTGATCCAGTCGGCGCACTTTACTATCCTGTGTACGGTTTGAACGAATCGCGGCCTGGTCTAATTATGCACTACCGTGGAGGGGACTGGAGCGATCGCTTCGTCAGTTTCTCAGAAGAGGAACATGTACTAACCGTACTTGACTCGATTGTTTCACTGCATGGCGAACAGGCTAGAGACCTCTACACTGGTGACTACGAGCGTCTCTGTTGGCTTGAAGATGAACACACTGCGACTGCCTGGTGCAGACCGAATGTCGAACAGCACAAGCTTTATATTCCGGCCTACCATAAGACAGAGCATAACACAATATTCATTGGGGAACATACTGCCCCGACTCATGCCTGGGTGAGCTCTTCATTACACTCGTCTGTCCGTGGATCTGTTCAATTACTTTTGGAGTTGGGGTTGGTGGATGAGGCTAAGGAATTGAACAGGAAATGGATGGGTCGTTGGATCAAACTATAGATTGTTGCAATTTTCTTAACAAAAGAGGTTGTGTAGCTACGCATAACTACTATAGCACATAGATACATACTTAGAGTTCGCTTAAGTCATAATAAATCTAAAGAATTTGAAGGTTGGATCCATAATAATCGAGCATACATTTCAGCGAGGACTGGAGTCATCGCGATGGCCTTGGCAAACAATAACTACTTTGAATCATGAAGATCCTCACTTGTGGCTGAAACCTTTCTACTTCCGATAAAACTGGGTCTTTCTTATTAGCTGACAACGTTTCAGGGAGAATGGCTCACTAGAGAGGATAGAATGAAAATCGATCCAAGCAATAACCATCTAGTTTAGCACTATGATTCAAGTAATTTTTAGCAATATGACTACTAGTATGCTTGCCTGTCTTTAGAAAATGCCCAAAAATCACACTTCTCTCCGAAGATAATATATTATTAGCCAGCTATTAAGATTTACATAATACCTCAGGTATACTAAGATTGCCAAGAGCTCCGCATTGCTAGTAAAATCTAACCCCCAAGTTCCTCGAGGGCGCGCAATTGAGCAGTTTTTCAGAAATCCTTCGCCTGTGGTTTCCACTCCACGACTCCGATTGACTTTTCTTTTCTCCGAAGAGCGTCGGATCTTGTATAAGTATGACCACCTAATTGGTTAGAATTACGCCGTTTGGTCAATTTGCGTCGGCAACGACCGCCAACGCTCAGGGGAACCAGGTCGCTCGTTATCTTCGCATGTGCCAAGTAAAACTGTCTGTTTAGCTCGGCCGATCTCTTTTAGTGATCCGATTTCGGCTTTGCTTAGTATGTATCTCAGAATTAGTCTCGGCATGGGATGGCAATTAAGTGTGAATATCCATCTACCTTGGGATACTAAGTGGATGAAGTCGGGGCCTCGGTAATTTCTAGGACCATACTAGTACTTCCAAGGTTTGCTCTTTTCTTTGCGTAACTATACACGGGTGGTTGGGTTAACTCTAGGCCGCAACCACAACCTGAGGCGAGAACTTTCCTTCCTCGCAAGTACCACCAGATTCTTATCCGCCAAGATATTCCATATCATTTCTCGCTTCCAGTGGCGTTGAGAAAACATGGCTGCATTCCTGAGGATGCAATCCGCTTCGGGCATAGTTATGCTGGTTTGTCTTTTCAGCGTACTTGCCTTCGCTACAGCTCTCGATAAAGGGAAGTTGGTCTCACTTGATGGAATAAATTACTGGGTAGGAGGTATTGCTGTGTCTAGGCTGCCATCGTCTGCAATAGTGAACTGGAATTGGACTGTTTCAGACATTGTCCCGTTGACCGTCATCCGGACAAACGCGACAACCTTCACCTCAGACAATCTCAAAGAAACCGTCGCTACATTCACGGCCTCCGATGATGTTTTTGGTCTTAGCTTCCTCGAAGGTATTTTGTTCGCCCACTCAGATTCTAAATATTACCTCCCCGATTCCTGACTTTTTCGCAGTTATCTTTCTTCAGTACGATGGCCAGGGCCAGGTCCAATTTGAGTCGGCTCTTGACTTACATTCGAAGATCCTTGGCAACAAGTTGACAATTATCTCTTCCGAGTATCAGCCTCAACCGCCTTTGGCGCAAGCCAATCTACAAAAGAGTCTACCGAATGGTCCATACTTTATCTCACCTAGGACTGGTGATATTTTCAAGGCGTTCCGACTTTACTCAGACCATCAACTGGCCTTTACCGAAGGAGCAGTCAGTGATGAGATGGGTGGCTTTGTATCTTTGCCAGCCGCAACAGAAGTAATTTATCACCCGGTCATCATCTAAATTAGTTACATCCACTAACTGTATCATTCAGGGAGCCATGACCAAGAGCATCGCCGTGCCGTCTAGGCTGTATTACACGCCTACCACCGATAGGCCACTCGCTGGGGTATGTGATATAAACAATAAAAATGTCCAAATGCATCTAACTGATTCGAAACAGCTTCGTTGTGGTGTCAAGGACATCTTCGATTTGAAGGGTCTACGGACTAGCGGGGGCAACCGAGCCTTCTATGATTTATATCCTGCCAGAAATACTACCAGCTCTGCTATTCAGCGTTTGATTGATGCAGGTGTGGTAATTGTTGGCAAAATGGGAACTGTTCAATTTGCTAATGGCGATAACCCCACGGCTGACTGGGTTGACTTTCACTGCCCCTTCAATCCGAGGGTAAGTGACACCAGGTAGCATGAAATTATATTCAAACTGACATTATTTGAAGGGCGATGGCTATCAAGCTCCAGGGGGCTCGTCATCCGGACCTGGTGCTGGCATTGCCTCATACGACTGGCTAGATATTGCCATTGGTAGCGATACAGGTGGCTCTATGAGAAATCCCGGAAGTCTGCAGGGTGTTTTCGCCAACCGGCCCTCAACTGGTGCAATTGATCTTGACCATGTTCTACCGCTATGTCATGATATTGACACCGTGGGAGTTTTTGCTCGCGATGCTGAGATATGGTCTACCACGATGCATGCATGGTATCCAAACTTCACCGATTATCAGAAGTACCCGACGAAAATATTTTATCAGAATTCTTCTTTTCCAGATGCAAACACCGACGCGGGCTCTTTACTCGAAGCTCTTGTTCAAAAGGTGGAGACATTTTTGGGAGCTCGGCGAGAATACGTGGATATTGCTACTCGATGGGAAGAAACACATCCGAACAACGCACCTAGCAACCTGACGGAACTTCTTAATACCGTAAGTATGCTTGATCTCGAATTCCTGATTCATTGCGCTAACATCCAGTAAGACATACGCTATTCTCACATCTGTTGGGCAGTATCGCTCTTTGGCTCTACCATTCTATGCAGATTACGCCGCGAAGCATAATGACCGCCAGCCATTCGTCAATCCCGGTCCGTTGAAGCGCTGGCAATGGGGTCAAGATAATGGTGGAGACTATGCTTATAACCTGGCGTTGAAAAACAAGACAATTTTTAGAATATGGTGGGAAGCCGAGGGGTATGGCAGGGCCGACCTGCACACTTGCTCCGAGGGTGTGTACGTCTATCCTTACAGCAAAGGCGAGACACAATATCGTAACGTCTACACCAGGTAGGTTCCAAGGCATAATTTTCCTCTCACATAGGCTAACACTTTCAGTGCACCCACGGAGCCACCTATGGGATTCAAGGATGGGCGCATATCAATCATGGCCGACGTCCCGGATTTTGTGGTTCCCGTGGGAGAGATACCCTACAACTCGACCGTGTCTTTCAGAACAGAGTACATGCCTGTCACGATGAGCTTTGTCGCTGCGCGTGGCTGTGATTTCATGTTGGCCAACCTTATTCGCGACTTACAGGCTGACAGCATTCTCAAGCCAGTCAGCACAGGCCCAAAGATGTACCCATAAATTCCTGAATTTTATCTTCCAAAACATCGAAGACTTGTTCTTTATAAGTTTCTAAATTTCAAATACGTTACATCGGAGAATTTTGATTTTACTAAATTCACGATGTCCCATGCTGCAGTAGTTACTAGTAGCAATGTTCAAAGGGGCGTCAGAAAAAGCAGCCAATATGTAAATTTTCTATTACTATCTAGCAACCCACCGATCCTCGCTATCCATTCATTTTACTTCCAAGTAAAATTCTCAATTGACCTATCCAGTGCCACTTAGGACACTCCCACCCAACTTATCTTAAACCTAAAGGGGGTAAATGAATTTCAGGTTCTGTCTGTCCGTGCGGTCCAGGTCACGATCACTAATTTTGACAATCTGGTTCCTCGTTTCAATAACTTCATCCTTGTCCGATTCAGAGTCGTTTTCGAAAAGAAGTTGCTGTCGCCGATTGTTTTCGCGCTGAAGGTAGAAGCGAATGACGATACACATAGCGGGGGATATAAGCCAAAATGCGGTCATGAAGGCCCACGGTAGGACATATCGAGGTTCGTATTTCGATTCCCAGAATCTAAAAAGATATTAAGATTTAGTTTGGAAATTTTAGCCTGGAAATCTCTCTCAGAATCTGGTACCCACTCTGGAGATATCATGTTGGCGACGGACGCAGCAACTATGCAAGATGTCATTAAAGTGAGCTTCTTGGTGTGCCCTGTCGTTGTAGTTCCCGCCCAGTTCAGCCCCAGCAAATAAGATGGCTTAAATGTTGAAATCTGGGTTCCCACAACTAGGGCGACCTTATTTGACCATGGGGCAGCGAGCTAGATATCGTGGTTTTAATAACCGAATCATATTGACATAATTTTGAGTTGACGTACCTCGATTATTCCGCCGATGAAGCATGGTATGTAAGATATTGCGCAGGTGTATCCGGTTCCCAATCGCGTACCATACAGCAGTGCAGCCGATGCGAGAATCAAAATTAATCCCCAAATGGGCTTGATAATATTGAATAGCGCGCTTTCTGCCGGTGTGAAGCCAAATCCAACGATGATCAAGGGTAGTTGCTGTGAAGTATTATTCGGAAGCTCATTGAAGAACATATGGAAGCTAAATACTACTAGTTAGAATGTCGCGCAAGGAATAAGCAGATCGAAGTGAGTCTTACATAAAAAGCCAACTCTTGAAATCAGCGAAAGACTCGCGAACTTGAGACCATCTGAATGTCGAATTGGACACACCGGCATGCGTCTCACGAATAATCTCGATAGTATGGACCTTCTCTTCGACTGAAAGCCACTTCGCATCGAGCGGGGAATTCGGAAGGAATATCAACAATGGCACAAATATCGCAAATGTAAGGACAGCACAGACGATGTGAAGCCACTTCCAAGAGGAAATGCTGCCAGCTAGCGATCCATTGCCGTCATCAACTATGAGCTTATAAGATATCATGGTCAACATAACATTGGCGAGACTCCCAAAGGCCCACCATAATAGCTGCACCCACGGACTCTTTTTCGGTGGGAAGAATGCTTGGTGGAGAACGGCGGTAGAAGGCACAATCTGTGATTCGGTCTATTCTTTTGTTATTTATCCATATTTATGTTATACTTGGGCTTGAGTCACAACATACCATCCCCAAAAGAAATCGCACTGCCATCATTTGCTTCCCCGTCTTGACAGCTGGATGGACACCCAATAGCAGAGCCCAGAGAAAGAGAGATCCAGTGATGAAGTATTTATGGCCCACTCGCTGTGATATCCAAGCACCAGGCCAAAGTGCAATAAGATATCCGGCATAAAACAACATAAAAAGCTGATTATACTCGTTCTTGGTCATTTTGACGTCGTTAAAAATACCCATTGTACTGGCGGATGAAAGGGTCGATTTATCCAAATGTATGAGGAATGAAATCCACCATGTTTGGATTAGGAGATACCAGAAGTTCTTGCGAATCAGCTTGCCTTCAAGCTCGGGTGTCAAAGGCCGGACATGGTCCTTGTTCGTGTTGTAGAAGTATGTTGTATCATCGGTGTCCTTTTGGTCAATGACCTTAGGTTGCTGGGACGTCCTGTGGGGTAAATCCGTCGCCTGTTCATGGTTACCCTCGCTCGATGAGGCCTGAATGGCGTTCGAAATATCGCTATTCTTCTCTCCCGACATTCTTTCGGTGTGCAGAGGATGCAAAATATTTTTGGGTCCTTTCTAGAAACCCTAAGTCTTTCAATTTATAATTTCGTGTCTACTAAAAAGCTCTCGGGAATTTCCGAGTATCAAAGCGCAGCGCCTCCAGGGTTCCCAGGGGCGCTGAAAACTCCTGGGCTTTTGGCCGGGTGCCGCGCTTGTGTCTTGGCTTCGGCCATCAAGCTCGGCCAACCTTTGCCAATCCTGAAACAAGATCCTCTGTGCGTTCTACCTTGTAAGAAGAAATCCAGCTGCCAAGATGTAGCAGTCTTTTGGCCCGTTCTTGGCTCTGTGATGCCAAGAAGCCTGTGTTGCATTGGAGGACCTTGATAGTTGATCGACACACATAATCACGAGATCTAGAGCATCAAATCGTGTGAGGCTGATTCTAATACGAAGCTAGTAGGTGGGAGATGGCCAGACAAGAGATTCAAGTTTGCTTTCAATCCCACAACAAGAAGAGATTTCGTATATTCTCTAATGTATACTAGTACTATATACTCTAAAGCTTCAAAATATCACTACGCTTGCATGTAGTATGGATAGACCGGGGTTCCTAGGAGGACGGCTTGGAAATGTTGCGAGATCCACCCGGTCCTTCTTCAAGGCCATTCTTTCGGGGTATATCGGGTCGCCACCTCCAAAAGGGGCGCATGTAAGACGTACTCTGGTCAAAATTCTCAAGTATATCCGCAGCATGCTTTAGTCAAAGCTATTAGCCGAAATCCCGCGCCAAGCTTCGATATTATTGACTCACCTTTCCAAGAATAGGTAGAAATTTGGCCCCATGGCCACTGCCACCTGTACAGACAAAGACAGATTTTTCCGCGTAATCCGGTACATAGTCAATCTATTGGGATGTCGTCAGTGGCAGGGAAATTGCGCCAAGTGTGAGTGATCTAGACACTTACCACGAAGGAATTGTCCAATGAGTCCGTATACCAGCAGAGCTTGGCAGAGTAAAATGGGACGGTGTTGAACTCCGGCAAAAAAACAGATACAAACTGCCTAATAGCATAGTCGGCTTGCTCTTGTAGCGAGTGGCATTCCTTTGGCGGAAGAGGCACTGACCACTGACCATCCTGAGTGAAGGGCGTACCGTCAGGAGCAGGTTTGAAGTTGGTGAACTGAGGATCTTGTTAACAACAATTCTTCGAACCATTTCAAATCACTCACCTTCAATCCACGATAACCGATCTTGAGAAGACCCTCAAGGGTACGGGGCAGCACATATATGCTACCCGTATCTTTTCCGTTGGGATCTCGAGAAGTACTCTTCCATGTTAAAACTGGGAACTTTTCAGGGGAGTACTTGTCCCAGAGCTCCTTGTCGCTCGGGTCAATCTTGAAAATAGCCAGACTTCCCGCGGAAGATTCTAGATGGTAGCTCAAGTCGGGAAGAATTTGCGTGGAAAAGGACCCAGCTATTTGCAATCAGAATTATAGTACCATAGACAGGCTTCTGTTCCTTACCAGCAACCACAACAACGTCGGCCTTGTGAGTAACACCATCCTTCGTTTTCAATCCAATAACTTTCGCTTTTCCGGGCTCGGTTGCACTAGGCTCTTTAACCAGCGAATCTACAGCGCCAGTCTTCTGCCCAAACAAAAAACGAACGCCTTTGGACGCTGCGACATTCTGATAATGAGCACATGCGTTACTGCACCTCACGAAACCAGCCAGAGAGTCAAGCACAGCTTCATAAGAGCTGGTTGGAGAGGAATCCGGGATTGCGATATCGAGTAGCTTATCCTTCCATCCTAAACGAGCTGCGCGTTGTTGGTCTTCGGCGCTACTCTTCACGAACTGCGCATCTCGGAAACCGTCACGCTCCATGTTTGCCAATGTTTCTTTTTCCAACTCTTCCAGGTGGTCCGACGGCTGCACTCGCAACATTCCGCTGTTGACAAAAATCTTCTTCTCCTCTGAATCGGAGGCCTCTTGTGAATAGCCGCGTTTCTCATCCTCTGAAATCCAAAGCTTCCGCCCTTCCATGGCAAGGCGCTGATAATGAAGCTCCTTCCCGTAAGATGCGCGGAACTAGAATTGAGATTGCTTTCAGCGTCCGATCACGAATGCGTAGTGTTCTCCTTCCTGTGGCCTTACGATTTTGTTGTGATCCACCGATGCAGCTTGTATCTCGTCATCGTTTGCATCATAGGAGTTCTGATCATAGTCATATCTCTCAAACACGGTCACTTGGTGATCTGAAAATTCATCGATAAGTCAACAGCTGTTTCAGCACCACTATCCATTCAAGGAATGCTTACCTCGGTCGCGCAGGGCCACTGCCAGTGAGAGACCGAATATGCCCGCTGTACATAATCAGCAATTCTCTCCCCGAAGATGTTGTCTTTGATATTAAGATACACTCACCTCCAATAATTGCGACCGAATTTGGTTCCGACATTGTGTTCTTGTTCGAGAAAGAGTGATGCGATTAGGAAATGGGAATGGAAATGGGGTGATCGCGATCGTCCCCGCCTTTAAGTACCCTAACTACGGAGTACGGCTAACCCTACTCCAACTCCCCGCAGCGACGGAGCCAAAAGAGTTCAAGTTGGCTCCCAGGGTCCCTTCAGTTCCTACATTCTGCTACTTTGACACGGGAGCTGCCTTGGGCTTGTACTAGTATTGCTTTATCTATATTTTATTTTTCAAGTGGAATACACATAATCAATTTCACCAGCTCGTGGGAAGCCTGCAGTTTTGAGGGGCTCATACTCGTACGATTGATTGATGTATAGAAAGTTGCCAAAAGCGGCATCTCTTAAGCTAGAATCCTTTTTAAATAAGAGGACATAATATTGTTCTATTCTGGGATATTTATTTTATTTGTTCATGAGAAAGAAAGGGGCCATTCGGGTGTGGTTGACTCCTTCTCGGGGTCTACAAAATAGTTCGGCGCCGAAGTAACATAAGGCTAGTCCTTCTCGGCGCCGAAGAATCTTTCGATCCCCGAGAAGGAATCAACAGCAGCAATATAAGACTAGGAGTTCCAAGGTTCCAATATATAAATTTCTGACTATCAATTTGAGTCGGCCCAAATTGAGTAGCATTCAATTTTTTCCCATCGCATCATACTCAAATAATCACCATGCACAACACACAACAATCAAAACAAGGAGACACTCCCTCAGATCAGCCCAATGATAAATTCGGTGCAGACGAAGATACTACGAGTAATAGCGAGCCTCAACTTCAATCAATCACGGGAGTTCGACTTATCTTGATTGTGGTTGCCCTTTTGAGTGCTATGTTTCTCGTCGCGCTGGTCAGTCACGTTTCTCTGCCGCTCGAGATTTCCAACCACAAACTAAATCAATTCTCGAATAGGACCGAACAATCATTGCAACCGCTGTCCCTGCTATTTCCGATAAATTCCATGCCATAGGCGATATCGGCTGGTACGCCAGCGCCTATCTCTTAACCAGCAGCGCGACACAACTTCTCTGGGGTCGACTATATACCTTCTACTCGACCAAGGCACTGTTTTTGGCAGCAGTGGCTATCTTTGAGGTCGGGTCCGCTGTCTGTGGAGCAGCACCTAGCTCCACTGCATTTATTGTTGGTCGAGCTATTGCTGGAATTGGATCAGCGGGCATCCAGAATGGTGCCACGGTCATCATCACCCAAGTAATGCCTCTGCACAAACGGCCTCTATTTATCGGTCTTATGGGGTCGATATTTGGAATATCTGCCGTCATTGGCCCTCTCCTTGGCGGTGCTTTTACCGATCGAGTGACATGGCGATGGTGCTTCTACATCAAGTGAGTGATTATCTTCTGCCCGGTGCCACCCTAGCCCAATACACAAACTGACTTGTTATCAGCCTTCCCATCGGGGGAGTCACCCTTCTCATCATTTTCTTGTTCCTTCGTATACCATCTCTCTCCACGACAACAACACTCAAGCGCCAACTGATTCGTCTGGACCCATTGGGCACAGCCCTCTTCCTCCCATGCGTGATCTGTTTCCTCCTAGCCCTGCAATGGGGCGGCACAACCTACAGCTGGAGCAATGGACGCATAATCGCTCTATTCGTCGTGGCAGGAGTTCTCTTCATCGCCTTTGCAATCGTTCAAACATGGCGCAAAGAAGACGCGACTATCCCCCCACGGATTATCAAACAGCGCAGCATCGCCTGCGCCGCCGCGTACACCTCACTTATTTACGGAGCTATGGTCGCCATGCTCTACACCCTTCCACTCTGGTTCCAGGGTGTGAAAGGCACTAGTGCCGTTCAATCAGGCATCGACAATATTCCAATGGTTCTGGCCCTCGTCGTCGCCAGTATTATCAGCGGCAAGATCATTGCAACCGTGGGGCAGTATGTGCCGTTCATGTTCGTTGCAGCACTGCTCATGGCAGCAGGTGCTGGCATGATAAGTACTTTCAAAGTCAACACTGGCCATGCAGCCTGGATTGGTTACCAGGTTCTTTTCGGTCTCGGCTTAGGATGCGGGATGCAACAGCCCACGATGGCCGCCCAAGTCGTTCTCCCTCAAGCGGACGTTTCAGTTGGTGTCGCATTGATGTTTCTGTTCCAATCACTCGGTGGTGCGATCTGGGTCGCTGTCAGCCAGAATCTCTATACAAATTACCTGGTTAAGACATTGCCCGATATTTCCGGTGTCAATGCATCTGCCATTCTTCAAGCAGGTGCAACTGGACTCGCAGATATCGTGCCAAAAGACAAACTCAGCGCCGTGTTGGTAGTCTACAACACCGCCCTCCGCAACGCATACTTCGTACCAGTGGCACTTGCCTGCGTCTCAGTACTTCCAGCACTAGGAATGGAATGGCGCAACGTCAAAAAGGAGAGTGAGCGCCGGGAGGCGGAGAAAACTATCAACAGAGGAGAAATCGCGAGCGCAGCAAGCACATCGTCCCGAGTGAGCGAGAGAAGCACACATAGTTTTACGTTCTTGCGTCATATGTATAAGCACATAACAGAGCAGACTGAGCCTCATTACTCCTCCGGGGCAAATTTTCAAAAATCTCCATTAATTACCGGCCGCGCATGCATGACATTATTCTCCTCCCCGAACCCCTAGATTTCCATGGTATACATAGTTCAAGTAACTCCACCAGATCGACATACAGAAGGCAAAATCAGCCTTGGAACCTTTCAAGCAATGAAAATCTCTCTGCCCTGTAATGATATTCATGAATTATTGTAATTGTCCTCCGTAAGTGTGTAATTAATCATATGAATAATCACGGCTAGCCGAGCCGCCGACCATCACCGATTTCCAAATTCAGAATGTGGGCCACGACCATAGTAAAGATACCCGCGGAGATGAAGATCTACCAAATGTAACCAGGAGGCGCTCGTATTCACAAGCGCCTCCAAGCCGCATTACGCTTATATTGGTGTGCTCCATATAACCTCATTTGAGAATGCTCTAGAATTTTTCGGCTGCAGGGGGAAATGGGGGCAAACGGTGACCTCCGGGAGGTTTGTGCACCCTAGACCGACCCACATATCCACCCAGCCCACCAGCTAAGCAACAACTACTCCGTAGTTACTCCGTAATAGATTCACAACCCACCCACCTCGTATAGTGGGAAAAAGACGGGAGGGGTGGGAGCTGGTTGGTGGATTTGTTCGTCGGGGCTCTTCTGCCATAACCCTGACTGCCGGAATGATCCCGAATTTTGGAACGTAATGGTGCCATTCTGCAGAAGTTTATTTGGTCAGGTCAGGGGTAAGTACTCCGTAGAGTATACTCGTACAGTAGTTAGCCATGTGCAAACTAGTAGTTATATCTCTATGTACATGTGAAAGTCTCCACTGTAAACTCAAGTCGTCTTTCTAAAGGGGAATCTCCTAACGATTATTTGCATAGTTGTGTACGAGGACGAGTACTTGCTGTAGTTACTTTAGTTAGTAGATGGTGTATAAAGATTATCAAACATAAGGATCGTGTATTATGTAGAGAAGATTTAGTCCGTGGCAGACAGCTGCCTCATTAAGTACAGGGCCAAAGGGGTATTAATCATATATACAAAAATCAAAAGGCCCTGTCCAAGGTAGAAATATCTTGCATCATCCATTCCATTCACCCCAACTCCATTCAATTCAACTCCTAAAGGCTCCGGCGCACACTTTGTTCGGCAGACTCGCTTGGGGCAGGCTCGTGGGAAATTTCAATAGTAGTCTCTTGGTACACGCCATTGAAATTATTCATTTCGATATCGTTCTTTGGGACGATATCCTCGGTTGAATCCTCGAACGGACTCTTGTGCGCATCCCTATCAATGTTATGGACACCAGGCCGAAGTCGCGAGCCCAAGCGAGAACTCATCAATCCTCCGCGTTTGGACTTTCTCGAGCGGGACCCGTTGGCGTTGGTTGTGATCTGTGTCTGCCATTGAGAGTCGGTGTTATTGTCGTAGTTGCGGTCGGTGGTGCTGTGTTCGGTATCGATGAGGAGGTGGCGACGGGTCAGCGTGTAGACTACCACGTCCATGAAACCAGAGAGCGCCATCAAACAACCGGCAATACCGAAGTAGGTTTTGCTCGGAGAGTCACCCCGGGCTGTGGCCATACGACCGGCGGCGAGGGGTAGTGATAGAACCAGGTAGACCAATGGGTAGATAACCATATAAATGACGACTCGGTTCAATCGGTGCAAGCTTTCTTGTTGGCCACGGCGGAGCATCTTTGCTTGCGCCATCCGGCGGCGGAGATAGAAGAACATGATGGCGTAGAGAGCGATAGTGCCGAACTCGGAGAGGAAAATCCAGATATAGTGGCCCCAGAGGCGTTCGTCTTCGTTTTCGGGGCTCAACCAACACTATGAAAGGGGAGAGGTCAGTAAGTTATCATAAGAAGGACAAAACTCGTGGGTATTGTACGTACCCAGTTGGCTTCTGAGATGACAAAAGCCTCTTTGCCGTAGAGGCCAACAGGAATGAATCCCAAAACCAGAATGAACATCCACAATGCGACAACACAGTAAGCGAAGATATTGAATGGTAACTGTCTACCACGCATCACCACTGCACCAGTATGCAGCGCAATAGAAAGAACGAACAGCCCACTACCGGGGTCACCCGTCTGAACCCACCATCCCTGCAAGTAGCAGGCCGGTTCGCCAAAGTGAACACCACCCCGGGATGCCCAGTAAAGACTGATGGTAAAGGCAATAGCCTGTTGCAGATCGGCGAGTAGGAGATTGTAAATGAGAACGACGTATTGGTTCTGGCCGAGCGGGCTTTTATAATAACGCTGCCAGTAAATGAACCGATAGGTAAGGAATGACAAGAGGCCGAAGGTAGAGCATAGTGAGAAGAGGGCAATTACTCCCATTGCAATAAAGAGTGACCGATCGCTACCCTCAAGAGGAGCTTCATCACGAAACTCCCAGCGACGGGCAAGAGAGCCATCACCCCCAGCAGTAGACAAAGAACGAAGAACGTGACCAAGCATCACGAGGCACGGATGCGGAGAGAGATCCGAGGAAAGAAAAGCGAGCGGACAGGGGGGGGAGAGAAAGACTTTGTATCAGAAGCCAGAAAGGCTTTGAGAATCGGCACACATGGATTTCAGGGCTTCGGCTTGAACCGTATCCCATGCTCCACCGACTTGCGCAGTCAGGAAGCTTCTTTTGGGAACGTCGATCGGCCAAGCCAGTGGGTGATCCTGTCAATTGTTCTCCGTATTGATGCTCGTACGAAGCATACACCAGGTACGAAGCAGATCCCTGGTTCCCATCTGACAAAGTGGGCGTACTATTTGGCGGGCAGTGGAGAGCGCAAGTACCATATACTCCATCCAGGAAAGAGAATGAGGCTGAGTGCATGGGATCGGGGGCATGGCAGCTGGGTCCCTGCCGAGAATCCACACCATTGAGCGGTGCGATGGAAAATAATCATGAGTTCCAAGGTTTGCCCAAAAACGGGGCGTCAATCAAAGAGTCGAACGGGACAGCCTAAGCTCCGACGGTGCAAATCAAGCATCGGGGGATTGTCTACTCCGTACGTACATGTTCTTGTGGAGTGGGCAGATGAACCGGATTCTGACCTGGTGGGTTCTCCGTTTGTATTGGGCGTACCGACCCACCTCAAAATGTGGGAGGCGAGATGCTCACAGATGTCCAGGGGGGGCAAAGTATACGAGTGTTATGGAGTACTCCGTACATGATCCTGATTTGATAGTATGGTGAGCGAGGAAGAAGAGAGGGGAGCTCCCTTCCGACCGCGTGGCAACCCCAGGTACTTTCATTCCTGAAGTTTAAGTTGCACATGAAGGTGGGTATACCGGCCAACGTGCAGGGGCGAAGAGGCAAACATGCCGATCTAACGATGAACCTGCGTTTGCGAGGGTTCAAATAGACGCCGATCCCGCCATTCTTGAATCTCCGAATCGCTGGGAGAACTCCGATGAGCCTAGGGGGGGGCAATATCATCGGCGGAGTCCATATTTTCGCCAGCAGCCCGGATCATCAGAGGATCAGAGTGGGTGCTTGGTGGGGACGTGAAGTTCGATGGGCACGAACCAAATGGAAATTGAATGATTACTCGTATCGTTGTTGACTCGGTCCGACCTATTGGACTAGGGACGGGATCCTTCAATCAATAGGGGCTGGGGTACATAGATGGTATGGTGTGGTGTGGTGTGATTGGTCGGGGCAGTAACCGAGTGCGTGGAGAAGAGAATCCTAAACTTAAAGCCCTGGGGCAAAAGGTTATCAATCTTGGCGGCAGTAATATATTTGGAAAGGGATGAGAGGAGAGTATGGCGGTATTACTAATGTATTTCAAGATCGAGTTTATCTCTCTTAACTTAAGGCTGTTCTGCAACAAGCACGTCTCCGTGGCGCAATTGGCTAGCGCGTTCGACTGTTAATCGAGAGGTTGGAAGTTCGAGCCTTCCCGGGGACGTCTCTTTTTCTTTTTGTCTTTTTATCCTTTTATCTTTTTGCCCCTCTTGATACTATTTATTATATACATAGTGCTAGGGTTTATTTTTGTTACATTGTGCTTTTTATTTTGATGTAAGATCAGATCATGCCAATGCTTCTTAAGGTCCCTTCCCCAATTGATATACCAACCTGACTCAGCCCATTGTGGAATCCCTAAATGCAACCTTGCTCACCTCACTTTATTCACCTACCTCGCCTCACCTTACTGTGACATTCTTAAGAAAACCGGGTTTGATAGCCCGGTGGACCCTGCAGAAGATCTTCACACCACATGATATTCCCCTCTCCGGAAAAACATAGTTAAGGCCTCGCTTTGAGTATGTCTCACTCTTCTCCCGTCCACACCCGCTGCGCCCCGCGGTGAATACCCTGTTGCATCGGGCTTGATAACCACCTGGGCACAATTGCGGTCAGGTCAGCTGTTGAGTCTGTAATGTCCCGCCTTATGTCTAAGACCTGCACCGGTGCTAGATGCACTAGGCCGCAGCTAGACAGGAATAGAAGTCATACATCGTATACACCTGGGCATCGTGATGCTCCGCTCAAGGATATATAAATGGGCAATGTATACCAGGCCATATTGATAGAACCATCAACCTCATTTTCTCTCCCGAGTCACACTATCAAAACCGCAAAACCAATATAGACATTCTTCAAGTTCTCTATATCTTCTCATTATGAAGTACTTCACCGCCATCACCGTCGCCCTCATGGCCTCCCTCCAACTCACCGGCGCCGCCCCAGCACCCCAACCCGAGGCCGAGGCCGACCTCTTCACCCGCGCAATCTCAGTGTCCGTCTCCTATGACCCCAAGTTTGACGTCTCGGGCTCCTCTCTCAACACAGTCGCCTGCTCGGACGGCACCAACGGTCTCGTGAGCAAATACCCGACCTTCGGCAATCTGCCCACCTTCCCCCGCATCGGAGGTGCACCCACAATCGCCGGGTGGAACAGTCCCAACTGTGGCAACTGCTACTCGCTGCACTACAAGAGTGGCAAGGTCGACAAGACCATTAAGGTCCTCGCCATCGATGCCGCACCTGGTGGTTTTAATATCGGTAAGCAGGCTATGAACCTGCTCACCAACAATCAGGCTGAGGCATTGGGCCGTGTCACGGCTACCTACACCCTGCTCGCGGATAGTGAGTGTGGAATGTAGAGACCCCAAGGCCTCCAAGGTTTCAATGGATAAGACAAGGCTGGGTCGAATCGACGATAGCTATGAATAGATCCGAGTCTACGATAATGCATGGATGAGACATGGCGGGGAAGTCGGGAGGAAAGAATGCTGGAAAGGCAGAGTGTTCTACAAAACCACCAAAAAATATCTACCAACCGCCTACTAGTAATATACATAGCCATACATACTACAACATGTACAAGAATGAATCAAAGTACTTGCAGCATATCTTCGACCCTCCCAAATTTATCCCGAACTTTACCCTTTTGTAAACCGCGCTCGCGCTCCACTGCATCAATGCGCTGCCAATCCTTCCAAGACGTGGGGCGCAGACCGCGGCGCTCGGCCTCATCTTTGACCCCGTCCCAGCCGAGACCAGTACTATCCCGAGGTGCATGCAGGAGGGAACCTGGAGAAGAAGCATGACTAGCCAGGTCTTGCATTATGGTATCCGCCGTCGTGAAGGCATCCGTCATAGTCGATGCGATCACGCCCGTAGGCCCACGCTTGACCCAACCCGCACAGTACAGACCAGGTAAGTGGGTAATAATAGAGCCATCCGGTAATTTTTGCGGTTCCCCGGACCCCGAGAGGCTCTTTACGCGGCCGAATCCGTCGTTGGCGATCACGCCGCGCTGGGTATCGAATTGGATGCCTAGATCTTCCAGGCCCGGGAGGGGGAGAGACTTGTAGCCGACGCTACGGAAGAAGACGCTGGCGGGAAGATTGACCATGGCGGGTTTCCCGCTGGAGAGGTATTTCGGCGTTACCTTGGAGGTTGGATTATACGGGTCTGAGGGGTCGAGCTCATTGCGGGAGAATTTGGCATGGGTGAGGTGGTAGGGGTGAATGGGCGACCAGTGGAGGGAGTCGGGAGAGAGAAGGAAGTCAAGGGACCAGGATTTGGGGGATGTTTTGGGATCATTCGCGGAACCTTTGGCTAGTAGTTGCATTAGGCGTTTCTGTGCGCGGGGGAGGGCGTTGATGACTGATTCGGGTGGGAAGACATCTTTCGCGATCGGATCGAAGGAGACGGATGGGAGTTGGAGGAGTTCACGGACTTCTTTGATCGTGAAAGATGCCTATAGCAGAATTGGAAAAAAAAAGTAAGAATTAAGTTGGCAATTGCTGTTGGATGCAGACATCTGCTAATTACTCACCTGTAGTGGCCCTCGACGGCCAACCACCCGTACTCGCTTGATTGTACTCTTGGAAAGCTTCTCCAAAGCATAGTCGGCGATATCGGTAGACCGGAGAGCTTCAACATCGGAAAGCAGGATCCGGGCAACATCGAGCGCAACATTGCCCTGTCCGATCACCACGGCTTCTTCCCCGGTCAAATCGGGGTCAAGATCCCGGTGCTCGGGCAAGCCATTGTACCACCCGACAAAGGCCCGGGCAGAGTGAACACTGCGGGTGGCCTTCTCCCCAGGAATACCTAGCTCTTTATCCTTTGACGCGCCGTATGCGAAGAGGATAACGTCGTAGTGTGGTTTGAGGGCGGATAGAGGGAGGTCGTTGCCGAGCTTAATGTTACCGACGAAGTTGAAGCGTGGAGAGGTGGCAACCTCGGTGAATTTGTCTTCGCAGTTCTAATCGATTTTTTTATATTAGCTAAATTATCTTTATAGCTAGAGGATCCATGGCCCCTCTTGGGACCTTCGACTGCCGAGCGCTCACCTTGACCTCGGGATGGTCCGGAGCCACGCCGTATCGTGCTAAGCCAAAGGGCACCGGAAGCTTTTCGTACATGTCGACCGTCGCTTCGGCATGTTTACTCAAAAGACGTGCAGCCGCATAGAAGCCGGCCGGACCAGATCCCACAATGGCGACGCGGGCAGGTCGGTTTGCGGTGGCATTGCTGCTTAGCCGCCGAGCGGAGAAGGGTACCACTTTGGACCAGAGGGAGCGCCGGGCCAGCTGCACAGTGCATTGTGTACAGACAAAGGCACGGTCCAGCATGGTTAGTGCGGGGTGCAGAAGAAAGCCTGTGCTGTATGAAATTGTTGAGTTGAGCAGTCACCTTCGCAGCTCCGCGGGCAATTCCCAGGGTTGATGATTGCCCCGATCTGATATGGCTTATCGTGATTCACGTGATTACAATCGCACTTATCCCGGATCGGCCAATCAAACATCCGGGCCGCGATCGCCGGCTTAACACTAGTCCGTATTAGGAATAGCGGGATCTGTTGGCTCGGCAACGGCGCAAAGCATCAAGAGGGTAGCGCAGCCTCAAGTGTCAACTGTCAGATCACATCCCCCCCATTCCGAGTCTCATTCCTCCACATTCTCACATTCCCTTCTCGCGTGGTCTTCCACGGGTGCTTCCAGTCGCTACCATGGGGAGATCGTCGCCTCCGTTCATTTACGATCGTCAATCGACCTACAGTTTCCATGGACCCACCGATCACGGCTTCAACCCCAAGGCTGTGACGCAAGCGAGCCGGATTCGCGCGCCGCAGAGGGAAAAACCCAATGGCCCTTTGGTCAACTTCAATCGACACCCAGATACGGTATGCGCGCGAATCAATGAACCCAGCTTCATAGTTAATCGCAGTACTGACAATATGAATAGTGGGGCAGCTTCGAGAGCAAGTCAACATGGACTCCCATGAGTCCAAACACTAAGAAACACGTCAAGTGGGCTCGTGGAACCCAGCTGGGGCTGCGTGCAGTCACTCTACTCGGTGCTCTGGCATCGCTTTTCTTCTCCATTGTCATCAAGAATGCTGCTACGACTATCATTTGGATCATGAGGGCGGGCGTGAGTGTCCACCAACTTAGGCTCCACAATGCGATCGCTAACTCCAAATACATAGCCTATCGTTGCCACTCTGCATACAATCTACGGCATCTATCATTTCTCGCGCTCCCCTATCAACCGCCCTCCTGCTTCGCAAGCCAGTTACGGAATCTTCGCCTCGACCCTTGACGCTGGGCTGATCCCATTCTACGTGTTTACTGCCTTTGTCGCCCGCCAAGAATATACCCAAGATGCGTACCACTGGAGTACCCTTTTGGATAACAACGTCGGCATGATCGTGCCAATTACCCAGGCAACTTTCATTTGCGCTCTCGTCAATGGGGGATTGCACCTCATCTCGTTCGGTGTATCGATATTCTTGGCTGTTATGTTCCGAAGGATCTCTCACTTGCCACCGGATATGAACCCACTGGAAGACAACCTCACTGCCCGTCCTCGCAGAACCCGCAAGGATATTGATATCGGCGAGAAGCACATGAGCTCATCCACCTTGAACTCCGAGGATCCACTCATTGGTTCTCCACGGACGGTGGCATTCATGCATACGCGTGGTGACTCTGGTGACTCAGCTTACCAGTCTGGTGATTTTATGAGTGATAAACGTCAATCGCATGTCTCTGTTCAGCCTCATCGTCTCTCGCAATTCGAGCCGTCGAGTCCCGAGATGCTTTTCCAGCACCCTGCTAGTCAGCCGTATGATCTGACCGCCGATGTGCCAGCTCCTGAGTATGATGTACCGGCGCCTGAGTATCGGAATGTTGCGAGGCACTCTGCTGAGGTTGTGAATCCTGGTGCTCAGATGCGCCACATGACATCCCGCGCTGCCGACCGGTCAAACAATATCAGTCCCCTCTCGGACAACTGGGTCGCCTACTCAGAGCGCACAGTGTCACCGATGGATGAAAACCAACAGCAGAACAACGAGAATGACCTTCGACAGTCTTCCTCAGTCTACAGCAGACGTACTAACTCGACTGCTACATCCAACGGTGGCTTCCGGGACTGGTTCGCATATGGTCAGAAACCTGCTAGCATTGGAAGCGTGATCCCTGAAGATACCCGAGGCGAGTATGCTGAACTGGCAATCCATGAATACTACGGCAACGAAGAGGACAAGGAGCAAGACCTGGGTGAAACACGTTTCAACATATTCCCTGACCCCGAAGAGCACGACCATGATAATCTAGACGATGAGAACTCGAAGGATCTGCCTTTCAACCCGCTCATGCTGAACCCCCCCGACCCCCCCAACCCATCCTTACTGAGAAGCCCGAGGATACCGACCCTGTCCGACGCTATGCTCTGAGCGACAACCCGAATCTTACAAACAACCAGACAATGGCCCCACAACAACCTGGATCCACCGACTCCACCCCTACCAAGGGCCGCTTCTACGGAGACCTCGAAGAGGAGGGTATGCCTGGTGTAGACATGTCCCGCAACATTAGCAATCAACAGCCCATGACCCGTCAGCCAACAAAGCTCACCAAGAAGAAGAGCAAGAAGATGTCCGCTTATCAATCTCTCAAGAAAGACGACAGCGGCGATGAGGGCTATCTGACGAGCCGCTCAGCGGCAATGTCGGAGGGTGATCGCAAGGGACGTGTCGTCAGTAACTCCGGTGCAGACACAGCCCGAGCCGGTATTGGCGCTAGTGTTGGTGCCTCCTTATCTTCCTATGGTAGCTATATCGCCGGCCTGGGCGTTGGTCGTCGTCGCGACGTGAGTGGTAAAATTGCCGAGGAGGGACGTGGCAGCCAGCCCATCGAGGAGACTCCAAGTCCGAATCAGCAACAGAGCCAAGGAGCCTCACCGACCCGGGCTGCCGGATGGGCGAGATTTGCCGGACTATGATGAAGAGACGGAACCAAATGGATTGGAAATATGAATGGGAATTGGATATCCAAGGGACTATGTTTTGGTTTGTTTTATTTACTGGGATCGGAGTTTTCACCATGTTTCTATGAATGGTGGCATGTAGCGAGCTCTTTCTTTTACTTCTATTGGGCTTGTTTAGCGGCCTTTTTTGATTTCCTTGGGCTGGGCCAAGGATAGCCAGCCTTTTCTTTTCGATGTTGATCTTATGTTTTTGTATCTATGAGACAATTCAAGACTTTCAATAATTATTGTGCCTCTGGGAAACATTCCCAAACTGAATGGATATCTGAGTTGTATATTGAGATAGTATACTCGTAGTCTACAGGCCACAAAATTCTGCTTGAAATAAGTAACTCCTAGCCAATTGAAAGGCTGAGCCGCAAAACCGCCAACGCCATGTTAAATAGTGTTCTGGCCGCCCTAGTCTCCAACTTCTTTTGACAGACTAGGGCAGTCAACAAGGGGCACCGGATACTAGTTAGTATACAACTATAGCCTGACCACCCTGTGCTTATGGAGTGCTGTTAACCTGAGCCTGCCTGCTATTGAACTGGCTATTTAATTGACTATTAAGTTCTGCCTAATAAACCTACTATGCCTATATTGTATGGGCCGCTTACATATTCGGAAGTGCTTATTGTTCCCAGGTAAGGCTAGTAGGCACCAAATTCGAACTTCTGGGCCTATTTTGTACAGCCGCTCCCATATTGAGAAGTTCAACAACTTATTGTTCCTGAATCGATGGAAGCCTAGGCAGCACTGGATTCTACATTCACTGTTATTTTGCCCGATACTCAAACCACACTTCCTACATTTCTACTCCTATTTCTACTTTCACACTTTCACACTTTTACACTTCCACACTTCAACTTCAACTTCAACTTCAACTTCAACTTCAACTTCCATTCCCACTTTCACTTCAACTTCCACCGACACACCTGGGTAGGTTTTCCACTTCTCTCACTTCCACTTCATCAACTTCATCTATTCCATCTATTTCCATCTCATCCCTTCTCTCACTTCCACTTCATCTACTTCATCTACTTCATCTATTCCATCTATCTCCAACTGATCTCTTCTCTCACTGCCAGTTCACCTTGTCAAAATGAACCCATCCTCCAGACCTTCTAAGCCTCCAAAGCTTGCTTCTCCGGCCCCGGCCCCGACCTCCCCTACGTCCCCGACCTCTCCGACCTCTTCCACCTCCCTGACGTCCCCGATATCAAAGATTCCGCTTCCACAGCTGAAGCAGAGAATCGAGCTTGCGATAAATGCCCGCCACAATGGATACACTACTGCCAGCGCCATAATCGTGTACTGGGAAGACGACAACACAGGTGCCGAAGTTGATGCTCAAGCACTGGAGAAAGCTTTCAACGATCTACTCGGGATCAAGACGACAATGTGGAAAATCCTGGATACGAATCTATTGCCAACTATGTCTCTCAAATCAAACGTCGCGCAGATGATTTTGCAGGATCACTCCACTGGAAATCCCCTTCAGACGCTTTTCATTTTTGCGTATGTCGGTCACGGTGATATAATTACCATCGGGGGCAGGTCGGAACGCGTTTTCAAAAGCCTAAAGCCTGGCAGACACATTGTGTGGAACAACATTCACGGCGTTATGGATGACGCCTACACCAGCACCCTCGCTATTCTCGATTGCTGCAAATCAGGTCTCGGAGGAGTAACGAACCCCTCTGCACCGGCGGTTCAAGTTCTGGCGGCCTGCCAAGCATCTGAGCAAGCCCGTGGCCGGGGTATTCCTCGAGCCACCACCTTCACACAAAGACTTGTCGGCCAGCTTGACTGGGCGAAAAAGTTCAAAGAGCCATTTATCAATACGGAAACACTGTTCCAGAGATTGCAACTCACCAGATCCTCGGACTCGCCAACCCCATGTCTGCAGCAAAATGGAGGACTTAAGCCAATCTTGCTGAATTTCAAGAAGAAACCAGCACCCCGAAGCCCCTCCCCATCCCGCATCCCTCGACCGAAGCTCCCAAAGCCCGACGCTCAACATGTCCTCGTCAAGCTTACGCTCACAGGCCCCGAAGCCGAGAACATAGAAGATTTCGACAATTTTATCAGACGCTTGCCAGCACCCTTTCACGTGCGCCTGGTCGACGCGTTCAAGAGCAGTTCATCTCTGGTGATCATGCGGATGCGGTGGGAGACTTGGGCTAGACTATCGACTGTGCTGGATTTAGATCCAATCGGAGTGGTTACTGGAGACTCTTTGCTGCGCGGGACTGCCTCAGCCCCGGCCCCCGAGGTCCCTCAAGTGGGAGAAAACATGCCCTTTCGCCCGGGACCCAGCAAGGAAAGTTACTGAGAACTGCGGTTTAGGTGTCGCTTCATGATGTTCTTGTTAGTTGGCAGCTCTCCCTAGCTTCCTCTCTCCCCTCTCCACCACCTTGCTCAATCAGTCAATCAGTCAATTAGTCAATTAGTCAGTCAGTCAGTCAATCAATCAATCAATTCTTCAATCAATTCTTCCCGTCGCACTTACTACTGCGTTCGGTGACAGCGGGAAAACTTCCCGATGGAGTACGGCACTCCATAAGCGCAGGGTGGCCAGTGGACGTATATGTAGTCGATAGGTATTTTACAGTTTGACTGTTCTCATCTCTGCCTTCTAATCGCAAACTAGTAGCTACCTGAGATAGAGTAGATTAGCCAATCTATCCCTTCTGAGGTAGCTACTAGTAGTAAGTGGTTGTACTCCACTCTGGTGACATGATTGGACGAGATATACGAAACAGCTTCATATAGCTTCTTCAGGAGTAAATTTCGGCGTGGTTCCGCATCTTTCGCTACTGAAGGACGCTAACGCTTCCGCATCGCCTGCCGCTACAATGCCTGTCTCTCGCCATCCTCACCAACGACCACCACGATCAAGATCATGGGTTTCTGTTTCTGGCGCCGCACTTTCAGCCTGACGGCGACAGCTTTGGCTGTGGTGGCTGCAGAGCCCACACATCGACCCGGGCCCGCTTCTCCCAGAGCTAACCTCGATCAGGGAGTCGTCAAGGGATTTGTCCAGAATGATACCGATGTCTTTTTGGGTATCCCCTTTGCCAAGACCACCGCTGGCGAGAACCGCTGGAAGGCTCCGAAGCCCATTGAATCATTCCACAATGGTCACTTTGAGGCCACTGCATACGGACCATCGTGTGCCCAGGCCATGTCTGGCACAGCAATCACTGACCAGAGTGAGGACTGCCTTAGTCTCAACATCTGGGCTCCGCGCCAGGGAGTCGATCTTCCCGTCTTTGTCTATATTTACGGCGGCGCCATGGTCACCGGTGGCAGCAGCAACGCTCAGTGGCAAGGACACAACTTTGCTCGAGATGGTGTTATTTATGTGAATCTCAATTATCGCGAGAGTATATATGCCTCACCCAATGCACCTGAACTCCAGGGAGAGTCACAGAACTTCGGAATCCTGGACGTGGAGTTAGCTTTGGAGTGGATTCACGACAACATCGAGGGCAAGTTTTCCATTTCTTGCTTAACCCCCCCCCTGACATATTCATATTTATGGCCTCCAACTAACCTAATCAATAGCTTTTGGTGGCGATAAATCGCGCATCGTACTGGGTGGGCATTCATCAGGCGGAGTGCACGTTGACCACTACCTCTGGAATCACCCAGACACCTTCCTGGCCGGTGCAATCGAGATGTCTGCCAACGCCCAATCTGGCCCTGCCATTGCACCAGTGGGTGTGGCGCTGAAGCAGGTGGTGCAAGAAATGCTGGATGCCGGGTTGAGTCTGGACTGCACGGCTGAAGACTACACTCTGGACTGCCTGCGTGCTGCAGACACTTACGCTTTCCAGACGACCTCTTTCAACTCGACCTTGAACACCTGGTTCTCACCGTCGGTGGACAATATAACCCGCTTCTCCAACTATGCCGATCGTTTTTCCAAAGGCCACTACCCAACATCGTTGCCACTGATTGTCGGTAATTCCGACCAGGAGGGCAAGATATTCGGCTACGTTTACGGCAGTGAGAACACCAATTTCTCCTCCTGGATCCGTACCTTCGACGCAGATCTTGCCTTTGTACCCACGGACGAGCTCCTAGGTGCCTACAACGAAACCGACTACGACTCGATCTCTCTGATGAGTGGCGCCTCATACGGCGACGCGCGTTTCCTCTGCGCGATAGATTACCTACTGGACTTGCGCTCCAGCAAACAACCTACCTGGATCTATCGCTGGTTCGGAAATTACTCGAACGTGCTGCCAATTCCCAATCTCGGACCCTCGCATGGTAGCGAGGTTCCCTTTTTTCATGGCGGCAATGAGTGCTTCTCGCTGTTAGACGGTGTTACCGATGCCGAACAGCAGCTAGCAGACTACATGCACCATTGGTTTGCCGAGTGGATTAAGAACCCGAGTGCTGGGCCTGGCTGGGCGCAGGCTCGACCGGTTAATGGTCCTCTGGCACGAGTTGGTGTACCTGGGCATGAAGAGAAGCTCGTGATGGGCAAGACTGGCATGTATAATAGTCGCTGCCAGAAGGTTTACAAGCCTAACTATCCTAAGTACCCAGTGGTGCAGAACCCTGTGCTGCTGGCTGAGAGTCATTGAGAGGGGGAGGGAGAGCGCGATAGAGATAGAATCTAGTCATTTTTTTAATAGAATTTATAGAAAGTTTGATTTAGTCCCAAAGTTATTAGTAATTCTTATTTCCCATCCAATCAAGGACCACTGTACGTGTGTCATGCAGCATGGGGTAGATAGAAGATCCGTGATGCATACTAGCCCTGGAGTAGTTACTATCCAATTCCGGAGAAAAGACTTTGTTGGTAGCTGACCACATACGATCCCTACTAGTAACGTGATTTATATGCGAGCCGTGTTTCCAAGCGAGCTGTGAAGCACGAAAATACTAGTAAAGCCATTCTAAAGTTATCTTGTTCTGGGACTTGGAACTTTTCCCCCAATCCAGCTTCTCTTGTCTTTCATTTGATACTTGGCCAATACTAATTCTCCTGTGCTGTTGTTACCCAAGCTGTTCTTGGGTCCACTGGTGCTTTTGTGATGTCCCCTGCACGTGCAAACAAATCCTCACAAAGGTTCTACCGAAGATCAAAAGGTATCGAAGGAGTGTCCGGCAGACTAAAACTCAGCCTCGCGGCTTCCCTATGCACACAAACTCTATTTGACGTGACGTAGGCGTTTTTGGCTTACAGCCTCAACTTTGCGGGGGCTTGGTGTGGGGGCTGAGCATAATTCAATCAATATCAACTTCCTGATCAGCCCCGCGAAGATTTTTTACTTGAGAATGACTAGTATTTAAACGAAATGATCATTTTTTTGTCCTTCAGGAGATGCGGATAGTTTCAATTTCAACTGGACCCTGGGCTTTTCAATACTTCACTGCCCTGTCTAATACCTCGGTATCCTAGAATATTTCCGATCGAAAGCCCTTATTTCCAGAAAATGTGGGAAGTCATCGCTCAACTTGCTATCGGAGTCATTAAAATATTCTTTCCTCAAGACCCTCATCCTGGAGGCGTGACGAAGCCACAGCCAGACAAACCGAAGCGAAAGTGGCTCCGGAAAAATAAGTCCTGACGGCAAACTTGAAACCTCATCAACACTGGCATGACACCTGGGCATGTGCTAGACACTATGGTGGCAATCGTAGTTTCTGGACCGAATGAGTATGTTTTCAAAGTATCATCGCAGAGCTGCACCAGAAAGGCTGACCCGTGCACTAGGTTTATTATCTTTTGATCTAGTTTCTACGTCACGGTCGACAGAACATCCGTTCAGAAAGAAAGAAATGACATGTATAATTCATCAGGGTATCACAAGATTGAGCAAAAAGTATAAGCAAAGAAATAAATCAAAATCAAAAGATGGCACAAAATATCAAGAAGGAACACCTTCGTATTCCCATCCTTCAATAACACGCTTCCGCCGGCGCGAGTTACGGCGGTTCGCATTACATTTGATGAACGTCGTCAACGCGGTAACCAGCAGAATGATGATCGCAGCAACAACAGCAACGATCACCGCCTTGTGCTCCAATTGCTGCGGGTTAGACGCGTAAGGGCAGGTGGCGTCGGGCCCACCAGAGACCCAGCAGGAGGTAACATCGATTGAATTGAAATTGACGTAGACTTCGCGGCGAGATAGATTGGTTGAGGTCGGGTCGATGATAGATGTATCTTGGTCAATGAGGTATTCATAAAGGTAATGGTTTTCAAGACCAGTGCGAGGTACGGCAAAGGAAGAGCCGGAGGGACAACCGTTGCCAACTTCGCGGTATTCTGCAGGGTAATTCGACAGAGTCCAGGAGAATGGTGAGTTACCAACTCGGCATGCGGCTCGACGTTCCTCACTGCAGTTAGTGGCGCGCCAGCGGCCGCCGAGCGATAGGTCTGCGATTGCGCATCGATCAAATGCGGGCATGTCATTTGTACCGCCGCCGGTGTCGGCACCTTCAGGCTCGCCGACTGCCCAGGCCCACCCGGTTGCAAGGGAAACGTTGCGATAGCGAGAGACGTCTTCATCGGCAGTTTCGCCAAAGAGGGTTGTGTTTAGCATGGGTGACATGCCGCAGGCTGTGATGTCGGAGATGAGGTTATTCAATGATACCATGGTGCTGTCAGCGGAAAGACCTGCAGGCACGGGGATTCTGCTAGACATGGCCCACGATGAGTTGGCCTGGGACACATCTGTTGCCTTCGGTTTGTAGAGGCAGCCAGATTTCAAAGTACCATTTGCGGTGGCGGACCCGTTGACTGCCGAGGTCATATAGCCTGGAGGAAAGATAGCATCCGCATCTTTGGCCAAGTTGTAGTCGGCTAGTTGCGGATCTATCGAACCGTATTCAATAAGAACACGATCTGATTTTGCAAGTTGGATGTACTTTGCTGACGGCCATCCATCCGGGGTGCTCTGTTGACCGGATTCGTCCTCATGGATGGTAAAATATTCCGTGATCGGCATGTAGCTTTCTTCAACTTCATACCATGACTCGTTTAGATTCTTTCGATCCTCAGCCAGCTGTGCCGGGCTATAGAGATAATCGTAGAGGTTCGCATTGAGAAGCGCACCGACCCGTTCCGATTCCGATTTGGGTAGGTCCTTTCCCTTCACGGCGGCGGGTGGCTTTGTCGGGGAGGAATCACTGGCCGCCACATGGAGATTCAAGACGAGATGGTTAGTATAGACCAGTAGGTTCCGTTTTGTGTCTTGAAAATGGCCAGCTAGTATAGCTGATATCATGCCAATACCCAAGTCGTCGGTGCATCTGTACGGGCCCAATTCATACACAGTCTCTCCATCGGAATCCGAATAGGCGGTGATGGTCGCTGACTCTACATCAGTAGTTGAGGAAGCCAGATCGCTTGTTGTAACTGTAGATGTTGCCTCGGGGCCCTCGGTGGTCGAGGTCACCTCCACCTCTGAAACAAAGACGTCTGCGCTCTTGGGGATGGTGATGGGACAAAAGGACCATGACCGGCGTTCCACGGACCAGTACAAATCGAGGGCGAGCCGGCGGAAACCAACGGCGAGAAGATTGGAGATGCAATCAACTGCTTTATCTCGAGAGTAAAGGCCATTGCCAAAACATGCGGAGGATAATGATACCGCTGGGTTCGTTACGAAGTTGATCGGGATTTGGCCGGCGACATCTCGTTCACTCTACACACGTCAATTCACATTCAAATTGAGCTTTAAAGTAATAGGAAGAACTGACCAGTAAGACTGCCACCCAAGTCGCATCGTCAAGGGTGGCACCGGGGTTGTAAGCAGCCGACATGGTCTCGCATGTCGTCAGATGCAGTTGTACGTAGCAGTTGCAGTGGGGAAGAGAAGCGCGCGGTGCGGCACTTGCGGCTTGCGGCGCGCGTGGAAAGTCCAACGGGGCGATCACCTGAGTCGATCTGGCCACTTCGTTACGAGTACAACACTTCTTCCCTTTCTTTCTCTCACCTTTCCATCTCACCCTTCCCCCACCAACCACTCTTCCACAACTCACATACTCCTTTCTTTCATTTCTTTGTTCTCCAATTCCAGTCCTCGATCCAATTCGCTACCAAAAATGGCCGCGCCCGGCCAGCCAAACCCCCAGCAAATGGCGGCTATGCAGCAACAGTTTGCTGCCGAAGCCGCCAAACGAGGGATGACCCCCGAACAATTCGCCCAGAAGCAACGCGAACAACTCACAGCCGACGCAGCGAAGCTCGGCCTATCTCCCGAACAATACGTCCAACAGTTGCGGATGCGGGCGATGCAGGCGCATCAGAAGCAGATGGAAGCACAACAACAAGGCCAAGCTTCTCCACAGGGAGAGGGGCAACAACAACCACAGCAGCAGCAGCAGGAAGGCCAGCAGAACCAACAGGGACAATCACCCGCGCCTCAGCAACAAGTTCAACAGCAGACACACCAAGTCCCCGTTCAGCCAGGTCAGCCCGCCGACCCTAAGGCCCTAGCCGTGGCCAACTTCCTGCGGTCGCAGAACCTGAAGCCGCGAACATGTATCTTGGATGGACAGCGCAAGGATATGTTTAAGGGTATGTTGCAAAAAGAGAAAGCGAAATCAAAAAAGAACCCCCCCATCTACCCTTCGGTGGGAGATGACCACAAGCCACCGAGTGAAAGATATATACTTACATTCCTCCTATCACAGTCAAGCGTGCAATCCGCGCCATCGAATCCCCCGCCTACGCCAAAGCTGCGGGAAAGAAGAACTCCCTCCTCCCACCTGTGACAGACCGCGCCTCGGCGGAGAACGTCTTCAAGCTCCTCCCACTCTCTCTTCTCGCCCTCCGTGTAAGCAAAGTCGACCCGCACGCAGGCCACAACCACGCCAAGCCCAAGAACCGCACAAAGGGCCTGTGGACTGTGAAGATCGAGCAACATCAGGAAACAGAACCGTTGATGCACTACGTCTGGCTGTACGAGGGACCTCAGTGGAAGCAGCGCGCTCTGGCCGCCGCCGTGGTGGCTGGTATCTTCGCAGTAGTGTTGTTCCCGCTGTGGCCGATGGTTATGCGGCAGGGTGTATGGTATCTCAGTGTGGGCATGATGGGATTACTGGGACTTTTCTTTGCCATGTCTATCTTCCGTCTGATCCTGTTCTGCATCACTGTCTTCACCGTCGCGCCCGGTCTCTGGCTCTTCCCGAATTTGTTCGAGGATGTCGGCTTTTTCGATAGCTTCAAGCCCCTGTGGGGCTGGCAGGAGGTATGTATCCCCCACTTTTCACCTACACCCAATGGCGTATGACTATCATTGGAAATTACCCCTACTAACGCTGTTACCAGAACAAGAAGAAGAAGGGCAAGAAGGCAAAGTCAGAAGACGCTACAGCGGTGGAACCTACCCCTTCAGCTAGCAGCACATCCGCCGAGCCGGCATCGTCGTTGACGCCCGTGAAGCGAGATCTTACCGCGCGCGTCGAGGAGGTAGAGGAGTAAACCCTTGAGAGAGTTAGGACGGGAATGCAAAGAACCAGCAAGCTAACAGGGGATATTTTTCGAGAGGGCGAAAACTGTCTTGTCTTATTTTTCTTCCCTTTTTTTTCCATATTCACATTCACATTCACATTCTATTCACGGCATGGTCATTGTATGGCATGCGGTGTATTCTTCATGAGGGCCGTTCCGGCGTTTTTTAAGATCAACATAGTGTCTTCGTCTCTCTCTTTTGCTTTGCACTTTGACCATCGTTGGTATCAGTAAAAATGAGAAGTTTCTCCTTTCGCGGGAGTACCTAAATGCGACACCAGAGGTTTCATCCTATTGAGTGCAGAAGTTGAATATTGAAGAAACACCCAATCTTCTCCTACTCGCAGACTTAGGTTGCTACTACTAGTATGAAAGGAGACCAATGAGTATAGAGAAAAAAAACTTGAAGAGATGGATCATTTTTTAGTCTACGAGGTACCGGCCCCAGAGTAGGAAGATGATCGTATGTATTCACAGCAGTTCAACCCTGACCCTCATCCCAAGAAAATATGATAACAAGAAAAAGAGAAAGGACCGTAGACAAATAGTACATCCCAACACGCATTTTTCATCTCTAATTTATATGACAGACCCAGAAAGGGAAAAGAAATCGGGGTATAAATAAGACAAGTATGAAGCGAAGCAAACCAGATCAGAGCAGAAAAGAGCAGAGTTTTTAGATCCGACATTGGAAATGAATGGGTTTTGATTTGACCGATGGACTCGACTCGAACAAAGAAATCCCAAGGTATAGACAGGACAGGACAGGAGGGTATCGTCATGTGTATGTGAAGACAAGTAGATCAATATGAATCAAGAATGAACGGATAGATAGATCCAAACGAGGGTGCGGCGTAGTAAATGTGTGGATGAATTGTAGTTGGTGATAAATGATGATTGGGCCATGACCATGGCCATGGCCATGGCGTACATGCATGCGAGGACTTGCAGTGCTCGGGTATATTTGATTTGCGACGCTGAATGCATAGGCGCAATAACACAAGACAGGACAATAATAAAGGTGTATGTATAGTTGAGTCGAAAGGCGCGTCTCATCTCGGTTGGCGTATATGTATGTGGTTGAGATGACGGCGATTATTATTATATTTTGAGTGCAAGGTAACTTTTGACTCCACGGGCTGAGGTGAAGGGAGGTTGTATCTGGCGAGAATATGCATTGTAGTGCAGGTGCATTGCAGCGCAGTGCAGTGCAGTGCAGTGCGCAGGACTAATGCAGGCGAGACTGCCGAGCAGCTGTTACCTTGGGAGTATATCCATTGGATTGGCTGGCAAGAACACTCCTCCGTTTATCCGCAACGTTATCCTGGATCTGCTGTGATTGATAGAACCGGGTTGACGGTGACAACTTCGTTGCTGATGAAGCTGGAGGTGACATCGGTGGAACTGGAGGTAGAGCAGCAGCCGGAGGAGGAGCTGGAGGTGATTTCGTGGCAAGCGGAGGGAGTTTTGGCAAAGGACAGGTTGGCGGTGGTGCAGCTGGTGGACCAACAGCCAAGCCAGGCATACTTCTTCGCCGGGACATACTCTGCGCCGAATGGGTATCCACGTGTGTTGTTGGAATTCGATGGCGGGGGGTTGGCACTGGAATTGGCGCTGGGTTTGACTGTGGTTGTGGGAATAGTGATAATTCCGGCTTCCTGGATGGGTCTGCCTTAGGGACGATCGGGACTTGCGATTCGCCATTCATCGAGATTCCCAGTCCAGGTCGGCCGACCAGACTGAGAGGACGAGACGGCGGGGGGCTGATCTCAGAGGGTGCAGTGGCTCGAGGAACGCGGGAGAAATTAGGTGCAGGTTGAGTCCGGACCATTCTTGATAGAATATCTTCCGAATTATAAGTTCGCAGAACACGACCGCTGCCATCGCGGGGCAGAGGGACAGGCTCGGAGGCATCTGTATGGCGCGAGCTTGCGACGCTATAAGTCGGTGATTGGGGAGGGGAGGAGATGCTGGATATAGTGAAGTCACTTGTGCTCTGGCCTCGTCGAAGAACACCCGCCGCAGATGGCGGCGAGGAAGGCTGGTTGATAGGGGCTGGTCCTGGTCTCGGTACGAACTTTTTGCTGAAGGACGGAACGCTGAAATTCGGGGCTGGTGGGGATGCGCTGCGCGTCAATGTCTCGGGTATATCGGTCGAGGGTTGGGCGACAGGAATAGGGTCCGTACGAGAAGTCGAAGTCGAAGTCGAGGCTGAGACCGAAGCTGAGGCCGAGCCTGTGGGGCCAGGCGATGAAAGAGGCGACATATATAGCGACTGACGATTACCTTGACTGGATGCAGGGGGGGCTCATACCACTGAGACCACTGAGGCCAATCATCTGATCCACCTCCCTGAGTACAGCCTCCGGCAAGCCGTACGGGGTGGACGGCTCACTTGGTAGATTGTGCGGGGAGGCCGGTGTATTTGAAGACGAAAAAGATGAAGATGGCGCATCGTTATTTATTTGAGGTGAAGCTTCCGTCCAACCGGTGGACGTAGATCCCGCACGAGAGTCGATGACCGAACGACGATTGTCCGAGACGTAGGAGCTTCGTCGGGATTGCCAGGTCATGCCACCAACAGACTGGCCATCTTCGTCGTCGTCGGGCAGACGCAGAGTCTGTGGCTGGAGGAATAAGCTCGAGATACGATGCGGGTCTTTCTTCACCATCTGCCGCACGCTTGCTTTCGAGCGAAGCTGTGGCTCCACCTCATCTTCTGAATGCTTCTCCGTCACAAATCTGGGACCACCGCGAGCTTCTACCTCGGCGCGAATAGCTATCAACCAAGAGATCATCGAGTCCGGGTCATCAAAGACCATCAGGAAACTCTGCGCTAATTTTCGCGCGTGGGATCGATGGAATCCAAATCGCGACGTGAGGCGAGACTTGGGAGGTTCCGGTGCAGCAACGGCATCAGCAGCTGGATTTTGAGAAATTTGAACCACCCAGTGTTTGCCGGGGATGGCATCGCTGGCGAATGCCACGGAGTGAGGGCCCAATTGAAGCATTTTCTCGGGTAATCGATCATGTTTCCCATCCCCGGCGTATTGGAGAATAAATCCCGCCGTCGCAAGCACGTAGATCTTCTTAGTCCATTCGACCTTGTTAATTGTACCCGACAGAGTGCGCAAGTGTTTGCGCTCTCGCTGTTCCTTCTTTTTCGAATCACCACTCGATGTCGCCGTCCGGCCATCCTCCGCAGCATTTTTCCCCGATGTCGCGTGCAATCGTAGAATAGAGTCTGCCGACATGGCAGGCGCGGAAAGACAATCATGCTTAGTTGATTGAGGGTATGCCTGAAACAAGGCTGGGGGTTTCCAACCGTATTGTTCCTGGGAGTGTTTGGGCTCGGGGGGTCGTGGTCGAGATGATTTCAGTGTGTTTCGCGCACGAGGGGTCGTCGGGGAGGCAAGCGTGGTCGAGGTTGTGGTCGAGACGATCGTGTGTGGGGTTGCGATGGTCGGCGAGAGGATTGTCTCATCTATCGTGGCGGTCTGCGAGATGATGTCCGAGGGGCTTGCCGGGGATTCATCGACCTCGTCGAGGGTGCTGCTTTCGGGAGCAACAGCCGCACGCGAACTTTTGTCGCGGCCGAAGAGATTGCGCAGGCTTGACTTGGACGATTGACGCTTGACGGGACTCTGGAGTGGAATTGGTCCATCTGAGCCATTGGTGACAGGATCGGTAGGTCGAGGACGCTGGAGTCGCGCGGACTGAATGGGCTGTGTGGGCTGTTGTTGATGCGATTGAGATTGCGACTGATCATCTTCAGTCGCAGCGGGGGGGACTAAAATTAGTCTGAAGTGGCGCCAGACGATGTCCTCTACGTTCGCCAAAGGATGGCAGCGTTGAGTCTCGTATGGAGGACATGGTCTCGGTCGTTCAGCACAACATGACACAGCAGATGCAGGAAAAGGAGAGCCGATTTCAGGAGGGAAAAGATCGTCACATCCGAACGTGGTCGGCTGCACGGCCGAGTAGGCTGGAAACTGGAGACTGGAGGAGACTGGAGACCGAAGACTGGAGTTTGGAGATCGATCGGAGACGGGAACTTGGAGATAGAGGGGAGTTTCAGAAAGACTCGACGTGGAGAGGAACTGGAAAGGAAACAAGTTCAAAGTTCAGGAGAAGGGAAGAAGTGGGGGGGATCTACAATCACCACGAGTACGAGTGATGTGGGAGGTGGAGGTGCATAAAATTGAGCCTGGCCTAGCTGGGCTTGGTCTTCCCCTGGAAATCTCTCGTTCGTTTCATTTCGTCTCGTCTCATCTCATCACTTCCTCCCCAATTTCCCCCATCTCCACTGGGCGCTCGCTAATATTCCTGGTGGAGAGAGCGGAACGTTGAAAGCTCCACTGGATCGACTCTCTGGACTCCTCCGTGCACTGCACTGCAACTGCGAAGTATCGTGTTGCCTTGTCAGGCAGATGGCCCACACTTCAATCCTTGCCCAGAGTCGACTGCACCCATCAGACTGGCTCCATGATCACAATGCCGGGCCATTGTGATATCCTTGTGGGTGAGGCCGCGTGGGTGATGCGTGGTCCAGTGGACATCAACGGAACCAAAGCGCTGTAGTACGGAGTCATCAAATTAATTTCACGTTCAAGTTCAAGTTTCTCTGCTATTTCTTTGTTTGCAGCGGGTACTGGCACACTAGCACACTTACCACGGTCATAGTGGGGTGGTGTTTCTTGGACGAACTCTCGGACGCGATCAGGTTAACAAAGGACTATCGAAGAATTAGAAATTCAGAATTCGACAGGTCAAATTGGAAGGGAGAGAGAGGCAGAGCAGCCTTGCGCCTGCAGAAGTACGGAGGATCTCCGTATGCACATACCACAGCCTTGAAATAACTCTTAAAGTGGAAGGTCTTAGTCACGCCCATCCCATTACCATCCAGCGCCCAGCCTTGTTGCTGCAGCATCTCGGTGTCAGGGCCGAGCTGTTGCGGGTCTTCACCCTCGGCGAAGTGTGCTGCGGGTGCACTGGAAGCCATTCGGAGAGGTTGAGAACGAGGCAGAGAAAGGGACAAGGCTAGTCGAGCAGAGGGGACTCGAATGACGGAAGGTGAGAAACGTGACGCCAGAGACAAAGACAAAGGCAAAGCCCGGCCTAGTCTTAGAAAGCTCATGGTTGGGTGAAAGAGACGAGAATCTTTGGGAGCTTGGGAGCTTGGAAGCTTGGAAGCCTCTCGGGTGCACGCGTTGGCGCACAGACCAGGCGGCAACACTTAAGCAGTAACTACAGTAGTTTACCCAGTTATACACGGTGACAGAGATATTTGCAGCGTATCTAGTTAGTACTAGTACGATGATTAGTAGTCCATACTGGTATTGTTCAATTGCCAATTGAAGCAGCTCTAGAGCACTGGAAGTATAGCGGTTCCCTTTTTTTCAGAGCGCCAAGCTATTTAGGTGCCGGAGTTTCCGCATGAAATCCCGAATATTGAACTAAGCAAAGACTAAATCGACTTGTTTCACCTTGTTTACCTTTTTTTTTTCATCAGTTTGACGCGCATTCAGTTGGAAGGCTCCTAATTCATCTGCCCCTCTAGTCTCTTCCTTTGACTTTTTTTTCTACCCAAATTGAATTTCAAAATGGCACAGTCGGCATCAGACGCGTCTTGGCCAGCGGGCATTCCCGAGATCTACCTTCATCCGACAGATTTACCCTCAGATGAGCTCCCGGAAGAAGCCAAGGGATGGCTGCTATTCGTAAAGGTAGGGAGTCCTTGAAATGCTCTCGTATAAGCATTTGTAATATTAACTGGTACATAACTGCAGGAAGAATACCAACCAGTCTCAACCCCAGAAGAGGGGCTGCGTCAACGGCGAGCCCTAATTGAGAAATGGGCTACTGCCAGTCAGGAATTCCGCGAGGTGCGTACAGCCAATGCTGAATTCACCTTTCTTCAGGTCTAATTATTATTTGCAGTCTTACCATAGCCGTGCCCCAGTATGTACCTCAGCTCGCGACTACCCGGCTTCATTACTCTCGCAGCAAGCCCCACGACCTGACAAGAGGTTCCTTTGTCTACCACTAGTAGACTCACAGAGTTACCCCGGAACTACATTTATCTTGTAAAGCTACTGACAGGTATTGTATCTGACCATTCCATCTTCGAGCATTTTATCGAAACAAATACTCCTACCTGCATCAATGTATTAAGGCTCGAGAATAGGCTTGGAGAGCACTGATGAAGAGGACGAAATTCAAATCGTAAACACAGATAGAGCGGTGGAGCCTGAGATAATACTAGGTTCTGAGACTTTCACCTTGGAGAATCTCTTAGAGTAGTAATTTGTTATCATTGCTATCCATGGTCAAGTACGGGAATCATCCACCACACGCCACAAGCCCAACGGTTACACCCTGCAGCCTCCGGCAGATATACTACTATTCCAAAATTGAGCGCCACAAACTACCTTATAGACGGGCAACCTTGGAATCCATTGATCTCTGTACTCAGAGCTTGAAGGAACGCTGTGGCGTTCTTACTATCGTAGGAAGGACCCTGATCGACGGAAGCGGACAACCGTGGATAGTCTCTAGAATGCTACTCTACCATCCACACTTCCACGGTTATAGTACTACCTACAGGGCAACAAGAGACACGAGATACACGAGATACACATTCATTGCTGAAAGCTAGAGCATATAATTCGTAACCAGCCCATTCCGGCACCTCAAAGCAAAAGCAATCAACCCCGCGAGGCGTACAAATGCCATCCCATTCCAGGATCGGATAAGCTTGGGCGAGAAGACAATTAATTCATCGAATCTGACAGTTACAGTGAAACCGTGCGCCCCGAAAACAAGGCCAGGAGTATCGCAGCGCAGACAAAAGTGGAGAAAGTAGTAATAATAATTAAGAGTCGAGTCCACCACGCCCAGCGCATGGATCCACGCGATTCAAGACATACAGAGAGAAAAGAAGATACAAAATTACCGGTAAATCCTCACTGGCATCCAAAATTGAATGCTTAATCGATCCTCGTCTCGCCATAGCCATCAGCGCCGCTGTCATGGAACTTGACTTGAACTTATTCACAAGGTTTCATGCGACGGCGGAACGCGGGGCCAAAGGCAGCTGAGAACAGAACTCAAAAAGACAAAAATCAACCCAAATCAAATCAAATCAGGCTACCAAACTGTTGCGGCGCGAGTTGGCACGCGAGTTCACTCGGGAGTTGGCCCGAGAGTTGACCCGCGATCCAGGGCGACTTCCCCGGATGCGGAGATCTTGTTGGGACCGTGCGTAGGAGTTGGCGCGGGAGGCCGCGGGGACCTTGGACGCCCGGCGGCTGTGAATGTTCACGTCGATTTCGTGACGGGCTTCCGAAAGTCGTTGCGCGAATGGCGAGCGCGCACGGAGGGTGGGGCCCTTCCAGTAGATGATATAAACAGCAACGACCAGCGGCACCGAAATACAGACTGGGAATCGGTTAGTGGGGGTTTTTAAAAGAAAGTCCCCTGAGGGATAATTGAACACATACAGAGAATAGTCGAGGCATATTCGAGATGATACTTGCCACCGATGTCTAAAAGAAATGGAGTTAGCCTGTGTTTCATACGAGTGTAATGGGGAGAGGGGTCTCACTCTCGAAGAACGGTGTCGCGGGGATGGTGAGAACACCAGCCAGGAAGTCTCGAGCCCATCCATTACCACCAGTAGCCGAAGCCGAGTAAGGGCCATAGGCACAAATCATGTAATCAATGGTGGCCATGTAGATCGCGTAGTTGGCAATACCAATGACCGCAGCAAAGATCATGGAACCAATCCAGTGGCACTGGGGCAAAATGGTCCAGGCGAAGCCAATAAGGCCAATAGGCAGGCAAGGAGCGGTATACAACAACCACCAGAGGCGAGACTCATACTGTGCGCGCTCATTGTCGGGGTTTTCGTGGCGCTCCTTAGTGTTGCGACGAATGATGGGGAACCAAGAGAACCAGGCAATGAAGTAGCCGACGAGGATGGGGATAAAGGCCAGTCCCTTCTCCCAGGGGGTGAAGTTCCACTGGTCATAGACCAGACCCAGAGACTGAATGAACATGAAAATCAGAGCATCACTGAAACCACTGAGAAGAGAAAGAACCAAGACAATGGGCTCAGTGAGGAACATCTTGAACGGGCGATACCAGGTCATCATCAATTCACGAGGAGGGAACCGTTCGCGGAAGGACATGCCCTCGGTTGGGCCGTAGATGTTGGGGTTCTCGCCACTCTCGCGCATCTTCTTTGCGATACGGTCCATGAGAACGGTGGTTCGGGTTTCGGGGACGAGGAAAAAGTGCATCACCTGCACAAAACCTCCAAAGATCAACTGAATCCAGATATTCCATCGCCACGGCAAGAAGGCCTCGACGAAGCCACCAATGACGGGTCCTAGGACAGAACCACCGACAGAGGAGAAGACGACAGCGGCCACGGCGTACTGTTGAGTATCGGCTTCCCAAAGATCGGCAATCATACCCAAAGTGACGGAACCACCAGCAGAGGAGAGACCACCAAGCGCACGGCCCACCATGATTGAGGCAAAGTTCGGGGCCAGAGCGACTGGGAGCTGGAAGACATTGACGAAGAAAAGCGAAGCCTGCAAGATGGGCTTGCGACCCAATTCCTCACTCCAGGGGGCCCATAGTTCGCAACCAAAGGCATAGAGGACGAGGAAGATCATGGCACCGCAGCGGGCGGCCTGCATGGAGACGCCAAACTCCTCAGAGATACCGGCGAGACCATTGGAGTAAAGAGAGGTGTTGAAGTTCATGGAGACCTGGACCAAGAAGATGACGGAGATGATCAACCACTTGCGAGTCTCGGTATAGGAGTAACCGAGTTTATCGTAACACATATCCTCGGTGAGTATGATGCGGCCATCGGGGCCGGGATGTTCGAGTTGGTCGTCCTTATCGGAGCCCTTTTCACTGAATGGTAGGTTGACAATACCCTCTTGTTGGGTTTCACTGGATGAGGAGGATGCATGTTGCACCGCATCCAACCGGCCAGCCAGCTTTTCAGGGTGGCTTGCCATGGTGAAGTAGCTGAGTGTGTTAGTATTTAGTTGGTGACAGTGAGTGGTGGCAATGACTATTGTCAAACTCTTTGAGGGAAGAGAGAGGAAGAGGGAGGAACACACAAAGTAGAGAGTCCACAGAGAACGGAGAAAGAGAAGAGAGAGAAAATGTGGGGAGAGAAGGAGAGGGAGAGGGAGGAGGAGAAATAAAAGAAAGAAGGAGGAGGTCAAGTTTTCCGGAAGAGTAAAAAGAGGGCGAGTTGAGGGAGTCGCCGACAATAAATACGGCAGGTGCGATGCAACGGAGCCGGACTGAGCGTAGTTCCTTCCCTTGGTTCACTCAGATACTCTTAGTACTAGTACTCCCTATTAGTTAGTATTACATACTCAGTTTTACATTCTACTTTCCCTATTCTGTACTTTTTGTACATCCTCCCTCCTACATCTCCCGTTTCTCGGCTTCCTCGCCCCAGATTTCTCCAGATCCCCTCCGCTCGCCGTTGACTTTCCCTATGCGTCACCGAGTGGGTGCGGGATGCCGAATCGTTTCCCCGTGGGTTGATGTCTACCCACTTTCTTCAATGTGCCCCAGAATCCAGGGCCCCAAATCCTTCATTCATTACTCCGTACTCCCGACAACATCCCCGGACTCATATTACTACTTACAAAAATCGCGCAGATCGACTGCATGCTTTCTTCAGAGTCCTGAGCCCTGAGCCCTGACTCCCATACAATTTGCCTCCTGCGGACGCCCTGGAAAGGAGTGGCTTTCCCCAATCCGCAATTGGAGAATCGGCTCCACCGAAAGCATGGCAAACTTATGACCGATGGCCGACGCCGTCCAAACCTGTGGTCAATCGGTGGTCAACGAATTGCGCGACCGGCAACACTCCGATGGGATCCGCTTTGGGTTGGAGAATGTCCGCTTTGGGAATAACTAGCCCGACAGTCACCGCATCCTGCCCTCCCCTCCTACTTCAATCAACCCATACGCATGCAACCTCACATCTACACAATCCCAATCGATCTGGAGAATGCCATCTCATAAAATTATATGGGATGCGGTGCCCCGCGAAGTAAGGGGGGGTTCGAGATGCTACTATTTCCAGTCGTGCCCGCCCGGACCGCATGGTTCCCCATCGCCGATCTGGGCCCAGCAATACTGAGATGACGCGGAGCGACCGAGTACATACACTCTACTCCGTACTAATAAATTCTACATAACGTTTGCCGGCACTTCTCTGGTACAGTAAAGTCCACCCCGGATACTCGGCCAAGACACGCGATCATCGTCATCATCAAGCAGAAAAAAAAAATCACCTTTGACGTCAGGGGGCGCCCTGACACCTATCACAGGCGGCCCACGGATCGAAGCCTGGACCAGGTACTAAGGGCGCCAGCAGGTACTAAACCAAGCCGCCCACGGGCGGTTACGGACGTGGCGTCGTGGGGATCGCCAACAGGGCCAAGGCTTGCAAGTCTTGTTCTGACGGCTGTTCACCTGGAAGGAAGGTCGGGGTCTGCTTACCCCCTGGGTATACTGGATATTGTATGAACTTCAGATCCACCTGTCTTTTCACTACGAACTGCCTCTTCCAGAACATCCGATAGAAGACTGCTGTCAACGTCAACTCCAACAGCGTGTCAAACCACACAAAAATTGCCCCCTTGCAGAGGCCAGTCCCCCTTCCATTCGGACCTTTGGTCCATGCGGGTTGCCTTCAAGTTTCCAAGGATTTCCTGCCCTTGGACTTGAACATTTTGGACCCCAAATAAATAAACCTGGAATTCCTTCAGCCCCGTGACGGCGACCGCGACGACCTGATGGAGAAAAAAAAAAAAAAAGACAAATAGAAAAACAAGGCTGTCCGAAAAAAGTTTTGCACCCATTAAAGTTTGGACCACGGAGTTGACTCGCCGAAGGTGGAGCGGATCCGGAAACAACCAAAGGTAGGCCAGCCCAGGTCGCGGTGCGGACCCTTAAGTGTTCCATTCCCCCTTGACTCCCGGCACTGGAATGGGCAAGTCGAGATGCGACCTTACATTCCTGCACATGGGCATCTCGTATGGGAGATCGACAAGATCGTACATCGCCGCGACGCCACGCGAGCCTTACGCGGTGATCAGTGCCAGTGCCCGTAGGGCAATGAAGCCAAAGCATGGTACGGTGTAGTCTGCAGTCAAATGCGTCTTCCCCCGGATTGTTCTGGACCCTGGGGTTGTGCAACCCGGACATGCCGGATCCAGACTTCTCGACGTGCCTCCGCGCTGTACGATGGCCGAACTGCCGGGGATGGATGGGGTCGGATGTTCAGAGATAGGTCGTAGAGTGCATACATTAAGTCAGTACAACGTACACACACGGACTTGCAGAGGGGGCGATTGATTGTCCTTGGTCCGACCAAATCTGGTCTGGGGATCTCCATGGGCCTGTGTCATCCCCGCAGGGCGCGAAGGATCGTGGCCGTTGTACTCGTACAGAATGGGGCGACTAAATCGTGTTTAATCAAGCTGATGTGAGATGACGGAATGTGATACTTTGTGCATAGTGGTAAATATTATCCTGTTTCTTATTCATACACAGTGGCGAAAACAGTAGTTGTACATTTGTCATGTTGATGCCTTGGTGCCTCGGAGATCCTTTGGCCTTACAGATCAGGCGCACAGATGTTTAACTAGTTAACTAACACTTCATTTTAGTTGACCTTAACACCACCCTCTGCATCTCTCAATGTGAAACCTCACCATTTATGTCAATTTTGATTTCGTATTTCCATGAAGCCGAATCTTCTGGAATAGGTCCGCAGCCAGCTACGTCCAATACGCACGTACTGGCTCGCTTTGAACACTGTCACTGTCCTTTACCAGACTGTGATCGCTTGTCCCAAACACTTCCATTATGACTTTGTTTTACATCGCTGTATGTCGAATGTAAAGGGCTAGAAACCGGGCATTCATATACAATCTGATCAAATAAGATGGCTCTGGTAATCTACCGGCGCAGCCCTCGGACTAGAAGTTTTTGAACAAACAGCACCCTTTTTTAATTATTCATGCAACATGACAATTATGCTAGTATCCAAGGCTTTACATCGATATTATTATAGAGGGAACTGTCGAATTGACCTGCATGCCGATAAGACGAATTCAGACTGTCCGCTCTCGCTTTACTCTGCTATCGCTCCTTCAATGGGCAGACGGCCAGCCTAGTACGTAGAACATCGCCAAGGTCATCTTAGATACCAGAAGAAAGTGCCGATGTAACTTCAGACGGAGGAGGAGAGCAACAGTGGTCATCGCCAAAGAAGAGTCCTGTCTTTCAATATTGAAGATTGAAAGGAGGGAGGGGTTCAGAAGGAGGTGGGATGAGGAGGTAGATGAAGCAGGAGTGGAGTTTAGAATGATAACTGATTGATTGCCGAAACAGAGACAACTCCACTTTGATAAACTCAAACAGAGGTGCCGAAGATGACCCAATACTCAGTATGATTTGCATTCAGAGTACTACATACGGACTACGGAGATTCATATCTGTGAGCCACATACTATACCAGGTTAGTATTAAAATACCCGGATTGGATGTGGAGACACACCTTGACTTTAGAAGATATAATTTACGCAGGGACTCTCTAGTTCGTTGGCTGCATCGTTATTGTATTCTTAAACCCGTCTTTCTTAAATTTCAAATTCCAAATATAAATCCCGAAAACTGGGGCTCCACCGGGTGTATCTGAGACCTATTATTATAGTCTAAAAGGCATAACTGCAAGAGTCAGGCTCACCATTCCATTGATGAGAGTCCGAGTCGTATCTGGAGGCTCTGGCGAATCAGACTTAATATCAATTGGACGAGAAGATGCCTCTCACTATAAGGTAGATCATTCGAAAGCTTACCCTTAGGTACAAAAGATTTGAGAGCTCATGTCACCTGGTCTCCAATAACACTCGCAAGGGTCCTTTGGGGGCTGAAATTCCATGAGCTTGATACCTTCATCAGTAGTGATTAGCATTGGTATAATTTGAAGCCAAGGCAGGCTGATTTCATGAAGATCGTCGCGACCCCAATTCTGCCGTCTCTGTATTGATTGTTGGAAAATGACTCATGTAGATAGTGAAGCCAACATACTATGCGGCGTAGCCGGGCGCTGTTTTGGAATTTCTTGCTATGGCAAAGCCTATATCTGCCAAGAATAGTATGCCGTCCCTTGGCGTGGTAATCGCTCTATGAACAGTTAGACTGATAACTAGCATCCAAAATATAAGTACTCGACTTCAAGCAGCTCATGATAACACCCCGTTACATACTATTCACAATAACACAAGACTCAAGAAAGACAGTTTCACTTCCGAAACCTCCTTCAATATACCAACATTCTCTCGATACTATTGGACACATACGATCACACAAACATGAATCGCATACTTCAAGTTTCCGCGGCCCTACTCGCTACTCTCCCATCCGTGATGGCAGGTACTTGCTATGCCGTCGGTTATGTCAACATGAACACAGCAGGTGGCGGAATAGGCGGCGGTGGCGGAATAGGCGACGGTGGCGGAATAGGCGACGGTGCCGTCTTAACCGTCATGGGAATTCAAATCTATGACCCGGACAACCGACAAATCGCATCGTGGCAGCCGCGTCTTAACTCCGACGATCCCAGCGTCTGTGGATAATTCGTCGTTGTTGAAACGGGCAACCTAAGCCAGGTTTTTGAATGGGGTGCCACTTGTGCGCCTGGTTTCACGTATGATCGCTAATATCATTCTATTAGGGATGGATATTTAGTGCGCATAGATAGAGAGCATTGAAAGAGAAGGAGAGAGAATCCACACTAGCTTTTCACAAAAGCTCCGTTGGCTGGCGCCCTTCGACCTCCTGGACTTGTTCCTCTTCTTGAAAACGAAAGTTCGCCTCGCCCTGTTGGCGGGTGTGCCCCTGGTGGGCTTGCTACAGGTAGGCCAGCCACCGAGCTCGAGCTCGATGTTGACGAGCTAGTTCGGTCTGGCTCATAGCGGTCTCAGCCGCCAAAGGGTCGCTGTTGGGATGAATAGGGAGTGGGTAGCTTCACACCCACTTCCACAGGAGGAGGAGGAAGAGAAGATTCGGGAACGGTGATGAGGGGGAGTGCATGATAGGCCGCTCGTAGGATGAGGGCGGAAATATGAAGGGGGTTTGGTGTGGGGAGCGAAAAGGGGAAATGGTAGAGCTAGGGCTGTCCTCAAACGATCGGTCAAAGTCGATATCATCCATCCTGCTGTTGGAATACTCGAAGGCTTGAGGTGATCCGTCTCCGGAAGCCATTATTAGACAAGAAAGAGAAGCTGTGGTGAAGGTAGAAACGACTCGGAGGATACTATGGGGATGGAGGAGAAGAAATGCCAGCAAGGAAGGTGCAAGTGAACTTGTAACCAAAAGTCCGTATTTGGTGATGGCCGTGCCTTCCTTTTCTATACTTTAATACTGCGCTCTGATTGGCTCACCGAGATCAAGCATATCAGCAAAGCGATGAATATGTGGAAGAGAATAGTACTGTGTTGTAACTGTCAAGATAATATTATATAGTACTTCACTGCGGTAATAGTCACTAAATTCTTATCCTTTTGTGGACAGATCGGCAGTGATGAAATCAGATACAGAGCGCCTCAAGCTGACGGACTGCGAAGAGTGAAGGGCGAGGAGCGAGGGTTATACTAGTAGAATTATGGAGCCAGGGTATTATATTCGCATGTCTGCGGCTGTGGGGATTAGGGAATGGCGGTGCAAGAATATTTGACTGATATTGTTCGCATCAGATGGTCATTAAGTTTCAGCTAGTATTCCATGCTGGAATTCATGAGTAGGTCTTGCACCCGTATCTTGACCTCTCCCACTGCCTTCGTGATGTTTGTCGATTTCCGCACGATGGCGAAGTCAGGGATGACAGGGTACTCCATAATCGGTTGGGTCAGATTTCGAATCTCCGAATGCGAAGTCGAGGCCCTCGCTTCCAGCAATGCCAGAAAGCAGTTATCGATCCGCTCTCTATCCTCTACCACTGGACTTGCCATGGTGAGGTATGGTTCGAAGAACCTGCGGCAGTGTCCATATCGACCAAAAGTTCACGGAACTTGTGAGTGAAGTTGGTAGGATTCAAGTCGACCTTGTACGCCGTGTACGCCATGAAAAAGTCCTATTGAGTTCGTGGTCTGCGTGTGGCCATCACCCCTTAGGTGCTGGCGTAGCCGTTGGAGATCTTGTCGGAAGTCTCCAATGATGACGCGCAAAGCATCACGGGCGTTACCCCGGACGTTCTATTGCGAAAAAATCTTTAGTTCATGTATATGTAGGGCATTGAAAGAGAAGGAGATAGGATACACACTAGCTGTTGTTCTCGTAGGATTCGTCAACAGTAACTTCGTGCATCTCTTTCCGTAATAGATTGAGGATATGCGGGGATCACCCAGGGGAGCATCACGGAGAGAAGTGGGAAGAAGAGTATGAGGATGGAGGAAGACGAAGACGAAGAGGAGGAGGAGTTTATATAGAAAGGAAGGAAAACAATGGAAGCAGTAAGTCACATGACGTGAGGAAAGACAGATTGAAAAGTTCGTCGCGGTAGTTAGTGTTGGTCGTGCCTTCCATTTTCTATACTTCGATAGCAGCGTCAAGATTGGCTCGTCAGTATCAAGGTAAACAGGTCACTATACTAGTGATATTGGTACAACGATGGATATGTGGGAAACGAACCTCGTTGTAAGCTCAGGCCATGATAATAAATCATACTTAATTGCGGCAATGGAACATTGGCGTTTTCCATAGTTGCTTGATGGCTTTCCCAGTCGAGCGCGGGAGAATCTGGGGTGGGTTGGCTGGTTGCAATAAAATCCAATTGATGTTGTTGATAAGTTGTATTGCACTTTAAATAGCCTTCCGCGATGAAAATCCCGTTCAAGAAGTACGAAGGCTATTGAACTGATGAGCCGTGGGATCATAATGGCCCGCCTGTGGTGGACATTTTCGAGCACTGGAGACATCCATCGCGGGTATAATAGCCCAGGTACGATGAGATGAAGATCAACATGCAGTAGTAGCATGATAGAAGGACCTCGGGAAGAAGAAGAAGAAGAAGAAGAAGAAGAAGAAGTTGAAACGGCAGCACCTAAATAAAGATGCCACAAAAGCAATGCCTGGGTGCTAAGGCATTCAAGCAAACAACATGCATGGATGTAATCCGTTACGCCACAGCCTGAGAAGATCCATCATCTCTACAAAAGATAAGTATGGGCAACCATTATTCTAGTTGAAAACGAGAATACATATCAATAATCATATCCAACTTTGAACCATCATGATGGTAGTATGTAGTAACTGTACAAAATTAACGACAGATATATCATCTATGGTCGCTAAACGCAAACGCAAACCCAAATCCGTTGGCAACCTCACAGGAAACCCAGGGATACTAGACAAATCCCCAAAAAAGAAACAAAGAAAGATGGGACCAGAAAAGAACAAAGATATCAACCCAAAATCTCATGCAAATCACATCAAAGCTTACTTTACAGCTTGGCCTTCTCGGCCTGGGCGGCCAGGTCGGGCATGAGGAGGTCGCGCATTTCGGTGGCGGCCTCGTTCAAGAAGTAGCTCATACGGTGGGCGCCAAGACGCTTGCAGACGATGTTGAAGTTGAGGCTGGGGAGAAGAATGTCAGTATTTATATTCATTTTCATGTTCATTCGCACAAAAAGCGAAGGGAGGGCTCACCTGTTCTCGTTGATCATGTACGCAATTCCGAATCCATCATCAATAACCTGGCTCCACCCGTATCCGTTGAAGTACTCGGAGCTGAGCTGGGAGCTGGAGATGTACCAAGAACCGGAGTAAGCGAAGGCAGGATCCTCGTACAGCGCGGGCAACTTCTCGCCGGGCTGGAGGAGCTTCTTCAGGCCGAAGAGGTGGCGGTCGACACCGCGGCCGTCACTGGCGTCCATGGTGTACTTGGTGTGCTGTGCCAGAGCGGCGCGGAACAGCTTAACGACTTCCTCACGGGGAGTGTTGGTGTCGTGGTGGGCCTTGCAGAAGGCGGAGCTCTCGTCGGAGACGGTACGGGTGGTCTCTGTGCGGCCTTCTTGAAACTTACGGGTCGAGGCGGACTCGTAAGTGGGGCGGTTCTTGCCGTACATCTTGAAGTAGGCCAGTTGGATGAGCATCTGGACGTAGGCGTCGGGGCTGCACTTGAACTTCTTGATCAGACCCTTTCCGTAGCCCTGGTAGGCTTGGACGACAAGCTCGTGCGAGGCAATTTGCTTGCGGTGGTATTGGGCTGCGATGTCAATGGCTTCGTTGGACTCGTCGTTGAGGTGGAATCTGATGGCCTTGGGGTCGGGAAGCTCGGCGCGGACAGACTTGGCGGAGAGGTCGATCTTCTTGTTGAAGATCAGGTTGTTGACGTGGTCGTTCAGACGGTGGGTGGGAGTTCCGTCCATCATGGAGTGCTCACCCATGAAACCGGCGGTACCGTTGTCGTTGACGATGAACTGCAGGGGCTTGTCGAACCAGCGGTTGGCACCATCTCCGTGCCAGTACTGGTGAGCGCGCTCCTCCAGGGTGACAGGCTTGGCATCATCCAGGCAGATGACGAAGCCACTGGCCTCGATGTCCTGGAGAGCCTGCTCATTGGCAGGGTCAGCGGCAACGAGCTTCTTGCGAGCAGCGGTCCAGTGGTCACGGTCCGCTACAGTCAGCACACCGACCGGCGGGGCGGGCTGGGCGACATCAATAATGCGCTGGAATTGCTGCTCCAGCTCCGAGACGTTCAGGGCCTGGCCGTTGACGACCAGAGGCACCTTGAAGAACTGGTTCTTGCGAGCAACGATGATGTGCTGGTTCTCGGCGGCGGAGTACTTGCGGGGGAAATCGGCGGGGTCAGCGGGGATACGGCAGCAGTTGAACATGTACTCATACGAGCTCATGGCCATGGGCTGGCCACGCATGTACTCGGGCTCGAGGGAGCCAGCGTCAACCTCCGCCTTGAATTCCAAGGCAGCGGTGGCAATGGCAGCGGCACGCTTGGCGGGGCTGCGACGCTCCCGATCATCCTTGTAGGAGTAGAAGTAGGAAACATAAGGGATAACAGGGTCCCGGTAGCCCAGATAGGCGGCCTGGTTCCACCATTCAGCAATCCAGTTGTTGACCTTGGGATCGGCAGCGCGCTCAAGAAGACGCTTCTGCAGAGGCTCACCCTCACCGCCGGGGCGGATGAAGGCTTCGACGGCACTCTTTGTGCGCTCGAACTCGGTAGAGGAGACGAGTGGGTGGACCGACTTCAGGTAGCGGCGGCCGGTCTCTTCGAGCGAGGGGACCGGGAGGTGGGGTAGAGAGTCCTCAAAACGGAGCATCTTGCCCTTGGAGATATCCTCCTTGTATCCTGGGGAAAAGGGAGTCAGTCATTATTCCGATCGCCCGGGTTATAGATCTGATTATCTCCTTGCGGGAGGTCTATACGAATTGCGGAGTTGCCCCGCGGAGACATGTGATATCACTCACCCTCAGGAACGGAGGAAGCCTGGCGTCGAGGAGCCATGGCGGGAGTCTATGCAATTGTCAGTTTCCAATTGCTTGTAGGAGATAATTTGCAGCATAGGATCGTCTCGACGAATGCTATGGCGCTTTGCAAAAGTCGGAGGTGGCCGACTTACCGAGCGGGCGAGTAGTGATGTCGGAGGGAGCCGGGGCCTTGACAGGGTGGAGAGACGGCTTCGCGCAGCAGCAGCGAACATCCCTCTCAGCAGTGAAGATAAAGGAGGTTGGGGTATAAGAAGGGAGGAGAAGGAAAGGAAAGGGGAAGAAGAAGTGTGGAAGGGAAAGTTAAGCAAATAAGAGAGTGAAGAGACAAGGAGCTACGAATGCCTCGGCTGTCTCAAGGCCGAAGAGCGGCGGTCTAGGGCGGTCAGGTCTGGTCACGTACGGTCACTACTAAACCGAGTCGGTCCCGTCCGGCCTACACTTTAACTCGGCCCGGCGGCATTACTTCCCGTGGGAAACGGTTACAAACGGTAAATACCATTACGTACCAGTGGCACACAGGCGGCCGTATCGGTCATTTGGGCCTCGGTTGAAATGGGAAACACTGGGGGAATTTATACAGTGCACACATGGGGGGTAGATCACCGAAGATCTACCGAGGAAATTGGCAGAAGTGAGTTGGATATTTTTGAACTGACAGATACAAAATTGAAAATACGAACCCCCCCTCCCCAAAAATGAAACAACAAGTTATCGTACGAGACGGATAGACTTTGGCGATCGCGGCGACTGGCAATGCGGGGAGAGCTTCTAGCGTCGGTCACCTCCGCTAGCCACCGAGTATGGGGTAGTTTACTACTAGTAGTATACTCCGGACTTGGAAGATACTTGCGAGACACTATTACACACTACAACTTCAATACGATCCCCTCGTGTCAAATACATATAACTCTCCACAGAGATAAATTAATGCTACTAAATACTCGAATAATAAAGATCATATCAGGAAAGGGGGCTTGCCCACATCCCTTCATCCGTTCCCCCGTTCCCGTTGACCCGGATGCCCAAAGCTCCAATCCAACGCGCAAAAACGCTATTCGCAGGTATCAACGCCCAAGTAAGGTTATGTCACATACCCGGGCAATCAGGGATAGACAAAAAGAAAAGAGAGAGTAAGAAAAAAAAACCAAGAAAAGAAAGAAAAAAAACGCCATAAGCACTCGGGCTTAAATAATGCCCACCCACGGAATAGAAAGAAATCGAAACAAAGAAGAGGAAGAAGTCAGGGAAAGGAAACACAAACGAGAAAGAATATACATCAGCCCAATGGCAATGCTTCCCTTCCCTCTTACGATACCGGCTGCACAGGCGTTGGCTGCTCCTGGCTATCAATAGTCCGGGGAACCTGCACCCCACTTCGGCGAAGCTCATCCATCTTCGCCATAGCGGGTCCCGTACAGATACGGCCCGTCTGCATCAAATTGCGCAGACGTTTCCGTCGGGCCTCGCCGCTCCGCTCCTCGCCCCGAGCAACGCCTTCATCAATCCACTCAACCCGCTGAACCTTGAAACTCATACCATCATGGCGGCCCACCCACTTGCGGGATTTGACGCCAAACATGATAGCTGCGTCGTAGCTCTCCAATCGCGGGAGAACCAAGAGGGTGATATGTAGGTCTTGGTTCGGTGGGGGGATGGGTGGGAGACGAGGTCCGTCGTCGGCTGGTGCATCATCGCCATTTTCTTTCGAGACGCCGTTGGTTTTGTTGGTATTGGTGGTTTCTTCCTTGGCTGGGGCATGTTGGTAGATATCTTTGATTTCGAGGTCAAGCATCGACTCATCCACATCCTCGCCCCAGGCTCCACGGATGAATCCTGAGTGGATGGCTGCCGCGACCGGATCGGAATCATCCGTGTACACGCCAGTTCCCCACAAAGCGCGACGCGCACAGATTTCTTCCCGGTGGCCTGTGTCGATCCGGAAGCGCGGTACCCGAACTGTAAAGGTGCAGTTCTCCCGTTGCTCGAAGCGCGGGAGAGGTTGGGGCGTGCTGGTGTACCCGAACTTGGAGCTCTCTGCCGAGGCCTTCGCGCTGGGTACGCTAATGCGAGGGGTGTAAAGAGTTGAGCCTAAGTGGTGTCGCGGTAGATGAGCCACACTTGACAGCAGCGGCTCGAGGTTGACAGTGGTACGAGGTTCCCGTAGAGGAGGCACGGGGACTACTTGAAGAGGATGGTGATGGTGATGATGATGATGATGATGAGGGTGGTGGTGGTGATGCCCCGAGGCTTCGGCGGGAGTAGAAGTGCGGTTGAAGTAGTTCGTAGATGACAGGGGACGGTGTAGACCAGCCAAGGCGGAAGCTTCCTCTTCGGGTTTGTGGCGGTGATGATGGTGGCTAGAAGGGTTTAGCTTATATTGCTTTCATCCGAAGATAATGCAGAGAATGAGAAGGGATACGTACTGGTGATGATGGTGCGGGTGACGGGCTCGACGACTTCCGCGAGCAGATGATGCTGCTCCACCGTTCAGGTCCATTTGAGCATCTTCATCTCGCGATTTGCGTCCCCGTCTAGTGCCAGAGGCAGATAGTGGTCGGGTAGCCTTGGGATCATCGGTCTCGCCATTAGCCGAGCGGCCAGTGAAGCTGTCACGTTTGAAGGGACTTGATATGAGCGGCGTTGATGGTCCACTACCGGACAGACCAGAAACACCAGCCGTCACGCCTCCGACGCCGCTACCGATCCCGGAGAACACCCTGCCGAGTTCATTCTTGATACTAGGTTCGCCGCTAGCACCAATGAACGGAGCTTGGGCACCTTGTACGGCCTGGGGAAGCGGAGACGCCCGGCCGCCACGTTTTCCGTCCGCACCTATAGCCAAAAGATTGCGATGGGCCAGAAGTTCATCGCTGCCTTTGCGCCTCCCATCTTCGCTCGCCGAAGCAAGTCCCAGAGAATTCAAACCCGCGGAAGAAGCTGTCGCCGGGGTCGACCCAAGCCGCTGCGATTGTGACGGCTGGTGCTTACTGAGGTAGGGCGACTCACGGGGAGAAGGCGTAGGTTGTCCCGTTTGTAAAGATAAGGCAGGTTGACGAGCACCGCCAGGTTGGGACCCAAGGGACTTGGTATAGCTTTGTATGGCTCCAAAGCCAAAGCCTGATCCGGACTCAAAGGCGGGCAGTCGCTTAGTCTCGGGAGAAGAGGGATGAGAGCGACCATGTTCCCAGTTCGAAGCGCTGGTGTGACGATCTAAAGGTTCCCGCTCTCCGTAGATAGAGCCATACCGCCCCTGCCCTCCCAGGGATCCTTTTGTCTCTTGTGCAAGTCCAGCGCGATCTCGTTCTCGATCCCGAGGCGCGGTTTCTTCCGAACGACGATCTCCATACAGACTGCCGAAGCGAGCCTGTTCCCTACTATGATCTCGAGCGTGTAGATCAATGCCGCCATAAGATAGCCGGTCTCCCACACCTCCGCCAGGGCGCGAAATTGGACTATAGCCCGGGGGCCGTGTAGCTGTATCGGCGTTGGGTGGTTGGCTGTTGGAGCGGGCGATCGGGCCGCTGAAGCTCATCCGACGGGGCTCATTGTAAGGAGATTCGGCCGGGGAAACCTTGGGCGAGGGGTGTGTTGAATGGGGCTTCTCTGGATACTGCGAGTGTGACGCTCGTGACAGCCCTCCATACTTTGACGAATCACCAAGCAAACTCGAACCGCCTCCCGAGCCCGATCGATAAGGCCGGCCTGGCGGCGGTTTGGAGAAGGATTTTTCGGGGGTATGTGATCGACGGAAGAGGGATTGATCGAGAGGCGATTGGCGCGCTGGAGCAGAAGGTGGCGACATGGCAGCAGAGGCAGAGGTTGGCGCATTAGCAAAGACAGGTGATGGCCGTGAAAATAGGGAGCCGGAATCGCGAGCTGGGCGTTCTGGGTCGGAGCCGAGCATTGAGGAGATCGACATACTGCTACCAGGGCGGTGGCCGTAGCCGCTAGGTGGCTCGCGAGAGAATAGTGATGATGCGGGCGCGTTGGCGGACTGTGATCGCGAGGAATACGCGTGCGGAGGAGACGGGGGTGGCATCTGGCGAATCCCAAACGACGGTGGTGCAGATTGCTCTTGCGCTAATAGAAGGAGAGGTGGTTAGTTATGTGTGTCTTTTAATTTTTGATTTTCTCCCTTTGCTCAGAGGCTGGAGATCGCAAAACACCAGGGAATCGAGACAAGTTGGGAATCGTGTTCCTATCTGACGTGATGCGGCGGATCACTGCATCGGCGTGCAGTTGGCGCGTCCACCATCGAACTCACCGGAGTGCACAGGGCTACCACTACTGCCGTGGGAAGCACTGCGCGCAGGGCCTGGGGGTTGGTGATTCATTGCGACTACCACCATTCGATCAAGGGGGCAGTCTGGATGAATTCACGTCGATCCCGACGCAAGCGCAGAGGGCAGAAGCAGAAGCAGAGACCCCGTGACTCCGGGAGCTCGGCTGGGCCGCTAGGCCCGAAAGGGGAGACCTAGCGCTAGTCCAGACGGAGACTAGCGTTCCCGAGCGGCGGATCTGCGCCACTGGGGAAGGCACGCAGGGGGGGAGTGGCTGGGCAGGTGCAATGGAGCATATCATACACTCCATCCTCTGCATGCGACAGACACTTTCCCCTGTACCCTGCACTCCATATACTCTGGATCCACTACAATGCAGAGTATTCCAGAACACACTCCGACGCAGCCATACCATATGAGGTATCGGAGAGCACAAGCTGAGTGACGGCGACTGTGGGGAGAACAGCCGAGACGAGAACCACGGGACAGATCCGACCCCCCAACAGCGAATCCGGGGACCGACGACCGGGGAAACAAGAAGTTAACAGAAAACGGAAATCACCTACCTTCTCTCATATGGCCTGTCTGAGGCTGGGAATGATTCCGCCGATGCACGTGCCCTTGCTGTCTCGTTTCCAGACTGGCATGGCGTCGATGTGATTGCTGCGCCTGGTTCCGCGGTGGGGAAATCTGTGTGCCGGTTGTCTCCCGGCGAAGACGATGCGACCCGCGTGAACTGGTTCCGTATGGATGTGGATGCGGATGCGACGAGCTCGGGGGTGGGTATTCGTATCGGCTGCCTAGCCGAATCTTATCATCTGGTCGATTGCGAGATTCGTTGGCGCCGACCGTAGAGGCGGCTGTGGACGCAGTTGCAGCCGGGGCAGCGGCCGTGGAAGAGGAAGCGTGGGATCGGGGCCGATCACGATCATCGCGCGACTCTTGAGAGTTGCTCAGGGGGGGAAGGCCGCGGCGGGTAGCTCTGATGGAGACGGCGGAAGAAGTCCATGCTGAGCGGCGCCGAGCGATGGGCGCTTCGCAGTGGGTGAGATAGGGGGTCGGGAGGTTGTTGATGGTATTGCGAAAGAGAGAGATAGGGCGCGACCAGCTGAATGGCAGTGGGTGAAGGGAAAAAAAGCCCCCAACAAGAGAAAGTGACGGAGGATCAGCGGTTGATCCCGCGGGCCAAACCCCGTCGGAGTTGGTGCGGGCTGGGCAGTGCGGAGAAGAAGATGCCAGAAGAGCCACAAACGAAACGATGCGATGTGATGTGTCTACCCTTTCACCCAGGGGTGCTTGGTGGTATCTGGATTTTGGATAACACAGTTGCCAGAAAAGGAGGAGATAGGGAGAGAGAACAAAGAGAGATAAAGCCGGAGAAAAAACGGTGAGTCTGTTTAGCGCGATGGGGCGGGCCAAGACTGTATCTTGCATGTGGAGATCGGATCACAGCGTGAATCACGTACGCAAACACTGTGGCCCTGGCCTATTTACCAGTTCGATATGTACATTATGTATGTACAATGTTGCTTTTGCTTTCATTCTCTCTTTCTTTGCTTTTTCTCTGGCTCCCTTTCCTCTTTCCCTACCCAAGTTACCCAAATTACCCCTAGCCCAGGTGGTGACACCAGGATTTTCATCGACATGCGGTACTTCTACCTGACGCATGTCAGGCAGCACAGCAGATTGACTCTCCCTTCTCCCCATGTTCTGCTTCCTCCATAGCCGTTGATGCACCCTGACGAAAATCCTTTTTCTCTCCACGGACCACCTGGAGATCTACCCACCCCTTCGTGACGTGGCACCCGCATAGGTTGCACAAAAGCGACCCTGACGAGAACTACATGTACATCCAGGATGGAATAGACGAGACCAAATCATGGTGTGGAATCCACTCATGCTAGATGAAATTTACGGCCTGCTTACAACAGAAGTGATATTATGATCATTGGCATTGGCATGGTGGGTATCATGAGCTGAAGATAGACAATAGGAATACAAAAAACACAACACTTGAGCACAGTTCTTAAACGGCACAGATTGGGATGAGATGGTCATGCGACCTATCATTCCACGAAGATGTTTCTTCGCTGGAGGCCCAGAAGATATCGGTGTAAGGATGGTCGGCACAATCCGACCGGGGGAGGGATTCACTAGCCACGACAACTGTGAATGGACGCTGCACCACGCGTGCGCCGTTCCAGTGAGTCAAAAGACCACGCTGACGGAGCAGATCTAGATGGGAGACCAGATACGGATACAGCTCGTGGAGCGATGATTGGGGGTCCAGAACGAGCCAGAAAGAGTGGGACGTCTCTTCCTCGACTTCATTGAGAGATTCAGGTTCGGGTTCGGTGTTCATGGGCATCTGAATGTCGGTGGGGATGGAAAGATCTCGAGGGCCCAGTTTGGTAACGAGCGAATCGAGGCGGTTCTGCATGTCATTGATAGCCTTTGGGCCGGCGTCGGATGGGCCCATCTGCAGCTCGTTGCCGTGCAGCCAAATGTCGGTGCGGAAACCATCGCATCCGGCGACAGCAGATTGCGCAAGGGCGGTGGCACGGGGATCAGAGTTGGGAAATGTGCAGGTAAAGTGCCAGTCGCGTGTGCTATGATGGGCGAGAGAGGTTGGATGGGCTGTGCCTTTGCCTCCAACCGAGGGGAGTGCTTGTAAACACTTAAATGCCGCACTGGAAAGTCGGTATATGAGTATAGGAGGGTTGGGAAGACGGGACGAATATCGGTCTGATATCGATTGAAATTGGCAACTCACAAACAAGCGAGGAGAATGCATACCACTCGGAAGAGGCCGTCCTTCCAGCGGCGCTCGACTGAGGCGTACCATTCGGCAATGAAGGTGCCTAGACCTGGGATACAAACGGTAGGATGCGAGCGGAGCGGGTGATCATCGAGGAGCCAGGGGTCGTATTCGTAACGCATGGAATCGGGAATGATATCCTGCTCGGTCTTGGGTAGAGTCATCTCGGAGTCGGGGGCACCCATGGCGAGGAATTCGTCAGGCGAACAGAGGGCAAGCAGCGAGCTGCCCGAGTGCGAGGGTGAGGGGCCATGATATACGGCAACTTGAACTCAACCGGGTCAAATTTGGGAAGCAAAAGCCAGAAAAAGAGGTGCAGAGCGGGTCCAATCGCGCCATCTTATTAGAAGCACGCCATGTCGATCATGCATGATATACGAGGGAAATGATACTCGGAGGAGAGTGGGAGTCTAGTGTATCCATGGCCATGTCCACCATCTATACTATCATATTGAGAAGTTCTCTCTATATCCAACTTACCTTTCATATTTTAATCTAGAATACTAATAGTCTAATCGAATACTCCGTACTTGTAAGGTTATACACAGTAAAAAATATGGAGGAGTCCAAGTGGATCACGTGGATCACACAATCGGTGGGCTGACTGACGTTTGTTGCCAAGTTTCGCCAAGACCAGCCGCGGGGCCTTCTCCTCTTTCCTTCAATCATTGAGTTGCCATTGCTCTGCCATTCCTCTGCCATTCCTCTGCCGTTGCTTTGCAAAGTCTAATCTAAACACACGCTACGATCATCAGTTTCACCTTGCACGGAATTATTGGCTTCCGACCTCTCGACGTGGGCCCGTGCAGAGGATGTGCATGCGTCGGCCCTCTCACCGACCTGGGGTAAGTTCGCTATATATCACCATGACTTAATTTAATGACGCGATGGCCACTCTATCTTCCCTGGTCAAGGCGTGATGCGTCAGTATTTATTAATGATCGTCACTTATAAAACAATATTGAACAGGAAACTTGAACCATAACAAGGTCGCGGATATCTACAATAGGGCTGAAACCCGTCAACTACAATACTGCGACCTTGGCCCAGAGCAGCCCAGACTTAACATCGGCTTCAATGTCTTGGCTTCCGGGGTTCTTCGCCTGTGCACCAGTATCCAACCTTAGCACAATCTTGAAAACCGTCTCAAATAGCCTGTGTTCTTCCATCCCATCCATCTGACTAACACGAGACCTTCAGTTTCAATATCACAAACACCACTAACCTCAGCCCAACCATAAGTAGAACTCCAGCTAAGAGATCAGCCTACGGTTGCTCGGTATTTAAATTTTATAGTTCCAGAGTTTCCTACCCGCGCTGTAAACATGGGCCATCCGCCTTTCACTGTTCCTTTCACTGTTCATCGGTGCAGTTCAAGACAAGGCCACGCAAACAATAGTACGAGACATTCGAAATGGCGTACTTTATCGGGGAAAGATGATTAAACCACTGGAGAATACGCGATGGCTCTAAACTCATCGCTCCTTCAATGGCGGTAAAGATGCCAAGCAGCGCTGATGTCAAATTGACCGCGAGTCCCAAATTAGAAAAGATGATCGCTGAAATCATACTAAAACGAATGTAATTCCGAAATAATATCGTAGATAGATTGATCGGAATGTGCCATCAAGACGAGAAAACCAAGTAATATCCCTATACGAGGACAATCTCCATCACTGCAAAGCAAAATCAGTAGCTAGTTTAATCGTGGAAATTCCGATTCGGAGCGAATGTCCGAAATGTGACTTATCACCTGCCCCGCGTGCCATTTACCAATATACAGTCCCAGCTGCTTGAAAAAGGGGCTGCTGAAGTTTCACACCGAGCCAACATCCACGAGCAAACGTAGAAGAATCTCATTCTGCGCTTCCGAGAGTAGGCCCAGTCATTGAGCGCTGAACAGAGGTTTTTGTCGTAACCTAATATGAAAAATTAAAAATATTCATTTCGATTTATTCGCTGATGTGGTGCATGAAAGTCAGCGTTCGACCGTTCTCCTCAGAAGCCGTGCTCAGGTCCACACAAAAAATAATACAAAATTCTGCTCGAATCCGTGGCGGAGACTTGGTCAATTAATTACGCAGTGTATAGCTAGAAGTGCGTGATAGAAACAGCCTCGAGCTTGAAATACGCCACATGTTAAGTATAAAAAGCGCCAAAGTATGGATGTGAATGTGGCTTGAGCCTCTCCGAGTCGCTCCTGTGGTGTTTCGTCTCGGGCCGCGCCTATGAATGCAATATACTAGTATCTTCCAGACCGGCCGAAATAGCCTCAGTCTGCTAGTTTTGGGCCGTGGCCTGTGACGTCACAGTTCCAGAAGCTAAAACAAAAGCGTTCATAGATATTGAAATTAGAGATAAGGCTGTCCTCAGCTTATTGTGCCGGATGAAAACATTTTGCTCGATTTGGGGAAGCGTGGAAGATATTTCCAGTGATGGTGATTTGAAAGTTGACAGGAGAGTTTGGTTTCGTCTTTGGCAATAGAACAATATAGATTTCTCAAGGAACAAAGGTCCGGAGCAAGTTAACCACTCAGATCACAAGAGAGAAAAAAAAGTACGAAATTGGAATTGGGGAAGAATGCCACAATACTTAGTCGGGAATGGATCAACAACGTAGCTTCAATCTGGCCCTGTGGAATGTGAAAGGCTTCCATTCTGTCAGTTCTTGAAAGCAGCCGGATCTATATGGTTGTTCTTGTATAAAATGTGAGCTTCTGAGAAATGCCTGGCGTTCTATTCGAGTATCGTTTTCTTCAGACCGATTACGGGTAATTCAGGCCATCAACTCAAGCACGAGTGATGACCAAAAGTCAATATGAAAGCACCCACTCTTAAGAGCTTGGTGGCTCTTGGCAGCCTGGTGGCCTTGGTCCAAGGCCAGGACCGTGATCAGGGTGCACCATTGAGGAAGGCACAATAATCACTCCATCATTGCATTCACTCTGTCGTGCCTTCCCTGACTGACACTGAGTGGTGCCTGTATTAATGTTCATTATCAATAGGAACACTTTATATTGATTGAACTATAGAAAAGGCCACTGGTTTCTTGCCCTCGTCTTAAAGGTTCTAATATACCAGAGAAAGATGAGATTGCAATAGCCCGAAATTGGATTTGTTTTTTTCAGAAATGTAAAAGGTGGTGCTGGATTTTTATCCAAAATTTCCTTTACAAAGCAGAGACGATGATCTCCAGCATTATTAATTCTGCTTATTGAAGCTTCTTATACTACCCTATTTCCGAAAATCACGATAGTAGGCACTATCATTACTGGTTTCGTAAACTATGAGATCTATTTATCCAAACGATAAGGGACGAACTGGAAGGATCCCATAGTGAGAGTATCACTCCTCAGAGTTTTGCTTCCGAGCGACCGGAATTTGGCGTCTGTTCGAATATCTTGCTCTTCGAGTCATCCAACCGTGCCTGGCTTGTTTTAAACAGCCGAGGAAGTCCCGTCTCCTCAAACGCCACCCCTTTCATGATCATCTTAGCTAGCCCTTCCGCGGCTAGGAAAATCTGCGGCATGCCATGTCCCGTAAACCCAGCTAGAATATATTGATTTTGCTCTCCCGGCACTGATCCGATATGGGGTAATCCATCCGACGAGTATCCCATGACTGGTCATTCGTTAGCCGAGACTGGAATTGATTTGGGGTATGAGAGAACGTACTCCCGGTCCATACTCGATCAGTATAGGCATTACTATATTCCCATCCAGCAAAATTGCGTTGCATGTACCCATCCCAATAGCGAATAGCAGGCTCAAGCACGTAACTGTCATCACTCACGTTATACCAGCTATTCAAATCGTGAATAAATGCCTTCCGAGCACCACCGACCACAATAGATCCGTCTCCTCGGGGAATTAGATAGTCATATTCCCACCCACCCCAGCGAAGAGTATAGGTGCTCTTCAACCGGGGTGCAGATGAACCTGGGGGAACTACAATGCGACTGCATGTGCCCCTCACTGGAACAATCTTCCCCTGGTATTGAGGAACAAGAGCAGAGGTATAAGCATTGGTCGCCATCACGACGGTTCTTGCAACAACGAATCCGCGCTGAGTATCAACTACCCATGGGTGGGTCGATGCAGAAATATTCGACTTGGTGATATTCGACACGGGTGTGTGTGTTTGCAGATTCACGCCTTGGGTCACAACTTTCTCAAGCAGGTGCAAAACAAACTTATAGGCCCAGATATGCCCCGAGTCATACGAGAAACACCCAAGCGCACCCTTCACACCAGAGAACTATACTGCTAGTTAGTATGACATGAGCGAACACGTAGATCAACAAAGTACTCACTGCCTCTGCATTCTCAGCATCGACATACTGGCCCAACTTTGTCGCAGCGCATCCATTTGCCACGAGCTCGTGGAATCCTTTCTTCAACTTCTTATAGTGATTTGGGTCCAACTGCACGTCAATCGCCTTGGTCACGGTGTAGTTGCAATCGATCTTCTCCTTCTCGACAAACTCCTTAATCGCATAAACATGTTTTGCCTCGAAATTTGCAACTTCAGCTGCTGCATCAAAACCATAGTCCGTGGCGAGAGTTGAGACGAAATTGTAAATGTCAGGTTTAACATGCCCACCTTCACCAAATTAGAAAAGCTCCGTAAGTACATGGACATGAGACTTGGACTATATCTCACCGTTCCGAGCAGTAGCACCAGAGCAAGCCTGCCGGGCTTCCAAAATCGTAATAGAGGGCGGCGTCGAGCCGGGTTTGACTTGGCGTAAAATATGATGGGCGATAGAAGCCCCGGCATACCCTGCCCCAACAATGACAATATCACATTTATCGGGGAGATTCTCAGTCGAGCGATGGTTATCCAGGACGTGGGGCTCCGTCCTCCAGAAGGGGAGCATCCCGTTTGGGACAGGAATATGTTTGTCTGGCATCTTGAGCGTAATCTTCTGTGTTTGATTCAGATCGATGATGAAATTGGTTTCCATTTAACAGTATACAAAGTAGTTGAAGAGGAACCTTCGAAATGGAAATGGCGGGGGAGTTGCTCCACCGGTAGCCTTCCCGCCGGGGCCGGCAATGGCAAATGTTGGACCGGTGGGACGCTCGGGGCACGCACCCACGGGACGATACATTGTTTGTTCCTAAGGTTATCATCAATTGCCGCAATCGTTATCACTAGCAAAAGTGGAAGTGAAAGAATATTCGATCTATCCTCGTCATGAGTAAACGGAGTAGTACGAAGATTGAACTGATTGCCCAGAAATGGATCGCATAGCGTGGTTTCAAGTTCTATTTTGATTCGAAAAGCATTGAATTTCAAATAGAAGCTACTCTAACATCAATATTCATTTAAGGAATTGAATGAAGTCTCTACTAGTTATATTCCAATTTTGTGGTTCAACTTTCAAGCGTAAATTCCAATCTTCAGTTCCTCATGCAGCCTGGCTAGCAATGATCTTGTCCGCCATTCCCGGCAAAGTATCATCAATGACATCCATTTCCCCAAACAGCTGTGTTAACGGTTCCATCTCCAAGACGGTACAATATGCGCCCTTGAATCTATTTTCATTTCTCTTATTAGTATAAAATAGTGTGAGAATTGTGGTATCGAGATAACATACCCTGTTCTACGAGCAGCAGACACATCCCACATATGGGCAGCAGCAAACCAGGGCTTCTTGCCCCCATTCTCGTCCATCAGCTTGCCCAGCAAGGGCCTATAGGCATCGAGATCCGGCTTGCCAACTCCAGCAGTATCACAGGATAGCAAGTGTTCAGTCGGCATCTCAATGCCCGCTTTCGCAAAGTATCCGCCAACACGACGGAGATCGCCTGCAGTAAATGCCCAAACCGTGAATCCCGCATCGCGTAGCTTCTTCACACACTCAGCCGCCCCGGGCCGCATATTGAGACCAGTGTATTCGCTCATGATGTACTCGAGATCCGCCGGCGTAGCGAATTTTCTGGGTTCTTGAATCCCACACATCCACAGCATTCGATAGAACAAGGCCTCAAAGACTTTGCCGAACGCTGCGTATTGTCCGGATATACTGAGATTGGTATACTCTCGTTCGGAAGTTTCCATCCACATTTGACCGAGTATGTATGGCTTGATACCTTCTGCGCGTAGCCGGTCGCCGAGACGGCGGTCAATTGCGTCGTAGACATAATCATAGGTTACAAGAGTTCCGACGATATCGAAAACGACGTTCTTAGAAGATTCCATTTTGTGGTGCGGGGGGAGGTACTCCGTTGTAGAATTTGGCTTGGGGTAAATATGATAGAGAGGGGATGCTTATCAATTGATTCAATTGCAAACTCGTTCAATTTATGCTTCAGGTTGAATTAAGTGATTGTGAGTCACCCGCCGGATAATCACAAAACAGTGAGGGACTAAATGATGGCAAGGGGAAAAACTTGAATATCGCCAGGTGAGGATAAGAGTGGTTTCGCCCCCAGTCCCGGTTGCCAAGGTGGAGAAAGCATATCTCATCCAACCCCGCTCTACGACCACTGCCACTCCCGGTGGGAAGATAGATAGGCTCCCGGTGGGCGGGGTTTACTTGTTCGAGATAGGAGGAGATAGTCATGAGACACCCAGACGAAATGATATATGTATTCTACGTGGTTGTAGCAACCATGCTTTGTCCAAGTCATTCCTGCAAAGACTATGCCAGCTACCCCAATGGCAAGAATCAGTGGAACTTCGCTCAGTCAAAGTATCGCCCCTGAGAAAGCGGACACAAAAGGATCCGGAGATGTGGAGATTGACATTGAAAGGACAGCCACTGCGGGCACAACCCATAATGGCAGCTCCTCGGACATCTCTGCGGCTGGGTCTGCAGGATACCACCGATCCCTCACCCGGCGCAAGGTGATGATGATGACTTTTGGGGCTGGAATAGGGACTGGACTTTGGGTGGGAACTGGTCAGGCCTTACTCTATGGTAAGTCAAACTTGGGCACTCAATAAGTTTCAATTGCACTTTATGTTGATTGTGGCTTTCGTAGCTGGCCCGGCTGGCACCGCTCTGACATATACATTGACTGCGTAAGTGAAATCTTTCTCTAAATATTGACAATCCTTTTGCTCAATACATCCTCTAGAATAATTGTTTACGCTCAATATTCTTCCATTGGTGAAATGACAACATACAAACCGGTACATGGTGGATTTATCCGGCAATGCATCGAGTATGTGGACCCAGCATGGGGCTTTGCGATCGGCGTTAACTTCTGGTTTGCTGTGAGTGTTTCCACAAGCATACACAATTTCCTTGACTCACACCATGCAGTGGGTTATGATCATCCCGGCCGAAATTACTGCCGCAGTCTCCGTTCTGAAGTACTGGCCGCAGACCGACGTGATCCCCTTAGCTGCGTATATCACAATATTTATAGTGGTAATCGCTCTGGGGAATGTCTTTCACGTACGGATCTATGGATTTGTCGAATACTACATGTCATTCATCAAGTGCTTTGCCGTAGTCTTGATGATATTCTTCATGTTCATTATGACCTCTGGTGGGATTGCTGCTACGAACGGACCAATTGAGTTTCGCTACTGGAAAAACCCTGGCGCGTTCAATAATGGCTTCAAGGGAATTTGCAAGGCATTTGTGCAAGCTGCATTCAGCTTTGGTGGAGGTATGTTGTCCGCAGCTTGCAAAATAGAATCTACAACTGACACGAGGCAACAGGCGAGCATATCGCAGTCATCGCGGGCGAGGTAGCAAACCCAAGACATACAATCAAGAAGACTGTGCGCCCTGTATTTTGGCGCATGTTCACCTTCTTTGTCGTTAATATCTGGCTGGTTGGAATGTGTGTTCCTTCTGACGATCCCAATTTGAATGCCGAGGGGACTTTGGGAAGCCCATTTGTGATCGCTATCAAAAGAGCAGAGGTATATGGATTGGCACACGCAATCAATGGGTTTATCTTTTTAAGTGTCATAAGCTGTGGAATTACCAGTGTTTACGTCGCGAGCCGCAGTTTGACGGCGATGGCGGACATGAACATAATACATCCCTTCTTCGGATGGAAAGACAAGCAAGGGAGGCCTTTTGTGTCGCTGATCATTAGTCTTGGCCTGGGTGGTGGGCTGTGTTATCTCAACGTCAATAGTGTCGGTGTTATTGTCTACGGCTGGTTTACGTCATTGGTAAGAACTGGATTAAAAATTGAAGTCTACAGGCCCGAAAGCTCACAAATTTGCAGGTTGCTATTGCTACTTTGTTCGAGTGGTCCTCCTGTTATATCGCCCACCTCCGGTTCCGACAAGGCTTGAAGGCACAGGGAAAAGATCTCCGGACTCTGCCTTTCAGAGGATTTCTTACTCCTTGGGCCCAGTATTTAAGCCTTACCATTGTTGCATTCATATTTGGATGCGAGTTTTATCTATCTTGTTGGCCATTTGGTGAAGAGGGTTCTGTGAAAACTTTCTTCGCGAGTTACCTCGCGGCTCCTCTCTTCGTTTTTGATTACTTTGCTTACAAGGTACCCGAATCTTAATTATCTAACTGAGCTGGATGAAATCAACAGCTGACTTAATTTCCAGTGGTATTACAAGACAAGCATTGTCAAGGCAAAGGATATGGACTTCTCAGAAGCAAGATTTTTCGACGAGGAGGAGCGCCTTGAAGCCATTACAGCCGAGCAACAGGCTCAAGAGAAGCCAAACAAGAAGTCCAACTGGGTAAAACGTGCTCGATATCTTGTTTTCGGTTAGTACAAAATCGGCGAAAATTCAAGGTTGACCCTTTCATGTATATACAGCTGCCAGGGAATTCAAATGCAGGATGTTCATGTTTCAAAGATCCCTGGATCGAGCACCACGTCGCCAACTGACCAGGGAGGATTGAAGAAATCTGCGATATCATGCATCTCGTTGTGGAACACGCTTTCATCGGTCCCCGGTGAAATATTGAATTTAGGGCTGAAGGACGAAAGTTCCACATGGCTGCCGGGACCCCTATCCTTCTTCATAGATTGAGTCCAGTCCTTGAATCTGGCATAAGCAGAGGATGGAGTCTGCTCCGTGCTGACATCCATACTAATAAATTCGTCTTCCTTCGATGATAAATTGCGAATGGCTACTTCAATGGCCTCGATATATGAGGTCTCTGACTCTGAAGCCGTTCCTCCTATCATCTGTCGTATCAGCACCATGCCACGATTCAATCCCTCTCGAAGCTTTGGTGACTTTCCGACATTCAAGCTTTCCGCAAGAATGACGAGAAGAGCGGCACGACAGGAACTAAATTCCGTATAAGAAGCACGGCAGAGGCCGATATTGTCAGATAGTAATTGGAGAGCATCGAGAATTTCCAATGCGCTCTCCACGCAATCCTCTACCAAGCCTGACCAAAGACTCGGGGACTTGGTGCTGGAGGATCCGGTTTCCGGTTGTCGTCCCCTGTCTTTGGATTCGAAGATAAAAGGCCGGCCCATGTAAATATGAATGAGCATGTAACACATCTTCAAATGACAATTCTGTCGAAATAATGGCCCTCGCGGATTCAAGTCTTTGCATTCGAGGTTTGTAGAAAGGGAATCCCACCACTGTTTGATCGAACTTCGCAATCGCATGAGACGGTCAGAGTAGTCAGGGATCAGTCTTTTTGGACATTTTTTCAGAAGGGTTCTTCGATCGTTAGTCACCGGCCCATGTCAGCTAGATAGTGGCAACCTACAATGTCTCCGCTACTTCGCTAGTCCAAAAAACCACATTGATGAACGCCATCAGGTTGGAATAGTTTGGCGATATGAATGCAGGATGCGCCATGGGTAGATCTGCACTAATATCCGACCGAGCAATTGAAACGGGTCGCCCGTGCATGATGCTGGTCCGCCTGGACATTCATTAATGAGTACATCCCTAAATAATATTGTTAGAAAAGACATACCGTTCCAGGGTATAGATTGACCAGAACAAGCGATTTCGGAACTCAATGGTCCGACCGTCACATTCCACCTCTGAACACTTCCGGTGCATACCATTTTGAATAGCCATTTTCAAAGCCAAGCCAAAATAGGTATAAGATAGGCCACCGGTTGAGACTGGTAGTCCATAGGCGGCAAGAAGTAGAAAGGCTTGTGCACTTTCTTGGGAAGCGGCCAAAATGACATCTGGGATCAATCTGCAAGCGACACGATAGAAAACAAGACCGACTGAATCTTCGGAGCAAGCAGAGTAATCATTCATAGCGTCCAAATCGGGGTTTAACTTATCCTCTTCCATGTGCGCCATTTGAGTACCTATAGCGAGGACTGCAAAGAAAGAACAGACCCAAGGAATGTCGTTCGTCATGTATTCGCTATTGGGGCTGTAGCAAATACGAATTTTGTCCTCAATCCAATCTCGCTGCAGCCAGAAATTATTGACCTCTCCATACTTGAAGAACACATTGATCAGAAACTCAGCAATCGGCTTTGGGGGTAATTCACTCAATGCTTCGGTAATGACTAGGATGGATGATTGAAGATGGGTAGGGCGCCAGTATTCTTTGACCTAGGACCATTAGGAAGCGACGTAAAGATAGGGACCATCAAGACTGACTGCTGGTTCGATTGTGTCACGTTGATCGCTCATCGACCGTCGCAACCTTTCTGCAAAGTTCCAGTGCGAAAACTCTCCCGAATAGACTACAGAGTGTCAGTTTGAGGAAAAGGCAGCACGGCTTAAACCACCCACATGCGACATCCCTTGACACAAACTGAACGTCGAAAGATTCGTTCACGTCCCAAGCACCCTCAGCTCCATTTTTAGTTGTACATTTGGCTGCAATTTGCGCGAGACTTCCACCATCTAGGGGTACGTCTCCGAGAAAATGGCGAGCGATTTTCTCAAGACTTTCCAGGCGTCGACTACTTTCATTCAGCCCCTGTGGCGAGCAGGCTGTTTGTACTGTGCACATCGCTTTCTTCGAGGGAGGCTGGGGTTGGAAGTGACAAGGTCGACCTAGTCGCTCGCATCGCCAACAGGGTGGCCCGCCTTCGCATTTTTCCTTTTGTTTGCGACATGTCTCGCATCTGAATGAGGTCAGCTACTGCGATACGATATGGCCAGTCGCGACAATTCGCTACCCACACTTACGCTAGCGAGGCGCGTCGTTTGTTCGCATCGCGCTTGCGTTTGACTCCACGCTCTTCAAGCTCCTCTCGAATTTCTTGAGACATCGAGGAGTTAGTTTTCGGGGTTGATCAAGTCAAAAAACACAAAATCGACGACGAGCCGTGCGTGTCTTCCCGAGGAAATAAGTGTGTCTGCTGCATGAAATGATAGGCGACGGTGCTTATCAACCGTTTTGGAGTCGCAGGATGCGGGGTAAAACAACGGGCCACTGATATTCATTCTTCAGGGGATATGGCAAATCAGAGTTTCGGAGCTATGATATCAGTGGGCTTAGGTGTTATGGGTTTGGAGTCCCCTATCGCTACGTCCAAAGTTGGAATAGTTAACGTTTTGAATCAGCTACTCAAATTTAAAACTATCTTGCCACTCTCCCACGCGCGACTACCTATCAACAGATGATTCCAACCTTCTGGCTGGGATATATTCTTATTAGTCCTCATCCTCGAGGAACCAGGAGAGCCATTCATGCTTCCAAAGGGCCCTATCTTCGGGCTTCGTTCCCTCGGTGTGGCACGGCCACGCAAAGACATTCGAAGTCGCGTTCTGAGACAGACTTTTATCGAATTCTGGGTCACTTGGAAGCCCATTTGTCCTAGGGAAAGATGTCGAAATTGCGAAGACTGATGGATGTGTTGATACTCCCTGGCCTCCATTAGAGATCCCCGTATCACATACCGTCTGATCCTGCTCACACGTCCATTGCCAAGAAAGATAACGAAACCTATGACCGCAGCTTTAATGCTTTCTCACCATAATGGAACAACTTTCAACGCTCGTTAGGTCGAGTGGAGGAGATGGAACCACCGGGGGAGATCTAAAGACTTTTTCCCTCTCAGTATCGAGTAAATAGAGTAGTGGGAATTCATCCTCCCTGGGAATCATCTCTTTTCCATCGGGGCCGCGCTGGACAGGCACACTTCTGAAAAATTGTGGGTCCATGAAGCATTGTGAGGATCCAGTCCAAACAATTGGTTCTGGCGACACCCGGGTCAATTCTTTTGCTTCAATGAGCACCCTCGGTAGGGTTCCCGTGGCAGCCGATCCCATCCAAAGGGGCGCCAATGTCGGTCTGCGTTCAGACATAGCGCAAATGATTGCTTTGTAGTCTTTCTGCTGCAACAGAAGTGGGGTTATATCCTTCAAGACAGGGTTGAGCCACTCGCTGACTAGATTACAGGGAATATCTTTCTCCCAGAAGCTATTTGCCAAGCCTGAACTGATATATGTTGGAAAAGAAGAGAGCGCTATCAAATGAGGGATTCCAGAGACACAGGATTTGGTGGGTTCCATCAGCATCGGAAGATACTTTGCAAGATTTCCCCACCTATTGCATGACGGAAGGGTCATAACAGAAGCTAGACCAATTATGAGCTGGTTAAAGATGTCATTGAGCCGTGCAAAGTTGGACAGATATTCCTGGGCTTCCTCGGACGTTGGGGGTTGAGACTGGCACGCAGGGCGTGGAAGGCCTACACCGTGCGCGAGAATGAAGTAAGTATCCTGAAGATGGAACTCCCATATTGGACGATACTCCCTGCCGTTGCGGGTAAGTATTGTCTGCCAGTCAGCAAGAACTGAAGTCCACCATAGGCGCTCTGCATAATCTTGAGTGCCAATATTTAGCTCAATCGCAGCTCGAGTACTCTTAGACTTCTTGCCATTCACACAGTTTTCGACAAGATTTCCAGTGTATGAGACTCGATCATCCGAATCCTTTCCACGCAGTTCGATCAGGCGGACAGACAGAATATACGGCCATCCCAGCACGAACAGACAAATATAGTCCCCTCGGTCTTCGGAACTGAATCGCAATGCGGGATCATCGGAAAGTTTCAGTTTGCCTGGCAATGATTCTGCGATGGCGACATCCAACGTAGGCGTTTGCTTGGTGGAGGGTAGGTCGCAGGCCATTTTGGCTAAAAGCGAGTCAGGGGATATACCTCATGTTGCATACCCTTTGATTAGCATCATGTCGTATTGAAAGTGCTCTAGGACATCTTGAGACTGTGGAATAGAAGGGGTGTTGTTCAAGAGACCCTTGAGGTTGTAGCATGATTCTGGAAGTGTGGATGCGGATTGGGCGCGAGCAAATAGATCTTTCCAGTAAGAGATCGAGCGAGTCAAAGTATCAAGGGAAAGAGCCAGACTTGGACGCACTGGGTCTTCATTTTCTCTATCCATGATTTCAAGAAAGAATGGTGGCGGTGTGCAGATAGAAGATTTGTGCTGCAGGCAAGCAATCGGAGAAGACGGCCCGAGAACCAGTCCTTCCTGCTTTCGAACCACGTTAGGTTTCAAGATGATAAAGCGCAAGAACATTTTCACATAAAACTTAGGCCTCCTCGGTCTTTGGGCAAAATATATGATTAATGGTGGTGATATGAAAGGAGAAGAGAGCGAAGTACAAGGGACGGCAGCTTTGATGCCCGAGGCAGGCATCCCTCAACAACATGGATAATATCGAACTTGCTCCATGGTAAACAAGAACTTGAAATGATAATTAGGAATCAAAAAAATAATTGGACAGATCTTTACGATAAAACCTTTGATTATCCAGTCTTGAGGCTTACTCCACACAATCGGCCTCCCGGGTTGCCCCGCACGGATGACTCAAACTGCCGAATATTCTTATTAAAAGGAAATGCCCGCTCCTAAACACTTTCTTACTCTCTACTAGTACATCTCCCAAGACGCGGTGCAGCCATGGATCGCCCTTTAGAGCCGATGATACTCGCTGGAGACCGCCAGCAAACACGACCAGACCGCATGTATGTGCTCTTTGGCTCCTCGGCCTTTTTTATACTAGCCGGTACTGACTATTAACCGCCAGCCAACCGATTCTAATTTTGTTATCTTCAACTGCCCTTGTATTCACAGGATGTGGCATTAACTTTACATTCGGAGTCTATCAGGAGTTGTATGATTCAATGTCAAAGCTTCCCAATACGCCGTTTACCGGCGCCACACCGGCACAAATCGATCTGATCGGCACACTCTCAATCGCGCTGATGACAATCGGGGCTCCGTTTACAACCGCGTGGACAAAACAGTACTCTCCACGGGCTGTTATCTGGAGTGGAGGGGTAATCTACTCCATCGCCCTCGTTCTCGCTAGCTTCAGTCAGAGCCTGTGGCAATTCATCCTCACCCAAGGCCTTCTGCTTGGCGTGGGTACTTGCATGGCGTACATGCCATCGGTGACAGTAGCACCGACCTGGTTCTCACTCCACCGTGGACTCGCTATGGGTATTATCCTCGCTGGAACGGGATTCGGTGGTGTCGTTTGGCCCCTCGCCTTCCGATCTCTGATTTCCCGCGTCGGCTTTCGAAACTGTCTGCGGATTACGGCAGGCATATCATTCGTGATTATCAGCATCTCCGGGTTCTACATGAAATGGCCTGCCAGTCAACTCAGCCGGATTCAAGCGGAGAATGCCGCAAACGCGAGGAGGCTCAGCTGGCTACGAATTCCTCTGGTTGATTGGCGCGTTGTAAGAACGCGCAAATTCGCTGCCCACGCCCTTGGAGCAGCCCTCCAGTCCGCTGCGTACTATACTCCTGTATTTTTCTTTGCGTCATATGCGCGCACACTCGGGTATTCACAGGCGTCATCGGCCAACTTCATTGCCATTTCCAATGCTGCAAATGCCTTGGGCAAGATCGCGATCGGATATGCTGCCGACCGTATGGGCCGGCTCAATACCTTATTCTTGACCACTCTTGTCTCGGCAATTTCCGTTCTGGCGATGTGGTTGCCCTCGGCACTATCAACCTCTCAATCAAGTGGTAGCGCCCTCTTCATTGTTTTCACCATATTCTATGGCGTATTTGCATCGGCCTATGTCTCGCTCTTCCCAACCAGTTTGGTAGAGCTATTCGGTGTACAGAATTTTGTTAGTGTCAACGGGGTTTTGTATATGGTGCGAGGATTTGCAACTTTGTTGGGCACTCCACTTGCTGGGTTGTTGATTCGGAGTAGCCAAGGTGAGAAGGCTGGACCACGAAGTTATGAGAATACCAGCATCCTGGTTGGGGTCTTGCTCGCTGCTGCCACGTTTGCAGTACTCTGGGCTAGAATAGAGGCATCCCTCACTTTTGAAGGAGGACAAATCCATGGAAGAAAGTGGTTGATGTAGAGAGGGAAACCAGACGCAGAGTCCATTGTGTTTCCATGTTTGTAAATATAGGAAATATCTCCCCTTTTCCAATTTTAGATATCAAAGGCGTATAGGCGTGAGGCTCAAGTCTAAATGGAGTTTTTCACATAATGAAATACAGCGCTACCAGTGCCAGCTTTGTAATATTGCTTTCGCATGCGTCAATCCCGACAGAAGGGCACCACGGACGCTCGATTCAATCGGGGTAGGCATGGGATGGCAGCTATTACAAAAGGGTTTGAAGATTATGTTTGCATTTGGATAACTAATTTGCAACAACTGTGATGCTTAAAATTCTGTTTCGTAGACCACCCGTTCGGAATCTGCTCATGGTAGAAGCGATGAGAATGTAAAATCTATCGTGAAAGTAAGATTTTCGCGATTTGAATCCGTTGACTACATACTGCCTTCATGTTACAGACTAACTTCCCACTTTGCGATACGAACTCACAGCAAACTCGTTCCATCCAGAAAGCTGTAATTGAACCCCGTGAATATTGTCCTTCATTTAGTAAATACGTAGGTCCTGAAATGTCTCTGCATTATTCGTTCGCCCTTCACCCCGGGAACGTATGGTCCCTCTCTAGGAACATCTTCAGTCCTAGGAGTACTGTCACAACTTACAAGGGCCTCGCGAAACTGCGAATGCAGACCAAAAATCTACGATACATGAAGCCTCGCTATAAATGCTCTCTTTTTTCCAGTAACCAACAGATTGAAGGAATACATCGACTATCTCAGCCAGCACCTCAATCGTCAGATCATTGAAATAAAAACAAAAATAACGAAAGATTTCTCGTTCTCTTTGGGAAGCATGGCACAGCTTTCAACCTTTCTGCGTAAGCCAACATCATATGTACAAATCTCAAAATGAGTAAAGATAGCTGACTCATTTGATTAGCCCTTCGGGCAACTTCCGCTCCATTTTAATCGGTCGCAATACAAGAAGACTACCGATGACTCTCGCTACAACAAAGCCGGGCAGGCCGCCCTGTTCTTTGCGATTGTGCAAGGAGACCTGCCATTCGCCCAAAATCTACTTCATCAACCCGATATTAATTGCTTTGGAAGATACGGGCTATTTGACACCACATCATATGATACTGATTGATACTGTCTTGACAACGCCCAGTAAAACAACTGAGAAAGGGTCGAATTGCTGCAATCAATGCTGTGGTAGCTCTCTGTGATGCGGAAAGGGGCGCACCCTCGCGGCCGCGTATGACCCAAAGCGTTCCGCTGAGACTGTCGATATGTAACCAGCTGCCCCTGCGTACAAGAGGCAAAGGCCAAATGCTTCAGATGTGTATACATTACAATACCTTTTCTCAAGCCCTCGTCTCGGTTTGTGTCAAATCTCCAGAAGAAAGACCGACGATTTGCTTTATCTGCCTTGGTAATCCAATGCTGCCGGAAAGTGAACGACTGCGAAAGTTCAAGAAGTCAGGGTCTCTCAGCCGACACTCCGTGAACAAACATATCAACCCGTATTCAAATGATATACAACGCGATTGTACGATTTGTGGAGAGCAACTAGAGTCTAAATCAGCGCTACTGAACCATGCGCAAGGTGCACATGGGATTGTTTCCACCTACCAGCTCTCGGCCTGCTTTTGCCCTGAAATAACGAGTTTATGTTGATTTTATTATAGACCAGCTAGATCTCGAAGTTCCTTGCACTCGTAATGTACATCTATTCTCGATGAATATGACGGCTCATTGCTATCTTATGTTGTTCTACTCGCTCTGATTGCTCATGCATATATTTTCAAGCGGACGATTGTTCTTGATAGAATTGCTCTTCATTTTGCCCGCATACATTTGAGATATCAATTCAGAACGGTGGGGCTGATTGATGAGCACATGACATTTTGTCTATGTAGTCAGACACGCCAATGTCAGCGCGTCGGGACAGTACAGTACGGACGGACCCCCCCACGAGACCGGTCCACCAACTGTCGCGACATGTATACCATTACTAGTCGGATACACGTCCAAACTGCTTGGCATTATTAGGTGAACTGCTTTCAAAGCTGCAATTGCATATTAAATAGTTTTCATCCAGTATTTCAGAAATGACAGACTTATTACGATTTCCATATTAGTACCAAATGACGATTAGTGGCCTAATTCAGACTACGAAACCAACCCGCCCTCAAATTGGGGGCCGTCAAATTCTGCGGATGAGTGTCTACCGCCGGGTAGCTTTCTTCTCATCAAACTAAGCACCCTTTCTCTTACTTCTCAGCTCACATAGAAACACATTCAGAGTGTTACAGGGACATATCCAATGGCGCACCAAGCGCACAACATCCCATGGGGCTTGCTCGCCTCGAATTTAGAGTGGAAGACCCCGACGCCCTGGAACAACTTCGCCACAAATCTTTACCCGCGAATGAAACCCAACCAGGCGAAGGACTTGACACACTTTGTCAATGCTTTTGTGAAGAACCTTGATGAACATTCAGTCTGTGAACGAAAGAAGTATCAGAAACACTATGATATTCCCGAGCCATCAGATGTGATACTTGATGATGCTATTGTTCGCAAGATATCTCCTACAGTTCGTCGATGGCGCAACGATTGGCCCAAAACTGAAACCTGTCCTTCAGGCACATGCGAAAAGTTCGAAGTCGCGTGGGAGACTCCCATGGGCATAAAACGGACAGAGCTGATCGATCGATGCAAATGCGTACCCATCCCTCAAGAAGAACGAGTTATGTCTGCGTTTCTTCGAGAACCCCATATTGAGATTGATTGGAACTACAGCGGCGATGACTCGAACGACGAAGCAATCTTCAATATTAAATTCGTGTTTACACTTCTTCTATATGGGGAGATGGAACCGATATTGCGTGTCTGCGCCCACCCAGGTAATCATCTGAAATTTTGGCTTACCGGAACTTATTTCGAAGGTGTAAGCATTTCATTCCCTTACCCAGACCGAATTTTCGACTATCAAATATCACCACATTTGAAAATTGAACTGACTTTATAAAGCCCCCGGATTTTGGCTGGATACAAATATGCCGACATATGCTATCTGTCTACATCTGCCTCAATACAGCGTACTGCTTTCCCGAGATCTGGGATTTCGCATCTGGCCGGACCGAGGAAAAGACTATCGAAATGCCAGATTCTATCAAAAGACGCTGATTGAGTCTGGGGCCAGAGATTGGGATCTGCGGACATACCCTCACCCCCAGTTCTTTGGAATGCAATCATGTCATCACCCGGCCGAAAACACCGGGGAAGGACATTGGTTACTCAATGAAGGTCTCAACAAACAAAGACGAGAAGATAGTAGAAAGAGGTCTTTTTACGGGTGGTGGGGATATCGTGAACAGGACAACCTAGCAGGCCCCTACGGAAGGGTGCCAATTCGCGAATTTTTGACAATGAACAGTCCCGAAGGTTGTTCATATGTGGCTTCTTTGTCTGAGATAGATGAAGTCAGGTCGATACTATGCTCGATGGGTCTTCCGGTCGAATCGGCTTTGGAAATCATGAAATTCGCCAACTACAAAACACCGAAGAGCAAGCTCGATCCACCACAAGATCCGCTACATCCAGCAAACCGAGAGGCGCTCGGGCAATATCTGAAGTACTGCTGGAAGACCCTGGTGCTGTGTTACACCATGGCCATAGAGATTGGTATGGACCCGCTCGACCGCATAGAGCATGCCGATAGAGACGAGGGCATCAACTGGAAAAACCTTGTCGGGGATACCATTATTGACCTTTTTGGCCACCACAAAGATCGACGCAAAGGTCGTTTGAATGAGCTGGAGTTTGATGGACAGAAACTCCCGAGAGCATGGTATAAGCAAGAATCTGTGTCGGATGATGACGCTCCCATTGGCTGGCGAGGACCCTATACCATCTTTGTCTGATTATTGCAGCGAGTACTTTGTCGAACGGAAAACTTGTCAAATTATCTGAGATTCGCGTAACTTTGAATTATCATGACTATGGCTAACATCAACCTGTAAGAAGTATTGATCCGAAGTATACGATACCCCGGACTCTCGAGGCTGATTCATGGACGAATCCCCTTTGAGTCACCTGCATATCGATATCCACCCGAGCCCTAGTATATTTAAGATCCCACAAACATTCAGGACTCTTGATCTCCTCAAGAATCAGTCTATGTACCAACTGTCCAATCTGATCTCTACTATCCGATATCCTTGCCTAGTCACAGGTCTCTAGCCTGACAACTTAGTAACCATTACAAAACGTACATTGGATATAGGTCTTACAAAAGATAAGGACATAGAATAAATACTTATTCTATAATAGACTAGCTTTGGATATAAGGGAAGTAAGATATTTACTAAATCCTAGAGAAATATAATTAACTTATATAAAATATATATATTTTACTAAATATACCGTATACTTATGATCTGCGTATGTTAAATGCAACAGTACGAATCCTATTATTAGAATTATATACTCTATCCTGATATGCCTACCTAATAGGTTTTTGACTAATATCACTAAGGATTTTAAAGAGCTACTTAATTAGAATCTTATAAGCCTAGGGCTTTTCTAAATTAATTTACATATATGTGTATATATTTATTTGTCTTGTCTCCTGATTGTAGGTTATAATATTGTAGACTATAGTTTTGCTTTAAACTGTTTTAAATTGTAAGATCTATTTTAATATAACGTACTTTTTGAAAGGCCTTAGCCTGTTTATATATACAGCAAATAATACAGTAATAAAAGCCCAGTTGAGCGCCCAACGGACAGCTTCCCTCCCATAGCCTTGGCCTCTCGCGTCGGATCTCAATTCAATAAAAATATCAGCACAGCGATCCTGAACCTGGTCTGGAGAAGTGTTCTTGATCAAGAGGAGACCAATTCCTTCCGGTTCCGAAACCCACTTGCTGTCCTCGGCGGTATTCGGTGCGACATAGTGTACATAACAACACCCAACAGCGCCGATTCGATTTCTTTGTCAATTGGGGCCATCCCCTCTTTGTTTGCAGGCTTTAAATGTTCTTTTGGAGCCGCTAAAAAATGATTTCTGGTCGAAGTGTATTGTGAAGTACCAGTCCTCGTCACGGGAGGTATCCCAAACACGGAAGAAAAGACGCTCGGATTCAAAGAAGTCCATATTTCCGGAGATGAGGTGCGGTGGTGATTCAATCTCTGACAAGAGGTGATGAATGGGGAAGACGGTGATAATAGTGGTGGGTGTTGAAGAGAGCGAAGAGATCTACAGGATGGAAGGGACGGCGACCCGGATGTCTGAGGCCAGTACCCAACAAGCTCTACTATTGTTGTTTATTTCTGAGGCAGTCTTGGATACTAATTACAATGTGAGTGCAGGCCAAGCTTTGAAGTTGTTTATGCAATAATCCAATCAGGTAATTTCGGGCAGGTATTAATTTCGGGCAAATTAGACGACCAATGCGGTGTTCTTCAAGGTTGTCGAGATTATTTTACAGTAATTATTTGTTACATACATTTATACAAATGTGCTGGGCAGTTGTAATTTAGAATACAAACATTCTTACAGTGGCGTTGCAAAAGTTTGAAACCCCTTGTTGACTGTTCCTGTCTCCGCCTTCTAATCGCAGACTAGTAGCTACTTAAGACGGAATAGATTGGCCTATCTATTCCATCTTAGGTAGCTACTAGTTTCCCATTAGAAGGCGGTCAATAATGGTGGGCAATATGGGGTTTCAAACTTTTGCAATGTACTTCGCATGTGCGCGGAGCATCTCCGACCCATTTTCACATGCAAGGATGTGGGTATTTCACATGCCAACGATTTTTGGCAGATGATCACCATCCTCTCAACTGAAATAACCCAGCTACGTATAAAAAGTGATATATGCGGAATGTAATAAATCTCAATATTCTGTTTGATTGCTTAACATTTCTAGTCGATGTAAATGATATGTAATTCGTAAGTCGTGAGATAGTCTCTATCAAAGACCTGGAGTTTGAGCTCCTTCGCCCAACCCCATGAGCCCACCAGCGATTCCATTCATTCTTCGATCAAGTAGATCTTCTTCACTATCGAGTGAAGCTATACTCTTACCTCGCGGGCGAAACGCCGATGGACTTTCGGGAGCACTGTTAACCTCATCAGGGTGGAATGTATCGTGGTTGGCGGTCATCTCTAGCCTCTTAAGCTTCGCCAAGAAATCACTTCCACTGCCTGTGCTATCGTCGAGGTTTGCGAGGCCACTTTTGAGCTGGGACGATGAGAATGATGACCGTGATATTTTCCGGCGTGCGAGTAAACTCGAACTGGCGGTAGCGTTTTCATTTTCAGGGAGCGACGTCAACTTGCTCAGGCCCATTTCCAGAGGTCTATCTTCGTCTGCAGAAGACTCTGCAGTCAGATTGCGGTGGTGGTGTCTAGAATGACCGTTTGTCTGCCAACTCGCTTTGTATGGCCCCTTCCGCTTCTCAGATGTGGCGTTGGATGCGTGGGATAGCTGTAGGAGACTATATTCCGATTCATGAAGGTCCGCCGACTCGAAGATAGACTCAATCCACTTCGCGCTGCGATTGATATACTTCCAAGCGTCGGGGAAGAATCCAGCCATTTGTATGAAGCCATGAGAAACACCTGGGATCAAGGATACCTCTACGTGATCCTTTTCGTTGAACTGGCGTTGAGACTTTTCGAGGCCAAGATCTTGACGTTCATGGAAAAGGTGCAGTTTAGCTTGGCGAAGACGTCCAGCAAAGATAACAGTGTCATCGACAAGTGGGTCACGCTCTCCCGTCAAGATGTAAGTCTTTGGAAAGGCCGCCAGTAGAGCATCGGGTGCTAGAACCGGTGATAGGTAGAAATCAGTGTTAAAGTCAGGACGATGATGGGGCCCGATGTAAAGAATGATCATAGCTCGCATCATTTCTGGCGTCAAGATTCGATCGTGGACATATGATATCATTGACGAAACCGCAAGACGAGTTTTGAGTGGTTGAACCTGGTCTACACTGGGCTGTACAGCCTTCTTCCCATTGATCTCCTCACTCTTTTTGATTTTGTCCCGAAGTGCCTTTGAGGCTTCTGCGGCAACATTATTTGCCTCCTCTTTCTGCTTTTCCTCCGACGGGAGCTTGGTCAGGTCTTCAACCGAATGACCAGGGGAAGTGAACGGGGTGAGCTTGCGGTACTGATCTTGCTTTCTCTGGAGAATACCGCTATTCGTTTGCCGTGTACTCTTGTCTTGGATCAGGGCCATCTGCTCATCGGTCATCCAACTTTCAACTCTCACGTTGAGCGCAGGGTATGCTAAAACCAGACCATCAGGTTTTGGTAGTACTTCTTCGCCTTTCCAGCCCTGCGCCATAGCCGATTGAAGAACCATCAAAGTCAATCCAACAGCAAGATTGCCACCGGCGCTCTCGCCAGTCACGACTATGCGCGGGCGTTCTGAGCCGCTCATTCCCAAGCAGCGCCCATTAGTAGCCATTATGGTATGATAGACGTCATAGCACTCATGGAGTGCATAGGGGTAGGCATATTCGGGTGCCTTTTTGTAATCGACACTCAGTACCGGAACTTTAAGTTGTCCCGCCCAGGAGAGTAATTTGTCCTCTGAACTGCGAGGGCCCATAGCGACAAAGCCACCACCAGGAATATCCAAGACTAGGCACTTCTGGTCGCGCAACGCACTTAGTGGTCCATCAAAGTAAAGCCATGCATTGACGGGATCTTTGTGGACTGAGTGCTTTGGTCGCGGAATGCGAATTGCCCGGGCCGAATACCGGGTTAGTCGAGGACGCAGTAGTTTTGCCATCGTCCACAGATACGGCGTGGTTGCTTTATTCCATGAAACACGTAGGTGCTCGAGGGTCAATGTGCCCCGGACTTTCCGAACCTTCTCATCCGCCTGTTCGGCCGCGATCAGATAGTAGACGGTGAAGACTAGGGAAGCGATATCTCGCAGCCATTTTGGCTTGATCGACATGGCTGTCCAGAAGCCCGCATCGAGTCCCGTTGTGATCCATGTTGCACGGAAGAACGACCGCGAATACAAGTTCGCCAAGGGTTCGGGGCATTCGAGACCGACAATTTTTGCAAAGTTGCGGCTTAGATAGAGCCAAAGAAAGATAATCACAGTTGTTTGCCAGGTTGTCAGCTTGCCGGTGAACCGGGAAGAGATGGATCTTATGAATGGAGGGCCATGTTTATCTGCTCTGTGTAGAAATCAGCCGGGGCACGAATTGTTGTATCAGGGAGGGCGTTTTAAATCCCTACCGTAATAGATACAGCGACCAGAAAGAAACCACAGCGAAGACCTGAATTTTTCGGAATCGAGTAGATGGTCTCCCCAAGACATGGTCTTCGGGATAATTTGTTAGCGGGTATTTTCTTGGGTCGTCTGGGGAAATTGTGGAGGGTTGATGTTGTACCTATCATTTCCACCCGCACTGGCCACCAACACGGTGTAAATTCCGGGGGAAGCGATTTGTACCACCAACGGACACGGAAAATTATGCAAAATGATTTAAAAGAGTTGAAGGTCACAGTGCACGAGAAGAGGATGCAAGAAGCGAAAGAGTCAACAAAAAGTGGTTGTCTTTGTCCATTTTAGCATGTGAAAGGCCCCCACATCACATGCCAGTGACGCCATCAGCTGACGGTGAGTCTACGAGTACATACTTTACTTATGTGAACGAAGAAAACAACCACTACAGTGATTCCTATAGGTCATAACAGCCACCAGGATCAGCAGGATAGATATCACGATGAATGGTATTCCACTGGCTTCGCTTGGCTGCGATCTCTTGACTGCAGGTCACATGTGTTATCCCTGCAAGGACACGACAACAACACGTCAACTGAACAACACTTGCAAGGTGTGCAAACAGTCGAAACACTTTTCCCAGCCACCATGGGCAAGGACAAGGAAAGGTTCCAAATAATCTCCGATCTTCACCTGGAATCTCCAGCCGCTTACGATGTTTTTCAAATTACCCCTAAAGCACCCTATTTGTGCCTCCTGGGCGACATTGGATATGTCAAAGACGATGGCTTTTTCACCTCCCTGCGAAGTCAACTTGAGGTCTTTCGGTTAGTCTTTCTAGTTTTTGGTAACCATGAGCCATATCTGTACGTGTGGAATACGTAATAGCATGGAGTGCATGAAATAGTAGTGGTGTGTATTGGAGAGGGAAGGTAGCTACGGAGGAGAGATACTAGTGGAGCATGCAGGACGAGTCATCCACGTACAATAGCACCGCAGTTGGATCGAGGCGAAGCAGAAGCTTGAGAGTTTCAAGAATGAGATCGAAGTCTCCACGGGCCAAGCACTTGGCAAATTTGTCATCCTTAATCAAACACGATATGATATTACTTCTGATATCACTTTACTCGGATGTACATTGTTCTCCAAGATCTCCGAGGAGCAGATCGAAAATGTTAATTTCGGGCTGAACGACTATTATCATATCGACGACTGGACCGTCGATGACCACCAGAAAGCTCATTTGTCCGATCTGGCGTGGCTGAATTTACAGCTCGATCCCATTTCCACATCAGAACCAGACCGTAAAGTCATCGTGCGCACTCATTACTGCCATACGGCCAACGAAATGGCCAATGACCCTAGGCATGCGACAAGTCGGATCTCCTCGGGGTTCATAACCGATCTGACCAGTGAGCCCTGCTGGCAAAGCGCAACCGTCAGGGTCTGGGCCTTTGATCATACACACTTCAACTGCGACTACCAAGACAGAGAACACTGGAAAAGGGTCATTTCAAGTCAAAGAGGCTACTACTTTGCACAAGCAAAAGGATTTGACATAGAAAAGGTGGTCGAAGTTTAGAAATCTCCTATAGGCTGAGAGAGTAGATCAAAACTGAAGCAAACTGAGCAGAGCAAAATTTGAAAGAACAAAACAACCCAAGCAGGACAAAGTAAGGTATACTGCCCAGGTGAGAGACCAATTTATTAATAAGATAAACAGTTAAAAAAGGACGAATTCTAGTCAAAATAGGCCCTCGTGTTATATGTGATGTAAACGGCGGACCTGTGAATTACTAGATCCGGTTAGTTTTACCTTTCTCGGTTTAGCGTCCCAATACACTGTCCTGTAACCTCTCCTTGAACTGAAGTATGGATTGGTCTTTCAACTCATTCGTTTCCCCTATTCGTCAAACTCACAATTAGGTGCTCTGTCCAGATCCTGTTCATTCAACTGATCAAAGTATTAGTGATATCAGTTTTTTGAGAATCAACGGTAGTCATGACAGCATTCTCTCATAAATAAATGGGGTGGTGATGAAGAGAAGCCGGATCAATTCTGCAAGTCTGTAGACGGTTAGACGTGACTACAGCAAGTACTGAGTACGAAGCTTTTACTAGGGAGACCTTAAAGCCTCAACGACAGTACCGGAACCGTTTTAGATAATAAGCATGACTAGGGGGGAAAGCCAAAACCTGGAAGGTTGATGTGCAAGAGCTCGCCACAGTCATTCGTGGGCAACTCCCTATTCGTGGGCGATCGCTAGCAGACACCTGTGATTGCTTACGACGTGCGGTCCTGCAAAGCGCTCGTAAGTTACGTAGCTGAGAAACCACTATGTAGACACAAACTACGAATTCTAGCTGTCGCGGGCTTGCTCAAGCTCTTCATGCCGTTCACGCTTCATGTCACAGGATGTACATAAACGTATCTATTGTCCCCACCAAGGTTCTTTTCCATTTAGAAATTCTTCTCGGTTCTCTGTATTGGTGTCGGATAATAATCACCCTATCAAGGTAAGTATATGTATTGATGTGATCAAAGCTTCCCGACGCATACCAGATGAGGACCAAGAAAGGACCAAAATCCTGATGTATCCGCGGAGAAAATGAATACCTTGACTGACTCTCGAATCCGAATGCCTAGGCATACATCTGCGCCGCATGACTTGCTGTATTCGTGCGCCTTTTTTCCAGTGATATCTTGCGTCGATCTCTTTTCTGTCGTAGTGACTTCTTGGCCACGCTGTAGGCCTAAGACTGTCCACCGGAGTTTCTGGCCATCATGACTGAGTGATGTGAGGAATTATAGCAAGTTTTACGGCTGTGCCAAAGCCACGTATTTGTATCATGAAATAGAGAATCACGTAAAGGCAAAAAGCGCTTCTTAAATGTTGTTTTTGCCAAAGCCACGATTCTCGGAACCGCCATGGTTTTAATTTGCTAGACATGGCCTGTGCTTTCTACTTTTGCTCTACTACGATGCTCCGAGAATTAGAATAAACGTTGGTAGTTGAGAGTGAGTTGAAGGTGAACCGAGGTGAGAATGAGACTGAATGAATTGATCTGCTTCGACCATCTCTTCCTCGCCCTGGCGGTGAACCGTATAAGAACTGACAAGGAGCAAAAACGTCGATACAGGACAGAAAGAAAGCAGCACTGAGAGTAAGGGTTGCACTTGCACGTCCTTTACATATCCAGGCGGGCCAGTACATAAACCTCTGGATACCGGCGGCAAGCCTCTTCTCCTGGACTCAGACTCAATCATTCATGGTGATGTCGTGGTCATCATAAAATCAAGATGTCCTGGAGCTTTCTGTTCAAACCCGGAAAGGGCGGACAAAGATTATTTGCCATCGTACAGTACTGGATGGCTATAGATCCTTATCAGCAATGCTAAAAGCGTATGGACTAGTATGCATTCAGGGCGAATGAGATCAAGCGGAAACCAACTCAGGATAAAAAGATCGATTAATAGTCACATGACACTAAGATAACTAACCCTTGTTGGCACTAACTAGGTTGATCGTGCTTCATCTCATTACCTGGATAGTTAACTAACTAGGTGGGCCCTGGCCCGGGCTCCCTTCTCATCCAATCATCTTGCTATACCATCCCCATTTGATGACGGTTGTGAATCATGAGTTTGAAACCCTCTGGCCATGATTACTAAAGTTTGGCGCGACAAGTTATCCAACAAGAACGCGCTGCGACTGTATTGCGTTCAAAAAACCAGGCTAGGCCTAGCGCTGATAGACAAGGGGATAGTCCGCCAAAGCTCGAAGACGTTCGGTAACTCAGGATAATGGAACACTCTTTTACTCTGCTTCCTTCAGCCCTGGGCGAGGGAGAAGCAAACAAGGTCGGCGATCACCCCAACCACGTCGACGCTGAGGCTGAGGCCGAGGCCGAGACGACAGCCAAGAATCAGCGCAGGAAGGTTCAAAATCGGAAGAACCAAAGAGCACACCGTGAGTGTGTCCCCTCAATGCCTCACCTCCTACCGCGCTCACGAGCTTTGAAGGATTGCGGATTAGAGAGCACGACCCAGGTTCTGTTCAGACATCGCGCCCGTTCCAAGTCAGGCGCTGGCGCCTGGACGAACTCGATGTTTGTCCCTCCCACAACGCCTCGACAGCATCGAAATGCACAACCGCCACGTCCATTTCCCCTCGACGGTCTCACCCTCTTGTCAGTACCAGTACATCAATGTTCACACCTGAACGCGCCGGAGGAGGGCCAGCACTCACCCCGGTCCATGCCCAGACGTCCCTAACCGCCCCCTCCTTCGTCTTCCCCCTCTCACCCGATCACCTCCTCCATCTTATTCAATATAATGTCTTCCGTGCTTTTGCCTCCAACAAGCGCACTCTCAATATCCTTCTGACGGGCTGGACCGATAATCCCCCCCTCCCCAACCACCTGTCCCCTCAGCGGTCCTTACCGTGACGACACAAGCGTCTACCCATTGAACCCCAACATTCCTTTCTCCCTCGTCCCGACCCGCCTCCAACAAACCCGCTTGCACCCCATCTGGATCAATTTCTTCCCTTTCCCCTGTCTCCGTGATAATCTTATAAGACGCGAAGGAAATTTCGACCACTGGGAGCTGCTACAAGACCTCATTGGTGAGCTCATGAGTGCCACGCCGGTTCAAAAGCGACGAGGTACGCCCCTCACCTTTACGGTCTCCGATCCCCAAACCTTGTGGACCCTGCCCCTCACAACAGGACGTGACGAGGATGAGATCACTGCGGGGCGCAAGGGACTTATTGTTTGGGGTGAACCGTACGACGTGCGGAACTGGGAGGCCACCCCCGGCTTTCTGGCGAAGTGGTCGTGGGCGGTGGAAGGATGCGACGATTTAGTTGAATCTAGTAACCGCTGGAGGCTGATGAGAGGAGAGGAACCTATTTGTCTCTCTGAATAGACAAGGGAGTCGAATGTGTCTTGGAAGCAAGTGAATGATGGCCGGATAACGGGCAATAGGAATTATCCTTAAGAGTACCGTCGATCATAGATTACACTTGCAATGCTAACATGTGCTATGGGTCCGGCGGGGAGGTGCTCCCCGATATTTCTAAACGAGCTTATTCTGGTATCTTATAGTAAGTCTCGGCTTCGATCCCATTAAAAGTACTTCCAGGACAAGCCAAGACCTGTCTTTTCGAGAGCATTGTCGGAACTCCATTCTGGTGAAATTTTCCCCATTTAACGAATGCGTATCACCGAATAAAGATTTTTGGATGCGGTTGTATCCGGGGCTGGGACCCCTCTCTCGAGCTTGTAGCCATCTGACACTTCTTTATCCCAAATTCGCAGTACTTAATACAGCAGTTCTTTCTAGAGGACGACCTCCATATCTGTACAAATCATTGAGGGGCAAGTTGAGCAAGAGCTTGAGCAGGACCTCAATAGCATGGCAAGTGCAGTTTCCCTATTATCCAGGAGGTCTCCTTAAGATTTCCCATTATTGACTAGACGTGAAGTGATCGCGCCACAAATATAAAGAATACCATGGATCATATGGCTTCTTGATTCATATGGTTATATTTTCAAAAGGATGGCAGAATTCTAGGTGAAGAGCTGGTTGATTTGATGTTCACCCCACAACTGCAACACACAGTTGGGCTTGACAATTGAACAAACTGCCTCCATCTTACAGGAACAGTATCTTGAACTCTATTCCATCTACGACGCCAATCTACTTTGGCGGTCACGGATAACCTAAATCGGGATCGCCAAAACACAATTTTATATTTATATTACAGGACCGTAGAATCTCTGTCTTTTTTTTTTACAATCTGCAAAATATGTCGATACGCGTGATGCTGCAAATCATAAACACCGCAGAATGAAGCCCGTTTTTCCTGATTTATGTAGCAATCTTGGCGGGGACACCCTACGATAGTGCAGCGCACGATATCTTTTTGGCTTACCCCACCAGTTTAGAAAATTTATTGTATCTGTCTTGAATTACCCACACTGTTCACCAGACGAAGCCAAGCCTCTTCAACCGCCGCGGGTATATCAACATGCGCGATAAAACCTCTTCCCTGAGGGCCATATCCTTGTTCATCATCCCTTAGTCGGGGAATTTCCCCCAAAATAAGTTCAAGGAACCGTTGCTGCGTCCAAAGACCAGCAGCACAGTTGACGGTTGAGCTGTAGACCAGACACCCATTCGAATCCACCTGGACTCGTGGCACGAGTACAGGGCAACTGATAAACAACACGCTGCATGGCCCACCCTTGTAGATTCTCTCAAAAGTAGCTCTCGTTCTCAACATCATAGTAGGATCTTGAACGATGATGCAAGTTTTCATGTCATGGACTGCTGCATCGTCGAGTACTTTTCGAGTAAAAGAGGCGTTTTGGCCACAATTTGTGGACCGATCCTCGATGACAATCCGGCATCCTTGAGCTGTTATTGCAGCGCGATCGAAGAAGTTGTCCAATATTCGCTCGAGAACCCTCGCCTCTGGTAGTCCCTGTATTTCATTGTAGATCTTGGAGTACCTTTCATGACATCGAACTGCCTCATACAGCAATTGTGTCGAATGGCCAATGCCCCCGCATAAGACGAGGTACTTCGCGAGTGATGGTCGCAGCGTAAATGAGGCGAAGAGGGCGGTGGCTTGATCGAGTACAGCAGAGGCGCAAATAACGATACAGTCGACCGGATTGGCAGATGCAGGTGATAGGTCTTGCAGTTGGGCATCACTCAAAAATTTAGCCAGAAGATTGATATCTGTGGCTGTGGTATCATCTACCGGGGCCATGGTGTTGAAAGAAAAATGTATACGTTGTTAAGCTGCGTAAGGTGTAGGGATTTTGCCAGGATACTTTTTGCTAACGTTCGTGGCGTTGGGTGAGTCGAGGTTCGATAAAATTTCCCGAATGCAAAGTTCATGTTGTGATGCTCCGAAAAAGGAAGTCAACCCGGTGGAGCCCCTCATTTAATCAGAAACACTGACAACCCTCCCACTCGTACTTTCTCCCCCTCGTCCTTATCTTACTGAATGAGTTGGAAGTTTGAACCGAAAGAACATTTCTATCATGACATTTAAACGTTAAGCAAGTATCACATAAGGCTAAATAAGCAGAAAGATCCAAACCCCAACCATCAAACCTGACGACAATACTCTCGCCCATGTATCATTTGATACCTACAAAGCAAAACCTCCCAAGGCATACTCAAAAAACCGGCAATACAAATACCCGCAGAATCACTAACAGTCGTCGCACCGAGTGAGAACTCACGTTCTTCCTCGGGTACACGATCCGCGATTTCCGCAAAGGTATTCACGTAAACCAAACCGCCCAGCAAGCCCTCCCAAAATATGATAGCAAAGACGATATACACATTTGGTATATAGTTAAACAGGGAGTGAGTAGTCAGGATGGCTAGATTTACCATCTGCAGAATAGCGGGTAGGTAGAGATGATGGACGCGGAAGAAAGGCGTTGAGGAGCGAGAGATGAAAACGCCTACTTGGTAGATTGCGTTGTAGGCCGGATAAAAGGCGCGGAAGTTTTTGAATGGCGTTGTGTAGAGTGGGAATAGGAGGGTTGGAGAGACGCCTTGGTTGATCACGTACTCGGAGACGAAAACCACGAGGAGTGGGAGCATGCTATGACATAACCTCGTTAGACTCGAGATACGAGAAGGCAGGGTGAGGCCGCGGGGGTGCAGTATATAATATACTTACAATGGAAAGAAAAGTTTCCCTAGACGACGCAAGTTCATTCTCGTGCGCTCTGACCAAGTACTGTATTCCGTAGTATGCACCGATTTCAGGGTATCCGAATGCGCCGAAACAGCAAGAAGGCCCTGCGATTCTCCCGAGTCGTCTTGCTCATTGTGTCTATCTACGTCCATTTCATCATCATTGGGATGTTCATCTCTTTCAACCGCATAGTAAGACCCAGACCCTTCTGTAGCCGCCGAACCGGACGATTGTAAAGGCGCTCTGGGCAAAACAACGAAGAAAGCAAGAGCCATAACACTTGGCAAAAGCGCAGAGGCAAATAGAGTCACATGGACCGATATATTCAGGGCTGACGTCGCAAGGGCATATGCGCCAGCACCGACTAAGCCCGCGGCCCCGGTACCACTTCCCCAAGCGGCCAAGCTGAACGGTCCGTAGAAATGTGTCAGTCCGACGAAGCTAAGTTCGCCACCTCCAGCCGAGAGACTCGCCAGGATGATTCCTGCAACCTTGGATGCGATCGTTCCCCCATCTGTATAACTCGGGCTCATGGCCACGATGAGCATGCCGACGACTGAGAGGAAGACGAAGATCAGGACTCGGGTAGAGTATGGTACGAGGTGGATGAAGTACGGGGCGATCAGCTTGGTCGCGAAGGAGGGTATAATATCCGCCAGGAGGACGAGGCCTTTAGGGATATCGGGGCCGACGAGGTCGAGCGCTGCGGAGAGTAGAATCACATAGAGGACATTGTTGACCAGGCCTGCGAGTGGTTAGCAGGGTGCTTCTGTTGAAGTGCAGTTACGCATGATGGAACACCCACCGAATAGCCAGAAAGCAGCGCAGACCCGCGGGTCTGCGCCCCGGAAGACTCTCCTGAGTTTATCGCTCAAACGAGTCCACCGTGAAGATATTGAAGTGACGTCTGTGGCAGGTAAAGCGTCCTGGAGAGACGTGGGGCGAGGCATTTCCGGCAGGTGGTCGCGTGGGGGTAACGACTACGAGGAAAGAAAGAAAGAGAAAATGGGAATGGGAATATGAAAAGCCCTGGAGAGCAGCAGATTTCGTCTATGAGGTCAGTTTAGGGCCATGGTTGCGTAGCAGGGGGCCGTTGATCACCTCCCATAATCAGATATGATGAAGGAAAGCTGATCCACCGTCAAGCGGCGTGGTGATCCACCGCCAAGCACGGTTAACGCGTGTCGTCGGCAGTTCCACTCTGGGGGGGATACGAGTATACGTACGAGTATACGAATAATTAGACGGGGATGCTTAGATTTCGGATAAGATTAATCAATCAATAGATACTTTTTTTGATCTAAATACTCTATATGCACACGAGGTGCAACATTCTATCACACACTGGGAATATACGCTCGTCCCATGTTCATCAAAAAGGGAAAAAATGGTATATCAAACAAACGGGCCGGAGGCGGCATCCAAACCAAAAGCTCTACGCTAGGCAGACCTAGGACTTTGCCACAACGGAATCCAGAGCCTGCTCCAGAATGTTGAGGCCCGTCTTGATCTGCTCCTCGGTGATGGTCAGAGGAGGCACGAACCGAATGCAGCCATCACCAGCAGTGATAATCAGCATACCGCGCTCGCGGGCAGCAGTAATGATATCAGCAGCCTTAGGGGAGACAGCGGGGGTCAGCTGAAGACCAAGGATGAGACCACGACCGCGGACCTCCTGGATCGCATCAGGGAACTTCTTCTTCAGGGCATCGAAACCAGCGTGGAAGATGGCCGACTTTTCCTTGACAGCGGCTTGCAATTCAGGGTCGGCGAGACGAGCCACAATGTGGTAGGCCACACGGCAGGCCAGAGGGTTACCACCGAAAGTAGTTCCGTGGTCACCAGCCTTGATGTTGTCGGCGACCGTCTTGCTAGAAACAATAGTAGCACCGATAGGGATACCGTTACCAAGGGCCTTGGCGGAGGTCAGAATATCGGGGTGAGCAGCTTCACCGGAAGCCGGGGCCAGGGAAGGGTGGCCGTGGGCCCAGAGGGAACCAGTGCGAGCCAGACCACACTGAATCTCGTCGAAGATCAGGACAGCGCCGGTCTCGTCGCAACGCTTGCGCAGGGCAACCAGGAACTCGGGGGTAGCGACATTAACACCGCCCTCGCCCTGGATGGGCTCAACGATCACACCGCAGGTCTTATCGGTGATGAGTGTCTGCAGCTGCTCGATCTCGTTGTAGTCTCCGTACTTGAAACCGGGGATCATTGGCGCAAAGGGAGTCTGGTACTTGGGGTTCGGGGTGGCGGAGAGGGCGCCCATGGTGCGGCCGTGGAAAGAGCCGTTGAAGGAGACAAACTCGTGTTTGTCGCCGGAGGGATCCAGCGTGCGGCCGACCTTGCGGGCGAACTTGATAGCAGCTTCGTTGGCCTCGGTACCGGAGTTGGAGATGAAGACTTGGGAGGCATCGCGCATGGCACCCGACTCGCGGGTAAGGTTGATCAGCAGTTGGCTGAGGGCGCCGGTCCACGGGTTGTGATAGAGGTTAGAGGCATGGATGAGAGTCTCGGCCTAGGTTATAACAATGGCTCCTGGTCAGCAATGACTCTATACAAAACAATCATGACTCATTTTCGAATGCGCACCTGCTCTGCGACAATTTTGGCGATCTCAGGATCGCAGTGACCAAGAGAGTTCACAGCGATACCAGCGGTCAAGTCAAGGTACCGACGGTTCTCCATATCCCACAGGTAGCAACCCTGTCCCTTCATCATCATGGGAGCTGGGCGAACATAGGTCGGCACCATGAACGGAGCCCGCTCATTGACGAACTTGACTGTGATCGAGTCGGAGGTAGGGTCGGGGTTTGGCAGGGAGCCATTCTTCTGCTTGACTGTTAGTTAGATCTGAACATGAGAGCAAGACCCAAGCGCAATATGTTGGTGAATTGCAGCAATTGCGCCTACCTTGGTCTGAGCCTGAGCAGCGCTGGTAGCTGCAAATCGGCGCTGTAGCGGGGACTCAACCGAAGCGACCAGCTTAGAGGCGCGAGGGAGACGGCGCGCAGCCACACGGAGAGCAGACATGACCACGGTGGTTATAAACGGAATTGGTCGTGAAAGTCCGAGAGGGAGAGGAAGAAGGGAGGGAAGGTTCAAGTCCAGTCGAGTCGAGTCATTCACAAAAAAAGGCGATGTCGGCGACGATCGGCTTTAGTCAGGCCGGATCGGCGCCACTCCCGAAGCGCCCCTCGCGACTCTTCCTCTTCCTCTTCTCATTTGCAGAGCAAATCCCTCTTCTTCACTTATTCCCTCGTCCCTCTGGTCCGATTCCATACGACCGATTTCCATAAAAAGTCCCTCAATAATTTAATTCGCCATGGCCTCTTTCATGCGCCGCACGTTTACCCTCCCCTCCGCCTCCAACCGGCTCGCCATCCGTCCTCTATCCACTACCCGCGCATTGCGCAATTCGCAGGACGACAGACCTTCCTTCGGATTCAAGAGTGGCCCGGCCCCTCCTCGTCTGCCTAAGGAGGAACAAGAGATCTTCGAAGAGCTTCAGCGCCGTTCCACAGGTGCTTTCACTACGCCCCAGGTCAACCAATCTCCCCAAGCCGAGGCCAAAGTCAACAGCAATGGCGAGGAGCTGCACCCGGATGCAGTCAAGGGTATCAAGCCTGAGTTCGAGGGCGAGAAGAACCCCAAGACGGGAGAAGTTGGTGGACCCAAGAATGAGCCACTGCGGTGGGGATCTGGGGGAGATTGGAGCTATGGTGGACGTGTGACTGACTTCTAGTCGGATGTTACATGGTGTCGACTTGCATACAGCTGGCGTTGGTTACTTCTTTCCCCACTCTCGCTGATCATATTTGACTGCATATTGTAAATGGTTTGATCAATTGATTTACATATAATGGACTCAACTGGAATCCGAATTGTCCTGTCCATGTCACAAACACGGCTTGTTTCTCGCGAGATTGTTGCATGTGGTGGTTGTATTCTGAGACGAAGGGTGAAATATTTGCCGGGATGAAATCGCGCGGGAACTTGAAATGGCTACAAATTATGGTAGTGACAGAACGCCTGCTCTTCAAATTTTTGACAGCCGACCCAAGGTTGCCTTGCCCGCGCGACTATCATTGATGCGGCCCAGCTCACCACTGATCCATGACCCGATCTGCGACATTTCCTCCAGACTGATACCCGTATGCATTCCCAGGCTGTGGATGGTATGGATAAGATCCTCCGTGGAGACATTGCCAGTGGCACCCTTGGAGTACGGGCATCCTCCCAGACCTCCAACACTGCTATCGAAAATGCGGACACCATGCTCCAGTGCGACAATCGTATTCACCAAGGCTTGTCCGTAAGTGTCGTGGAAGTGCAACGCCAGGTCAGTGTTGGCAATCCCCGCAGCCTTGAGAGCTTTCAGAAGCTCTACGGTTCGGGGTGCCGTTCCCATGCCGGTGGTATCGGCCACCGAAACCTCATCGGCGCCCATCTCCAGGAGGGTTGCCGTGATATCTGCCACCTTGGTTGGGCTCACCTCGGGGCCTTCGTAGGGGCATCCGAGAGCAACTGATACATAGCCGCGAACTCGGATATCTTTTGTCTTGGCTAATGCGACGATTGGCTTGATCCGCTCCAGGGACTCAGCAATTGTACAATTAGTATTAGCTTTAGAGAAAGCTTCTGTGGCGGCTGCAAAAAGGGAAATTTCGGTGGTGGTAGCGGCTTTGGTTGCCGAGCCCGGTGCATCGGCAGGAACGCCAGTGGAGTCCATGATCTTCACCAAGCTTTCCAGTCCCTTAATGTTGGGGACAAGGTAGTTGTATGCGATTGTTGTATTATGAGATGAAGGCGGAGATGTGAGAAGATGCTCGCAGATTTCAGCCGTGCTTGCCATCTATGATTCCCATACAGATCAGATCAGTCAACTCAAGTTGAAGCCCATCCCCTCATATGACCGAGATGCGCCGAGAGCTATATATACCTGTGGTACCCATTTGGCGGGGACAAATGAGCCTGCCTCGATGGTAGTGACACCTGTCTTGGCCAATTTCTCGATCAATTCCAGTTTTGTTTCCTTTGGAATAGCCTTTTTTTCATTCTGTAGACCATCACGAGGGCCAACCTCGACGATGCGAACATGGTCCGAGGCTAACCGCGACTCGGTCGCAAAGCGACGAGTAGATAGAGGTACCCGGAAGGTGGACAGCAGACGTAAACGGGAACGAGATGCCATTGTGGAAGGTCAGGTATGCCTATTATAGCCAGGGAGTAGAGAAGGAAACCAGCAGTAGAGTGGGAGTAGAGAGTAAGTAGGAGTAAGTAGGTCAGAAGTCGAAGAAGAGTGGGTGGCATCACCTCCGCATCTGTTGGAGAGCGCCTTCCCTTTCTTGGACTAGCGTTATCAGCCCCACCGCAAAAAATGAAAGCCGCGGGGTTCCTTTGCGATCATCCCACCTCCAATATCAATATTCACATTGTCATTGGCATTGACATTGATTCGATCATGGAGGATCCTACAACCCAGACAAGTCCTTTGCGACAGCCAAAAAAGCGTTTTGTTGGTCGACGCACAGCAGATGCTCAGGCTCAGAAGGATGGAGGCTCCGGTTCCCAGCAGGATGTAGAGTCTACATCTGTCCAGCGAGGTATGAAGGATCTGTCGGGACTATATACCCTGACCTGTGATTCACTCTTACTAACATCGGATTGCCTTTAGCCGCTCCACGACGTACCCCTCGAACCCTGAACCAAGTTCCGCCTGAGATCCTGAACGACCCGGAAATCCAAGCAGCCATCGAATTACTTCCCAAGAACTACTCCTTCGAAATCCCCAAGACCATTCATCGTGTGCGCACATCCGGAGCGAAACGGGTGGCTCTACAATTTCCTGAAGGTCTTTTGATCTTCGCTACCACCATCTCCGATATCTTGACGCAATTTTGTCCCGGAATCGAGACTTTGATCATGGGCGATGTCACCTACGGTGCTTGCTGCATTGACGATTACACCGCGCGAGCGCTTGGCTGTGATCTGCTAGTCCACTACGCGCATAGTTGCTTGATTCCCGTTGATGTCACCAAGATCAAGACCCTCTATATCTTCGTCGATATCAGTATCGATACTGCCCACCTGATCGCAACTCTTGAGCGAAACTTCCGGCCCGGCCAAACTATCGCTACAGTGGGCACCATTCAATTCAACGCAACTCTCCACGGCCTCAAACCAGTTCTAGAGCGTGCCGGCTTCAAGGTTGTGGTCCCGCAGATCATGCCACTCTCTAAGGGCGAAATTCTAGGCTGCACATCGCCTCAGCTTTCCGACACCGATATCGATGTTATTCTCTATCTCGGCGATGGTCGCTTCCATCTTGAATCCGCCATGATCCACAACCCCACCATCCCTGCATACCGCTACGATCCTTACTCCCGCACCTTGACCCGTGAGAGCTACGATCACCAAGAGATGCACACCATCCGACGCGATGCCATCAACACTGCCAAATCTGCCAAGAAGTGGGGGATTATTCTGGGATCACTGGGTCGTCAAGGAAACCCCAATACAATGGCGATGATTGAACGTCATCTTGCGGAGCGGGGCATCCCAGTGGTGAACCTGCTGCTGAGCGAGATCTTCCCCGGCAAGCTTGCGTCAATGGCTGATGTCGAATGTTGGGTTCAAATCGCTTGCCCGCGTTTGAGTATCGACTGGGGATATGCCTTTGCGCGCCCGTTGCTGACACCCTACGAAGCACTGATTGCATTGGGTGTTCGTGAGAACTGGGACAAGGCGAACAAGGGTGTCTACCCGATGGACTTCTATGCCAAGGAAGGTCTCGGTCGGACGAAGCCGGAGCAGCCCGCTTGCAGTGCCGCTTAAGCGGTTCATGAGTTCAGCGTTGGATGCATTTTAAAGAATATCAAAAAGTATATACCCCGGGATAGAGCCCAGCAGGTCTGGCCAATTGGAAATAAACAAAATAGAATCTACATCACATATTTCTTAGTCTCAATGCACCACATGCATCTCAATCGCATTAGTAAGAGCTTGCTTCGCTTCATCGAGGTTGAATTGGTGCATCGGCAGCTCTGTCCAGAGGCTCTCTTGAGCAACGCCTTACCAGATCATAGATTCTGTGCCAAATAGCACATTCCACCCCATCTTTTCGCAGCGATTGAAGAAGTAGGCCCGAGGATTAGGATGATAGCACATCTCCAGAACAAATCCTTTTTCTTCCTTCGCCAAGAAGACATCCACAATATCACTCGCGAGAACCTCGCCCTTTTCTTTCGGGGTAATATCCGGCACCGTCCCAACAATGAGAGCCGGTGCTTCCAACACAGCTGCCTCGGCGATGGTCGAAACAAACATCAATTTAGCATTCAATCCAGTACTTTCAAAGGAGATTATAATATCCCGAACCTCATCTCAACACGGTTCACCATGTAGATTTTGCTGACGCCCATCCATTTTGAAAGGGCATAAACGGCCGCCCTACAAGCTCCCCCACCACCAATCACCAGAGCCGGTCTTTCGGATGACTGCGCAAGAAGCTGAGAATAATTCCGAAGAAAAGCTTCCCGGATCCCACTGGTGTCTGTGTTCGTACCAATATATCTGGTCTTTCCATCTTCAGCCCTGCGAAGGAAAATGTTATTGATAGCCCCAACCATGCGCGCTTCTTCGGTCAGCTCATCTACGGCGGACAGCATGGTGACTTTATAAGGCATGATGACGGCGCAGCCAATGACGCCTGATTGTTTCAGCGCAGGAAGAACTTTGTGGTGTCCTTTGTCTCTAGCAAGGAAAATGTCCACGATACGTCCACTCCCCGAAAAAGATGCCCATGGAGTAGGGGTGCCAGAAAGTGGCTGATTGGTGGCCGAAGAGAAAGGCCTTCATCTGGGCGTTGTGTCTTGAAGGGAGATCCATATTTGTATGATGCTGCCAGGATATCGGCTGAGCTTGATACGGAGACCATGTTTCGAGAAGAGGATTGAAGAATATTTGCATAATATGTGGGTGTATGCTCGATGGATAGTTAGTGCAGATCGACGAGTTTGAACAGGTCGAAGGCGTATTTAATCACTCAACTGAACGACGATCGCCTGTTAGCTCCTTGCTACCATGCAGTGGGTTTCGGCCACGAAAAAGACTGATGCCGCCAGCCATTAATTCCGACGGCCCAAGTTCGATGAAAAGGTATACGAACACGTCGAGCGAGAGTTTATCTACTCACTATACACTCAAGAGAACCAATAAAATTTCACAGTATGTCTATTGGTATACTTCATCCAAAGCTGAAAACCCCTTAGCTATTTACAACAATCCAGCCATCTCTTTTCTCGCTTTCTCTCGCTCGTGCTCAGCAACAGCTTCAACCATTTTCTCCCTGGGTGGCTCAAGACCAGTCCAGAGACCAAACTGATCATATCCTTGCGCGAGCAGAACCTCTAATCCTGTAACAGTTTGCCACCCTGTGTGTCTCTGGGCAACTGTTAGGAGCGGCGTCTGCCTAGGCTTGTACGCCATCTCGATACAAAGGCCTGAAGAGCCAAATATCCCAGAGAATTGATCCTCAGTCGTAGCAGTTGCAGGCACAGTCCCGATAATTACATGCGGCATGCGAGGCAACTCTTGTAGATTCGGGAGTATAGTAATTTCAAAGGCAGGCTTGAAATCCTCCTTAACCTTTTCAGCCACGGACTGTGTGCGATTGACTAGGTAGATGTGCTGAATACCTGCTCGATGCAATGCATATAAAGCAGCTCTGGAAGCACCTCCGGCACCGATAACCAGTCCGACAGTCGATCTCTGGGTTGCCACCTTAGAATAATCCGTGATGATGGTGTGTAGTCCCGACCAGTCGGTATTATCACCAATTACCTTGCGACCATCGCTAGTGTTTTTGATAACCAGTGTGTTGATTGCTCCGATCAATTTGGCAATGTCCGTCTGATCGGTACAGTATTTGTGGACGTGTAATTTGTGTGGCATGGTCACACTTGCACCGCCTAGTTTCTCATCGGAAATCAAGTCTGCCACGTCCTCGATGCTAGGTGATTCGCGGATATCGTATGTGAAGGGTAGGCCATAATGTTGGAAACCAGAGTTGTGAATGGTAGGTGAAATGCTGAATGAAATGCCACTGCCAAATATGTGGAAGGATTTGGGGGAGTGCTTGTTCGTCGAGGCCATTGAAGAGGTGGTTGGTTCGCAATGCTGGGAGTAGATTTGGGATTTTGTGAATGGATGGTATACTCTCACTTGAGTTTTCGATATCTTTTTTTATTTCTTCTCAACATAATCGTGATCTAAGTAATTGGTTACAGCTTCGGTTATGGATTTAGCCTTCCTTCGATGGTGTGCGCAACGGCACACCGGTCCGAACCAGATAAGACTCACAGGATATGATTTAATCCGTCTCAAAATATGACATTTTAGGTGAGTGAGGGGCATTGCCTTCAGATATAATTCCGAATTTAAACAAAGGATATCTTCAAGAGTTTCTCAAGTCGAGCCTAGTCCACATCAAAAATGGCACAACAAGAAATGACCCTCCATCTTGTTGGGATTGGTGTTACGCATTCTATTGCACCAAATATGCACAACTATATCGCCAAATCTCTCGGTCTGCCTTGGACATTCTATGCGACCGAATGCGCGACCACAGAAGAATTGCTCAATCTGGCCCGAAACCCTAAAACCACTGGTCTCGTTGTTACAATGCCCTACAAGGGCTCGATCATGGAGCACCTCGATGAGCGTGACGAACTCGCGTCCATAATTGGGGCATGCAATAATGTGTACTACAAGACCGATGGCTCTAGGCAAATCTATGGTACCAACACAGACTGGAGGGGAATCAAGGGCTGTCTGCTAGAGAAAGGCGAAGAGAAGACCAGACCTTCTCCAACATCTCCAGCATCGGCTTTGATCATCGGTGCTGGTGGAGCAAGTCGTGCGGCTGTCTACGCTCTCAGCGAGCATCTCTATTGCCCAACGATCTATGTCTTGAATCGCGACAATGAAGAGGTGGTGAACCTCATTCGTGATTCAAAGAAACTCCCCAATCCTCCCAGCATCGTTCATGTCAAAACGATCGCACAGGCCGAGAAGCTACCAAGCCCTTACTACATTGTTGGCACGGTTCCTGATCTTGAGCCTAAGACAGAAACCGAAATCGAAGTCGCTTCCATTATGAAGCATTTCCTCTCCCGGCCGAAGAAAGGAGTCTTGTTAGACATGTGCTTCAAACCGAGAAGAACCCGGATGATTAAGTTGGCAGAACAACTTGAATACCCTAGTGTTGAGGGTACACATGTCATTGGATATCAGATCGAGGAGCAATGGCGCTTGTGGGCCGGAGAGGAGGCTTGTCAGAAGTTGGACAGAGAGGGTGCCTGGGAGGTCCTACTGAAGGCTGCGGAAGAAAGCAAGGGGATCAATTTTTAATGTACTACCATCTATCCTTAGGAGATAACCCACTATTCTTTTGGCAATCATAGAGTGAATTTTTTCATTTTGAGAAAACACTAGGCAGTCCACTAGCCGTCGTCTTGAATGTATTTGACATTTTATTGATAAACATTGCAGGTGAACGGCAATTTTACACAATCTAATTTTCAATGCCCAGTTTCATCGATCAACATCCCTCGGATGCGGGGGTGGCGTCGGTAATGACCTTTGCCGACACCGGATGATCCGACCGGATTACCCGCCCTTAATATCATATTTAGGAACCATGAGATGCACACGATTAGGGGTAAGACTATAGACTGAATTTTTCGTCAAACAAAATGGTTGATTTACACTCTTTGCCCGAGGGCACTTGGCCCGAAAACGCTATCCGCAACAACGGCCCGGACAGCCTAGTACTCGAGCGAGCCAAGCTGCGTGAACTTGCAGAGGGATGGCCTTGCTACCGGTATGTATTCAGCTTTTTCTATCTGATTTGAGCTCTTTGGCTAATTTTATTAGTGATTCATGTGAATGGGAGAATTTCGAATCGATCTTTCACAAGGATGCCCATGTGTATACTACCTGGTCCGGCCGCGTTCACTACAAGGATTTCATGGCCGCCTCCAAAGCGGGTATGGACAAAGGTGCTTTCATTATGCACCGCTGCCATGGAGTGACAACAGATATCACACCCGATGGAACTCGTGCAGTGACCAAAATGAAGGCGACCATCACCCAGCGATTCACCATCGACGGCTGCGAGGTCGACGCCGAAGCTGATTGTCGGTTCTGCTTTTTCTTTGAAAAGGTTGATGGGCGCTGGGGTGCTCAGTTTGTTCGACATTGGTATGAGAAGGATAAGCTTCTGCCAGTGAACCCGAACAAGATTCCCAGAATACACGAGGAAAAGCTCAACTCTTATCCCGAGGGATACAAGTGTCTAGCGTATTGTCAGGAGCTCACCATGGGTGTTACTGTGCTGAAGAATATGCCCGGACATAGGCGACATGTTGGAACTGTGTGCGGGGAGAAGCATGATCTTTTGTACAGACTATCTAAGGACTGGCTGGATGGAAAAAGCATTGATGTATAGATTTAGCTTGAGGGATAAATTCATTAATAACAACGGTACTTGCCTTTGGTACACATACCATTTGATAGGATTCCTAGTTGATCATATCTCTAGTTCAAGTTCAGTCTCTCTTGGAACTTCTCCCAGGACAGGATACCCCTCGCTGCGTGTTGATCCGGTACCTGTTTCCCTTCCTCCGCCATGGTTCTCGAAAACAATTCCATAGACACGTAACCGCTATACCCAAGACCCGATATAATCGCCTTAGCCACATCCTCCGCAGGCAAGTAAGCACCTCTTTCCTCTTCATACATGAAAGTTCTGGCGTTCCGCGACCAGCTCATTCGAGCTGGTTGACCATCAACGTGGAACGGATGACCAGATACCAGGGGTGATTCCATGCGCTCGGCGTCGACTACTTGGATATAGAAGACTTTCGAAACGTCGACCTCTTTCACGAGTTTCTCCAATGAAAGTTTAAAATTCTCGTCCGCATTTGGCGTTTTGCCTGTCGGTGAAGCAGGATCGGCCCATTCACGGCCAGCAATATTGAAAGTATCTAGACACATGCCGAAGTTGGGCCGGTCGACGCGTTTGACAATATCCCATGTTTTCTCCCAGGTATCGATATGGGTGCTCCAGCAGAGATTTTCATAGGCAAATCGAACTGGGGGGTTTTCAGCCGCACCCATGTCCGCGACTTGGCGCAGGTCAGCGGTAATCACCTCTCGGTCGCCCGTCAATTGCTCCGCCGGTAGGAAATTTGCCGGGATCTGGATGGTATTGGTTCCAAGAGCTTTTGCGATTTTGAACCAGAGCTTCAGTTTCTCGATCAAACGTGCATGTTGGTCTCTGTCCTTGAGACCTTCGTAGAATAGGAACGGCTGGAGGCCGATGATCTCAAGACCTTGGGCTTGACAACTCGAATGTACATTTTCTGATGCTTGTAGAATATGCTCGGATGTTGGATAGTCGTTTCCTGAGAGCTTGCGAGCAGCATAATCCAGATCTTCGTAAAAGACTTCAATGGCTTTGAACCCCGCTTTCCCGGCTTGCTCGATTTTGTAATCGAGGTCGTGCAGCCAAGCACGTCCGAGGGACGCACTCATGATGGCTGGCTTGTATTCCATATTGTATAGTAAGTATTATCGTTATAGAGAAATGTTGGATGGCAATCAAGTGATGGATTGCCACCAAGATCGTACATAACACCAAGATCGTACTTAACGTCATGTTCTGTAAAGGCTAAATTCTTAGCCTATTCATCCTCCCGTCAAGATCTCATCCGTATTCTCAGGTCTATTAGGTTCAAAATACTACTGTTAGTCTCGGATACCCGAGAACCGTTAAAATTGTGTATTTGTCTTGTAGTGACCTAGATTCGACAATCAATCTTCCGTTCTACGAAGCACCTGATGTCGGAACTTGATAGTTTGATTCTTTTTCTGCTTTCATGGGTAGTGCCATTAAAATTGAAAACATTATTACTCTGCTATATATAAACAGTGATATTCGCACAACTGCATCGATAAAAATATTATTGATGGACGAATCCATATTTGAGGGACTGCTCCTGAATAACCCGCCGCATTACATGAACAGGCGCAGGCCTCTTCGTGAATAATTCATATTGAGCAATACCCTGCTCGATCAAAACCAACAGGCCGCTCACAACAACCCATCCCTTAGATGCACGTGGCAGCATTTGCTCCATGAGTTGTGTCTTGAAAGGACCATATGCAACCTGTACTAGTCAGTATCCGACCCAACTCATCACAACGGAAAAACATACCTCAACAAAAACGCCACCTGTTCGGCTCTCCAGCCATTCATCCGGGATTTGGAAAACGACAGGGTGCTGTTCACTGCCGATTTGGAAGGGAGGGATGCAGGGAACGACGATGGTTGGCAAGCGAATATCAGATGGCCAGGGATCCGTTGAGCGGAGAACATCAACCAGCAGGTTGACCCCAGCCTTAGATTGTGCCCATTCGTTCCAATAATCAGCAAGCTTTTGCGCATTTTCGTGGGTGCGGTTATAGATGCAGATTCGTCGAACGCCGAGTTCGTAGCAAGCATATATCGCTGCGCGGGCCATTCCTCCTGCACCGACGATCAAAGCTGTGGTCCCGTCTCGAACAGCATTCGCGGGAGAGAGGTGTTTGTCGATACAGTCTCTTATTCCAATATGATCTGTGTTGTACCCTCTTCGAATAGTGACTCGTGAACCATCAGGTTGATAAATTTGCTCAAGGACAACAGTATTGACTGCTTGCATGTCCTTAGCGTCTGGCGTGATCTCATCGATGAATGGCAGAACAGCAGATTTGAATGGAAGAGAAATGGTGATACCACCACGATCCTTATCACTTAGAAGTTGATTAACAGCAGATATGTCGTCAGCTTGCGTAGTGTCATATGTATGCGGAAGCCCGCTGTACTCATACGCTGCATGATGCATTTCTGGTGAGAGACTGTACTTGACGCTCTGACCAAAGATCGTGAACTTCTTCCTAGGTAGTAGAAAGAGTCCTGCCATTGCAAGCTGTGCTTTCTGGAGAGTTACTCCGTCGTGTTTCGTAGATGGTAGCATCACAGGTGAGAGAGTAGGATTTAGACATATTGAGGCTCGACCGAGCGATCCGCTATTGTATGCGATAACAGGTAAATTGATCAAATCTGTAGCCTCTTGAATAAATGAAACACACTGTAGATTGCCATCAGGAAACTGAGATTCACCAGTGAGGCGGATCGCATCCAGTTCAAATTGTCGTGTCTTTTCATGAAGGGCAGCGGGGGTAATTGATGCGTGGCGTGAGCCGACAGGGAGCTTATCGTGAAGACCACCGATAATTTTTGTATATCCCTTGGAAGCATTCAATTTTTGTACAACCTTTTTATCGCATTCGAGTGATATTATAAGTGCCTCTGGGGCAAGGCGAAGAAGCATTCCAAGGACTTGGTTGTAGTTTCTAGGGTCCTGCGGACTCGCAGAAAGTCCCTCTGCATCGATGATAATTGCAACACGTGAGTGCTTCCGAAGGGTTGCAATATGTCGTGACAGTCTAGCTGCAAGCCTAGCAGGATGTATTTCGTGAGGTGTCACCACCAGGGTGATGGCATCAGCGCCACTTTCCAGGAGTTCCAATTCTGGAGAATTGTCTTCAAGCCAAGATGAAAGTACTTCCAGGGAAAATGTGTGCGATGCAGAGAAGGGCTCTGATGAGAAGGTTTGCGGAATATATGATCCAAAGATGCGACGTAGAAACGTCACAAATAAGCGCTCCGTTTCCTTGAGCTTAAGGTAGGCAGGAACTGACTTATGCTGAGGTAGACCTTGAGTGAGGTTAAAAAAGTCAAAGTTGGAGCACGACTCGAAGAAGTCATTCCCTAGCTCGAATATTCGGTCGAATTTCTGTTGACTTGTCGTGACGAATTGTCGCAAGTCTTGCTCATCTCGTCTCACATAGACAACAGGGTGTTGTTGGGCAAACTCCGCCAGCAGCGTTAGCTGAGGACGACTTGCAAATGCTCCAAGGCCAACAATAACACAATTCTTCTCATTGTTGGAGAGTAGTTCCCTCGAGATCTTGAGTTCGATATCGCGATATTGCGCGAGTCCGTGACGTGCTATGAATTCTTGTGGCGAAGACTGAACTTGTTGTTGAAAATATGAATCAAAATCGATGAATCGACGCCGCAGCGCAACCGATGCTATGATTCCCAATGTTCTTTTGCCAGCCCCGAAAAAGCCCACTAGTAGCAGTGTAGAATGTGGATCATAGTGCCGGCGAAATCTCAGAGCCTCATCCGCAAGCCCTAGATGAGGGTTGCCGGGCTTCCCATGAGTTGTCGAGCCAGCGACGGTGCTCATTTCGATGGAAGTGTCTTCTAAATGCGTTCTGTAGCTAAGCAGGGCGAATCGAGATGACCTTTGAACGTACTTGCCATCGCTTTGCCGTTGAAGTCGAAAGCCGCTCATCGCCGGTTAAAGTCAAGCCGATCACATGACCCGTTGCCACTTTGGATCGCAGAGCTTCACGACCGTCGGAAATAGGTTTATTTCACTATTGAAATGCATTAAAATGTCGGGCCCACGTCCGCCGAAACGGCAACGCATTTACCGCGCCTGCGACCAGTGCCGTCGGCGTAAATCCAAGTGTGATGGAGAACAGCCCGTTTGCTCCATCTGCAGCCAGGCTAATCGGGCCTGCACCTATGAGACCGGCGGGGGCCGACGAGGGCTTCCATCTGGCTATGTACGTAGCCTAGAGATTACCCTGGGTCTGATCTTTCAGCATGCTCCGAATAGTCAGAATACAGTGCAGAGTGTACTTCGAGATTCACGAGGCCAAGGCAATTTCCTGACGAGCAAGCTTGCAAAACGCTCTGTCTCAGTTTGGCGAAAATCTAAAGCATACCGAGACCTGTCACAGCTGATTTCACCAGGGTCTGAAGATGAGGTTCTTGATGACTCTGAGTGGGAGCCCGTGGAGCTCGCGGAGTCCTGGGATAATGACGAGACTATGGCGGATCTTGATAGTGCACCATCAAATCCAGAACCCCATAAGCCCGGGATCATTCAAAAGCTACCAAACGATGCTTCACGGTCGCATATATTCATGAATGTGCAACTGCCAGATAGAACATCCGATCTCGTCGACTTTTATTTCACCTACACCCATTGCTGGTTCCCAATCCTCGAACGTCGTTCGGTTTTACGTGCGATGCATTTGGGCAATGACAATAGCAAGGGAAATGATCAAGGAGACTTGTCATCCAAAATGGTGCTTTGGTCTCTTGTCGCATATACATCCGCCATGCGAGGGGATGCTCAACCCGCAACACCCAACTTATTCACTCTTCAACTCGCCATTGAGCAGCAAGCATTGATGCAGTGGGAAGCTTTGGACCTAGGGTATATCCAGGCGATGCTCATTCTTATATTGATGCATGTAGCCATGGGAAATATCAATCAAGCATGGCCATTAGTTGCAAAAGCATCGAGAATGCTGGTGACCTTGCCATTGTCAGCGAGGAAGACTCGTTTCAACCACGTTTTCAATGGATGTGTCCTTCTGGACAATATGCTATCAACACTTCTGGATCGAGCTCCCTGCCTTTCTCGGGAGGAGCAATCAATGTATGGCCCAATAGAGGAAGACGATTTGGAAGAGTGGGATGTATGGTCACCATCTCGGCCTGGGATGGATGAAGAGAGACATAGGATGCCTGCAGCGCCCTTGAGAGCATTAAGCATATTCAACCACATTCAGCAGCTCATGCAACAACTATCTCGGGTCTTATACCAGCCCTTGGATCCATCCAGGATTGAAAGTCTCTTAAATGATCTACGAACAAAACAGAATATTATTTCACGAAGCCACCCATACGACCGACAAAATTATGCCACCCCTTCGCTCTTGAATCTCTATCTCGTCTCAGGTTTCACAACGCTTGCATTCTGTGGCAGATTTGAGCCGGTCTCATCTGCGACTGAAGATTCATGTGCACATACAATTCACCATATACTTGACATTCTGGATCATTATCGTGAGATGACCGGGACAACAGGGTCATCACCCCTCACCCTTTGCTTCGCAATGCAGTGCCAAAGGTCCCTGGCGATTGGAAACTTGTCCGATACCCAATCCCTTCAAAATCGAATCTCCAGCTTCCTGCACCCTCTCAAGCCAATCGGTCTTCCCGAATGGAAGAACAAAATCTCACGTCCAGCCCTCCCCATCCCATCTCTCGAACGAGAACACCAACCACCTGTTGACCTTGAAATTCCACTATCAATTCCCGCATTAACGGGGTTCTCAAATTCAACCCCACCACCTTTCATACCTCAACAGTCCGAACCATCCTCAGTCATGAATCTCCCAACGATCCCATCATCCAACGAATTCCCATCACTGCAGTCCCTAGGCGGAACCGGCGATGCAGAGATGTACGACGCACTCTTCGAGGAAATGGTCACTTCATTCCCAGCCAGCAGGTATGTCTCTTCAGCAAGCAATACTTTCACTTTTAAAGTGACTAATAACAACCACTAATAATATCCAGGCAAGAGCCCGCATTCGCGCACAATCTCGGCTTCTACGATGGAGACCTGGACACGGATTTCCTCGCCCAGCTGCAACATCCACCAATGAGCTAAAGTAAAGCTCTCACCATGGCCATTCATCTTCTCATACGACTCACGATCAGCCCATACAATGACCTGCAATTCACCTACTTGCTCTGGTTATGAATAGTTAGCTCCAACTTTGGATACACATATTATGTAATGCACATATACCCCGTCGGCTAAGTCCACAACCGACCTAACAACTCGAACCACTCCCAGAACATAAACACTATAAATACAAAAAGGCCATCCCATAGTTACTACTAGTCAACCAAAACCCATATATCATCACCAACAAATCAAACCCAACTTGAACTTGAACCCCCCTCATCCTCCACCAAAATGTCAATCCTCCTCCTAAACGGCTCAAACCTAAACCTCCTCGGCACCCGCGAGCCGCACATCTACGGCAACAAAACCCTATCAGATATCGAAACGGAGGTCACAGAACTAGCCTCAACAAAGGGTGTAAAACTCCAAACCTTCCAATCAAACCACGAAGGCGCAATTGTGGATCGAATCCACGCCGCACGAGGAAATACCGATGTTATCCTCATCAATCCAGGCGCATTTACACACACCAGTGTTGCGATTCGTGATGCGTTGCTAGGTGTTGAGATTCCGTTTGTTGAGATTCATCTTTCGAATGTGCATGCTCGTGAGCAGTTTCGGGCGCATAGTTATCTTTCGGATAAAGCGAGGGGTGTTATTGTTGGATTGGGGGCGTATGGATATGAGGTTGGGGTTGAGTTTGCTGTTAGGGAGGTTATTGAAAAGAAATGAACCTACTCAGGGGCTAAGGTTGACCCTGGAGGTGCACTCGGAATTGATTCAAGTTTTCTCTATAACGAGGGCAAAAGCTCATTATACCGTGGTGCACTGGCAGGGGCTGTATACATTCGGGGAGTGTGGAAATGGTAGTTTGTGGTACATATTATTGCATATAGCTGGTAGATCAAGTCTGCCGGCGGTTCTGGTATTCATTCGTTGAGGTTTCCTAGTAAAAACAGATTCATAGTATACATGGTTGATGGTGACAAGAACTGGTCCAATATAATCCAGTCAATCACCCCTTGGCATCATCGGCGCTGTCCGTGTTGAAGTCGCTGGCACTACCTCGCCTCAACGACAGCACGTTCTTGTATGCCAATTCATCGGCCGTGCGCTCGGCGGCACGCCATCGAGTCACGGCCTGCTCGACATCCTTGAACATGTCCTTTGAGTCTTGGATGATACCGCCCTCTTCCCCGTCACTCGACTGCGTGCTCTCGCGGGAACCACGCTCGCTGATCATCGGAAAACCAGGCCCGAAGCCTCGCTCCGGAACGGGATTGTACATGATTGCATTGGCGAACATTCGTACAAACTCCTTCTCCAATTGAGCAGAGTTGACAATACCCTTTGGAGGAAGGAGGTCTTCGCTCTTCTGGAGCATGAGAACATTGTTCTTAGTGGGCGTTCCGGAGACCGGTGCCGGAGATTCGCTATCGCCTGCACCGGCCGGAGTGCTGACGGCTTCGGTTGCAGCGGCCACGGCTTTGCTTCCTTGGTGAACAGCGGATTTGATGGTTTTAAGGTCTTGCGGGCGATAGATCAGGTCGTGGTAGCCGGGTGCGTCGCGCTCTCCGAGCGGCTTGGCAAAAATGGAAGCTAGCTTATGAGTAGTCACATCGTTCAAGATGGGAGCCGCGGTTCGATGGAAACCGCGTGTACACACCACATATCGAGATGTGTCTACCTTGGGCTCTTCGAATGATTCACTCAGGCCGCGTTTGCGCTTGGACCGTAGCTTGGGGGTTGACTCGTCAACACTTGGAGCAGCACCACTGCGGCGTCCCGGTCGAGAATCACGTCTTGTGTTCGCTGTTGGAGACGCGTCACGCGAGGCCACAGAACGCCCCCCGGCTTTGTGAGGACGCTGAGCTAATCGCACGGTTTCTCCGATTGGCCGATAGTCGTTCAGTTTTGATGGTCGGGGTAGACTTGTCACCGGTGGCTGCTTGGCTTCGTCTCGTCTTCCTTTCCCGTGTGCGTGAGGTGTCAAATGCCTCGGGGGATGAACCCCTCTCACTTATCGGGCTAACATCCTCCGGCCGTGGTCGAGGTGGGGACGTTGGGGAATGTGGGATACTGAGACGAGGAGTCCGCTTCCATGGAGTAGACGAGCCGGGGGTGTCGATAGATAGCCGTGGACGAGAAGCTCGAGCCTCGGAGAACGGGGGAATAACCACACTCGGGGTCTGCGAAATCCGTGGATAGCCTATTGGCACAGGCGTTTGCGCATCTGAGGGCGCTGCACCTGGCGTGCTTGGGACGTTGGAAGAGACGGAGGTCTTGGAGTGTTTCCGTGATGGGACCTGGGAGGGAGGTTGAGGTTGTTTGGCACCCGCGGGACCAACGTGAGAAGTAGCGGTAGGAGAGACGGCGGAGTAAGGGGAGTGAGGAGGAGGATCAAGCTGCCATTGCTGAAAACTCGATTGGGTGGGAGTTGGTTCGCCGCCCACCTTGGTCAAAGGTGTGGGGATGTTCGGCCGCGGGGCAATTTGTGATGGGTGAGGTACTGCAGTTGGTGGCGGTACTGTTGGTGTTCCAGGACCCGGCTGTTGGGTTCGAGGGGCGAGAGGTGGGGGAACGGGGACTTGCGAGGGCTTTGAATCACTCGGTTGCCCTGGCGGAGCGGCTTTGTCTTGCGCGACTGATTCTTTCAAAGCCACCACTGTCGCATTGCTGCTAGGATGGACATTTGCAGGCTGCGGTTTCCCTACCACCTCACTCGCACCATGCGACACATCCTCCGGTCCCTTATGTGGAAGAGCTGCCTTCAAAGTCTCGTCTTGCCGTGACACTTCCTGCTTCACATCAATATTCATCGTCTGGGGCGGAGATCCGGTGGGAATGGGCGTTGCAGTCGTCGGTCCTATGGCTTTATCGCCTTCTTTCTGGAGACGGTCGATTTCATCCTTGATCTGAGTATATCGCTTTTCGTCTTCTTTGATCTCTTTCGTGACGAGCTCCTTGTACCCCGCGTACAGGTGGGCGACAAGCTCTGGGACAAGTACGGCATGGTTGGCAGCGGTCGAATGATTCTCTGGGCGAGGGCTCGAGATCTTGCGCTTCTTCGGGTTGTTGGATCCCGAGGTGTCCGTCGACCATGCATTAGGACCATTTTCTCGATCGAAACCATCGCGCAACAATGTCGTATACAGATCCTCGAGAGCCTCGGGGCTCAGGCGATCCGCACTGAATGCGACTTGCTGGCGCACATGTGGATTGTTGCTCAAGAGGGTTGAGATCGAGGTGAAGCTTGCCGGGCGCACATCGGAGGCAGCTAAAGACTGGAAAAAGAGCAGGGACTCAAACGGAGTGTACGCCGACAGAGGAGGCATCCCCCATTGCCCGCCCGGTCGGCCACTGGCGGGGATGGCTTTGGGGATGGGGGCCACGGTGGGAGGAATGGCGGTGGTTGGGGGGGGGGGAGGGACGCGCGAAGCGGAGGTGGTGGACGTGTTCGGTCGCGCGAAGATTTTCGGTGGGTTCCTGGAAGGGGGAGAGCGAGAGCGAGGGCGAGAGGGTGGGCGAGGGTGAACGCGACCGGGGAGGGGAGGGCCGGTTAGGAGAGGAGGAGGTGAGAAGGTGAGAAGGTGAAGATAAAGATTGAAGAGGAAGAAAGGGAAGGAGTTGATTCGATGAAGGCACTTGGTGGTTCCTGCCTGCTGCTGCTTCTTGCTGCTTTTGCTTCTTGCTTCTTGCTGTCCCTGGGTCGCCCTTGCCAGTTCGGCGATGAATACAGTCACGTGAATTCCGGGTATAGTATTGTTACATTACAATGCGGTGCTGACTAACACTATTTAAGTACATGCTTACACTGTAAGGAGGACTCGAAAAAATACTAAATACGAGTAAGGTACGAAGTACCCTAGGCTCCGTATACTTTGTCTATTGTGGCTGTTATGTACGGGGTAGATGTTCACACTATATGCAGTATGCAAGTATACAATAAGTACACTATACACTATACACCACACATATTCCTACTAGTATAGATCTATCCACGCTTATATCTACACTGGCAGTAGACAGTATACAGCCCTGTCTACCCCGTCTACACTTCTATTGACGCAGCAATGACCAGTTGATCCCTCCCTCTCCCTAGTATACTAGTACTACTTTCCTGGACTATCTTCACCCCTTTTGCCCAAGTGCAATCAAGTGGAGGTGCCCCTGAGTCCTGAGCTACACTAAACTACGCTACTCACCACCAACGACTCCACCGGTGATTTCTTTGACAAAAGCTCCCCCCCTTAAAACCCAGCGTAATACAGTGACAGCCCTCCGGGTGGATAATCGCTGGGCTCTCCACGATATTCCGGCGACTAGTAATATAGTCGGTGGGCTACGATCGCCTCTCCTCAACTTCTTTTTTTCTTCCGAGTCCCTTTCTCTTCCCCTCTTCTCCCCTACTTTGCTACTCTCCCGCCCAATCTACCTCGATCCGTGCTTTACATCCTCTCTATTCGGTACGCTTATCCCATCAGCCCCCTTCTCCGTGTTCCCCTCCGGTTCTCTGTTCTCCAAAGGGGGTAACTTGGGGGACTAGTATCCCCTTGCCGCTCCCGCTGTCCGAAGTATACACAAAAGGAGTTGGACAACAACTGACATTCTTTGGACCTTCCCCCACCAGATAGTCACCTCTTTCGCAACTACATTCAAATCCCACTTGCACTTGGTCCTTTGGCTGGTCCGAGTCTTCTCTTCCTCGCGGATCATCCTTCTCCTGTCTTGTCTCCTTAGGAGTCTCGTGCCCCGCACATCCATTTCAGCACTTCCACCCTGTCGACCTCCCTCATTCCTATAGATCACCCGGTTCTACCTATACAGCTTTGCATAATGTCTTCCGATTTGGACCGAGAGTGGAAGCCCACCAAGATGCGCCCCCAGTCGTGCGTTGGATCTCTCCCCTTCCTCTCCTTTTCCCTCCCCGCACCCACAGCCCGTCAGCCCAACAAAAAAGACCTATCCCCATTCTAGCCACCCAATGCTAACCCACTTGGACAGGACGATGGCGCAAGACTTTTCCACAGCGCTTGATAGTGCCTTCTCCCTCGACAGCGATGTCAACCACCTCTCCCAGACCATTGATCAAAAGTGAGTACCGAGTACTAAGTAATACGAAACGTCGCATACTATGGCAATCGCAATCGCAACCTCCTCCCCGGTCGCATGTGCTAACTCAGCACCCACAGGAAACAAGCGATGATGATTCAAAGCCGTGAGCTCGAGGAGCTACAGCAGCGCATCCGAGATGCGGAGAACCGCCTCAAGTCGCGGCAATCGGTCAACTATGGCTCTCCCTCGACTGGCCGGAACTTCGGCGAAGGCCAGACAGCCGGTAAGGGTGGTTCTGCTTGATCTTTCCCGTTGCATCGCATTCAAGTTGCATTTATTGCATTTCCCAGTACCCGTTATGTCTTGCATTCTGTATTTGCATTTGCATATTGCATCTTCCATTCTTTGTTTTTTTTCTTCTTCTTTTTTGCTACTATTTCTTGCATATATATTGCGAACTGGATTGCGGTCGGGAAGACGGTAGACTGATGCGCCGACCATAGCTCCCCGAGAAGGAACCGTCACCGAGCAGCCGGAGCCGGAGGAGGAAAAGGCGACGGAGACTGCGTCGTAATTGGGGAAGGGCGCAGGATATATATTGGATAATTATATCCATGGTTATAACCATGGATTTGATTGAAGCCGTCAAGTTCTTGTTGATTTTTATACCTTTGCGGATGGCGGCAAACCGTGGTTGGGCAGGATCCGGCGCGGATCGGGTCTGATTTGGATTATTCTTTTCTTTTTCTCTTTTTTCTTTTCTTCCTTTTTTTCACTCTTCTTTTTATATCCCTTCTGTCTTGCTCTGGCATATCTTGAGAAACCCCATTTGTATGTACCACGGGCGTAATGTGATTTGATTAGCCTTGATTAAAGCCATGGATGCCATCACTAGTAGTAGTACTACTACTAGTACCCTGTAGAACCTAAATCAAAAATGCCCAGGACCACTGTAGTCTGCACTACTAGTAGTACTAGTACTAGCACTGCAGATAACTGCTGTACAGCTGTAGTCAAGTCCAGATTGCAATAGACTCCCAGCAGAACCAATCAAACCTCCACGAGAGGCGCCCGATATCCACCGGTGCCGTCATTCACTCGGCCTACCTGCATCACTCAAGCTGTCTCTCTGCTGGTAGTGTTATCCGCCCTGCTTTTGCTGCTTAACCTGCCACGGACCCCTCTTTCCAAAAAGGCTCTGAGGCCTTTTTTCCTTTCCCTCTTCCCTTCCTCCAAGTTGAAGATTTTGGATCTTCTTACTTCCTAACATTCTCACTCCTCCCTCTTTTGTGTCTTGACTTGATTTCTTACCGTCCCCACGCCAATTGCTCTTCATTGCTGCATTTCCACATTCCCCCTCCCCCCCACCCTCTGGCTCCACCATGGTGCTGATCGATAAGCACGAGTTCCTCACCGAGGAGGAGAAGCGTCTCAAGGAGGATCGTGAACGCACCAAGTACTGGAAGCGATGGGGTCCCTATGTGGCCGAGCGACAATGGGCGACCGGTGCGTTTGAAGCTTGCTGTGGGATTTTTGGTGTCGCGGACAAGACGGGCTAATGACTTCATTACTACAGTGCGGGAGGACTATTCGTAAGTGTTCCACTGGCATTTCCTCTCACCCAGACCAGAGACTAACAGTAGTGTTATAGCGAGGATGGTGATGCATGGAGCTGTAAGTACCCAACCATGTCGATAGCATGACCCCCGCTAACCAGGTAGACTTTTCGCACGATCATGCGCGGTCGCGAACATTTCGCTGGGGTGAAGACGGAATTGCCGGTGTTTCCGATACCCACGGCTTGCAGAACATTGCATTTTCCTTCTGGAACGAGAAAGAGTGAGTTGTAACTTGTGAGACGCGGGGCTGCGTGCGGGGGAGACTGGGGCAGTAAATTGCTGACCACTTATCACCATCAGTGAATTCCTAAAAGAGCGCCTGTTCGGCCTGTCCAATCCGCAGGGCAATCATGGTGAGAGTGTCAAGGAGGCGCATTTCCATGTGGATAATACCCCGACGGTAGGTGACACTCGTACTCCTTCTCGCAACACCCTGCACAGACCCATCTGACCGGCATCTAGCACTCTTACATGAAATTCCTGTACAAATACCCCCAGAGAGAATTCCCGTACCAGCAGTTGGTCGATGAGAATGCCAAGCGATCGCGTCTGGAACGTGAATATCAAATCCTCGACACAGATGCCTTCGCAGACAACCGTTACTGGGATATCTTCATTGAGACCGCCAAGGAAGGTGATGATGAGGAGGAGCTGATCTTCCGAGTCATTGCATACAACCGCGGCCCCGAGCCCGCTCACCTGCATATCGTACCCCAGGTGTGGTTCCGCAACACTTGGTCCTGGGGATTTGAGAACCAGGGCGAGAAGCCATCCATCAAGCACGAAGGACCTCGTATCGCCAAGTCGAACCATGAAAAGTTGGGTGAACGCTATGCCTGCTTTGCCCCATCGCCCCCGGTTGGATCCAGCGATGAGGATATCCAGCCCCAATTGCTGTTTACTGAGAACGAGAGCAACAATAAGAAGCTGTGGGATACCGAGAACGATCAGCCCTACGTGAAAGATGCCTTCCACCGTCACATTGTTGATAAGGAGAAGGATGCCATCAACCCGGCCAATGAAGGAACCAAGCTCGCCGCATGGTATGCCTTTGACGAAGGTGAGGGAGTGCCCCCTGGTGAATGCGCAGTCGTGCGATTTCGCTTCTCCCGCAAGAAGGAGGAGTTCGTGGACGAAGAAGTCGTGGACGATGTCATCGAGCAACGTCGCGCTGAAGCAGATGATTTCTACTATCGCATCAACCCACTCCCCATGAGCGAAGACCTCCGCAACATCCAGCGACAAGCCTTCTCCGGAATGATGTGGTGCAAGCAGTACTATAACTTCATCTACGACCAATGGGCCAACGGCGACCCAGCCGAGATCGCTCCTCCAGAAGGCCGCAAAGGCATTCGCAATGAACAATGGCGCCATCTCTACATCGACGACATCCTCTCGATGCCGGATTCTTGGGAGTACCCATTCTTCGCAGCATGGGATACTGCCTTCCATTGTATCCCACTCGCAATGATTGATCCAGACTTCGCCAAGAAGCAACTCGACCTCATGACCCGAGAATGGTACATGCATCCAAACGGCCAATTGCCCGCCTACGAATGGAATTTCGGCGACGTGAACCCTCCCGTGCACGCGTGGGCCGTGTTCCGCACCTTCAAGATCGAGCGCAAGATGTATGGTCGACAGGATCTGGATTTCCTCGAGCGAGTTTTCCAGAAGCTGCTTCTCAATTTCACCTGGTGGGTGAACCGCAAGGATTCGGATGGCAAGAACGTCTTTGAGGGAGGATTCCTCGGATTGGATAATATTGGTCTTTTCAACCGTTCCGAGCCCCTACCAACTGGAGGTGTTCTCGAGCAGGCGGATAGCACAGGCTGGATGGCCTTTTACTGTCTGTGCATGCTGAACATTGCCCTGGAGCTGGCCAAGCACCGTCGAATCTATGAGGACATTGCGTCCAAGTTCTTTGAGCACTTCATTCTCATTAGCGATGCGATGACTTACCGCTCTGGAGAGGATAACATCAAATCGCTGTGGAATGAGGACGACCACTTCTACTACGATGCCATCTCATACGGTGGTCCCTGGACCCAGCAGCTGCCAGTCCGATCGCTGGTCGGCCTCATCCCGCTCTATGCGGTACTCACCCTCGAGCCCGAGATCATCAATAAGTTCCCCTCATTCAAGAAACGCCTGGACTGGTTCATCGAGAACCGGTCAGACGTAGCCGAGCGCAACATCGCCAGCATGAAGCGCCGCGGCAAAGACGACCGTCTCCTGCTCTCGCTAGTGAGCAAAGACCGTCTGGAGAAGATCCTCAAGCGCATGCTCGACGAGACGGAATTCCTATCCAAACACGGCATCCGATCGATGTCCAAGTTCCACGAAGAGAACCCTTACTCGATGGACGTAAATGGCCAAACATTCAAGGTCGGCTATGTCCCCGGCGACTCCGACAGCTCTCTATTCGGCGGCAACAGTAACTGGCGCGGACCCATCTGGCTCTGCGTGAACTTCCTGCTTGTCGAATCGCTGCTGCGGTACTACATGTTCTACGGCGACTCCTTCCAGATCGAGTGTCCCACAGGATCAGGCGATTACATGCACTTGGGTGGCGTTGCCGAGGAACTGCAGCACCGTATGCAGCATCTCTTCGCCCGTAATGACGAGGGTCGCCGTGCTATCAACGGAACCAACGATCTCCTCGATTTCGACGAGAACTGGAAGGATTACCTCTGGTTCCACGAATTCTTCGACGGCGACACCGGCCGTGGTCTGGGCACCTCCCACCAATGTGGTTGGACTGGCCTCGTTGCCAAAATCATTCACGATACTGGGTAAGCAGTCTATCTCTTTCATTCCAAGATATTCCAATCAATGCATTGCTAACATTCGATCTCTCCCAGCCTCAACTGCCGTCTCCCCCAAACCCCACGCTCCCCCTTCGCAGCAGCATCCCACTACTTCGACGACATCTTCTCTCGCACCGGCCGCCGCCCCACATCACGCCGCCCATCCGTCCGCCGCTCATCCACCAACCGATCCATCGGCAACCGCAGTGACTTCAACTCCACCATTGCCGGTGACGCGACCCCCGCAGCCCTGGACGACGAATTCACTAGTAGTCCCGTCAGCCGTCGTGGGAGCAATGCGTTCGGCACAAGCCAGAACGGCGACGAAGATGAAGAGGACGAGCATGTGCACAATTATGTCGAGAGTCAGTTGCAGCGCGTGCGTAGCTCTGCTTCCATGGCTGCTTATGAGGATGAACTTGTGACCAAGGACGATAAGCAGAACGGTAATGGTAATGGCAATGGGCATTGAAATTATTTCATGTTCTAGAAACATTTTTAGCCTGAATCTTTTTCCTCTCGATTTCTTTTATTTTCGTTTCTTTTCTTTTTCTTTATCATGGACATGTTTTCTATTCTCTTTCTCTTTCTCTTTCTGCTTCTCTACTTTCCTTGCATTTGCCCTCGACGGCAAGATATTGATTTGATTTTGATAATGGATCTTATGATAAATTTGTGATGTGATTGATGTGATTGATGTGGATAAACGGGTTGCACTAATAGATATCATTGCGATGTCATACACACTACCTTTAGCGTTTAGTTGAGAACAATCGAGATTGCATTTGGCGCATTTGATTATTCCACTAGAGTACTAGTAAGCCCGTTCTTATATCGGATAGACCTCTAGGGCTCCGTCTGCCTCGATATGGACAGAATGTCTAATCGGAAAAATCGAAGAGGTAAAAGGTAGTAGTCCTACGCAGTATGGTGGTACCATCTACTCTGTCAACTATTCGTCGACAGCTATGGCTTACAGACATACGAAGTATGAGTAATGAAAAGTGTATTGTGCAATTCACAAATAATGAAAACAAATGGAACTGAAAAGACCGAGGAAGATCCGTAGACATAACAAGGGGACAAAAGACGACTCGTCTCGACTCGTCCCATCCCATCCATTCCACGGCCTCCGCTTTCCAACGCTACCGTTCATGCGGGAATGCTATATTCTAACCAACACGGCCCCACACAACTCTCGAAGGTGTTTATTTTACATTTACAAAGCATCGGTCAGAGCCTTGTTCATCTTGGCGATCTTAGCGGAGACGCTCAGGTCAATGGTGCGGCCACCGATATCAACGACGAGTCCACCGACAAGGTCGGGGTTAACCTGGGTGATGTTAGCAAAGGGTTCCCGGGAAATGCAAGATGCAAAGAGGTTTACTCACGGCAGTGACAATCTTGAGCTTCTTGCCCTGGCTGTACTCGGACTTGGCAACGGCCTTCTCGAGACGGGAGATGGTCTTGGCGTCGAGCTCCTAGAGAGATTAAAGTGTGTTAGCAAACGTACACATTTTCCCTGGCGGGATGGAGTGCTTGTTAGAGGAAGCAGGCGTGGGAACGAACCTGGGCGGAGGTGATATTCAGCTCGATCTCACCGCGGTGAGCGCTCATGAGAGTAGCGAACTTCTCGCAGACGGTCTCCAGGGATCCGAGACGGTTGTTCTCGGCCAGGGTGAGGAGGAAGTTCTTCAGGATGTCACCCTTGTCGGCACCGGCGACCTTCTGGAGCTCAGCGACGATCTGGAGCTTGTCGGCGTGGGTGAGGGTGGGGGCACCGAGGATGGTACCCAGCTTGGGGTCGGCCTTCAGGGTCTGGCCGAGGGCGGCGACGGCCTTGGCGGTCTGGTCGAGGGCGGAGGTCTTGGAGGAAGCAGTGTACTAGATACATGGGTAAAGGTTAGAAAGGAACAATATGTTTTGCGACAGACATATCCATGTCTTTGTGTTGGGGTGGACGTCGTGTTGCGGAACTCGGATCCGGCCTTGAATCTCAATCTCGAAAGAGAGGGGATGCAGATGCAGACAGGAGGGGTGTCGGGATAACACGGAGTCGCGAGGAAAAATGCCATCACGAGAATCGGATCACGTAGGGGAGTCGAAGGCATACCAGAGCAGAGGCGTAGGTGCCAGAAACGCCGAACAGAGCGACGGGGGGGGTTGACATCCTGGGCCGGGGTGGCATAGGTGCGCAGGCTGTTAACGGCGGCGCGAGGAGCGGAGAACTGCTGGGCGGCACGCAGGCCGGAGCGGGCGACACGAGCGGACATCATTGTGAATTGAGTGCGAGGAGGGCCTCGGGGAGGGTTGAGAGTTGTGATGGGAGGTGAGGTGCGAAACGACGGGGTCGGTTGGCTTCGTGAAGGTTGAGTGCAACTGGCTCCGACTTCTTCCAGATCACGTGTTGCTGACATAATACTCCCGATTTTCGCAGTCACCAGTTGGCACTATACTACATGCAGTATTGCAGTATTTCTGATATTTCCGATATTGACTGTGGACTCTTGTCGATGGTCATTAATATTCACAATATTGGTATATTTGACAATTGCCGACATCAATTCATCACACTTGATTCATGCCTATGGCTACTCTGGTAATCTCTCAATGGTGACAGCCCACACCGGAACACCGGGATCTCGACTCCTTAACTCGGTGATCAAAATAACGGTTGATTCCGAGCCTGCCCTTCATTATCCATCCTAGAGACGAACACGGAAACAGACACAGCCAAGTTGAACGCCAACCCATTCAAATGAAACAAACTTCGACAATGCATGCCCACACCCAGAACGCCAGTGAGAATCCTGCCGACCGAAATCGAGTATCATCGGTCAACAAGTGATATCTCATGCATAATTGTTCATGAAACAACAGCACACTACTTAGTCGCTCTTCAGCATGCTGTCTACCAAATCGCCGAGTGGTCCCCAATAATCCTTCCCGCTCGCCAGCTTGTGTTCGTCGATGAATAAGACGTAGTGCTTGAAGCTGGTGTTCAGATGGGGCTCGAGACCCAAATGTACGACGACGGGGTAGTGGTGGCAGTAGATATGGGCGTAGACACGGTACAGACGCTTGAAGATTTGGCGCAAAAAGCTGGAGAAGGTTTTGGGGAAGGGAACGCCTGGATCGTAGAATATTGTTAGCATTATCCTCGACCCTATCTGGGTGGTCGGAGCTGCGAGTACTTACCGATTCGACTGGGGAACATTTGCTCATTATCGATATTGCTTTGTACCCAACTCATCAGGTGTTCAATATATTCGGGCGCGGACATCTTGGTGGGCCGTTTGTAGTTTTCCGAATCTTGCCAGAGGTACTCGAACCTGCCAATTGTCAATATCAGGAGTGGGAGAGCCGAGTCTCATAGGGTTGAAGGGGATCATACTCATCGGTTGCCTTCATTTCAGCGCAAGTCTGTGGGGAGCAAAATTCAGTTATAGAACCATAGAGCAGGTTGATCTGGTTGTAGAAGTCGACGACTATACATTAAATCGAATGTTTATATCAGTCATCTTGTCCCCGAAGTTCAAGTTCCCCTGCGCATATAGAGAAAGATCTCACCATTGACAGCGAGCCATTCGTTCAGGTCCTCGCCCTCGGGAACCTTGACGGCCTTGCGCAAACTGCCACTTCCCAAGGTGGCCTCGGCAAATTGCCTCAGCTGGTAACTACTTGTGCCCTTGGCGGCGGACCGGGGCTTGAAGGGGGCTCGCGTCCGCGCATTGCTGGGAGGGGTTAGTCCAAATACACCTTGTTTGAGTGCGCGCACTGCTGGAGAGAGGTAGGAAGGAGGCTCGAGCAATGGAAGATGGGAGGTGCGGGTGGTCTGGTAGATGCCCGAGGGGCTCAGACTGAGGGAAGGGGAACGGGTTGGGGTTGGCTGGGAGCGCGACACCGCATCTGGCGTGGGGAGATGGACAGGGGAAGGAGCAGCGGGGACAGACATGGTGGTGATGAACGAAGCCATTTTCGTTCAAGAGGAATCTCCCTTGGGGATGTTATCTGGCGGGGGCGCTGATTCGGGGTGTGGCTGCATTCCAAAAACAAGGGAGTTAGCAGCGCGCATGGCGATCGGGGAATGGGGGAATGGGGTCTGCGGCATGCCGTACCACACTGGGAGCAAATAGGTATAGGTTCGAGACCGATACCGAGACCAAGTGGAAGATGAGACAAAAGAACAAAGGAACAAAGGGTGGATCGACGCACGGAGGGCAAGGAGAGAAGTGCCCAGGTGGTTATCGGGTTCAGCTCCCCCACTGGCGATAGCCGTCATCGCTGATGCGCGTTGCCCCAGTGACCGATCTTGGCCATGGATCACTATACTACTAGTACTATTCAGTTAACTCACACTGTACGTAGTACAATTCATTTGTTCGGCCTTACTTCTAGTCATTCTATCGTGCATTAACTCATGTTCCGAAATATCGTCGTAGATGGTCATCTCGCGAACACAGGTTAAAGCGGCATCTTTCAGGTACTAGTACTATCACCCCCATAGTATCACCTGGGCATAAAGGCATGTCATTGATAAATTGCGATGTTATTGAAGGTCACCCATGGCTGTTGATATCCTTACATCAGTTGCTCATCTGCATTTTGACAGACATTTCGACGATATATTGGGCCTAGCTCGTTTGATGTCGTTCGAGTTTTGAATAGTATCATGATGCCCTGCCACTGGTCTTCCCGTTGAGGGCATCGATCTGCTGGAGACGACCCGGAGATACTGTAGGTTCAAGTTGTGGTACCCTCGCACAATTTGTTACTCGAATACTACTAGGTAGTAGTTAGTATATCCTTGGGTCGCCAGTGGGCCCAGGTGGGAACTACTTCCCCGCATTTTGGGCAGACATGACATCAATTGCTGGAGACTTTCAAGTGAGTAATGGATTTTCGTTAAAGACATTTAATTCAAATAGCCGACTTGACCTATCGAACCGATGAGTTGCCAGTGGTGCATAGAGAAGTATTATTTGTATGTATTTCTTGCGGTATGGCTAGCCTTTGCTTAGGTCAAACGAGGCTACCTTTCGAATCTAGAGATAATCGAAAGAGAGCAGTATAAACTTCACAGTATGATAGATGACATGAGAGAATTCCTTCTACGGCTCTTCCCAGAAACTTCCAGATGAGTCTCTAGTACGGAGATGTGAATCAGATGTAAATGGTATAATTGAGCTGGAGCTAGACTGTTTACTCAAGTAGTCTAGTAGCATGATTTGCATGATTCATCACTCTAAGCTTGCCTTCTCTCCCAGCTCCCGAGGCTTCTCGCCATTATCAGCCATCTCATTGAATACCCGTTCAGCAATTTTGAAGGCATCCACTCCAGCTGGAGCCCCACAATACACCGTGGCGTGCAGGATAGCTTCCCGGATCTCAAGCTCGCTCAGGCCATTATTGCGGGCACCTCTGAGGTGAATAGCTAGCTCGGGGCCACGATTGAGGGCCATTAACATGCCAATATTGAGCAGACTGCGGTCTCGTCGTTCCAAGCCAGGTCGAGTCCAGACATTGCCCCAGGCCCATTCAGTGACCATTTCTTGGCCGGGTTTCGAGAATTCGGTCGTGCCGTTTGCTAAAGCTTTGTCGACATATGAATCTCCCAAGACCCCGCGGCGAACCTTCATCCCTTCATCGAAGAGCTTTTTGTGTAGGTCGTCGAATTTCGGGTCGGTAGACATCTTGGCCGGGAGGAGATGGAGTAGCTCAAAGGATATGTAGAGTCAATAGTAATATTTGTTAGGTTGTAGAGATTGTTGTGAAGTGAGCGGAGGGGCTGAAAATGTACTTGGAAGATGTACTCCGGCATAGTCCATTAAGCCGAATAATCGGGATTCTTTGCCCCACCCCTACTGCCGAGGTCCACCAATTTGGAGACCTGTAAGGCTGGAATGGTTTATTATTGCTCTCCTAAGCTCCTGAGCCTCGCCAGATCCTGCAGCTTTGGCGCCAGACGCCGCCCAATATCCGCACTCCGTTGACCTTATGTGGCCAGTTTACCGTTTGTACATCTCACAGCATTGGAATGCACGTCGTATTTGATTTCTGGGTTTCATTCCACACGTACAATTTTTACATGCTGCTACGGCCGCATAAACTGAAGGCCTTGTTCTCGATTAGAAACGTAAATATAGTCGACGGCATGGCAAGCAAGATGAATATAATCTGGGGGCTTTGCTTGGGCGTACAGAAAATAGACCCACAGGTGCGAGGTTACGTTGGCTCGTGGGGGCTATAGCAGAATTCTAAAAAGATTTTATATTTTGAATACGGTCCAAAAATGTTCTCCATTTGAACTGGCATTGTCACCGCCACAAACGTTGAAAGTTATTCAAGTCGCATTTCCCTACAAATTTCACCGACAGCTCACGCAAGCTCATATTGTATACTAGTATTTATATGAGACGAGTTGCCCCAATTATCTCGATTCTTCCATCTCGCTTGATCACAACCCCTTAATATTGCACAAATGAAGAAGACTCGATCTCAAGGTGCCTCTGCATCATTACGCTGGTGGATTATGGCAATCCCTGCTTTGCCAGTCAGCGCTTACGCCTTCTATTTCATATTTTACACTCCACCAGGCAGCATCCGCACGAGAACACGTCTACTATCATCAATTCACGGCTATATCCATATTATCGCAGGTGGTGTGGCAATGATCCTGGGTCCAACCCAATTCGTCGAGAGAGTTCGCCGATTATATCCTTCGGTACATCGATGGGTCGGACGGGTTTACGCGGCAGCCATTTTCGCTAGTGGTCTCTGTGGTCTACAAGTCTCCATGAACAGCAACGCATACCCCATCGGTGATTATGGATTTGCGATTTTAGCCATCTTGTGGATGGCGACGATGACCATGGGCCTTCGCACTATCTGGAGTGGGGATGTACCTGGTCACAGGGACTGGATGACACGGAATTTCGCGTTGACATATGCTGCTGTGATGCTACGCTGGCAGCTTGCGCTTATGATATACTCTGGATTGACGCTGTCGGGGGCTTTGACCATTGCGGCCTACTCTTGTTGGATTCCAAATTTTATTTTTGCGGAGTGGTACATTGGGAAGAGGAAGAATCGGAAGTTGGCTATCGAGTAGGATGATATTATGTATATCAATAAAATTATGTACCCTTGATCTCCTGCGGATAGAGTGTATCTGATTAGTTTACACAGTTTATACTCTCTGAATTTGAGAGGTGGTCAAGAAATACTGCACTTGGCTTAATTCATCCTGGTAAAATAATGCAAAGCAGGATGATTGAATACAGCGAAATCGGTTCAAGTCACGACCCTTTTCGGTATATTCAGGATCGCCATTGTCGTGGAAAAGCTTCAATGCATACTTTTGTCCATCCAGATCTACCTCAAATATTGAAGACGCATTATATGACAACTTGAATTTGAATCTATGCTTGGGAGCCGTCCTCCGGCTAGGCACCTTCCACCTTCTCCTCAGTCTCCCAGTTCTCATTGCCACCTAGGTAACGAAAGACAACTCTAGAGTCTAGGTCTCTACATCGCGCATCCTTGCTAGCTCCTTCGTACGTTCTTAATCCCACATCGCCGAGGACATTATTTGACTCCACCCGGTGAGCCATATCCAGAGCCAGAGAGAAGTCCTTTTTCATCAATTGAACTTTGAATCCATCCCGATACCCATTCGAAGAAGGCGCTTCCGGGTAAACGCCGGGCACTGGACAAAATCGATCGCAAATTGCGTTCTGTGCAGTACCGGCAGCATACACCTTTGCAAGAACACGCGGATCAAGACCGGAACGCATACCCATATCCATGGCCTCGGAGCAGGCAATCGCAATAATGCCAGAAAGGTAATTATTTGATAACTTGGCCGCTAGGCCGAGTGATGGTCCACCACATGGGATAATCTTGCCTCCCATGAGAGAAAGAAGACTGGTGAGTCGCTCGATTTCTTCCTTGTCGTCTTCTGCGCAGCCAAGGAAAAATGCAATGGTGCCTTTCTTTGCTCCGATTACACCACCACTGACGGGTGCATCGTATAGCAAAGTCTTTCGAAACTTCTTCTCGATATTCTCTTTTACCTCAAGGAAGCTAGCTGTGTCGATGGTAGAGCAATCGATCAATAATTTACCCTCGATATCTCCTGAAGAGATCCCGTTGGCTCCCAAGTAAACAGTCTTCACATGTTTCCCTTCGGGTAGCATCGTGATCACAATGTCCTATACTTTCAGTTCAGCTTCCGAAGTGATTTGGTAAGATAGATGTCCTCTTCGTACAGATTTACCAGCCACATCTTTTGGGCTGGAGGCTTTGGTTATCTTGTGGGGATATTTCGAATAAAGATCCTCAACAAGAGCAGGGACGATATCGTAGACTTGCAGTTTTGTAGATTCTGGAAGTTTCTCTGCCAGGTGGACTGCCATCCACATCCCCATAGCCCCAAGGCCAATGAACCCGATGGAATCTGTTGCGATGTTGGCCATATCAACGTGAAATGAAATGCAGTTTCTGTTCTCGATTTATGAATAAGAGATGTTGCTAGGTCTCTCCATGGGGCTGGATTTATTTAGTGACTATCACCCAGTCGGCTAAATGACTTGAGTAGCGCAGTGATCGATGCGGGGTGGAATTGGGGTCTGTTCGCTGACACTGGCAACCCCAACATTGGGGAATACTGCGTACGTCACAACTTGCCTACATTAATGTACACGGAGGTATTTCTCTTAGGATCATAGCTGACTTGATACATCCTAATACATCACTCGCGTCCCCTCTTTCGCCCCCTCCTTGGAAAGTGATCCGAAGGATGGGCTCCGCGGATGAGAATCAAACCAGGTATATAGGGGAATGTTCTGCAAGCTGAGGATTTGGTTTTGCCAAAACTATCCTTTGTTTGGCCTTCCTATAGTACTATAAAAGCAACCATGCCATCTCTTCCCATTCTTGTGCCACTTCTTGTACAGCATACACGTGTAAAAACATGGAAAAGTCAATGGAATTATTTTTGACCTTGGACTGCGATAGCCAACAACAAACATCTTGAAAGCAATGCAAACTTATACAAACCCAGCACCCATTGGCCAACGACCCAGATGAAGTCTAAAGTCTTAGGGCTGGAGAATTGATGCCTGATATATATGGCAAGCGCCATAACTATAACTAACTAACTAGGATATGCGAGGCATGGATATACGGAAGGTACAATATAGTCGGCAGACATGGTGGCTTCCCATTGTTTTAAGTGGCACTACTAGTATATATTAATATAAAGAGGGTCGTACCTTCCAAGTCTGTCAACTGGCAACTGGATATGATGGCTACGGCCATGTGAACATCCGAACAGCCTGACAACCTGACAACCTGACAATCTGATAGCCTGACCACTTCCATTCACTCCAGGGCTTCCATTCACCGTTTCACAGCTCTAGAACCACCTCTCACTTCCTTCATTAGCACACCGCACATTCGGTCCGCTGGTAAGATAGAACAACGTTTCTCTTTCTCTTTGTCTCTTTTTCTTTGCTTCCTCTGTAATACTGATATCTTCCAGATTCATCCATCTCATCATTCTGTCTTGGCTTCAGCCATAGCCAATCAGTATCCATGGCACTCGCTCAGCTCTACCCAAGCTCTCCCAAAGGCCCCTCGAGGCCTCATGTGGTCAACCTTCTGGTACGTTGGAAGACACTACTCTGTCCAAGTTTGTCTTTACTGTACTGACATGTTCTAGTTGCATATCACCGCTCTGCTTTGGCTTCTTGCGGGGTTGATTACCACGGCTCTAGCGCAGAATAACTTTGGACCTCTCACTACGCCCTTCGCGCTGCCTTCCTCTTGTGCCGCTGCCTTTTTACCATGCGAGCTTTGCACCGTGGCTCTCAAGGGACAAGGATGTGGCCCGTCATACTACACCGATGATCCCGAATGCTGGCCTTTGAGACCCCTCGAAACCCAGTCGCCACGCCCACGCTTTCTTCAGGGCTTCTACTCGCCTGGAGTCTCCTGTCCAGTCGGCTACACCAGTGCATGCCAGGTCACGCACGGTGGGGGTGGGGGTTTTACATTCGATGTCCCTCCAAGTTCATCTGAGACCGCTATTGGATGTTGCCCAAGGTACCTACCCATGACTTCCTTCTAGTGAGGATAAAGCAGATAGTGCCAGTAGAGACTGATTCATCTCGCAGTGACTTCAGTTGCACCAATGTGCCTTCCCACGACCTCTGCGGCCTAGCCGGCTGTGGGGAAACATCACCCGGTCTTCCCCTTATCCAAAAGTGTGTATCCACTGCGCAATCCACTGATTACAAAGGTTTTGTCTGCTTCGAGGGAAAGGTCAGGCCAATTGGTATAACTGTGCCTGGGACTAACACATACGTCCCAATCTTTCCTCCGGAAATTATGACAATTCCTTTAGGAAACTCCATCAGCACGGCTACTTCATCTCTCGCGGCCCATACCTTCACGGCAACTATTCCCAGCATATCTGTTTTCGCTCCTTTGATCCAGCTTGTCCATCAAGGCAGAGATGTGACCGGATCATCTACAAGCACCGCTGGGGCTGAGAAGAAAAAGGAAGGTCGTTCCTCACTTTCCACGGGTGCAAAGGCTGGAATCGGAATCGGTTCTGTCATCGGGGGACTCGTACTTGTCGGAGCTATCTTTCTTCTTTGGTCTCGCCGACGCCAGAACAACTGGGCTACGAATATAGCCAAGGGCGACTCTTATGTCAGGAACCTTCAGAACTACGAGTTTAGTTCCCGCTGAAAAAAGAGGTGGAGCTTCTAGGGGAGATCTATCTGTGTGCTTGTAATTTGCCGACGTAAAAGCATACTATTGTCGTTGTTTTAGAGCACGGAATGGACCATTATCATGGACACAACGCCCAAGTCATAATTTCAACTGTCACCATACTCCTTCGAACAGATAATAACATCAACGGTTTCTAGCTCCTTAATTTCCGGATCTAGTTGCTCGTGAAAGTCCAAAACTCCCGTCCATTTTGAACTAATGTCGAACTTGGAACTGGTATATGCGACCATGACCTGCTGGCCTTGCCACGACTTCTTCACGTAAAGTTTCCTTTTCCCAATGCGAAATGCCGATCCAGGGCCGAGTTCCGTCAGAGAAGAGTCTGGTGGGGTTGAAAGCCCAAATTTGAAGCGCCTGGCTGGCCTTGCCCGTTCAGATATGGGTCGAGGCACAACTCGTAGTGCGAGGCATGTCTTTTGGATCGGATCTCGGTAGCTTTGAGGACAGATCTCCCAAGGAAGTCCAGTACATCCTTCTCGGAAGTTGAGACATCTTTGGCTAACAACAGCGAATGTAGACATGTCACGAGTATCAGTCAAGATGTCCATCCATTTGTTGAAGCGGGTTGGAGCGATGCGACGATTTGTCGGAGTCCCCAAGAAAGGCCAATAGGCTTGGAGATTGCCTTCGGCATCGATTCCTGTATATTCTAGCCCTTGTATTGATGAGACAATGGCCTGGCGAATCTCATCTTTGGCGAAAGAATTTTCTTGGGGACTTTTGTCGATGAGAGAATCGAAGCCATTATGTCTGGGGGCCGCCTTTTCTTTCATTGAGATGTCGTGTAGATCTGGTGGTTTTGTGTCACTGAAATCAAGCTTAGTCCAACACAATTCAATACATCTTGGGTCCGAAATTTGGTGATTGCAAGCCCGAGCCTTCCCCGTCTTTTCCTTGGTCTGGGATAGACGCAAGGCATCCCAGAGAGTAATCCGCTGAGCATTTCCAGTGCAGGCACTTATTTCCAATCCAACTCGAAGTTTCATGAGAGGGCGTATATCAATTTTGGAATTGCAACACGTCGAAAGCAACCTGTCCTTGTGCGTCTTTCCTGGAACTCGCTTTCGTTTAATGATAACTCCCGCATTGACGTACTGACCTCCAGTGAGCTGTATGTCATGGCCATCGACCCTGTAGCAATCATTGCAGGTTCCTGGAAATTGAAATTGGTGTGAAATCTGCTGCTGTATATGATTTATCCGGGATTCGCAGTTCAGATTAACCGCAAGTCCGCCAGCATCCCAGGGGTCACTGCCGATCAGGATCCGAGAGTTGCCATTTAGCAAAATTCGCTCCTCTCTGTCGATGTATTCGGGTACATCCTTTGTCCAGTGACAGTCAATTTCGCCGGATTCCTCGAAGTTTGAATGTTGTTCATCTCGTGGCAAAGGTGTAATGAAGCCGCGCTCTGTTCGGATGATTGGGCCTTCATCTGCTGTCCCTCCCACAAGCCAAACTGGACCCCACAATTCTTGAAGATCTTGAACCGTCAAAGACACTTTTAAGCCAGTCTGTACTTCTTGTTCTCCGGCTTTTCCAAGGACCCAAGCAGGACCCCCAATGAAATCCTTCAGGCAAGCCAATTCTTGAGATTGGAATGAGAAGTCAAGCCCAACTGGAATCTCGTCATGATGTTCACTCCATAAGTTTATGTCAAACCGGCAAACATGGGAGCCAGAGAATGAAACAAGTGCGAGTGGTAGAAGATTTTGAAGGAAGTTATAGATCAGGTGGTGTGGTGGTTTCATACCGTTCTGCTTGTCTTCTTCGTAGCCGAGAATCTTGTCAAAAAGAGCGATAGCATGCTCTGGAGAAGTAATGTTGGAGCAGTCTATATCTTCAAGGGATATATGGACGGTTTTGGCAACCTGCGAACGAAACTGATCTTTCACGAGGATTGAAAATGTGCTTCCGCAAAACCCTTCGGAATTCAAACAGCCAATAGCACGCTCGGTACTGGCAAGTGCGTCTAGAAAGCCGATTTTTGCATCCTCAAGTGCAAATGAGCTTTCTTTGGAGGTTTCCCGTATTTCCGGATCAGTCAATATGTGTGTGCGGAGACCAGAATCGATATTAAACTTCATGGCAATTAGGGCTTCCAGTTCGTCTAACTTCTCGTAATACACAGCAGGGTTCAAGAGATGGTCCAACTCTTCTGATTGTTGCGGTTCAGAATGTGCAGCATCGCTACCATCTTGAGATGGCTGAGTGATTTCCGTTTTCATCGAGCTCTCGAGTGAAAGGGGCTCCAACTCAGAATCGTTGGATTCGGCACTGGATATCTGAGATTCGGAATGTGCGAGGTTATACTTATTCTCATTTTCTGATTTCATTGCCGGTTTAGTCTCAGAATTGTCGATTTTATTGGTACCAAGTTTGCGTTTTTTGGCTGGGGGCATGGAAATATCAGACGGAAGGTCCTTTTGATCAGGCTCTCTTTCTGATGCGTCGTCCAAGGGGACTTGTCGACATGAACCCTGATTATCCTCCCGCTCGGGATTATCCTCAATCTTCCCCGTCAATCGACATGGGACTTGTTCAGATACCTGATCAAACACCTCCTGGCTTAAAAACAATAGATCCTCCGGTGGATTTGAATCGGGTGCGGAATTAAAACTAAAAGAGTGGCTTGAACCTCCGTGACGTTGGTCACTGCCACTTCGACTACTTAAGCCGAAATCCTCGCTTGTTTGAGGGGTAGGATAGCTGGGTTTGATTGGAGTAAGGTGCTCCATAATGCACTTGTAGAATTGATCCCATGATCCAACATGCGAGGAGCACAAAGGGCAAGACGAAGGAACGGCATTCTCTACGGAATGGCTGTCGACATTTTCCCTAGAGGAATCCACCCCAACGTGTGCGCGATAATGAACTTGCATCTTGTCTTTCCTGTGTTTTTGTAAGCCACATCCGGTCTTTGGGCAGGTATATGTCCACTGAGGAAAATGTTGGTCTTTCAAGTGCCGTATGAAGACCCCCTTATTTAAATAATCCATCGAACAACAAGGGCAGCGAAGTCCATATCTGCCACCTGGTGTCGACGCCAGTCGTCTTTCTGTTCCCAATACTAGTCGATCGATGGTGCCTTGTGGATCCATCGAATTATAAGGTGTAGGGTATTTCATCGATTCGGGGAAGGATGAGATTAAGAGCGGATTGACCATTCCCAATGTATCCAGCAAAATCCTTTTCAGTTCTGCTATTTGGCTTTGGGAAGATAAGGGTAATCGGTCCAGGATTTTTTTGAGAAGCCCCTTCAGGCTTTCCAGTTCCAATGGGTCTACCTGTGATCCGCAACTAAATTCCTAGAAGAAAGGTCAGAACTTCACATTGGGCTCCGTATTGAAGAGCTAAATGTACATACACCAATGAAGCATAAATCTGAAGTCAATCTACTGGCTTTAGCAGGGTTCTCAGAATCGAAGGGAAGTCACATACTCCGTATTCTCAGTATAAGACGAGCTCCAACTAGTCGGCCACGACTCTGTCGAGCCTTGTGCGAACTGACTTGTCGCGCGTGACGGATCAGCCTCAGGATACATTAGTGGAGAGCCGATGGCATCATTAAGATCCAATTCGTTTAGTGGGTTTGTGCCGTTAGGTTCTTCCTCTGGATTTGTAAAGAGGTTAGGAGGAGGAAAACTCATTTTGGCGTTGATAAATTCGAAAAATATCCAGATCGATTCAGAGATTGGGGAAATGTCATTCCAAGGTTTCCATATTTAATAGAACGCTCAGGTCCACTAAAAGCGTTGCGGCACAGCCTCTTCACCCGGGCGAATACGACAGCAGTGCCATCCAACAGCATTACACCGCTCCAGTTGGTGTATGTACATATTGAAGACTGCTTGCTGCGCCCTGTGACAAGATTCGTCAACTTTCGTGACCACTAAGTGATTAAGTGCATTAGCCTGCATTGGACAATGTGGCTGATATCTTCTTGTTTGCTACTGAGTTTTCCAATAGGCTGCCTAGTACATAGTAATTATAACGTACTTGAACCGCCACCCGAGGCGCAGCAGGGCCCTAGGGGAGAAAGAGAGGTCATCGCGCAGTCCAAGTTGATGCTCAACATTTGGACTGACTATAGGAGCTTCAAGTTTTGAGGACCGGATGGTTGGCCAATATCAACACGAATTAATATCTCAATGCAAAAACAATGTCCTAGTAGAGTAATATCTACAGACACGGTAGGGATATATAAGTCAAATACACAACGAAGGCCCGCACGGCAGGCCCCCAGCCCCAACCACCAAGCAACCAGGCCGACAAGAATCAACACGATGAATCCAAGGACAAATCCACACTTATATGGTATAACCCTGATTCTCCTCGGGCAACTGTTCCCTCACAGTCTCACCATAAACCTTAATCGGAATAGAAATCTCAAAAGATTCACAACCAAGATACTCCATCGCAGACAAGACTTTACCCCGATCATCAGAAGAAACCTTCTCAAGCAGAGCCGTCCCGGAAGGCGGGGTTCCAGAGATATGTTGTTCGCCATGCAGATTCGGCGTGACAAATTCAAACCGCAAATCCCAGTCAAGCGTGACTCCACTGGTTATAATCGTCGGCGTGGCGGAAATGGGAATAGCCGGACTGAAAACGACGCGCGTGGCGTATAGTGTGTTCTCGAATAGAGATGCGTGAATGCGGCGCGTGGTACGGTGAATACTGGCGTTGGATCGAACGGCCAGGGTAGGCGTGACTTTCTCTGATGTCTCGAGCGAAGCTCGCACGGCGTAAGATGGGATTGAAGCTTCGCTGAAATCCACGCTGGCCATGATAGTCTCGCCTAGGCGGTGGATTGGGCGGTTGAGAACGACGACTGCGATGCGTTTCCCGTCGCGGGCGATCTCAAATCGATTTGGACTGCGTCTTGTCTGTGCGGCCTGGTTGCTGCGCAGAATGGCGAAGTCGATTATGTCCTTACAGGATAGCCCTTGCGGGATCCCGTCATAACTGGATGCCCGTCTTTCGGGGAGGGCTCCCGGGGGGAAGAGGGAGTTTGAACGAGAGCTTTGTTCGAGAATCTCGTCCACGAAGGAGAGGAAGTCGCCGGCAGAATTCCATTGGCTGCTTACACTTTGATTTTTTACAGCCACGGGGGCATGTTGGTTGACTTTTTGCACCTTTGCTTCATCGCGTAGGATTACATATGGGGACATGAGGTCGTGACCTAGGATGTCTCCCTTTTCTGCAAGATTGTTAGAAACTTCAAGTCTATATAGAGAAATCGTAGCACTCACCATTGACCCCGCTGAATACGCGGAACGGGATGTTGATACGGTTGACCCGCTGGGCCTCGTTCGGGCCGCTAGGCCGCTGGGTGCCAATGACCAGATTATAAGAGACCTTAATTGCTTTCCCCTTGTGGCTCGCCGGGAGGCCCCTGGGCAGGGAAAAGGAAAACGTAAAAGATTGTTCCTCTCCAGGTACTAACCGAAGATCGACAAAGAGAAGCGATTGCGGAGTGGAGAGCAAGGGAATGGATCGAGAGGATGCAACACCACGCATGTCACGCAGGCCATCAAGCTCATTGGTGGAGAGGAATCCATTGATAGAATCTTCAATGGCATTCCACTTGAGTCCCCAGAAACCACCACCTTTGCGCGAGCGTTCAGAGCTAGCAGAGCTTGGACGTCCTGGAAGTCCACCCGTTCCTGGTTGTCCTCCAACAACACCCTTCCGCTTGACTTCATCAAAAACAGATTGATTGACCAGAGATCCATCGACAGTGAAGGAAGCGCTGACTTGCGCATAACCCATCAGCAGCGCTTGGCTCTCCGTGAACCTAGTTGTTGTAGGGGTCACGACGCTCGAAAAGTGGCGTCCATGCCGAGCAGGCGGCGGCGCCCGGCCTGATTGAACTGAGTAATTTGTATATTCCGATGCTAATGTCTCACTGGAGTGATCGCTCATCGAGTAAAATTCACCACTACTCCGGCTACTTCCATTTGTTGCACTTGTCGTCGAAATCACGCGCGTAAGTTGTTGGTGTGACGGGGGCGCTAATCCAGGTCCTTCTTTTGAGGTCACTTTTCCTGAAGATGCCGCTTGTTCGGCCGACTTCGGGGAGGGTGATAGAGCAGGGCGTTGTTTATTGTTTGGTTCGGCTGGTGGCGGAGCGGCCGGGAACTTGAAATCGAAAGCTGGAGGCTGAGGTCTGCGCGGTGTTCCTCGCAGTGGTTCTGTAGGGACAATTGGGCTATTTGTAAGAGATTCGGGACGACTTGCTCGTCCAAGATGGGATGTATCGACTCTCAGCCCGCCTGCCGAGGATTCATTTGGCATCTCTGCCAGGGGAGGTCCGCGCAAGGGCATTCGACTCGCTGGATATCAGCAATGGTTAGTTTTTTGAGTCGCGCAGATTATAGGTCGAGGTTTCTTTAGCTTCATGCCACTCACATTTGCGATAAGAATCATCGTAGCTATCATTCCTCCTTGGTGTAATCTGGAGACTGGCTGAACGCCCATGGCCCCTGGTCGGCTTCCCTCTTCCATATGACTGTGGTGGGGTCGCTTTCTCGGGCGGACCTTCACTTTCGATAGACAGAATTGATACAGATCGTTTATGGCTGTGACCCGGTTGCCAACTGCGAGGGGTAGAGGGGCTGCTAGCAGATGGCGGGAAGCTATGTGAGCTGACAGGCGGGGTGCTCATAGACGAAGTGGTTCGGTGGAAAGATTTTCTCTGCGAGCCGATGGAGTATGATCGCTTCCCCGAAAAGAGGCTTTGGGGTGACTTCAGTGAGAAAAAGGAGTCGGAGTTGGAGGAACTGGGGTGATTCGCGACTCGAGACTGCTTCCGCTGGTGGCCTCCTTCAGCTCCATAGCTGGTGTCGGACGTGGTATCAGCCACGTTCTTGAAGGTAATTGTACATTCCACATTCTCTCCGGCGAAGATCGTTTGGTCCTTCCATTTCACGAAGACCTGGATGTTGGAGGGCATGGCGGCGCGGTATTAGCATGTGGGCCGACTCGAGCGTTCAACGTTGAACGAGGGGGAGGAAAGGAGGAGAGGTAGCTCGGCGGCAATGGAGGGTAATTGAAATAAAACCTGAAGCCGATGTCCGCATGCTGTCAAAGGGGCATGAGCATGGGCGCAGGCGTGGGCATGGGCATGTTGGAAATTGGACGCGAGATGGGAGCACTTCAAGTTCAAGTTGGGGTCGGCCGAGGCGGACAAAGTGGCACCTCCGCTTTAACCCAGCCCAGCCCCATGGGACTCTACCAGCAGTGCTTATTACCTGTTCAACACTTTGCAAGGCAGTAATCTACTATATTACAGTAATCAAACTTATTATCTTCTGATATCACACTTTGTCTATTCCAAAATCCTAGACCTGATCCTACCAAAAGACTGATAAACAGAATGGACAATCGCTTCTTCATATTATACAAATGAGTAACTATAGTACATGTAACAGTATTAACACTGGTAGAAAATTAGATGCAGTTCCGCTTCCCCTATTTCTTCTTATCGTTCAACAGCCCCCTGGTATCCGACAAAGGTTGCGAGCGCTGAGTCGGCGGGCGCAAACCCAACTCCGCCATCTGACTCCAGATACGCTCGTGACGATTCTCCCATCGGACACGTCGCTTATCCATCTCCCCCTCCGATGGTCTCCATTTGCTTTTCAGGATTCGGCGGATGGCTTCCGGGGACACCTTGAACTCCTCAGCAAGGACGGCAGTCGTGAATCGATCCGGTGCGGTCGTATTCAAATGTCGAATGCCATCCAAAGCGTCGGGAGAAAGTCTCTTTGCGGGATTCCATCCATCAGGAAACTTCTTCCCCAGTGCATCCTTTTGGATCTCCCAGACCTCGGGCTTCTTGGGTTTCTTTGGCAGTTTGTCCGCTTTGTCGCGTTTCTTGTCCTTTTCCTTATCCGAATCCTTGCGATCCTTGCGGTCTCTGGGTTTCTTTGTCTCGGTTTGGCCTTTGGTATTTCTTGGTTTGTTTGCCGGTCTAGACTTCGCGCCTTGAGACCGGTTTTTCTGGCGTGGCGCGGTCGAGTCTGTGGTGGTTGCGAGTTGCGGCGTGGACTCGGAGGACGGAGAAAGATGAGACTCGGGCGTCGCAGAGATAATATCGTCGCTTTGAGACTGGAGAATGCGGGAATTGGAAGTAAATGATCGGGGTTGCTGGGAATGCTGGAACGGTCGTAGAGGACGTGGCCAGCGACGAACAGGAGAAGACAAGTCGCAGGTTACCTCGGAGCGAAACACACTGCGCAGAAGGGTTGGCAAGGCCAGCTTGGCCGATGATGCACAGTGGAACGCCATTAGAGACGAGGACCTCGGGATGTGATGAATGTTGGAAAGATGTATGAAAAGTAGGCTGAGCTGAGATTGAAATTGGAACCTTAGGAATTCCCAAATTATTTGATGGGCGATAAGATAAGGTTCGATGCCTGAAATCCAAGGGTTGCAAACTTAGTTAACTAACCAGCTCAGATGTATCCATGGCTCTGGCTCGGCCGAACCGCGGTTTGTTTACATCCATGCTATACAAGTATATGGGGTAGATAGATGGCTTGAGGGTGATCTAGTCTAATTGAAACTAGTACTAGTACTAATAATATATGATCCTAAATGGGCGACCCTGCAGAATCCATCGGTGTTCAGGGATATATATTGGGTACTACCCATTCCAGCAGACACCTAACAATAGTGCAAGTGCCAGTGGTTGAAGTATATCAGATTTCATGTTCAAGTTGTCTCCGGATTCTGACACAGTTCCAAGGTTTATGATGACTACTAGTAGGCTAATAAGCCCCTTGAGATAAAGAAAATACACCAGGGCTCTACTAGTAGTCCTTTCTAGCTCATAGTAACCTCGATCTCGCGCCACCGGGATTAGTTAGATTGGTGCTTTGATCGCGACCCACCGGTTCATCTCAGCCGCGCTTTAGCTTCAGCTTTCGACAAGCTCGGAGATCGGAGATATTCTGATAAACTCTAACCAGTACCTACTCTAACTCATTACTCAATGGCATTGTAAGCTGCAAAAACGCATATAGAGTCAATTCTAGCTAGAAGCTTGAGCCAACCCCTGATCCCACTCGTCAGATTCCTTCTGATCGGCTGGAATGATCAACGGTCTTGGCGTGGAATGAGCTCCATGTTTGTGTTTTCCGCTCGACCTTGACCTCTGTCTCTGCCTCCGATCTTTTCTCTTTCTTCTCTTCCCCACGACCTGGGAAAAAAAGCAAAATTTGACACGGCTGGTGGACCTTGGGGAAGTTGAAAAGCTCTGGACCTTTGCCAGCCACCTTCAACTTTGAACCTTACTTCCTCCCCGCCTCCTTTCAACTTTTCCCCTCCACAATCCACTTCCCACCCCTCCGTCAACCCCGTCGCTCGATGCGAATGCGAATGCGCTTGCGAATGGACCTCTAACTTTGCGCGCTCAGGGGACTCTAAACTATCGCTATAGTCCCCCCTCCCATAATCCGAGGTTATGGCCACCACCGCCCCGCTCAGCGCCAAAAGCAAACTCGCTGGCAGCTCCCTGAAGATTACCCCCTCCAACTCCCCCGTCTTGCGCCCAGGCACTCGCTCTGCTAGCAGGGCCTCACACCAGTCGGCCCTCTCGCTGCAGACCGTCATCGGAACCACCACTACAACCCCCAATGGCTTCTCTAGTCATGATCAAAGCAAGAGTTTTGCTTTGTGCGCCGGCTCCGCGGCCGTCCTCGCCGAGCTCGATGACGAAGGCAACCTGAGCCAGCGGTTCTTCCGAGCTCGACCCTCGGCCACCAGTGTGAATCCGACCTCCTCCTTCTACAATCAGTCCACTCCCCCGGCTACTCCAGACCCGAAATCGCGTTCCCTATCACATATCCGCTCCAACCCACATCTCAACGTCCCCATTGGCTCACCGTCCAGCGAAGCTGGCGATTGTGGTAGCCCGCGCGCCTGGTCGTCAAGAGAAAGAGTGAAAGCAGTTACCAGCGTTTCAATCAGCCCCAACGGAAGATTCCTGGCGGTAGGAGAGGTGAGCAAGCGGGAGTGATCAGCTCCGAGAAGACGCCTAAATACTAACTACAACTAGACCGGTTACAATCCCCGAGTATTGATCTTTTCGACCGCTCGCGATGCTCTACCCGATGTCCCTCTGTCCATTCTCTCCGACCACACCTTCGGCATACAAAGTCTCGCATTTAGTCCCGACTCGCAGTATTTGGCCACACTGGGAAACGTGAACGATGGTTTCCTGTTTATCTGGTCAATCAATTTCAAGAATGGTTCGGCCAAGCTACATTCCGTGAATAAATGCACATCTTTCGTCCGTGATATGTGCTGGGTCGGCCAATCCTTGGTAACGTATGTTTTCGAAGAAGATTTCGCATGTGGGATTTCGAGCTTACATTCACCTAGTACCGGAGTGCGACATGTTAAAGTTTGGAGACTTCCTCCCTCCCGACCAGTTTCGCCTACGAAGACACGCTTGAATATAGATGGCGCAGCTCTATCTCCGAACCCGGCGCCAAAGGCCCTTTCTGGAAGGAATTGCATATTAGGTCAATTCAGCGACAGCACTTTCAGTTGCGCCAGAAGTATCTCGGACCAGGAGGGTGTGGTTGGCTCGGAATCCGGCGCTGTATGCTTCCTCGATGACCGTGAAGGATCTCAAAAACTACAGTTCGTCACGCAGGTTGGATTTTCTATAACCTCTTTGACCGTTGACTTCGATCGCGAGTCGATCTGGTTGGGAGGTCGTGGAAGGAAAATGCAGCGACTGTCATTCGACACTCTGCGGTCCTCAACTTCCTCTATTCCTATGTCGCCAGCGCGACGGGACAAGATCATGGTGGATAAGAAGAACAAAATACCCGCAATCACATGCATGGGTTCCCTCTCCTCGCATTTGGTCACTGTGGAGGCTAGTCGCGAAATCCACATCTACCCAACCGAGGGCTTATGCGACGAAGGCGAGCAAGAGCATGGTGACACCTCGATGCCAGCCCACCGAGACCCGGTTCTCGGTATTCGTCGCCTCGATGCACCCAATTTCCCCGCCAGCTTTTTCACTTGGTCTCGCAACGGTTCGGTTATTTTCTGGGATTCTTTGGGCAGATGCCTGGATTTCAAAACAGTTGTCCTCGAGCAGAATTGCGAAGCGGAAGACGTGGCGAATGAACTCAAGGTGTTAAGAGCCCCTTTAGATGCAGAGTTTTTCGTTTCTGGTGATAAATATGGAGTTCTTAGGTTCGTTCTACCCGTCCCTCTTCAATCGACCCATTTACTTATTGTTATTGCAGAGTTCATTCCCGTGAGCCATGGGAGTGCGTTAATGATGTCCGTGCCCACGGAGCAGAGATCACGGACATTGCTGTCCATTCGACAGACGACCTGTGTTTGATCGCAAGTGCTGGTCGAGACCGGATGGTGCAGCTCTTCCAAAAATCCGAGTCGAGTGTGGATCTAATCCAAACCATGGACGATCATGTTGGGGCTGTTAATCAGCTCATGTTCATGAATGATGGCGAAAGACTGCTCTCGAGCTCCGCAGACCGCACCATTCTTGTACGAGATCGTGCTACTCGTGATGAAGACGGTGCCACATCTGTTGCGTATCTCATCACAAGAGTCATCACTCTGAAAGCCTCTCCGATTTCCATGACAGTCTGCCCCGATGACCCGAAAATGCTTTATGTATCCACGATGGATCGTTGCATCTCGAAATTCGATATTCCTTCAGGACGGCAAATTCATTGCTTCAAGGCATCCGACTCGGAAGCCACCGACGCGGTCATAATGGGCGCTTTGACAGTGACATCGGAAATTCCAGGACAATGCCCGAAACTTTTGCTTGGAGTCTCTGGTACCGACAAGTCTATCCGGGTATACGACCTAGAACGAGATCAGCTACTCACCGGGGAATTTGGTCACACGGAGGGTGTTAGTGACGCGATGCTTTTGGAGGAACCTGATCCCAATGATAGATCGATCATCAAACGAAACCTGGTTTCAGCTGGTATCGATGGTATATTGATGATCTGGAACCTATCTGTCCAGCCACAGCCGCCCCCGGAAGGCCGTGACGAGGATGGCCCCACGAAAGAGGCGACAGCGGCCAAACCACCACTTCGGAAGGTCCTCTCACGCAGCGAGCTGGCTGGCTTCCAACGACCCGACAATCCAAGCCCCCTGGGAACTCCTACCCCCACGCGCGAACTATCTCCCACTTTGACTCGCAAAATGTCCAAACTATCTCTCACACCTTCCAATCTGAAGAACCACTCGCTTGCCGAAACCCCATCTCCCCCGAATCGTCGTTCGCCAACCGTTTTCACACCAACTGAATCAAGCCGCCGATCACCGTCCCCGTTAGTCCAAAGTCCAGACCGTCAATCCCAAAGAGGTCTCACGGTACACGGAACTCCAGCCGACGAATCTCATCTGATTTCCGATCCCGCACCAAAAATTCCCACCGGAGCGAATTCGGCAGTCTGGAAATGTCCACTGAACAAGTGTGTCGCACGCTACGGGCCTACCGAAAGAAGCTCAACGGCTCGGGTCAACAAGTCCTCGCGCAGAAGGAGCTGGAGCGAGAATTGACCTTGACGCTTCGTGCTGTCAATGCGCGGTCCATGAACAGTGATGAGAGCGCGGAAACGGAGACAGATAGTAGTGGCAAGGATCTTGACCGCAAACCTAGCTATTCATCTATCTCTTCACGCTCGCCACATTATCCACGACATGCTCCATCAACTCCTCTTCTGCGCCAGAAAAATCTGCGGCAGGTGTCGAGGAGTCGCTCATATGATGCAAATGGAGATGAATGATTTATGGACGCAATATTTTCCTATCTCGTCTTTTTTTTTCATCTCAAGGAGATCTACATCACTTCAAGATTCCCACATTTGTCTTTTCTTTTCTTTTATTTTCGCTTCTATTTGAGGCATAGCATTGAGGGAGTTGCTTTTTCTTTTTCTTTGGTTCCTCCGTCATCCACTCGAGCTCTGATATGCCCAGTGGCAGACAGTCCACCTTCTTTCCTCGTTGGATCTTCTCTTTTCTCCGGATTTTCATGGTGATTCCACCATAACTTTCTTTTTTTCATTTCTTTTTCCTCTTGTTCTTCCTCTTCCTTCCCATTTCTTGATCCTTCCCACTATATTGTGTTTTCTTCCCACCTCCATCCACTATGCGGATCGCGAGTGGCATCCTTCTGTTCTTTGACACCTTATTCTCCCTCTTCTGATGATACCCAATTTACTTTGAGTCAGCTTAGATCATGTCTCTCAGTCTACATTTTACCCTTAATCTATCATTATTCTACCATACGAATTTCCCTTCATAAAAGTAGTACTAGCATGGGTTTAATTTGAGTAAAGATGCCGGTCATCGTAACCATTCCTGGCAAAGTGCCTTTCCCAAATTGATAGAGGAAGCATTCCACGTAGGATGTTTTCCCCCAGCTTATGGCAAAATGCAGTCTACACTCGTCCATCTTGTTCATTAATGGAATTCCCTTTGGAACACGTTCTTGAGTGCTTTGAGGCTAGGTGTGAATCATCGTGAGTCTCTGCAGGAGGTCTACCTATTAACAGCGGGCTGCTACCAATCTATCTGCGTAGTTGAATAATTTTGCTCGTAGATAAACTATTCATATTGTACGTCAGAGCACACATGCGAAAGCAGAAAAAATGTAGTCAACCCGGACAACAACAGGAAACGAACAACAAACACCCCACCGAGACCCTTTCAAGATAAACACGTCTTGAGCCGACCCCGAAAATCCTCTGCAAGGCTTGCGCCTTTCTGATCTCCCATCCCTTCGGCCAGTCTAGTCGACTTAGAAGCCCACCGCTTGCAATCCTTATCCTTTCCCTCAGCGAAGTAATTAAGGGCTTGGTTGAAAGCCCGCACAGCGAGATATTCAAGTTCGTCATCCGGGTACTTGCACTGCTCGCAAGGAATTGATTTGACATCGACTTCAAGACTAGACTCGCAGTTTCAGCCCGGTGGCTTAGGACTCCAAAATGGGAAATTGGTACTCACCCTCGAGAAGTCTTTGGCAATCTGGGGTTTCATCCTGACGGATGACCTCAATTTCAAGAACCATCACGGAAAGGGCGTCGCTGTTGCTCTAGAGCACCGTCAGACAGATCAGAAAGTAAAACACAAACGAATTCTGCCTTACCCTCTTCAGATTCTCACCCTCTTCAGATTCTCCATCTCCTTTTCGATGTCTTTCCTTCTAGAAACGTTCTTCGTGGCAAGGTATGCACGAACTAGCATATTCAGATCAGCTCATGCGGATAACCCAATGATTGGAGAAGTACCAAGTGTCGCGCGGCACCGAATATTCCAGATCCCGATATCACCGGATGATGTCTCAATCTTCGCGATGGACAACTCGACTTGCTCAACAGCTCGTTGTAGCCACATGGTGGCAGCATTAAGGTCGGTTCCCAGTGCGTCGATTCCAGCATTGTAGCAAGTTTCGATAACGAGGTCTCGGTTTCCGAGTCGATTCCCTATCGGGGCCCTCGCAAATAAATGATCGGCGATATCAGGACGACATTTGAGAAACTCCTGTAGAGAAATTAGCTCCGGGAGAAGATTTTCCAGCGAAACTGATTTGTCCATACCAGGCGAACTCGAAGCATGTAATACTCTGCAACAATGCCATGCAGTTGGGCTTGGTCAATCGAGCGAGCAGGGCTTTTCAAGGAGTCGAGACGCTGTGCACTGGCCTCAAGAATCTTGAGCGCTGAGTCCAGCTGATCTGCCTCTGTAGTACATGTCAATGTCGGTCTCCTTTGTATAATATCTTTTTTCGAGAAATGTACCCATCGAGGAACGTGCGGCTGCAAATTCGACCTTCAGGATCTTGATATGGCATGGAAAGTATTCGGTCTTACCGATTGCCGCATGAACCGATGGCGGACTGGGATGAGATGTCATGACGAAGTTGGTTAGATTGATGTTGGGGGCTAGATATGGGGTGTTGATTGGGTCAAATAAGAGGAGAAAATGTGTGAGAGAGGAAAGAGGGGTGGTGAATAAGAAGGATGTTGGATAAGTGAAGTTGTTTTTGGGGTTAACAGTTTGGAGGGAGGTGGAAGGGCAACTACGGCAAACCCGGGAACAACCACTACAAAACAATCTTAGACAAAAGATACCAATCGACGTAAATTCAATGCGAGATAATCAACTATTGTACACATTGTACATTTCAAGGCAAGGAGACGTCCAGCCTCGGGGAATCAAAAACCAAAGCTCGTAAAGTAAAGTCAATCAACAGAATGCCGAAATTTTGGAACCTGAGCTATACAAAACAGCCCAGCAATATGAATCAAATGGGAACAAAAATAACCAATTCTAGACCCAAGGCCTACTTATGTATACGCTGCGTGGGAAGGAAATTACCGACAATCATAGAGGGACTAGCAGGTGGTTAGCATGCGAGTAGTTTATTTTCAGGGAGAGTTCTTACATGTTATGGTTGTCGCGTCGGATCGTAAACGAGAAGCAGCATTGGATTCCCTCGCCTGTTGAGTCAGATTTCGGGCTCTTCAGAGTACAACTGGTGAGCATTGCCTTCTGTGTGTTATCAAAGGCAATGGCACCGAATTTCTCCCAGTAGCTGACAAGCTGGTCTTCAACGATGATCTCATGGATAGCAAGTTTTCCCTAAAATGATAAATTAGTACGTGGCGGGCCGGGTTTGCTGACGGTATTCATCCAACTCACATCACGCAGACTTTCAATCGGGACATCAATCAATTGCGCCATCTCATTGTTTCCTCGGAATATCTCCCCCGTTCTTCGCCAGCAGCAGGCGGGGATAGCCATACTGGCAAACACACGGTCATACTCCATCAGGCTGCGCTCGAACCACATCTCCACCAGAATCAATTCGATATCAGTGAGGCTCTGCATGCGCTCACGGAATTTCGGTCGGAACTTGTCCAGCTGGCGGAGGATCTTCTGCCGGGATGATTGGTGCATATTCTTCTCCATATATTGGTTGAGTCTGGCGTATCCTTTGACATAATTGAATGGCTTCAGCAGACCAGCGTCGTATTTTGCCTTGAGGAGCTTGTTCATGCGCTCTTCCGGTGGGTCTGATCCTGACGGGTCTGCCGCAGTCATATAGTATGTCTCACGGGCCTTGTCGTTTCCAACAGTAGACGTGGGTCGTTGGATCGAATCGCCAGGTGGAGCCTGGCTCTGTGTAGGTGGCGCAAGCTGCGAGGGTTGGATGCCATTCGGCACGTTCAACGTGGTCATCGAATTGATCAACGAGGGGTCGGAGTATATTTCATTCATATTCTGATCTGGGAAAATCGCGCCGTCGTCCAACAGACTGTTGCTAAGGAAATCACCAAGCAGGTTGTATTCGTTCGTGACCTCAGGCGCATTGAACATGTACGACGGATGGAGAGAGTGCATGTCTTGGAACTGGTTCTGTCCACCCATCCAATTGTCATACGCCATCACTAGAATTTCCAAGTCAGCGGAGAGCCCGACCACGAAAAGCATTCCGCTGGAGAATATACTTACTGGGCTGAGGGGTGGCATTGAGACCTTGGCCCGACGAAGTAATGCTTGCCGGCTGTACTGTGGAAGGCGGCATTCCCATCGCACCGTCGGGGAGGATTTGCTGGCCGGCAGCATCCGAGACGTCAACATTTTGAGGCATGCCTGAAACGTTGACCAGATCATTATTGGACGAGGCTGGCTCGTCCGCGGTTGAATCGTCTTGATCACGTCGTTTCGTGGGTTCCCTGGGCTCGTCGTGGCATAAATGACCGATATTGCGCTTTATACATCGAGTACACGGCCGTTCCTTGAGAAGTCGCAAACATGTCAGCAGGCAGATCCTCCCATAAGCAACGGATGTCGACAGCCCGGCTGCGCAGGCAACGGGTCGATTGAATGGATAGAGGGATATCATAAATCAAACGGGAGAGAGGTCGTACCGAATCGCAAGTCATATGCTGTCCCACGCGACCACCTTCAGTTAGCAAAAGTGTTCCTCAAATAGAATTCTTGCCACCTCCGCAAATGAGATGAGGGGCTCCAAACGGCGGGGGATATTGTCGCGAAGGGCAACCGGGTGCGCGCGTGTGCCAGAGGAGATTGGGATATGAATCATGAGAGGGCTTACCGAGCGACGACAGTAGACACAGGCTGTTGCAGAGAAATTATCTCGTTAGCCCAGGTACTTTCTTCCTCTTCGGATCTTCCCCCTCCCCACCCGGTCACTCCCACGGAGAAGCGCAGGAGGGGGATTGGAGGGTGACGAATCCCTGTCGCATGCGCGCGCGAACGACAACTCACCATGATTGACCTTACGACGCTTCTTAGAACTGGAATGACTGCCGGAGCCAGTGGTTTCGGACTTGACCGCAGATGCTGCTGGCGAGTCCTTTGCGCGCGCATCCCTCCCTGCGTCGCCTTTAGACTTGGCAGTCTTCTCGGATGCGCTTCTCTCTGTCATGGCGGAAATGCTGTGCTCGGGACCGGGTAAATTGGCTGCCTGCAGACATTGACAGGACTGACAGGATTGAGTACAGTTTTGAGGGGAAAGGAAGGGTGTCCCGATCAAAGTTGGGGGGGAAAGTTGTGGTTCGCTGGTCCTTTTGGGGTTGAAAAAGCGGAGTCATCCAGTTTCCCCTCCGACCTGCTCCGCACTGATTTCCACTCCTCGGGCGGTTAAAATGGACTACGAGTACATGGTGTCTATGGGGCTTACAATGCTTACAGTGCATACAGTGCAACCTGCACTAGTGCGATCATGATCATGATCATTTTGGCAACCCCATATCTTGTTCATTGCTTCGTGGTAATTACTCTGCTCTCATAGGCCGAGGCCGAGGCCCAGCCGGTCACAAATGCCGCGAGCATCTCGGCAGCTAGAGGAGAATCCCCAGATTGCCTTGATCGGCCTAGTCCATGCTCCTCACGATCTGGTGGGATTTGTAGAAATTACCCCTGCATCTCACGCGGAAGCCTCTGGTAACAGCCTAGGCTGATGTGCCTGATTCACATGTAGCGAGGAGATCTGAGCACGCGAAGGATTGAGGTCTGGCCACGGGCTCGGGGCGCGATTCTCAACCATCACTTTGGTGTAGCCGCTGCGCCTCCGATATTTTAGAGCTTTGGCAGTTCACATGTCCCTCGCTTCGTATGGATGGTGAAAGAAAATTACAACCCCATGGCCGTACATCGTATGATCATCGGAATCTTGTATGGGTATATGTGCCGCGGCCTCAATCGTTCGAGAAGAGATCCAATGCAGCTTGTGATCGGGTCAGGGCATCTCTTAGCCCTGTGAGCGGAGCCATATTGCTCTGCATGGACTGGAGATGGCCGTGGAGTTGTTTCATGAGGACCTGGACCTCGGGGTCCTCGTCCAACTAGATAATGGTCAGCGCATTTATTCCAACACAAGAGACAATCACAAGAGGTCATACATCATCGAGGTTAATCTGCCTGTTCTTCACATCCGCAAGTGTAAATTCGGATGATTGACCGTCTTGACTTTCCTTTGGGTTGTCCAACTGTCGGAGAACAGGGTGCTCCTGCAGAAGACGGTTAGCTCGAAAGTTGTTTTGATGTGAAACAGTTCCCTCACCTTCTTCATCTGCCGTTTCCTCTCAGCGTCTGCCCGCTTGGCGTTCTTATCCATCTCTTGCAACGCTTTCTTTTCGCTGGCAAGAAGTGTCTCCTCCTTGGCAATCTCGGATCTCAAGAGGTCGATACTGTCATTCATCGTGGACAATTTGGCTTCGAGGCCTCGCTAGTAGCCAGTTAGTACGACATGGAGTGGATGTTGGCAGTTTCCAGGTCACGCACATGCTCATTGAGCGCAGACTCGTAATCAAAGTTGGAGTCCTTGGTGATCGGAGGGAAGGGCATTCGCGGCAGTCGCTTTCCAAGACTATCGATCATACCAGATTAGCACTTTTTTGCTTTCTCACATGTCGCGACCACTCGTTTGCAGTGCATCGCGCAGCATCCGTAAGGTAAACATTCGTAGACGTACTTGCGCACTACTGCCTGGACTGCACTTTGCGCCTCAATGCGCTTCTGTTCATTCTTATTGCGCATAATCACCGGTCGCTCTAATGAGTGAAACAGGTCCCGGACCTTATCTTGGACCGGTTCGGGGAGAGTGGTCCATTTGGCCTTGATGGTCTTTTCGGAAACGCGCCGAACTTGCGGCTTCAGGTGCGCGTATCGCTTGGATTCGGTCGCGTCATCATCGTTTCCGCTGGCGCGCTTCCGTTTGGGTGGCATACTGGAGTGGAGTGGAGGGATGTTCGGGTGTGATGTGTTGATGAAGGTGAGTGCAATGCGGAGTTGCAGTTGAGTTCGGCGCGTCGGCCAAAACAGAGTGGAGAGTGCCAGTGGGTCAGCCTGGGCTAGCGGGGGCTACTACCTTATACATACTTCCTGCCATATGCCCCCAATCGACAATCTCTACCTTATCTGAACTATTTACGGCCTTTCAAGCACCATGGAAAGCATTGATTTTATAAATAACTCGCCAGAATTCTTCGATTGTTAAGCTCACATCCTGACTTCCCATGTCGCCATGGTCCTGAACCATGTAATGATCGAGCAATGTATAATACCTCCTCTTGACTCCAGGTCTCGCCCTCTGCCCGTCGGAAGCTATCAAGATCATTCAGTGCCTCCAGAATATACTTTTTTGTACTTTCGTCATGTGCTGATGCAAAAGTGAATATCAATGCAGCTTGCATGGCAGGCAAACCAAGTGGTTTGTGGAGTCGACTATATTCGATGAGCTTCCAAACTCGGTGACATTGCTTTAAAACAAGTGCTTCCAGCTCCAGGCTCTCCTCCTGCGTCTTTATAGGCAGAGATATCAGAATTCGACAAACCAGGATGCTGAAACTGGCGAGATGGCACATTCCCATCGCTGCCATTGTTGTCCTAACCTCGAACATAGTTGGCAGTGGATCATCCAATCGACGAGATGGAATTTCGCTGATTGATCCATGCTCATATATGAATTGATCAAGTGACTTTTCAATATGCTGCAACATTCAGCACGTCGCGTGCCTTTCGAGATAGGCTCGGGATATTGATTCCCATGTCGCCCGTTGCAAGAAGTGAGATTTCTCGCACAAGCGTGGGCCACACCGTCATCGACCGAATTAATCTAGAACATCCAATTTTGAGATCTACTGTGTGACCTCGCATATCGAGTGCATCAGCCCATTCGGAATTGATCAGAAAGCTATCTTCTCTTTGGGTCACATAGTGTTGAGTCTGAAACCTATCGCATTAGCATCGTAGATCGCCCCATGGAGAGGGGAAGGGAGAATACAAAGCTAGTAACTTACAATAGAAAGGTGACTGTCCATGTTTGCTTGGAATTCCATCAAATCGTCCTTCTGAGGAGGGCCCCTCTTTTGTAACAATGCAGCTAGGCCAGATGCGTGAACTTTGATGCCATTCTTTCGAAATTCCCGAACAAAGCCTTTCAGATATTAAGTACTCTAATATTCGAAAAGAAAAAGGTTCAAAGCTTACCTCGAGACGATGTAATGAGATTGCACTGGACAGAGTGCCCAGAGAATCCCACTCATTAGGGTCATTGAGCGCCTGCTGCAGACTGCGCAATGCATGACTGTATAAGCGGGGTAGTATTCGATTGCACGGATCACATTCTCGTAGGAAATTCTCGTAAGAAGATATTAAACATAGAGTTGCAGAATTTATGACGTTCGAATGGCCTAACATCTGCGGTATGTCATAAATAAATTGCCCCACTGTGCCTAAGCAGAATGAAGGATCTTGGATTCGAACTGTTACGGCGAAACGACCTGACAGGATTTCAGATTCAGTGATTGAAACTGACATACAAGGATAATTCTGAAATCGGTTGTCATCGGACGTTACGAAGGGGTTTTGTCGTGGCAGCTTTGGATCTTAAAGGAATCTTTCGAATTTTCGCGCCATCATAAATAAACTCCAATGAAGGCCGTGTGGGACAGACCCGTTTAGACCGTTGGCATGGCCCACAGACAGGTCAAGCGCCGCCACACTATTTAGTCACAACCTTTTTTGAGGGGTTATATTGATATAAGAGCATCCGCAGGCGGAAATTTAGATGTTATAATCAATCAATATACCCACTTCCAACGCATATTCCCAAAGTCTATATTCGATTATCAAAATGTGCCTTCTTCTCATCCCTCTGCTTTGCAAAAAGCGCAAGAATTCTAAGAACGCCGAACCCTCACCACGACCAGTCACTATCCCACATCAAAATGGTGGTCCCGGGATAGGAAGAAATGGCAAGAAATATCAGAAGGATTTGAAGAAGTACGGACCTGAAGTTGCCGAAAAGAATCGAAAGAAAAGAGTTGGGGTTGCGGTAGCGGCGTGAGTACTTACTGATGAAGTTCAATGCTTTGTTTAGCTAACAATAATTTCACTTCCCAGAGCTTATTGAAAGACCTTCTTTATTACCTCTAGCTGATATATTGTTTCAGTGTACGAAATGGACAAGCAGAAAGCATGGTCGCGGGTCCAAAATATAGCGAAGCGCCGGAGGGTGGAGAATAATTTTGCTTTCTTATAATTAGTTTCAGCATTCCGAGCTTGAAGTATCAAGTGCCTTTCTAGATGAGTTATATTCTTAGAATAATATGCCATAAATCTGCGAAAATATACTACATAAGCATATTGGATATAGCATTTTTGTAACGAAATAATTGTGGTCTAAGAACAACAGTCACATTCTAGAAAGAGCTTTCCCTATCGTGCCATGCAGCACTGGGAAAATTGGTATGTTTTCCTTACAAGTAATTTATCATTGAAACCCTAGCAGGCTGTTAACCCCCAAAGAGGTTTGCTGGAAGGCGTTGAAAAATGAAGAACTCATTGATTGTAGTCAATCCGCCTCAGCAGACCTAATCTCACTCGATGTAACTAAGCCTCGCGCCCTCAGATTCATCTTGCAGATCACTCCCCCAAAAATGGCAATTTTGTGAGGGCTGAATTGTAAGCCTACTCAGCATCGCCCGATGTTAGCCAGTATTATACATAAATTTCACAAGTTCGCAAAATGTCCCAGAATGCTACCAAAATTTGACTTCCGGAAGAAGGCAGAGTGTTCGACGGCTCTGGTCAATGACTTTGAAAAGGAATAGTATAAAATCAAGCTCAAAACCCCCTCAAATCATTCTCACCATCCCAAAGCATCAATCACTATCAGTCCACTTTAAGTCGACTTTATCAAAGTCCAATTTAAACCCAAGCTTCGAACTTCTACCAAGCAAAATGGCACCCATTACTCTCTTCGTCGCTATACTAACTACAGCATCTAATGCATTTGGCTACACCTTCACAACCTGCAACGCAGGCTGCGCCGGAACCGGCTGTGGAGGAGAAGCCACTTCGTGGACCCTTGGACCAGCCAGTACTCAAAACATACCAGGCACCCAATGCATCATCTGGCCCAAGGGTGGATAGGCCGGCTCGTGAGATATATGCAATCGTGCCAACGGCGGCGGCTCCTGCCCCAGCGGTAGCAACCTCAACTGCTTTGATGCTGAGGATTCGTCTGGAAGAAAAATCTGCAATACTGCTGGATCCCAGTTCATAGGTATCAAGGCATAAAATATTCAGTCAATGCCTATTAATACGCGCGCTCGAGTACATCGTTTTTAAGAGGTGGGTTGGGCAAGTATCTTTATCACAAAGATATGGCATCTGCACTTCTCTTGTCTGCCCAGGTGTTCAGCTTCAAGTTCAAGTTCAAGTTGTGGATGCCCGATTTCTGAGATAGTGGAAAGGAGAGGTTGCTACCGTCAATTTGTTTGCCTGATTTGCCATCGATTGTTGTTTTTCCAGTTAGCTTGTGTTTCTTGATTACTGTCACTTAATCTTTCCTAGTCAACACAAGAAATGATATTATTAAAGCTCCCGTGTACGACATATCGTATTGTGAAATGGATGTTAGATGGAAGAGTACATTTTCTGATCACTGAAGAACCCGAGGTGGATATTATATCTCCCAGAATACTGCGAACAATAAATATTTGCAGCCTCTGCACTTCAAATAAGGCCCCCACCTCCTCTGCCTGATGAGTCTTTGAAGCAAATATTCAGATTTTCGAGCTCCTGTAGAAGTAGTTCACGGCCGTCACATTTCTGAGCCGTGTCAAAATCGATCAAAGTAGCCTTCGAATCACAGATGAGAAATTTAAATCGATTGGTGTCTCCACGTCGGACTCCTAAATCATGTAGTCAAGATGGTACCTCCCCGCACATCTCAATGTCCTGGGTGTCAGCTTGCCGGGCATCGCTTATGCGTTCCAGTGGAAACCCAATCACCCGACCATTTTCAGTTAAGTTGGCCCAAGAAACGGGGTCAATAGTATGGCCGTATATCCATTGATATGCTGTAGTTTCATTTTCCATGTATTGAATCTCCCAATCGAACCGAGCGAGTTTTGCGACGAAAGCATCATGAGATAATGAGGATTTGACTTCATAGATGTCTGTTCGTAATTTTCGACCAATCGAAAGATCTGAATAGTCGATACAGGTTTCGTGCCACGTATTCTGGACGCCAGGGAATCGGGTCAGGGAAACACGCGCAAAATGCGGTCGGCCGTCGTTTGGGTTCTTAGCCACTAATCCGTCGTTCCAGTTTCCAGGAGGGAAATTTGGTAATAACTTGTATGTTTACATACAAATGTTTTAATTTGTAATAATTATTATAAGTATCGACGCCAGAGAAGGGCCAAAACACATTTCTTCGGAGCTATAAATGTCTGGTTCCACGGTGATGTATTTGAAAGATACTTTGTCGACCATAATGCGGAAAAAGCTTTGATCATTTTCGTCAACTTCAGCTCGGAGTAATTCAATTTCGGGTTGGGAATCTATTTTGGTAACAGATGGGAATCAATAAGCGAACTTCCAGGAGGTTAGCTACACTTCGACTTGTCCTCAGGTGTCCGAGATCAGGATTATTCGTGCTGTTTGTGTTTTTCAAGTTGTGCTTTTGCTTTTTTGTGATGGTAGCCGAGAGATTGAGTCAGCAAGTTGTTCTTCCCGTGTCGCTAAAGGGCATGCAGATCGGGTTGCAAACTCTCGATCTGAAACGAAAAGCCGGCGCATAGTTACCACTAGCAGTAGTATGCGGTAGGCACCAGTAACTTGAATGTGGCTACATTCGTCAACCCCCAAGGTCCCAAGTTGAAAGCATCAACAAATTGAGAACCTTGGCAAGAAATCAACACAAAAGTTGGCTGTGCTTTTCCCAAGGCTAGGCTAGGTCACAGGCATTTCTGTATCTTCAAAGTTTGATTTTGTTCAACCATGGGTTATTTCCATAGTATACAAGTATGTGTACAATGGCCTGAAAACCACATCTTATATTCATCATTTGATGCAGTGTGCCACCCTGAGGGAAATCACTATTTGCCATGCAGCAGGACTTAGTCCGTACTATATATGCCTCAATATATGCCAGTGCAGTTCGATATATGAGAAAGAAAAGAAAAGATGCAGAAAAGAGGTATGATGAACGCAACAACCAGCGAGCTTGCCCGTCCCCTCCAAAAAAAGAAATGGTATCAATCATCAAGAGCCTTTAACGCCCACTCCCAACGAGTGCGTCTTCCAAACCTACCCAACCCAGCCGCTAAACCGCTAGAAAACAAGATTATGCGCCAAACCAGTTCAAATGATAAAATGAAACAACATTAAGGGTTCATGGTCATGTCACATCAGAGGGATCACACGAAGTGGCCCCCGTTATCGTGGCATGACCAGACCATTAATGCCCTTCATCTCTCCTATTTGCCTTTGTAGGATATCATTGCCGCGTAACAGTTCCTCAAGCCAGTCAGCGGCTTGAGTCAGCATGGCACTCTTGCTAAACCCGCCACCTCGGAGTCCCGGGACGAGAATGCATAGATCGTCGAAGCCTTGACGGATGAGATTACGCCGCTTCTGCTCCGAGAGGATGTGGTTGGTTCTCTTCTGCTCTTCAGAAAGATTCTCCCGAGCATTCTTGCTATTCGGTGTAAGTCGCGCCTTGCTCGAGGAGTTTGTGGCGGTAGAGGCGCGCCGCGCTTTGGCATTGCTCGGGGTCCTGGACTTTCGAACCAGTCTTGCATCTTCTTCGTCCGAGAGTATTTCGCCGTCGTTGATAATGCGTTGTCGTTTGCGTGGTTGGGATAGATCATCCTGTTCCGCGTTGCGGAGGGCGGCTCGTTGGGCGTGAGCGGCAACCAGCCGCTCCGGGGTCGTTGGGCGAGTGTTGGCTGCGCTGGCCTGAGGCTCGAAACAGTCCAGATGTTCTAGAAGATCCCGCGTGCGAGTTTCCATGTCGGGTTGGTCAGGTGGGGCGATGTAGCCCTGGTCCATGAAACTGTTGTCAGAGCCCCAATGCAGACCTCGCACTTTGCGAGAGGGGTGCTGGTCTTCGGGGATGGGGTCTCGGACATCAAAGAGCATCTCGGAAGTGTGAAATCCGGTGGGGAGCTGAGCTCTTGTCGGGGATGAGCCGGATGCATGTGCCACACCCACAGGATGTGTGGCGCGGCGGCCTTGGGATGAAATGGACTGACCAGCGAAGGCTTGCTGCGCCAGCGCAGAGCCGATTTCAGCGCCATTCATGCCATTTTGGTAGAGCATCGAGGCAGCCGCGTAGACATCATAGCCTGCACCAGCACCATTCCCGAGCATCAAGCCGGGTTTGAGATTCTGCTGCTGTTGGAAGGATGGCTGAGACAGCGATGTCGTCGAGCCCTCGAATGTTGGGGGCAGTTCACTGTTCCAGTCAAAGTGGATACCAGAAGATTTGTCCTGTTGACCGCGAGGCCAGAAGTCACTTGAAAAGCTGTTTGAATTCATAGTTGTGAAGAAGTTGTCAAGCATGTTGGATTCGTTATCGTCAAGAAGTGAAGGACCCGGGGGTAAGGCGGGCGCCTGTTCAAATGGGGTATCCATCGGAGCGAGAAAGGAGTCTGGATGAATATTAGGAACGAGGTTTCACCCTGAGACGATAGCAAATCGGAAAAATCATTGGGATGAACTTACAGCCAAATGGGCCAGCGTCTGGAGGGGAAGTGCGAGTGGTATGTAGTTCAGGACCGGGTCCATTCATTGTCACAAGGGACAACGGTCTTTGGGAAGAAGGAGGGAGGATAGCGGGATGGGATGGGGTCAGAAAGTATCGGTCTGAGCGATGGAGAGCAAAGATGACCGGAGCCAAGCGATCATGCCTCGTGAAAATCCGGGGAACAAGTTTCGTCCGTGATATAAGATTGAGTCAAGTCAAGCGAGGATCTGCGTTGCAGTTCACAAAGTTGTAGGAGGGCGGATGATGTCGGGACGCCAGGTGAAGATCAAGATGAGGTAAAAGCAAAAGAACGATTCAAGAAGAGAATGCAAGTGTGATGACGAGGAAGATGGAAGAGAAAGCTGGGGAAGATGAGAGTGTGGAGCGCCTCAATCATCAACATCGCATCGCAATCATCGTCGGCCTCGGATCACATGCAAATTTTCCGCGGTCGCGTGACGTAACGTACTGCAGTTACCATACAGTACCGCCCAGTCCCACTATGGCAAGAAGGGTCCGGGAGGTGTTGAATACAGTATAGCCATAACAAATTAGCTATGGGATGATTGGTGATAGTGGGCAATTCAATGAATAGTTACAGGAGTACTCCGTACATACAGAGCATAAACAGAGTATATGTGTCTACAACAGTATGGAGTGCAGTAGATGCTGTAGTATGTGGTGCATTGCAGTGCAGTGCAGTGCAGTGTATATGTATACTTCCATACTGTATGTACCGTACCTACATGCGTGCCTTCCACATCTCTACTACGAGTACAGAGGACTACTCTTTACTTACAGCCCTGGAGTCTACTCCGTACACTCTTACCTTCTAGTTACCTTTACTTCTGCCCTCTACACCACGAGTACACCCTACACCTTACACCTTACAGTGACTCTCCGTACCTCCACTGCCGTGGACCTTGGTCCGTGGTCCGATGTCCGACAAAGCCCCGCAGTCTCCATACCCTGACCCCTTCCTTTCATACTCTCCATGATCGTCCACCCCCTGAGAACAATCCCAAACCTAACAAAGTCCTTTTGCGGAGACTTCTTCCACCTAGAGGGGCCGAGGTTCAGTTCTCCCCTACCCTACTTATACTACCCCGTCACACAGATCCACGGTTGATCATCGACGCAAGAAAAAAAAGAAGAAAAAAGAAAAAAACACCGATCTTGCAGGAGGGTTGCCCCGGGAGGATCCCCCCCCCCCTCTCCTCCCTCGGCTCCGAGCCAATACTACCCAATTTTCGGGCGGCCGCAAATCCTCGGTCACCGGTCACTGGTCACCCACTGGAAGTGTGTCTTTTGCGATCTCTCTTGTTTTCCCCTGTCGTTTCATTGGCGACAGGTAACACGCGTTGGACCTGCCATCCCCGATCCAGACCCAAACGAAAGCCTTGGCACGCCGTTGAAGCCGGCTGGGATGCTTATCCCGAGTCTCCCGCCGATCAAGATATGGTTACCGGCAGGATGGATCCTGTCGTTCGGCTGAGTCTCTATGACCGTCAATTTAGGACCCGGGTCCTTAACCCGTAAGTCGTTCCTGAACTTGGAAGCCGGGCATCGCTTCCCCTGCCTTCCCCAAATAACGGTTTCTTCGGGAGCCGTGGAACCCAACCCCATGTAGGACGGAGTACTTACTTATATCGGTCTCCAGTATACTTCGCGCCTACGCATTAGGATACCTCTCCGCGGTCACCCCCAAACTCATCTCCTACGCCCGAAGACTCGGGGCCAGAAACTGGGATACCACTCAAAAGCTACGCGAGGTACGTTTCAAGTCATTTTTGAGATTTCTTTGAGCAACTTTCCAAGTCATGCAGTGATGTCACTGCTGTCCCCTCCCTTGTGTTCAAATTACAGTCTTTCGATCGTTGCGATATACCTCGCAGGCTAACTCCGAATCTGAACCCTATAGCTGGCTCAAGTTCTAGCCGGGCCTTTGCGTGTCAACAGTTTCCCAACATTCTGCGCTGCTTTGGTCGGTGGGTCAACCTTCCTACCGGCACTCTTGTATCAGATATGTGTCTCGATCGTAACCGGTCCCTCCAAGGGTGGCATTCGACTGTCCCTGCGCCTGCGCCGATTGATCCAGTTTGTCACGGCGTTCATCTCGGCATGGTTTAGTTTTCAACTACTGAACAAGGACCGTGGCCTTTCACGGAAAGACGTAAGTAGGATAAGAGCAACAATCAGCCAAGAGGAGAACCCTGCCAGGGCCCCGGCCAATGCTCTCGAGCGCCCACCGCTTCCCGAGCTGGTCGGGAGGACAATGGACCTCACTCTTTTCACGGCCACTAGAGCGCTGGACGTGGTTGCATGTCTGGCATGGAGTCGTTGGCGGCGGCGTCGCATGTTACAAAATCGCTGGACCCTGGCTGAATCCGTGGCCCCCGGTCTCGCAGACGCTGGAGTCTTCGCCATGAGTGCAGCCGTGGTCATGTGGGCATGGTTTTATGTCCCTGAAAGGCTACCTCGAAGTTACGAGAAGTGGATTGGCGAGGTAGCCAAGGTGGACACGCGATTGATCGAGGCTCTCCGTCGTGTTCGCTGGGGCACTTTTGTATATGGAAAGGATACAGGCCAAGCGCCTCTTCTAGAAGCCATGTGCAGAGACTACAACTGGCCCATAGAATGGGGAGACCCAGCCAAAACAGTCCCCATTCCGTGCGAAATGGTACACATGGGCTGTGGCCCTAATTGCGAGCTCCACGCATTGTCCCGCTTTGCTAGAACCTTCAAGTTTGCTTGTGCAACCTATATCCCATTGCAGATTGTCCTGCGCTTACGGGGCTTGAAGAACCCTGCCGTCTTGACTCGGGCCATATCCGAGGGCGCCCAGTCATCTGCCTTCCTCGCCTCTTTCGTGAGCCTCTTCTACTACGCCGTTTGTCTAGCCCGGACTAGACTTGGTCCTAAGATCTTCGACCAGAAGACGGTCACCCCGATGATGTGGGATTCTGGCCTTTGTGTTGGGGCAGGATGCTTTATGTGTGGGTGGAGTGTGCTTGTTGAAAAAGCGCGGAAGCGACAAGAGCTGGCATTGTTTGTGGCACCTCGAGCTGCGTCTACGGTGCTGCCACGGTTGTATGATAAAAAGGTATGTTATGTTCTATCCTCGCATCTCCCGGTTGGCGTGGGGTTACACACGCTTTACCCTTCTCTCGAGGAGCTTCGGCGCTCCTTGGAGACCTTTTATCATAGTCATGCGATAACTAACAATCTTTTCCCTTTCTGACAGTATTTTTACCGTGAGCATATTGCATTTGCAACGAGCGCTGCTATTCTTATCACCTGCCTTCGAGAAAAACCTCGCTTAGTCCGAGGCGTCTTCGGCCGTCTTGCCACCAGCTTGTTGAATTAGGAGTGATGTGGTGTTTCTGTATTACTATGACGTTTTTCAAGGACTGCCCAGGTCGACTGTTTTATTAGCATTTACTTACTAGAAGGCACTATAATGTGATCAATAGAATATTGTATGATTATTTAATCTGAAGCTTATCTAGTAGGTAAGTTCCCTCAACAAAAGATGCCAGGTAATCAGGTACATAAATATACACCACGAAGTTGAATTATTCGAGTTATAAAAATTCCTGGTCTTCTAATTAAATTTCCTGATGGACGCCCGCTTGCTCTCCCAATGGGGCTCTGTGCTGACAGTTGGTACACACTGACGGCACGTGACTACACCTATCGATAACGGCGGGACACGTGATCTTCAATTCCAGGAAGGCCGGCCGCATGATCGACGCCATTGCTCCAATCTGAAGACATCAAGCCATGTTTCGCTCACTATTCCCCTCATGGGGGCGCTGTACGCTGACTGGAACTATTCCGCAGCGCTCAATCTATCTGCGAAAAGGTATATTCGAAGCAGAGAGGAGGTATTTCTCAGGCAATTCTTTGCTCCGCGCACAACGCAATGACTCCGCAGCACCGTTCAACACGCCGCAATCGCAGCAGCGCAATACCTCCACTATGTGAGTCGAAGCTCTAGCTTTATTTATGCATATTGGCCGACTTAGGCTAATAATCGCTCTCAGGTATTATACCATCAGTATGATTCTCGGAACTGTCGCTCTCGCGTACGGATCAGTTCCTCTCTACAAAATGGTTAGCAGCACCCATAGTTTCCCTTAGCAAACCATCGAAGTGCTGTGTTAATTCTTCTCTCTCGGATACAGATTTGCCAACAAACCGGCTGGGGCGGACAACCCATCCTCACTCATCGTAATGGGGACGGCGACACTGCCGCACGCGTTACACCCGTGACAGACTCCCGACGCCTCCGTATTACCTTCAATGGGTCTGTTTCCGACGTCCTGCCCTGGAAGTTCACACCGCAACAACGGGAGGTCCGAGTCTTGCCGGGCGAGACCGCGCTGGCATTCTACACAGCCGTGAACAAGGGCCCTCATGATATCATTGGAGTTGCTACGTATAGTGTTACTCCGGGACAGGTGGCGCCTTATTTCAGCAAGATCCAATGCTTCTGCTTCGAGGAGCAAAAGCTCAATGCCGGAGAGTCGGTAGATATGCCTGTCTTCTTCTACATTGATCCCGACTTTGCAACGGACCCGAACATGCAGGGCATTGACACGATCACACTGTCTTATACATTCTTCAGTAAGAACACCGCTGATTGAGAAAATGGCCTTTATTGTGACCAAACTGACCCATCGCAGAAGCAAGATATGATGATAATGGTGTTTTGAAACCCATTCAATCATGATATACTGCCCCCAGGATCCTCAAAGACCCAGGGTGCGCACCCTGGCAACTAGAACTGGCTTCGTAAACCAGTAATTCGAAAATGGTTTGATCAGGAGAAATCTGCAAAGTGTAATCGCTTCTGACTCGACCTTCTCGATTTCATCTCATCTCATAAAAATCGCACCTGTACGATACAAGTTGGAGTTAACGGAAATATTTGGAGCTGAATAGAAATCCAAGAGTGTATATATAACCCAGCTGAAATTTTGTCAATCCTGATTATAGTGTATTTGTCCTCGTGGGTATTCATATATGCATTGCTGTTTGATCAAGTTGCCTGTAGAGATAGATGGTCTTCAATTAAGAAGTGCCCGCACGGACCAAGCGTTAATTAGGCGGCGCGTTCCCGACGCGTCCTCTCCAACCTGTATTTTTTTAGACAATCCAACCATCCAGCTATCTTCCACCAACCACTCAGAGATCAGAATGGCGCTCCTCGTTGACAAGCTGCGACCACGGTCGCTCGACGCACTCACATATCACCCCGAGCTTTCGGATCGCCTACGGTCGTTGGTAAGTGTGCCACAACTTGCCGAGCGGTAGCAAGGCGGCTCAACTAATGCGAATCACTGCTTCACAGGCTCAGAGCGGAGATTTCCCTCACCTTTTAGTATACGGACCTTCCGGAGCAGGCAAGAAAACGCGCATCATTGCGACTTTGAAGGAACTGTACGGACCAGGCGTGGAGAAGATCAAGATCGACGCCCGAGTCTTCCAAACCACCAGCAACCGCAAGCTCGAATTCAACATCGTCTCCTCTGTTTATCACATGGAGATCACCCCGGCCGACGTCGGGAACTATGACCGAGTTGTCATTCAGGAATTGCTCAAGGAAGTCGCTCAGACGCAGCAGGTGGATCTGTCAGCGAAGCAGCGATTCAAAATTGTCGTCATCAACGAAGCCGACCATCTCACGCGCGATGCACAGGCCGCGCTGAGACGCACAATGGAGAAATATAGTCCTAATCTGCGTTTGATCCTCCTCGCCAACAGCACGTCGAATATTATCGCTCCTATTCGATCGCGAACTCTGCTGGTCAGGGTTGCTGCGCCTACGGAAAGAGATATTTGCTCGGCACTTCGCATTGCCGCGAAGAGAGAGGGCTGGACTGAAGCCGACGGGTTGAACAAGCGGATTGCAAAGGAGAGTGGTCGGAATCTGCGTCGGGCACTGCTGATGTTTGAATCTATCTATGCGCAAAAGTGAGAACGGCACAGCCCATCCCCTCTCTAATAATGGGATTATTCCAATACTAATCGCCGTGGATATTTAGTGAGAAAGTTACAGACACGAGCCCTATCCCTCCCCCCCGACTGGGAAGCTCTCATCCAAGTAACGGCGGATGATATCCTTAAAGATCGATCACCTGCCAGCCTTTTGCAGGTTCGCACTCGCCTCTATGATCTTTTGACTCACTGCATCCCCCCAACAACCGTACTCAAGGTGAGAAATTCGATGCTATATTTCCTGACAAACGTGACACTGAAACTAACTTGCCTCACAGACTTTGACTTTCAAGCTCGTGGCACGAGTGGACGACGCTCTTAAGCCCGAAGTGATTAAATGGTCTGCATTCTACGAGCACCGAATCAAGCTGGGAAGTGTAAGTACTACTAGAGAGAACCCCAAGAGGCCTGATATTAGTGTAGATCTAACTCTCGCATAGAAAGTTATTTTCCACCTCGAGGCCTTCGTTGCCAAGTTCATGCGCATCTACGAAACGTTTGTCACCTGAAATCCATCAACTTTAGGCACGAATGCTAACTTTCACCTAGTTATTTGATGGGCATGATGGAGTTTTAAAGCTTGAATATTACAAACAATGAATGACGATTGTACACTACCAGGGCGCAGAATTCTGATCTAATGAGCTCGAAATGCTCGCCATTCTGTCAATTTGCGGAACCCGACACCGGTGCCCTGGACTCGAAAAAGCCGCGCTAGGACTTCACTCTTTTTGTAGGCGCATGAAGGCATTTTCTTGGTAGATTTATTGGCGTTTCGATTGCAGGTTCTCAGCTATGCATCTAGTAACCAATACAGTTTGCATTAATTAAAACCATGGCAGGGGGCAAACGTACAATAACATTTGAGAAGGAGCCTCTTTAATTAAAGCACGCTACCTACCCATCGCTCCAATATTACTACTACTAGTAGGAATCAGTATTGATGTATCAGCATTCAAGAAGCGGAAATCCTATGTGGCAGGTGCCTAGATCGACCTACTACGTCATCACCTACCGTCACAGGACCACATCATAGCATTTACTGAGCTCATGCCGGCTTCCTTCCCCCGCCTTATAAAATAGTCTGAAAATTTCGAATAATTCGGAACTAAGATAATAGCAAGGTGCAACTAACACCTTCAAAATGGACGACCCGAGATTGATTGACATGGAGCCTGGTGGGGAAAGCACCCAGTATGACAAGTCCTATCTAGCTCGAGAGAACCCCGCCGCTGCCGTTGAATAGCCTGGAGCTTCTAACTAAACTGATGAATGTAGATATGAGTCCATCCGATTGTACACCGAGCCACCTGACAAGCAAACCGGCCAAATGGGGAGTAAGTGGAAGACCGCATTGCCATCTCAAACCCTACCAGGGCAAGATACTAGTGTATACTGACTGGAATGTGTAGTTGGACAAGCGCATACTCAGAGCCAGCTTAGTACCAAGGGCGAACCTGCAAGCGAGGCCAATGGCAGCGGCGATGAATACAAGATGGCGCAGAAACTAGGAAGGGGCGTTGTGATGGAATCTGAAGGTAAATAGAGAATATATCGTTGTCTTCTAAAACTCCTAATACCAGACAAAAAGATGCTCCCGGGAAGAGCCGGAATTTCGTGGACACCCCCCGGAAGACGCGCAAAAAGACTGACGGTAATGTACAGAGGATTTCGACACACCAGGCGATGCAGCCACCGCCAAAACGAGGAGACAGCAGGGGTATGGGCCCGGCTCCAATGTCGGTGCTTAATTCAACATATGGGCAAAAGTGGAATGGAAGCGTTGAAAAACATGAAGTCTCGGTATGATGCAGGCGGGAGAACAGTTTATTGAGAGGGGGAAGAAGGGTCGGAGGAAGTGCTTTGCGGTGGGTTGGGGAGGTCGTTGGTTCCGAGGGGAGGGTCTCGGCGGGCACGCTTGAGGGAGTCGAGAGTGACGCCGTTGCCGAGCTTTGTGATTCCAACGACGGGAGGATCATCCTTCTTGACAAATTCCCAAAGGCCTGTGGATTATTAGTATAAATTGCGACAATAATGATTGTGGGCTTCGCTGCTTGAGGAATTGTTTCCAGACATACCGGGTAGTTTGTGACCAGCCAGACGGAAGGCCTCGCGGGCGACCTTCTCGTGGATATCTCCCTTCAACTCGAAGACAACTCGGCTCACGGGCAATCGAACAGTCCAGTAGTCGAATTTACCCTTACCCTTACCCATACGCTGCTCGTTACCCTTGGTGTACACACCGATGTTGGCGCTGACACGCTTGTAGAGCTTGTAATTCATTCCTCTGAGTCGTCGCTTGATAGTCTCCTCTGCAATCTTCAAGGCGGAAGAGGGCATGCGGCGGTCGTGATCCTTCATCCGAATGCCGTAGTCTCCCCACACGACCGTTGTTCCGCGGGTCGATCCACCGGTAGCGACATGGGGTCGGCCCTTGGGCGATTTGGACTTTTCGGCGAACTTGGGTGTGAGCCAATTGAAGGCAGGCGAGGTGGTTGAGAAGGACCGCGCCAGGGAAAAGGCAGCTAGCGGACCCGAGAAGCCTGCATGGAACGGATTAGTTCGAGTCGTGGTGACCATCTCAGCGGGGAAGGATAATTCGTACAGCTTGGCCGAGTGCAGGCCGATAGGGGCCCCGCGAACATCTTCATCTGAGGACCCATTGTGACCGTAGAGGGCTGTTTAATACCGAGCGCGGACGACGTTTCTTTGCAAGGCCAGCGGCACTTTTCGATGTCCATATACGCTAGCCCAATCGGGACCAAAGTGGCACGTGACCGTGTTCCTTAGTCAGCCGCTTTCCCGGCGCGTCCAGTCACTCCGGCCGCGCGACTGGAGAACCCCGAGCTTCTGCCTTGTCCCCCAATCGCCATCTGCCTCGGATTGCGCCCCTCTGAGACTTTGTACAGATAGGTGTGTGTCACTATGCCGCCAGATATCAGAAGCTTTTTTGGCGGCAAGCCGCCAAGCCAAGCCAACGGCGAGGCACCCAAGCCCGCGAAAAAGGAAGTAAGTTCTGGCGCCTGGATGCATTTCAGCACTACAAAAGAAGCCCCATTACCCTCGGAGTTTTCTCAATTCAACCAGATTACTGACATTTCCGTTCAAAATGAAGGATCCATCAGCCGCGAGAAAGAAACGTACGGTTACCTGCTTCATACCCATGACCCATTCACAGATCTAATGATTTCACAGGTAGCAGAAAGGTCGTTGATGATAGCGATGACGATGAGGCTGCACCTGTGAAGCCCGCAACCCCCAAGCCGAAGCCTAAGGCCAAACCGTATGCTTACCATCTGCTTGATTTCTGAAGCGCGCAGCTTGGCTAATCATATTCTCGGAATAGTAAGCCGGAAGAGCCCAAGGGAGAGGTCACGACAACGTCAGATTATTTTGCGTCTAGCAAGAAGCGGGGGCAGACAACTAAGAGCCCCAGCACGACCGAAAAAGCTCCCGAGAAGACTGCCAGCCCCGAGAAAGCTAAGAGGGTTGAAATTCCCTCGAAGCCGTCACGAACCTCGAAGAAGGCCACGACTGTTGTTGACGACGATGGCCTTGGAGGAGACGACATTTTTGCTTCCGAATATGCGAAGGCCGGCAAGGGCGACGATGCCTATGTCGCCGAAGGTGATAGCGATGACGATGACGACGACTTCGAAGTGCTCGAGGTCAAGCCAGCCGCAGCCAGAGCTAGGAGAACACAAAACAAGAGACAAATCGAGGACGACGAAGACGACGATGTAGTGATGGAAGATTTGCCAAAGACTACACCGAAGCCGCGTGCAACTCGCAAGCGGAAGCAGGAAGCTCTCACTGATGAAGATGAAGAGCTTCCCAAAGAGAAAAAGAAGCGAGCCCCGGCTAAAGCGACTGTATCTCCAGCTGCGAAGAAGACGAAGGCCAGCCCGAAAAAGAAAGAGCCTGAGCCTGAGAACCCGGAGATTCAAGCCATTTTCGATAGCATTCCCCTCATCAGAGCACCTTCGCCACCTCCAAAGGAGGACGGACCGGCTAAGAAGTGGACTTTTGGTGGCCAGCGGTCTCGTACACCACCAGTCTCCGGAACCAAGGATGTGCCTCAAGGCGCAGATAACTGTCTTGCGGGACTGACATTTGTATTCACTGGCGTGCTTGAATCACTAGGCCGTGATGAAGGTGCAGAGTTGGTCAAACGATATGGTGGCAAGGTTACTGGTGCGCCTAGCAGGAAAACAAACTATGTTGTGCTGGGCGGCGAAGCTGGACCAAAGAAGCTCGAGACCATTCAGAATTTCAAGCTGAAAACCATCAACGAAGATGGACTTTTCGAGTTAATTCGACGTCTGCCTGTAAATGGCGGCTCGGGGCAAGCCGCAGCAGCGTTCAGCGCCAAACAGAAGGCGGAAGAAGAGAAGGTCAAGGCTTTGGCAGCTGAAATTGATGCAGAAGAGAAAAAGCAGAAAACAGCAATGGAGAAGGAGAAGGCGAGGAAAGCAACTCCTCAACAGACTCCCAGCAAAGGAAAAGCCCCGGTATCTTCGCAAGAATCCCCAGTGAACGATCAGCTCTGGACCACCAAGTATGCGCCAACAGCTGCCAGCATGATCTGTGGTAACAAGACCGCCGTTGAGAGGATCCAAACATGGTTACGCAACTGGCACAGCAATGCCAAAAAGGGATTCAAGACCGGTGGAAAAGATGGATCTGGCATTTACCGCGCGGTCATGATCCACGGACCTCCAGGAATCGGCAAAACCACAGCCGCGCACCTGATGGCTAAAGTTGAAGGATTTGATATTGTGGAAACCAACGCCAGTGATACAAGAAGCAAAAAGCTCGTTGAAACTGGGCTGCTAGGTGTGCTCGACACAACATCTCTACAAGGTTATTTTGCTGGAGAAGGCAAGAAGGTGGACAGCGGGAAACGAAACCTCGTCTTGATCATGGATGAGGTTGACGGTATGTCTGCCGGTGACCGGGGAGGTGTTGGAGCCGTGGCAGCCATCGTCAAGAAGACCAATATTCCCGTCATTCTTATCTGCAACGAGCGAAGGCTGCCGAAGATGAGGCCATTCGACCATGTCACATTTGATATTCCATTCCGCCGCCCGACTGTGGAGCAGATACGCGCCAGATTGTCCACCATCTGCTTCAGGGAAGGTATCCAGATGCCTCGCCCTGTGCTGGATAGCCTTATTGAAGGAACGCATGCAGACATCCGGCAAGTTATCAACATGCTGTCCGCTGCCAAGCTCGATCAATCCAATATGGACCATGACAAGGGCAAGCAGATGTCCAAGGCATGGGAGAAGCACATTATTCTCAAGCCCTGGGATATTGTTAGTAAGATCCTGAGTGCGCAAATGTTTTCACCAAGCTCGAATAGTTCATTGGAAGACAAAGCTCAGCTCTATTTCAACGACCACGAATTCAGCTATCTTATGCTCCAGGAGCACTATCTTAAAACAAAGCCCACCCTCGCAAGCAACTGCATGGATCCGAGAGAAAAGAAACTGAAGGAGCTTGAGTTGATCGACAATGCTGCCTCCAGTATTAGTGATGGCGATCTCGTTGATCGAATGATCCACGGAACTCAGCAACAATGGAGTCTTATGCCGACCCATGCCATGTTCAGCTTTGTTCGCCCGGCCAGCTTTGTCTACGGTAATAGCTACGAACGGCCCGCGTTCACCTCTTGGCTTGGAAATAACAGCAAACAAGGTCAGTAATACCAAACCATCTGCTCTCCCCATATTCTAACCGTGAAACTCTAGGCAAATTAACTCGTTTTGTCAAGGAGATTCAAGGTCACATGCGCCTTCGAACCTCCGGCAATCGTGACGAGATTCGGCAGCAGTATATGCCTATGATATGGGATAAATCGGTTCGACAACTCCAAGATGTCGGCAAAGAAAGTGTAGATGATGTGATTGATTTCATGGACTCTTACTTCTTGACACGCGATGACTTCGACGCCATTATGGAACTGGGACTTGGACCCATGGACCAGTCTAAGGTCAAATTGGAAACACAGACCAAGGCAACTTTCACTCGTCTCTACAACCAACGCTCGCACCCTCTGCCATTCATGAAGGCTAGCGATGTTTTGGTGCCGAAAGCGGCCCCCAAGGAAAAGCCGGATATCGAAGATGCCATTGAAGAGTCAGACGAAGAGGAGGTTGTGGAGGAGGCCAAGGACGAGGATGATGAATTAGATTTGAAGAAGGACAAATATGTGAGCCAGCCGAAGAAGAAGGCAGCTCCCAAGAAGAAAGGAAAGAAGGCCGCCGAGGATGATGGTGAAGAAAAGCCAAAGAAGGGCCGGAAGCCCAAGGCCAAAGCTTAGATGCAATTTGTATAATACGATTTTCTTCTTTCACTGCAGACTCGTCAAGTCGACACTGCAGTTGCATATTACCAAGAAGCCTTTCTTTTCACCTATGTGGGCCGTCAAACGCCTCGAATTACAAGTAGATACCGACTGACTACTAGGTAGGACTGATGATATCCTCCACACGATAATATATTGGTACAACATGTTAGATCTTGATAACTACAACCTTGGAACATGAGGCTTTTTCGAACAAGAATATAAGATCAACATTGTATAGACGTTGTAATTAGGGGCCCGACTCATCTACTCGCCAACTTCACGGTCATCATCCCATCGTACCCACTTCATCACGGACCACCTGAGGGTAGTTTGGCGAATCTTTTTGCCCCAAAAGAAGAATGGAATCCAGCAAATAAGAACACCTCCACAGATAGCAGCCATCTCGCCGTACGCGATATTGTAACCGTGAATTTCCACCCAAGGGTTTGTGTAAAAGCCGAGCAGGAAGCCGAAGGCAGATTTGAAAGCTAGTTGGGTAACAACGATTTCTCCAGCAATGGGGCGATAGCTGTCGATCGTGTACACAAGGGAGACATTGGTAGCTTGGGTGATAGTGAAATTGACTAGACAAGTAAGCCTCTTGGTCAAATAAGGGGATGCAAAAAAGATAGTAGAGTCAATAACTTACTCAATCCAATACCAATAGTTGGAACAATCCAGTGCATCTGATACTTGATACCACATCCGTATAGAGCTAGAGCCAAGGGGCCGGTAATTGCACCGACCATAATGGCTGGAAGACGCATTTCGGGCTCACGAATACCGTTGTTGCGACGGGTGAAGTAATCGGCAACCCAATCGGAGAGGTTTCCACCGAGAACAATACCGAATGCACAGCCAATGATCGCAGAAACGAAGCAAAGTCCGGATTGCCATGCCTCAAACCCGTAAGCGGTTGAAAATGCGGAAGCAACATTTGAGGTGATTGCTGTAATGAAGCCGATAGTTACAGACATAACGAGTGTAGCCCACAAGACAGGAGGTAGAATCAACAGTCCCACTGGTCGGATGGTCATTTGCCAAAGTGATTCATGGGTATATTTGCCATGATAGAGCTTCAGGCCCTGTTTAAAGCCTGGATTACTATCGACATTGGCATCTTGAGGCGCAACCTCATGTTCAGTAGCCTCACCCATGCCAGCTTCTTCCCCCTTGACACTGCGTCGAATGCGGTTACCAGATGGACTGAGGGTAGTAATGGTGCCTGTTGGTGCGAAATTCCGAATGTAAGCCGTCTCTGGGAAAGTGAAATATACCACGAGAGTAACAAAGCCAATCAAGGCAATGGCGACATAGTAAATGTAGCGCCATGGATAAGATTTCACAATGAACCCGTCGACGATGGCACCAGTCGCAACACCGAGATTCAAAGAGGCATTATATAGTCTGGCGTATGTTAGAAGGGCAGAGATAAGGCGGAGTTTAAGCAGGTAACTTACGCTGTAATGGTTCCGCGCTCATGTAGGAAGAAGATGTCGGCAATAGTAATAGGAGCCAAACATTCACCCGCACCGGCAGCAATTCCCATGACGATTCGAGCAACTAAGAAATTCGCGTACTCTTTCGCCACAGCACACCAGATAGCAGTGATGGTATATATGGTGAATGCAGTCACATATACCGGCCGACGACCGTATTTGTTGATGAGAGGCATCCAAATCAGGTTCCCAAGACCTTGGAACAAAGCCGTACAGTTGAAAAAGTAGGCCGTTTTCGCGATCGCCGCCGACATACCGGTCTTTTGCCAATTGGGAAAGAAGTCCTCTGCGGTTTGGACAATGGCGAGTGTAGGACCAGCTGCGAGAAAGTTGCAAAGAACCATCGCGAGGCACACTGCCACCGCAGTATATAGCTTGAACCATCTCGGCCTGTTGAAACAGGATACCAGTCAGACTCGGATATAAGGGATTGCAGAATGCCAAAGAATGTTCATGGGGAGTTGTTACCAGTTAAGAGGATCCTTAGGATCGTCAGACGGGGTAGGAACCAGAATCACCTCGTTGGTATCCTCATCGCGTAGACGGAGATGGCCAAGTGTTTTGACCTGAGCACTCTCCTTCTCATCAAACTTGGCGCTGGACCGCTCTCTTACTTGCATCTTTGTTATCGAACCACCAGAAAGCTTGGACTGGATGCTACCAAAAGGAGTCAGGCTGGCAGCTCGATATATACCTTCATCTTCCCAGACAGCAAACGTCGCGAAGAGCTGCGGGGCCCCACGCCTGCAGTGAATCTGGGGAAATAAGTTGAGGCCCACTTCCCGGGGATGGGGATACTATCACTATCAGCGCGGTGCCAGTGACCTCCCAGGGGCTGGCCTGGCCTGGCCCACCTAGGCACCTGATCTTCTCCTTTGTTTTTGTATAGCCTTGCCCCTTCTGCTGGAGCGTAAAAAGGCCTACAATCCTGCAAAAGGGAGAGTAGACCACCATTCACAAGCTGGAACCACACGCCTCGCAGCAAACACTCAGTACACGAAAATCTTAATCAGTAGCTCATTTTCGTTTCCCAAGAGAAAGAAGTGGAGGGTCGCTGCCGGTATTGCGCGTCAAGAACGCCCTGTGGCGGCCAATGTCCAATCACCCCGCTCGAGATCGGCGCTGCTACCCCGGTACGGGATGCGGCCGTCTTCCAAAGAGTATCCTGAAAAAAGCTTTGTTACTCGAGAATTCGGCCTCAGAGCGGGCCTCCGTGCTGATCAATGGTTGTTGAGCCGATGCTATGCTGATAATTCGTGAGTCCAGACTGACTAGGGGACGACAGACTCCACGTCTTTTTGTCCCAGCCGCCATTGGAAAGCGGGTCGAGCACTTGCAAAAACTGCACATTCGTACTAGATATTGTTTCGCAACGCTTGGCACTCTCCTTCTTTTTTAGTGCAAGTTACCCCTTTGCTGCTTCTATCGAGTAGAATTGTTTATTCTGCCCCCAGCCTTTTTTTGCCAGTACTAAGTTGCTACATTAGTAGGCCGTTCTTTTCGTGACCACCTTGCTCAGCTTGACGATGGTATTATCTCGCTCAACATGTAACTAATAGCCTGGACTCCGATGGAGGATGCTGAATAACTGAGATTAGCATTTGATCTTCAGGTCGTACTATAAATACCGTGATGGGCTTTTTGTGATCTACTGTCTTCCCCAGAGTCACGATATTCTCAACTTGATGGTTTTCACCTTGAACTTGAAGCAATTGAGAGAAATTACGCTAGCCTATCCTATCTAATACTACTAGTACTGCAGTGGCTAGTGGAATTCAGCCATCCCTTGCGTACACTACCAAGACAACGCAGCACTTGGGCTCGTTGTCTCAAAGGAGGCAAATCTTATGTCGCTAGATCGCCAGATGGAGGAGCATCCTTACTTAGAGAGTTTGCATGTGTAAGCGGCTGTTATATTTGCTTGCTCTTGTCACTTGATAACGTTTTCCTCTCATTCGTGATAGCAAGGTAACCACCGTAGGAACTACTAGTAGAAAGGTAATCCTGTGTAACAGTGACATCCCGGGGATGGCACCTAATGACTGCGCTTCCACTCACCAATCCATACTTTAGTACCGTGGTCGCCTAGTCCATTGAGTTAGTAATGTTTAAGGGCTCTCAAACTACCAGACAACTAGTCCATTTTGATATATTGGCACTGAGGATTGGGAAAGAAGTGTCTTTGGCATCGGAGTTTCTTACAATGGTGTGTTCTGCCATTACAGTCATTTCAAACAGGGCCCCATCGAACTATTTTGGCAGTTGCTTATATTTAGCTTTTTTGCATGCTTATCTCGAAGGACTTCTTTACTCTGACTCCTGTGGCTCTATCGATTTTTCTCTCGCATCTTCCCTGCTTCTCGTCTCACTCTCTCCACGCTGCCTGGCTGTGGTCCTTAATCCTCTTCACCGAACCAGATGACTTCCTCGCCGATTGATATATCAAGTGCTTTCTTATCCAATCCTTTCAATATGCAGTCCTATGACATTCGTGTCACTGATTCAGAAGGAAAGGTGTCGCTACAACACCAAGAGAACCTGACGTTATCCGAAGGTGGGCGTGATGATATTCAGCTTCAACGTCTTGGAAAGAAACCTGTTCTCAAGGCGAGTAACTTCTGTCATGATCACCAGAATTTCACTTGCTCACTTTTATTCAGCGTAACTGGGGTGTCCTCTCTGTTCTTGGCCTTGCCTGTACGATCCTCGGGACCTGGGAAGGGTTACTTGCGTAATAATCACCGGAAAAGTACTATTCTGCGTCTGTGTTAACATCGATATAGAACCTTTATACTGTCTTTGACCAAGTCTGCACCCGCTTTCTTCCTCCCCTTCTACGTATAATCTCGTTAACGCAAATAGTGGTGGCTCGGCTGGAGCTATTTACGGCTTCATATTCGTATGGATTGGCACGGCCTGTTATTTTGTGGTCCTGGCGGAGCTTGCTTCAATGTAAACTACAATCCAAGCTCGATGTCCTACCACTAATTGCATGATAGGGCCCCAACATCCGGTGGGCAATACCATTGGTGCGCAATGCTTGGCCCTAAGGAATATAGGAATCTCCTCAGTTATATCACAGGTACTGCGCCATATTTCCTAGACCTATTCACATCATCCGTTTACATATATGGCCAGGTTGGCTCTCTGTTGTTGGCTGGCAAGCTGCCTTCGCCTCGGGTGCTTTCCTTTTCGGAACCCAGGTCCAAGGAGCAGTAGGCCTGGCATACAACAGCTACCATGCTAAAGCATACCAAGGCACTCTCATCATGTGGGCTTTTCTATGTATTGTATTCGCTACGAACATGGTAGGCGGCAGGTTCCTCCCGCGACTTGAGAGCGGACTGTTATATTTCCACATCGTCGGCTTCTTTGGCATCATGATACCTTTGGTTATCAAGGCCCAGCACAAATCAGAGGACCAGGTTTTTGAAGAGTTTCTGAATGGAGGAAGCTTTCCTAATAAGGGTCTTTCTTGGTTCGTGGGACTCAGTGGTGCGGCTTTCGCATTCGGTGGTGGCGATGCCGCTGTGCATGTAAGTGGGACTTCCAATGAGGCTGTCTTGAATTAATATCAACTAAAACTTATAGATGGCCGAGGAATGTGCAAATGCAGCAGCGGCAATTCCGAAAGCGATGATGCTGACGGTCGTGATCAACGGTTGTCTGGGATTCGGGATGCTTTTGACCATGTTGTTTTGTAGCGGCAATATACAAGATGCATTAAGCTCGCGGAGTGGGTATCCTTTTATGGAGATATTTCTTCAAGGCACTGGTTCGATGGGTGGCACGCTTGCAATGGTCTCTGTGCTGCTTTTTGCCGCAGGTTGCTCGATCTTCGGTATGTTGGCGGCGACATCTCGACAATTCTGGTCTTTTTCTCGAGATAAAGGGGTTCCCGGATGGGCTTGGTGGTCCAAGGTAGAAACATACCCAGCAATTTAAAATTCTTCCCACTGATCCAAAATCGTCTTTCCAGGTCAACTCTCGACATCTACCAGTCTCCTCCATCGTATTGACCGTCATTATCGCCGCACTCCTAGGGCTGATCAACCTAGGGTCCAAGCTTGCGCTGGAGGATATTCTATCAATGGCAGTGGCTGGTCTGTATTCTTCATATTTGATAGTCAGTGTACTGCTCCTATATCGACGGTGCAAAGGAGATATTTCTCGGTTTGGCGATGCAACGAGCATGCAGACGAACCTGCCCGGAGCGAGGCTAACTTGGGGTCCCTTCCATGTGCCTGGAATCTTGGGTATACTTGTCAACGGCTTTACAGTGATCTACATAGCCATCATAATATTCTTCAGCTTCTGGCCATCGGAAATGCATACCACAGAAAAAACGATGAGCTACAGCGTTGTGGGAATTTGTGGCGTTGTGGCTCTCGCAATTGCATACTATTCCGTGCGTGCACGACACGTCTATCAAGGGCCAATAATGGAAGTGAGGGAACAGGAATGAGAATGAGTGACTGGGCTTTTCCTGTTGTCTTGATACTTGCGTTGCTTTCTCACGGGGCCGCCTCGACGATGGGCATACATAAGATTCTGACTGAGGTTAATAGTAGCAAATTGACTGACCTTCCGCCACTGGCACTACTAGATTCAATGATTTCAGTGCTCCAAGGGTCGTATAGTACTAGTAGTACCGGTACAAGTAGTACTAGTAGAGACAGTCGACCAGAAGCTACTAGCAGAAAACAAACAAACAACCATGGAAACAAACAAATAGACAAGAGAACATATGGAAACTATTCAGTACAGTGTACACTCTATAGACATTGTATAATTATCATCTAAACCTTGAGGCTTGTAATAGTATTCCAATAATCAAGTACTAGTAATACTAGTAGTAACCCATAGAATACGCTTTGTAGGGCTCGCGGGCTCGCGGGGAAACGATCGGCGCCCGCCACTTCCACTTCGCCCTGCCGCATCCACTCCGCCCTCTACTTCCCTCTTCCCTTCAGCTTTCCTCCATTTGTGCTTCTACTTCTGCTTCTGCTTCTGCTAGGCTGGTCCTGCTCAACTCATTCCCTTTCTCATTCCTACCCATCCTTCTGCTGAGCATGCGCCTTGGGCCTCTGACAACTTCTCCATCCACGAGTACACCGCTATCGAACACTATCCTCTCCCCTGCTGGCGACCAGCTCCTCCCCTCGTTTGGAACCGGGGAATCATGTCGCTCCTTCATAATGAAGAGTAGGTTCCCCTCATACTATTTCTCATTGAATCTCTATCTCCGCCCCTCCTCGCTTTCCCCCTGACACCGTGACGCCCGGCTGACAAGTGCTCAGCTTCGCCATCTGGCAACTCCGCTCCTCATACCTCTCGACGATCAAAGACGGCATCGGTGACCGCTTGATCAACGTCAACAACTCTGTCCTCAACACCCCAGGCTTCCGCGCTGCTGGTTGGTCGGCTGTTGCTACCAACGACACCAGTGCTGGCAGCCTCAAACGCACCTACTCCCCTCCGATCCCAACCACGGCGGCCGTCTCCTCCGAATACTTTCGGCTAGCCGTACGAGATGCAAACGCTGCACGGGATGAGCTACAAGGCCTTGGGTTGGAAGGAGGCGAGGAAGATGAAGGGGGCATGGTGACTGGAAAAAGCAACATGGATTATACAGGCCGAAGGAACCATGCTCGAGGAAAGAAGAAGGGCCGACGCGACCAAAACCAAGAGACACAACCGCCTGTAGTCCCCGAGGATGACGATAGCAGTGACTTGAGCGATGACAGCGACGAGGAGAGTGAAAACTTGCACCGGTATGCTATCAGGCCACCCGTCGATCGCATCGCACGATTTCGTTTGAGATTCTGACAGTTTTAGGTCGGCCGACGCGATCAAATTCAACAAGATGCCCATACGCCGGGACCGAGCCGATTCCTCTCCCATTCGTTCGATTGAACACCGAGAACGACCAGAGGTCATGATCACCTCGCCCTCGACACAGAATGTGGCTAGCCATTACCGCACGGGGTCGCTGGGGACTGCGGTTTCCGGCAAGGAACAACAACGCCCGCGACGAGATACAACAACGAGCAGTGACTACCTGTCAACAGATAACGAGGTCGACTCCCAGAGCTACAAGCCGGGCCAGGTTCAGTTCTCGACGGCTGATCACGCAGTGGATCGTCCTCGCAGACGACGGGAACGGACTGGTAGCCGTGGTGCGGACAGTATCGTCCTAGAGGATTTGCATGAGCAGGATGAGGACTCTGGCGCAGAGTCCGTGGGATCTGCCTTGTCCTCCGAATTTGATGCCACGGCCGGCTCTGGCTCACTGCTGCTAGCTGGAGTCGGCATTAATGGTACATTAAACGCGTCCTCCCCAGTCGTCCTGATGCACAAGCTTCCCGCAAACACTGGGCCTAGCCAGAGCAGCTCTCCGCGTAAATCCAAAACGCCAGCGCCCGAGTTACATGACCTTCCGCCACCGCGGCCTATCAGCACGATTAAGCCAGTCAGCTTGCTCACGAAACAGCTCAAGTCTAGGAAACGAGCTCCGAGCAACCCTGTGGAGAAGTTCATCGTTCTTTCTGGCAAAGACCAGGCTGATCCACTACATCTCAAGATCTATGTTCCATTTTCATCCGATCCTGAAGATCCACTGGATCTACCCCTCACAAGAGAGTCTAAACTTGCAGAGCAACCTGCGATAGTCACTGTTGCCGAGACAATCGGTCTTGCACTGTGGAAATACTCCGAAGAGTCGCGTGATCCATCTATCGACCGAGAGAAACTGACGGTCAACCGATGGACTCTGCGTATGGTCGACGATGGCGAAGTCGAGTACGACTTCCCGGCGCTCGGACGAACACTTCCGATGACAGACTTCACATCGAACAATAACAATGCGGCGAAAATGCGTGGCCGGTCACGAGGCAAACAGTACGACGAGTTCGCACTTGTCGAAGCGACCAATGCAGAATTTGAGGAGAATGAACGACTGTATCCGCAATTCAGCCAAAGTCTTGGGTCTGATGAGGGTGAGCCCCCTGCCAACCTAACGGTTCCGGGTGCCCCAGGCACCTCTCAACCCACTCCGCCAGTCAAGCCCTCAATAGGACGACAGAACCCGATTCTCGGCCAGCCATTCTCCTCCGCATTGAACGACAACACGCTAACGCCAGCGGATCGGCCAATGGTTCCTATTTCGCATGCTACCCCACGCATGGGCGTGACCAAGACCTTGAAGATTCGTTTCGTTAACCTAGAGGCCGCTGCGCATACGATGACCCTCAACCCCTCTACGGACAGCTACATTGCAGAGCTTCTGGACTCAGTGTGTAAGCGCTGGGGTCTCGATAAGGGCAACTACCTCCTCAAGGTGATGGGTTCAAACACCATTGCGCCGCTTGACCGTACCGTGGAGGCATTGGGCAACATCACGGAATTGGACCTAGTCCGCCGACGCTTCGGGGCTGGCCCTCTTACACTCGGCGGCTCACCTGGTAGTTCTTCACCCAATGCCCCACTCCAGGTAGACAGCAACTCCCAAGCAACTTTGAAGAAGGGCAAGAAGGGCGGGAAACCCATGCTGCCTTCATTCTCCCAAAAGCAAGATCCTATTGCCGGCTACTATCGCCGGTACCATGTCTTCCGCAAACAACCCATGACCTTCACTGCTTCGAACCACAGGATTTTGACATTCGATAACGACTATATGCACATGGTGCCTGGAGATACAGGAAAAACAGCGGACACAAAAACACGCTCGATCAATTTCAACGATGTCGTGGGATGTAAGGTCAGCCGTCGGCATCCTAAGAGTTTCCGAGTCGTGGTGCTCCGCGGCAACGAAGCGAACGAACAAAAACGTTACGATTTTGAGGCCCGCAATGCTTTGGAGGCTGTCGAAATCGTGGATGAGATTAAGAAGAACATGTCACAATATCGTATATGATCCAGGCCAGCCTTGCTGAAGGTTTTAGCTAGTCCTTGTGTGTTTTCAATTGCACTGGATCAATCATGGGGAAACGGGGGGGATACCACATCGTATCTGTATCTGGGTGGCTGGTCTGGTGTTTTGCATCTTTGGTTACAGTCAATTCGAGTCTTGAAGATTTCGACTTGTTTCACTTTTTCTTCCTAGCTGGCATTTTGATTCTTTGATTGCGCAAGCGACCCCTGGAATAAATAGGGTTCTCCTTCATGCACCACTCGAATATCACACAACAAGCCACTGTATGCGCGAATGACTCTTCAAAAGCCTAGACTTAAGACCACACAACTATACATAGAATCCCTTGCTATCTGAAACATAGTGCTAGCAACTTGGCGATTCGATGTGGCTAGACGCTTCCTTTGGCCCCCATATACATCAGGGGCCGGTCCACGCAGGGACTGGACTAGAAAGTTGTAAGCCAAACCTTGTAAGCCACCTAACATCTTGTAGCCCGAAAGAAGAGCCTACGAGCCGAGCCTTGCTGTCAAACTTGAACCTTGGAATATCCACGTCCCATCTCAGACACCGTGGAACTACCAATAACTCCCAGCGCACCGCACCGGCACCCACAAAATGGCCACCGACAAAGAAGCACGCCCAGCACAACCAAGCCTCTTCTTCCAATCTCACAACGAAAAGGGGACAGAAACAATCCTCCTCATCCACGGCGCATGCGGTAGCAGCAAAGAATGGGACGATGTAATCCCCCACCTAACCGATCAAAACTACCACGTCCTCGCCCCAGACTTACCGATGCACGGCCAATCCGTCTCAATCAAGCCCTTCAACCTCGACACAGCCACCGCCAGCATCTTACATATCATATCCGCACACGCAAAAAATGGCACCGCGCATCTAGTGGGTCTCAGTCTAGGCGCTCACATCGGTGCATGTATCGCCGAGCGCGCGGTGCCGGGCCAAATATCCTCAGCGATATTGTCGGGGTATAATACTCTTGCGCCGCCAAAGATGCTTATGCCTCTGATTATGCCGTCGATTTTCATGCTACATCATACGGTCCAGATGCTCACGCAGTTTCAGACGGAGATGAAGCATTTGCAGACTGGGCAGTCGTCTTATGGACTTATTTATGAGGTTGGTCGGACGCTTTGTGAGCCGCGGCCGCTTGGGAAGATCGCCGTGCGGACGCTGGTGGTTGCAGCGCAGAAGGATTCGCTCTTGCAGAAGGATAGTCTTAATTCCGCGAGGAAGTTGTTTGCGGCTGTGGAGGGGGGTAAAGAGGGTGGGAGTCGGGTGGTGCTTCATCACGGGATTCTACATGCGTGGCATATGTTTGAGCCTGTATTGTTTGGGGAAATGGTTGTCAAGTGGGTTGGAGGGGAGAAGATCAGCAGTGATTTCGAGGATATTGAGTAAAGGGATCTAGATACTAGTATATACTACCTATGGCCCATTGTATTGGGCAGAAATCTGCACACTGGTAATTAATATTAGGTAGAGTTCCATATAAAGGGGCTTGTATATGAACTTGAAGTAAATTGAATGAGTTCCATCAACTGGATGTCAAATGTCAAATGTCAAAAGAGAAGGAAAAAGGAAAGTGTTGGGTGTGTGAGGCACCCCATTCCGCTGGCTTCACTTTGTGTAGATAGCACTGGCACTCTCGAGTCTCCTGATAGCTTCATCTTCCGCAAGGTTCGGCCTAAATAACGAATAGAGGAGATAAACCCATTAAGATTGTACAAGATAGACTTGGCAAAGTGGGACCATGTCAGCAAGGTGCCTAACTCCGGGGCTAAACAGCCACTACTCTCCAAGTCTCCAACATGCCCCAACAAAACTCCAAGGGGATAGCCGTTGACGAATGTGAGATTATGATTTTAATCACCTGTAGTTTCCCCTTGGAGAATTTCAATCTAGATAAGAGGTCCATTTAGGGCTTGGTTATGGGGATTGTAATGAAAGGTCTGAGTGTTGACTCCTTGATAACGATCAAAAGACTCCAAAGTTTCGACTTGTCATAGAAATGGAGTTCTTACTAGTAGTATTGCGATAAGCCGTTTCTGTTGGAACAAAGAAGCATATATACTTATGAAGTAGGGAAGCCTTTATAAAGATTCAGCTGACCACAAAACCAGTGTGCAATATAGTACTCTTCGGTCGATGTTAGTTAATATGACCCAATTCCGTCGACAATGTGTGAGGGTCTCCATGGAAGCTCTGAGTTTAGTTTCTTCCCTGGGTATATTCAGCCCAGTCAACGCCTTGGGTTCTGCGCAAGGAAAGACTATAGAGCTCAACGAAGTTCCCTACTATGTTGGCAATGTGGCTGTGTCCCAGATATTGGACGTACCTGTGTCAATCTATGAAGAACTGTGCATATCCGATATTGATATAATCCCTTTGACGGTCATCTCTAGCAATGCATCAAGCTTCACAGGTCAAGAGCTAGATGAAATTGTGTCCGACTATATGCACAGAGATGATGTGTTTAACACCGCATTCTTGAAAGGTACCAATCCTCTAAGTCTCTCGCAGGTCTTGTAATACTAGACATATTGCTAACAAGGATCCGGCCATTAGCCATTTATGTGGCATACAATGGAGATGGAACCCCGTCCGTCGAGATACGGCCAACATCTCCTACACTCCTTAACAACGGCAATTCGCTGTTCATGGCCTCACCGGAATATGCCAACAGGGGACTAGAACGTACAGCAAGGGCTCGTCTTACACAATCTCTCCCGATCGGCCCCTACTTTGTTTCAGCGAAAACCGGCAAGATATTCAAGGCTCATAGGCTTTACTCAGATGATAACCAAGCCTTCCTTGAGCCAGCTATCAGCGACGAGGAGGGCGGGTTCATCCCACTAGCCCCGGGATTTCAGGTAGCGCAAATAAGGAGACTCTGTTTAGCCAGGTCGACCAAGCTAACTTCTTACAGGGACATAGTGTTGCAGTTCCATCACGGTTATACTATACTGCTACGCCAGAGAATCCATTGGCCGGTGTGCGTATCACGAAAGGAAATGTTCTTCAAGCTATTACAAGCAAAGTTCTTACTCCTTTATAGCTCCGACTTGGCGTCAAGGACATCTTTCACGTCAAGGGTCTGCGAACAAGTGGCGGCAATCGCGCATACTACTCACTCTATGACGAACGCAACACCACCGGCCCAGCTATTCAAAGTCTTATTGACCAAGGCGCAGTATTTATTGGAAAAATGGGAACCGTTCAATTTGCCAACGGCGATAACCCAACTGCGGACTGGGTTGATCTCCACTGTCCCTTCAATCCTCGGGTGAGCATTTTGTGCCTTAACCCCAAGCCAGATTTTACTAACGGTTCTGCAAGGGCGACGGATATCAATACCCCAGCGGCTCCTCAACAGGTCCAGGCGCAGGTATGGGATCCTACGAATGGCTCGACATTGCGGTAGGAAGTGACACGGGCGGTTCGATGCGCGGCCCAGCTGGTGCCCAAGGCCTTTTCGGAAATAGACCCTCTACCGGTGCTGTAGACCTGGATGAAGTCATTCCTCTTTGCTCTGGTCTTGATACTGCGGGAGTATTTGCTCGCAGCGCCGAGTTGTGGTCGCGTGTCGTTCATGCTTGGTATAAGCGATTCGATGGCCGATTTGACTCCTACCCAAAGTCCATTTTGTACCCCGAGAGCTCTTTCACTGCAGAGGCTATTAACAACACGAATGCTTCGGACTTGATTGAACGTTTTGTTACTCAATTTGAGGCCTTTTTGGGTACAAAACGGACTGCAGTTGATGTTCGTGGATCCTGGAATACGACGCGTCCTGCTAACTCGACGGCAACGTCTTTGGATGATTTGCTTCATTATGTGAGTACCATTCTCCGACAACCGTATAGCAAAGTCAAATTCAATGGCCAAAGTTTACATTGGTTGTCTAACTTTTGCTTAAATAGACCTACGGAACCCTCATCACTGTTTACCAATGGCTTCACCTAGGCGTGCCCTTTTTTGCCGATTACGCGAAAAAGCACTCAGGACGTACCCCATATGTCAACCCAGGTCCTCTCCTACGCTGGAATCTCGGGAAAGAATCTGGGCAACAAGGATTTGACACGGCCTGGAATAATAAGACCTTCTTCATGGACTGGTGGAATAGTCCAAGTGGATTCGGCGCTCGAAACAACGAAACCTGCTCTGAGTCAGTGTACATTTATCCAAATAGTGTTGGAGCAGTGAGCTACCGCGATGAATATTTGGGGTAGGTTGGAGACCGCAGTATCTAATTTTACAAAGACATGCTAACGAGTGTTGTAGAGGCCCAACTGCCCCGTATTGGGGAATGAGCGACAGCAACATCGCTGTCTTTGCTAGTGTGCCTGACCTGGTCGTTCCGAGTGAGTATTGTATCATCATGTTGAACTCTTCCGCAGAATGTAATGCTAACTGCTTTTTAGTCGGGGAGGTTCCCTACAACAGTACTAAGAGTGGTAAGGTGGAATATCTCCCTGTTACAATGAGCTTGGTTGCTGCCCGAGGGTGCGATCTCATGTTAGCCAACATGGTCGAGCAAATGGAGCAAGACGGTCTTCTTCGTCCGGTCTCAGTTGGAACCAGATTGTATCTCTAGAGGCTGTTCTAGCAGAACATATTGTGCAGACCTGTTGAAATTGGTCACCTACAGAGGTTATCCCAGAGCAGGTGACGACAAGATAACCTTGGGAAATGGGTTAATATAGGAGGTCAGGCAATCTTACGGTGTGATGTTGGCAAATTTATTTAATAAGTGGAAATCCGGTGGCTGTAGCCTTACGCTTAAACAACCTAGAGGTAAATGTTTGCCAGGGATATTTCGATGGTTAAGGTAAGGTTGGCCCAGATCGGCCCGATAAGAAGCTCCGCGGCGATCATCCAAGTGGGACATCAAATTCCTTCCACCACAACTCCCGATGTCACTTCTACCACCATGAAATAACATAAACAACACACAATATGACATCAAATCCACCGGAGACTGACGGACCCCCGTCCGCACCAACAGATGACTACACCTCATCCCAGCGCAGCAAAGGCCGCTTCCGCTTCAAAAGCTCCTCCACAAAACACTCCTCCTCCTCCACCACCCACAAAAGAGATCGCAGCCGAGATCGTAGTCGAGAACCAGATCGAGACCGGGCCAACCGATCCTCCCACCGCTCCTCCCGCCACAGACACCGTGACCGAACACACACCCGCCATCGCACGCGCACGCGCAGCCGCTCCCCATCCCCCCCTCAACCCCTCAAACTACGACCCCCTAGACGGCGAAGCCGCCTTCCGCGAATCCCTCTTCGACGCCCTAGGCGACGACGAAGGCGCCGCATACTGGGAATCCGTCTACGGCCAACCAATCCACAACTACGCCGTTCCAGAGATTCCCAAGGGCCCCGATGGCGAACTAGAGCGCATGGACGAGGAGGAATATGCGACGTATGTGCGCGCGCAGATGTGGACGCGGACGAGGGAGGGTATGATGGCTGAACAGGATCGATTACGTGCTGAGCGGCGTAAGGCGAAGATTCGTGAGGAGGGACAGCAGCGGCAGCGTGGGAGGGATGCAGAGAGGGATGCGTTTGAGAGGGCTATGGAGGATAGTCTTAGGCGTGGTCAGGAGAGGAGGAAGGGGAAGGCTTGGGTTGGGGTTTGGGGGAGGTATTTGGAGGGTTGGGAGGGGGTTCAGAAGGCTGTGCTTCAGTGTCAGGATCCATCTACTGCTGCTGCCGATGGTGGTGATGGCGAGGAAAAGAGTGGTGGGTCGACTGCTGCTACGCCGTTACGAAACTTGCTGTTTTGGCCTGTTGAGTCTGGGAAACGGTGTGATGTGACGCCCGCTGCTGTGGAGGAGTTTCTGAAACATGCGCCGGAGGGAAATCTACTGTCTACGCTTAAGGTGGAGCGTGTGCGGTGGCATCCAGATAAAATCCAGCATCGATATGGGGTGCTCGGGGTTGATGAGAAGGTTATGCGCAGTGTGACTGAGGTCTTTCAGATTGTGGATCGAATGTGGAATGAGGAGCGGGAGAGAGTTGGGAAGAGCTGAATGGGTCTCTCAAGAATACCTACTATCATTTGGTAGTAGACGAACTCGGAGGATGGAATTTTGATATCCACCGGATATAGTCCTGGACACTCGCCATCGACGGGCATGTTGCATTTTACAGCGTTTTATAGATAGCATTTAGGATACCCAGACCACTTTGCTGGTACTACAACTTTGGAAACAATAAGATTTCCCAATAACGAGAATTGTCATGACTGGTTTCATTTCAATAGAAGAGAAAAAGCTGCCTAAAAGGGAGTAAACGTGGACGTAAGGCACCAAACGTAGCGCAGATAATCAAAGCTTTCACAGGCTATGCAAGACAAACGTTCGACAGCCAGAAACAACTCATCCCCTGAACGAACGGACTGATGTTCATTTTGATATCTCAAATAGATATAGGCTAAGCGCGGCTTTTTCTTAGAACCGCGAAGACCGCGCCTTGGTGCGGTAGACGGTGTAGCCAAAGTAGGCGCCGACAATAGCACCGAAGAAGAGGATGACCTTGAACAGGAACCATGTCCAGCTACCCTTCTCCTGCGGCGCCTTGTTACCACCACGGCCGCGGCTGCTGCTGTCCTTTCCTCCGGTTGATTGGTCACGGTTATTGCCCTTGACATGGTACAGGTTCTCGGCCTTGACGGAGACAATGTCATGGTTGTCGCTCAGTTCGCCCGTCTCGGCGGAGAAACCCAAGTAGGCGACGGAGGGGATCGCGATGCTGGCGTCCTCGGGAGTCAGGCTGAAGCAATTGGTCCAGGTGTCCTCAGACTTGTATTGCAGGTCCAGGGTAAGGGACTTGTCCTGGAAGTAGGTGAGACGAAGCTTGGTGGGGACAGGAGCGTTGCGGAGTCCACGGGCCTGGAAATAGCGTTAGTCTTGATTAATAGCTAGCAGTGCAGAGCAAATAGCTAACTTACAGAGCATCCGGCCAGCTCGTTAGCCTTTCCGTCGTGGGCCTGATCGTAGGTGGTTTCACCGTCGCCCATCATGGCCATGACGTAGGGGAATGATACGCCGGGACGGTTGTTCTTGTAGGTATCGACAAAGATACCAAGGCCCTCGAATTTGTCTTGCGATCCAAAAACGGGACCTTGGGTTCCGCGCTGTTTGGTGAGCCACATGGCAAATCCATCACCGTGTAGGTTGCCGTCACCGTGAACCTCGAATTCGGTCTCGATCTGGATGTGATGTAAGGAATGGATCCAAAAAGTGGGAGATCTTTCGTTTCTTTCTCTTTTTGATCAGTTCTTACCTGCCAATTAGTGGCCGTCAGAGGCACGCGGGAGAAGATCCATCCTTGTTGAGAGGGTCGATCGGCCGTCAGGCGAATATACCTGCGCGGAAATATGAGTATATGAGATCTTCCAAGCCAGGGTTTCACAGCAAGCTTACTTGTCGGCCCGAATCACAGTATCGCCTCCGAAGTCGAACCAGCGGCTTTGGAAGTCCGAGTCTAGGTATGGCTGTCGCGAGCTGTCAACAAAGGCATTCTCCGAGTATAGCGGGTGGGAAGCGAGCAAAGGGCGACTAGAGGTTGTAATCGTAGTAGACGACAAGCTGAAAGGGTATCATACCGGAGCGAGACTGTGAGTGCGGAGCTATACAATATCAATATCAATATCAGTACCTCGGTTCCGCAAAGGTGTCAATAAACAAGTAGAACTTACCGGGATGCTTCTGATATTAGGATCATCGCCGTCATAGGCACTCGTCGGAACGGCAGCGAGTCCGGCAAGGCAGAGGAGGGAAGAAATGGCAGGGAAACGCATGTTGAGGTTTAAATTAGGACCCAATTGGTAGGGTAGCTCAAGGATAGACCGGGGTGGGAGCGGGGATGATTGGGAGATGGGAGTTACGGTGTCGCCAGGACCCGAAAACCCAGGAATTGAGAGAAGATGAATTGAAGAGAGACGGCGAAAGAAAGGCGGAGAGAGCGAAGGCCGAGGATCGGGGAGAAGTGGAAAGAGAGGGAGAAGTTGATGGGTTATTGTGTACTGCGACTCGGTGATGCGGTAAGGTGTCCACTTAATGCGCGTGGGTGTGGCTGTGGCTGACCAACTGCGCCACACCCTGCAGCTCTCTTCAAATCTTCGAGCCTCAACTTGCTCTCTGCCCTTCCCTCATCTCCCTCCACACATCACCCTCACTTCCTACACATCATGTCTCTATTCGGTTCCGGCTCTGCTTCTCCCGCTCTTCCTAAGTCCGGCTCGGACGTCAAGGCCGGCATCGTCCAGCAACTTCAGCAGGAATCCGCCATGAACAATGCCCGTCTCTTGATTGAGGTACGTCATTCTCTTTTCTTTCTTCCCCCCCCCCTGCTGTCGCCTTCATACCTCCCCATACTAATTCCATTTCCACTCTAGAAAATCAACGAGAACTGCTTCGATGCCTGCATCCCCGCCCCCGGTTCCTCTATGTCCTCCCAGGAGAGCGGCTGCATCTCCAGCTGCATGGAAAAGTACATCCAGCTTTGGAACATCTCCAGCAAGACCTACATCTCCCGCCTTGGTCAGGAACACAAGCGCATGGCTTAAATGCATCTTCCCTACAAAATAACAAGGATACTCGATGCAATTGAATAATATGGAGGAATATGGTGGTGGCATGTCAAAAATGGACAACCCCGATGGAAGATCCATCCATGATGGATCGTGTACGAATAGAGACGGCCTTGAAGCCCGTGTACATTATGGGCGAGGTTCTCTGATTTGAGATGGCCCGGAGTCAACAATGATAGAGGTCAATGGTACCGTGACACCTCCCCCTTTGTATATGGAACCAAATAAGAAAAAAAAAAGAAACTCAATTCCAGTTGCTATAATATGAGGAAGTAGGTTTTCGATATATAAGTATCATTCCGGTTTTCACCGCCGGCTACCATGCCGGTTGTCCAAAGCCAAGCCCCCGCGCGAGTCGCAATCGCCGCAATCGCGGGCTTTTCATCTCGTCATAAATCGTACAGGCACTCTTAGAAGTCGGGGAATAGATGTCCATATCTGGAATGCGTTAGTTCAGGTCGGTCCGAGGAAGCTTGATCAGAGGGGGAAGGAAGGGGGATACGTACGCATCTTCGCCGTCGTTACCGTAGTGCTCCGTCTCTTCGGGATATTTGTCGTACTGGCTGGCATCGCCCTGGCCACCACGGATCGGTGGGATATAGGGTGCGTCGATATCCTTGCGGGCCAGTCGGTCCCAAGTGACCTCGGCAAACCACGCATGATTCTTAACGTCGTCGGGACCTCCGTGCAGGTTACCCAGTCGCTTGGTGAGATCCGCGGTGATCAGTTGTGACAGCAGATCGACGGCATCATCGTGCAAGTAGGGTGGGTACTTGACCTTGCCCTTCAGGATGTTCTCGTAGATCCGGACAGGAGATCCGCTGTCCCAGAATGGCGTGAACCCGCACAGCATTTCAAAGATCAGGATTCCCAATGACCACCTGCATGTGAAAGTTAGGCAAGGTGAAGGCAACGAAAGGAAAGGAAAGGAAAGGAAACAAAGGATATGCTGAGCTTACCAATCTACAGACTTATTATAGCCCTTGGATGAAACCACCTCGGGAGCGAGATAATCGGGGGTTCCGCATAGTGTCCAAGTAATATCCGGGACCTCCTTAGCAAAGCCAAAATCGGTGATCTTCAGATGACCATGACGATCAAGGAGGAGATTCTCGGGCTTCAAATCACGATAAATAACCTGATGTTGGTGCAGGTACTCCAGAGCGAGGGTGACTTCTGCAGCGTAGAATTTGGCGACTGGGTTGGGGAATCGCTGTCGTGAGGGGTTAGTGATGAATGGGGCGGGGTTTCCTTGCCAGCCACGGGCCTTACCTGGGATTTGCGCAGAAGACTGAAGAGTTCACCACCCTCAACAAAGTCCATCACCATGTAGAGGTTACGCGAGTCTTGCCAGGTACCCCAAAGGGTCACGAGGAACGGATGGCGGACACGGTTGAGCATGCGACGCTCGTCGTTGGTGTGCTCGATCTGTTTCATCTTGACGACCTGAGCCTTTTTCAGCACCTTCATGGCATAGAAGCGGTGGTTGTGCTTCGACTGGACCAGGTGCACGCGACCGAAGCTCCCAGTTCCTAGAGTGCGCTGCAGAAGAAAGTCCTCTTGGGAGTATTTCCCTTTGGTGGTGCGCTCCTTCTGCTGGGCATTGGCCGGGGCATTCTGGGCCGACTGGGAGCTCGGCTTGTGCTCCCCTTGAGCATTGGCCGGGCTATTTATGATGTTGTTAATGCTGGCGGCATTGGACTGGCCCTGGTGGTGCGGAGATGCTTGTGATGAGGCGTCTGGTTGCATGGAGGCGCCTTCAGTGTCCTGGTTGGGATCGTTGGTGTGGGAATCGGCTTGAGGTTGTTGTGCTTGACCTGAATGGTGATCGGTGCCAGACAACTCGGACGAGAGGGTTTGCGAGTCCTTCGTGCGCCGCTTCTTTAGCAGGCCTCCTAAGCTCGGCATGGAGGTGGAATGTTTCACTCTTTTCCTTTTCCTTTCCCTTTTTTTTTCAAAGAAAGGCCAAGGCCAGAAGGGGAGGTCCGGAGAGGTGGGGAGGGGCAACGGCCAGAATGACGCATTGATCTCGGCTGCCCGGGGTTGGACCGACGAGCTCCGGCTCCACCAGTGTTGGATTTGAGATGAAGTAGGTGTGATCTTTGGTTTTTGGTTTTAATCTTTGATCTTTGATCTTGCTTCTTGATCCTTGAGAATAGTAAAAGATGATAGTGGGAGTGGTTGTGGTTGTGACGAGTTCAAGTTTATTAGGTTAGGGCACCGCACCTGCCGCAAACCGTCTCAGTGACCTCGCAAAAGCAAAGGGACACTCACTAGACTACGGTATACTATACTATACGGAGTATCATATGTATAATTATATGCTAGATTTCAACATACGACACTACGTAGTCTGCTGAACTGATGTTCCTCACAATGCTGCCTATAGCGACGGAGTTACCCTCCAAAGGAAACCGGATGACGCTGATGACGTTACGATTCAATTCGGTGCTGCCCTGGGGGGTGTAAGACCCGATAAGCTCGTTGCATGCGGATCATGGAAAAAAGCCAATTTGGTTAAGCTCTCAGTTGGGGAGAGAGGACCGAGTACCCAGCTGAATTGAGTCTTGTCAATTTTGGCTTTGGTCTTCGTGTTCAAGTTGGTTTTGTCTTTGGTGTTTTTCTGGTTTGGTTTGGGTTGGGGGGGGGAATTTGGCTGAATCTAGTGGAGTCTTGGCACTCCACAGATCGGATTATGTCAGATTCACGTGTTTTAACATCCTCAGGCAACAAGGCACTAAGGCAGTAAGGCCCTCAGGTGTCGAACATTATCTCCATCAGCCATCGCAAGGTGGATACCTTCAAGTTCACCCAACACATTTAACCCACCACCCACCTTCCCTCCTCTCTTTCACGATGGCGCTGGTAGCCTACTCTGACTCTGAAGGCTCGGACGCCGAGCCCGACACTAAGCCCGCACCCCCAACCAAGAATAACGAGTCTGGAGGTTTTGCCGTCGACCGCAGCAACCCGCGCAAGATTCGAGTCGCCCTCCCAGAGCTCAAGCCTGACCCTTCAGCTGACAAGGATTCCGATGATGGCCCCGCGCGCAAAAAGCCTCGAGTTGGTGGAGGCGGTGGTGCCTTTTCTGGCTTCAGCTCCTTCCTGCCAGCTCCCAAACGTACAGCGGAAAAAAAGACACCCATAGCTTCCACACGGAAGCCCTTCAGTCTTAAAACAGGCGCAGAGCGTGGATTCGACAGGGAAGCAGATACCGAGATGAAATATCATACAGAGCCCAGCACCGGCGCAGATGGAGGAGGCGCCCCCACATCGGGCAGTCTTGAACAGTCGGCTTCAAAGTCCAACAGTGCAGCCGCAACCCACACTCCGATCGGCGAGGTCAAACTGCAAGGAAATCCAATGATGTTTAGACCATTGTCTGTTGGTCGCCCGCAAAAGAAGAAGAAGACCACTGCGGCCGCCGCTCAGCCGTCACTCTCGGCGTCAGCTCCCGCAGCAGCAGAACAGCAGCCCACCGCAACGGCATCAGCTGCAAGTACTGCACCGCCTCCCCCGAAACCTAAAGTCAGCCTCTTCTCTCTATCCTCAGAAGAGATTTCATCCACAACCGACGCCTCGTTATCAGCCGGAGCCGGAGCCTACGAGCCACTAGTTTATGAGGCAGAAACACCATCAGCCGGTCCTACGCTCGCACCTGAATCTACCGCTCCTGAACCCGACTATGCGCCAGCAAATCCTGTATCATCTTCATTGAACAACATCGCCAATGACCTGAATCTCTCCAAGTCCGAGCGCCGCCAACTCTTTGGTCGCAATGCGCCCTCTGCAGACTCGCGAGTCCTTACGTTTAACACAGACCAAGAGTACGCGCATAACCAAGCTTTAGCCGAAACAGAACTTGCCGCGACTCAGCATAATCCTGTTCGTGCCATCGCACCCGGCAAGCACTCCTTGCAACAATTGGTCAATGCAGCAGCTTCGCAGAAGGATGCTTTGGAAGAGAGTTTTGCTTCGGGTAGGAGGAATAAAAAGGAGGCTGGGTCGAGATATGGGTGGTAATCATTGCATGCATATGACGTTTATTATTATTGTACTATTTTATACTATTGCTTTAAAGATACCAATACCAAGTTTGATATGTGTGGATTCTGAACTCTCGGTGTGATGGTAAACTCGAAAACATGTCCCCACTTCCCCTACCACTACAAGTTATCCAATTCCAGTTTTCAATATGAAAGTTCTGGGGTTGAGGCGCATAGATGAGGGCCCGGTTGTACTAGTTACCCTATGCCTACTAGTTAGTAGTAACAGGACTTCACTTTCCACAGATGTTGTTTTGCTTATGAATTGTATTGTAATTACGTGGTCAATACTCATCATGCCGGCAGACCACTGAGCTATCTTGAAAATCGCTTGACCCCATTACTATAACTGCTAGTATAAGCTAGATTTTACTAGTCGCCGTCTTCTCCCCATGAGGAGAAGGGTCTTGAGACGGTATTTGGCGCCGTCAATGTAATTGGTAAGTGGGATTTCCTGTTACTCACTAGAGTAAGTAGCGGTGCTGACTCGTTGGCTTCTTGATTAGGAGTCGGTTTCTTGGACGGGAAAAGAAAAGCCAGGCCATGGCATAGGAAATCAAGTCGGTAAGTAATAATTACTGTTCAAAATTTACAGTGTCTAGCTTTATCATATACAAAAGAAAAATCCCCAAACCCCAAAATCAAAACGCCAAATAGTGCAAATCGCTTTTTGTAGTTCCATCAGGACGAAACATCAACAACTTCGGCAAACCACTGCTTCAATGCAGTTGCCAAAACAGAAGGCAGCTCTCTAACATCTCGAACCACCAAATAGTAGGGGAAGGGGAAGTCCTCCAGATATCTCTTCATCTGGAGTTTCATTTCACCACCCGTATCGGGCTCAAAGGTAGCCTGCGAGAGATCCAGAATGGAGCTACCCTTAACAGCATCAACAATGATGAACACAATCATAATGCGTTCCTCAAGAGCCTGGCGAACCAGACGACGAATAGTATCGTGGTCCTCACAGATACCATCGGAAATAATCAGCTCAAGCTGCCAAAGATCAGCAGAGCCAGAACCAGCTGAGCGCTTCCACTTCGCCTCGCGGAAAAGGGCGATGGAATCCGCAATCAGTTTGCGCACATTGGTACCAGTCTGTTGATAGCTGAAGTGCTGGAAGACCTGGGAACCAGCTTCGGAGGAGAAGGGCTTGCCGAATTCGTGTGCAACACGCACATGATCTTCACTACCGAAGCCCAGGACGCACAAATCACCGGCCTCGAGCATGCTGAGACTCTTCGCGACGAGAGCGAGGGTTTCGAAGGCGAGCTGGCCACTTCCGCTTTCGAGCATGGACTTGCTGTCGTCGACGGCCAGCATGATCTGGTAATTGCGCTTGGATGGGATGGAACGGCGCATCCAGATCTTGTCACGCTTGTACTGTGATGCGATGTAGGGGATGATGCGCTTTATGTTAAGCCTTTTACCAGTACGGAAATCACCACGGAGCTTCGTGGCCATGGTCGGGGCGAGAATGAGGCGGAGCTGCTCGGTGAGGGAGAGGGAGAGATCGTTTGTTGCGTTCTCGTATTGAGACCAGAGACGGCGGGCGTCGGCTTCGGGGGTCAATGGTGGGAGCGAGGAGGAGAGGTGGATTGCCGCAAGTTGCGTGTCGACTTCATCCAGTTCCTCGGTCAGCTCTTGAGCACCGGCATGACCATCTGCCTTATCTCTAGATGTGTGATCACCAGGAATGAATGCCCCAGCGGATTGACCGTCAGTTGGGAGTATTTCGCGATCAAGTTGCATCTCATCCTCTAGTTGGTTGTCTAAGGCGTCTTGCAGCTCCTCAGAGACGTCGGGCAGGATATCATTGTCTGTTGGCTTGTTGTCAGACTCGACGCCCTTGTTTTGGTCGAGAGCCTTGGCCTGCTCCTCATTGGCTTGTCCGAGGGCTTGCGTATCGGCCTGATCATCGTCATCCTTGAGGTGTTCGAAATCGGCATCCGCCATGTCGGTGTCTTCTGGCAGAGCCTGCGAGTCCTCCTCCTCTTGCGAGGGATTCTTGACTTCCTTCTGACGACGATGCCATTCCTCGAGCATATCTCCAAGCTTCTTGAAGGCTTGGATTTGAGGATCATTTGGCTCCGAGTCCTCGCCTCCACCAGTATCGTGACTCGGCTTGGTCTCCTCGCTGTCTTTAGCAGCCCCAGTTTTCTGCTCAGCACTAGCGTTGGGGTCGTTCGAACCACTTTCTTGCTGCGCATCACCAGAAGCGCCCTTGTCTTCATTTTGATCCTGGTCAGCACCAAGGCCGCCGGTGACAGCTTCACTGGGAGCAACCTCATCGCCAGCAGCTTCATTCTCGTCGCGTTGAGCAAGGAATTCATCTTGGTCTGGCTCCTCGGGATCCTCTCCGCCAGCTTCATTCTCCTCTTCTTCATTCCCTTCCCCTTCGTTGGTTTCTTCCTCGCCTTCGCCTTCACCTTCTATTTCTTCCTCCTCGCCAGGGAATTGCTCCATGTCTTCGTCTTCCTCTCCCTCTCCAGGCTCATCATCCTTTCCATCGGCCTTTTGTTCTTCTTCGGGGAGAGGACCCATGTCTGACATATCATCCATACCATCATCGTCTTCCCCGTCATCACCGCCATCCATGTCATCACCATCCAGTTGCATCTCCTCGGGAAGCTCCAGAGTTTCTTCTTCTTTGGTCTGCGGGTCGGTGACATCCATGTCTTCACGGCCGACCGCTTCTCCTTCGTCATCTGGGGTTTCCTCTTCTTCGTCCTCCTCCTCTTCCTCCTCTCCTTCCTCACCCTTCTGGCCCTCCTCGCCCTTCTTATCGTCTTGGGCAGCAGTTTGTTGATCAGCCTCGGCCTGACCCTTTCCTTCTTCATTCTCCGTCTCTTTCTGTTTCTCATCATTCTCGCCGTCCCAAAGCTTCTCATCGACAGCACCGGAATCAAGATCATCAACATCACCAACTTCCTCGTCGATATCATCTTCTCCTTCCTCGTCCTTGTCGTCCTTCTCTTCATCCTCTTCGTCCTTATGATCACCAGTCTCGCCTTCCATTTCCTCCTGGTCCATGTTGACAGCATCGGCAGAGTCATCCATGTCATCCTCATCATCATCGGCATCTTCCTTCTTGCCTTGCTGAGCGAGCTCGGAGAGATCTTCATCATCACCGATATCCTTGCTGATATCCTCCGCACCTTCGCCATCACCGAGCCCGGTTCCGCTTTCTAGCTTTCCCTCCTTGTCTTGTTCCTGGGATGCTTCGGAGGGACTGCAGAAGCCTTCAGACGCAACTTGAGTAAATGTCTTGGTCAAGATGTAAGAAGTTTTGCAAATCTCACGGTGGGCAGAGATAAATCGCTGAGACAGGTCTTGGCAGATGTAGAAGTATTGGTTGACAATCGGAAGGACACTAGCAACCAGCGCAGCGGCAATGGGAAGACCACTTGCCGAATTGTCTTGTAGATGCTGCAGCTGGTCAAGGACTGCCACCAATGAAGATGTAATCTCATTGATGTGAACAGCCTTGGTGGCCCGGGAGAAGAATTCGTCACTTCGCGAGAGTAGACCAGCAAAATTGATTGCAGTAGGGACATCCTTGAGTTGCTGAAGGCCAACAAGCATTTTGTCGATCGCAGCGAGAAGACTGTTGTCGAAGGCTTGGATGGAAACATCGCCTTGTTGTGTTGGCTGCGCGAGGGCAATGCTGTTCGACAGGGCCCACGGTGAGATTTGATTCAGAGCAAAGGTCAAGTCAGGGCGTTCTTGAGACCACCTGCTCAGATTGGCAGATAGTTGATTGAGAGCGGAACGGGCCTGCTTGGTAAATTCTTCTCGGGTCGAGGATGCGACGCCAGATGGAAGTTCCGGGAGAGATCTGAGATTCTTCAGCAAGTCCTCAACGTGAGTCTCTGTAGACTGGAGCTCTCTTAGAATAGTAGCTGCCTGGATACCGGAGAACTTGGAATGGATCTCAATGATCGTTGATGCCAGACCGAGGATCGGAACAAGCCATGCCAGAGTTCTTGCGAGAGTGTTTCTTTCTTCCGTGGCAGTAGCATTGGACTTGACGAGCGAAGTTGAACCAGTTGACCAGAGACTCTTCATGTTGTCGAGAACCTTCTTGAAAGACCCAACGGCTGACATAGCAGGTGCAAGAGCTCCTCTCTGTCGACGAATAACGAACAAAAGATGCTCGATAGAACCCATACTTCTGAAAACCTCAACATTGCTCAGCTCTTCGGAGTAGTTTCGAGATGCTAGACGAGCACGAGGCAACAGATCCAACAGGCGATGGAAGTATGAATCGGCACTGTGGACAGATTTCGAGATTGTAGTACCGGACTCGAAGGCTGCACAGGTGGAGATGATCTGAGCAAGTGATGTCTGAGTTTCAATCACGCTTGTTCCAGCATTGCGCTTCACGCCCATTTCAAAGAGCTGCTTGAGAGTATCGGCATAGAGGCGACGCTTCTGGACCTTGAGGTGCTGGACGTCGTCCTTGTTGTCTTCGGTCAAGGTTTTGGGGGTCTGGGACTTGAACTCTTTGATGCCCTCGATGATGGACATGGTGAACTCGTCCAAATCCTTTGCGATGTCAAATTCACGGGGGATTGATGTGTAGAGATTGATCATGTTGCGGGCTGTGCCATCAGGGTTGCGGAATCGGAGAGCTCGGGATGCCCATAGCTCATTCTCCTGCTGGCAGACGGACAATGCTTCAGGGATGACAATAGTGGCTAATGTCTTCTCACCTGATTGAGATCCGAATGAATCTCCCATATCATCTGGAAGGCCTTGCTCAAGGACTGGCTGCGCCGATTGATTGAGAGCCTCACGATACTTGCGGACAAGTTTGAAGAGCTTGACGTGAGATCTCCTAGCACTCTCCTTCAGAGCAACGATATTGGTATCCTTCCAGCTTGCCAGTTGGATTTGCTCCTTGAGATCCTTCTCAAGTGCGGATCGCTTCTCTTGCAGGATCTTGTCCACCGATGGCTGGAAGGGGCGGAAATGGGCGATGAAATTATTCAACGCGGAGACGAGGGGTGTCAGACAAGTGTAATCATTGGCAAAAACACCAAGCAACTCGTTGAAATCAGAAACAAGCTGAAGACGGCGACCGAATTGACCCAAGGTTGTGGAAGCGAAGAACTGTTCCAGGGTTGAGATTACACCTTGAATATGGGCGCTCATGTCATGTTCGCCATCATCGGCCATCTGTAGCGGCACTGCGAACAGGGCTTCATAAGCAACAAACCACCACGAGCTGACATCGTCCTCACATCGATCCTTCTCAAGATCCAAGAGCTTCGCCCACGTCGTGAGCTCAAGACGACGCCAACCGACGGTCATGCTGGTGATTTCATCATACTGAGTGGCTGCGGAGTATTCCCGACTGGCAACCAGTTGCCATTCATGCACGTAGGAATGAAGCTTTTCAACCTTCGTCAAGAACTTCGCGACAGGCTCGGTATGCTTGAACTCAAGAATTTCGGAACAGCAATTGATGACATCCGCAAGGACGGCATGCTCCGGCCACGCAGTCTGGATTTGAACAAAACGGGCTTGGACCGCCAGGGTGAGGTTGACAAGTCTTCTAGCTTCAGCCAAGTTGGAATCAGTGTAGAAGTTATAATTCTTCTGTCTGTCCTGGTTGTCTTCGCCAATCTCCTCATCAAGGAGCAAGAAGACTGCTGACAGGTGCTGTTCAGGCGATACAGGGGAGAATGAACTCTTGCTCTTAGACCATATCGAACCTAACAGATGTGCTGATTGTTTGACATGATATGACAGCGCTTCACCAGTCTGCTTATCGCTCACAATATTGGCATGAAGAGAAGCAAGTCGCATAGCAATTGCTCTGGGGTCGATGCGACCAACGTCTTGGGGATCAAGCGGGGTGCCTTCGTCATAGGTAGGGAAAGAGCTCATGCAATTCTGTCTCGTTAACTTCTTCCTCATCCTCCCATGAGCCACGGTAGCGGTACAGGTTTTTGCTTTCTGCTTCCTTCTCCTGGTCCTCTCTGAGTCTAGTCTTCCAAAGATGGTGGAAATCAGCGAAGATACGACGAATCGCACCGTGGCTAGACTTGACCTCAAGAAGGGTTGAGTCGGCATCCTTAGCAGTCCAAACACTAGAAAGCTCGTGGAGACGCATCTCAATGGCGTTGGTAGCACTTGGCTGCTTCTCAGCATGGGCCAACGAGAAAACAGGATGCACAGATCCACCCATAAAGGGAGTTTTACCGCTCAATGTCTGGATATCGTTGTTTTCGCTAGACTGGTCGGTTTGGCTAGAGCCCAGGAAAAGACCAACATCGAGAAGTCGGAGGAAACGAACGATAGGAACCGTCATATCATCGTAGGATCTGTAGTGCACCCGAAGTCGGCTGCTCAGCTGCTGGATATTGTCGCGTAGGAGCTGGATGGTCTCTTTAGATCTTGAGGCATTTTCAAGACTGGCAATCATTTCCTCGGGGTTCCTGTTCAGAACGGAGTTGATCAAGTTGGCGAATTCTCCATGCAAGAGGCTTAACTCCGACTTGTCCGGGCGAGTGACGGATGAGGGAGGCGGAGCGGAGCCCAGTTGCTGGATCTCTGTCTGTAGCAAAGAAGATCTCAGGTTGGAAGCCTGGCCAGAAAATATGGTCTCAAAAGAGAGGAGCGCATTAGACTTGGCACTGATTTCATCAAGACGCTGGTAATGGCGCTTTCTTTGCACAACAAGACCAAGCGAGGGGTCAAATGCCTTGTCTGGGACAAATAGTCGGAGCAGCATAACAGATAGCTGAACGGCAGCAAGACCAGCGTAGTGAATACTCTCCTCGCGACTCGAGGGAGTGGTAGTCAGGGAGTGGATGAGACTTGGGAGAGCAGTTTGGGCAAACTCTCTGAAGAAGTGGTTATTTTCAACAGTTCTCTCCAGAGCGATAGGCATGGAGGATTCGATCTTGACTGGTTTGCCTCCCTCGATGGCTCGAAGCACGGCAATCACTTCTTCGGCACTATTGGGTTCGAGAAGCTCCTGGTGGGACAACAGGAGGTCCACAGTAAGAGCTGCAATAGTACGTCTGAGGTTGCTTGACTGGTCCACTGAGATATTCTGAGTGCTCTGCGAGAGAGATTTGGTGAGAGCTTGCTTCTCGGCTTGCAACATGTCCATCTGGCCCAGGGTTGTGTTGCGAACAGATGTAAGTCGATCCAACAAGGAGAGAGATAGGACGCCTCCAATTGCAAGCGGAGAGCTTTCACCGGCGCCGGAAAACAGGGTCACTCTGTTCAGAATCTCAGGGACTCGGCTATTTGAAGCTGACGAGTCCAGGGAACGCGCCAGACGACCAGCCAGTAGAGGCACAACCGTTTGGAACTTGCCTTGATCCGAACCATCGAGCGAAAGATCGTGATATTGGCAAAGAGCCTCAAAGTCCTGCGCAAAGTATGGGTATTGTGCAGATTCGGAACGTCGAACTGCGTGGCTGAGCTCTGCGACTGTTTCTTTGATACCCTGGACAAGAGCATCTCCGTCCGCGCCGTCCAGAATAAAACGCTGGGCAGTCGACAACGAATCCCAGATCTTATTCAGCTGCGACAACTCGACGCGTGTTTGCAAAGCAAGAGAAGTGAAATCGGAGACAGTATTCTCCAACTCAATCAATGATTGAAGCTGCTCATGGGAAGCAGGGGTGACGTGTCTCCATGAATCCCACATTCGCTGCATACTCAAACCGGTTGTCAACTCCCATTCGGCACGGAAACGAACAAGTGCGCGGGACAACGATTCTTCCAGTGGTTTCAGCAATGGGGACGAATTGAGCAATGATGTACAAACCCGTCTACCAATTTGCAGGTAAACTTGGAATTCGCCCTCGTCAACACGGTCCACATCTGTCACGCGGTAAATATCCCAGCAAAGACTTGTAATTGTCCGGAGCGCAGCAACAATCTCTGGAGACTGTAGACTGTTCTCATCCAAGTTTTGGATAAATTCGTACAATGCTTGCCCACAGTCAGAGAGGAAATTTCCGACTGGCTGTGTCGAATCCTTCATCAGGGATTGAATTCGAGTCGACGCCAATGATCGCTCTAGGCGTGTCATTTGACTTGGTTTGAGCTGCTGGCTGGATTCATTGGCACGGACCAAGCCTTGGCGAAGTCTGTAAACCTCAAGTCTGAATTCCTCAAGGTAGGCCAGAACAGTCATACTAGACCTGCAGTCATTCCTATTTGAGATAGAGACAAGGGGCTCGTTAATGAGAGGGTGGATAGGCTGCAATGGTCCTTGAAGGCTCAAAGGCGCCCCGCCGATTGTAATCTCACCAGCCGTGGCATTGAGAGGTTTCCATTGGGAATTGTCATGCAGCGCAGAAGCATGACGTTGCAGCGAGGCGGAGAAATGGTGGTCGGCATCACCTTCCTTTGTGCTAAATGGCAGGTATGTGCCTGGTGCCTTTTGGAGGTAGGAAAGATCTGTCGAAGACAGATGGTCTAGGCAGACTTCGAAGAGATCTTGGGCTTTGGCAGATCCCGGGGCAGAGTTCAGGTTCCAGATATGACGGAGGCGGTAGAGAGAAGACTCGCAGGTGTATGATGGGCCTGTCGGAGTGGGTGTGTCTTGGACTTCATTTGACATGAAGCAGATCTCAACACATCTGTTTCGCATAGCACGCGACAATTCACCGTTTCGAGGATCCATGTTGAGGAAGAGTCGGAAGTTGGGATGAGGGGTGATGATCCGGGCTGAGCCATCCTCGGTCCGCTGTTCGTTTAGAATGAGTGTACCATTGGGCTCTGTCAAGGAGTTCAATCTGTCCAAGACAGACGGGTTGCACAAATTGGCATTGTCAAGAATAACCCAGTCTCCATTCTGAACAGCCCGAGTGAGAACACCCTCGGTCCATTCGAACCCAACCTTCATCTTGTCTGAGTGGCGAATGAGATCCCACAAGCTCTGGGCTCTTTCAAGGAAGCTTTGAAGTTCTGGAACAGGGTGTGACTGGCAGAGTGCTGACAATGAAGTGATCACAGTCTCCAGTGAGGTTTCGGAAGTTTGGAAGTGTTGGCAGATCTGAAGGGCTGAAGCAACGGCCTCCGTAACATCTCCCGAGGCGAAAGAATAGATGATCTGGTGTCGTAAGAATACCTCAATGTCGTGCACGAAAGAGGAAACTTCTCTACGGTGATCAATCTGCTCAAATCCACCAATCAAGTCCATGGTATCAGTGTCAGCACTGAGAGCAAGCTCCTCTAGGTTTGCGCCCTTGATAGCAGCAAGCTTCTTGACAAGGGTAGTTTTACCACACCCGGCGGGGCCGACAAGGATACTTGGCCACGAGTTGTCAATGCAAAGGACAAGAGACTCGAGGATATGGAGATCCTTGGGCAGAATTTTCATTTGCGGTTCAACCGATCGCTGGAGAACTGGGTCACGAGACAAGATTCCTAGGCCGACTTGCAAGGAGTCGGGAGTCAGATTGTGATAGTAGCTCTTGGGAACGACTTCCGAGTCGGTGAAGATACGATCATAGAGCTGAGATACCAGCATTCGGTCATCTTCGCTCCTGAACCGATGGTTGATGACAACGTCAAGGAAGTGTTTGGTAGGAATCTGCAAATCTCCACGATCTGCCAGCTGCAGCCATCGTTGGATATCTCGCAAATTGACCTCCCATGGACCACCAACAGCACCCAGTCGACGTTCAGTCACAATGGCTCTGTTTAATGCAGAAATGAATTCAACCAGTCGCTCTGTCTGATGAGAGGGGCTTCCAGGGAAGAGCTTCGAGCAGATCTTCTTTAAATCATCATCTGTGAAGCTGTCTGCATAGACGACGGTGAAACGATTGACAAAGGATGCGGGAAGACCCTTTCTGCCGCCACCCTGGTGGTGTGGGTTCTGCGCTGCGAAAAGAACGAAGTTTGGATGCCGTTTGAAGGTTTGGTCAAGTTCGGCAATGTAGACCTGCTGCCGGTGATCCAGACAGGAGTTCAGACCCTCGAGAACCGATTGCGAGGCCAAATTCATCTCATCCAGCAGTACCCAATCACCACGCTGCATTGCTCGCAAGAATGGAGCGTCACGCCAGGTAAACTGGCCAACATCTCCCCCCTCAACTGGTACATCAGATCCAAACAAGTCCGTAAGATCTGTCTGCTCCGACAAATTGATTCGAGTGAGAGGCTTCCCAAGAGCCTTTGCAAGAGCCGTCACGAGAGTAGTTTTACCAACACCCGGGCTGCCTTCCAGCAAGATTGGCTTTGATGACTGCAGACCACGAGCGATTCTGACTGAGTTCGCAATTGTGGTGGGGGCATCCATGGTAAATTGAGGGTCGGGGTCGGTCTCACCAACAGTTGGAAGTGAGAACGGGCCAACCTGTAGATATCCAGGCTCGAGGGTGACTGTCGAGGATTGCCGATAGATTGCGGAGGCATCTGCGTTGAACAGTTCGCTCAGTTTGTCGAGGCACTTCTGGCGGTTTCCCTCGAGGTTGTTGAGAGATACAGCAAGCATTGCAGCCGGGTTGGCTCCAAGAGTATCAACAAATACCATGGCAGCGCCCTGAATAATAGCAAACAGGGTATCTGCGTTTTGGCAGGTGTTTACAAAGTCAACCCAGGCAAGAAGGTCACGCAGAGAAAGAGAGGTAGTCGATGTGTTTTGGAAAGTTGTCTTGAACCATTTGGCAAATTGCAGCATGGCCCTGGCCACCTTCTCATCCTTGAGATCCAGTCTCATATAAAGGATGGGAAGTATATCTTCATCGTCAGATAATTGAGGTGCCCAGATCTCAGTCATACGGTTTCGGAGAGCCGCCGAAAGCTCTCGTTTGCCATAGTCACCACCAGGGTTCATGGTTGAAAGAAACTGAAATCCTCTGTCGGCCACAACCATTGAGTCGACTGGACCCTTTTCGGCCAAAAGAATCGATCTGGCTGGTTCAAGGGCACTGTTCAGTCTTTCGAGGACGGAATCATCGGCAAGGGAAATCTCGTCAAGCAAGAAAAATTGCCCGGTTTTCATGGCAGTGATCAAGCTTCCATCGGACCATTCAAACAGTGCATTGGACCGAATTATATTTCTTTCGATCTTGCGCAAAAGATCTTGATCTTTTTCTTGTTTTTGCTGCGCATCAAGGGCTGACAGATCTTGCTTCAATTGTTCGAGAGGGAAATTTCCAGATACCTCGCCATGGACGAAGAGGTCAAGATCATCGGTGAGTTGCTTCTCAATTGCAGCACGGTTTCGGATTGGCCTTTGAGCACCAATAAGATCGCCAGTCTCGAGGTTGACATGAGCATTGACGATGAACAGTTCTCTCTTGAAAGCCTCTGCAACTGCTTGACAAAGTTGTGTTTTACCACATCCAGTCTCTCCAACCAAAAGGACAGGTTCGTTGTTCTTGAGAGCTTTGGAGACCAAAACGAAAAGGCGTCTCATGGCCTGAGTCCACACAATTCCGGAAGGAAGTCCAGCCATTTGAGGAACACTCTTCTCGAGTTCTTTGTCGCCGTATAGAACATCCTCGTCCAGACGAACCTTCATGACTTCCTCGATAACCTTCTTGACAGCGGCCTTCTCTTGGGGGTTTCGGACGCGTTCACCGAGGAGCATGAATCCATTAACAGCTAGCTGTTCACGATCATCGGCATCGCGAAGAGCCCATCGAAACAAGTCACGAAGCGTAGCGAAACTGTTTTTCTGTTCGAAAAGACGGTTTGATTGGCGAAGGAGCGACAGTTTCCGATACACAGAGACAATTTTTGTACAGAAGGACGGGGCAATTTGAGATCGCTCTTTGAGAATAAACTCGAGCTCGCTCTCTGGGATGTCGTCGAAATGGAGTTCGAGGAAACGATTTCGGAAGGCGCGGGAGAGGACTTTGCGGCCGCCATATAGACCAGCGGGATTTTGAGTGGCAAAAAGCATGAAGTTGGGGTGAGGGTGAACCACTTCCTGGGTTTCGGGAATAAAAAGCTCACGGTTGTCGTCCAGTAGTCGATTCAATGCTTCAAGTACATCAGAAGGCGCCAAGTTGAGCTCGTCAAGAACAATCCAGTAGCCATTTCGAAGGGCCTCTACTAGGACACCTTCCTGATAGCGCAGACTTCCGTCGTCAGAAGAAATATATGATCCCAAATACTCCTGGAGATCAGTGTGCTCGTGGTTGTTGATACGAACAAACTTATTTCCGGATACCTTGGCGAGGTACTCAATCATACTCGTCTTTCCGGCTGATGTTGGACCTTGCAGAAGAACTGGGAAACGTCGAGTTGAGCTAGCTCTGACTAGGTTCTTCAGATTCTTCTCAATGAAGGGAGTGATGATATACTGGGGCTGTTCCTCTGGCATGAGAGGACCCTGGCGCATCCAATAATGCTTAAATTGAACGTAGGTGTGGCCATCTTCAGGCGCACGAGGTGTTCTTCCAAGGAGTGACTTTGCATTCTTTGCATTCTCAAAGATGTGCTTTTCGAGGAGTGGAGCCAAAGATCTCTCGGAGTTCAGGCTCAGTACAGTCAGGAAACTCATGCTGAAACCTTCGAAAATCGCTCTTCGAAGGCCATAAACGTGAGCATGGTCAAGGACATAGACAAGGGCGCGGACTAGCGTTCGGATGCTGAAATGGGGTCGCTGGCCAGCTCCATCAGTCAGTTTGTTCTCGTTGCTAAGCTTCTTCGTCGCCATATAGAGCTGAGCAAGATCAGGGACGACTCTCTGATCGCCCATTGTCAGGTCACCCAGATACTTCTGAATCAATGCGAGGAGATCATTCAAGTCGCTGTCCGGGGAATGCACATAAAATTCGGTGAATCTTGATCGCAATCCTGGTGGCAGATCTCGCTTTCCAGCATCTGTTGCGGGATTCATGGCTCCGAAAATGCGGAAGTCGGGATGGCCAAATACCCTTTCCACATCACCGGCCTCGGAAAGCAGGACAGAAGGTGAGCCTTCGCTTCCATGATGCAACAGACTGGCAATATTCTCAAGAGTGTCTGGAGATGCGAGATTGACCTCGTCCAAAAGAACCCATTCACCATTTCTTAAGGCTCTGACGATTTTACCTTGCACGAAAGCAAAAGCAAATTTCGCGTCACCCTGGGAAACTTGAGCTTCGAAATCGGAAAGCTGGGTTTCAAAACTGTCCCATCGCTGACGCAAGTGTTGATACTTGGGGGAGTCAAGCTTCCTCTTCTTTGCTGGCTGTTCGTCTCCGTTTGCGGCATCTTTCGGGGGGGGCAGGATTGAAGACACCATTGGCTAGGCGAACAGCTTCGTGCCAGAGAGTCACTAGGCGAACCCAGTTACCTGAAGCAACGCTTTTAGTCACTGAAGAGAGGAACTTCTGGTTCTTTTTGGCGGAGAAAGTCAATTCGAAAAGCTGGGTAAATTCATCCAACATCGGTACAGCCATAGTGCGGATGCTGACGGGCTTGAACCCTCCCAACAGGTCAGTGCTTTCACTTTGTTGCGACAAGTTGACAACAGTGAGCTTCTGGCGCATCAATGTGGCGAGATGTTGAATGACGGTCGTCTTTCCGATACCAGTTTCTCCAACCAACAAGACAGGCTCTGCCATTTGGACCGAGGCAGCAACCTGTTCCATAATGGATAGAGCGGACCTGGTAGAAGCAAATCGCGATGCCGCTGCTGCAAGCTTCTGTGCAGATCCACTTGGAACCTTGATCTTCTGACAAACTTCACGGCCAAGCACAACTGAGTTGTTCTTATCTGTGTAGGTTGGCGTCCTTTCCTCAAGGCAAAACTGTGCTCTCTGCGGGGGAGATCTGAAGGGCCTCGGAGACAACAGAAGCGAGGCTCATTTGCATCAACTTGTCGGGGATGTACTTGAGGAAAACATCAACTATGTCCAAAAGAATTTCGTCATCAACGCCTTCTGGGGTAGGTTCATAGCCGGTCTTAGCACCAATGCGCTGCAGACGATGGTTCAAGCGACTGCAAAGCTTGATCAAGTCGCGGAAGCCAGGAGTACGTCCCTGGGATCCTTTGATGGCCAGACTACCGTGGAAAGCCGCACATATTCTGCCATAGACGTCCATGATGGTTGGAACTCGAGACTCAAGGAGGCTGAATTTTTGCAAGATTACATCCCGCATTTCTTCAACGGGCAGAGAAGTGACCGGAACTCTTTGCCATAGCCGGTTGCCAAGCATGGAGGTAGTAGGTGCTATTTCCTCTCCAGCAATATTGTAGGAAGACTTCATGGTCGCGATAATTTTGAAGCCTTCTGCGCACTTGATCCGCTCCCTTCGGCTGGCGATTGTCAACTCGCCTCTCTCGATGATTGGAAGGATGAGACCAAGCACTTCGGATGGAGCACGATCCAAATCCTCAATCAAGAGCCAGCGGCCCTCTCTCGCAGCCTTTGTCAAGACACCTGGCTGCCATGAAAAGGACCCTGATGCGGAAGATGTGGCGTACATTCCAAGTAGACTCTTCGCATCTGTCTGCTCGTTGAGATGCAAAGTGACCATTGACTCTGACTGGCCCATCTTAGCTGCGATATGATCGATGAGCGTGGTCTTTCCTGCATTAGGCAAACCAACTAAAAGTATGGGCTTGAATCCAAGGAGAGATGTCGCGATCCGACGCAGATTGGCAGTTGCCGTAGGAGTCTCGACAACGGAAGAAGGAGACGGGTGTGCATCTTTCAGGCGGGGAATCAAAACACCGCATATATCAGCAGATCGACTGGTGAAGAAATCACGGGTATCCTCGATAAGTTTCATAGCGTCGGCATCGGATCTTGATGCTCGGGATTTCCGGATAGAGCTCTCGAGAGTCGCCCACCGACGCTCCTCCCACAGGCCCAAAAGGCGATAGTCAACTGTGATTCCTTCCCAGTCTCCTTCAATCGGGTCGGTGCCAGTATTGACACGCAGCATATTTTCGGTTGCTGCATCGGCGGCGTGCATATATAGGGCAAAGCATCGTACGGCAAGGTATCGGACAACTCGATCTTGGTGTGGGAAGAGGGATTGGAGCTGGATCGGGGATACGGCCTTTGAGAACGTCTCCAAGTCGAATGAAAGAAGTCGGAAAAGTGTAAGAAGCAGTTTTCTGGTGCTATTTGTGTCCAATTGACGAATTGTGAGTTCCTTGGAGTCAGTCAGAGCTGACTGGGGCCCCGTTGGTGACAGAGCATATTGGCTTGCAAAAGGTCGTAGATAGGGCGCGAAGGGAAGAATCCTTGCGAAAGCCGAGAGAACGTGAATATAGTCGGTACTAATATCGGATCGCAGCCATCTTGCAGCCAAGTCCACCACCACTGGCTCGTAAATTCTGAATACGCTTTCTGTGAGTGTCGTGTTTAATGCGCCAAGCGCAAGCGCATGTAAGTACTGGTTGCCCGAAGCAGACCGAACGAGACTTGAGATCTCGCGCGGCAGCTGCTCGAGCAACTGAGGTACAGATAGAGTCCTCTCGTAAACGGGCAGATCGTCCATGTTGTGCCCGAATTCCAGAGGAGCTCTTCGATGTCAAGAAAAGAAAGACCGACGCTTCTTTTTTTTTCTGCCAACGCTGAACACTCCGCCCCACATTGTTCTGCTCCTGCTTGACCGCCCTGAGGCCTGGTTTCGGTTTGGTCCCATGACTAAGCGGGGCCGGGGAGCTTGCGCAGCTCCGGCCCTTCTTGCACCATCTGGCCATCTTAGCTGAATATCTTCGCATCTGGAGATGCTAGCTCTTGGAGGCATTGATGATTCACGATGTCAATGACCGGTCAGGGCTCCAGTAATGTCGATGAGCCATTAGCGGCACACACCGATCCGCAAGACGATTTTGGGTTCCCTGAGTCTCCAGAAGCTAATCGCGGCGCGGAGGGACTTAATGAGCCGTGAGTAGCCACGAGTTCCCAATTTGCTGGCCATTCTGCTAAAATTAAACTTGAAATAGGATATCTTTCAAACCCAAAAAAACGAGACAGTCACGATTCAGTTTGTCGAATCTATTTTTGAATACCGCGGGCGGTTCAGGCAACACACCATTCGGCTTCTCCGCGACAGGGACCCAAGGTGGACAGAATGGGGATGCTTCGCCGTTAGATACATATGGGCCATTGGGCCCGAATACCGATCCCAATTCCTCAAAAGACGGTGTGCCCTCGGATTGGTATGTGGAAGGTCCTGGCCGCCGCGTTGGTTACGACGACTTCTCAGCAATCGATTGGATCTATGAATACACCAAAGAACGTCAACGGAAACGGCTGCTATATTCCAGTGGACAAGGGATCTTGGGTCATTTCCGTCGCCTTCTCGATGCCAGCAATGTGTGGCTGGTTTTGGTTGCAACTGGTATTGCAGTCGGAATCATTGCCGCCGCCATCGATATTGCGACAGACTGGCTAGGTGATCTTAAAACTGGCTATTGTAAGAGCGGTAAAGGAGGTGGCAGGTTCTACTTGAACCGAAGCTTTTGCTGCTGGGGTCTGGATGGTAAGTCGCATTTCGGATAGTTTGTAACTTCCGAGTTTCTGTCGCTCATGTTATTCTCTCCTTCGACAGATTATTCTAAATGCTTGGATTGGACGCCATGGGGGACTGCATTAGGAGCATCCTCTAAGGGAGGACAATACACTGTTGAGTATATCTTCTATATCCTCTTTTCAGTAAGAACCCTGTGTTTCTTCATTTTGCCTTGGTCTTTTGTTAATACCTAACAGGTGGTTTTTGCTTTCTGCGCGTGCATCCTGGTTCGTAGATTTGCGATCTACGCAAGGCATAGCGGAATCCCCGAGATCAAGACCGTTCTCGGAGGCACTGTCATCCGACATTTTATGGGACCTTGGACCTTGGCCATTAAGTCACTTGGACTGGTATGTTGTTCTTGAGCACCAGTGGTATATGCTATTTTCTCACCACTTCATAATTAGTGTTTATCTGTCGCATCCGGCCTATGGCTCGGAAAAGAAGGCCCACTGGTGCATGTTGCTTGCTGCTGCGCGAACATTATGATGAAACCTTTTGACAGTCTGAATGGGAACGAAGGTTTGTTTTCCAAGCTCCATAATGTATCTCTAAAACTAACTTTTTAGCCCGGAAACGTGAGGTGCTTTCTGCAGCGGCGGCTGCAGGTATCTCGGTTGCATTCGGTGCCCCTATCGGAGGTGTGCTTTTCAGCTTGGAGGTATGAGAAACCTTGGACATTTGCAGTCGTATTCCTTACTTGTTTCTTATCTAACGATACTAGCAACTTTCGTACTACTTTCCTGACAAAACAATGTGGCAAAGTTTTGTTTGCGCCATGGTTGCTGCCGTCACGCTACAAGCTTTGAACCCCTTCCGAACTGGCAAAATCGTGCTCTATCAAGTCACCTATACCCGAGGCTGGCACCGCTTCGAAGTTATCCCATTCATCATACTTGGTATTGTTGGCGGTCTCTTTGGAGCTTTCCTCATTCGTCTGAATGTTAGAGTTGCCAAATGGCGGCGATCCAGAACTTCTTCAAAGCCAGTCATCGAAGTTGCTGTAGTGGCACTTCTAACTGCTCTGATCAACTTCCCGAATCACTTCATGAGAGCTCAGAACTCAGAACTGGTTCAATCCCTGTTTGCTGAGTGCAACAGCGATACAACCGATACATTTGGCCTCTGCGTTACAGGAACTAAGTCGGCATTTGGTGTCGTCGCTCTTCTTTTGGTGGCCGCCGTTCTGGCATTATTCCTCGCATCTCTGACTTTTGGACTCGATATCCCAGCCGGTATCATTTTACCCTCGGTGGCTATTGGCGCAATGTACGGACGTGCATTAGGTATTCTTGTCCGCATGCTGCAAGAAGCCTATCCAAAAGCATTGCTCTTCAGCAAGTGCGAGCCTGACATTCCATGTGTAACTCCTGGCCTATACGCGATTATCGGTGCTGCTTCTGCGCTAGGTGGTGCGACTCGGATGACCCTTTCGATCGTGGTCATCATGTTTGAATTGACGGGAGCCTTGACTTATGTCATTCCAATCATGATTGCAGTGATGTTGTCAAAGTGGTGCGGCGACATCTTCGGGAAACGTGGTATCTACGAATCTTGGATTCAACTCAATGAATACCCCTTCCTTGACCACCGGGATGACACTAACCCCCCCAGACGTACCTGCTCTCCGGGTCATGACCACTGTCGACGACATTTCGGTGATTACAGCTACAGGCCATACTATCGATTCGCTTCGGGGGCTTTTGACCAATACCACCTACCGAGGCTTCCCTGTAATCTCGGAGACATCAACTCCAACTTTGCTCGGGTATATCACACGGAACGAGCTTTCATATGCTCTGGGGTATTCAACTTCGCCTACAAACCGGAGTCTCACCGGCGAAACTCAGGTCTTCTTCGTCCATCAACCATTTGCTGATCCTGTCGAAACGCTGGATCTTCGGCCATGGATGGATCAAACTCCCATCACTCTCAACAGCAATATTAGCTTCTTGATCGTGCTACGAATGTTCCAGCGCCTCGGTCTCCGCTATGTGCTCTTCGCGAATAAGGGTATTCTCCAGGGTTTGTTGACGAAGAAAGACGTCTGGTCAGTGCTCAATGGTGTGGAGTTTCGGCGCCAGGAGGCTCTTCGAGGTGATCATTTTGATGAAGATCATCACGGCACCGAAGAAGAAGGACTGCTTCACGGTGAGGATAGAGATAGTGTCAGCAGTAATCTGCGGCGGGATTCATTGTGATCATTGCTTTGCGCGCCAAACCCGCACGCTGCAGCAGCGATTTTAAGGCAGGCGTTTTTTTCGAAGATCTCATGACATTTGCTAGAACTATAACTAGCGATCTACTGGCCATTTTTATGAATATACCTCAAACTTGCTCGCTACGGACATTCTGGAGTACTTCAAACCTCCAGGGTTACTAATCGTAATTCACCTTGACAGGCTACCATCAAAGTTTAGTCTTGGAAATTGGCTCCCAATTTCCAACTTGAGGTTGGAGTGTTGCTCGTGAGCGGATGCCTACTACTAGGTCTTAGTATCCAGTCGCTCTATAGTAGTATTATGCCTGCTTGTAGGGCTACAAGTACCTCTACATTTACAAGTAAATATTTGACCTCAAGTTGTCCACAGGTAACAGTAGGTACTAGTAGTAGTAGGATAGATACCAGTGGTAATACCATGAAGTGTTGTATAGTACTCCTAGTACTAACTACTAGGTACTACTCTTGTGGTGGGGAGTAGTAAGGGCAACACCCAGTCAATATATCTTCAAGTCCACAGGCTGTTTATCTGAACCACTTAGTACCCTTGACGACCCTCTGAGGACCTGAAACGCGCCATGAAACAACATCAAATGATGAATCTTCTACTTTCCTCAATAAGCATTACTCACGATTTCCCATCCTTCGATCTAATTTACCATCTCAGAGACCTCCTTCAGTCATATTCTGCCACGTAACACCGCCTGCGGCAACAGACAGCGCCGCCGACAGAATGCCGTGACAAGCCCGGAGCTCTTCCCCAGAAACGGACCTTCCCCAAAATTCACTGGCCAAGATGATGGTCGATCCATTTGAAGTGCGCATGCGCTTCACAACACAGCTTCAGCATCTAAGCGCATCTGTCACGTCTTCGCAAAAGGCAGCGCATTATGCACTTAAATACCGTGATCTGGACGAGGATCTTCATTCCTGTATCCTAGAGCAAATCGAGAGAGTAAGAACACCTCAGGTTTTCCGTTGCACTTATGAGATATTAATGATACCCACTTCGCAGAATAATATGAACAACCGCGCAAACATTATGTCTTTCATCGAACACTTTTGTGAAATGGCCACCAAAGAAGACCACCTTCCCTACGTCCGCATGATGCAGCGTGACATTCTCAGAGTTGTGGATGCAGTCGTCCCACCTGATGGAACAGGAGCTGCCAACGTCAAGCATGTCCGCCTTGTCCTCGATAGCATGCAAGGCAAGGGAATACTGTCCGCCGAAACCGTCACCGAAATCGATGCAGCCCTCAAAGACCGCGACACGCACCCCGCACACCTTGACCTCGAGGACGAGGAAGAAGAGGGACCAGACGATAGCGTGAGATCCAAGACCGGGACCCCACGCAACCCCAAGGCGTCCGGAATGCGCGTCGACAAACGGCAGATTGAACAGCGCATCGAAGAGGACCGTGAGCGAAACAAGCGACTGCGAGAGAGTATGTGGGCCGTGGAAGGAGACGATGAGAAGGAATGGCTGAAAATCCTAGAAGAAGTGAGTGATATCGGTTCGGATGATTACAGGAATGCCGCAGAGGAAGCTACAGAGCGCCAGATCTGTGCCGATCAATACAGGGCTGAAGTCTTGAAACGATTTGCAGAGGGGCATTGATCTCGTTCTGGTCATGATTTCTACGACATATGCCCTGTTTGATTTACATGCAAACTTCTTCCGTGGGCATTAGGACTGCAAATATGGGCAAGCATTGAGCTCAGGCGTTTGTGCTTTGTTGATGTTAAGATACCTTTTTTTGCATTTGAGGGGGAGTTTCCAATACAGTTTGCGTACACAAAAATGTGAACGTTCTATTAACATTCATAGCCTGTGATTCACTCACCAAGCTCATAAAACTCACAAAGAGAGTAATTTCTTTCTGGTAGTATACGTGTAGTATGGTTGCTTATGATAGGACTACATTCTGGAGGAACAAAAGATTTTGTGTACAGTATAAATATGGGGTCAAGACAGACCGGACCGACCGGAGAGAGAGAGAAAGCCCTTGACTGTAGACACCAAAAGATGAAGTACTGTAGTTTTCGAATTCAGTTTGACCTTGGGCTCTTTACACTTGATTACTGGAAACAAAAACCAGAGATACGCTAAGCCAGTTTAGGATTACCGCTTGGTTTTATTCTGTAGGACTGGTTTGGTAATGATTATACATAGTGCAAAGTCTCATTATAATAATACAGTAATGATATATCAAATCCCTCGAATCTTGGTAGATCTGGCGATCTGATAAGATCTCTACATATCTCCCTGCACGCCATCGTCGGTACTAAATGGAGGCTTTGAATACAATTTGACCTCTTTGTAAACCAATCTAGTCTTCTGGTCACACCCTTGTCCACCACTTGGGAGGTAGCATGCTAAGGGCTTCGAACGCTTTTTTCCAATGTGGATGTAAGGACTTCCTTAACTGAAGCTGGAAATGACCCCATCTGAGGCTAGAAATGCCTGCTCTTCCATGCGCAAATTCTGGCGGCCCGAATAATAGCGCCACCACGCTGCATCCGCCAGGTAATATCATTGGTAGCCTTCCCGAACCTCGTGCTCCGACAAAGCACAAGATTGATTTGTATCTTGCATTTGGGATTCATCAAAGGAATGGGAGGAAAATGGAGATAGAGGGCTCCCAAGGAAAAGGGTGAGACATAAGCTTAAAATACTTGGGAAATGAGTAAGTCAAGTCTTAAAGTATCCCTGCAAAAGGTAATAGAGTAATGTGGTGCTTACAATGTTATAAACATAAAGGACTCATTCGCCTTTTTTATGGCACATGAGACCCCTAGTGGGGAGCTCAGCTTGCAGTTATTAAGATTGTAATCCTGGGCTGCGAAGATGAACGTTGTTAACCACCTACATAGCTGGTAAGCTTTCATAAGCAAGTATATAGGACTGGAGTGACTCACAAGTATGAAAATGTATAGTCAACAGCAAAAACCACATAGTACGCCCATGTGAATCTTGCCATATTCCGAAACAGGAGGTAAGATAGTACGCAGGCGAAAAAGAATATAACAACGGATATGACCGACTGCAAAGTTCATTTCACTGTACGTGAGGGGGGAGTTGACCCGGTCAAACTCACAAGTATCTCCCAATATAATGCATGTTGATGACGTGGCCCCACTGAGATAAAGTAGGACGAAATCCCCATGACAATAGCTGCGCTTATCCATTATAAGACTCTCAATATAGCAAAGATAAGTCCAATTTGCTTTTCCGAGAGCAGTCTCATTGCGCGTGACGTTGAGGATGGTCAAGACTTTTGGCGAAGGGTATATCTTATGTTGAAAGGTACTTCTTGACGAAATAATGGATCGGATTCCCTCTTCCTCTTATAAGGATTAAGCTCGACCGCTCGTCATCGCTTACCGTGGGTAGAAATTGCCCCTTCGCTAACTGTCAGAGTATCATCGATTAGGTCAGCGATTAGCGGGATCGATTCACTATGAAATCATGCAACCAGCGGCAAGCAAGCAACCTCGCGAACCTTTCACAACCCTATGCTGAAGCCGTGCGATACGGGATATTTTACCGCGCTTACTTCTGGGCGTTAACTATAGAAGGGTAATTTAATCTAATTTATAAGGGGTGAAAGTATTCCCGATTCCGGATGCCGAAACCTAAGTAGTGAGTACTGGGGCCTCGGAACTATGGTAAACATTCGAATAGCCAGCATACATATGGACGAGGAAGATAGTGTGTGGGGTCGTAGGAGAGGCGCTGGTCTCCTTCATATTGGTGATACGTTGACTAGCCTCAAAGCAAATCTGACTTCTGCTCGTGCAGCACTTGATAGTTTCTACAGTATGGGGTAGCATTTTCATTGACTGAAGATCTTTCTACAATACAGTACTAGACTTTCACTCGGCTCCTACAATACCCTCTTTTCTATTGTTTGCTTATTATCTCTAGTTTCCTTTTTTTTTTTTTTTTTTTACTGCTAGTACGAGTAGTTGAGTAAATGAAGCGTATAGATTGGACCCACACCGCGCCAAGCCTCCGGGAAATCCTTCCACCGAGGGATTTTTTTTGGTGCCGCGCATCACTCGGCAGCTCTCTGCAGTGATTTAACACCCCTCGGATTGGCTTTCAATCTTGGCCTCTATGTTCTCTCAAATTGTCACCGCTGCTAAGGGTCTTTTCACGCGACCAGAGTCTGAAGAGACATCCCCAGATCCTGCTAGCAGCAACGCCCCGACTACTTCGAAAATGGTGACCGCCACTCGTCAACGGGTTGTCAAGCCCGAGCAATCTACAGAGGAACCCGTTACCAACAGCGTCGCCAGGGGCGGCAAGAGAAAAGTGCAGGGCACCAACACAGAAAAGCCCGACCAAAAGCAGACCAAGCGGAGGAAGCGAGATAGCCTCGAAGCTACCGAAGCGACCAACGATGAAGACAGCTCGAAGCCGATAGAATCCGTGCCGAAAGGCCATCGCCGCTTTGACAGTGAAGAGCCCGATATGCCAGAGGAGCCTCTACCTCAAGCGACCACGAACGGCTCCAACAACGATCAAGACGACAGTGACAGCGACAGCGACGATGATGCACCGGAGACGATCGACAACTCTGCTCAACTTATGAGGATTAAGGAACAGGCCAAGCGACAAGAAAAGATCAAGCAACAGTGAGTGTCTTGTTAGCCCTACGTCAAACTAATCCATGGGAAATCGTCTAACATTTTCCCGCAGAGAGGAGCAAGCGAAGAGAGAAAAGCGAAGGAAATTAGACGAGCGCCGAAAAGTCCAAGCCAAGTCTTCGAAGACCAAGGAGATCTCTCCCATCGATGACCTGCTGTCCGAGAGCACGGCTACCCTCCAAGGATCGACCACACAAGACGCACGGCGCGCCGCCCTCCCCGCTTTGCTTCCCGATGACATTTTGAATGCCGAACCCGCAGAGCGACCGCTTACACCACCTGCTGAGGACTCATTTGCAGTACCAAAAAAGTCTAGCAAGTTGAGGTTTTTGGAGAAAAGCGAGAGAGCCCCGAAGGACATGCAGGTGGGAGATGTTACGATCCGAGTGTTGGATGCACCATCTTCCTCAAAGTCCGGTTCTAAGCCCGTGCTGGCACCAAAAGCCTCCAAAGCTGGCCGCAATGTCAAGAACAACTGGATGAAGAGAGACCAGAGCTCTGGCAAGGTCAATGGGCTACGGAGGACAGCGGGTGGGCCATCGGGTTTCGTGCGCCGGTGAAAATAGCCGGAGTTTTCAAATTGTATAGATATCTAACGAACCATCTTGATACGGCCTGGTGATGGCCTCAGGCGCTTTGTGAATAATCTTTGCATCATGAGTGGTGCAATAGTGGACTATAGTCATTGGTATATTCTACAACTATCCTTTCGGGCTGTGTGACTTACTAAGTATGTACCTGCATTTTGTTTCAAAATAGCAATATGGTAATACCAGACCACCAGAGTAGTATACTAGTATTGTATGTATCCTGTAGTTCCAACGTCCAACGTGCATACTCGTACTACAACTACTCGTAGTTACAGAAGTAGACATTCAACGTCGGATCCACCGCGATGACTAAAGTGGAGCACGTGCGAAGCTCCGACCTTGGAATCAGCTCGACTTTTCGCAGCTTCCACTCTCCAATTCCCTCATTTCTTCCTCCCTGGCGGAGTTTGCCTGTTCACCATGGCATCCGCATCAGAAGATTCGCCATTACTGCCTCAACAGGATCCCCCCCTCGCCGCGGGCCACTCGCCCTCCGCGGTCGGTGACATTCAATCCGTTGACGACAATCAGCACCTACGGCGGTACCACCCACTCCGATCCGACCTTCCGACCTCTACAGACTGGTTCACCTCCAGTTCAGAATGTCAATGCGCAGGTGGACATCCTCGTGCTGGGGGCCAGCCGATGCTCTCCGCGTTGAATAGCAAACTTCGTCGTCGCAATAGTTATGGCGCCCCCCTCACTGCACCGAACACGCCTGCGGGCTCCAAGATTGGCCCGCAACGTACCACGAAGAAAGCGCAAAAACTCAAGCTGCTCCCTGATCCCGTTACCGCCGAAGAAGAAGATGGTGACTTTCCCCGCGATGTCTATTCGCAAATCACGCGCATCAAGGAACCCGCCGCACGGAGCCATGCTGCACGTCTAGGCAAAGCCGACCGTGATCGTATTCCCCGAGTCACTGCATACTGCACTGCCAACTCATACCGCCTGGAAGGTGTCATCAAGTTCTTGAAGTCCCGCGCTAAGTCTCGTGGAGCGAATCCCAAGTTGTTTGACGAGTGCGTTTATTCCCCATTCGACTATCAATTCGAAGAAAAGCAGAAGGGAGGCCGGCTCTTCCCTGTTGGAGGAAACAATGGACACCATGAACGGCGCACTAGTGAGCGCAGATATTCGGACAGTGCGGTGGAAGTAGAGGACAACACCAAGACACGACGAGAAGACTTGATCGACTTTCGCGATGAATCCGGCCGCCCAGTCGATGTCGATTCAGAACACGCAGTATCAGCACCGCAATCGGATGAAAACTTTGATATTGACACGACCATCCATACCCCCGAGATATTCCTTTTCGACTACGGCACCGTTGTGATATGGGGCATGAGCCCTGCGCATGAATCCCGCTTTTTATCAGATATTTCCAAATTTGCATCCTCGATCTTAAGTCCGGATGACACGCAGATTGAGAATTTCAACTTCTACTACGCTCGCGAATACCAGGCGCGCATATACAACGATTTCATCTCACTCCGGGACCCGCGCAACCATATGATTAAGTTGGCCATTTCGCATGCCCTGGCCCAATCGGTGAAAACCTCTCTCTTCGAGGATCTTGTATCTGAAACCATTTCCGACACGGCTCCGCTCCCAGCTCAGATCGCACAAACAGGTAGCGTCAACCTGACTCGTCGGCAAATCAACATGCAGATTGGCGAGCTTTTTATCCTTCGAATCAATATCCATTTGCAGGGATCCGTTCTCGATAGTCCGGAGCTTTTCTGGGCGGAACCTCAGCTCGAACCTGTCTATCAGGCTGTTCGAAGTTATCTGGAGATGGATCAGCGAGTCAGCTTGCTTACCGAGCGACTGGATGTCATTGCAGATCTTCTCGCCGTGCTTAAAGATCAATTGACACATCGCCATGGAGAATACCTAGAATGGATCGGTACGTACGAACTTAGCAAATATACCAAAGCCTACTAACTTCTATTCCAGTCATTGTTCTCATCGGCGCAGAGATTTTGGTCGCCGTTCTTAACATCGTTGTCGATCTCTACGCTGGAGTCGATTAAGGCCTCATCTGCGCAAGGATTACAGATCTTCCTCACTTAGAAAGCCGAAAAATGAATCCCAACCAGAGACATGGAGAGAGAACCGGATTCCTCCCATTTCGATTGACTGTCACGGCCAAGGCTCGAAGAAACCCATTTGCATGATCGCAAACATATGTGTACAACATAACATTACGCAATGCACCTTGCCGCCGTGATACAGCATCAGCTACGACAGTACTCTACTCCAGATATGCGCTGCCCCGAGATGGAATACCCTAGGTCCGCATTAATCTGATATCTATTTGCCATCAACACACGAACGACCACACACAGGAACTCGCAACGGCAATATCTACCTTCCTTTTCGGTCAAGCACACGACACAATCACCCAAATCCTGCCCTATCTTGACTTGACTGTACATGAACAAGATGCGAGCTCATCAATACATTAATCCCATCTACCTTTTGACTGTTATGCTGGTATGGAGTTTTGGTGGTTATCTGACTATCTGGCTTTACTTTCAAGGAGCGAGGTTATGGCGCAGCTTGCACATTCAAAGTTACAGGACCAAGGTTGTCTGTCAATACATACATTTCCAAATGAATACCAGTCCAGCTTTACTAGTATCTAGTACCACACCGATCTTCGAGTAGAACAAACATTATACCATACTAGTACTCAGGCTCCCTACATGGTCAGCAGGGCATATACGCAAAGAAAGGTTAGAATGTCGTATGAATGCGCTCCTTCATTTTTCACGCTAATCATAACTCCATCTATTAGAATAGAATACAATTGGCCCCGATAAACGGAGCAGTTAGATTTAGATACTCCACCCGAGTGAAGAAAAGACCTCAGGAACCGTAAAACCATCGCTGTAAGAAATCAAAGAACCCAGACCTAGCACAACAGATAATCGAAAAAAAATGTCAAGCAGAGGTTAGGTCCATATGGTGACAAGAAAACCCCAGAACCAGCCCAGAAAAGAAAAGAGAAAGAGAAAAGAAAAACATCGAATGATGGAAGGGAGAAAGGAAGAAAGAAAATAACCAAAGCAAGGCAGCAAGAGGAAGATACGGTGTACCTTCTTCTCAACCCTCAATCTTCGGCTCTTTCGCATCCATGTCCATAGGCGTGGTCCCAGATTCTGCTTGGTCTGCACTCTCAGCCGGCTGCTCACTCTGTCCTTCTTCATGGTTATCTTGGCTGTGCGTACTCGCCGCAGCGGGGGTATCGTCGCCCTCGGCACCACTGCCGGCCTGCACGCGGAAAGACGAGGTGAGATCCTGTTGACTGGGCGCAGGAGCTAGACGGGGCAGCGCAGCGGGGTCGGCGGATTCCGCGGCATTATCTTGGGGCTGGCCGTCATCTTCGCCCTGTTCGCCGGCGGCGTTGGACTTGCGGGAGCGTTTGATGCGCAAGGGACGGTCTTCAGGCTGTGAGGGAAGAGGATATTCTCGTTAGAATGAACGGTTCGGAAACAAATGGAAACAAATTGACGAGAGCATATATGGCACAGGGCAAGGAAACAAAAAACGAAAGACGAAAGCGAGGGGCAGATCGATAGAGAGAAAAGCTGAGGAAATTGGGAAAAACTCACAGTCGGGGGCTGCTCATCCGAGCTTCCCTCGGTCTCATCCTCTAGAGAAGGACCATTGCGACCCGACGCACCACCACTCAATCCATTCATAGAAGCAACATTCGACATCATAGCCACGGCGCGAGCCCGTAATTCCGGGTCGGCGGCGCTGGCCTGGGCTTCCTCGGTCATACCGGTGACTTTGGCAAGACGCTCAAGCAGCATGCAGGACTCGAGGCGCATTTTCTGAATATATTGCCAGCCGCGACGGTTGCGGGTACGCATGAGCTCGTTCTCGGCCTCGACCTCCGCAAGGCGTTTCTTAAGGGCGATACATTTGCGCTTGTAGGCTATTTCCACGCTGGGCGGGTTCAAAGACTGTGCGGATGTCGGGGGGCGAGCTTCCATTGTGAGTTTGGAGCTGTGAATCTGGAGGAAAAATGGATGAAAGGGGTCGGGGATATCGCGTTGTTGGATGATCTGCGGGTGGTTGTGTTGGGGTTCGGGCTGAATTTCAGCTTGTTCAATGAAGGGAGAGAAGGGAAGGGAAGGAAGTTTGAGAGGTGGGTTTCGGTATATAAGGGGGGCGGATGGGGTCTGGAGGAACGAGGAGGAGAAGAAGACCGAGGAAAGGCGCGGGTCCTAACGTGGTGCAGGCGCAGCTGCAGCACCGGCGAGTCTCACGGGAGTCTCTTTTGGTTCTGCCGAGATAACCAGGGCGGTGAATAGCTAGTTCCCAGCTGTTACTCCATACTTGAGATTCCGTCATTTATTTATTGCATTTCCGAAATACTATATCAACCATTCACAAACCGGGATATGTTATGAAATGTTCTATCTAATGTCCACCGGTGGTCGGGAGACCCAAGAATACCTTAAATGAGTCATAACTGGATCATATGTGGTCAGTATAACTAGCTTGCAATTCCCACACGACAGACAGATTCAACTTACATTAGCCACTGGAAGCCTGTCAATGTTCCCAGCATCACGATACGGACGGGAAGGCCATTCCAGAGCCCCGAGAACCCGATATTGCCATAAATTCGTGACACGGCCGTCATGGCACCCTCGCCAGCTAATTAATGGGTGGTCAGCAAGCGCAACAAAGAAATGGGAAAGAAGGGAGGGCAGGGAAAGCAAAATAAAGAGAGAGAAAAAGACTCACCTTTTCGATCGGCATTCAACTTGCTAACCATAACATCGGCCGGATGACTGACCACAGCGCAGAAAATACCGGCGATGTAACCACCCATGAAACTCACCCCAGTCTGGGTCAACTGGTTATAGCTCTCCTTGGGCTTACCCATGGTCTTGTAGATCAACTTGACCGTTTCCTCAAAGGTGGCAAACTTGGTCATAGTGTAAGGGATCTGGCGCGCCCACAGTGGGTAAAGACCCTTGTAAAGACCACTGAATCCCTCCTTGGCAACAATGCGACTCCAGCCCTCGCGGAGATTATTCGCATAGGGCGGCAGGGTGGTCTGCATGCGAACCTTGATGGCTTCCATCGGACACAGCGCCATGTCGGCGAAGAATTCGGCGGACGCACTGGCGCCTAGGAAGACTAGGGTGCGATTGGTTTCTGGGAATAGCTGGTCGCCATATAGGTACTTGAAGTACTCATAAAGTCCATACTTGCCGGCGCCCTGGAACGAGTATCCTATGAAGGTGGGCGACCATCCGAAAAAGACACCGCGGAGGCCCTCCTTGGCGAAGATTGACCGCCATGCGGAGATGTTGGAGGTGTAGATCTTGGGATCGACCTGGCGACGGCACTTGACCAGGTCGAGTGGAGTGACTGAGGTGTGAGTCGGTCCTGTAGGGAGTTAGAGCATGTCAATTTCAATTTCAAAGAAAATAAAATAAAACATTTCCTTTCGAGAAGAGGTAAAGGAAAGGAAAGGTTCGCATACCACAAGCTGCGATGAAAGAAGAGATTAGCTGATGCACGATCTGGGGGAGGGGCTACTGTCGTAGCTTACCGATGATACCGCCGAACATGCAGCTATAGAAATACTTGGCAGAGTTTGGCTCGATCTTCCCAAAGGGAAGCTTGCGCTCGGATTGGACTGTGGCCATGATGAAGAGTAGAGAGGTTGTGAAGATGAACAAACAGAAGAAAAAGCTGACGGCAGAAAGAAAGCAAGAATCGAAGGGCCATGGCGTCACTGTCATGCATCCCGATTTCAGGGCGGTGCCGTTCAGACCGACGCGAACGGCTAGCCCGGCACACTTCAGGGGCCTATAGGATCCCATGGTGCCCAGATGCCTTATCGGCCCTAAATCGGTGCATACTATGCATACTGTACATAATTTGTGATCGCGGATCGCATAATTGGCAGTCCAGTCCAGCCCTATAGGCGATAGTGCTAGGAATGGAGTGATACTTTCCGTCTATCAACAATAGTGATGACGTCATGACAGCTACAGCTCACAAGAAGCAGGAGAACCCAACCAACGAGTTAATTACGTGCCAGTTTAGTGTACGACAATTATTGAGGACTGGGAGTCAGTAGTTACAGCTTGAGAGTTATATTTGTACAATTCATGCAATCCCGGAAGCTCCAGGTCCTATCTGTAATCGCTAGTAATCGCTCCCACGCGCCCGCTAATCTCTATGCATCAGATGAATTTGATAGTTGATACCCCATCCATTGAGTATTATGTCCCCAATCATCTCACTGAGAGCCGAGTCCAGATTCAGGTGCAGACTCAGGTGCAGACTCAGGTGCAGACTCAGGTGCAGACTCAGGTGCACCGCCGGAGCTGGGATCCCCTCGAATTCGCTCAGCCTCACGAGCAAGGGTCAACGCCAGCTTGATCCCGAGTTTAGATCCTACTCGTGATAACACAGCCCGAATTTGCGATACTTGTTCCGGCGTAGGCATACCGGAGGAGAGGATATACCACATCGGCCAGAGTAACCCATACCCTTGGCCAGCACGTATGGTCCAATTGCCATCTGTCGTCCGGATAGATCGGCCGAGGGTATCCACATCGCCCAAAGAGAAGGGAATACTCCGACAGACGTCTGTTGTCATTTCCTGAATGATTGCGAGTAGGTTGTCATCATTCAATGGGGACTGGGTCGATGCGGAGCCACCGCGCTTGCTCTTTTTCTTCATAATCGCGAGCAGGCTTCGGTTCAAATTAAGCAGAAGCTGTTGGAGCATAACCCGCGCAGCCCGATAGTAGTTCCAGACCACGGCATTGGAGAAGTGAAAGTAGGTCAACAGTGCATCACCCTGGGACGAGTATACAACCAGTGGCAGCCAGCGCTCGGTCAAATGTAATGTCCATTGCGAAAGCTCAAAATCACATTCACGCCCGAGGGAAATCCAAGAT